CCTGATAGTTTTCGATGGAACGAATGGTACAGGGTGTAAAGGTAATTTAATGGGCAAAAAAGCAATGGACCAGAGGCAATGTGTCTTTTCGACTGGTACTCGATTTCTTTTTACCAACGAAAGAATGGCTGGGAAATATCGCCAGGGAGAATGGAAAAAGGTAAAAAGAATTGGCGGTGACCTGCAAAGAAGAATATGGTCGAGGGTGGAAAAGGGTAAGAAAGAAAAACAATGGTTCGCCGAGTTAAGTATCGTAATACTGTCGTTAGATAAAGCATTCAATCGAATAAAGGTGTTTTTCATACATTCGATCAACTGCTCGTGAAAGGATTCTTCAGGATCATAATACCTTATTCACAAAACGATTTGTACAATTAATATCAACGGTATCAAACTAATAAAATAAAATAAAATAAAATAAAATAAAATTAAAATTCTGGCTCTCACCAATGTTCCGCCGTCCGAGAGTTAATACACTTGAGTTCTAAACTGTTTAAACAATTTACGAGTGCGTAGAAGTACGTCAGCGGAAAAGATAAAAGAAAACATAATATAGTAAACCTAACGTAACGACCCTATTTCATTGCTCGTAGCAGTGGCATTCGAGAGATACTCCCGGGGCTTGTTTCTCGAGTTTACGACTTTCAGGCAAAGTCGTAACCTGCAGTACAGATTTACGTGGTTAGATCTTCATCATTTTCGAAAACTATATCCATTCTACTTAAGTTAGTTATAATTTTAAAACTTCCAATATTGAAATTAATTTTAATTCTGACATTTCCTTTGTCATGCAGCAATTGTAATTCCTTAAGATCCAACTACAATCATCCCTTATTACAGTGTTACTTGTCAGAAGAATCATAAATTTGTCTATTTCTCTTCAACATCGTCTAATTAAAATAGCGAACAACAAAAGAGTGGAACGGAAGGGAAGATGTAGAAGTTAGTATGGCAGAAGGAGAGAAAAGTTGGTCCGACTATACGCAAGGCTCTACCACTGCTTAAATAACACCAGCAAAGCCTGGAGCTTTACACGGACTTTCCATCCGAGAGGTGCATACCAGGAATCAAGACGAAGAAAGACAGAATGGATGCACGGGAAAGAGAGACGAAGTAAATTCCTCGGGTCTCTTTTCAATTTCACTTTATATACATACTTGGAAGTAGCTCGCGTTTCGACGTTCTTCCACCTTGACGTCGTAAGCTTCGAGGCTTTTACGCCGGTGAAACGGCTTTCAAAGATAACGAGAGATTTTTCCACTTCGCTCGCGAGAAGGACATTCAGATTTACGCTAATAATTGGCGAAGGTCGAAAACTAGGCAAACTAACTCCATATGTTCTAACGTTTTTACTTTTCAAGCTATTCCATTATGGAAATAGAAATTTTGTAAATTAGATATTTATCCTTTAAATTCAATTATATTCTACTTGCGATATGTTACTAAAATCTCTACTACCGCAGTAGCTATCAGATAATCAAGACATATAATATTAATTCCATTATTCTATATGTAATTTAACATTCTGAATTTACGACAGAAATTTGTTATAGGGGATTAAATTTTCCGCCCTCCGATAAGATGAAAGTCGATGACACTGTACAAATAAAAAGTGAGAAGAGGCTTAGAAAGAGCAACGAGTACGCACGCTAATTATTGTACAAAAGGGTCAAGTAGCCGTGTTTTTCTTTTTTCCTTCGAATGCCGTTAGTTCGTTAAGAACATAAGAGTAATATCAGTACGCTTGGTATACTAATAATAATAATAATAATAATGCTACCTAGCTTTATTGTGCTTCATTAACAAAGGATTGTTGCGCGCTGTTGTTTCCTGAAGCTCATCTGAATTCCTAAACATGCGGTTTTCAACCATAGCTGATTCAAGCCCTTTACTATTAAACTAAATATGCTTTGCAAATGAACAACTGAGAATTAGTTTTAACATTGAATTATTATTAAAAATACACCTTTAAAACCACCCCCCAAATTTTCCTAGAATTACTCGATTCTCTCTTCTTTTCCTCTTTTCTCAGATATAGAGGATGGAAAGAAACGTTTCCCAAGACAAGTGGAAAGAGGGAAACGGGCAGCAATGTTGGGAAGCAACGGTTCTTAAGGGCTGAAAGAGAGGAAACTTTGGAGGACGAGGGTGGTGTACCACCCTACTCGTTAGCTGTTACAACTTCTGCACGATTCCAGTTCCCATAAAGTGCTTCGACCATTCAACTGGCGTAATGCAGCCCCATAAAACTTCACACCCTCCCTATGTCTCTCCCCCCCTCTTCCTTCCTTCCTTCCTTCCTTCCTTCCTTCCTTCTGTCACGAGAGAAAAATTTTCAATTCACGATAAATCGTGACAAAGCTACTACCTGCACGATGAAAAACGACCAAAACTATTTTAACGAGGAAATATTATATATTTAGAGCTGTGAATGTTTTAACGAAGAATCGGCCATTTTACATTTAGAATATTCTAAATGTAACTTTAAGTTTCGGCCTGATATCGGATTAACGCTAATCAATAAAACTAATATAATGGTTAAAAATTATAATATCCATCTTTAAAAATACAGTCCTGGAAATATTTATTATGGAGTCGCTGTGGATCTTACTAAATTTAAGAGGCTTAATTTTTATTAGATTTATTATCACAAATATGGGCAATGATATTAAACAAATTTAGATTTTGTTTTGGGTGACCTGCGGTTGCAGTATCACCACATACACGCTTGAAAATGCAACAGTGCCGTTCTAGGGTTAACGGTCAAAACAGATATTGAATTTTATCTATATTTAAATTAAAAATAAATAAATCGTTTCTATCCTCTGTACCTATCTGACTAATATTTATATTATAAAGATATTGTGGTGAATTTTACACACGAATTGAAAAATTAATATTCTCTATGCCCATAAGTTGTGTGTATTGTTTATCGATTAGAATGATGTATTCATTGCGTATCTACCTTTCTTAAAACTTGAAAAATATTAAAATTTATAGATGCGATAAATATTTCCAGTACTGGGTATCAATTGACATAGCGTGGAATGTTAATAAAAGGGGTTGGAAAGACTTACCAGCACGGGAACCGGTGACATGACACTGCAGACAGGCGACGAGAACCAGCAACGATGTAGTTCTCATTTCTCACTCGATTTGACCCGCAGTCCCGTTGACAAACGAATGGCCAAGTTGATCTACGATCGTAGAAAAACACACGTGAGAACTTGGCACAAATCGTGACTCGCTAAATGGTCTTTTGTGTCCTTTTCGTCCACTAACGTTCACCATATAAACATTCGCGAATAACGATCCGTCGGTTTAATTTACGAGATCGATTTTTCGAACACGGTTAACACAAGGATCCTTTATTTTCGTCTCATAATAATCAGCGTTCTCGTCGCGATCAATTAACGCAAAAATGTTAACTAAACCGCGTTTGATGTATCCTTGCCGGTAAAAGAATAAACATGATCAACCTTCACCCAACGCCTAGAACCGACTAACCACCGTGCGTCGAGCCTTCGCATCGCTGCACAGAAGCTAGGCTGCGCGCAGGCGCGGCTAACAGCCAATCAGCGCGCGAGAACGATCATTGCGAACCGCACGCGACAGCTAATGGCTTTTTCTGAGAATTCAAAAACTGCACATGCATTTGCGAATATTCCGAAAACAAACGATACGAAATCTTGTCTTTATGAAATTCTCGCATCCGACATTATTTTCCCTCTGCTAGTTCTTCTCGCGTAATGTACCACTTTGACTGTAAACGCATGCGTAAGATTGTGTACGTTCCTGTTGGATAGATGTGTTTTACACGCACATTCTAAAGCACGAATGCATATAACGCAACAGGCACGTTGAGTATGTGACTGGTACGCTAGTAAAAATGAAACAAAAAAAAAAAAAATAGAAACTGGCACGTATAAATGACTCTTTTATAACATGTACCGTGAATCAAAAAGATATTGGTAGCATGTAGTACTAATACTTTTTTGATTCACTATTATATTTTGCGAATACAGTTTTCCTACAATTTTTTAGATGAAAGTAAAAACTGCTCTTTTAAATTCGAACAAGGATTTGATTCATCAGAATAGCTTTGTATTCATTTTCTCTGTTTCGCAAAGCTTTTAATTTTGCTTACTTTTTTTGTTGAAACGATAAAGGGATGCCAGGTGAAAATTCTCATCTAAGCCATGCCACCGTTTGTTTCCGTATTATTCACGCATTGTAATTTCAAACCGGATTGTTTCCTGTCGAAAAACCGTGCCATTTAGCGTTTACTCACACAAGAGTATTTATTGCTGTCATGCACATTCAACCAACGAACCTGTCATTTTCAAAGAACGTTAATATTTCAGCCGTAAACACGGTGATTCGTTAGCGTAAATACTTTTAAAAATAAAGAAAGTAAAGTATTTGAACTGAAATATGAAAAATGATAAAATAATCACCTAAATTCGGTGGTGTGCGATTCGAATCCAAAAGGACCCAAGAAACTTAATTATTGAAGTGCTGTGAATTTTAAGGACCTTCTCGGAACGGTACTTTAGGCTACAGCCGCCCTTTGCCAACAGCGATCGCAGGCACCATGTATGGCGAGGTGTGTAGGGAAGAATCCAATACTTTGTTGATGGTCGCCGATAAGATCCAGAGGATAAGGTGCAGAGGATAAGAGTATCCTTGAAGAATCTAGCACGAAGGTGATGGCCTTCCTGAAAAAGTGTATTGTGTTAAAATATAGAAATGAACATGCGGGCTTCTTCAGAAGCCTGTTTCATTTGTTTAATAAAAATTAACAAATGTAACCAAAAATTTAAATTACTAGTAAAAATGATATAATATAAAATAGTTAAAGATTAGAAAACAAAAAGATTGAGAACTGCCGAAACCCGGGATCGAACCGGGGACATTTAGATCTTCAGTCTAACGCTCTCCCAACTGAGCTATTTCGGCTCTTGGTGCTTTCTTCTTCGTTTTATTTCAAATCTGGATTTTCACATTAATTTACATTTTAATTGTTTTATTATCTTATTAATCTGTTCATTGTTTAAACATACTGTCATTAAAACATAATTTCTTTTAGCTGTACAAATTACATAATTCTTCCCACACAGTTATTTAACTTTACCATATGCAAGTAGTTCTGCAAATTATTTAATGCGATAAAATAATTTCCTACCTTTCTGGAAGATTTTAAAAGAAACAAAAACTTGTTTTTACTTTTATCATTTTTAAACTAATTAAAAAGTAAGAATTTACAAGAAATAACATTGACTTCATCGTAGACATTCAAATTCACCAGGAGAGCTGTGTCAAACACAGCTTGAATTTGTCATTTGTTTTTACTCTAACTCGACCTACTTTTTGTTACCATTGTTTCGCATATCCTGCTGCTTGTCAGGCTCTGCACGATACGCAAGTTTACATTCTCCAGAACAGTCTTTAAGGTTGTTCGGAGAGAAAGAGATCGGTTGATTCTCATGGTCGTAAAACAAAAAGTGTGCGACAGACGGAGATAGGTATAGATACTACGAAAGCATACGACGATTTTGAGAGAGAGAGGAAAAAACACTCTCAAGGACATACAGAATTCGTCCTGCATCTGTTTCTGAAAATGTAATATAAAAAAAAAACGAAAAGTTTAATTCATTAATATCCAAGATGGGTACGCGCAACATTTTGCTATCTTTTATAATTACAAATTTTGTTTACTACCTATTTACTGGTTATAAGTATCTTTTACATTATCATTATAATACTTACGCTATTAAATATTTTTTAAATCATTCAAATGCATTAAATTGTAGTACTGCTCATTGCTGACCCTGACGCCACTCAACGTGTTAAGAATCGTATACTTTGCGGGAATTTGTTTATTGCTACATATACATATATATGGCAGCAATTTTCTAGAAAGTTTTTCTTCACATTAATATATTATAACTACATTTTAATATGTATGTAAAAATGAAAGGTTACATACCAAAATCAAATATAATACCTGAAATTATATTTGACCAAAAACTTAAGTTCCGTGTCACGTTAACTAACATAAGTTGCAGATGGCGTTGTTTGAAAAGCTTCTGTCATAAATAAATCATTTGTTATAATTGTAAAAATGTCGCCAAGAGTAATTTTATAGGTATCTCTGAAAGGCAGAACAGGAATAAACAACATTTTCACATTCTGTCCTCGGAGGTGACTACCAGCAAGTTAAAAAGTTCCCGAGGTCGCTGTAATGTCTTCCTGTCTGAACTTGGTCCACAAAAGTACTAGTGCGCTCGCCACCTTCACGGTATTCAGTGTTGCGCCGTGCGTAGATGGTGACGGTTAATAAAAATTTCTTTAGGTAGTTGAGAACGAAAGAATCGTTCATAGAGACTAATTAAAAATATCGAAAAGAGAATATTTTGCCGCACCCTATCGGGTGTGGGCACATCGAAGAAAGACATCATCGTTTGTGGTTATAATCAATTATGGCTAATTTGAGACAGACTCCGCTGACGTGTAGTGGACATACTAGACCTGTAGTGCATCTTGCATTCTCTGACATTACCGAATCTGGATATTATCTAATTTCGGCATGCAAAGGTGAATCATATTTTATTCTATATTTTATTCTATATTTTATTTTAGTTGCAGGTCAATTGTAACCATCGGGTACATTTTTGTTTTTCATTCACGATCAACACGTTCAGTTCTTGATTTCCTTGGCCCAGTTTCTTTGGGAACCAAGGTTTTGTGAGTTATGGGTATGGAGGTTAGACGGTACATATCGGTATCGCGGATTTCCTGTTAGATTATCTTCCTAATGTTAATATCCAATTAAACTTTTCGAAATATGTTTAAATATTTCTCTTTCAAGACTTCTTCTTCGATCTGGTCAACTTGCTTATCCAAATAACCATGATTTTCTGGAAAATCTGTAATAGCAAATAAATATATATATATATTTAGATGGCAAACCTATGTTGCGACAAGGAGATACCGGAGATTGGATTGGAACATTTGAAGGACATAAAGGTGCGGTATGGGGTGTTGCATTGAACCCTCAGGCAACAAGAGCTGCCTCAGGTGCTGCTGACTTTAATGCCAAAATCTGGGATGCTATTAAGGGAGAAGAAATCCATTCTTTTCAACACAAACACATAGTGAAGTCTGTCAACTTTAGCACCGACTCCAATTATTTATGTACTGGCTCGAATGAAAAACTTGTAAGGATTTTTGATCTCAACAAACCAGAAGCAGCACCACAGGTATATATTCCTATATAAATATATTAAGAAGAATACCTTTTTTAGTATTTTATTTAATAAATAACATTGATAGATTTTCTCAGGTCACAAGAATGGAATCAGACATGTTACTTTTTTCAATAATAACACTGCATTAATTACATGCGCCGATGATAAAACATTGAGAGTATGGGATATAACAAGCGGTCAAGAAGTAAAAAGGTTAAACTTTCCAGCAATTCCAAGTTCTATGGAATTATCAAAAGATGGAAATATTATTACCACTACTCATTCCAACATAGTCACTTTTTGGGATAGCAAAGAGTATGTTTAACATCTCTCATTTTCTGTAATTAAAGATGTACATGTTAGAATTAACTAGTCTTGCTGAATTAACTGTATACATAAATACCTTGTTATATGACTATAAGGTTACATTTAAAAATAGCTTTAGTATAATTTTTCACGTGCAGGTTAACTAAATTACACGAGTATAACGCACCAACCCAAATGAATAGTGCCAGTTTGCATCCAGATTGTAGTATTTTTGTATGCGGAGGAGAAGATCTAAAAATGTACAAATTTGATTACATCACGGGTACTGAAATTGGTAAGCGAATACTTAAAAAAAGAATCGGTGCTTAAGAGAGAAAAGAAAGTTATATTTTTCTATATATATATAATATTCACAGAATCATTCAAAGGACATTTTGGACCCGTACATTGTGTACGATTTTCACCGGATGGTGAATTATATGCCAGCGGTTCGGAAGACGGTACATTACGATTGTGGCAAACAACTGTCGGCAAAACTTACGGTCTTTGGCGGTGTATAGAGCAATCGCCTGCGTTGCAAGAAACCGCTGCTGTGCTTAACAATAAGCAAGAAGTTCCTGCCAGTTAGAAGCCTAAAAATGAAAGGATAATATAAGATACTGTAACATCGAAGAGCAATTATTTCATGAATAGAGATGAAATGAGGCAGCAAAGATACATGGTGTCAACGATTGATGGTGTAATTTTTATTTCATCGGCTTACGTCTGCCATAATAATATCTTGTAAATATCGGATCTCTGCGAAACTAGTTCCACTGTGTAATCCAGCTATGAATCGTAAAACTCTCGGAGGGAAACTGAAAAGCGGACCAACCTTCATCGTAGTCTGATATAGGTCATGGAAGTGTGGGACGCCATTCACTATTTATTATAAAGAGAAGAGCAAAGAAACATTAACATTTATTAACGTTATACATTCATTGTCGCTATTATACTACAAAATTAGATAGAGGTGTAATAGTAGAGAAAGAAAACCACATCGTAATAAAATTTTGTGTTCGCATTTGTTATTTTCGCGTTAAAATTACTATACAAGTAGAAAAATATTTTGCCTGGAACAATACCAGTGCAATTCCTTAAAACACATATCACTCACATCCATTTGATCGGTCATTCCTCTTCTTCCTAACAATGATACAACATTAGCAAATACCATGACAATATGTTAGAGTCCTTTTTGTCTTCGCACTGCAACCGTGTACCACGAGATCACTGTACAAATATTTCCTTCAAACTGGCAATGACAGGTTTATACAAAGGCACCGTGGTCGTGTACTGACCTGATTACACTTTTTCAGAGCACATCATCTGTAAATTAAATATTTCTTACCTAATCTATCAAGTAACAGTACTACTAAACGTAACGAGTAAAAGATGAGAGGTATTTGTTGTGAATTAAAACGACGACGTTCGTACTTGAAATGATAATTTCAGGTAAACTCGAATACGATACTACGAGTACCGCTTGACCTCTCATCGGGAAGATGTTTGAAATTGTATGGTACGAGCGGGTGTCACACGCAAAACGCAATACATATAGTACGTAGGTACAATTTACATTTCTGTACAGTTTAGTTATCGATAATGAGCGCAGCTCGTTAAATAGATAATTAAACCTCAGTGTCATTGTGTAGTTTCACGCGAAGGTAGACAAATGAGTCTTGCGTGTGAGATAGTTATTAAGATAAGCAACGAGTACCGATACACGACTTTCTCATTCAGCCTACGAATTGCGAGAGGTCTGGCAATTTGAATCCATTGAAGGAAACTGGCGTCGGCACGCTTCTTAAACTGTTCCTGTGCTGCACGAAACCAGGAAAGCTGGCCGGTGTCGTGAATTGTTGAAGTCTCGAGGTAGCTTCCGTGGCTGCCAAAACGAAACCGCACTGAGCCGTGCATACGTCGTCGCGCAAAATCGCTTCTCGAGAAGCTTCGCGTAGAAGCTGATTACAGTCCGTGATCCTGAGAGAAGCGCATTGAGTCTGAAAAGGAAATGATAAAAATTCATGAGAAAAGGAGATCGATTGTTATAAATTCTAAAGCAAGAGTACGTACGCCTTCGGCTGTACAGACGCAGCTGGTGCAAGGTGTAGGGAAACCTGACTCCCCTAAAGCAACGTTTCTTCCACCGATTTGGCAGCCGTGCCTCGTTTCCCGCCACGCAGACAGATCCATGTGAGGCATAGAGCTGCAAGGTACTCGGGGGTTCAAGAAATTGCTAGGCAAATCGAACGCAGCTCGCTGCATATCGTTCTGCTCGTCCATGTTTTCGCACATGATCTTCGACAGAGTGACCTTACGAATCTCTGCCAGTTGATGTTCGGTAAATCGAATGTTTGGATCATCGGTCTCGTACCAGAAACGATCGCACTTCCTCGATTGACGGAATTGTATGGCTATTATGCAAGCAAACGTCGGTCCTACCAGTCCACCCTGAAGGGGTCTTTCGCTCATTCCACCAGGGAACAAGTCGATGTCATCGACAGACGCGTAGATACGTTTCATACGTGCTATAACTTCCGGTGCCATTTCTCTCGACAAGTCTTCGAACGTCGTCGCCCTCTTTAGATTGCAGAGTGCTCTGTAATTGTTGTAAGACGGTATTCCATGGTCCCTGGCACGATGGATATTGAGCGCGACCAGGTCCACTCCAGAGTAGGGTATACCACGAATTTCAAACAGATGATTAGTTACTTCGCCGGTAATGAATTGGTCCAATGTCTCCATAGGGGTAGCCACCAGACCTCGTATCATTTCGTCCAACATGCCTTGCTGGTAGAGCGCGTCCGGATCGAAAAATCCATCTCGCAGTAATATGGACGGTTCGATGCTCTGATAGTTCCGATCCATTCGCGGTAAATGCGGTCTCAGAAGCGAGTGCCCGATTCTGTAGGCCGCAGTGGCGAATTCGGTTAGTACACTGGGATTGCAAGTAGGAGAGTATTCCTTGTAGTAACCCTGAGGCAAAAGTTTCAGTCCGTACAAAGTAACAGCGTTCCAACCAAGTATCCTTGGTAGAAATTCGTTATAGGTTACGTGTTGCAACATCGCGCTGAGTATACGACGAGTCTGTTGGAACAATTTCTCCCCGTCCCAGTGAGGATTTACCTGCCTCAAGCTTTCTACCAGTCTGTTATGCTCACGGACCCATATGGTGTGCATGACAGTCAACGCGGGCTGTTCCGAAGCACGACCATCACCACCGATGAAACAGAATCCAGACTTGGCTTTACACTCTGGATGGGTGGGTGACTGGGGCAGAAGGTCCTTTGATCCGCGATGCGGGCTCTGAGTGATGTTCATACGTCCATTGAAACCACGCAGCACGTTACAGATACACGAGTTCTCACCGTATACCACTGAACCGTCCAAGAAACCGGTGTTCTGATTTATCTGTTCCCGGGGTCCCAAGTGCTGTTGCCCTGGCAGAGATCTCATGGAAGGGAAACACATTCGTGCACCAGACGAAACGTTCACCGTTGGGTAATAATGATCGCCGGCTGGCACCGGGAAAGGGTTACACTCGGGATGAACGGTACGAGGGGAGTCGCACGAACGACAGCTCGGTATCGATTCAGCGAAACCTTTGTGAATCGGGGTCATCGTCAGATCGTGGTCCAAGAACTGAGCAAACTGCATCACCATAAGCGTGTACCGGTTATGGAGGTTAGAGATGTCCGGATGAATGACCGTGGATACCACTCTTGGATTGGGTAGAGGTGCCCCTGCGACCGATGTGCTTCTGGGTTTCGACACGCCGTCCTCGTAAACGGGAGGGAGCAATCTGGCGAAGGTGGTTAATGATTTTCCCAAGTTGGGATTTCGGAGATTGTTGCAGTGACCCGAGAGGGTTCTGTACGGACTAGTCGGATCGCAGGGGCTGTCGTCTACCGGACATTCAACTTCTTCGTGATTCGTTGGCTTCTTCTGAGATAAAAATCCAGATATATCCACGTTCTGCAGCAGATCAGAAAAGTCGTTGTTGGGAAAGCCAAGGACGTTGTCCGTAGTGTCAAAGATTTGTCGTCTCCTACGTCTCAGTCCATGTATACCGTTCAGGATTTCGTTGGTAGCCAATTCGTAGACGATCGACGAATTGGCTAATAGCAGAGCGTCCCTGTTGGCTTTCGAGAAGCTAGCCGCTGTACCTGCTGGCGATTTAGGATCCGCTATCCTTTGTTCCAACCATGAATTGTACTCGAGCTGTTTTCTTTCGATTAAATCTGCTTCCGCCTTCTTCACCGCAGCAGCTATCACGCTCGGATTTAGATTAGGAATGAATTCCGATGTAACAGGTTCTCTGGTTATTTCTTTTCTCATCGGTTCCGGAAGAGGCTCTTCTCTCCACGGTGTTAGATCCAAAGCAGAGTACTGATCGCAGTTTATTCTAGCATTTAAGTAGGGATCCGTTCGTATGAATGCCCTCGGTTGGATCCTCTGAATGTTCGTATTCGCGCAGAGTATACCAGCTAGCGAAACTTTTCTGATCTCAGCCAGTTGAGCCGCGTTCAATCCCGAAGGAGGTATATCGTTCTCGTACCAAAATCGATCCGAGTTTCTGATTTTGATGAACTGCCTTCTGAGGAGACACTCGAACGTTGGTCCCACCGCGACGCCCTTGGTCGGAATTTCCAAAATTCCACCTAGAAGCAGATCTATGTCTTCCACTAGGGAATATATGGATTCCAGTAATCTCGCGTGCACGGGCAGCATGAAGCGTTCCAAATCCTTGAAATTCTGAATCTGAGGAAGAAAAAGAAGGTTATCGAGAGGAAATAAGAAGGAAATGGTTGAGAAATGAATGAATGAAAAGTAACTTTACCGTGACATTGTTTTCAGAACAGTCGGCGACAAAGTAGATGTATCCGGGGATACCATGATCGCGACCCACGTGGACAAGCCGCGCGTTCGCTTGCAACCGGGTCTCGAAAGTCGAGTCGCTTAGATCAAGGCTTACGCGATTCGCCGAGGTGATCACATGGTCCTCGAGGCGCGTGGCATCATTGATCATCCGATGTGTACGAAGCGACGTGAGAGCGCGAAGAGCCGCCAACGCGACACCGTCGTACGTGCCTGGGATGTTGGACGAGGAGTACCGTCTGTAGAATCCGTTCGTCACCGGCATCAGTTCGGCATCTATTCGAGCGCCTTCCCCAAGAATGCTCGGCACGTATTCGTTCAGCGTGACGTGTTGAATCTGAGCCACGACCAATCGACGAGCCTCCAGAAACAGCTTCGTTTCGTCCCAGTGTTCGTTCGCTTCCGCGAGTTTCTCCGCGATCCGATTGTGCTCGTTCAAAATTGCACGGTACATCATTCCAAGAACTTGATCCTCCGTCTTGTTACACATTTCACACGCGGACACGTCCACCTTCCCTCGATTGTACATTCTAATTTGATGCAACTGCTCGTCGGTTACCCCGTAGATATGGGAACCATCCAAATAAGCGGATGCACCGTTCATCTGTTCCCTGGTGTCAAAGTTACACTTGTACACGGTCAAAGTTGGCACCGATCGCCAATACTCGCTGCATCCGCCATCCTCGTCACGGATCTCGTAACATTCCGGATGCCTGCTGTTTCCCGCGGAACAGCATAAGTTTCGTTGGTTCGATGGGTGCACCGTCGATGCGATGTCCTGCAGCACCAGTTCCGACCAGACGCCCGATAAACTGGTCAAACCCTCGTGAGTCTCCGGCGAAAGACGAAGGTGGTTGATCATCGTCGACACTGCTTTCGTAGGCGTCGGAAGCACGTGGTTGCTTAACGACTGACGGGGACTCGCGATACCTGGTGGAAATTAAAGCCGTCTTTAGCTTTCGTAATTTTGCTTTGGAAAAGAAGGAATCTGCAAAGATGATTCTTCAAATGCTAGAAAATATAAATGTCCACTAAATAAAAAGTACCTATATTTGTTGCGATTTTTTATTTACTTATCTAATGTTGCATAGAATGACTCATAGTATTTAATGCCGATTATCCGGAGGAAGAAGGAAGGAAGGGAGGGAGGGGGAGCAGATCCTCGAAATGTACAATACGTGTCGAAATTCTGTGTCATGGTTACGCATGGCTATCCGTATTCGACGATTGCCGCCGCGTTAAAGTAGGCTGACAATGAATTGCACACCGATTCCTTTCTACACGGTAATCGTCATCTTTCGATTCGACGATCCTCCGCATTGGCGAGCCACGCTGATTTACGACGACGACGACGACGACGACGACGCACGCGACGATTCCCTCGATTCCTGCAAATATCTTAGTCTAACGCGAACTGTTCTAAAACTATTTTAACAAGTTCCGTCCTTGCCCCTAATTAAGTTGATTCATGTGCATTTCATGTGGAGACAAGCATGGGAACACTCGCCATTTAAATATTCCCGTAAACGTGTACGAGACTTCTGCTTATTCATAAATCCTTCTTACTGCGGTTGCCACGATACAGCGCACCTTTTACCCTTTAGAATGATATCTCTGCAAAACACGTTGTGCAAACCTTCGTGTAGGCCGTTTAATTAGGACTGTCAATTCTACGTCTGTTTCTTAAATTATTTCATCTTCTTGTCTGTCATTCGTATAGTACAGACGTTCTTCCGAGCCACAGAAATAAAATCTTCTAAAATCGATACAAAGCTAACAAGTTTTATTTTAAATCCACTTCGAATACTTTCCAATACATCTAAAAAAAAAAAAAAAAGGGGCGAATTATCGAGCATCTATTTGTAGTACCCTAATTCATCGTCGGTATTGTCGGAAGACACGATCCACATGGGAACCACTGGCCGGAACACCCGAGTTACTTTCTTCGCGCTTTTCACTTTCGTATCTTTGTTTGGATTCTTTTTTTCTATTTTTTCCGTCCAACGTCCAACAACACAGGCGCCAGCTGTCGTTCTTCTTCGAATAGAACCTCCGACAAAATTATGCAGTTTCTACTTTTAATTGACGCATTAGAAATTTCGCTCAATTACGTAACAAATATACTTCCTAGATGAATAATTATCAGAATATCGCGTTACCTAAAAACCATACACTTTCATTTCTGTCATTAATGTTTCATGAAATATTGATTTATAGAAATTAAAGTAAAGGTACGTTTGATGTAATATTGAAATGAAAAAATAAATATTGTAGAAATTTCCTTGTTAAGGGTACAGCCGGACAAGACGGTCATAAATTTATCAAGTAAGCGCGTTATACAATGTTCAAAGATGATTTTATCGAATATCATTGCTTCTTCTTAAGAAATTTTCTTTCCAAGAATGACGTTCTGCTTTAGAAACGAACGTATAACTAAGAGGCTGTAGGTAGTTGCTTACTATTCGCTCGAGCGATGAAGCAATCAATGACTCTCTATTTCGTTGGCTCGACGCTCCTCTAGCATGCTAATTCGCCTTTTCTAATCCTTGCGAGTATGCCAACACTCTTCAAAATGGATCTGAGCTCGTGCGTCTAGCTCGTCCCAATTTTCACTTTCCTTTCTCGATACGGGAAGTGACGCGATCGGTGAATGTCTGTCATCGATAATCTTCCCAACTCTTTCACAGCGTTCACAGTTTCACAGTCTATAGATCGCGTAACATTAATATCGTGAAAATTTCGATCTTGGGGATTCCCCTATATTCAATTTTCCTTGTAGAAGCTTGATTTCATCGCGAATGTACAGATAAGATCACAGTGCATCTTCTAATTTGCTTATGCACAACCTTCATTTTCCCTCTCGATTTTAATTTATATCATGCATGTAACCTTCGTAGTACTTGGAGAAAAAAGAATAGCAAATGAAATAGTAATACCGGAAGCAGACTCTATGAGATAGAGCCTTTGAACACCAGCTACATTATAGATTTGCAATAAGTTAATAGAAAGCGATCGTTGACAAACAAATAAATACCGTCAGTGTATGCAGCTGGCAATAATTTCAAAAAGGGTGCACCCCGAGCTCCCCAAACAGGATGTCTGACATTGTTGCAAGTACCGGAAGGCGTTCGATACTTGCTTGGCGGGCATGGTCTATCCGGTTTGATCCTACATGGAGCGTCACCCGATGCTGGCCCATTTTCGTATCTGAAAAATCAATAAAATTCCTCTTAGCTTATTCTTCTGAAAAAGAGAATAATCTCCTCTAGTAAGTGTACAACTTACTTCCTTAAAGAAATGACGAGAAAAATTGATGCAAAAACGGGAATAAAAATGTTTTTCCTGAACGGTTGTTCATGATACATACATCGCTAACGAGGAAGTATAATTCACGCGTGAGTCATGCGAGCCTTGTAAAATCTCCAACAATAAGAAGTTGTCTATGGTGCGTGTGCATGTCTATAAATCAAATTGCTTTCGCACAGTAAAGTATTGCTTGTTATGTACGTACAAATTACTTTGCCGGAACAATATCTGACATTGTATCGGACACTGGAAGCTGTATCAATTAGAATTAGAGGGATCCCAGGGAACAAAGAATAATCGAGCAGAACGTCTCTCGATTTATAATATTTTTCTTCTCGAAAATTCGTGAAAAGTGTTAATTGAAAATTCGATTCATTTGAACGATGCAATAATCGTGGACGGATTAATTGGACCGCCTCGGTCGGTTCCTCCTGGAAATGAGTATAGAAACGGAAATGAATGGAGTAAAAAGTGACCCTGCCCGTTTTAATTAAAACAACCGAACAAGCGACGGCTTTCTATCGGGCGCAAAAAGAGAAGGCATTCAGGAGCAAGAAATCGCTGATGAGTCGGACGGAATGCCTGATCGAGCAGCAACAGGAAGGAAGCCGATCTTGGTGAACGTTTCACGACGGTGATAGTATCAGTTCTAGACTGTGTTTCTTTCTTCCTTTAAAAGAAACATTACCTTTCTTTCGTTCTTTCAACGAATCTTCTGCTAATCGATGGCCAAACAGATTTTTATTCTGTACCAGCTTCAGAAATGCAAATTAACTCTTTATTACTCGCTTTTTATCACATATCCGAGAAAAAACGACTCTTTTTCTACTTGAAAAATGATCTAGTTAGAACGAGTTAATAGAATTCGTGCCAAGGCTAATTGATATACAGATCGCATCGACTTCTTTTCAAGATTTACTTACTCTCTACGTTTCTACGTGGTGGTGTCCGAGAAGAATCGCTAAGACGCGAGTTGCGGCCAGCGACCTTCTTGAGGTCGAGGAAAGGAGATAGTAGCGGTCGGATGGTAATGGTCGGACGAGAAACCTTCCTCGTGGCTGAAATGCCTGTCGCCACGGAAGGACGCGGCGCAATCGACTCTCCTTTTCTCGACCATGAAAGTAAAAGTTTTGTAACGATGTGGTGAGAAAAAGAAAGAAAATGGAGCAAGAAGGATGGTTTCTGACTGGTGGCGAGCATGCGAATCTCGTGACGTCCCTCCTGCAGCAAGAAATTTCAGTACGTTCAATGGCTATTTTCGCTTCGTAACGTTCTCCTTTTACTTTGTACACTTACCTGCACTTTGCACCATTTCCTGATACTCTCTCACCACCATATCGCATCATCGACAATTTTAAAATAACAAAGATTCCTACTTTTTCAAAGGTTTGTCTATAATTTAACAAACATTTAATGTTTTAATTGTAAATAGATCTACCGAACAAGTATTTCCGACTTTGACTACGCTAAATATTATAGGACTATTTGATGATTCAAATTCATCTCTACTCCAAATAAATTCTTAAAAATTCTACGGTACCACTATGTTAATGAAGAATTGTTATAAGGTGTTAAGCAGTGGCTCGTTAAAGGGAAACGCACGTGGCTGTGTTGGCCTTCTTTGAAAGCTGAACGTTGCTTAATCGGTAGCGTTAATTTGCCATTTCTTTTAGACGATGAATAAGATTTTCGTAACAGAAGCACGAGATAACTTACTGTAATCATCATGATTCGCTTTCTGCACCGACGAGTTTGCCCACTGATTGTTCAAAGATATTATGTAAAAATGAATTGTATGGGGTATTGTAAGGAGGCTAACAAAGTCACATGCTCCAGAATGTTCTTAACTGATAGCTGGTCAGATTAGCTGTGCATCACTCTTAAATGTTTCAAGACTCACCTAGCTCTCGTTTGGTACGTGAATCTTTCGGCTTCGATTCCTGCACGCGCTCTTGCTTGCAAATCTATATCCACCCCGTACAAATAATCTGCGCATAAAACATCGTTTCGTAATTAACAATACAAAGGTTAAATAAATCCCAAAATAATTCTGAATGTATTAAAAAAACAGCAATAAAAGATGCAAATGTGAGTTTTTGCAAAGGTCACAATCGATCTTAACCAACGTGTGAACTCGTATAACGTTTTCAGTGTAAGTTTATGAATATTATGTAACCGTTTTATGTAAAGTTTAGTTATATTATTTAAAATTTAAAAAAAAAAGAAATAATAATTGGTTACTGAAATTTCCTAAACTGAATGGATATTATTTGCTCACCTGAAATGTCAAACTGATCAAGTGTCGTCGTAGTGGTAATTGCTAATGTCATAAGAACTATGGTGGATAGCAGTGCTAAGCTGCACCTGAAACATAAAATTGATTGCAGTTTGAAAATAATATATTTGTATCTAGTAAAAGTAAAGTAAAAAACTAGTCGGGAACTTCACTATAGTACTCTATGGTATAGTGAGGATTGTGAAATAAAGTTTCATTCACTATGTACAAGCAGCTTCATTAAGAAACCGACGTTCTAGCGAAGACAGTTATTATTATACTAAATTTAGTAGGTCGTTCAAGGACGTTTAGAGACAGTGTTTCTTGTTTTTTTTGTACCCATTAAAGTGGACACTCTCCATTTTAAATCTGCCGAGAAAGTTATTGCTCGTAGCGAAATTATAAAAGAAACCATCGTTTGTGTATAACTGTATTTATGGTTGGAGAAATGGCCTTGAGATGCTGAATCATTTTCAATATAATAATACCATACAGATCACGAGTGGTGATTCCGCAGAGTCATCCAGTAAATACCGTGGGCTCTGGTGTTAATATATTCCTAATGGGAAACGAGAAATTTCTTTTTCATAGAAAACTAGCTACAGTGTATTAAGAATATCGATTGGACACTTATGCAGTTATACATAGTTGACATTTATTGTTGGTAACAGGTTTACTGGGATGAGCAAGGATTCCTCAGCTTCCAAATGTATCTTGAAAATCGGCAACTATGCGATTTCATGAATGTCTCCGTTTAACTACACATACTTTCTCTGCGAGAGTAACAAAGATCGAATGGTACAGAGAGAGAGAGAGAGAGAGAGAAAGAAAGGCCATGAAAGATCAAGAGCAGCGAACGGATTCTCTCGATCATCGAGTCCAAGAATTTTTCCTTCCTTCGAATAGATCTTTCGTTGCGAAATATTCCAGAGTGTATTGGATAAATCTCACCGGGTGATATTGATAAATTAACTGTATGCAAAAAAGAAAATTCAAAGAAGAAAAGTTTAAATATTGAATAACAATATGTATGGTAGCAATAAGTAAAGGTGTACAAAGAATGGAGCAGATAAAAAGAAAAGGGAATAATGAAAGATCTGGCACGATTATGGATCGAAAGGTCAACGATTACTTCGTAATCGATGTTTTCCTCTTCGAGATCCTCCTCGTTCCTCTCAACTTACGATCACCTACACACCCGGTTCACTTTCGAAAAAATTCCACTTTAGTCAGTCGTTCTCAACCACCGGTATCCGAATGATAAGAATACTTCAACTAATTAGATTATATTGTACATATAATAGAGTAATTATAATTTTGAAACGCGATCTACATACATATAACGAACCACACATACGATTGATGCCAAGCGATCCTAATTCTACGTGGATCGGGATCCAAGTTTCCCGGACTTTTGGTCCCCCTTCGATCGTAATTTTTAGTGGTTTTCACACCGGAATAAAGGCTCGATTTTCATGGAACACGAAAGCGGACAGAATTAAAGTATCGACCGTTATCGAGTGGCAACATGAAATTCCTTTCACGGCTTTCGAAAGCGTAAGAAAGTCGCTGGAAAGAAAGAGAACCTGTTTAATAAAGACTCGTTATTTTTCCTTCGAACCACCATGCCATGCCATGCCATGCCATGCCGTTTGTTTGTATGGAAATGTTCAAGTGCGTGGGAAAACTCACGCACCAAGATGCCACTGAATATGGATGATTATATTAACACCGTGTTCCGGATTCAATTTACGCTTTCAACGGATATAATCGGTCTTTTTCTTCGTATCTAATACTGCGAATTAAGGACAATAGACGTTTCTAACATGTATTTGTCACTTTAATGACGTTTGCATTAGCAAGTAAGTTTAATGCTGTGACTGGAAATTATGTCAGATATGATACACGATAATAGGTATGCTTCGTTAACACGTTAGAATGATAATTATTGATACGGGCCTGGGGATGATCAGCAATTCAACAACCTGTAAAATCTTTATCGGAGCTACTTCAGAGCTATTCAAAGTCAAGTTTGTTACATTTTTTCTAGTTTCTTCACCTTCGCCACATTCAATGACCACTCGCTCGTTTGCTCAGCGATGCGTAAAACGCTCGTTGCCGTTCGAATGATCGACCGATTCAATGTCAGAGAACGCAAGCGAAGGATAATCTATTTCCTCGTTTTTACCTTTCTCGGTATAATTTTCACGATTCACTATCTCCCACGTAACATTTCTGATTAGGAAAAACTGTTTTTATTCGTGTTTCATGCTTCTCTCGACTAACTTATGAGACTTTCTCGTTCTTACGCAAAGAAAATTGTAATTATAATTACTCGTTTCCCTTTGCACCAATTATTCACTTTTTAATTAACGAGGATTTGATTATTATATTATTCAGATCTTCGTCGTAAGTTGGGATAGGTTCGATGTTAGTGAATGTCAATGATAATTGAAGGTAAATCTCTCGTAATAGGTAAGTGAAAAATTGAAAATTAAATGATAAAGAGCTGGCTTCGAGCGGACGGACAGACAGACACCAAGTTATTTTTTTGCCTCCAAGTCGTACACAAACACCAGTGATTCAGTGTCAGTGGGTCAACGGAAACTGGAGAAATCTTTCTTCGTGGCTACGCACGTGCCTCTCCATCAGGCTGACAGCCAAAAAATTAATGTCATAGAAGATAAGTTTGTCCATCGGTAACCTGCTTGCTACCCGTTTCTAAGTCTATTAGATCTTGTTCTTTTCTCTTTTGTCTTTTCCTTTTTATGTATCGAGTAGACAAAAGTATCTCTCTCCAGAGTGAGTATATTTTGAGAACTGTGAGGGCATTTTAATTAACGCTTTTTATAGCTTCTAAATAACATTGCCAATTCACGGTTCAATAAAAGAGGGAAAGATGAAATATTTATGAGACGGGGAACGTTTCTCTGTACACTTTCGACCAGCTTCTCGATCAAATTTCTCATTCACATTTCTTCGGTGAGAAACGAAAATGAAATCCGGCTCAAGATGTTTTATTAGATCGACTGAAAGTTTATCCATTAAGCTTTATGAATTAAATTATTCGTCTCGCTATTCATCCTTGGCTCCAGATTAGATAAAGTTAATTTTTAAGTTAGATTCCCGGTGATTCTCGTTGCGCTAAAGTGTACCTTTTTAAATGACCCACGTAAAGGCAACCGTTGCTACATACATATATGTATGTATAATGACGGTCGAAGAGCTCTTTAATGCCGCTGATAGATTTGCACAATAGTCTCGCGACCTTGTTCCTTCTTTCTCTAGGGATTTTACGGGAAAAGAGCGAGCTGGTGAACGAACACGATGCCGAGGAAGTGTCCACGGGTGAAAGTGCTTCTGGGACACTGGTCGAGAGTCTTGCCCATGAGAAAAGCGGCTTCGTGCCGTTCAACACGGACACCACCACTTTTCTATACTGTGATCGAAGGTCGCCGTGATTACGATACTCTACTACTTACTAAACACGTGCACTTGCCAAAATTCTACCTACTGGTACAAAAAAATGGTACTTATTCGTTTTACCGTAAACAAGTTACGTAGGAACAGGGTGAACAATAATTTCATTGATGAATCTTCTTTTATCCACCTTATACTTTTTTTCAATTATATCTTCTGATAAATTCATCTCTTTGATATTTGATTTCTATACGATCACGTGGACTGTTATGTAAACATGGAATTTAATTGGAAGACACTCTACACCGAAATAGTGAAAAGGGAATTTTAACTATTAGAATTTTTAGAAGAAAGATAAAGATTGCCGGTAAGTCGTTCTCCTTGACTTCCTCATCTATGACACCGTTATCCTCGTTTTTGCACGCTTCTTACCGTAATCATGCAGAGGTAGAAGCGTGACAATAATTTACGTAACTTTTTTGCCAGTTTCTTCTCGTAATCCAGAGACAAAAGTCGTTGCTCCTTTAAACGTTTCTTTCTCGAATAATAGAAATTCTAATGTAGCAAGATTTCGATCAATTTCGAATCTTTCACGGTACTTATAACAGGACATCCGGATTTCATCAGGATAATCTATAAAAGATATCAGGATCGAATCTCTCCGAGGTACTTAGAGACGATGGGATGGTGAAAGCAGGAATTAAGTGTATTAACCTTGTCACAATTTTCCGTGCTCGCGCGTCGTTCAATGTCTGATTTCATTTTCTTTTTATTTTCCTAGTAATTCCACCATCACCGAGAGTATCCAGGTACATCAACATAAAAGAGAGTGAACACTTCATGGGCCGCAGTTTCGAGAGAGAAAGTAACACGTTCCACTCTCGTTTCTCGAGAAGTACCTACATACATACATACATACTGTTATTTATATTTATCCGAAGAGATATTACCTTTTTTTCTACGGTCAATGAATTTTTATCGAAATCCAGATAAGAGAAGCTTTGCAAGAATATACGGGATGACCTAGTTTCTTTCAGGGCTAAACTTTGTCTGCGCACCTGTTCTATGAGTTGCTTTTCGAAATGGAGACATTTCAAAAATTTTAAGGTCACTTTGAATGACTGAAACTGGTCATTCTACTAATGTCGAACTGGTTGCATTTCGTGCAGTCGTGTTACGGTTACCGTCCTACATAATGAATGCTACGACGATTAGTAACCTAATAATGCACGTGTTCGTTCTACCGTGAATTCAGCACAGTTGTAAATACAGGCATCCTTAGACGAGGGCAACGTCCTTCGAGTGTCTCTCTGTTCGATCGTCGTGTCCTTAGTTTCACTGGTGGTCGTGACAGGAAATTTTCAAACCACTCGACGACAAAGTGGAGAAAAAATGACTGGCTTGCCAAACGGGGATCTCTGCGGTTCGACGAACGACACAACGGCCACGGTTAAATGGCACGCTTGCACAAAGTAACTTTTTCTGATGAACGCGGTTAAATCGTTTCATTGCATTCGCGGTACCAGTAGCGCGCCCAATCAATTTTCCACGTTCAACGAAATCGACAAGTCCTTAACCGTTTTGCAATATGGGACTTGATTCTGCGGATACCGGCAGAAAACAGCTGATCGAGCAGGTTCGAATTTATTATCTCTATCTATCTATCTATCTATCTATCTATCTATCTAAAAAAGAATTTACGGATATTCTATAGTTGAAATTCCATCGATTTGCTGAATAATCTCATCTTTTATTCAATTTCAGGTAACTTTCGCTTAAATATACCTTCAACACTTCCTGCTTTATAAATGCGTACCTACGATTAATTATTAATGAATAAGTGAAAACAACAGACTTACGAACGAATAAAAATACCGAAAATATTTTTCACCGAGCAGCATTAATGAATTTTGAATTTTTCTTTAAATCAACATTTATTTCTGACAATGAGAATAGTGGCATCTTAAGGGAGATTCAATGTTTTTCTGCAGACTGTGTAAATTTCACCGTGAACGTTCATGCATCATTTTTCTATCAATCTTTCCTATTATTATTACTTTCTATTTCTAACAAAAATGCTAACAGCCTAGTTGAGTGGAATATATTCTACTAATTTTCTAAGAATTCTGTGTTAATTGAAAGATGACAATTGAAATAAACTTCCTATCTAAATACATTTTGCATTATGTTTTCCTTGAAATAATAAACAGCTAATTGAAATTATGCCACTATGTTTCTCATGGCTGAGCGTGCTCGTTATTAAAATTTATTACTAGGAAAGTTCTGTGATTCGAGTGAATTCCCCTTATTTAATCAAGCAATCGCTACTGTTACGATTTGTTGAATACATTTGTACGCAAATGCGTGGCAATGAAAACATCGATGATCACAATTTATTCTTCCTCTACTACTGTAAACGTGGTAAATGTTGAAAGTTCGAATGACGAACAATGCAAATGCCAAAATGAACGTCCATGCATATTGAAATTAGTGTAAGTGTAAAAGGTCTATAAAACGCGGACCAAGTAGAGCATCCCAACGAAGTGTGCTGTACTACGCACGGCCGTATCTACTGCGGCGCGTGGCGGTCAACTGAACCATTTCCAGTAGTTATAAAGTCGTTAGGGTCTGACTAATAGTAGTTCGTATCACTTGACGGCGCAGCTTCGAAACAAGTGCCTCTAGTTTCGGAGCAATCTCATTCCCAATTTGTTTCAAACGATTAATAACAATTCACTCTGATGAATACAAAGAAAGCATTACGTGGCAATTACGGTGATCGATGGATGATAATCACCAGGAAAATCCATTTACGATTCATTTTTTTTTTCTTCTCATTTACGTTCAACAGAAAGCAAGAGAATAACTCATTTATAGATATTACGTGTGCAATTCTATTCTCTCCACTGCAACTGAATGGTAATGGAAAATAATTACTTTCTTACGACTTTCCGTGACTTTTGTATCTGATCGCTTAATTTTTTTAACCCACGCCAAAGTTCTTCTATACAGTTAGCTGTAGTTTGACAGATAAAACCAGTTCCATTATGCGGGTCTATCGGCCAGCTGTTTTCTTCTATCGAAACAAAGTCGACGCAACACAATAGGCGTTTATCGGTACACTTGGGTGCAGTGTAGGCATCTCTTGACTATAAGAGTAGGTGCAAGGTGTTGTTGGTTTTGAAGAGAACCTAGAGAAAGCCTCGGAAAGGAAGCTGACTTCGTCTAGGAGGAAAATTCCTATCCTTCCACGTTCCAAGAACAGAAGATAAATAAGGGAATAACGTTATCCAAGATCTGTCAGGGAAAGGGTTGAGCCGATTCGTGGCTCGAAAATTCGTGGCTCGAAAAACGAATACGTTAACTTTCACTTTTGAACGGTCACTTCCTGTCCGGCCGGTGGATTACATCCAATTCTTATTCGTCGCACGCACGAGCGGCCACTGACAAAAATATCTCGATTACACGCGGCTTACAATGATGAAACCGGAGAATTTCTGTATCCTAACACGTTAACTAGCTGCACAATAGCAGCCTTTTTTCGATGAAAAAAAAAGAAAGAGGAGAAGGTAAGTTGAAAGTTAAAATTTAAACAATTAACCAATTGTTAAAGCCAATTTCCTCGAATAGATTCATACCTGAGCGAGTGGAGCCTCATCGTTCCCTGATCCGTCAATCGAGCAGCACTTGGCGGAGAGAATAGATCTCTAAAGAGTCGGCTGTTTGATCGCGAAAACGATCATGGAACGTTTACAGGATCGAAGAAAGAAAATGAAAATGAAAAAGAAAAAGAAAATAAAAAACACTTCCCTGTTGAACGATGCACTTAGCGTTTAATTAGCAGCCGTGACAATGTAGACGACATCGAACCACGCGGCGACGGTCCGGCGGATACTGAGCTCTCGGGGACTCGGGGTCCGCGATAGCCTCTTCACACGAACGAGTGAAAGCGAGAGGTGCCACGAGAGGCACCGGCGAAGACCGTCGACGAGTCACGAGTGCCAGCAGGAAAAAGAGAGACCGACGTGGTTGTCTACGACAGAGAAGATAAGACTCTTCAGTCACGTGAAAACGAGGACGCTCTTACGAGACTACCGATTGTCGAACAGAGAGCAACGATGAAGGATAAACGAAATTCTGCAACAGAGAAGAGACGACGCGACGGGTCCTTTGGTGTTACGTACATTCAACGAGGAGGAGTGATTGAAGCGAGAAAGAGAAAGCACGATGCTCCGCAATTACTCTTTCAGAGGGAAAGGACGATCCTAAGAAGGAGCAGGAGGATGCACTTCTCTTCTCTTCTCTTCTCTTCTCTATGTTATGTGCAACTGCATCCTAGAGAAGAGAAAGAGATGATGCTACTAGTCACGTGAAAAACGAGAGGTTCTTATAAGAGATACTTGGATGAGGCAGAGACGGAAAGTGAACTGGAAGGAGGAGACGAGTCGAGGAACCCGTGGATCGTGTCACGTGCGAAGAAAACCCGAGTGGAACAAGTTGCAACCGCGGAGAATGGAACGACAGCGAAAGCACCACGCGGAAGGAACCTAATGATACCAGCACGGTTCACCCGTTTTTCAACACAGATTACTCCCCTCTCTTCTTCTTCTTCTTCTTCTTCTTCTTCTTCTTCTCATGTAATTTCAGTTTGATCTTCAAGACAGATTTAATATGGATTTAATACGATACGAGGGCTCCTTCCGCCATTTGCTTCCAACAACTCGACCGCAGAGTTGTTTGAACAATATGTACTCCGGTATACCGGAGGGCGATGCACCTATGCCTCTCTCTTCTCTGTCCATTGTTTCTTCAATTTTTTATTCCTATCCTCCTAAAGGAGAGGAGGAAGAAGAGGGTTGCGTGGAAGTAAAAAGGGATGAGAAAAATTCTTAGAAGCAGGGAACAAAGAATCGCGCCGATCAGAATAGAATGTCGTAATTGTCATGTGATCGTCGAAAGGATCGTCCAACGATATCTTACACCATACCGTTCACCGTCAATTTCGTTCGGCTACAATTGTTTCAACCTTTCGTTAATCGAAAGAGGTCGTCGAAAGATATTAAGTGGAACGCGAAGAGATCCCTCCTCGTGACGCCCAATTCTGATTATTTCGGTGGTGATGCCACGTCGTGACCTTGACCTCTGAATATAAATCGACATTCTGCTTGCAATTCTACTTTCATCCGTGGAGAAACTTCGATTTCGTTAGCGAATCGGAAATCGTTTGGACAGTCGATATTTCATTACTTTACAGCTAATGATTGGCTAATTTACGTCATAGCTGTTGTAACGTTACAGCTTTATCAGTAACACGTTTCCATAGATGGTTAATCAGGCATTTTCTAAGGTGAAACCTGATAGATTCTAAAACAAAACTGACTGTCAGCTCTAGTATTTAAAGCTTCGAACACCATATTTCCTTCTTACTTTTACTTCCGCCTTCGATATATCTACTCTATTTTCAGAAATGCTACTTTGTGAATTTTATTACGTAAACGCCTCTAATGATCCGAGGGAAATGATCGGAAAGTGCGAGCACATGATTCCAAATGTAGTTTAAATGAAAGAAAAAGAAATCGAGAAAAATTGTCCTAGATAAATGGTTCGTCTAACATAAGAAGCTGAAGAGCTTCCGAATTCATCGACCGCTCACGATCGTCCAGGCTGATCTTGAAAATGGCTCGCTGCTATTTTTCCTCATTCCATCGGTATCGGGAAAATTATTGACCATGGTTCTTATGAAAAATCGAGGACGAGAATGGTCGAAAGTTTCACTTGCAAGAGCTTCTTGTAAGGAGGACAAGAACGAAGAGGGAAGCAAGGGGATCAGAGTCACGGGACACAGTGAAAGTGTTGTTGAAAGAGAAACAAGAAAGGCCCCAGATGTTTCCTGTCTCTTTTTCATCACATGATTAATAACAGCTAAGGATGTGATGCGTTAGATGCAATATTCAAAATATATACATTCTTGTTAAAATACTCACCAGAGAAGAAAATTACATTTAGTCCTGATTAAATGACACGAGTTCTGATTAATGAGATGCTTAAATATTTTTCTATATCGTACTTACTGTTTATAAATAGCTCCCAGTAATGAAAAGTTACCATTTGATTTACGTATTTGTGTAAAACACTCGGCGCACACTTCATCAATCGTTTCCGCATTCTAATAATGTATCGAGAAGTAAAATCGTGTCAAACATTACGTCACATCCTGGAAAAAAATGAGAATGAAAGCTTGCGTCTATTTTCGAAACTTTTCTGAATTGTTTTATTAAATTTAATTTAAAAATTTAAACGTTACTTACACGAATGTTTTAATAAATGAAGAGTGAAAAAAAAAACATAAAAACAAGAACGTTCACTTCCTAATTTAATTTGAATTTTATAGTCATCTGAAATTTCTCCTTCTGCATTAATTTGCATCACCTTTAAGTTCGAATACTGATCAACGCTTATAAATTATTGCAACGATATAACCATAATATTCCAGAAAACTACCAGCTTTCTATTTCTTCAGATGAATATCCCTTAAGCCTTCCCTTAACATTTTCTAATCTGAGGCTTTATTTTTCTGATATAAATAATTAAGAATCAGCTGTTCAACTTCTTGAACGCCATTTTTAAACCTTGAAGGGAATAACTGATCCAGTGACTCCAGATCGCAGCAAATTAACATGTAATTACCATACTGTAATAAATGTACGTAATGTGAAATTTGGTAAGAAATTAAAAATTAAGAATTATTTTATATTTCGATGCTGCTTAACAACATGTCGTCCCAAAATTTCTCTGGCCGAATCGTTTAATTTGCAAACCTAACAGCAGCAATGACTCCGATCTGACTGGCAGCTGTAAAGGGAAAAGGAGCAAGAGAAGTGAGACAGAAATTTCATCGGTGTTCCAGTGAAATTCGAAAGGTCGTTTTTTCGAGATTTCTTGCACTCCGAGCACAATAGGAAGATGTGTTGCGTGGCCTCCATGTTACAAATTTTTATTCGAAATATACATTTTGTTATACCTCGATCGAAGCGTATTTTTATTCTCTGTAAAAAAGTATTATAGTACCTTGGTGAAAAATTGATCAGTTGAAAAGATATCTTAGGTAAGACTAGGAATTTAAAAATTTCATAAAATTCGGTATCATATGCATCCCATTTAGCGGCAAACTACCGTTCAAGAACATTTCTCTAATTTTCTTCTTCCAGATCTATCCCCACCAGGCATATTACGAGAAGTAGTTACCATAAGTCGATTTTTATGTCAGTGTGTCATACGGGTTCGTATCAACAGCGAGAGTAAGAGCGAACATTACTCAATAAGCAATTCCGATGTGTGACAAGCATACAGGAGGACTCTTTTCGTCACGTCATGTCGCACCGTGTGTCACGTCGTGTCATTTACGGTCACGTGTTTAGGTTTAGGGATGAATTGGTACAAGTGAAAAACTAGTACCAGCCGTGTAAAAAGACTAGTATCGTGATATTACGTTGACCCATCGAACATTCAGAGACACGATTGTATAAATAAAATATCCTTGAACGCGTCGTCTACGAATCGCTCGTCGATGAATGATTCGTGTCTAACGTGCGATCGAAATCTGTTCAAGGTTTTAATTCATCATTGATTAATTCCCGTAACATTCGTAAACGGAAGCGAGCTGCACATTTTAAGAATTCTTTCGACCAGTCGGTCTGTCAAACGGAACTGCTGCGTCTTTAAAAATAAACTTGACTCACTATGGGCCTGCGATTTCAGTCGTTTTTGTCGAACAAGGATTATCGAGAAAAAGAACCTCTATATTCCTGTATTTAATGGATTTCTAAGAATATTTCGATTTAAATTTGTTAGTGCATAACTATTAGGTGTTTCTTTATTTTAAAAAAATTCTAGTAATTTCAATTATTGAAATAATTGTTATCGTTATCATATTTTTTCAAGTTCATGGGAGCACGGGAAAATATTGAAATTTAAAATAGCGATTAAAAAGAGTATCTTAAAGTATTACCAGATTGAGATCGAAGGCACTCTGTATCTGTGCACTTGCCGGTCTGTAGAGATTTGGTCATTCAACGCGGTTAAATATCGTAGGTAATATGGGCTAAAAACATAACAACTTTCTCTCGCTTGCGTTACATCTCGTTACGCCAGGATGACTATTCTGAAATGCAGCAGTAAATAAAAGGAGCGTCGATTGATTTTCCACGTCAAATTAATTAAGCGTTCTTTCTTATAGACGACACCGTACATCAATTTCTATCGTTTTCATAGGCATGACGATTATATTAGGCATGCATAACGTGTACCTACGTGGGTGTAAACATTCTTTCACATACATAGTAGGACGTTCGCTAACATTACGTTCATAGATTATCAAGACACTTGCAAGTCTGATTGTCGCGCAGAAAATTCGAATCCACAGAAAATCTGAAAAGATACGACAATGATGTTAGAATATTTCTTTTCATTTGTAAGCTAGCAAATAAAAAAGAAAATGACGTATTTCAAAATTCCCATTTTGTTTCCCATTATAGATAGATCCAATATTTTTTGCTGCTAATGTACGTCATCGAGAATCGGTCATTAATATTGAAAAACTGATGCATAAGCTACGAAATTAGCATCAAGCTATCAAGCTGCAATAAATCGGATATCCTGAAATCATTGCGATTAGAAAACTATCGAACAAATTTACCTAATATATCGGCTGACACGATCTCAGAGACGGTCGATATACTTAATATTCTTGGTGACAGAATGCAAAGCGCAAACAAACACATAGGAGGAAAATGTTTAGTCCAGTCGGAGCTATCGTCGAGCACATCTGCTTGAAATGGAAAGGGGCCAATAACTTCTCGAAGGAATTCTATCACACGGGCTTGTGTCGCGCAAGGACGCAGTTTATTTTCAATCTCGTAAGGATCTCTGGACCTCTCGTTTCAGTCGATCACATGTCTCCGCTCTCGTGGTAGGAAAGGGCAAACTCATTTTTTCACATTTTTTTCTCTTCGATTCGTTAATGGATTCGTTTACTATTTTTTTTCTGTTTTTTTTTTTTTTTTTATGTAGATCATCATTGGAACTCGTTAAATATTTCTAGCCTTGAGATTGTCCTTAATTAAACATCGAAATTTCTCTGTTCCCAGGAAACGGAGATTTATAATCCGAACGTTGCATAATAATACATTTAATGTATTATACTAATGTTGCAATTTGGCTTTAATTTTACGAAGAACCTCCAAATGTAAATATCAGACATTAATGATAGGTATTTTGAATAACAAATTTATCATAATTCGTTGCGAAAGATACATACATTGCCATTTAGGAAATTTCAAATGAATATCACACGTGCAGGATAGTTTTCTTTGCAAGTCCATCTTGAACCGTGCGTTCCTGAAACAAAGTTTAAAGGGTTTGAAAAAGAAAACAGAAGCAAGATGGCGGAGGTGAAACGATCCAGGAACCAAGCGTAAGACAAACGAACCGTGCACTGACCCGCTTTCCGCCGCAGACATCCTTGTTTGTTTCATAATATCCATACCGAACGACGCGACGGTTAGGGGCCGACGTTGTAACCCAGCAGAGATGCATCTTCGTTGCATTAGTCAACGTGTGTTCCTCTAGCTCCAACATCACCGACACAACGGACCCAAGACACGTGGTTTGTTGCACAATCCGGCGCGGCGCGGCAACTCTAGCAGAAAAGAAGTGACGCATTCCTTCCATTCCGTACGATTGGTCCTTAATGATCGCAGACGTGTTGCACCCTCTGCGCTCTCCTAAAATGAACACAATTTCCTTATGTACAGCTTTCCATTTTATCTACAAACATCTAACGTGGCTAACGTCGATTTTAACGAACCAGGTCATTCAATCCCTAAATACACTTTCTCGAGGCACGTCTTCCTTTTCATCGTTAGATCCTGATCAAAACGTACAGGTGCTTTCACCGATAATTACATTGAACCCTCAATCATCTTACAAAAGATACGTGTGTAACGCGAAGACTGACTGATGACTAATGAAATGAAATTAATCTTACCAAGAGAGGATTACTAAGTTTCTCGAACATGATTAGGCAGAAACCGTACAGTCTAATCAGTCTAATGAGAATACGCGAACTGTAAGATATTCATCAATTGTTTGCCTACGAATTTACGATAGTTGTAAATCAATGAATAAACATCTATTCAAGGCTACTACCTTCTTGCGATAGTTCAAGGAACTAAATATTAGCAATAATTTCTTGCTACTCTTTTTATGCAACCTTAGTAAATATTATGGCATAGATTGAGAAACGTCTGCAACTTTGAAACCGCGTTGAGTTCAATTAGGAATCGTTAACGCCTCTGTCACTTTATCTTATGCCATGTCATTTTGTCATCAAGATAAATATTTAGATTAGAAATTTTTTCAACCAATTTCCAACCCTCTATATTATTATTATTATTAATAATAAATAAACAATTTTTTATCGCATCGATGCAAATGAGTGAAAATGACCGATGTGTATGTATTACGTATGTATGCAGAGGGTGACCCCGAAGAAGCGACGACGTCCTTGATGATACTCGAAACCCAGGAGGGTTAAATGTGCATAGTGTTATTATATGGTAAACTATTGACGCAATTGAAGTTTTGCAATCGTTCGAGGGATTGCAGAAACGCATTCTGGAAAAGACGGTAATAACTGACGAGCGATTGGCCGCAAGGACACCGAACTTCTTAACTCGGGCCTTTGTGTTTTACCCGGGTAAATACTGTGACAAGGCCGCTACTAAGTTACGGGTTATTGCACCGGCGAAAAACCATCGGATTACATAAATGATAAAATCGATCGCACAGCCGATCGATTATACAGAACGATCCCTCTCGTGACACGATGACACCGATCGCGCAATCGCTTTTGCGAAACAGATCCACTGAAACAGAAACGGCTAAATCATTCTAATCGAATATGATTTTTAGATTCTGACAACATTTTACCCATAATAGAAAAGACACATACCTATGTATATGTATATTTCCTTTTGATTGAATGCAGTTCTCCAGAATGCAGTTGAATAATAGCATACCGTAAATCATTTAGATAAAGCAAATTCTCAACCATTATTTCCACGAATAATTGCCGCATTGATTATGATCAATTACTTGTTACATTGACGTTTGTTCGGTATCCATTACATATTGCTTTAATCAAATTTCACTGTAATTGTTGTAGTGGATTTTTGCCTTACAATTAGATCATTCTCTAAACAAATTACAAATTAGCCAGCTTGAGCCCCATCAACATTCTAAGGTTCTAGGGTTCTAAAATTCGAAAATTCGAAAATAAAGGAACACTTGTCACTCCCAAAATCCTATCGAGAAAGTAGAAAGAAAGAGTCGAATTTGAGATAACTTTCATGGGATTTGAGAGTGAATTTTTTTCAATATGTATAATTAAAAGTTTCACGACTCGATAAAAAGACAACTTTCGAAAAGAGATACGAATGTTGCTTATTAATATATGTTAATATCGTCGTCTCTGCTTTGGTAGGATGCAACGAAACGCTCCTAAGCCGTTTATCAACGTCGCTGCAGAGTATTTTACATTTTTTATTTTACCTTCTTTTTATTATTGGGTAAAATGTTACGATCCTGTAGGAGGAAAAATCTACGTATCATCGCTGTCATCGTGTTCCTTCTAACCTCCATATAAAATTAAGCCAAAAACAGGATACGGATACGCCGTAACACGGCAGTTCGTGTTGTCGAACCTAACTTTTGTCTTATTTTATTTTACATCGGACCACTAATGGAATTTATCCAAGACTCGGGTGGACGCCATGTGAAAAATGTAACCTTTCCTGGAGAAGAATGATCGGGTGTTTTTGTCTAAAGGTATAATAAATCTTGTGTCTGGATGAATTTATACTTTCAGGATGCATGTCCAATGAAAATTTCCAATATGCATGTCCTGTAGTCGAACTTTAATAAGGCACAAGTTTATGATGATGCTTTAATGAATTATGTAGGATATGGTTGAGGACTCGGTTGACTTCACCCCAGCCTGGGTCATGGCAAATCTGATCTGGGTTATATTAAATTATGACAAAACTTAATCTAATTGTAAGTTAGAATACAGTATAATAGAGACAAAGCTGTAAAAACTAGCACCTAATATAATACATACTTTCAACGAAACAACACTTACAGCTCGTTTACGTGATTCACCCTCTAGTCTCGACCAAGACGTATTCCGGTCGAATGCACTGCTATTTTTTTTTTTCTTTCCACAATAAATCGATTGGATAACTTAAGATCCTGGAAGGAGTATTTCACTCGAACCATGGTTTACGTAATTATTCCTTTTATCTAACTCACGCATGATTGATGCTGCGTGATTACATTCACACGGAGAGGAACTCTGTTCGTCCATGAACTTCAACAGGTGCAACCAGAGTTCTCCAGGCAAAGGCACTTTGTTCCTTCCTTAGTTGATCTAAAACAAAATTTCTGATAAGTATATATTCTATTGTCTATGATAAATTTATGATTCGATTCTTTTTTTTTTTTCAATATTTTAATAACTTCTGAACAAAGACACCCTCTGGTTGAATTATTTTTTAATCGGCAAACTATAATGGTTGCAACGTTACTTTCTCTTACAATGGCTGAACGTTTATATTTATAGAGAATTCGTGAGAGGCGTGTAAAGAAGCTCGCATGGCCAACGAACACACGTGTATTTGGCGTGTATCTGTGCCTGGAATGCAAGTCTGCAACGGATTTACCAATCGGCGCACGTATGCCTAGAAAATCCAATTTTTTTTTTTTTTTTCTTATGGTGGTCAGTTGCGCAAGAACACGTCCGACGTGGTAGTAATAAATTGTTTTACCTAGGAGCCGGCGTTTTGTTCGAATAGCGATTTGCCCGAAATTCAGGATCAGATTATTTAGAAACCGTTTCGACGACAAGAAAAACTGGTTTACAAAATGTATGCCTACCATTGCCTCGTGTATATCTATTTACAGGAAAGAGAACAGTTATTTTCTTGTAAAATAACAAGAAACTAAGAAACGCTTACAATTGATGTATCACAAAGTACACAATTCCAATCTAAACTTTGTAAATGAAATTATTACTCTTCTTTTCGCGGGAAAAAGAAATCTACCGAATTCAAATTATCGATACATCGATAACAGTATTTTTCAGGTATCGATTCTCGAACGTCTACAGTAGCGATAGTAAGCTATATTCCGACAATATATATGCTTAGAGGTTATGCTACAGTTTTGAAGCTTTGACATAAAACAAAATGAATATTGCCAACAGACACTGGATTCAAATTCTGAAAAATGATGTAACAAATCGATATTTATTTAACACTGGAAGATCATATACATATAAAAGTGCTTATGCTCTTGATAAGCTTTATCCAACGAGTAACCTAAAACTATATACACCAGACTTTGTAAGCGTTTATTGTTTATCAACATCTATAAAATATAATGCAAGTTCTTTTTCAATCATTCAACGATATTTTACATTCATTATTTATATCTTCTATGTCAGCAAACCTTAATGCATAACTTTTTCATTTCTATACAAGTTTTATTTAAATATATTTTTCTATTAATCCTTTTTAGGTTCCTGAAAATCCAGATGCAAAATTCAATGGTTATATACCTCTGAAAGAAATTGAAATTAAATACAGCCGCAGCAGTGGCCCTGGAGGACAGCATGTAAATAAAACAAATAGCAAAGTGGATGTAAGATTTCATCTAGAAAGTGCCAAATGGTTATCAGACGAGGTTAAAGAGAAGCTATTAGAATTGGTTGGTACTTTATGTCTTGCAAAAGTCGTTTGTAAAATAAGAGATTGCTTATATTAACATATTTGTTACAGCATAAAACTAAATTATCTAAAGAAGGCTACTTATCAGTGAAGTCAGAGCTAACAAGATCTCAACAATTGAACCTAGCTGATGCTCTTGAAAAATTGAGAACTCTAATAAGAGATGCCATCAAACCACCACCAGAAGTATCTCCAGAGACCCTGGAATTAAAGAGAAAACAAAAGCTTAATGCAGCAAGAAAAAGACTCTTTGAAAAACGAAAACAATCCGAAAATAAACAAGCTAGAAGAGACTCTGTAAATTTTTAATTTTCTGTGTAAATTAACATATTTTTAAGATAAATAAAGCTTAATCGAAAATGTGTAATAATCTAGAATTGTGTCGATAATTTCACGTTGCCTTTTATTTAATTTCGTGGTATTTTAACATTCTTACTGTATGCTTCAATCTTTCAAATTGAACATGTACTACTTAATATAATAAAAATCAACATGATTCCAAAACGATAAGAAATACTAATTTATTTGAAAAGCCACGTTCTCTGTATACTATATCACTTTGAGATACAGTCTCACTGGTCTCACAGTCTGTTACCTTAGCAACATAGAGGAAAACAAAGTAGAACTTATTAACAATAAGAGGCAAGCAAACAGAAGCGTATCCTTTCTAGTTTCTAATTAATTTTATATACCAGAATGTCATTTCGTGATTTAAGAAGTACGTAAACTAACATTTTGTACAATAAAATTCATCATATAATAAAATAATGATATTTTATCAATAGATTTTACGGAGATCATGCAAGTTCTCGGTTATCCTCGACTGATATCTCTCGGAAATTTCCGTTTGCCAAATTTTCCACTTGTTGCGGAAATTCTCGTTTGGTTGGTGAAAAGATTTGATCCAGATACAGAGATATCTGGGGAACACAATACTGAACAAGAACGTATTTTACTGATACGAACTATTGCTGAATTCATGGTAAAATATTGTTGAATTAATTATTAACGTAAGTATGAGAATAAATGTGGAAATATTTTTCGATACAGGCCTTGAAAGCAAACGTAAAATTAAATACCAAGAAATTGTATCAGGCTGATGGCTATGCTGTGAAAGAATTATTAAAAATAGCCACATTATTGTACGATGCTCAGAATAATAGTAACAATAATAGCATAACATCCCATGACAATGTTGGTCTAGCTAATTTTGATATATCTGATAAGAGTGAGCAATTGAAATCAACTAAACAATTAGCCAGTCAATTAACTGTTACCGGTGCATCGTTGTTTGATTTGCTGGGACGTGAGGTGGATTTCCGAGAAATTCGTAATTCAAAGGTTTCCAGTGAATTTGATACATCAGAAATTGAAGCAGCTTTGAGAAATGTTATTGAGAATACACGTAAAGAAATTGATGACACCAAGAAGCAAATTGAAAGCGTCATGGTAATCTCTACCTGTTTGCTTCATCTATTGAAATGTTCTTAACATGATTTGCCTGTTGTTCTTTCTGTAGGATACAGAACAAAACCTGGACACAAGAATCGAAAGAAGACGCGCAGAACTAGAGAGAAATCAAAAAAGGCTACAAACATTGAAGAAAGTACGTCCAGCTTTTATGGAGGAATTTGAGAAGCTTGAAATTGAATTGAAAGCTTTATACGAAAATTATATAGAGAAATTTCGATATCTTGCGTATCTCGAACATTTATACGAAGACGAAGCTAAAGCTGAACAAGAAAGATTCGAAAGGAGGTGTGTATTAGCTGTTCAATAAAATCGGGATACGGTAATTAAAGTAATAACTCGTAATTGATAACAGGCAAGAAGCAACACGAAATCAGCTGAAGAAAATGAGAGCTGAAGATGCTAATTTTGAAAGCATGATGGAAGGGAACGATTCCATCCTACCCTCGAATCTTCAAGAACCTCCACCACCTCTTAGCGATATAGAAAAACAAAACACCGAGAAAACAGTTCCAAGCAGTCGACTGAAATCAGGTGAGAACATAAAATTATTAAACAGTATATTTTTTAAACAAATTTTAATAACGAACAACAACTACTTAATAAATATTCGTATAAAAACAATATAGCTGGCCGATCGTCGAGAACGCAAATATCACAGCGTCGAATTTATGGCAGTATGTCTGGGCGTCGAAGAGGAACGATTCAAGAATCAAATGACAGTGGTGGTTCATTAGACAGCGATAGTGATCTGTTAATTGACGGTGATCTGGATGACGACGATGAAGACGACGACGACGACGACGACGATATTCTAGACTCGGTAGGAAGATCGGACATCGGGAACTTTGATCTGAAGGTTGGGCAAGAAAAACGAGCCGTTAGTAAGATAGATCATTCGGACGAGGATTTTTAACCAGGTTACAAAAACCATTTACAAAAACTTGAAAATATACCGTTCGTCTTATTATCGATCCAGTATGGGCATATTTTTTTTTCCTTTTTTTTTTTTTTTTACAATAACTGTAAATAGATGTTAATAAAAAGTAACATATATCTTATCAGTTGATTGGGACCAGATCATTTTGACAATAGCGAAAAATACTTAATATATACATGTACACGACATGGCATCGATAAATAATTTCAAGTTTCATTATTTTATATAATAATTGTACGCGTTCAAGGGAATTAAAATACGTATTGTCATCGTATAATATTTATTCACTTGTCCAACACGGCGCGGCATGTCGTATCTGGTTCAGCACCGATCACATGTATATGTATATGGATTCACCTATCCTACATACTGTGTACGTAAATAACACGTACACGTATATGTGTATACACATATATACATAATAAATGTATGTGCGCGTAAAAAATGTGACCTTATGAAAGAAATAGAAATAGAAATAGAAATAGTTTGTAGCATTTCATTGTCATACGCCGAAAAACTTGTTAAGTTTCATTTAGCTGACAAAACTGCCCCCTTCATTTCTCTTTTCTTCTCCCTTTTTTTCCTCCCTTTATCACCGGGAATGCAATAATTCTCATTTCTTTCTCCGTAATAACAACATTCATCGAGATTGCTCTGGTTGTTATTGGAGGTTCCTTTACGACGAATCTCAAAATGAACAAGTTGGAACATAAAATTAATTGGTCAGATTGAAATCACTACGTGTAAACGGCGTTTTATAAAAAAAACATTACACGTTGCTATGCATTTGCTATAGATTAAATACTAGTTGTTCTAGATATTGTATATTTATACATACATAAACTACGACTAGGTATTCATCCTATAGATATGCGTACGTTTTATTTTTCTCTTTATACGTTGTGCGGATTTATAGGTGTCGAAAAGAAATGTATCAACAAGAGACAAGAATGTAATATCGAGTTCCACACGTTAGAGCCACCAATATAGACCGGAGCGTAGGCCCTACGTAACAACTTGTGTATAGACGTATGTATGTAAGTACATCCGTGTGCAATCTAGGCATCTCTTGGTCAAGGATCAAGTGCAAGGGTTGCCTTGGATCATATCTTAATCAAGAGAAGTCTACGTTGCAAGAGGACGTACCAGACAAGAGTGAAGATTCGAATACAGCACACAGCAGAAGGTCAGGCTTCATCTCCTGATTCGAGTTTATAAAACTCGTGGATAGGGTGCATGCATCATCATCATCGGTGGTTAGTCTGAAACAATCCTCAACATTGTCAATCGGTATACTTTTGAATTGCGTCAGTGAATGATAATCTGTCTTATATGTGTAGTTCTGCCTTTGATCTTCACCCTCACCTGGCAGGAGCAACATTGTCCCTCTAGATTCTAGATGAAACGAAAATAAACTCTCAAGTAAATGTATGTATAAAAACATGAATAAAGCACCATATAGCAGTAAGAGATGCAGGATCGATCCGGAAAATTGATTCCCTACTTTTCTGGCCGGTCATGAGTCCATCTCACGTAGAAAAATAGTATTCGTCAGCATTTCGATGAGCAGCCCTGTGCCAAGCCAAGTTTTGGTTTTAGGCTTGGAAACACAGCTACGGTACACACGATAAATTCCAGCACGAGGGCGATTATCAAGCTATGGGCCACCATAGTTGTAGAAATAGGTTCTCGCCACTTTCGGTGTACCAGTAAAATTACCAATATCCCAGAGAATATCGAGCACGGTTTTTCGCTACCTGATCGACTTCGATACAGGGTTCGCTTTAATCCGCGGTGTCATGGCCGGTATCGGTTCTAATTTCGGTAAGAAACACTCGCCGCTCAGATCCGTCCAGGTTTTACCCACGTTATCGGCTAATCTATCTTTGTATTTATAGGCCGTCCTATCGACTACAGATTGAGTCTTTATACAGTCGTCCCCGCCAAACTCACAGACCCGGTAATGATGTAAAATCGCAGCGTCCGAAGGCACGTTCAATGTTCCGTGGCCGGGGATGAACTCCCAAACGAAATGATTACCCGCCTCGACAACGTTCTGAGGCTTGCATACGTATTTCGAGCGTTGTTTGTGCGGATGCAGTTTCGTTCTGCGCCTTGTTTTCCTCAACGTGATCAAACCAGCCTCGACCGGCGTTCGACTTACAGACACGAACGGATCGTCCGCCCACTGCAGATAAAAGAAAGCATTTTGAAAAGAATACGCTCCCGTGGATTTGGTATTTATATGATTGCTCATCCACCTGAAAAAAGAAACATATGTATAATAAAATGATTATAGTGCTGGTGCCTGTCCTGTGGTCAGATGTTTATATGTATACCGCAGTTCATTAGAGTCCATAACTGCGAAAAGATCAGTTTTCGTTCTTCGCGCATCTCCAGTACGCATCTTCGCCCTGATTGGCGATACTTCCAAACGAACTGGAAAGCGATTAGCGGAGAGCTTGCTGCGTTCCCCCACCATTTTCCAACCTGCGCGTCGCGGTTATGGACTCTGGTGAACTGCGGTATATATCTTGTGATAAAGGAATCCTTACTTTATGAGATCGATGATGGTGTCGTTGTGCCTGGGAATGATAAACTCGTCAAGATCTACCAGCGCCACGTACTCGTATTTGTACATTGATCGATAAAGACAATCGTTCAGGGCAGCGAACAATCCTTCCGTACGAATCTCTCGCTGGGAAATCATGTCTAAACGATGCCAGGGTAAGACGGTAACTAAACCTTTCGTCTCGTAGTATTTCAGCGCGCATCCGGCCTCTGTACCAACCGTGTCATTGTAGAGAGTCACATGGCTGGCACCTAACAGTCTATGTAACTCGATGAACTCTACCAGCTGCAGTACCTATGAAATTTTTTTATGTTTTTCAACTGCCTTCTTTTTCCAATCTTCCACTCGTTCATACAACACTCTATCGATTTAGCTTGGGTTACGCCGTGACTGGACACTATCAACCCCTTAAACCCTTGCTACAGACGAACGAATAAGAATAACGAGAACCCGTTGTTGAATTAAATCGTGAGAATGATTACGAACGAGAGTGCCTTCCTTTCTTTGCATTCACACTGCAACCTACTCTGTTGTAATCGTAGTGGAGAGGCTTCACGCAAATAGCCAATGATTCTTTATCCTTGGTCCTAGTCTCTGGACGATTCTGAACGAGGATACGATTTGTCGGTGCTGCTTTCAGTCTTGCCACGACACTTACTGTTTCCGGTACTCTGTCGGCCGTGGGCGATTCTTTAGGCAACGGGCAAATCACGAAGCAGGCGCTGTACTTTAAGTTCCAATTTTCTCTGATCACCTGTCGATGCAATTAACAAACGCGTATGTATGTACATGAGATAAAACTTTTATTTTAAACTAACGCACCTTCACTTTAGCGGCCACCGTCACGGAAGCAGTGACATTTTCTCCATTCTCCGTCCGATACCAAAGTCTACACCAAACGCGTTCTGGTCCTCTAGTCTTCGTTGCGCTGATTATCCGTACCATACCCTGATTTTTCCCTGACGGTGTACCACCGACTCTGTCGTCAAAGTACGCCGAGTATACAAAGAATTTGAATCTGAGAACGGAAAAACAGCAAACTCTTTGATCACGGTGTACATATATGCCATACATTATAAATTCACGCAAACATACAACACACCTGGTTTTCGTGACTGGTAGCCATTCAGCGTGCGTGATCCTCAAGCTCTGATCAAGTTGTGGCAGACGAGCTTCTAGGTTCGGTGGTAAGCTTGGTAAACCTCGGGGATCTGGTTGCAACATCGCGGTCTTCTGCCCTCCATCTTCCCCGCGCATCAATAATCCGATATGATCGTCGAAGCTACCCTTCAGTCCGATGTAATCTTCAGCCTGCGAACGGCAACAGAACGTCATTCCTTAGGCAAAAAGTTGGCGCCTATTTCGAACACACTGCCCTTTCCTTTCGACTCGGTCTAGGCTAGAATGGAGTAACGGGACTAGTAAAAGAACGAAATAAAAATAGAAGAAGGGGAGAGAGAAATCGATGGTCCAGGATGGCAAACTTTCCCGTCTCCACTATTCTTCCGTTTTCTACGAACAAAGAGCGACCGAGTAGAAAGTTCAGCCCGAGCCCTTGCCATTAGTTCTGGAAAGTCTTTTACCAGTTCCCTTTGCTTTCAACTGGAAACGTTTGAGGATTATCGAGGCCGCGAGCGACATGGAACTTTTCGAAACTGGATATCTTCTGTGCTTATTTGTAGATACCAACGAAAAGAAAACGACCAAGTTAAAGGAAGAGCTTTCGGTGTCACGGATCGCCGACAGAGCCAACCAGACGTTTTAATTTCCCCGAGGATAAGAGCCATGCTCACCGAAACTTCGCTATAACCTCTCTATCGCTTTTATTCCTGATGATTAGAGAAACTTTATAGGAAAGATTAAAATAGTCCGACTGGTCTGACTGGTTTGATTTAACGTGGCCACCTCTGTTTTAGTAGTGGTTTGGCATAACGTGCCAAAGACGTTGTTTCACGTCGAGGGTTTAATCGAGTGGATACAGCTGCTTCTAATTGCGTACTTACTCCGATTTCCCCGTAATCTGGACGATCGGGCGCAGCCGGCAATCGATGTCCGCTTCTGTGACCTCCTAGAGCTCCTGTGCCACCTACACCCACGCCACGCCTCTCGTCGATCAGGAATATTTCCGTAAGGACGATCAAGCCGAACACGGCGAAGAACATGACCACAAGCATAAATGACATGTTCGCCCGTTCCTTCAGGACACCGGCGTTCGCACGGCTCCCTCCTGATCCGCTCCTTCGAGAACCCATCTTCGTGAGGTTCTATTCAAAGGGAAAATATAATAAATATCTGCCACTGCAGACACTTCAAATTTCTTCGTTGTGAAAAGATATAAAGACATCGATAGATTCCCTTTTATATTTTTATCGGCAAACTACTACACAGACTGTTCGACATAAATCAAGTTTCTCATGTATACGTATATGTATAATGGGACTACGATTCTCTTCGTTCCTGGATGAGAAAGAATTTTCTCCAGTATCGAGCTTTTTAGCTTTGCCTGTCTATCGATTCCCCTTTTAAAATGCACAACTGCTCGTATATCGTTCGATAATAAATGCGAGCAGAGTGCTTTGAATCGCATCGAGGTCGGCAAAGCGTTCAAGATAGAAGGCAAACAATCTTATTGCCTGAAATTTTAATAGAGGAATTTCCATTACTCGCATACCGCGACTCACCTAAAATGGTCCCAGGAAAGCCACTGCCAAGCATGGGAACGGTAGTTCCTTCTGCAAACAAAGGAGAAAAAAAAAGGAATGTCAGTAATAATTGATTGAAAGAGCTTTCCTTCCTGCAAAAACAACGCGAGTTTATTGCGTTGGAAAACTTCATCCCCGCTTGCGTTAAATAAGTAAAGAAAACAACTTTTCATCTTAACCCCCTTCTAAGTAATAATTTTATCATTCAAAATGCCTAGGGGTAAAAGTACACCTACCCTTAATTAAGGAAAGTCTAAATTGCACATAACTGGGAATAGGAAACAGAAATTGTCGTAGCCGAGGTTAAAATGAATTGTATATTCTAAGCTAGAATTGGCCAGAATTGGTTGAATATATCTCTATGAAACGGAATATCTAGCAGAATCTCCAAAAGGTTCAATGGAAATTCCTAAAAGAGAAATGAACCTATTCATTCATAGTCACTCTGTATAAATCGTGAACATGTCATAGTATGAGGATTTACTTTTTCCACTGTCCTGTCTTATTCATACGGTTGTAGATGGTAATTATTCTTGATAAGAAACCGAGGGTAGAGGATTTATAGTATTCGGTCACGATAAGCTAAGGTAAATCGACACAGTCTATGGACGAGTGGTATAATAATAATAATAAAAAAAGAAGGTGACGCTTTAATTAATTTTCATATTTTCGAGCTCGTATCTTGATAGAAGAACAAGTCAAAATGAGAAGAAAGTTAAATTTCAGAACAATGTTTTGTTTGTATCAGGAAACTTTATCTTAGACGAGATAGCAATATATCCTGACAAAGGGACACTCGAGACCTGTTATTTTTCTCTAACTTAAAGTTTCCTAGCTTCCTGTTTTAAAGCAACGACTACGAAAATTAAGTGCAGCAAAGTTTTCTTTCGACGGATAAACTGAACTTGTTAACCGTATCTCGTGTGGTATTGGACAAACTTCTCTAATATCGAGGGAATCTGATGATTTTCGATTTACAGTCTGCTCTAGAAGAAGGTGGGAAATTAAAAAGAAGCAATACAGATTCTCACTGACATCGCTCGTACCATAAATGCAAAATGCAATTTATTTTTTCATGTTCAAACTTTTCTCTAATTTCATAGAATTAAACAATTTCAAATGTAAAATGTTCAATTATACATAAATGGACATTCATTTTGTTGAAAATCTACGTTTGCCACTCTTTTATTATTTCACTACATTGTAAAATATTTAATGAAATGTTCATATTGAAGTAAATAAAAATTTAATAATAACGGACAGCCATTCGTTTTAATCCAACAATGTGATTGTTTTCTTTTACATAATAATAAACGAAACGAATGCTGATATTTTTCTGCAAACTATTGTTACGTTATTTCAACTGTCCCTCGTTGGACCAAATGCATCTTGAAATAAGACCCAAGAATAAATTGTCTAATTAAATATTTTCTCTGGAAAGGATTACTACATGATCCATAATTAAAAAGAATCCTTTCTAAAAGATCCTGAATTGTTCATCAAATTAATTACACCTTTGATCGCTGCCTGTTCTTCAAACGTTTTCAGATAAATTATTGACCTCTCGTCTGTTCTATTTAGAAACGATATAATGGACCATAATTTCCCAGCCAGCTACGATGCTGAATAAATCCTTGCATGGTTAACCACGCACGACTGATTCGTATAACTTCTGGCTCGTGCTTTTTGCCCGCGTTTTGTCCATCTTCCCCTCTTGCACGCGTTCAAAGAGCCTCGTTTCCCTTCAATTCTACCGCACGCACGGTGGAAAGAAAAAAAAATGGATAAAGTGGCAAAGAAGCCGAGTCTGTTAATGACCCATGTCGACCACTTGCTAATTGAATTTTATATCATCAGCTCATTTGAAAAGTTTAATAAATAAATTAATTAATTCCTATTAAAAGTCTGAATAGGAAGAAGCCAAATACATATGTCAACTGTCTAAGGTTATCCAATAGCGGAATTTTTTACTCTGTTTCATAAAAAAAAAATATGCTTCTCATGGCGTATAAACGAAAACTCGGATTTCTCCCATAAACCTGTAAATCGGATAACGTATGAATCAATAACATGTCTCACTTTATCAATAACATGTCGTTCGAAAACGATAAGCGTGTACGGGGACAGGTAATCTGTCCAAGTGTCAGCTAACGTTATTTCGATCGAACATGTACGAGCCGAACACTTATTTTTGTCCTCTGCCTTTCGTCTTTGAACGTGACCAGAGAGCAGGCATTGATTTTCTACGACCACCAAAGAGTGCACAACCTGCCACGGTTATATGTACATCGTCCTGGAAGAAAGGAAGTCGTGCGACAGAAACTGTGCGATGTGCTAGATATTACTTCCTTCCTTCCTTCCGCCTGTTGCACCGAATCGCGACCTTGCCTTACGCAACGTTACAATTCACTTTTCGATACCGTCGTCTTCCGTTAACCAACGGAATTACCATTGTTGAACACGAATTATAGCTCGATTTCGTTTACAAGAGATCTTCTAAATCTCCAGAAAAGCATATCGATTACCAACCAACAAGTCACCAACGACGATCAGGTGGCTACAAGAGTAACACCCACCCTTAAATTATTCACCTAATCCCGACGATCCTACGGAACCCTTGCCTCGTTCGTCAAACTGTTGCCAACACCAGAGACTAGGTTTCACTCTACTTACTCGCTAGAGTCATCTTTTTATCGCTCTTTTTATGATCTCCGCCACTCCCCATTGGCGATTTAGTATCATCGAGTGACAACCAAGTACCAACGTCCCTCTTCAACATGTTCAAACCTTACACACACTTCTAAGCGCGTCCATTGTACTAGAAATTAGAATAAATTGCAATTTTTGCAAAAACATTCTCTCGACTTCGTAATATCCTTCCTTTTGTACATTTTCATGACACTAAACACTGCCACTGCTTGAGAAATGGCGACCAGGCAGAGCAATTAGAAGGACGATACATTTCTGTCCACGTTGCAAGCTTTATTGTTTTCTGTCGAGTGACAAATGATCCCCAAGTGTCATCGTTCGTATTCCGTTCACCAAACAAATTTTCAAGCCGATCCTCAAGAACGAACGTTCGAAGGTCCATTATGGCTGTTCTATTAAAAAAATAAAAAGTACATTTCAAGCATTCCCTTTCCCGGATTTAATTAATATAATAAAAATCATGTTTTTTCCGACAATTCCCACTACCCCTATATCGTTATTTTCCTCAGGGAAGCCTGATTTCACACACAAGTGTACGACTGCACTTTTCTGATGCACCGATGCACCAAAATGCATAAATCCATTTTCAGAATATGTAACGCTCGACGCTATTTAATTTTTTAAAGATACAGTTTATCCTGTATTACCCTGTACATGTAATGCGTTTTACATCGAAAATTGAAATATTTCATGTACAGGTGAATGTATGGTAGACGAAATTATATTTCGCGTGAAACCTATAAAGCGATATAAAGAGAACGAAAATCAAGGTATAACGTTTTAACCGAATTCATGGTAATATTTATTTTATCACAGTTAATAATGAAAAAAAAAAAAAAATAGAGCTGCACATATGAATTTAAAATTAAAATTTCTCCTATGTTACCATGCAAATTTTCGATGAATGTTTTTCATGACTATGTTTCTGTAAAAATTCAGATATTTAGGTCTCTAGAGATTACATAAATTGGAATGTAAATGACTCGTTAACATAAACGCTTGTTCGATAATAATATTCAACATTAAACTTTCATAATATTTTTACATTTTTTATTCAAATAAATCGAATTTTTATTTTAAAAATCTTATGAATCGTAATACGAAACGTTTCCTCTTTATAATTTATTCATTAATCTGACTATTTCTAGAAATAAAAATTCAATATTATAGATAGTTTTGAGAATATTGTCAGGAAATATTTTATGATAACTGTTAACCGAAGCAGAATTATGTATCGTGTTTGGTGCTGTTATCGTACTAGTACCACTAACGATTAATAAGTCATCCGGTGAGTGATAAGTTCTCAACTTGCTGAGTGTTTTTTTGGGGGGGTTTTTTACTGTTTGTACGGCAACAATTACAGAAAAATAAAAGTACTAAACAATGCACGCTACTTTGTAAAATATGGAGCACCTGATACCTCTAACAAAGTTTTTACTTTGTATCCTTTTTTCATGTATCTTTATCCATTATATGTAATCGTTGAACTTTTTATCACTCCCATTAAAAAAGTTATACTTCCATTTAAAATATTAAAAATAGTTACCATGTAAGAAGATTACGATCGGGGCTATTTTGTTTTATTCGAGAATAATTAGAAATAAAATTCCAAACGTGACTTTGTTAATGGATAATGATGGTACAAAGTAACAATTGCGTTTCATCGATTCAAAGTGAAATCAAAGTTTAATTATCAATTACACTAAACAACGAATTAGTTCAGTTATCGTACAGTTCCTTTACGAATTTCAATACGTTTAGCGAAATTACAGCTAATGAACACGCGATGTAATCTCAGTTCGACAAACTTTTATCAAAAGATAAGAAGCTTAAAAAACCGAATAGTTCAAGCTAATCATAATTTGCTGTTAAGTTGTTGCGTTCCAAATAATGAATTCTGTAGCTACGAAAAAATAATTGTTACCCCTGCTCTGGTAAATTATATTTTATCTTGGATGCATTTGTCATCCATTAAGGTTTATCTATTTAATTTTCTGCATTATTTTCAACTTAAAAATAAGTGTGCATCAAGCGTAGGTAGTTCTAGTGTTAAATGTATTAAATTTTTTATTTGTCCATCTATAGTTATGAACGAGATTGAGTAATTTATAGTGCTATTTGAAAGTTGCAAAGTCGCCGGATACTTATAAACGTTAGCTTAGGTCGGAAGGACTTCCGCTATAACAACGTAATTAAAAATTAGTATCAAAATCAACTGCTCGCAATTTAGACGACAAAAGATTCTTATCACCTGTTACGTGTTTAATTACCGCGTGTCACGAACCGGTTATTAGGTGATATAACATTTGTTATTGAACACTGAACTGTTTTAATAACGAGAGAAGAAGAAAAAAATTTTAATTACCCGTCATATACATATACGTAATCTAATTAAATCTCTCTTTCCATCATGGCTCGAGGAATCCCTGAGGACAATTAAAATGTAAATCAAGGTTGTTCAATGCGGGGGTGAAATCTAATAAAAATGAAGTGAAACTCTACTGATCGCGAAAAGGGGTAGATTTTGGTGCATGGGTCAATCATAACTGAAATTGAACAACTGTCAAGTACACTGACCTCCATAAGAAAACTGTTGGGCACGAGAGTCCAAGTGCGCCCCCGTGGTTGCGTTTCGAAACGAGTGAACAAGTGACACACAAGTATTACTTACGATTACGATGCGACACTGTCCAGCTGGCCTGCATTTCCCCTGTGTAACTGGTGTACCGGCATCTTCCTGACAGTTGCTGTCCGTCCTGGTCGTCCGCCTCATTCTAACATCGCGATCTCTTTGACGTTTGCTGGTTGTCGTGAAAAAACGTAACAACACACCAACGATCTACAATAATTAACCGGGACTGTTTGTTTAGTTTTTTCTTATTTTTTTTTTTTTTTTTTCTTTTCTTTTCTTTTCTTACAAATTAACGCAACAGCCTGTTTGAGAGAATATAAACGGACCTTCTGGAATGACACCGAGCTTACCGTTCACAGAGCCGCGACACTTATCGCGTTGTAAACGGTCGGTCACTGGCGCACACTCGTAGGGCGAGCGCATCGATCGAAGCACCCCTCCAGAGCAGAGCATGCGCGCTGATGGTGTGAAAAAAAAGGCGCGGAAGTACGTTCAGAGATGTACTTTTGAATCTTGTATTTAAATATTATTTCTATACAGAAACAGCTATGGGGGAAACTGCAATGCCTATATTATTATTATTATTAAAGGTAGAGGAAGAAAAAAGAATGTAAATTTCAGTTCGTGTGTCTGTCTCTTCGTATAAAAAGAGTCGATGCTCTGGCAAGGACGTGGTGTCATAACTTAGATGAAATGAAAGATCACTAGCTGAAACGTGAAAGATCTGTAGCTTTCGCGCAGTACGTTTGATCCCGGATTTCATGTCGAGCGAGGAACGTGTGACGATGTGATTTCGGCTGAAAATACTTGAGCTATGCTGCCAGAATTTCTGAAGGACATCGTCAGGGTAGCGTCGTAGCGTATTAAAGTCCGCCTCGGTTCCTCGCACCAGTTCCAGAACATCAGCTTTTGCTCCCTCGCCTTCAGGTCCTTCGAAAGCAAAGCAAGGTTCTTCGCGACAGTTGCATCGATTCTCACCACGTGACGACCTTCCACTATCACTGGTATCGTTTCTGCTCTCCTGTCGCACCTAAATGGTCAACGTGGTGTTAGCTTAAGATTTATCAAGAACTTATCAAGTTCTATATTTTTCTTCTCATTCATTATTATTTTCTCTATAGTAGAATATCAATTTCCGTTATGGGGGTTTATAGACCTGAAAATCCTTAACGAGATTATATGTATGTAGATATCCTGTTGAACCTAATACTGACCAGGACATCACTCGTTCCCGTAGATATTCAGCAGCTGGATAACTCAATGATTGTTTCGGCGATACGAAGAGAATCTTCAGTCCATCGATAACTCGTTCTTCGATCAGTAATCCCGGTCTGGCCGCGAAATAGAGCAGCAGAATTAGATTTACCGCGATCCCAGCAATCATCCCGTATTCTGGACCGATTGCCAAGCAGCTGAACAAAGTCACCGTCAAAGGTATCAAATCGATCTCTGCGAATAGAAACAGATTCTTCTCTATTACTAGAATCTGATCGTCGCGCGTCGGACCTCTCCGATTCTCAGAGAAAATTGTCTCGGAAGAAAATTAAAGAAATTGCTTTGTATCATAAGTACTTAAAAGAAAAATGATCAAAAGCAGTTGCTTAACTTACTTTTCGTTTTCCAAAGGACGCTGAAGATATCAAATTCCAGCATATAGTACATGGCAACTATAATCACTGCGGCAAGGGTTGCTTTCGGAATGTATTCGAATGTCGAGGTCAGAAGGCCGCAAGCTAAAAGCACAAAGGATCCGGTAATTACACCGCCCATCGGTGTTTTTACACCCGAAGCGTTGTTTACGGCTGTTCTTGTGAAGCTCCCCGTGCTTGGCATTGATCGTGAAAAGCTTCCAAAAATATTACAAAGTCCCAAAGCCAGCATCTCTTGATTAGCATCCACCGTTTTTCCTTTTGCTGACAGTTCAGTGATTATAGATTATAGATTATAAATTATAAATTAGATACCTAGAACCGTGATAGGATATTTTAGATTTTTCAACAACTTACCAAACGCTTTGGCAATGGCAATGCTCTCCAAAATGGCGATCAGTGGAGTGGAAATGGTGGTGCTTCCCAGTTCACCGACTATCTCCTTGAAATCGTAAGTCTTATTCCCTTTTACGATAGAAAATGGCGGAGGAGCGAACGATGGTAAACCTTTCGTAATATTTCCAGTAATTCTGAACGGTTTAATGCCGTGAGAGAACAACGAATAACTTAATATTATTCCAATGACGACAACCACCGCGTTTCTCGCCAACGACGTTACCCACATCAATTTCTGCCACCATGTTCCACTTTTCTTTCCTCGCAATTTCTATTTCCCATAGTCAAAGAAAAAAACATACATATACCTAATTAGATATTGACAAACCTTCAGATGAAATTCAACCTATTTGTTGAAATATAAATTCTTCATTTGATTTTCAAAGATGTTTCTACTGTTTTAATTCAATTTTTATTTTTTTTTATTTTAATATGTACTCACTTTAAGACCTACGAGTAGAATCATAGAACAGACTCCGAGAACTGTATCCCACAACCTGACATCGTTCAGATGGTCCGCAACTTTAACAACGGCGTCGATGAACGAGTCACTTTTTTCTGTTAAACCAAGAATGGTACCCAACTGAGATGTTCCAATTATTATAGCAGCCGCGTTGGTGAAGCCCGAAATCACTGGCATGCTGACGAATTCGACGAGGAATCCTAGATGAAGCAGTCCCATGATCGAGATCACGCAACCTGATAAGAAGCAGAGGAGTACCTGAGGAACGATCGGTACATGTTGTTAGAGTTCAATCATTTGCCAAGATTACAAGGTTTAAAGTTACACTTACAGCAACGTCAGCTCCAAGATTTATAACATGGGATTGCGATAACAGTGCCATTATAGCCGTAGGTCCCACGGTGATGTCTTTGCAGCTACCGAACACCACGTACACGAAACACCCCATGAAACTGCTGTACAGGCCATACTGAAGTTTTTCAAAAGTTCACCTAACGAGAACCAGTCTTTCCACTATCGTCAATTTCATGTAACTGCTATGGTTAAAAATAACCATATGCACTCGCATATAAACATCCACAACAGAGTAGTTATACATTCGTTGAAACTTTCACAAATAAATCGGAAACTTTATAAGAGAATTATACACACCTGGGCTGGCAGTCCAGCTATAATTGCATAAGCTATACCTTGCGGTATAACAGTCAAACCGACGGTCAATCCTGCCAAAAAGTCCTGCAGGAATTTTGATAAATTGTATCGAGGTAGCCATTCTAGGATCGGTATCCTTCGTATGATATACTGCTTTAAATTCAATCCGGATTCTACGTTCCTCCCTGAAATCCAGTAAGTTCATATAAGTGATGAGTGAATCAGTCCGTCTCGATTAACAAATTAATTGTTACAAGTTCATAAATTTTTACTGGTTGGAAGTGTAGTGTAGATGGTATCAGACATTTTCACTAACTATTTTACACTACCACTTTCTTTATAACACGACATCAAAGTACTCACAATAAACGAGGAATGAAGAATGAGAAGAAGTTAAGTTATGTAACTTCATGGTAAGGACATATTGCGATACCTTCATTATCTATTGACTATAATGTTTAAATCGTTCGCAGCCTCGTAACGCTTGTCTAATATCATAAAATTACTTTAATAATCAAGTTGTCACAGTAAAGATATTATTACCTTCCTGCCCTTTTGAAACAAGAAAATGTTAATATCAATATGAAATTATATAGTAATAGTAAATTAAAACACATATTACATGTATAATGTAATGGAACACGTAATTACTTATTGATTAGTTTCAATATCCGCATGCAATTATCTATTGACTACAAAATTCGAGTATCAGAATATAATATAACGAGAAGTAAGCTTGATAATAGTAGTAAATTTAAATACGTATAAGTAATTATGCAGTATAAGGCTATAATTACATATATGTATATTTGATGATGGAAATGCATATAACGAACAATTACTTATTGATTACAAATTTGAACGCAAGAATGCAATATTTATATTTAAAAATTTACATTTAAAAAATATTGTAATTCAATGGAATTTGTATTTGCTTACTGATTAAATAATTGCTTGTTTAAATATTAGAACACAGGGTGATATGTGCCTGCAGATTAATTGATTATTGAATTATTAATTATCAATTAATTAATTAAATATAAGTAAATTAAATGGAACAAAATCCTGAGGCTACTTACACATCATTATATGTATGTAGACTATTTCTGAAATGTTTAATAAAATTTCATTTACAATTTACACAAAAATCACTCTACACCTTTCATCCACAGCAGTCTAAAAGCGTACTGACAGGCTATATTAAAAAGCTCAGCGGTCGGCAAACAAGAAAACAAATTTTCAGATTTATAAGATCAGTATAAATACAGATAACAAGCGCAATTCATGATTGCGAAAATATTGATGGTACGAATTTTTTATACCGCTTGATAACAAATCACATGATTAATAAAAACAATAAAATTGTATTTATCTTGACTAAATCTCTTAAATGGTTTGTCATCATTTTTTTGTAAACATTTTCTGTGTGAACAGAGTCTTAAAAAAAAAAACTCTAAATGAATAAAGAAATGGAAAAGTTCATTACCATTTTGCACTCTGAAGCTTCGTTTTCGAGATATAAACAATTTAATTTTAACTATCCGCTACTTGCCACCATTTTTTAAGTTCACCGAGTGGACCAATAACTTAGCGTGTGGTCACGCGAGTACGTGCACGCACGTGTTCGAAGAAATTGTACTACCAAATATTTGTTTTTGAAATATACCATCATAAATTTACATCTCTAACAATAAGAGTATTATAACATATTTTAATACTTTTTGTGGCTACTTCAGTTTATACAAATCTAATTGATAAATAATGCACAAAACAGAAAAATAGGTTAAAGAAAAAAATATTTATGATTTCTACTGATTACAAGATATAATAGAGCAAACAGTAATGTAATGATGATATAATGTAATTATAATTCTTTATCTTCCTAACTGTTTAGCGAAACTCTCGGGTATTATCAAGTTGACGCATACCTACAAGTATATTATTCATTCTAAAGATAACGAGATTTTTTTTAAAACTTATAAAAGAGTAGCTTCCTGTTACTAAATATTATACAGGACTAGGTATGTAAAATATAAGTTTGAATTTTGATACCTAATAGAAATCTAATTGAAATAAATGGAATGCAATTCATAAAAAAAATTAAATTGCCAACCCCAATTTATCGCAGTCGGTAGGACTCGAACCTACGCTCCCAGAGGGAATCTGATTTCTAGTCAGACGCCTTAACCACTCGGCCACGACTGCTCGTTTCTTTTATCCCTTGTAGCAATATAAGCAGGGAATTAGATATTTAATTAAATCAAAATATAAAATTATAATTAAATAGTAATATATTCAAACATTGCTTTGAATGTTAAGTTTTCTAACAGCCTTTACCATGTTTTCACAGTATTAAATTAATACGAAAATGAAGCACCAATTTATTGTACCTATGTAATGATAAAATGAAATCACATATGATTGAGTATGCCTATGATTCAGCAATGAACATAATTGTCATGTAAAATATAAAAAAACCTAGAGAACAGATGAATTCAGTTATGATTTTTTAAATATTTAATTATTCACAATATCTATTGGAAATTTCAAATCATGCTTACCGAGAAGAGGCGTCGTCTCCTCGATATTCCTTCTTTCATATGACATTTTTGCATAATCGAATACTGTGTCAACGTCTCAAATACTTCACAACACTAATGCACGATCTAAAAAGTAACAATGTCGATAAAGCAGGATATGATTATGAAACGTGACTGTAATGTTCTGATCACGTGACATTATGTTATATCGTGTTGTACACGAATATCAAATATCATTATTAGATAACATGTAGAATTGCGCGAACTTTAAAATAAAGAATATTTTAAATATAGAAAAAACTATCAACTTATGAAACTATAAAGAAACTTTTTAGTAATTAACTCATACAAATACTTTTAAACTTCCTTAAATCATTAGACATTATTTTACTGCAAAATGGAATATTTGTTTAAAATGAAAAAACCAAGAGAAAAAAAGAAAAAGAAGGATCTCGACGAGGATGGGATTCGAACCCACGCGTGCAGAGCACATTGGATTAGCAGTCCAACGCCTTAACCACTCGGCCACCTCGTCCCGTGTGAACCGACTTTGTATTGAATCTCCTTCAGTCTGACTGTTCTTTGATATATTTTAAATAAATATATTTCGAATATTTTTGCATAATATTATTAATTCTATTTCTAACGCTATCTAAATTGTCTCAAACTTATAAATAACACATTAACTGCAACAGTGAAAGCTACCGTCGTCGTATAGTATGGTGAATTACAATTGCAATTTTTGAAGATACGATCATTTTACTTTTCAATTTAAACATTCAGCATTTATTTAAAAATTTCTTTAACAATTGCTCTAGTTGATTTAATAATTGGCGCCACTGTGAAAAAGCACTGCCTGGTGTTAATGAGGAAAACTATAAATCGATGTACATATGTACTTTTTGCGCTCTCTATCGGTGAAATAAAAAAGCTCATTTTTAACACTAAACAGCAGATGGTGTCACTTGTTCATGGCGGAATATTTGTTTTTTTAAATTGTATAGATTTCAGCTTATTATTTCTTGATCTTTCAATTATTCTAATGTATTTTTATCTCTCCTTCTTTGCATAAACTTTATGTCCATGAATAAGGTATACTAAAAGCTCTTCGTTTATCTATTCATTTTACACATTTTTTTTCAAGTTTTTAGGTATTGCAATAATTTTGTAACTCGCTGTATAAATTTTACACCGTTAGGTTCCTTGGAATGTTGCTAATGACACGAAGAGAGTTCTGTGTACTCTGTAAACAGAGTGGCCCGGTAATCCCCCTGATTTAAACTAGATCAAAGAAATATGGTTCATTCTAAAACGCCTAGTTTAACATGGATCAAACCTCACTAAAGATGTTCTGGTCCAAAATATTTAAAATATGTAACACGATGCACCGGAAGCGCATAGATGATTGCATTTCACCTAGTTCCTACGACTTCTGAACGCAAGTGTATACCATTTTGAAGCATTAGTATACAGCAGAGTTACATAATTAAAATTAACAATTGAAAAAAGGTGGAAAGAAAAGGTAACGAGTATAAGCGAGCTGTGGAGTAACGGATTCAAAGACAGCTATGGTTAACAAGAATTTATAAGGAATGCAACTGATTGCTACTCAGAGACAATACTAGTTCGATCAGAGATAACGGTAAATCACGTGCGTTGGAGTTTACTTACATATCGGCCGAGAAATTCAGTATTCCTTGAATCGCGTGATTACTTCTTCAGCCAACGCACTCGATTTCCATGAACCTTGCGTTTTAACTGAACGCTTTCTAACTAAACTCTTGAATCCGTATCATTATTCGCAAACTTGCGAAAAACGGAAATACCGTTCCATGTTTTAAAATTCATTTACTTGTCCAGTATATCAGAATGAACGTAGAAAGTACGCGTGCAATTCGTTTCAACGCAAACTTTTATATTAAATAAATTAACTTAAAATTACATAAGCCGTCATTTCTGCTATATCACTGTTTTACAAGTCCCCGTTAAATTGTGCTTCAGACATTAGTTTAATTTTTTAATTGTTTGTCGCGGAACGTGCAGACTTCAATTATATGTTAACAATCCTATCGCGCACGATCTTACAATTTTAATTATAACTTTGTCAGTTTTTAGAATTTTCTGACCAAACAAGTAACAAGTATTTCTTGGGCATTCGTAAACGTAATACCGATAGCATTAACATTAATATAAATCCAATATACTATCCTTGGAGACATGACGTTATAAAATGATAGAAAATTACCCGGTATCGTAACACCCGTTGACTTTTCCTTCATTTCTGCGGATCGTATTTAGAAATGACCGAACGAAACAAAGTTTCCAGATATAATCTGTCGAAACGTAAATTCCTAATGAAACGAATCATTCGACACTATGGATAATCGTCAAATGACTTTTGCTCATCCGTGCAATTTCCGAGGGGATTCAACGGCGATACTATTTTCCGGTTTGATTACCTTAACAATAGGTATAAATTCACATGAATTCCATTTGTGGAAAATATGCGCCAGTATGCTTTGACTGTGATGTAATGGAAACGGAAATAAAATGCAAGATAGCAAGCAAGCACGTAAAAAAAAAAAAAAAATCTCAGGCTCGTAAAGAAGACAACTGAGCTGATCTTTAACAATCCATACGACTACACGTTCAATTATGTAACGCTGTGACTGGTAAACAATAATTAATGGTATCCTGGGTAAATGAATCCTTAGAAAATTCTACTTTCGTTGATAAGAAATTTATAAAAAAAATTCAGAGATATCATAACTATCAGATACCAAATTGATTTGAAATTTTTCTCCGATAGATATTATCTATCGTCACTTTTTCAAATTGCTTTAAAGTCATTAAAGTAACGATATAATTCGATATTTAATTGACAGTCATTCTTGTACTAAATGATCCATGGATAACAATGAAGCAATCATACTACATACGTACATACATAGTTGACTTGACTTATAGTAATTACTTCAGGTAGCACGAAAGCAGCTAATGTACTTATATAAAAAGTTAGGGTATCCTTAGGTAAGGGGAAGTGTAAAGGATTAGGTTCTCCCTGGTTCTCCTGGGTGTCCTTGGCTCTCCCTAGAATCTCCTTGGATCCTACCAAGACCAAGGGCAAGTGGTAGGAGATTCCTACCCTCACACTTGCTTTTCGTCAAAAGAAGCCTAAGTTGAACCCATATGTGCAAAAATGCCTCGGAAGAAAGTTAGTATGCTTGAAAAGTAATTATAATCATTCGTCAAAATTTCGCGTTAATTAACAACCGTGGTTCAGCATTTTTCAATTCTTTCATTCGGTTGTCTTAACAACTGTGTAAATAACGATATGATAATAAGTAGCAAAGTAATACTTTATTCTAAAAAATGTTGTCTCGAAGAACTGTTTTTGAAACGTGTTATTATTTCTTATTTATTTTTCCATATAGAATCACTCTCCATCCTTCTAGAATTCCCTAACATATTCGGGCTTGGGGTAAGAGATACAGTTTGACCGTGATTAGGAAAAGTGGTAAATTAAACCATTTGGATGAAGCGCTCTTTTGATGATTGCTAAATTTACACAAGGGGACCCCAGAACGTGTAAAATCAATCGTGACCAAGTAGCTCTCTGCTGGCAGTTACACGATCCCCACTATCAAATCGTCTGTCTCCCCCCATCAATCAGCTCGTACCTCTACAAATCAACTAGCAAATTGCTATTCCTATATGTATACGCGTACAGTTGCGGTTAACTTGTTGTGATTCCTTTACTTAAAGAATCAAAATTCTGGCTCACTCTAGTGCTCCCTAGATTTTTCCGCCACCGAGGAGGCCAACCAATGGGATGCTCTACCCCCTCCACTTTCCCTTACCCAACCAAAGGGTACTTTGCAGCTGGCTGTACATACGTGCAACGACCTTGGTCAACACTTTTGTACGCCCCTGTATCTACCAGCTGCACTTGTCCGTAGCTATGAACGAGTCTTTATTTTCTCTGCTACGAAGCACACTATACACACACCATCATATCCTCTCTAGAGCGTTGTAACCTGACTCAGAAGCACGTGACGATGTTTTAGGAGAGATGGGTATTAATGCGCAGACGCATCAGCGCACCGCGCAAAGGCAAATTCTCGACTGTCAAGTTTTAGCTCGGGTGAGCGTTACCCGCAAAGAGAGAGAGACACGTACGGTAACGTTTGCAACGTTCGAACGTTTATAAAGCTTTCTGTTCGATTCGCAACGAACGAAGAATTCATCAAAAGCACGTAGGTGTTACTTTCTCACGTACGATCGTAACCTGAATTCTCAAACGAAAATGTACCTTTCGAACGCGTAACCTGGAACACATTTCGCGTACGGTTTCGTTCACACGTGGTGAAACTTTGTTGCTTTTTCCCGTTAAGTAATTTTTTTTTTTCGCCCGTTAAATTAGAAAATTCTATCCGGATAAATTCGGTTAGGATAGACTCGTAAATTGTTCGTGGGTGTGTCTACGAAACGAAGGAGAGTAAAGAAGAAAAAAAAAAAAAAAAAAAAAGAGGAACACGTTCGTGTTGCTCCTAGTAAAAAACGACAAGCCGGAAGACGCGCTTGCTGAACGACACGACGATGGCTTCAGGAATTGCGACCAACGTGCTGCTGCTGCTGCCTTATCGTTAGTGATGTGACACTATTGCAAGGTATTTATTCGTGCAGTTAATAATTTTATAGAATCTATTAACTTCAAGATGGAATGCATTATTTTATACTATTAGAGAAATTAAAAAATTCAACAAGATCACACGATACATTTGAAAAAAGAAAACTTGCATATTAATAAATAATAATAGGTATCAGAAAGTTAATTGTGTCAAGTTTTTATGTAAAAATTTCAATTGAAATTCAAATTGCGTTCTTTTGTTTTTTATAAACCGCGGTAATCTAGAGTTGCGTGCGCGCAACATTTTCCTGTACTTTTTCAAGTTACATTTCAGTATATGTATACATATAATAGTATTATTATTGTGTTTATGTAAAAAAATATATCTCTCTGGAAATTAATAAGATAAATCAAAATTCTCTACGAACCCCATAAAAATTTATGAGTGAAGAAAACAAAGAAGATAATATTATAATAATTACTTTTTTCATTGAACAAAAAAAAAAGGAACAATTTCTTTAAATAAAATTACTTATTCCATGTTTATGTCTAATAAAAAAAATAAATAAATAAAAAATTAGTATCTTTGTCACTACATATACGACTAGGTGATTTTCATCCCACGCGATTCGCTACGCAAAACACGAAACGAGACGTATCAGTTCATCGATCGCTTCCCAACGTTTGTTAAAATCGTTCAGAGAAAGCATCATCCGCCTTTATGTAGGATTATAGGCCTTCTAATAGACTTTCGCACACACTTATGCGAACAACCATACGTATATGCATAAGTGAAACGAACATAAGCGGTATAAATTAAGAAAAAACAATTTCACGTAACGTGAGAAAAACTTAATTGTTTTTTTAAATATATGCCAAAAAAAGCTATACACAAACACAACACGCACAGTTCCAAGATTCGAAACGTAATTAAGCCGATAAACAAAAGGATCCGGACGGATCTTCGGTACACTAGCCACTCGATAATTTCCTATAATCTTTGGTTACTGTTATGTTAGAAAGTAGTAATGTTTATCCATTTCATTTTCGAGTAGCAAATACATAATATGTTTAATCGCTGAGTCAAAAGGCAAAGACCCGTCTGTCGCTGACTCTCCGGACAGATCTTTGGCATTTGTAATGTAGCTTCAATTTTGAAGTCTATGTTTGACCAGAGTCCAAAGTCAAATTAACAAAACGTTATGAATAAATGACACTAAACGAACTTGATATTTACCATCAACATTCATAAAGATACCTGATAATTATTGTTCAAATATACCTACTCGTTATACATACACATCGTTGAATTAATTTTGAAATACATTACAAAATACTACTAACTGATATTGTTATCTCTGTTTAATATGGAGAAAATTCAGAAATTCTATTAAGTTTCTCTCATCGAATCAAACGACTTTCATATTGTTTGTTGTGAAAAGAAATTTGTAGAAGCGAACTATTGACGATACGTGAAATTAAATTTTAATTTTTCATTCACGCTGGAAGTAGTAATGTCTAATGATCCATAACCAGAGATAAAAACCATTTAAGAAAAAAAAGAAAAGCAACAAAAGCTGACTACAGAGACGTAACAGTAAGACCAAGACCTTGTTCCCTTAATTGCGCTCGTAAATTTTCAAAAATTGCTAACCTAACTATTCCTCAAATGATGTGGTTTATGCAACTAAAATATTTTTCAATCGTCGTAAAACGAGATGCAAATGCATTGAAATCTCTCGAACGACCGGAATCCGTTTTGAGAATCCAATTTTGAAAATTACAATAATTCTCTGGAAAGCCGTTATCGCAAATTGCCCTCCATTCGCTATGCTCGTTGTATCAAGATGTATTAAAGAAACTAATCAGCTACTCATAACTCGTAACTGATTCGCTTATAAACTAGGTATTTAACCCGCCCACTATATCGGGCAACAACTGGATTAGTTTATACCTAAACTTTCTATTAGTTTTTATTTAATTTATTATATTGTAAAAGCATAATAGACTGTGAACGAGTTAAAGTGGCTGAGATTTCTATCCTACACTATTGTTTCCACAGCTTCCTATGACGAGTCTTGATTCGTTAATTGCAGCAATTATCTAAATACCTCTGATAACAGGTAATGGGAATTTGATTTCTTAACACTTTGACGGATGCATATTTTATAGAATCAATGGTTCTCGTAATTCCACCTGCGTCAGAAAATGACTACTTTTCAAACAGTAAGTAGTACATAGTACATACTACAGTAAATAGAATAAAGCATGTAAAAAATAGCGGTGAGAAAAAAAATAAACATCGCAATCATGAATATGTGATACTGGCTGTCAGTTTTAACACTAGACCAACCAGCATCGAATGTCTACATATATTTGCATTGCAAATTAATTGGAAAAACAAATAAATCAGAGATAAGATGTATAAAATTAATATAAAATTAACGTAAATTTTGGCAGAAACACTTCAATAATTTTTGTCATTTATAAAAAAAATAGAATAAAATTTGAGATTCGTTACAGTTGCACCACCCTTAGGTAATTTGCTTATGTGTACATGATTTTGCAAATACTATGTAGGTATACGAAATCAAATTTCTAACACACACGTAATACACACGTGTAGGTGATTAAGAAGATTCCATCTCCAGCGTAATGCATAATAATGTCTACGTCAATTAGACCGACTTACTCATAGCTAAATTGATTAGGAAACAATTCAACTGTTTGGAAAGTTTGCTCCGACTTTAAGTAATAACAGATGAATTATAATTATTTAACACTTTCACGAATTATAACGTCCGGTACGTCTTTATTACATCAACGTATGTAGGCATACGTGTGTGTGCAAGAAACGTGTGCCAATGAACCATGAAATGTCTCCAAGGTTCGTGGCACGATTGAAATTCCGTAAAAGAAAAATATTTTAGCTTCTGTCGAATAAAGAAGAAGAAGAAGAAGAAGAAGAAGAAGAAGAAAAAAAATACATATTTTTAATAAATCCTTCAGCGATTATTTTTTGGCCGTTCGTTTTTGGCTTGTGAAATTAGATTTCACAAAGAGAAAAACGAATATAAGTTTTAATTTTTTTGAATTTATAATGTGATATTTGAATTCTTACGGTCAGGAGGAAGTATTTCGAGATAAAACTGTTTATACGATTAACCACGTTATATCTTCTTTGATGGAGAAGAAAATTTTTGAATAAACCATTCGACACGTTTCATTGTGCTCAGTCAGTGATTGTTACGTTTTATTCGACGTATGGAGGATGAAATATGTTTCGTTTCTGCGACCTATTATTATGACTATGCATAATACTGAATGCGATCGATCGGACGTAAGTCTTCAATCACGAGAAGCAGGTGTAGTAACACTAACGGTATTTAATTGCGAGGTTGACACAATTCTTTAGGCACTAAATCCTTTTAAATGAATGACTTCTTGTATTAATTGCTTTTCGTTTCAAAAATATTCCTGGGTCAACCTGTCTGGTTGACCTACTGATCGTCAGATTTTCAACCACTACAGACGTAATTAGGTAAAAAAAAAAAAAAAAATGTTAAAATAAAAATTGAGGTCATCTTTACCAACTGACTGATCGTGAGAGATAAATTCAATGCCAATTTTTTCTTAACATCTCGTTCTACATTATTATATTGATAATACTGGCCTTTGCAAATTCTTTAGACATTGCAACACGCGATTTAACAAGAAAAAAGGCTTATCACAAGCAGATTCATAGTGAAAAAAATTTCGAGTTGACATTAATGTTTCTCATTACTTTAAAGCATACTTTGTGTATTGCAGTTTATGTAATATCACTACATACTACACAAGGTATCACCTGTAACTGGGGTACTTACATACATTTATTAACAGCAAATAAAACAAAAACTCTGCACCTGTAGAAAGTAATAAATTAATAACAATGTGTTTGCTTTATGCGCAAAGAATGAAATGTTTGTATAATTGTTGCCGTGATAGCCGAGCTTGTAGCAGTTTTAATAAATCACGTTGCGAAATGCTGACGAGCCAGCGAATTTTTATGCCACACGTTATTTTTTTCACTCTTGAGAAATCGTGGTTTGAAATCCTAGATCTGACATAAATATAAACAATTTCCCATCATAAATATTCTAGCATAGTTCTAACATAGTTACTAATGTTATTAGAGAAGTCTGGGTATTTTGAAAGTAAATCAAGGAAAGTTTGAAAAAATGTTAATTTTTGTAAACAATCAAACTCTTTTACAGAACTAATAAGAACTAACAATAAGAAAAGAGGTAGTGTAGCTTGAAAAAATAGAAAAACCATTGAATCAACGCGTCGATAAAGAAAAACTAATAGAAAAAATAATCTAATGGTATAGCAAGTAAGGTAATGAATTAATTCTCTGTTTTTGCATTTCAGGGTCGTATACGAACTGAACAATGGTGTCTGCTTGAGTGTTACTGCTGTGGTTTACATTTCCCTATATGTACATCAATTTCCCTTCGTATTTCACGAAAATGTCTAAATACAATATTCAAGAATACGATCTGGAAACGGGTAAAGAGGTACGGTTAACCGGCTACAATAATGCCAGTTTCGAGGATCCTCTCCAAAGCAATAACAACGATCTCGAAGAAACTCCGGACTTTGAGAACAGACTACATATTTGCAATAAATACAACAAACCCGTGAGCAATGACGGTAAGTTTATATACTTTAAACTTGTAATAATAAATTATGCAGCATTTTTTTCGTACTACAATGAGGAAGGGGACGCCGGACGGGGGTACTAGCCGTCAAGAGTTTGAGTAGAAATTTCGGGTCTAATTAATTAAAATTAAAGCCTGTCGTCGTTAATTAAGCAGGTATAACCGCAAAATGCTGAGCAATAGGGTAAACCGCAATATTTCAAGTTTAACAAGGAAATAATGCGGGGAAGTACTTACTGCCAATTATATCATAAAAGAGAAGAATTCCGAGAATCCAAGGAAAAAGCACTGCGTTCACTTTCAGAATCGAACAGGTTCAGAATCGATTCGTTCTAATAAACGAACAAAACGATTAATAAGGAAAAATGATTTCAAGGTGCATGTTCTTACCATCTTCTGACTCACTTTCTTGTGTAGTCATTTTTTCATTATCTACGTGCATCAAGATTCGTAGTATCAATGTTCGATATCTAAATCGAAATTCCTTTCAATCATTTTTCCTATCTAAACTGAAATGCCATTAATTCCATCCAAAATTTTCTATCAATTTTAAAACAGCTTAAATAAAAGGAATCTTTGTTTCCATGTAAATCTCATTAGACAGATCAATCAAGCGTTGATACGCTATGTCATTTTCACATCATTATTTAGCGATGATTCATGATTGCCTATGAAAGAGAGGCGAGATAATTGATGAACTTGTCATACCTGATACACGTTTAACAACCGTTTTGTATGTATAAACAGCGATTATAAATTGATGGAAAGCCACGACAGATGTACACAATAAGCTGAAAATACAAAAGAACGATTCTCTTATTAATGGAAATGGCTGGTTATAAATTGATTATTAGTATTTATCTCGTCTCTTGTAATGTTTTCAGGAACTTGTAATTTATTATACCCAATATATTCTATTTCATTTGTATTAATAACTATCGAAGGGTGGTATGTATACATACATCGAAGTACGTATCTAAATGAACCTTCCGGAAGTCTGTTTCTTCGTAAATTGAAAGTAAATGAATCAACTTGGACTTTTTTTTCTAACAATAAGACGAAAAATATGAATTAAATGTAATAATGCGAATAAGTTTTCGATGGGGACATTTTTTCCATCACAACCATCAAGTATTAACATGTAAAACCAGTTAAACCTGTCTAGCTTTACTTTTAACTGCAATAATTATCACTAGTTATCTGGTAGCTTTAGCAACAGGCATACTTGCATGTATTATGGTAATACATCGATATCACGGGGTTGTATTTTTTTTCTATTTTTCTCCATATTTCAATACACACATACTTTCTAAAGTCGTTGTTTGAAAAGGTCGTCACATGATTCGAAGAATCCTCCATCTAAAATTCCGTACACGTGTTAACTATTCTGACGCATTTAATATTAACAAAATTTTCATATTTGTCATTTTTCTGGCACGATTTTTCATACTTTTCACTCTTTTCACTTAAAATTATGTCATCAAATTGCATCAGACTTTTTATGTTTCGTAATCGGCCATTGTCTGGTGTAATCGGTCGTTTTATATTAAGAATATTAATGAAGGGATATTGATATCGCAAAGTTTTGATTTCTTTCAACTTGTTTCAACTTGTTTCAACTTGTTTCAACTTGTTTCAGCTACACAAAACCCCGAAAAGAATCTATTATGCTCCTTAGGAAGGAAATGGTTATACCAACGAATCAAAAGGACCTGCAAGAAAAAGTTACTCTATAAAAGGATACCCATCACAGCATGGATACAGAAATATGACAAAGACTATATAGCCAGTGATCTTGTTGCTGGTATTACCGTAGGGCTGACTATTATACCACAAGCAATAGCTTATGCGAATGTTGCAGGACTTCCTCTGCAGGTAAGGAAACTAATTAGTGAATTGTAAATTAAAACACAATCAATCATCCTCTTTTTACTTTGCAGTATGGCTTGTATTCTTCCTTCATGGCCTGTTTTGTATACACCATCCTAGGATCCTGCAAAGATGTGCCAGTTGGTCCAACAGCTATTATCGCGATATTAACTAGGGAAACATTACAAAAATCTGATTTGGGACCTGATTTTGCAGTACTTTTAACGTTCATCTCTGGCTGTGTTTGTTTACTGATGGGCATCTTACAATTAGGTACGATTAGGTTTATTTTATTAATGAAAACATATTGCGTTTCGTAGATCAAGATTACAATAACTGACCCGCCGATTCCGTCATTCGGGGGTTAATTATTCTACATATTTCTGAGTTCAGTCGACATGTTAAAACACCAATATAGAGATCTGGAAATCATAAAAACATGAATATAACTTATTTAATTATGTGTATTATGCCTTCTGTATTTTTTTTTTTTTTTATTTTTTATCTTTTATTATTAGGTTTTTTATTGGATTTCATATCAGGACCGGTTTCAGTCGGTTTTACATCAGCCGCAGCAATTATCATTGCCACTAGCCAAGTGAAGGATATCCTAGGCATTCATATTGGCGGTAGTAAATTCGTCGAAGTATGGCAGAACATATTTGAAAAAATTGGCGAGACGAAACCTTGGGACACTGCGTTAGGTGTCACATGTATAATCGTTCTTCTTCTTCTTAGAGTTAGTATCTTGTCTCCTGTAAACTTGTATATATAAAACTATAAAAATTGAATGAATTGAAATACATATGATTTTCTCTTACAGAAAGTCAAAGATCTAGCTGTAATGCAACAGGCAGCAAAAGTGCCATCAAAAGCACGAGCGTTCATGCAAAAATCCCTCTGGTTGCTTTCTACAGCGCGAAACATTCTCGTAGTCCTCGTTTGCGCCGTTATGTGTTGGCTTTTAGAAAGTCACTTGGGTTTCTCGCCAGTTAGTTTGACGGGTCATGTCAAACAAGGACTTCCGGAATTTCGCCCGCCACCGTTTCAAACGTATCATAACAATGAAACTTACAATTTCATTGACATGGTCTCTGCTTTGGGTTCTGGTTGCCTGGTCATTCCTTTGCTGAGCCTTCTGGAAACCATCTCCATCTCCAAAGTTTTTAGTAAGTTTCTTGTTAAGTTAAGTTAATTTGCATTATGAAAATTTACTAAATGCCATTTGTTTTCAGATGAAGGTAAACCAATTGACGCGACCCAAGAAATGTTGGCTTTAGGCGCATGCAACGTTGTGTCAGCCTTCGTTTCTTCCATGCCCGTCAGCGGAGGACTTAGCCGTGGAGCTGTGAACCATTCCTCTGGAGTGAAAACAACCCTGGGTGGTGTTTATACTGGTCTCTTGGTGCTCGTGTCACTTCAATTCCTTACCCCGTATCTATACTTTATTCCTAATGCCGCTCTCGCGGCAATCATCATCGCTGCAGTCATTTTCATGGTAGAATTACACGTGATCAAGCCCATATGGAGAACAAAAAGTATGTTGTATAATAGAATGATATAATTACAATGGTATATACATGTACATGTAAATATAACTGACGTATACCTTCTTTTTTCCAGAGATTGATCTGATACCAGCAATAGCAACATTTTTATGCTGTCTGTTTATAAGACTTGAGTTAGGTATAGTGATTGGTATCGGTATAAATGTAATATTCCTACTTTATGCTTCTGCAAGACCGTCCTTACGAGTTCATAAAGATACGGTAAGAATTTCCATTTATTACCATACTTATTAACTTATCTTCTTCTTTGCTAAAGTGAAAATATACATTTATTTATTCTGAAGTAGTAAGGTCTTTTATTTTCTTTATTTTTTTTATTTTTTATTACAGAGTATCAACGGCTGCGAATATCTTGTCATAACACCTGATAGAAGTCTCGTTTTTCCAAGTGTTGAATACGTACGGGCTGTAATTAGTAAGCATGGTACGAAGGAAGGAACCGGCGTGCCTGTTGTTATAGATTCTACACATATTCAAGCAGCAGATTTTACGGCCGCGAAGGTATCTTATAAAATTCAAGCTATGTATTAATTAATCGTGAAATTAATACCATCCTTTTAGGGTATCAAGAATTTAACAGAGGACTTTTCTAAACGTGGACAACCTCTGATCTTTCATAATTTAAAACCAAGCATTATTGAAATTTTTAAAGCTGTAAAACCTTCCGGTTTAAGGTGCAGTTCTAGTGAACTTGAACTCAACGATTGCCTCAAAGGTATTTTTCATCATTTTCTTAAGTAAAATCTTGAGTAAAACTTGAGTAAAAAAATTAAGTAAAATAACTGTTATTTGCAGAATTTTCAAATGTTTCGGCAGCTACCATGAATAGGTACTGACCAGTACTTAGATCTTTTTTCATTCCCGTCCCGGAACTCCTTTAATTTATCATGTATCAGTATTACGTTAATATAAAGACACCCGACAATACAAACAATAAAGAAAAGCAATGTATTTTAATAGTAATAATTAACCTTTTTAACGTAACAAAAAATTTTGTAAATAAATGCACAATTTAAATGATGATCGACTAGTTGTTAAAAATAATTAAGCTATATATGTAGAAAATTTTACTATAAGATTACGATCATGCGAAAGGATTCATTTAATGTAAATATAAAATAAGATATAAGATGTATATACGAATGAATGTGTACACAATATTTTATATACGTGTGTATCACGATAAATGCCTATTTACTCAGTATAGTATTCAGTAAATTTTTCATTCAGAATGATATCATTCAATTTATATCTAAAACTCTTGTACCCATTGCAGGACTTGCTATATAAAATGCAGGATTTCCTGAATATCTGTAAGAAAGTACAGTACTTGTGAAATTTAGTATGAAAGAACGAATTTAGTATGAAAACTGAAAGTATAGGAAAATCTCACTTAGCCTTAATATGTTTAATCGTTTCGTCAATAACATCTTTTTTTAATAAGGTCACTGTGCAACCTCCGAAACCGGCACCAGTTAAACGACTTCCCAAAACACCGTTTACTTCTCTGGCTGCTGATACCAACGTATCTAATTCAACAGAAGAAACTTCATAATCGTTTTTCAATGAATCATGACTTTCATTCATTAATTGTCCAAATCGTTTCATATCTCCCTTTACAAGAGCAGCTGTAGCATCAACTGTTCTTTGAATTTCTGTGATTACGTGACGAGCCCTTTTTAACAATATGTCGGGTACATTAAGCGATTCTAAATCTGAAAGTAAAATATAAATATGTAACTAAAAATAAAAAAATAATGTTACTTTTTTTCTTAGTTTCTCTATTCATTTTTCTTACACTCGAGGTCTTTTGGAGATGCATCGCGTAAACTGCTTTTATTTAATATTTCTGCTACTTTGTAACAATTATCCCTACGTTCACAATATGCACTTGAGCTTAATTTATGAGGAACATTCGAATTAGTAATGAGAAAAGCATAGTCATTTATATCTGATATAGGTATTTGCTTAGTACTAAGGTCTCTGCAGTCAAGAAGAAGAGCATAGCCTTCTTTTCCCATTACTGAAATAAACTGGTCCATGATACCGCATGGAACTCCAGCAAAATCATGTTCTGCCCGTTGACATGCTAATGCCTAAAACGTATTAGTAAATAAATAAGTTCATATTTTCTGATACAAGTGAAATAAAGATGAAAAATTGTATAATTATACTTTTTCTTCTGGTGTTTTTGATTGTACATTAGTTAATACTTCTAAAAATGTGTAAGTAGCAACTTCCAAAGCAGCTGAACTGCTAAGCCCAGCACCAACTGGTACAGATGATACAATCACTGCATTAAAGGATGGTACATCACCTAAAATTAATATTATTATATGTTACCAATAGAATCTTTAATAAAACAGCTTTGAATAAAAAAATAAATAAAATTAATCTTACACACAAAATGTGCTATACATCCTTTTATGTAATTGGCCCATTGTGGTTTGCCTGGTTTAATGGTATTGTGAGTACCAATTTCAAATTCAACTGCATTTTCCGATTTTACTGTCTCATTAAAAGAAATAATTTTAGTCTTTGTTCCATTATTAAGTTTTCCAGCTATGACTGTGACCATGGGCAAGGCCTAAAAATTATAGATTATAAATAAAAATTCTTATCTATACAAAAAACAGTACTGTATACATATATATCTAATATCCGTACAAGGTAATCAAACAGATATGATGACACTTAACAAGATAAATATAATTGACATCTTTGGTCTGAATTAAAAAAAATTTATCATTTAAAAAATAAAACGCATTTAACTCTGTTTTAAACTTGGGTACATACATCTAGCCATACCGGAAGGGCGGACGGTATGGGTAGATTCCATCTCGTACCATCAAAAAAGCGCCACGTCAAAATGATTTAATTGACTCTCGAAGAATAAGAACAGGTTTACTTATTTTATTCAAAAACATTAAGAATTTTACCATCGGTAACACAAATCCTTGGTTGTAATCGGTGTGTTCTCCAATCAAATTCACCCGACCTGGCCCGCAAACACAAATATTTGCATGTTCTCCAAATTTTTCTACGAATGCCTCTAAAGCCTTCGATTTCATTTCATTTACACCAAGCACTTCTGTTACCATGTTTTCCCGACTAAATCGCTTACGTTTGTTCAATTTCCAAGTAATCTGGAGCGAACTGAAGATAAGAATATCGAATACGTTGGACAACTAGAGTTGATATGCGAATTTACCACCTCTCTACCAGTCTTGTCAAGTGGTTCTAACAGTGACGGTAGTTAAAGGTCCTAACCTTTGTCGGTAGATGTTCATCGTATTTAATCGTACCAACGCGTCGGTAAAACAGCCCATGTTTAATCGAAAATTAAGTTGAACAGAAATTGATTTAAGAGCCACCTCGGTTATTGCATCCAACTAACGACATGCTATACTACGTTACCTTTCGCAAATACCTAAATGCCACATGTATGCTACGATAGCTATATGACCATGCATTCATTATTATTAATTTTCTTTCCGTAAAATTGTATTTGTAATGTGGTACACTTCAAAATCTTAAAGACATAGTTTCTGAAAAAAATATAACAGCGATTAAATAGAAAAAAAAAAGCATTTTCGCAGCCAATTCGCTCGTATTATTTGCTGCATAATTAATAAATGTACCATAGAAATAATGATACAGTTATTAATTAGTCATGAAATAATAACGATTGCCCAGGTCTCACCACGGGGAGGTTGCTGCGGGTGGAGACCCGCCCTACCTCGTCCCATCCACCCTCCATTTATGCAAATTTTTACTGTTATTCAATAGCATCATCCTCTTGATGTACATTTGCAAAACGTTTCGACTGTTGTGCAAACGACCACCAAAAGGAGCATTAATTTTATTTACTACCTACCTATCTACTTATCTATACATATATTTACGTAGATTTTTGCTTTTTATTCCTATCGCAACATTTTTTAATTTTGATTTTGATTACAGATCTGTAATTAATAAATATGCAATTGCATATTTGTCCTACATACTTATACTACTAAGAATATCTACCTATTCGAGCGCTCGTAATTATATTCAAAATTCGCTTAAATCAAACGCTTCCTAATTAAACACTGCAGTGTTTGACGATTATATCTTAATGACTATATACATAAACAAGTCCAATGAATTTGTTGATTTTGTTGTCCTCACCAGAATACTTCCTAAAATAAAACTGAAAAGGATTAAACATAATTTAAGAAAATAATAAGGCTCATGTGGCCTTAATCATAAATTCACAACCTGCCTGAAAGAAACAGAAAAGGATTAAATACAATTTTCGAAAATAGTAAGGTTCAAATATTACCACTTATAAGAATCATTTTTCCTTTTCAATCATTTTCACCTTCTTTCACTTAATTGGATACATTGAATTCCATTTATGGACGCTAGATTTTATATTACATTTCTTCCAATCGATTATCCGATATTATTATTTCATACTTCCTATAAAGATAAATATCTCTGTAACAGAAACTGATTAATTGAATCCAGATAAAGACAAAGAAAAATTAATAGCTGGAAAGAAGATACATTAGTAACAATAAAATTTTATTAAAATCAGAGTGGTTGTTAATAACTCAAAATCAATTTGATACGAAATATGAATTTAAAGCAAACTTCAGTACGAAAATAAAGAGAAAAAATATATATTTGAGTTAAGTAATTTGAATTAAGAACATTAATTATTTCATTTTATTGTATTTAGTATTTAATAGCACACAATAATTTAATTGAAACAACTGCCTTTTGCTGCAATATACATATAGTACGTAAAACCACGACTCTACTCGACTTTATTGCATTATATTATTCAATACACATTTCAATGCAAATTTATTGTAAATGAAAAAACTGAAAAAAAAATCACGAGTGGACTTTGCTTTTCAGGAAAAGAATTTGAAAATTTATAAAAGTAATTTAATTAGCTTCTCCGTAAGCTTGAAACAAAACATCGCGATCAAAAATTAAAACTGAACAACTCGAACAACAATTATCCACTACTTTTGTTTAAATAAAGTAAAATCAAAATTTAATAAGCTATCTCGAATGAACAAATATTCCTTGAAATAAATTATCACCAATCATCAAAAAATAAAATGAATTTCCATTTTAAATAAAACTTTGAATAAAGTTCTCTTTAAAACTTTATCGTATCTAATAATATCCTGAAAACATTAAATTCATATATTATTTAACAGTATTTCCAATAACCGAATGCTCAAAATTTTCAAAATTAAAAAATGGGAAGAAAAAAGAATGGGGGCATGGCAGTGGGAGGGAGGGTACAGGGGAACCTGAAAAGAAAAGAAAAGTTTGACTGCCCATAAGAGCAATCCCTAAGCAAACCCTATAAAACAAACCGAAATCACACGCAACACTAATTTTAAAATTGCAAACATTCTGAACTATGACAAAACATCGGCTGGCAACGAAGGGTCTCACGCCCCCTAGACTTACGCCAGACGCTACATACCACCCACCCCGCCTGGACGTCGTAACGCCAGGACAGAGTGCACCCCTTCGCTAAGAGCGCTACCCGCCCGTCCAACACGTTGCATCCAACGGTGTCAGATTGACGGACGCCCATAGTATAGACAAAAAGACTACAGTTTAGAATATGGTAACATATTTTCATATGTTCCGTATTCTAAAGCTGCGCCTGCAAAGGCCTAGTAATGCATGGGTATATCTCCCAGAGATGGTGTTCACGGTCTAAGGCCGCGGAATCCTTGACTAGCAATGGATTCCCACCGAATGTGAGTCATAGTTACTTCCACTAATTTAATAACAATCGCGAATTTAGTCGCAACACTAATTTCATTAATTATATAATATGTACAAAAGCGTACGCGTGAAGGCTGCTCCATTATACGCAACGCTAAGCTGAAAAAAAGAAAAAAAGAAAAAACGCGAACTGTAACGCAACACTACTCAAATCTACCGAATTTTGTAAGACGCAACACTAATCTAAAAAAAGGGTACAGCCAATCCAAGGCTGTACCACGGCAGCTGGTCCATAGCTGCCTTATGGACTATGGCAACTCCACTGGATCGTTTTTGGGCATTTCTAATGCAAAACGCGAATATTCATTACCGCAACACTAATTAGCAGGGAACTCTATAAACTAATGCAAAGCAATCGCGTATTTATAAGTCGCAACACTGGGAAACAATCGCGCTAATGTCATTCGCAACACTATCTTTAACAAACATGCAATTAAAATGCAGAAAAGGGGGATTCTCAAACCGTGAATTTTTTACTCGCAACACTAATTTCATTAATTATATAATATGTACAAAGCGTACGCGTGAAGGCTGCTCCATTATACGCAACACTAAGCTGAAAAAAAGAAAAAAAGAGAAAACGCGAACTGTAACGCAACACTACTCAAATCTACCGAATTTTATAAGACGCAACACTAATCTAAAAAAGGGGTACAGCCAATCCAAGGCTGTATCACGGCAGCTGGTCCATAGCTGCCTTATGGACCATGGCAACTCCACTGGATCGTTTTTGGGCATTTCATCATATATCGCAACTCTAATGCAAAACGCGAATATTCATTACCGCAACACTAATTAACAGGGAACTCTATAAACTAATGCAAAGCAATCGCGTATTTATAAGTCGCAACACTGGGAAACAATCGCGCTAATATCATTCGCAACGCTATCTTTAACAGACATGCAATTGAAATGCAAAAAAGGGGGATTCTCAAACCGTGAATTTTTTACTCGCAACACTAAAGCAATCAACATTAAAAAGCAAAACTCTGAAAAATCTTAAAGCAATCAACATTGAAAAGTTAAATTCTATATTAAAGTAATGCAAGAAAGAAACGCGATATTTTAAGTTCGCAACACTAAATTGAACCGTGGTCAATATTCGCAACACTAAATTGAAAACGCGATTTGCCCAAAATCATGGGGGTCACGGGCCCCCTCTTGTCCTGAAATTACAAAACTACAACTACAGGCAAGCACAGTGACAAAGTAGTAACGATAATCATTTCCCATCCTTTTTTGCAAAAGGATGCAAAATCATTATTAGTTCCCCTCTTGAAAGACAGTTTGTCGGGGCGCTTCGGCATATAGCCTTTTCTTTCTTCGGGCGGTCCACCCACCTGAAACTTATATCTAAAGCTCGAGACTTGCAAATTCGCAAAACAAAAAAAAAAGCAATCAACAAAAAAGAAAAATCGCGAAACTCTAATTGACACGTGGACGAAAAAGGACTTTATACATATAAGTCGTTGTTCGTGCACACGTGCCGTGCTCGAGCAGAACTTGTGCGTTTCGTATAATCGCGATCGCGTATGACGACTTATGAAGTCGCCAAAAATTTGAAAAATTGTGCAGATAGAATCGAAGACGAACGGCATACTCCGTTCGTATCGATGGTATCGTCAATTCTTCAAATATATTCCAGGTACAGGTTGATCACGCGAAATCGCGCCTACCCGACCAAGAGACTGTGACAACCTGTCCCGGCCCTACCTACTTACAATCTATCACACACACACACCAGAAGGTATACTACCTACCTACCTAACGCTATATTTAAAAAAGGCAAAATCACATTCTCACAAAAATTCATTCCACGACCCCCATACACTCCACCCGGGCGCAAGAGCCTAAACTAGGGAGAACGTCCCGGGACGCCTCCGTCACCCGAGTTTCATCTCACATCACACTCTACGGTACGTACCATTTTTCACTGAAATCGTCTGGCAAGGCTAGCAATCATTGCGTATAATGATAATTACAAAATTTAATTAGCTACTTTGATATAGAATATTTCATAGTAATGGTAATAGTAATGATAACAATAGTATTTGGTTTATACGTTCATCGTACATCTTGTTGAGTAAAATATTATTTCAAATTAAAAGTAAATGAAAAAGTTATTAAACCGACGCAATCCCACAGCCTAAACACACACACACCATATGTGGAGATTACGTCGTGCACGATATACTAACACAATGCCAGCCGCTTATTAATTATTATTCTTATGAACTAGGTCATCGTGCCCATTGCCTCTACCCATCCAAGTAGCACCTGGGCACGTGAATGGGCTTTGGGAATAAACACGGAAGGGGTTAAACCTGAAAATCCTGATCTAGAAACATGATTAGTACATAAACATCTAACGGGCTAATATTTCACTATTTTAATAAAAGTGACTCGACTTTGTAAATATAAAGCTTTAATAGCAAATACAGAAAAGTAAAATAGAGCAACTATGACGCAAACATGGTGCACTGCTAATATCAGCTGGCAACGAAGGGTCTCACGCCCCCTAGACTTACGCCAGACGCTACATACCACCCACCCCGCCTGGACGTCGTAACGCCAGGACAGAGTGCACCCCTTCGCTAAGAGCGCTACCCGCCCGTCCAACACGTTGCATCCAACGGTGTCAGATTGACGGACGCCCATAGTATAGACAAAAGGACTGCAGTTTAGAATATGGTAACATATTTTCATATGTTCCGTATTCTAAAGCTGCGCCTGCAAAGGCCTAGTAATGCATGGGTATATCTCCCAGAGATGGTGTTCACGGTCTTATGCCGCGGAATCCTTGTAACTAATTTCATTAATTAAATAATAAAAAGGATTGAGTTTAAAAACCAAAAGGATTCCCACCGAATACTAGTCAGTGCATCGTCATATTTACTCCCGCGCTGGAAACTTTTCGCAACACTAATTTAAGAAATGCAAAATTCTAATAAAAAAGAATTTAATGTCTCTAATTAAGAATTCTTTGTAGTGAAAAAAGAATTTATTGTGAAAATTAATAAAACATCCTCGGGCGACTCCCTCCTCAGAGTGAATTTTCAAGAATACGCAAAATATGTTGAAATAGATCACTCTGACTTGGAACTCTACCCGTCACGAATTGTCTTCTTGCACATAAATTGTTCATTTTCTCATGAACGTGTAAATAAGTTAAACTACTCGGAAAAAATTCTCAAATTATATTTGAATTTATAATGTACAATAACATCATTAATATGTATATCCAGTATACATATTACATAATACTATCAATATTAAATATTGCTTTGAACTTTCGCAATAACTAAGTCAAATACTATTTGACTTCTCTATTATAGACAAACTAAATAAAATTGTTTCGGTATTAAAATATTTCATATTCCACATTTATGAACATTTAAGAACATTTAAGAGCATTCATATATTTCATAAATATCTATTGGAATATGTGGAATTGAAATGATAATAAAACGCGGAGTACAAGAAGAGCTAGCCTAACTAAATGAAATGAAACAATAAAAATGTTACTACTCATGGGTATGTATAATCATACCCATGGTCACTATGCTTGCCAAGCACGTATACAACTAGTAGCCCGTGTCGATTCGGACCATTCGTCCTACGACATGATTGGGCACCAGAGGAACCATAAAACATGCGACTCACCGTTCGCAGATATACTCTTCTTCCGACAGTCAAACACCAGGTAGAAGGCTGCCTTGTAGGAGAAAACGGAAGTCGTGAAGAAAGCTGTTCATCTGTAACAAAGAAAGGAGAATTACGGTTAATTTTGAAAATTATCCATTTTTATTCTAATAAAATTATATATGAAATTGAATTTTATAAAATATTAACAATTAAAAAGAAATCTCAATTATCAAGTATTGAAATTGTAAATTATTCTATTTTAATAAAAAGCAATTAAGTGACGTACCAAGACGGAAGTCGTGAAGAAAACCATCATCAGGATATCCAGGAACTCGGCTAAATCAAAAAATTCATCTGTAACAAAACAAAAAAGAATTACGATTAATTTTGCAAATTATCAATTTTTATTCTAATAAAATTATATATGAATTTGGATTTTATAGCAATTAAAAAGAACTCTCAATTATTAAACATTGAAATTGTAAATTATTTTATTTGAATTAAAATTAATTTAAGTAATAAGATACTTACACTCTTTCCTTATGGAGCAACGCCCAAGACTCCTCTTCAGTGGTGCACTGACTCTAATACCGGATATATCGAGTAATTCAAAAAAAAGAATTGAAAATAAAAGTAAAGACTAGTAACGCGACCGTGAATAATTTCCGGCGTACAATAATTGTAGACTCTACTTTCGCGATGGAAAAAGAAAAATCAGAGCCACGATGCTCTAGAAAATATTTTATAATACGCAGTAAACACTGACTCTACTTTCGCGTGATTCCTAATCGTACAAACGCAACTCTAATCAGGGCCAGTTCGCCCTTGCAAAAATCAAAACATTGGAAGTGTGTTCGTACAAACACTGACTCTACCGACCGCATTGCGCGCGGCCACAACAATTCCTGAAAGAAAAACTTGGTGAGCAGGGATGGGCTGGGTGGAAATATACAAAACAACATTCTTCTTATTGAGCATTCGTAACGAAAATACTATTATTAATGGCTTGTAAATGAAAATATCTATGTTCGTGAAATATATTCGACGAGCACAAATATTTTTAAACCTGAATATTGATCCTAGATTGAAATGAAATGTTTTAAATAATTGTTGATAATTATTTTAATGAATATTACTATTTTCATTTAAACTTGCATCGAAAGCTGGATATTATAATATAATTACTACGATTTAACAAAAATAGATTGTTTAAAATAATTTATAATTGCAGAAGAGAAGCAATCATTTGCAGTAAAATACGAATTATTTCAATTATGTTCTAATTTAAAACAAACTATTTAATAAAATGAAAAATTAATTATTCTTTTCCTATGAATTGATTAAAGAACAAAAATATCTCTAATCTTTTCTTTCTTGGTACCTTGGTACCAATTAACTATCAAAAAACAACGACTCAATGAAAAAAAAGTAATAATAAACGTTAATAATTGATTAGAATAAATTAAAACAATAAATTCTTATGAAATTATATTGCAAACCCATATCAGGTGTCGTGGCGTCCTTTCAAAATCTATCAAATATCTGTAATAAAAAAGAAATACGAATTTATGTAAATAAAATTTAATCAACAATAATAAAGTTATTATTAATAAACGATCGAACTATAATTGATACAAAATATTTTAATGGATACAATGTGTACCTATTATTTATGCGGAAGGCTGCTCTCAACACGTCCTGTCAGTTCGACGCTCGAGAGAGCAATGGCGAGACCTTCCTTCCCATCGTAGACCGGTCGGCACTTCGGCAACACTCGGAAATGTTCGGTATATTCTGCTATCGGCCGATACCTAACGAAGTACACGAACAGGTCTAAACAGAAATAATATTACGATGCTCAAGAAAAAACGTTATTAAATTACAAATTGTATGAAACAATACGAAAAATATTCAATAATGTTCAAGAAATTACTGATATAAACGGAAAATAATTCAGATTCTGCTGTTCGAATTCTATTGTGAATTCACAGCAAGGGCAACAAATGTCAACTCACGTATTTTTAAAGATAACCTCGAATTAATGTCAAAAATCAGGAATCTAGACTTCTCTCCAGCTATTCTTTCTATTTTTTGTACTTTTAACACTCGAAAGACAATTTAATTTAATGTTTGAAGATAATTTAATCTTACCTGTTGCAGACACGTGGAAATCAGACGAAGCTTCGAAGAGGAATGCTGCACTGCGCCACAAATCGACGCACTCGCTCACACAACGACGAGTCTGATTGGTCGAAATAAGAGGACGCCAACATGGCGCGACCAATCACAGCCATTGATAGAAGTTTCAAAGTGCTTCGAAACTTTAATACTAATCGTAAGGGAAAGGTTCGTTAAAAATTATCAACGCCATATTGAAATAAAGTCAACATTACTTTTCTCAACTTTAAACACCAAAATATAGGAAACAAAGTAGAAAAAATATAAGATATTGACGGGATTTGAGAAATTATTGATATAAAAGCAGAATAAATGAAGGAAATGTTAGTTTAATTCGTATTTATATCGCTATAATAGTAAAGACCGAGAAAATTAATTATCACGATATATAACGATAAATTACGGGAAAAATGTACTAAAAACATGAAAAAATACAAAAATATTCGAAAAATTATTGATATAAAGGGAAAATAATTCAGATTCTATTCTTCCAACTTCATTGTGAATTCACAGCAAGAGCAACAAATTTCAGCTCACGTATTTTTAAAGATAACCTCGAATTAATGTCAAAAAACAAAGAGCTAGACTTCTCTTCGGCTATTCTTTCTCTTTTTTGTATTTTCAACACCCGAAAGACAATTTAATTTAATATTTGAAGATAATTTAATCTTACCTGTTGCAAACACGTGCAAGACGGACGAAACTTCGAAGAAGACTGTTGCACTCCACCACACTCCGCGCAACGCACCCTTTAACGATGAATCTGATTGGTCTAAATAGGAGGACGCCATAATGGAATGACCAATCATAGGCATTGGTAGAAACTTCGAATTGCTCTGAAACTTTAACATTAAAAGAATGGAAAGATTCGTTGAAAATTATCAACGCCATATTGAAATATGGTCAAAATTACTTTTTTCACTTTAAAGCACCGAAATATAAGAAAAAAGATGGAAGAATACATAAGATATTAATGGTATTTAATAAATTATCACCATAAAAGCAGAATAAATGAGAAATATGTTATTTTAATTCGTATCTGTATCGACAAAATAGAGTATAAATTTTTAACTTACGCATTTCTGAAGACAATGTGGAAATGATGTCAGAAGTCACGACTCCGGTCTTCTCTTCAACTTTGTCTTCTGTTTTTTTGTATTTTTGATACTTAATACACAATTTCTTTGCAATCTGTTCAGCAAGAACGAAAAAAGGTGAGAACTCGGTTCTGGGGATTTTTCTAGGGACTGTTGATGAAGTTTTCAACGCTTGCCTTTCATCGCGTTAAGACCTTTTATGCTTTTATGTTGCAGCTAAATCAATTGTAAGATGGTAAATAATTATAATTATTAACTAAATCATCACCTTTTGTTTATATAATAACATAAGTTACATGTATTTACCCTTCCTAGGCTATTGAAATTTAAGTTTATTAATGTTTATATGGGAGCCGGTCATATTTTTCTATTATATCAGGGTTATGTTCTTTCGTGCAATAATTGCTTTCATGTTTTTCATTTAATTGCATCATAAAATTTTGTTCTTTTGAACGTAACACATTACATTCTATTCTTTTAAAATTACATATAAAAATATTAATGTGTTAAACAGTTATTACATGCAGAAACAATGTGTTCACGTAACGTGGTAATACTTAAGTATTATTTATAATAATAATTTAAACTGCTGTTAAAAAGTTATTGTTTAAGTGGAAGATATTGAAGAAGCAATCATTTTTATGTAATGGAGTATAAAAAGAAACATCCTAACTGTATTATTTTTAATAGTTTCAGAATTTTGCAGTATATAGAGCCAGTCTTATTGGTATAACAAGATCTGCAAGGTCTAAAAAGAAAGTTTCTAAGGATCATTCAATTACACGTTGTTATAATGTTTTTGTACAACCACAGATACCTCGTATCACAAATGTACACGGTTTATCAGTGAGTTTCTTTTTAAGATACTCTGTGAAACAATTATATAGATCTGATTAATTATAGTTTGTCTTTTTAGATTAGATTATATTCTAATCCAGCAAGAAGGCCTAGCTTTTTTGCTCAATTCCTTGAGAATATCAAACAGGAAATGCAAAAGAATAAAGAAATGAGAGAGTCCTTAAAAAAATTTAGAGAAGAAGCAGAAAAACTTGAACAGTCAGAAGCATTACGTTCTGCAAGGCAAAAATTTCAGACAGTTGAATCTGAAGCCACCAAAAGTTCTGAAGTTATTAAAGAAAAATTAGGATCTCTAAAGGGAAAGGTGAGGGTAAAAGATAGTATTTTATTAAATTAATAAAGTTTGTACACATATTGGTTAAATTACATGACATAGGTACAAGAAGTTCTTGAAGAAGCAACTAAAACAGAATTAGGTAAAAAAGCTGGACAGTTAGGTGAAGAAATAACAAAGTCTGCAAAAGGAGCAGCAGAAACATTATCTGAAAAAAGTCAGGCACTGGGTAAAACCAGTGCATTTCAAACGATATCACAAACTGCAGAAGCTGTACGCGAAGAATTAGATCATCATGGAATGCATGGTAAATTAACCTTGACAGTCATTTATAGAAATAAGTGGTAATATATTTTATGAAATTTGTAGGAAGAGTATATGTTCCACCTAAAAAATTGAGGAAAAGAAAGGATGTAATGGAAACTGTAGATGATAAGCGTGTTCAACCAAATGAAGAAGCTCTGGGTGTTGAATTACACAAAGATTCTAAATTTTACCAATCATGGCAAAATTTTAAGGTATATATCTAGAAATAATGAATTTATATTACATACTTGTTAAGTTATTCATGCCCAATAATTACATTTTTTATAGGATAAGAATCCATATGTAAATAAAGTTCTGGATTGGAAAATAAAATATGAAGAATCAGACAATCCCGTAATTCGTGCTTCCAGGTTATTAACTGAGAAAGTAACAGACATAATGGGTGGATTGTTCCAAAAAACTGATCTTTCAGAAACACTTACAGAAATATGTAAATTAGATCCTAGTTTTGATAGAGTACAGTTTTTGAAATATTGTGAAACAGATATTATTCCTAATATTCTTGAAGCTATGGTAAGAGGAGATCTTGACGTTTTAAAAGACTGGTGCCATGAGGCTCCATATAATTTAATAGCACAGCCATTAATGCAAGTAGAAAAATTGGGATATCGTTTAGATAATAAAATTTTAGGTATTCTCTTATTTTATATAACAGTTTGTTGTTTTTTTATACTGTTACTCTATTTAAGACAATATACTCTGTTTTCAGATATCAACAATGTAGATTTAATAATGGGTAAAGTAATGGAACAAGGTCCAGTTTTAATAATCAGCTTTCAGTGTCAACAAATTATGTGTGTGAGAGATGCTACAAATAAAATTGTGGAAGGAGATCCTGACAAAGTAATGCGTGTTAATTATATTTGGGTGTTGTGTCGTGATCCTACCGAACTCAATCCAAAAGCTGCTTGGCGCTTACTCGATCTTAGTGCCACTAGTACTGAGCAGTTTGTGTAGTGTACAATTTAGACATAAATTTAGTTAAAGCTGCAAAAATTAATGTGAATACATGACTAAAGAATAAGTGAAAACTGACGTGTGTTTACTTATTGCTTTCAATTGAATTATATTGGAAGAAGTAATCATCATTAGGATTTACAACTTGTACATTAATCCATCAGTGATGGATGTTAACTTCTGTGACTTGAACAATGATATTTGATATACATAAAGTTGTATATCTATGGTTTAAGCTACAGAATTTCTATAAAATCTGCAGAATGTTTTGATTTAAATGTAGCAAATAAAAATAAGGTGCATTATCAATGTTCATTAAAACAGAAAAATTTATCATTATTACAATTTATGATTTTTAGAGTTGCAATCATGTTTATACATGTATGATGCGTTTATATCTATGGAAAAAATGATGTAAAAATGATGGTAAAATCAATTCTGTATATATTTAAATATTGACATTAAAAACGTTAAATAATAGGGCCTAAGAGAAATTATGTCAAATGCCAAATATGTGTTTAGCACAAGTATTTTAATTACTAAAAATAATGTAAAAATTTTATGATTGATCAAATGTTGTATATATTTAAAAGAAAAAGTTCATGTTTATAATAGTACATTAAATGCATAGTTTATGAATAAAACCATTATTTTTTAAAATTTGTAACATGTGAATTGAAGTCACTTGTTTTCAAATTATAATAAATTCTTACAGATAATGTGTTGTCTATACATTTAATATTTAAAACTAAAAAACATTATAACATGGAAGCTCAAATTTCTTTTCTACTTTTATCTCAATTAATTCAGATGATTTATTAAATAATTATTAGTTAATAAGCCAATAATTAAGTGCTGATTTAGTAGTTTATAATAAAATTAATTTACACATATATATATATATATTTTTTTTTTTCTTTTTTTTTTTTTAATTCCTTCTTTATTATATTGCTGTCCTCTGGTTATTGGTTCCTTCTATAATCTTGTTTGTGGGAACTTAAAAAAGTTGATATCTTTTTACTCTCTCAAATATTATACAAAATTATTGTTAAGTTTCTATAAATTATATTTAATGACATCATAAATGTATTATAGCATCCTTATTAAATCATTGTTGCCCAATTTGTATTGGGTTGCATGTAGTTGAATGTTCTGGCAAGATAGAAAATTCTAGCAAATAAACTACTGCTAGTTGAAGTACAAATACATAGCCATACTGGTTGTTGTTTAATGCAAAAATAATATTTCTATACTGTATTAGTTGTAAAAAATGAAAATTCGTTGAACAATTTCCCAATTTGGTATTACTAAAAATATAGACAACTGCAGTAGTTGGGCTGCCATTACGGACAGAATCCGCCATGATGCATAGTAGTGTTTTACAAACCAATTCGATAACATGATCGAAGCATCTGGACTGTCTATTGTATTTTCATAAAAACGATTGTTCGTTTCATGAATATTAAATTTACATATGATTTTCATTGATCCGTGTGTAAAATTAAGTTTGCGTTAGTGCAAATCAGTGTGAATTTTTAATGCATTTATGAATACACCGAATATAGTTTAGTTCGTTTGCTTTCAAGAACACGTAACTGGTTGTTTCTTCAGAAACATGGCTGAATATCGTTCCAATGGTGTGGTGAAATTGTGTGTATAGAATTATTAAAACGTCATTTTGATCTTAAATACATTTACGCACTAACAAAATGACATCGATACATTTTGTTGTGCATCCGTTACCGGGAACAGACGATCAGTTAAATGATAGGTAAGGAAACATATCCATTATCGGTTTCCCATTAATGTATCTTTTTGGTATGTCTGTCTCTTCCCCGTATTGAAATCATTCCATCATTGTTCCTTCTTAAACATCTTTTTCTTTTTAATCGGCGTATGTTCTTTTCTTTTTTCTTCAATTTTATACGTCACCAGTAACAATATTTATGTGAATATCGATATCTTTAGCGAATAATTGAATAATCTTACATGTATCGTTTGAATGTTACAAGTTTGTTGTCACGTTATTTCATTTCTATTGAATAATACGTATGAATGTATTGTTTGCGTCATAGATTATCGTGCATAAGGATTTAACTATCATTGTTTGCAGTTACTTAAATAACAGAAAAATTACACATATGTAGTGTAGACAAAAAGAAAAAAATGTTTTCCCAAGTTCCCATTATTCATTGTATTTGTAACTTACAAGAATAAATATGAACATTCTTTTAATATAATAAGCGATATTTTTGGTACAAATGAATTTATTTGCATTAAATACATATTGCAGAATGATTCATTTATTTTAATTTTAACGATTAATATTACATTTATTAATATTACAAAAGTACATTTATTATTTTAATTATCTTTTCTATAGATTTATTTTTTATATTGCAGCTTTTTAATTGAATTTATAATCATTGACAATAATAAAATAATTTTCTAGTTATGACTTTATGAGTGTTTCGGTTATTCATGTATAAAAATAATATTCACAATAATGTATTATAATCATTAGATATTAAGGGATTACCATAAATATTTAATTTACACAAATATTACTACTACTACTACCAGTATTTGATATATTATAAAGAATTTAAAATAAATTATAATTGATATATGTACTTGTATGTATATTAGTTTCTTTGCTTATTTAACAATTGAACTATAATATAAATACAAATTGTTCGTTTAGGTTAAAGGAAGTGGCAGAAAAGATCAACAGATATGGATTTGTCACATTACCAGCATTTAGCGGACTAAAGATCGCGGTAAAGCGCATTGTTGTTGGACCAACGCATATTGCCCTTCTTACCGAGGATCATAAAATTTGCAGAGTTGCGTTTACAGTATTGTCAGACAGACTGGACTTGAGTAAAAATGAACCAAATAGAAAGTAAGTAATATCTAATCACGTATATCCCTTGTTGTCACGATAATATAACGATAGTTACATGTTGTATCGTTACTTTAGCACAAATAAAAACCATGTTGGCAACTCCAATTCGGCACCAAATAACGGTAACAGCAGTGGAAGTGGAAGCAGAGCGGGAATGTCTAGATCTCGTGCAAGAATTATGCGCGGTAGTTCTGCTATCCGAGGAAGTGGCAGCAGTGGAGGAAGTAGTAGCGGAGGCAGGATAGGGCCTCCAGGTGTAATTATGGGTGGTGGAAGCGGTAGCAGCTCGCGTCCTATCGCATTGGTACCTGCTCCATTTGTCCCAGAAGATCTCATTTCACAGGCTCAAGTGGTATTGCAAGGAAAAAGCCGCAATCTTATTATTAGAGAATTACAGGTGTGGTTTACATATAATAATGATAACGGTGATCAGTGTTTTTCAGTAGAGACATTCTCTGTATTAAAGATTTAACTTGATATTAAAATATATTTTATAGCGTACAAATTTAGATGTAAACTTAGCAGTAAATAATTTACTGTCACGAGACGATGAAGAAGGCGATGATGCAGAAGATGCGGCAGATACCTATGTTCCAGAAGATCTTATTTCGTTGCTAGACGGTGGATTTAGTAATGAACATTCTGTTATAATTGATGCAGATTCTATGTTCTCTGAAGACATGCTTGGATATACAGGAATGAGAAAGTAATCACTATTGTTATTGTTATTGTTATTTTTATTTTTTTTTATTAGCTGTTTGTTGGAAGAGATAGATGGATAGATTTTTATCTTTTTTCAGCCGTGGAAATTCTTCGCGCAGAATAGGCAACGATAGGGAGGGTGAACGTGCATCCGAGCGAGACAGAGATCGTGATAGTTTTAGTAGATGGAGAGATCGTCAGTATTGTGGACCACGGCGTTGGTTAGAAACAGCACTCAAAGAATCTTGGGAAAAAGATTCTGGTAATGATCTTAATCTTTCGAAAAAATCTATTTTCTAATAAATCGTCAAGTCGTAGCTGCTAATATCTTAATCATATTTTTGTTTTAATTCTTCAGATAACAAAAAGAAAGAATTAGCTTCTCAAAGTCCATTATGGATATCAGAGGAATTGGAGTGGTGGCACGAACGTAGTAGCGATCCTGCTCCACGTTTTGTACAAATTGCTTCACTTTACAGCGAATTAATTGCAGTTTCTGCCGGAGGACAATTATATCAATGGAAGTGGTCCGAATCTGAACCGTACAAAGATCCAGAGGTAATTACCAGAGGAGAAGAATTTATTTGTGTTTTATAAAAGCAAACTAATATATAAAAACTTGTCTTAGAATCCAAATATACATCATCCGAAAGCTCCGTGGTTAGCGATAACATCAGAAAAGATAGTTAACATATCCGCAACAGCAATCCGTTGTTCTGTCAGCACTGAAAGTGGCAAAGTAGCTACTTGGCTCGATGAGCTTCTGGGACATGTTGCTTCTCGTCTTGAACATCCAGCTCAAACTTTTACTGAATTTACATTGGATAAAATAGTATCCCTTCATACTTGTGCTCTGTACACTGTTGCCAGACTTGAGAGTGGTGCACTGTACTGGTGGTTAGTTGAAATATCATGGTTATTTTTAACTAATTTTGTTTTAAATAAGTGGACTTGATACGAATATAATTATTTATTTATTTGTGTTTATAGGGGGGTGTTACCGTTTGCGCAACGCAAAAAATTATGGGAAAAATATAAAGCTAAATCACGTAAACATAGACCATCTACAATATCGAACGATATTAGTTATGGAACCCATGTTTGCATGAAAAACAGTCCTATATATCAACCTGGCGCGATAGGTAAATTACGAGAAGAGAAAATTACTTGCATAGGTTAATCTGCGTAATTTCATATCGACATATTTTTGTAGGATTTACAATTGCCAATGGTGTTCCAAAAGTGGGACAGTTATTAGTAGCAGCTTGGAATTTAGATGACACTTACAGATTTAAAATATTACCGGCTGGAACTCACTTACCTAGTGCTAACGTAGACAAACGCGAGACAAATGGAAATAACGGAACGGGTACTATAAATAAAACCAATCATAAAGAAACTGCTGACCGCCTTGACATGCCTCCACCTCCCTCGCCAGCTTCGAGCACTTGTAGCGATACTGGTAGCATCACAACAAGTCACAGTAAGAATTTCTTGAAATTAATTTGTTAATAGTTCATCGATTCGATTCAAAGCGATTCTTATTTGAGTGAGAAAGAAAAAAAAAATACAATTTACGCGATTCTTTAATCTTGTAGAAAGACAGAAGCGAGTTACGCCTAGAAATGAAGGAGAATCGGAAAGAAAAGACGAGGAGGATTGGCAGTTAAAGGATGTCGTTTTTGTGGAAGACGTAAAAACTGTACCCATTGGTATGTTTTATGTATCGAATAAACAACTGGATACCTTGATATTTAACAATCTTTTTTTTGTTGTTTTATATATTTAGGTAAAGTTATAAAAGTTGACGGTTGTTATGTTGCTGTAAAATTCTTTTCGAAAGATTCAAAGGAGAAAGAAAAAGAAATTAAGGAAAAGGATTTCAACACATCAGATTTTAAAGACTTAACAGCTGAAGAGTCGATCAAATTACTGGCTGATTGCAGATTGTTGAGAAAAGATGAATTACGGGTAAATGAAACGATTAATTCAGTATATATAATGTCAGTCGAAACAATCGGGAGGATAGTAATACCTACTATTCTGGAATGATGTTTTCAGGTAATAAAATCGTCAATGAACCCAAGAGCTCCAGATTGTTTTCAACGTACTCCCAGAAGAGTGAATATTGTTGAAGGATCAAATGATAATATCTTAACCATTGCTACAGATGGACAAGGTATTTCTTTTAAAGTATCAGAGTATTATTTATAGCAGCCTTATTTTAATGATTAATAATTGTTGAACAGGTATTCATGCTATCCTAAAAACTGGAAATAAATTGAGTTATGTCGTATATAATTTAAGCACTGGAAGATATGTACAAGATTGCTATATTCCATCAGATACCTCATCATTCTTAGGTTTACAGCCTCAAAATATCAGTCTGACAAGCGCAGGAGAGGTAAGGTTTTTGTAATAATTATTTTGTTTCTTTTGCAGTATACGTTTAATTGATATTGTACAGATATATACATAATTGAATATTATATTGCAGAACATTGAATGTTCTATGATACTTAGAGACGGAAATAATGCTATTTATCCGTTAGTAAAAGATTGTGCCGATGCTATTCGTGATCCAAATTGGCTAGATCTAGTTCCGGTACTTTGTATCGGTGCTTCGACCATTCCTATACCAACCTGTTCTAATTCGACCAACATGAAAAACCAAGTTGCAGTTATTGCATTAGCATTTGATAACCTTTTACTCATGCCGCGTATACTGAGATGCGATTATGATAGCGTTAAACAAGTATTCTGTAATTTAGAACAAGATCACAGTAAGTATCGAAGAAGATATTTTCTTTTTCTTTTTCTTTTTACGATGTTTGTTAGAAAAATATTAAATATACTACTGTGTTTTACTTTAGAAAATAATTCAGCACAACTTCAGACAATATTAATGGAGCGCTGCGATGGTAACCGTAACATTTTACATGCTTGTATCAGTATGTGCTCACCAACTTCGAACAAAGAAAATGATCAAGGTATCGAACGCGAATTAGTCCAAAATACTGTGGATGGTCCGTCAGCGCCGATCGAAGAACCGATTCCAACTTTAAGTTGGCCGCCGGAAGCGTTTGATAACACTTCCGGCGAAGAAGATAGCTTGCTTAGCATTGGTGCTGCCAGTATCTCTATGATGAATAAATCAGGTAAAAGTGTATTGAATGCCTTTCCATTTTTATTATTTTTATAATATTTCGTATCATAAATTATTAAAAATAAGTATTATTTTTCTTTAGGTGTTGGAGCAACATCAAATAACACTTATATCATAGACTCTGTTGAAAGAAGGAACAATGCATTGCTTATATTAAAGTACATGTGTGAGAGTAGCGTACTGGCGCCCCATCTGAAGGAATTACTCACAGCAAAGTAACTATTTTTCATTCGTTGATAATTAAAAAGATAATTTAATCATTTTATAGAAATACAATTTTAATCTATGCATTTTATAGGGATGTTCAAGGTCAAACGCCATTAATGCTTGCTGTCTCAGTCCGTGCATATCACGCAGCCCTGATTTTATTGGACACTATTCAAAGAGTTGGGAGAGATCAGAAAGAATGTTCAGCAATGATACTTCCTACCGATGCCAATCCAGATTTGTCACCGTTATTCGTCACTTGCTGCAACGATACTTGTAGTTTCACCTGGACTGGAACCGAGCATATCAATCAAGATATTTTCGAGTGTCGAACTTGTGGATTGACCGAATCTTTATGCTGTTGCACAGAATGTGCTCGCGTTTGTCACAGAGGACACGATTGTAAAATGAAAATTACTTCTCCCACAGCTTACTGTGATTGCTGGGAGAAATGTAAATGTCGAGCTCTGATTGCGGGTCATCAAGGTGCCCGCTACGAACTTCTTTGTCGACTGGTAGTGAACACTGATCTAGCCACGAAAATAAACTCGAGGGGAGAAAGTATTTTACTGTTTCTAGTTCAGACTGTAGGAAGACAGTTAGTGGAGCAACGACAATGTCGTTCAGCACCCCGACAACGTTCAACGTCTGCAAGTCGCAAAGGACCATCCTCCGATGGCTTGAGCGCTGATTCAAACATGCCGGATCATGACTTGGAACCTCCTCGTTTCAGTCGAAAAGCTTTGGAAAGATTATTGAACGATTGGCCAGCAGTTCAATGCATGATAATGTCAGGCGTATCTGTAAATGGCAATGATCAATTGTTCGGCGATCAAGGACAATTGTGCCGTCAAAGTGGAACCGCGTTGCTTGACAAATTTACTCATTCGCTGTTGGTTAAATGCAGTGCCGAGATGCTGGATACTTTACTGACAACGTTGATACGAGAGTTACAAAATGATACCGTACCTGGACGACAAGAAGAAGCGAATAACGTTGCGCGTCGATTTGTTCGGTCTGTAGCTCGAATATTTGTCATTTTCACGATAGAAATGGCACCAAATACGACAAAAAGAAGAGGCACCAGTCAGGCATCACAGCCCTTGATGAAATGCCGTAAAGTTTTCCAAGCACTTATCAAATTAGCAGTGGAAGAACTATGCGAAACTGCCGACTCGTTGATAGCACCTGTCAGGTTAGGCGTCGCCCGTCCAACGGCACCCTTTACATTGACCAGCTCGGCGATAGAAGTGATCAATGGTTCGGAAGAATTGTTCTCTATAGAACCATTGATACCTCACAGTGGTGTTAGTTCTCAAACCTTAGACGCTGCTTTGCAAACGCAACAAGGAAATAATAATATAGCTATAGCCAGAGACGTTTCTGCCATCGATGAAACGGAAGGTGGCGAAGGTATATTTTTTACGCATTAATTATTATTTCTCTTCTTATTTTTTTTTTTTTTTCTGAAATTACACCAGAAAAATTGTTGTTTTGAAAAATGATAGAAGGTCCTATGGATGTGGATGGTGATATAAGCGAACACGAAGAATCTGGAGTTTCTGGAACAGTTGCTGGCCAACCGATGGGTGAAATTGATAGCAATGCTGGAGGCGTGAGCGAGGAACAAGCAGGAGACGGCGAATCCGATACAGAACTGGATCTGTTGGCGGAAGCGGAAACAGAATCGGATTCTGACGATAATCACAGCAATCAAGACGCAGCATCTGCCCAACGGAGTGTGCAAACTGGTGCTACCGCAGGTTCCGATGGTGGAATGGGATCCATTTTGTTATTCCCAGAGGATGAGTCCGGTGAATCGAGCCAACAGGAGGACGATGAAAGTGAAGCTGGAGAAACCGACGAACAGGATAACGAAGATTTCCAAATTGGTGACGAGCAATTGGAGCGTCGAAGGTAAAAATACTTTTCCGTAGCAGTAAGGTTCAAACACATAGGCACAAGCACAGTTTTGAAGAATCATTTAGAAAATAAAACTTGTTATATTACTAATATCTTATTACAGCGGTTCGTCTGGTCATTTACACCGCAATAATCTCGCGCCTGTTTCGATGCAATGGGCAATCCGTAATCGCGAAACAAGTACACGCACAGCAGGATTACGGGTAACAGGTGGCAGTAATCTGAGTTTCATTGACTCTGCATCTTTAAGACGTACTACTGCAACATCTGCTGTTGCAGCTGCACAAGAGCCCATTATTATGGGCACTACTACAAGTTGTTTGGCACGTGCATTTGGAATTGTAATTCGACAGATAACTGATCTTTTAGTTATGATGCAAGATTACAAAACACTGGCACCTTCTTTGCCACGACTGATGGAAATCACTTACCAGGATGCACTGAATCTACAGGTATGATATTTTCTCATTAATATTTTTATATCGAATATATTAATATCGATAATGGTTAAACGTTAAAACTAATATAAACTTGAATAATTATAGATGTATCTTGAATCACATTTAAAACCCACGTGGGATTGGTTGCTCACAGTGATGGATGCCACAGAGGCACAATTAAGATTTGGAGTATCTTTGACACGTAGTGCTGATCCTACACATCCAGAACATCCATTGAACAATGCTCCATCTTTGTCTGGAGGCAATTTCACTGGATTATTGAACACAGCCGCTTTATCTTTGACATTGCAATCCAATGCAGGTCGGAATCAACGCAGTGGTATCGCTACGAGCTCCAATATCTCCACTCCGCAAGCTTCTACAAGACTCACCGTTGGTTTTGCAGGCGGTGGTGAACCTTCGAGGAACAGTAGAGAACGTGAGGGTACATATATCTGTGAACATAGTACACTTGTTATCAGTACTACAATGACTAGAGCGAATTAGATTTTTTATAGAAGAGTGTCATTTTTTCTTTCATTTTTAGGTGGTGATGCACATTCGGCAAGGCGTGAATTTTTATCCTATTGCTTGTCATTGATGCGTGCTCACAACAGCGAACACAGAGATAGCTTGCCGGTATTAGACGTTTCTGCTTTGAAACATGTTGCTTACGTTTTCGACGCGCTAGTCTATTACATGCGTGCACTTTCTGAACCGATGTCATCTAGAGGAGAGACTCAAAAAGAATCATCAAACTATTCCAGTTGGAACGATCAGGTTTGTGCTATATTTATTATTGCTTTATCAACATAAAACGTAATTTGATTTTATATATGTATATGTATATATCACACACACACCACACACCACACACAGGATGAAAATGACAATGACGAAGGAGAAGAATACAATTGTCCGGTTCCTACCGCGCTAGAAACAGACTCCGTCGATTACCCTGATCTACTTCAGGTCCCTATTTGCGGCTCCGGAAATAACAGTAACAGTACGCCGAAAGGAAGGAAACATCCCTTCTTGCAGAGATCAGATTCTACGTTATGCCTTGGTTGTCCGCCTCTCGATCCGTTTGATACTGTCATGAGCGAGGCTTTACCTTTAGCTGACCAACCGCATTTATTGCAACCCCATTCGAGACGCGAGGATCTTTTTGGTATTCCAAGACAGCCATCCACGAGTTCAGGTTCTAATCAAAATAGACTAGAGGGATTGCCCACGAGGCTTGGTCTATCTGCGCGAGGAACTGATAATCAGAATACTCCAACGCCAACGTTCAGTCAAGTGATTCAGGGACCTGCTTTCATGTCATCGGATGGAAAGCGTAGTTCCATGTCAGCTGGAGATTCAAAACACGTGGTAATATTTCTTCGTAATAGTTCGCTTACATCTTTTATATATGTTTTTTTTATTTTTTATCGTTTTTTCATTGAAACATTTTATTATAAATTTTATTCTATTGTTGTAAATGATTGTTACAACAATAAGCTTCTTCTTGTACATTCTTACATTCTCATCATATTTCTTCTGGTATGTTTCTGTGTTAAAAAAATAAAATGTGTGGATCTGCTTTCGATATTGTAGGAAAAGGCAAAACCATTTAATCAAACGAATGATAATCATACACTTGTCGCGGAACAAATCGATCGGGCCCCGATTATAGTTTCTACTAATAATCAAAATGATCAAGCAGCAGGAAGTACCAAAAATAATAAGGATGCATGTAAAATGAATAGAAGCGTTATTGTTAGAGCTGGAACTGTTTCGGTAAATATGTGATGTTTCAAATTAAAACCTGATAGAAAATTTATAAAAATCCCAAAATACATAAATATTGGATAAATTTGGAAAATATTTTTTTCATATACTAATTTAATATTACTATTTTAAAGGAATCGAATGCAAATAAAGCAGGTGCTTCAGAAATGATGGTGGTGTCAAACGAGATGCAAAATGTATCAGAAGAGACAGATCAATCGGCTTCCAATCATGAAACATCAACAGCACATGAAACAGTTGAAACAAATCCAGTTCCATCTATTGGCACGAATATATCGCACAACATTTTGTTGGGCCGTTGGAGATTGTCTCTCGATTTATTCGGACGAGTTTTCATGGAAGACGTTGGTTTGGAAGCTGGTTCAGTCGTCTCCGAATTAGGAGGTTTCCCAGTAAAAGAAGCAAAATTCCGTAGGGACATGGAGAAGCTTCGTAACTCACAACAAAGAGACATTAATTTATTAAAAGTAAATAAATTTAAACAAACTTGTACGATACTGGTACACATTGTGTATAATACGTCTCTCTATTTAAGGTTGAACGAGACAGAACGCAGCTATTAGTGCAGACAATGAAGGAATTAAACACACAGTATAATTTATATAATAGGCGTGCCTCTAATACACCGCCGTTAGCAGTGAGTCGTGTTAAAGTGATTTTCAAGGATGAACCCGGCGAAGGCTCTGGAGTAACTAGAAGCTTTTATACTGCAATCGCAGAGGTTTGTAATATTATGATGGAAAGAAAATTCATGGTTGCTCTTATCGTGCGAATGAAATTATTCCTTTTTATTTTTCTATCGAAAACTAAATGTTTGGCATGCAAGTATGGCGTAAAATATAAAGTTTCTGTGACAATTTTAATATGACCAGCGGAAAAGTGCAAACGCTATACGCTATAATAAGAAAAAGTTTTCCAGAAAAAACTATTACCAATTATTGTATTGCTTGAACCATTTCAATTATTTTTTATTTGCAACGTTAGCACTGTTTCTGCTCGTCTTAGAAACTAATATGGATTCCTATTTTCCATAGGCATTGCTTGCAAACGAAAAACTGCCCAATCTTGAAGCAGCCCAAGTAGGCTCCAAATATACGCAATATAATGTGCTTCAGAAATTAAAAAGTAGAGACCGTGATCGTGATTTAAGACGACAAGTTAGTATATAATTATTATTATTATTATTATTATTATTACTATGTAAAAGAAGAAGAAGATGAAGAAACATGTTTATATTCTTTTTCTTCCAGAATCCTCGATCTTCTGGAAAATGTCGAGAGACGCGAAGATTATCGTTCGAAGCTCGTGCGTTTCATCCATCCACGTCTGTCGAAGGAAGTAATAATTCTGGTGCTGGTAGTTCGTCCTCCAATTCCCATCCGCTACCTGTTAGTCATCCAAATAACGATCACTTGACCATGCATCAACAACAACTTGGGGATAGACTGTATCCAAAGGTAAATGATATAATCGCAATTATCCTATTGTAATGAGTCTGGAAATATGAAAAAGGAAGAAAAAATTAAGTGTCGAGCACGTAACACAATTGTTACCTTGTCTAGGTTTATGCATTACGACCCGCATTAGCTGATAAAATAACTGGTATGCTGTTGGAATTATCCCCTGCACAGCTGTTGATGTTACTAGCCTCAGAAGATGCTCTGCGGCAAAAAGTAGAAGAAGCATTTGAATTAATCCGTAGTCATAGTCAGGAAACGGCAAGAGAAGCACTGCTAGATCTTGATGTATTCAGTTTAATAGCGCGGTGCGGAGCAAACAAGAAAAAGATTGAGAATAGTATTTTAGACGACACCGAGGACAATGCCCCTCTCTTTTATTCTCCAGGGAAAAGAGGCTTTTACACACCGCGTCAAGGAAGAGCTAGCTACGAACGACTGAATGCATTCAGAAATGTGGGCAGGTTGGTAATACGATACAGAAATAAATAAATAAGTAGATGAATTGTAAGGTACTAATCGATGAAATTTCTTCGCTTGTTATAGACTTATAGGGTTGTGCCTGTTACAAAACGAATTGTGCCCTATATTTTTGAATCGTCACGTGATAAAATATATCTTGGCAAGACCAATACGTTTCCATGACCTTGCATTTTTCGATTCTGTAATTTATGAAAGTCTAAGGCAACTCGTGATCGATTCTGAAACCAAGGATAGTAACAGTTTATTTTCTGTTCTTGATCTTAACTTTAGGTATGTGCATGAAAATTATTTAAAACAATTTCAAGAGATATATGTACGTAGTAGAAATATACCTGTTCTAACAATTATACTCGTCCTGTTTCAGTATCGATTTGTGTCCCGAAGAAGGAGGGGGTTCGATCGAACTTATTCCTAACGGTCGTGATATAGAAGTAACAGCAAGTAATGTTTACGATTATGTGCGGAAATATGCGGAAGTTCGTATGATCAAGGTACAAGAGAAAGCTTTGCGCGCTATGAGAGAAGGGGTATTCGACGTGCTACCAGAAGGGGCACTCGATGGCTTAACATCCGAAGATTTGAGGCTTCTTCTGAACGGAGTTGGCGATATTAACGTTTCCGTTCTGATATCGTATACTTCGTTTAATGACGAATCTGGAGAATCTGCAGATAAATTAGCGAAATTCAAACGATGGTTATGGTCTATCGTTGAAAAAATGACGCATTCTGAACGACAAGACTTGGTAAAGAATTTGTTATTCGAATATTAATTATATTTAGAAAGAAATTTTTATGTTACATGATATCATTGTTGAAAAAAAGTTTCTTTTTTCTTTTTCTTTAAAAAATGAACATGTACAAACAAAACATTTGTTAAATTCTAAATGGTGCATAATATCTTGTCTTTTTTCTTTTTTTTTCTTTTTTTTTTTTTTTTTTTTTTTTGTATTGTAGCTATACTTTTGGACAGGATCTCCAGCATTACCGGCAAGCGAAGATGGTTTTCAACCAATGCCGACTGTGACATTACGACCAGCAGATGATGCTTATCTACCAACTGCAAATACATGTATTTCCCGTATATATGTTCCATTGTACAGCTCTCGTCACGTATTAAGACATAAACTACTTCTTGCTATTAAGACAAAGAACTTCGGATTTGTATGAATATATAGATTCTATAGATATAAATATATATATAATTATATATATATACATATACATAAGATATATATAATATAGTACATATTATATATACATTATGTATATCATATATATTATGTGACCATGTTTGTGCGCAATAGCCCTAAAAAGAAGTCACATTATTGATAATGATACGAGAAACAAAAAAAAAAAGTTGTATGTTGTTATTTTTTTCCTTCCTAGAAAAAAAAATTTATAACATTTATAAATTTATAAGCTGTAATTATGAATTCTGATTTCTTTTATTGAAAAAGTGGTTTTTCATCGTAATAAGATTTTATGTTAAATGTCCTCTTTAGTCTTTATAGTGATCAAATAAAACTTTCTCAAAAGTGATTAACCCAATGAATAAATTAACGATTACCCCCGTATCGTCAAAAATGATATTTTAACTTATTCCGTCTTTTATTTTATTTTACATCACAGAAGTACTTATATTTTTAATTTTTGTTAGGAATTTTAACAAAATATTATACAATTAAAAATTTGTTTTATTAGGCATGTTTAAGATGTAACATAAAATGTTGACAGGAAACTGTAATTTGCTTTTTTTTTCTTTTTTTTTTTTGCTTTTAATGCACACCAGTAGTAGTAACTATTTCCCTGGATATTGGCATTGTTGATTATAATACATACAACTTTGAAAATCAGACTACAACACGAGTACAGATTATAAAATATGAAACTTGATGTTCAATTAAACGGTGAAAATTACATAGTTTCGCGTAATAAAAAAAGACTGGTTTTATGAATGAAAATGACGATAAAATGTGTGTTAACATAAAATCACACGTAATGTAAAACGTACAAATGTTTTCTCTTTCTTTCTTTCTTTCTTTTTGGTTGGAACATTAAATTCTAAGGTTGAATTGCCAATTTTGTAGTTGAATTTGTGAATGAAATTGGCCAAATGCGAAGGTAATAGGAAAAATAATCTAGGAATGTCTAGCTGCCTATTTCATATTTGTTATATACTTTCTTTTAACATGTTCAAAATCTTGAATCTATCGTAAAACAATATTAACTCCGTTACTTATTCTCTGCTTAGTCTTGGCATGCACTCATATAGGTCCTTTTTTTGTCTAGGATCATAACAATACATATTCCCAAAATGATTATCATTTTGAAAGAAAATTAAATTTACAGATTTAAATTATTATTTATATTTCCTAAACAGTAAACTGAAATAGTAAAAAATAATCTATTATCTTTAATTTACTTAAAAAAAAGTTGCTAATGCTAATATGTATAATATAATAAATCTCATTGTTTATAAATTTCTAAAAATCGTAAAGTTATATACAATAATTATATTATCCATTATGTACTTGACAAAGTATTAATAGAAACTTATGTACAATCGTTACCTATTGACCACTTCCTGAACTGTTTTGGGGTAATTTTGCGGTTGATTGGCTCAATTGAGCTAACGTTTCTGGAGTCGCATGTGTTTTTAGGATTGAATTTTCAGCTTCTAATTGATTAATACGATCCATGAGCTCTGCTATTTTCTCCTTGAGTACTTCAACTTCCTCTCGTACGGCGAACATCAAATGACTCTTAACAAGATCCTACAAAAGATTCCCTATTAATTCCAACATCATATTTCGTTATCTTTATTTAATAAATACCCTCCCCCCTCCCCCCCCCCCCCAGCAAAGAACGCTTACCATGGCCTGCTCAATTTTATTATCAATCGCTACAGCACTAGTTCCCGACATACTGTAATCAAAATTATACGGCAAAATTTATTTATCAAATATTTTTAGATACTGTAGTAATTAAATTTGCAATCTTGTTAAATATTATTTTATAGTCGCTAAAAGGAACTAACAAAAAGAAAGAAACTTTTTAATTAATAGCAATGACTGTGGTCCTCTGTTTTTTCTAAAAACACAATTACAATGAATGAAATTTATTTAACAAAAACTATATACCTTTCATTGTCTTCGAGGGCATGGTGTTCGTCACTGCCTTGAGTAACTTCGGTTAAAGATTCTAAAAGGGTTGTATTAGCTGATTGAGTAGTGGATCCAGCTACAATGCCTGAAATGGAGTCCTGCTCCGGATCTGTTTGATGGAACGTTATATTTCCCTGTTGTATACCACCTACAACATTTTGGCAGCTTGCTGTCACCTGTGCCACTTGCACTTGAGCATTGCTACCAGAAGTTTGGGGTTGCATTTGAGACGGCGGTATCACTTGAGATTGTACCGGTGCTCCAGGAGCGTGAATGGTCGAGGAAGTTTGCTGTGCACCTGTTTGAGGAACTGTATGAATATTTTGGATGCCCTGCATTCCTTGTATGGCAGTCAATGGCTCTGAAATTTGCGTCATTGGTTTTTGGGTTTGCAATGGCTGTTGGGGCTGCTGTTGCTGTTGAGGTTGCTGCTGCTGTTGTTGCGGCTGTTGCTGCTGTTGTTGAGTGACAAGAATGTTGGGTGCCTGGGATGATGTCGGTACGGGTGCTTGTTGAACGGATGCCTGACAAACATTCTGAACTGGTAACGACTGATTTTGTGTGCTCACTGTTACGTATGTATCTTCTTTTGAATGAGGTATATTTTGTTGAGCAGTCACATTGCTATTACCAGTCGGCGTTATAATAGGAATAGAACCCTGCGGCATACTCTGAGACTGAGTTAAATTGTTCGGATGAGTAGGTTGCAGATTCGACGGTAATGTAGAACCTTGTCCTCCTTGCTGTTGCTGTTGCTGTTGCTGTTGCTGTTGCTGCTGCTGTTGTTGTTGTTGCTGCTGCTGCGATGCCAATTGTTGAGCGGACGATTGAAAGTATTGAGGAATTTGCGAAGGTGCCTGAACTTTAGTCTGTGTTTGAACTTGGGTGGGATTATGCTGCGCATTAGGAGGAAGCGAATTGCTTACCGCATAATTAGCGTTGGAAACCGATGTAGGATTGCTTGGTACACCAATTGAAGTATGCACATCTGGATGTGCAGATACTTGTCCGTTAGCATCGATACTTATACCTTTGTCTTCCGATACAACCGACTGTTTAGGTGCATCTGGTACAACAATTCCACTGTCCGTCACTCCGTACGATATGCACACCTCATTTGGATCCGATACTTTTGGTGTACTAATCGCTGTTGGTTGATTAACAGACGTATGATCCAAATAATCCATACAAGTCCATCTACCTCTCTTAAAAGGTTCGGTACTTTCAATTTTAACCACTTTAAATCTTTCGTTTCTACCATGAGAATGAACCTCGCGTAAATCTGCATCTTGTTTGGCGTTACTCGACAGCAAATTAATAATATTGTTGTCGGTAACGGATGTAATGTCCAAAGTATTAATATTGCTGTCATTTACCGAATTGCTGACATTATTCCCTTCTGAGGGTACAATTGCCAAACCGTATTGAGAACTTGTAGGAATCACCGGAGCAGTACTGAGGGCAGCGTTACTGGTATTAAAGAATACATCCTCCTTGGAGAAAGTATCTTCCGAGTAACTAGGCGTTTCAATATCAATGTCAGTGATACGCGAGTGTTCAACCGAATTGTCCTCTGTGTGGGATTCATCCAGATCATCGTTCGAATCTTCGCCGGCATCATTGCTCATACGACTGCTAACGCTTGTAATTTGAAAGGACGATGTCTTTTTCCGACACTGATTATTCGCCGTCACGTTGCTTGAAGTGGTCAAACTAACCGGCTGGTACAGTTTCTCGGGCTCTCCTAACCGAATTGTCTCGGTGGTCGTACGATGTACTGGATTAGATGTTTTTCTACTACCATCCGATAGCTTATGCGATTTTCTGTGTACATTATCTGCCATTATTATAGGAACTTAGCATTCGAGAGCCACGATCATTGCATTCGTTGTTCTCTTGCATGGTAAAATCGACATCGCTCTTAGCCGGGGCCTTTCGGCTTCGAACTCTTTCTTTCTATCACAATCTTCACGATTAATCTTTAAACAAACCGATTCTTACGCTGTACGGTAATTCGAATGAAAATCATATTCTCATCTTGCAAAGGTGTTGACAGTTCACCATTTCATCAATTTCACGGGGAGGAAGTGCATTCGCTCGAGTACCGTCTACTCGAAACGAATACCCACACTTCACGAATGCAGAATTGTCTTTTTATATTCTTCACAGCCGATTACGCTACATTTAATATCACGCGTTTACATATTAGCTACTATCCCGCAATCGGATTTCTCATTATTCATATCCTTTCTACTCTATTGTACTAAGTGAGCAGTTTAAAAATGGCTGCCAATTCACTCACAGAATTGCCACGAATTATATCTAGAGCATCTGTGTGACTTCACAACTAAAAATCTATTTTCATCCGCGATGTAGCTGCATTACGAGAAATAAGCATAGCTACTATCCTTTGACCCTTATCTAAACGAATATACATATGTCCCAAAGAAATGATACAAAGCCCCAATGGTTTTTACTTCAATCCCCTTTACACTATTGTTCTTTGTTTAAACATTGAAACAACTTCTCGTTAGTTTAAAAACAAATTTGTAACTTTTAAAAAAATCATCATTTTATAAATAAACTTTATCAAATTTGTAAATAGAATGTTATTCAACCTTATATCGCATCGATCAGTTAATTACTTTTTAAAGAGTAATTAAAAGTAACACAAGAAATTTTTATTTCATTTAAATTATTTTAAATACCTGTGTATTCTTGTTTTTTTTTTTTTTTTAACCACACAATGTGTTTGCGGTAAATACATGTTTTGCTTTAAATGGACCATCACAATTTTTCATTATATGTATGTATACTTTGTATTACCCGCTTTTAAATGAAACTCGCACACATGAGATGAAACCTTTAGATTTGTAGAAGAGGAGCTTTCAAAAACAACGAAAGAAACACGTATAATGACAAGTTTCATGGTATATATACACCTGCGTTTCGATAGAAATTAAGTCTGCTTTATAAGTTATAAAATTTTCCAAAGAATCAATGATTTAATTAATAAGTGGAATTTCTATTGAAAGTGTAAATTTTCAAAGAAAACGAGTCATATATTAACCATGTTGAATTCTATAAAGGAATGTCTAAAGAATAATGTACGAAAACGAAATAAAGTCGTACGATTAAATAAATCTGGAAACAAAAAGACAATTTTAAAAAATATACCAGGTAAGAAGTTTAAAGCAAGTACGCGAAGAGTATACTACATAACAAATATCTTTAGTCTTTCAGTATCCGGTAAGCAATGAAAGAGATCACAGAGTGTATGTTTGGGGTATGGCAGAGCATGGTGCTCTTGGAACTTTAAAGTCAACGTTGCACGAAAAGGGTATTTCATTTATTCCAAGACCAAAAAGACTCGCATTTGGAGAAATGCACGATGTAACCGATATATGCTGTGGTTACGGTTTTACTGCCTTTGCATTACGATCTAACGATAAGAATATTTTATATGGAAGTGGAATAAATACAGACTCACAACTTGGTAAAAAAGAAATATTTGAACATTTTAAAGTATCTTACGTTATAAAGATTAAGATTTCATCAGGATTTCATATGTAACACTATGACAGGCTTTCATGAAAATGATAAAAAGTTTCCCGATGACTTAATAACCGAACTAAGACCTATTAATTTACCGCTAAACGGTTCTTCGTCCAAAGTTATTAGTATAGCAGCTGGAAGAGCACATTTGTTGGTATTGACGGACGAAGGTTTATTTACATTAGGAAATAATGCCTATGGGCAGTGTGGTCGTCCTGTAATTATAAACGAAAATTATAACAAAAGTAAAGTAGTTCATCGTATATCTGATATTAAAGGAAAAAAGATTAAAGCTGTAACAGCTGGGCAGGATCATAGGTATGAGATATTGTAGCTTGTAATAAATAGTTAATTGCAGTATTTGAATAGCCTCCCTTATTGCTATATGATAGCATACTCTTGACAGAATCCGGCGAAGTATATACTTTTGGTTGGGGTGCAGATGGACAAACCGGATTAGCGCATTACAGAAATGAATATAGACCAAGTTTGGTCAAAGGAGATTTAGCTGGACAGCATATTGTAAAAGTTGCCTGTGTTGCTGATTGTGTGTTAGCGCTCAGTGGTATCTACAATATTCGTGTATTAATATCATAGTAAACTGCATTATATGTATATAATATCACAATGAATTATATATTATATAATTGGTTGAACTTGTGGTTATAGATAAAGGAAAAGTATTTGGTTGGGGTAACTCAGAATATGGACAGCTATTTGTACAGGGTGACAATCAACAAGTTAATATTGCTACTGAATTGAATGCATTACAGCAGTTGGGTCATATTAAAGATATTGCAAGTGGTGGTTGTTTTTGTATGGTCTTAAACAGTAAGTTTTTACGTAATAATCTTATATTTAACTGTTTGCATAATTATTATAGTTATGCATATTATAGACGACGGGGATGTTTATGTGTGGGGCTATGGTATTCTTGGTTTCGGTCCCAACGTTACAAGAATTATGCAGCCAACACTAATTCCATCAGTACTGTTTGGTAAAAATGCATATGAGAAAGATACGAAAGTAAGTTAAATCTGAGATTAACAAGGAAATAGAAGTAATTACATACGTTCTTTGTAGGTCGTTAAGATATTTTGTGGTATGAGTCATCTTGCAGCTTTAACTAATCTAGGTGATTTATATATGTGGGGTTGCAACAAATTTGGATCCTTAGGATTAGGACATTCAAAGGACCAGTACTTTCCATTGAAGGTAACTAAGTTCGTTATTAAAAATAGTATAATTATATTATAAATAGTTGCATTACAGGTAAATGTAGGGGCTCAAGTGAAAAAGGTTGCTTGTGGAGTAGATCATACGGTTACTCTCTGTAAACCTTTTGTTTGAGGCATAATATATTTGTCACATAATATGTGGTAATATATTATTTATAAAAAAGTATGTACAAATTGTTGTTTCAATCTGTTATAATAATATAATACGTGTAGGTAATTACTTTTGATGTCGTTAATGTATCGTGTAAAGTTTAAGTGATAAATAACGAGCCTCCAGTTTAGTATGGAATGTTAGCAAACGAAAATGAACACATTTAACGCGTAATGCTATTAACTATGATTTGAATACCATAGAAAAACTTACAAGATAATTATTCTAGCAATGAATTCACATGAAATCGATTTATATAATATTATACTTTATAAAAAGCTAAACATACGATTAAAATAAGAGAACTGAATGCAATTTTAGTTGCACTACTAGTACATACTAAATTTTCGTAAGATATCGTGTATTTTACTGAATTAGGAAATCTACAAAATCGATGATCTGAAAAATAAAGAAAAAGAATTTATATTATTAATAAGATTAAATTATCTTTCTACAATTTCCATTTACTTCGATTGTACTCACCTGTGCATTGATATGAACTTCTTGAAGAGTTGGCACTTACTGATATATAAAGTGGTGGACAATCATGAATAAAAGTAGCATCAGCACAAGATACTGTAATACTGTGTACGTCATTAGTTATCGATGCGCATGATGTAGATGAATCTGTTGTTGCATTCATTTGTAATATTTCCCGCGAGGAACACACAGTCAAACTATCAGAGCTACTTTTTTGAATCTAAAACCGTGGTTTACATATAATGTGAAGAACGTTTTACATATTAATAATATTTATAAAGATGCTCACCTTTATTGTGGCAGAATGTTCAGTGCTGAAAAAGTAATTGGGATGTAATCTGTAGAAATTAATACCGTTTGGCGTTACGTAATCGGTGTATGGATTTGAAGGTCCAGTTGAAACGTAGTCTGATCCACATTGTGTATTGATCAAGCGCTTAGGAACTGTAACATGTTATAGCTAGTACGTTTCCTTAACATTATGTAATGTTACGAAGTGATTACCTTGTTTTATTCTTGCAACAATATTGGTTATTGGTGCTAAAGCATCTGGAGTATCTCCAGTTGTGATAGAAAATAAGTCTGTTGCAGAATTTTTTACCAAGTCGGACCAGGTATCTTTTGATCCATATGTGGCAATAAGCAATACCGTATCTGAAACAATTATTAACAATAAATTATACAAAGATACCAGAATTTAATCGAATACATTTATAAAATATAAGTCGTTACCTGGAATTAATTCTCGCATATGTGAAATGCGTTGTAAACAGAATTCCTTATCAGTTTTGGGAATATCTGGCACACGTGGAATAATTAAGACAACATCGGACCTAGCACCACCATCACGATTACGTTCGTTGCTCAGTTTATTTTTCAAGTACCAATTTAATTTTTCCAGTGATTTGGGTAAATCAAAACCATGAGTAACTGAATGAATTGCTATGTAATTAGTTTGTTCGCAAATTATTACTTATTATGAATTTATAAATTACTACGTACTGTTCTCATAATGTGATGAATTATAAGCTTGAAAATCTAAAATATTCCAAGTACTGTTAATAATTAGAGTTCCATCCCCTCCGTTTATTAACGTGAAATTAGAATTAAACCGATTAATTTCTACGCTCTCCAATAAGGTTCTAAAACAAATACACATTAATAATTATTAGTATACATCCTCGCGTGTGTATAGTATCGGGTGTTTTTAAAAACTTACGCAAGAATAGGTTTTATTGTAGCAAGATCCAAATTTGTATCCAGAATGATTGTCAAATCAACAGATATCTTGGTCAAATCAAGCGATGTGTCTGTAGCCTTACACGAGGGATCTTTCCCCATTGACAAAGCTGTAAGATCATTCAAATAAATACATATGCCTTGTTCAATTGTTTTATGAAGAGAAAGTTGAGATGACGTTAATACTTACGCACGTATTTTACTAATTCATTTACTGCTTGTACCGAAAGCTTTTCTATTACTGCAGGTTCTATTGTTGCTTGTGCTATGTAAGGATCTAACAATAAAGCAGCGCTGTACGTCTATAGAAAGTGACAAGTACGTAACATTAAAATAACTTTCATTTCAGAAATTAATTGGAAATATTTTACAATTATTATAGTATATTTTTTACCTGTGCAACCATTGTTTCATTAGGAGCAACGGCTGTAAATAATGTGTTTCGGTTGCATGCTCTAATCGCAGAATCAAAGAATCCTAATGAGCTGTAGTACATATCAAATATCTGTGAAAGTCTCAAACTGGGTATTTTAGAATACCATTTACTAATTTCATTAGCCAAGATTAAGCCATCTAAATCTCCTCTGATTTCTGCCGTTGTCATTTCATTTTTTTCATTGGAACTTAAAAAGTACCAACGTGGTAAAGCAGTGGAATTCCAGTTACCAGTTGCTCCAAGACTAAGTTTGTCTGTTTGTGGATCCATGGTAGGACCTTGCCTTAAAGCTACCTCTGCTAAATCTCCTGTTTATAATAATAATAATAATTCATGTATTTAAGGTGATTAATTAGTTATCTATAGATATTTTAAGAATTTAATATTACCAGCTAAAGTAGCAACCCATTTATTATCCAAAGTTAATGATAAATTTATATTCTTTTTCTGAACTGTATCGGGTTCTAAATTTTTAAGTGTAGTTATTTCAGGTTGCGTAGCTGCAGCTATTCCAGCCAGGACTAAACCAGGAGAGAGTGTACCCCACCTAAAAAAATTAATTTAATCGTATACCCACATATGTATGTATATATTTTTTTTTTAAATAAATTGAACACTTACTCAGTTTTTATAACTCCATTTTCCACAGGACATTTGCTAAGATGTGGTAATGTAGATAGTCGTGCACTATCAGGGTGATTAGGTGGTAATTCTGGATACAGCGAATTTGGATCAATTGTTGCTTTAACACCATTATCATTATGGTGAGTCATAGTCCTTCTACATAAAAATGATTTACAATGTACATTTTATTTTTCGTATTGATCTTTTTCTTGTTAAACTTACAGTTCTTCTGATGACAATGTTTCCACATCATTGATAGTACTTTCAGTCGGAGTTTTATTATCCTTTAAAATGCTTCTTACAGATCTTCTTCTATTTGCAATTCTACAAACTTTTGCTTCATCTCCCCTTTCAAAAACATCAATGGTACTTGATAACATAAAGTGTAAAGTACACTGCAATACAATAGTTAAATATTAAATTAATGACTACAGATAGACTACAATAGTGGTAAGGATTTTGAATGTTATACATACCCTTTCAACATCTGTGATACTATTATTAGGAAATAACATGGCATTCCCTGGTATAAGCCGTAGAGTTTGAGCATGACGAAAGAATTGGAAAGAGATTGGTGCATAAGGTGTTATTCCATTTTGTGAATTAACACGAGGATTTGGAGCAATTCCATCTTGTCGAAAACTGTGAATCAAATGTATTAAGTATCAGTGAAGTTATATTTTTTCACGAAATTATTATTTTAAAGTACAAATAATTTACCGATGTAAGAGTGCTACAGATAAGCTTCTCAGATCCATGTTAAGCCCTTCTGTATCTTCAATTTTGCGAAGTATTGCAAGAAATGTATTTAAAGTATGTGGTAATCTGTTATCTCTTTCCAGAAGATATTTATTCTCGTAACATTCTCGAAGAGAAGGTGGAAGATTTCTAAGTGCATTTTCTTGTGCATACACAGCTAAAAGAAATTAATAATTGTAAAGAGGTATATTTTTTAAATTTCATAATATGATAGTAATAAAATAAATACTCACTTAATGTAATAAAAATAAAAAAATACAAAAATTTTGCCATTGCTGAAACAAACTTAAAGTAGAAAAAATTTATTAATTTTACGTTCGTATAGTTAACCAGTATATAAATAGAAAAAGATATATGAAAGTAATACAGAATTGTATAACATAAAAAAATATGATAACATATCATGTATTTAATATGTAACTGATTAACGAACAAGTATATTTAATTTAAATAAACAATTATAAAGAAGTCAAATTGTATATAACATTAAAGAAATACATACCAGAACTGAATTTTAGACACTTTTTTAACAGAATAAATGGTACTCCTACAACCAGCTCCAGTAAGGTATGATACCACACCTATCCAGAGATATAGCCAAACCTATCATCACTAAACAGATAAGATAATATGATACATAATGAGTAATATGTCCCCACTTTGTTATAGATATTAAATCAGATATTCTTAAGACCTGAAAAATATCTTAAAAACTATCAAACAGTAAACATTATGCATTAAATGTTATCAATCATTTTGTATACTATATCTTTAAAGTATTAAATATTTATGTTATATCTTACTGTATATGTAAATCAATTTTATTTTAAATAATATTGACCTTTTTTCAATAACTTAAATTTCATGTTTAACATTCAGTATAATTTTACTTAATAACACAAATAAAAAATCTTGAACTTATATAAGTTTCAAGATTTTGTTAGAGAAAAAGAATCATAAATATTTTTATCCAAAAGAAATATCTTATCAGATTTTAAATAGAACTATATCTCCTTTCATACTTGCACAATTCTGAGTCATTATATAAAAGATACCGAAAGTAGAATATAAGTATTACACTTCATGTAATGAATTCTCAATAATATAAACATGAGAACTAACAAAGCTTTATTTTTTATACTGTATTTTGGTAAGTTATTTGATTACTACACAAGATATCAAGCAATTCAATTTCAAATTCTGACTTTAATTTGTTTATTACACAGAATTACAATTAACATGGTCACAAATAGCTATACCAGCAGCACTCAGGGAGTGTTACAGAAACAACAGTACACTGAATCCCAAACTTCCATTAAATTTACGTGTAATAATAGATATCATTCAAAAAATGGAAAGGCATTCGTATACAACCATGAATATGAGAATAATGTCATCGGCAATATTACATAGGTAATTAAATGTAATATAAAAATATTTAAATTATGTTAGTACCCGATGTCATTATCTAATGATCATCTTTTACAAATAACAGATTCAAGTTTGATGGTATTGAATATCAAAAAGATGTGCGAGCTTCAGATAGTATACTTCCATTTAGTGGAACTGGAACTCAACGTACCAAACATAAATTAATGGAAGAACTAATTCCAGGCAATGCAGAAATTTTACCAGTTCATATACTTTCACATGCAGAACGCTGTATACTTCATCAGGCTATTTCAAATACAGTTCTAAAATATGACATTGAAGGAAGTAATAAAATATGTAGTCAAATCATTCAGAGTGAAAATTTAACAGGTAATCTTTAAAATGGAAAGAAAGAGTATTTGTAGAGATGAAAACTAAAAATTATTACACAGGTATAAGTGTATCTACTAAAACACAGAGTTGTCCAATACAACAAGGAGTAATTCTGACAACATATGGAACTATTGCCCCTGGAGCAATTATAGGAGCTGTTGCTGCAACACTTCAACATCAAAATGTTGCTGTGAACCAGTTAATTACTACTTTGGAAACATCTCCTTCAGGTAAGTATCAGTACTGTAAAATAATATAATATCGCATCACTTGTACATATTTCTTTCTAGAAACGAACTCCACAACTATATACAGTTTAAAATACAATGAAGAGGAAATTGATTTTATTCTACCAAGAAGTGATATGAGTCGTGAACCATCTATGTGGTATCATGCATTAATGTCTTCATCTATGAAAGTTGATAATGTATGGTTAACTACAATTGCAGGTATAGCATATAATAATATTTCTATTATGCATTTTTAATAGATATAAAAGGATATTGTTCGATTAGGCGAATTAGCAGAAATGGTAGTATATCAAGGGCCCTTGATGGAATTCAACATGACTCTTGGTGCAACAGGATTTTGGCAGAACAGAATACGTCCAATTATTTTCTATCTCACAAGTCCATATGAAAACTTTGATGCAACACGAGCTGAACTACTAGGAGGCATTGATGGTGAAGTAGTATAACATATAATCAACAATTTTTTAGACAAATGCTAACTAATCATATACCTATTGCTTTAGGTATGATTATCGCAAGTAACTTGAAGACTTGGATTGAAGATTTCTATAGTCTTCGACTTAGTCAAATTTTGGAGATGTATTATTCCTATAAAGGTATTGCTTTTAACACAAATATTAGAGCTTGCGATCGATCACAAGCTTTCTTATATGCTGTGCCAAAAACTATTCTGAATGAACAGGTTTGTTATAATACGAATTAAGTAAAGTATTGCAATTCCATCAGTTTATTTAATTTGTAACTATTATTTACAACAGGTATATGCAATAGCTCAGATGTTAGCTTATCATAAAAGTATTGCATATATTCCACCTGAAATTTTGCAGAATTTGGTTGAAAGTGCTACTGAACAATTTTATACCTATGCAGAAACTTATCTATTTCCGGAATTGCCTTGTCAACAAATAAATCATTCTCGGGTAGAGGCATTAATTGTGTTTGATGGCTCATGGACAGTAGAATATACAGTAGATTTTTTAGCGTAAGTTACACTATATAAAAATATAGTCTTTTACAGTTATTTATATCAGAAGATATTCTTATTTTTAAGCTAAATCTATTTTATTAGAGCTTTGATACAAGACTTAAATGTATCAATGTATGGATCAAAGATCGGTATAATACATGGTACCTCAGGAGAATGGTTGTTAAATATTACAGACAGTCCATCACTTGCGTTTGAAACATTAAACAATCTCACAAATATTTCATGTAAGTTTCACCGTTTTATCATAATTTTAGAAGAAATATTTATAGTAGTATCCTTTTAGGGCCTACACAACTGAATTACACTAAAATTTTGAATACAATATTTACTCATTTAAATAAAACATGGGAAAATAATGAAAAACATCATGTAATTGGAAATCTTGGTCAAATAGTTGTACTATTATCTCCGTTAGGTTCTATGTCTAATGATGATAAACTATCAGCAATGACGATTCTACGTGAAATAAAGTATAATCATCCAGGTAATGGTTCTACGAAACTTTTGTAAACTAAGAAATTATAAATCTAAATGATTTTCCGTGATGTTTACAGATGTTCATTACGTGTATTATACATCACTATCTAATACTAAATTCTTTGCATCGTTTATTCTATCCAGTGAAGATCATTTAATAGAAAACTCAAATATGAACGCTATTACTCGATATGTATCAAAAAGTATGTTATTAACTATATAATTTAATACTTTTTAAATTATAAAAGAAAGCATTCATTGCATATATTTTTAGTTCCAATGATACTGAGACCTATGTCTTTCAACTCACATGATTCAAACAACTTTCTTCCGCAATTTGAAGACTATATAAGTCCTTCGGAATCTATTACATACAAAATGCATTCAAACTGGAAGCAAAATATGGAAAAAACATCGATCACAGTTCGTATTAAAAGAACATAATTCATAAAGTTCATTATTCTAAACCACTTTTGTTATAATATTAATTCTTTTTTAGATTCATACATTTGGATATGGTACCATGAAAGCTTGTTCATGGATACAATTTAAATCAGACGATAAAGAAAAGTTTCAGTGCAAGGAATTAACTGGTTATAAAGAAATTAATTTAACCAATCACTACAAATGTGTTAAGACTTTGCCTTGTCCTAACGTATATCTTCAAATACAAAATGTGACCTCTTTATATAAATGTGCAGGTAAATATTAGTTACAATAGTTATAATATACGGGTAGGTATCCTTCAAGGGAGTGGTAGCTGGAGTGATTCTGAACAACATTTTCCTTTACCAAAATGCTCGTAGAGGCTTAGTTTTTGATTTACAGGAAAAAGCTTTTCAGAATCATCGCAGCTATCACCCCCTCAAAGGATGTTCACCTGTAATCGAATATCTTGTATAAAGAAAGAAAGTATAGAAAAATTTAATATAACATTACTTTCAATGATAATGATCTTTTTTTCAGAAATAGACTGTAAAACACCAGATCAGGTAAGATTTATTATAAGAATGAATCGGCAGAGTTTAGAGCAAGAAAATTCTGCAAATAAAAATGTACTAGTATTACTTAACCTTTTGACATTATTTATACTCCACATATTAATGTAAACTTTTTTATATTATAAGATATGATTTTAAATTAGTCCTTAAGTTTTTATAAACATTTGTATCATCTTTTTATACAAATAAAATGCCTGATTTAAAAAATTCTTATGCTTTCAAACATGATCTACTGCATAAACATTTATTTGTTGTATAAAAAATACAAATTTTATTTTTACTTACAACTGATCAAGTAGATTAATAATTGCTGTACGCATACTCATACACAAATTTAACGAGAAACTGAAAGTTGCTCGATGCTGCAAGACTTCCCAATTCAGTCTCAGTCAATAACATGTCAACTGGAGGAAGAAATTCATTTACTTTACCACCTATAAAACAAATCAAATGATAATAATTTTCATCAATAAAAATTATTCTTGGTATATATTTTTTATAAATCTTTGTTTACCCATGAAATGTGCCAGATCCATTAATTTAAAGAAAATTGTTTCCTGCACTTGCTGTTCCGGATTCTTTCCTACGTTATCCCATTGATCTCGTTTAGCTGCCCGTGCCCATATTCGTAATTTTAAAGACATTTTTTCATCTTCTTGATCCACATACTCCAATAAATCGAGAGCCTTTTTGAAGTCATATTCATTTGCATCAACATTATCCTCGGACGTATATAACTGTCAATTATACCACATTTATATGTATAAAACATCTTACAAGATGTATATTTACGAATGAAAATTAATACCGTAATTAATTCTGTTGATGTAAATACTCGTAATTTTTCTACATCGTAACCGTATGTCTGAAGTACTTGCGTTGGTAAATCTTCTTGATGAGCTATAAGTGCCAATTCATTATTAATTCTTTTTACACATTCTCTCACTTCTTCCTCAGGGTCGTCCGAAGCTAGAAGAGCCAGTTTTGCTAAGGAAAGCATAGACTGACAAGAACAAACGGTTTTGTAACTAAAAATCCTTGAACATTTTTTTATGATTGACAAATAAGACGACTATTATACCTTTTTGCGAGTTACCAATTCATTTTCCTGGATTGCTAAAGAATGTAGTGTATTAGCAGCAAAACGTAAGTCGTCTGTTAATGCAGACTGTACCCATGACAGTGTAGGATGTTCGGCTAATTTTTCTGCTAATTCAACAGTACCTCCGCGTCTACATTTCTCTACCAACTGACCTTGTCGACCATCTTTTACATACCTATAATTCAAGCAATAAAATGGACATCAAATTCAATTAATAATAAAAGCAGGTTTAAATTTCTTCAAATAGCTCCACCTGAAGAATCTCACCATGAAAATAAAAATCCTACAAAGTCTTGAGCTGCAAATTTTTCTATATATCCATCTAAACGATTTTTATTGTTAGTTAATTCACATATTTGTATAAGAGAGGCAAAATCACAGTACTTCTCAGCTAGCATCGCGGCACTGTCGTATTGTTCTTCCTTTACTATAAATTGCAACATATAAGTATATTCTGTTATGAATGTTATTGAAATTAACTAAAAGAGCTACGTACTTAAAGGTTGAATTAAGTTTGTTCGATCCGTTTCGTACTGTTTTATAAGTATTTCAAACTTCTCTGTTCCTCTAACACTTTCTAAATGAGACTTACGACCATCTAATATTAAATCTATGTAACTGACTAATTGCTCGTACAATTCATTTCTAACCGTTGAATCATTAGTTCCAGTGATACCATGTTTAAGGGTTAAATTGTACTGTAATAATACGATACGTTGTAAAATTTTGAAGGTACAAAAAAAATGTTTCATTGGAAATATATTATTAACCATTGTAGTAAGACAATTCCTTAATCCATGTTTTCCAACTGCTGCTGTCCATGGAAGATACTCTGTTATCCCGGTTGAGCATCTTGTAGGTATGAACCGTTTAGCATTATGTTGTCGGTATTTAATCACTTCGTGCAATATAGCCTATTATTAGTATATTTAATAAATAAATCAGCAATTCAGCTATAGAATGTTTATTTTATGGATTTCATTATACTTACTAATAATATAGCATTCACTTGCATAATATAATGTGCTACTTGTTGGATGGGTCTTTCAGACTGAGTTACTTCTGATGCAGTATTCACTAGGGTAGGAAGAAAACGATGTACCGTACTTGCTTCACGATAAAATATATCACGCGGTGTTAACTCATCGGATACGTATGCATCCGGGCTTAAAGTATGTTCTATTACTGCATCCACGATATCAGAATATCTGTAAATGATAACAAATGATTGTTTAATAAAAAAAATTAAGTACCCATACACGTACTATGCGTATAAAAATTTACCTATTTTGGAGATTGTATATGGTTATAGCTGCGACTATCTTTTCTGCATATTCTTCGAGAACATGAGGCGTTGCCATAATTATTCCTCTATATGTAACTGCGCAAAACTAAATGAAAAAAAAAAAAAAAAAAAAAAAATGTCACTTCGGTACTATTCCTTTAATTCCTATTTATGTGTAAATGTAATTATATAATAAATCGACTTACTCTCTTCCATAAATTATGTTCTTTCAGAAATGTTACGAATAAGTCTAACGCTTTGAGTTTCCCTTCCAGTTGATTAAGTATTTGCATAGAAGTAACTGCATTAATTGTCATTGCTGCAAATGGCACGTAAGCGATTAAATTTATGTAAATTATGTATTTCATATTTAAAAGGTAGATTATGAACAATTCAATTACATAAATCTCTATGATTTGTCCAACGTGGATCATTTGCTGGATAATCATCTATTAAATCTTTAGCAACTTTCAAAACTAGAGTATCGAGAGTAGCATCTATATCCATCACTGGCTCTTCCTGTACAGGAAAAAGTTGAGACAATATTTCTTCACACTGTGCCTACAATAAAATGAAACATGTTAATAAATGATAATTATTCCTATAACAATGAATGTTAAGCAGCTTACTTTATTTTGACGGAGGCTAAGAAGAAACGTAGCACGCAATTGTGTAGTGCTGTCAGAACTATAATACATATCCTGAACTTCTTCGTTGCTTATGAGACTAGTGAAATTTTGTGCGGTTGAATTAATTCGGTAATTATAATCTGTACTCGTATTAATATTATCGGCGTAACTTCTACAAATAAATGTGAAACGTATTATTAATAAAATTGTTATAAATTAAATGATTTATAAATGGTATAAAGGAAACGAACATGCTTAAATCTTGAGATGTAAAATCTGTTGGTACAATGGAAACCAGTCCAAAATTTTTAGTAAACAAAACTGGAGTTCCTGAACATAAGGCACCACCAAGGATACTATCATCTTCTCCTCGTACTAGATCTATTTTATCCTGTTCATGATCTGACATATCTAGAACAGTTTTTACTTTTAAAAAATATGAACAAATATTTAATAAAATCATATGTAAAATGATAAAACTTACAATTCACAACTAACACATCAGTCTTATTATATATAATGGCTTCCCATCCACATAATATAAAACGGTACGAAACTAAAATTGATTCTATATCGTTCTGGTAAAAGAGAAGATCAATTTTAACTGGTATGAACCATTTAAACGTATGTGCTAACGTTGTACCAGATAATTGTATTAAACCTGTACAATTAAATTAACCAACATATATAAATTAAGTTATTGTAGTACTCTTTCTTTAAAATTACAATAAAAAATTATTTCAAATAATAATACTACCAAGAGCAAAATGAATTAAGCGCGATGCAGTTGTACAGTGTGCTGCCATTAAAAATACTATTCCTTCGTCACAAGGTTGCATATCGATCAACCAAGTTTCCATATTTTGAGGATTGTATTCATTTGATTCCTAAAGTAACAATTTTTTTAAGTGCAACTGAACGAGTTGTTCCAATTTGTTTAGAACAACATACCCGTTGAAATATTTGTGAAATAATATGTCCAATATCCTCGTCAAATTCCATTTTCTCCTGTTCATTGTGAGGAAAAGACCAATACTGTAAAGATGAACCAGCTAAAATGAGAACTCTGGATCCTTTGTCTTCCATAGTTGTACAAGCAACTTTTACTAATTTCTAGAAAATAAAAACGAACAAGTTTCACTTTATTCCATAGTATGATCGTTAACTGGGTGTTAAGTTTTGCTAATAAAATTTAACCGTTTCTGTAACTGGGGATTGAGGCATAGCTCCAAAAATAAGAGAGGTCATTCTACGTCCTATACCTCCAAGCCATCCCTGACTTGTTCTAAGGACCTGACATGTAATGCTGTTTTTCCCACCAATAAACTGCGGCTGTAATAACGCCACTGTACAGGTGGTTGTAGCTAAAATACAACCATGACCAGGAACGTAAGTAAGACAATTAACTTCTTGACCTGCCAGTTCTGCGCTTGTTTCCACAGAAGATCCTTCATGGGCAACGCTAGCCCAAAATCGTACAATGCCCTCAGGAGAAACAGCCATGCAACTAGGTACCTATTTATTTTTAAAAATCACATTACACTAATTGTAACAGAGTTCAATTCTGATTAGACAAATTTTACCAACCTGTTGACCTGCTGGTAACCAAACAACTATGCATTCTGCTTTGTGAGCTAAATCACTTTGGGGCAACAATAATTCACGACACTGAGTTTTAAAAGTTCTTCGTTGCTTTGGATCATGAATTGTGGTTTTACATTGCCATACAAGTAACCTACGTCCACATACAAGCCAAGCCCAACCATCGGTCGAAATATTAACGCTAACAGCGGTATTTTTATCTACAAATCTAAGAGCTTCTGTAACAAGTACAGGTAAAGAAGAACCAAAACTTTCCACTACATGATTAGCGGTTTTACATATCACTTGTACAGACTGGTTTGAGCGTCCAGATACGCTTACGGTTCTGTAAAAATGAAAAATTCACTGTGTTAATTTATAACCAACAGCCCATTAACGATTGTAATAAACTTACGAAGTATTTTTCTTTAAAGATTGAACTATTGACATGCGTTTTCTTGGGGACGTCAAATTTCTTCCTAACGAGTTTCCTATACTCGTACGATCCATTCTGTTGCTTTAACCTTTTAAAAATTCGCATTAAAATAAAACAACAGGTTTATTAATTATTTAGAAAATAGTTTCTTGTATTTAATATTTAATAATAATATGTAAGTAATAAGTAGGTTATTCTTCTGTACATACAAGATTGCCGGTAAAACAATTACACCATATGCCTGCCACAGATAATGAAAAATAGCTTGAGGTACTATCGACAAGCACCATCTTCACGACAAGAAAAATTCGTTCCGTAGCGCCATCTATACGAGAACGGCTCAAACTACTCAACGAGTTACCGACTTACCGTCATCCATAAGGAGATTACTAGCGCCATCTGTACGAAAGTAGCGGAAACTACTTGCCGAACAGTTTCCGCGACTTCCCGATAGGTGGCGCCAGTGTTCTCCTTATGGGTGTCGGTAAGTCGGTAACTCGTTGAGTAGTTTGAGCCGTTCTCGTATAGATGGCGCTACGGTCGAATTTTTAACCCCACCCCCTTCTTTAGGGCGGTCTTTTGAAAGTACAAGTTTGCCAAACAATTATTTTAATAATTTCTTGGTCTGGCATTGATTTTGATTGACTTCTAAAAAAAGCAGAATCAAAGGGAGTTAAAACTGTGGCTTCTCAGTTGTGATTACGAGTAAGAGGGGCTGAAAACAGGTATTATATACTAACTGTGCTGTGTAATGCACAACCTATCTTTACCTCGGGGTGTCTAAGATCCCCAAAATCGTAACCCTTTGAGAACAACAAAACATGTTCTGTCGTTTTATATCTGTAGTCACTGACTGCTGTAATCCAGTACGAATGCGATGGTGCAATGAAAGTATTGGAAAGTGTATGGAAAGTATGCGGTTGACATAATAATTTTTCGTCGACTTTGTTATTTGAAAAATTAATTATTCCAAAGGAATAACAAAAGATCATCAATATGGTTGACATAAAAACCCAAGAACTTAACGAGCTAAATGAAGTTCCGCAGAAGAGCGCAAAACAGTTGCAGAAAGAGGCAAAGAAATTAGCGAAACTGGAAAAGTTTAAACAAAAGCAGGAAAAGAAGGAAGGTGATAAAATTCCAAAAGCTAAGGAAAAATATGAAGTATGCACAATGTTACCGTTCAAATTTTTCATATTGTTCTTTTATCAATTGTTAATGTTCCTCTTATCCATATGGCTTTTATTTCACAGTTGTAAGAAAAATGATACATATCGTAAGGGTTTCTTATTTGTTTTCTTCTTTTAGAAAATTGAAAAGAAGAAAGAATCCAAAGAATCTGCTGTATACACAATAAATACACCTATAGGAGAGAAGAAAGATGTTACATGTGCTATGCCTGATACATATAGTCCAAAGTATGTTGAAGCAGCATGGTATGCATGGTGGGAACAGCAAGGTTTCTTCAAACCTGAATACGGTGTATGTAATACTATATATATATATATATATATATATTAAAATAGGTTAAAGATTAAATTTAAAAATTCTTTACATCATTTTCTTTATCATTAACTACAGAGAAAAAGTATATCAGAGTCAAATCCTAATGGAAAATTTGTTATGGTGACACCTCCTCCTAATGTAACTGGTTTCCTTCACCTTGGACATGCTTTAACCAGTGCTGTAGAAGATACTATTACAAGATGGTAAAATAAAACTTTAATTTAATTGCTCAAGTTCAATAATCTTACGTAAAAGACTTTTCTGATTTACAAGGAATCGTATGAAAGGACGTACAACTTTATGGAACCCAGGTTGTGACCATGCAGGTATTGCTACTCAAGTGGTTGTTGAAAAGAAACTTTGGAAAGAAGAGAAAAAAACGCGTCACGACGTGGGGAGAGAGAATTTTATAGAAAAAGTTTGGAAATGGAAGGAAGAGTAAGTTGAGATAATTTGTATACATATGATAAATCTTTATACAATGAATGAATTTTAGGAAAGGAAACGGAATCTACACGCAGTTGAGAAAATTAGGCGGTTCGTGTGATTGGGATCGTGCTTGTTTCACTATGGATCCAAAGTTATGTAGAGCTGTTACAGAGGCATTTATAAGGTTACACGACGAGGGCACAATTTATAGAAGTAATCGCTTGGTTAATTGGTCTTGTACATTAAAAAGTGCTATCTCGGACATAGAGGTAAGAATCTCTCTCTTAAAAAGTAAATCTTCAGCTATGTACTTTTCTAGTGCAGTATTTCATTTACGTCATTTTCAGGTTGATAAACTTGAATTAACTGGTCGTACATTACTTTCAATTCCTGGATATCAAGAAAAAGTAGAATTCGGCGTGCTAGTTTTATTTTCTTATGAAATTGTAGATTCTACAGAAAAGATAATAGTAGCTACTACTCGTATAGAGACTATGTTGGGAGACACAGCCATTGCTGTTCATCCAAAAGATTCTAGATACACTCAGTATATTGGAAAATATGTACAACATCCATTTTGTGATAGAAAGCTACCTATTATAGCCGATGAATTTGTCGAAATGGAATTTGGAACAGGTAAAAAGATATAACAGCATAACAAATTCTTTTATCACAGTTATGCATATTGTATTACAGGTGCTGTAAAAATTACACCAGCTCATGATCCTAATGACTACGAAGTAGGCAAAAGACATAACTTGCCATTTATCACTGTTTTTGATGACAATGGGAATATTATCGGAGATTATGGTCAATTTACGGTATTCGTAAATTTTTAATTAAAGTAACATAATTTACTACAATTTGGAAAATTTCTTAACATAACAAATTTCTATGTACAGGGAATTAAGCGGTTCCATGCTAGAACACATATAATAACAGAATTAACAGCAAAAAATTTGTTAGTTGAAATTAAGGATAATCCTATGGTGGTACCAATATGTAGTAGATCTAAGGATGTTATTGAACCATTAATGAAACCTCAGTGGTAATTATATATTATAGTAGTAACATTAATGTCAGCGCATAACTAGATCAAGTCACAATTATATCTTTCATTTATAGGTACATAAGATGCAACGAAATGGCCGAGAAAGCAATGAACGCCGTAAAAACTGGTGAACTGAAAATTATTCCGGATCAGTATAAGAAGATTTGGTACCATTGGATGGAAAACATAAAAGATTGGTGTATTTCTCGTCAACTGTGGTGGGGTCATCGTATTCCTGCTTATTCTGTTAAAACAATTAATCCTGTTGCAAATCTGAAGGTCAGTTTTGAGAACATAATGGAAATTAATATAATCTTAACGTACAAATTTGTTTTAATCAGCTAAATGATGAATATTGGGTGAGCGCGCATTCACAAAACGAAGCAAAAGAAAAGGCCGCTAAAAAATTAAATACTACTGTAGATAACATTATTGTGGAACAAGATGCTGATGTGTTAGATACGTGGTTTTCTTCTGGTTTGTTTCCATTTTCGATATTTGGATGGCCGGACGAGGTACGTACATGATCTTAAATCAGTTTTTCGTTCTATTTAGCTTAAGTAATATCAGTTTAATATTAAAATAAAATAATTTATTTCAGACAAACGAGTTCAAAGAATTTTATCCTGGAACATTGTTAGAAACTGGACACGATATATTATTTTTCTGGGTAGCAAGGATGGTATTTCTCGGGCAAAAGTTAACAGGAAAATTACCATTCAAGTATGTACATATATTTATCGCTACGTTTAAATTCATATTATTAGATATGTACATAAGAAACTTTCCATAGAGAAGTTTATTTACACGCTATGGTACGAGATGCGCATGGAAGGAAGATGAGCAAATCCTTAGGAAATGTTATAGATCCCATGGATGTAATTAACGGAATATCACTGGAGGTACGTTTCATAATATCCATCGATCTTATAATTTTGTACAGATACTTAAAGTTGAAATTCCATTTAGAATCTTCATAAGCAACTAATGAATTCCAATTTGGAGCCAAAAGAGCTTCAACGGGCTATAGAAGGACAGAAACGTGATTATCCGCAAGGAATTCCTGAGTGTGGAACTGATGCTCTAAGGTTTGCTCTTTGTGCTTATACGATGCAAGGTCGCGATATTAATCTGGACATCAATCGCGTCCAAGGATACCGTTTTTTCTGTAACAAAATATGGAATGCAGCAAAGTTTTGTTTCATGTACCTGGATTCCAACATCAATTATTGTGAAGATAACCAATTGGTGGTAAAATTGATTGATTATATTCGTAAAAGGTTTCAATTGCCTCTGTAAACTTGCATTTTATTTTTTTGTAGAAAAATCAATATGATAACAATGTGGTAGGTGACAAAAAATGGTATCATAAAACTTTGAAAGAAAGATGTGTACAGGAAGCATTAAATAATTATTTAGGAGACTATGCCTACCTAGACGGATATAATCCATCACAAATTGACGTGAAGGTTTATCAAACCTTTGTTAAATTAGACGTTGATTTTATAAAATATCCTCATTTGCAACGTTGGTATAAACATATAGCATCGTTCAGTGCACAAGAACAATCTGCGTTCCGCGTTGAACAAGGTAAAATATTACCTCAATGCAGTTGCAAAATACATGATCACAATAACAGAATAAAGCAAGTATCAAAGGAAACAAATGTGGATTTATGGATGCTCTCGCGTGTAAGTTATGCCGTGAACACTTGTGATAAAGCAATGGCGGAGTATGATTTTCCAACAGCCACCACTGCTTGTTATAATCTCTGGTTATATGATCTATGCGATATTTATTTGGTTCGTATATTATAATTATACGGGAATTAGACTATCCAATACATTTCTTATTGACTAACAATCTCGTTTTAGGAGTATTTAAAACCAGTATTTCAAAGTAACGATGATGAGAGAAAGCTAGCAGCAAGAAAAACTTTGTTTAAAACTCTAGATATAGGATTAAAATTGTTGAGTCCATTCATGCCGTTCATAACTGAAGAATTGTATCAACGTTTACCACACGCGAAACATCTTTATCCAAGTATATGTGTCAGTCCATATCCAGATACTTCAGATGTATGAATATTATTATTATTATTATTATTATTATTGTTTTTATACATTCTCTACAAATGTAGTTTTTAATTATCGCGATTATTCTTTAGTGTCCTTGGAGAAATGAAGAGATAGAAAAGGATATTGAATTTGCTAACAAAGTAATAAAAAATATCCGATCAACGCGTGCAACTTACAACTTACCAAATAAAATAAAGACTGAAGCTTTTCTTGTATGCAGCAATGATAGTTTAAAAGATCAACTGATGGAATATCAGCTACTAATCGAAACTCTTGCATATTCTACGCTTAGCACTCAACAACCATCAACAGGATGTGCTATCATTACTGTGACGGATAAAGTACAAGTACACTTATTGTTAAAGGTATGATATTACTACTGATAAATTATTCATTAATTGAATTCATTATTTAATTATAATATTTATGGACGTTCAAGGGTTTAATCGATCCAAAGAAAGAGTTGGAGAAACTTTGCAAAAAGAAAGAACAGTTATTAGATATTATACATAAAACCAAACAAGCTATGGAAGTTCCTGATTATAATGTTAAGGTACCTTTAGATGTACAAAACAGTAACAAAGAAAAGTTGATTAACAGCGAAGGAGAATTGAAACGAATTACCGATGCAATAGTGGCTCTACAAACAATGTAATATTTAATTAAAAATATAGGGTTCAAAATTTTATATCTGCATTACTTTTGTATTTAAATTATCTTTTACCAAAAATTCTTCTTGCTTTTTATCTTATTTAACGAGTTGGAAAATGTACCTAACATTTTTGGTCGTTGACTTATGGTATTAAAAAATTGTATGTATATCTATAATCAGAAATCTCTCTTTTTTTTAATTTTTTTTTTTTCAAGCAAAAAAAAAGAACACAAATGATTATGATGTTTTTTTGACCGAAAGTATTTTTACATTCATTTATTATAAAGCGTTATTAATAAATGCAACAACTACTAAAATTAATATATTTAAAATCTAACAAGGATGAACTAATAATTTCAATATCGTACTTAATTTGTTCCGATCGATTATATTCTATCTATCATTAAATATAATTTATTTATGAAAATAACATAGGAAAATGATTACAGTAGAATAATAACAGATAAGTATACGTTTCATACAGTCAGTATTATGCATTATGTTGCTATCATATTGCATGATATTCATTATAGCATTAATATATGTATATGTAAAGATTTCAAGAATTTATTTATACATATTATACGAAAGTGTATTTGTAATTTTTAACTACATATCCCCTGTTTTGAATAAAAAGCATCGATAGAAACAAACTTTGTACGAAACCGTGTATAATTAAATCTATAGAAACAATGATTCAAAAATTACGCGACAAAAAACATTTGGAAGTATTGTAAATCTTATTGATCAATTTCTTTATATCAAAAATGTATAATGTTACGGTTGTGCAAGAAAATCAAATTATTGTATCTCCACCTTCCTATGAAGTCATTAATATTAACTATTGTTATCGTTCTGTAAAATTTCTGTTAACTACTGCTTCCTGTAGGCATTGAACTTACATTAGTTCTTATTACGACATGAATTACAAGAAAGAAAAGAAAAACAGTATTAACATTATATGTACAATTACGATATGTGAACGGTAATTTATTACTTATTCGAATTTTGTCCAATTATTTTGTGATTTAATGGCAGGTGTATTCAACGTTAAGCTGAACGTATTATCTACATTAATACTGTTTTCGGATGTGTTACATATGTTAGACTTTTTCGTCGGTGAATCGCCGTTGCTTATACTAAATTTGTTAAAATCCAAACCGTAGGCTTGTAACAAATCCAAATCACCGATATTATCGGAGGATTTTTGTTGCTTGTCATTATTTTTGTGCAATGGTTGAAAGTAAGGGTATAGCGGATTGCTAAGACCCTCGCCCATTTCAGGAATATGTAACGACTGAGTCATTTGTTTGGAATTGGTGAATTCCGACGATTTGGAAAGTAGCGGGTCGAAGTCTTCGCTGCTTGTGGTAGAATCTAATCTAATTAAATCTGGCACTTCAGGAGAATCCTATGGGCATAAAAACAAATGGCATATTAATAATATAAAAACAAAAAATTTAATTTCAAAGGACAAACGATTACATTGTTTTTTCTTTTTTCTTTTTGACAAAACAGAAACATTTAACATTCGTAAAAATGAAAAAAAGAAGAAAAGGGATAAATGTATATCATAGGTTTAATGACTGTATGTAATGATCGTTGAAAAGTGAATATAAGTTGATAAATAAGTAACGAATGATGACGTTTACCTTCGAATGTGCAGAGTAAGATGTACTATTGTATGCATGGGATGGAACGTGACAATTAACAGACAACGATGCATTTGTAGCTTGAAAGATCGGTGGTTGCAAATAGGAAGGTATAAATACTTTACTTGTATCAAAAGGATCATTCTCTTTCAAATGAAAGCGTGAATTGAAATTTTTCAGACATTTGTCGAAAGAATGTTTCGTTACATCTAGATTATAATTTGTAAAAACATCATCAGGATAAATTTCAGTGTTTTCTGAGCAATTTTCAAAACCATTCTTACAATGATTTATATCCGTATTTTGCGAATACAAAGATGTATTATGTTCTGTAAATTCATGCAAAAAATTACTCGAGTGTGCATTATGAACAGACTCTTCTGATGATTTATCAATTTCTTCTCCTGCTTTATTTACTTTCAAGGCCAAAGAATCAAATGGATATGTTTTATTTACACTAGTTTGAGTATTAATATTATCATTGGTATTTAACGTAACATTTGACTGATCTACCAAATTAATTAAGGTGGAATGTGGATTAGAGGATATTGTTTGTGAAGAGGAGGTAACAATTGGATTTGTGACAACTGGATTAGGTGGAGGACCGTGCCGCATATGTCCATTCCATGCAGGTCTCAAGCTGTCTAAGCTGCGCACTGGTTTCAACTGAAAGTGATGCATGAAACATTCTTACATTTATCTAAATATTTATCTTACTCGATAAACTCTATTAAATAAATGAATACGAATATAATACGTTCTTGCATTGTATTCATGCACATTTTAAGAATATATCGAAAGTACATTTCTAAAAAAAATTAATTGTATAATATTACACATTCCAAGAAATATTTTTATATTTTTAACGTAATTATATGTATTGAAATAGCAAAAGAAATAAGAATTTTTCAAAGATGGTACATGCATGATATGTAATTCTTAAAGATCTGTACATATTGTAACGCAGAAAATGTTTCTAAAATTTTTGACCAACATGGTAAAATTTGGTCAGTGATTTTAAAAAAATTTTGTATATTTACCTCAAATTATTATTATTATCATGTATCAGTGCTAATACTACACATACATACTTCAATAAGCAATATCTCAAATACATTGAAACTGCACATAGACATTTGTACAGCAATAAATGCTGCACGTTTTTACAAAATATATATACTCTACTAACATTTAAGGATTGAAGGATTTCATGTAAACTTTTTGAACATAGGTAACTTGAACAATAATTTTCTATTAAAACTGAACGTACACTTACTGTTCTATCGATAGGAGGTGTATTTGGAAATATCACGTGACGAAGTTCTTGCATAAGATCGATATTTACCCTTTCTGGTGGAGAATCAGATTCTTCTGGAGAGCTAGGACTCAATGGAGAATATTGTTGTCTACTGCAACTTAAACGACACAAATCAACTATATGTTAAAAACTACAAAATATAAAATATAATAAAAATAGAGGCATACCTTGAATCGGTAAAATTGCTATTTCGCATCCGAAGATCTTTTCTATAACTAGTTGTAGCTGTAAAACCATTTGGTGATTTCGAAGGAGATGTAAAATCAATAGGCCTTCTATCCACTGTAGGCGAACTAGGCGCAGATCTTGGTTGATAAAACCTCATACCCGTTTCGTTTCTATTTGATCGACCTAAGAACAGAAGGAAAATATTTAAACACTAATCGATATACCTGAATTATAATGACTAAAAATTGTATACTTATACCTTTCCATTTTAATCCTTTATATGCTGTTTTCATATCTTTACCTTTGTCTTTTACCTGTGAATATAATATTAATAGTATCAAATTTAAATGTACTTTTTACTAAAGTATGCAATGTTAGATTTGTTACTAGTTTTTTCTACTTTACTTCCTTTTGTCAGTTAATAATATTTAAATAGAAAATGCAGCAAATTTGATACGTTTGTCTTAAAACTTACCGATTTAACTGCATATTTTACAGCTGGATTGGCCTGGGATCGAAGACAATCAAAAACACAAAATGACAATATGAAAGCCGATTTTTTAAATACTTTTAATGAAATATTCAAATAAACGTACTTTATCTTTCACACTGCGGAAAAACGCGGAACTTTCCTTTCGCATGGTATACGTCCATTCCCGGTACTGCTGCATAAATTTACTACCAGATTTAGCGGAATAACTACAAGCTTCCATTTCGAACTCATCCGAGAAACCAAGTCCTGAATTAAGCATATTCAGTCTTTCTTCTATAAACTGAAATCATCATTATTATAAATTGAAATTTATTTAGATCCAAATTATTCTCTATATCGCTTAATGTATTCTTTCATACTTGTTGAAATATTTGTAACTGCAACATTTCTCGTACAAAAGGTTGCATCGAGGGAGGTCTGCTTTCTATAAATGCATCTCGATCAAAAGTAATACTTTGTCCTTGTTCCAGCGTTAATGCGTCCCTGTAGCCAGCTGTTAATTGTACCAATGCACGCAGAAATGCCCTTGACACTCCATCACCGAGAAGCGCGGGTCTATTACGTAATGCCCTTTTCAAGTTTGTCACCTGGGACAAAGAAACTTTTTATTTTATTATTTAAGAAATATTTCGATTCTTACGAATAACTTTGTTGCATCAAGAATAAAATTATATTTCTATACGAACCACATCCTGAGGTAAGGATTCCAAGTCTTGAAATGGCGATTCTATCGTATTATTATCAGCATCCAAAATTACTACTTCTTCTAAATCACCTTTACGTACTCTCTGAAAAGAAAAAGAGAACAATAAGGATATAAATATGAATTAATTAATTTTACTAAATACCTGAAGTGTTGGAGCAGGAACTCCGATTAAAAATGGCATTGGTGCTAATAAATAATCTATTAAAAATAGTGGTAGTACTGGTATGTATATATGTTGCCAAATCATCGGGTATATTAAAGCGTTGCATGCTTGAACACATGCGCTCAATCTTGAAAGACGTTTTGAAGTGAAAATAATTCGTCGTTCGTATAACATAGAAGCAAATACTATCATCATATTCTGGGCATCAACAGCACTGTAATACTCGGTCAAATTTCTCTAAAATAACACATAGTTGATACTTGACATATAGCTTACTGCCATTTAGACTAATTTCTTATAAATGCTGAAACGGGTATTTAGTTACTTACATTTTCAGGTATACTTGGTAATTGAAATTGTTTCGGACTTTGACAAACAAAATTCTGAAAATTATATAAATGTGTAATTTAAATAAAATATTATACCAAGTGCAAACTCGTTAAATTGATTACCACTTTAGAATTTGGTACAGGGATCGATATAGAACTACCAGGAATGGGAACTGAACTTCTATACACAGTTTCAAGAAATTTCCAGAGATCTTCTCCAGTGCCAGTACTCATTAAGGTTGCAATATTATTTAAAAGCCTATTTAAAATATAAAGTATCGTAGTTTATGAACAAGATCGTCCGCTGATTTTATTATAATAAGTAATATACTAACTTGTAAAATATTTCATGCCATGGTAATGCACTTAAGATTACTAAAGCTGTATCTGTTTTAGGATCGTGTCGACAAAATCCAAACGTCCATTTTGAACTAGTGAATACAAATGAAAAATGTTGCACCAACAGACTGTAATAAATATACATAGAATTAAATTCTGTTCAACAGTTAACTGTAATTTAGTACAGGATCAAAACTTACTTTTCAATTTCACACGGGTATGCAAATTTTGGAACAGATTTAAGTATTTCCTCATCCGAAAATGAAGTAGGATACTTTTGAAGTATCCAAGGTGGCCTCTCTCCTAATGGTGCAGCTATTTCACAAAAACACTCGAAAAGATGTTGTACATTGTCCCTAAAAATATTGATATCAAACATTTAAGTAATAACATATTACTTCAATAACGTCGAATTCAAATACAATTTGAACAACCTATACAGATAATTCAAATGCGAATGCAAATGTTCTACACGTTACTTTAATTACTTTTTACCTTGCGCCATATGTTACACAATATGTGTATGCATAGCAAACATACGCCTATTTCGCATACTTGAAATTTGTATGTATGAAAATATAATAATAATTTCTAAAATTTTAACAAATGTATTGTCATTTAATTTATCAAACGTGGTAAATTGAATTTTAGTTAAGAAAAAGATATTTAAACAATACTATATTATGGACAACTTTCACTTCTTTTTTGTAGCATGCAAAAGAAATGGTTTTATAGCATAAAAAAGATATCAGCAAATGTAATGAAACATTAAAAATATCCATGATACGATATTTATAAAAGAACATGGAAAATGAAAAATATACCCACCTCAATCTGGAATCCATGATAACAGTGGAAAAAAAAATAAGTACTTTATATTCTCTTGACGTCTATACGTCATTGTACGTACTACATGACAGTAATACATTCCATTCACGTGAATTTTAGTCCCATTGCATAGCCCATTGTTACGACCCACACTATTCTTATAAACAATTTTCTTTTCCCTTCTTCCTGTGATAATGTATCCTAACCGTACCGCCAAGCGATGTATCAACTGTTACCTCTGAACACTGAGAACATCTTACGTCCAAATCACACCTACTATGCACATTTATGTGGATATTTATGTAGGTACATACATATGTATATATGTATTACTCTTGTTACAGAAGTGCATTTGGTTTGCGCATCTCGGCTAGATTCAGAAGGCTCATCAACATCATCAATATGGTACATACCTTCTACAGTCTACTTTTCACTTCGTGGTCATAGTATACGTATGTGTACATACATATGTATGTATGTATGTATGTACATACAGGGTGAACAAAACTCTACAAATAGGAAGAAACTAAAGTGTCATCCGTCAATCTCTCATGTTATTGTCAGCGCCATCTAAGATGAGAATGTAAAGAGCATAATATTTAGGATTTTCTTTTTATTGCAAATATTAATATTGTTACACTTATACATTTTTGTGCAGATGAAATGATACATAAATAACTAATTTATCAATTAATAATACATTTTCATTATTTAAAAATATATGATTTAAATCATATCTACTCTAACTTGTACATACAAAATATTCCATTAAAAATAATTTAGTTTAATAATGAATGATGATGCAAATATTTCATACTAACATACTAAACATTTCATACAATTAACTTCTGATATAGCAGTAGATTCTAATTAATGTAAACATATAATTTATAATGATACTCAGATATTTATAGAATGAAGTATATTTAAATCTATACACACTGATAAAACTCCTTTGAAGAATTGTATTTTATCATTAACTTCTCTCTGTTAACAGCGAACACTTAAAAGGCACAATTAATTGCAATAGTACAAAAATATTAAAACTCAAATACACAAAAAAATATGAGCTATTCTCTAAAAAGTTACATTACTAACAAATATATTTCAAATCATAATTCTTCTATAAAATTTGAATTCTTAATAATGCATACGTTTATATATGTATATATATATATATATATAAAATTGTAAATATAATATCAAGATTTTCTTATTTTATTTCTGCATAAATAAATGCACCTCATAGAGGTTCAAGTCTTTTAAGATAAGTAGATTAATCATGTGCTCAGTCTGTTGAATTCTGTTCTGAATTTGTAGATGCATTATTTTTCACACAATGGGTTTCTTGATTAATTTCAGTAACAAATATGTACTCTTATGTGAGGAACCAAACTTACAAATATTGGGTTGGGGAATAAGTTCGTAGCGTTTGTATTAAAGACTTTTATTTGAACAAAAATCAATAGTTATAATAATAAATTAATCAATTATGTATTCGGTTTTGTAGAGCAGAAAGAGCTCTATCGAATGAATATTATAATACTTTGTCAAACAGCAGAAGAATTGTTGTAAAACAAAAGATAATATAAAGGCGCTACGAACTTATTCCCCAACCCAATATATACATTTACCGGTCTTTATAGAAATATGTTAAAAAAATTGATTAAAGGAGTACAATGTTTGACTTGGATGCAAATATTTAAAACCAGGTAAAACAAAATTTCTACTACATTTTAAAACTGTACATGTAAATACAAATAAATTATTTGTATTTACATGTTCAGGACACAAAGTTACCTTATTATGAAAATAGTAAACTGTAACATAACTGCATACTGTAAACTTGTTCTATAAAATACCACATATAACAAGGAAATTATAGATTAACTGCCACGTGTCTTCGTTACTTTACAGTGTTATGACTACTAAAAGAAAGAGTTTAAACAAATATTATTGACAGATACTAAAACAAGAGTGCTGAAATCATTCAAGGTTTCCAAGAAATATACAAAATACACGAATAAAGATATGTTACTTTTATTTGTAAACAAAACCAATTACAGTGTTTTTATAATAAATATTAGCAACTCTTTTAATCACTGTCATTAAATAATCACAAGACTGTGTATAATGTATATATACATGTACATGTTTTATATGTATATATACATATAAAAATTCTTTACCCTTTCTTTCTTTTTGATCTACAATACTTGAATAAATGATTTATGTACATGTTTCAGCACTCTAAGAACAGTTAAAAAATACCTAAGATAAAATATATAAGATAATTTTGTGCTTTGTTGAAAGCTTTGATTCTATTTATATTAAAAATTATGATGCAAATTATTATTAATACATAGGAATTATGATTATATGCACCCGTGCATTATAAATTAATCAATAAGCAATGTTATAAGAAGGAACATGAATTTTATAACTTCTAACGTAACAATCATTAAACAATTTTTAAACTGTATGTTTTTTCAATATAAATATTTGTATATACGTTTAGTGCGTCAATTCACTGTAAAGTGTCAGAAAAGTTTTACTATATGTATGTAACACGTGTGTGTATATATATAAATACACTTTCCTTACTCAGCTTTTGCAATTAGAAGTTGAATATTCCGTTATGAAAGTTATACGCGTTGCTTTGTAATTGTTAGAGCAAAATGCAGCAATTTCTTTCCTCCTTGCCCTCTTTTCCATCGCCTTGATTTTCCTGTGCTTTCCGTGCAGCTATCGCGCTCATTAAATCAAAAAATACCTGTAATGTAACACAAAATATGTCCTATACTATGTACCTATATACATAAATTTCACGTCCGTTTACTTTAATTTCACCATTTAAGTTTGTACAATTAAAGCACAATAAAAACTGCACTGAATGAGTGAAAATATGAGATAATTTTTGTACCGGTTATATGGAAAAAAAATATACATGCATGGCAACAAGCTATATTTACTATTTTATACGGAAATTTTCAGCCATTTATGTTTAAATTGAATTCTCAAAAATGAAAAAGAAAAAAAAAAGAAAAAGAATTGTGTCTTTATAGTTTTTAATACTGAATTATAATTCTGCATGCATATGCAGTATTTCAGGCATAAGCAAGAATCAAGCAAAATATAAGTAATAAAAAGTGTTCTATTATACGTGCCTGTGAGAGACACTCTTGTAGAAGGCTGTTACATCTGGTGTAATTGTTACCTGCTGATAATTGCACATACACATATTTATTTAAATGTTAGAAAAAAGTAAAAAAAAAAAAAGAAAATATATATATATATATATATATATGTGTATATAAAACCCTTAAGTATTGTACATTTTACGTTATAAAAAAATTAACAACAGTTTAAAAAACTGCAAACCTATAGAAAAATGCACTTCTTTTTCTTCTTGTTAGCACGGTCCTTTCCACGACCGTTGCTCGCTGACTTGTCCTCGATCTTGCGCGACCTTATTTCACGCATCAAGTCGAAAAATACCTGAAAATGTGCAATTGATGCCATCTCAAAGCCTCGAGGCTCGAAAAAGTGCTTTTAAATTAAAAACAAATATGCAGTATACATGTATGCTTATGATGTGCTTATACAAACACACATTTAATGCAAAGAATCACGTGTGCAAAAGCTATACGATGCACATGTAGCAGAGAAAATTGTAGGATACAGAAGAAATTGCAAATGAAGCTAAACAGATATATATCTCATGCAATTTCTGTATTCTAAAGGCTGTAATAAAATTGAAATACTGCATGTGCATTTACTTATATACAACTATAAATGTATAAATATGTTTCCACTATTAAATACTATTGGTAACACTAATTAATTTCCAACAAAACAACTACTTTGATATTGAGAAACATAAGTGGTTTTATAATCAACCTACCTTATCGACATTTTCTTTCGTTTTTGCACTTGTTTCTACATATGGTACACCCCATTGTTGTGATCTTGCTTGAGCTTCTGCTAAAGTAACTTTCCTCTTTTCTTGCAAATCACTTTTATTTCCCACTAATAGAAATGGAATGTTTTCATCATTCTTTACCCTAAGAATCTGTTCTCTGAATAAAAAAAATCAATGGATTTTGTTTTGTACCTTAAATATGTGCATGTTTTTGTATTAAATAAATTATTACATACCTAAACTCTTGAGTGGCTTGAAAACTGTCATCTTCTGTTATAGAAAACACACAAAGAAATCCTTCTCCGCTTCTAAAATAATTATCTCTAATTGCTGCATAATCTTCTTGTCCTGCAGTATCTAGAATATCAATTTGTACTTCTTCTCCGTCTAATACAACTTTCTTTCTATAAGAATCTGCTTTTGTAGGCTCATAATCCTCGACAAACTAATTAGAATAAAAAGAAATATATGTTTGTATTTAATCAGCTATACATATTGAGATATAAATATAAATATATACATATGTATGTACAAGGTTCCTGTACCTCATCGTACATAAACTGTAATGTAAGGGCAGATTTTCCAACGCCTCCACTTCCAACCATTATAACCTTATGCATTGCTTGGGTAGTACCTGGCTTTTTAGACATTTTCCTATGTACTTCTGAAACAACAATATTTAAGAACATTAATACAAAAGAAAAGATATAAAAATGATTGAAGCAAAATATATATATATATATATATATACATATATATACTAAAATATATCTACTAAATTAGAAAGTTGGCAGAAACAAATATCATTAAAGGAAATCATAGTTGAGAAAGGCAGGATGTGAAACTCCTATTGTTAGTATGAGAAATCTAAACACAAGCACAGAATCATATATTTACCTACTTATATATTATAGATCATAAAATATGTTTAAGTCAAGAAAATACAGGTTAGAGCACAACTTTGTGCACTGTTTTGATATGTATAGTGATATATAGACTGGCATTTAATTTTTCCGTCATGTTTATACTACGCTGTGTCTTTGAACGCGACATAAGAAATGTTGAGACAAATGATACAAAACTATCTGCGATCCATCGAATATTCGTGTAACTTTTTTATTACGCTCGCCTATGCCTAAAAAAGGTAATACAAAATAAAATAAAGCTGGATATATGAGAACGAATAACGAAAAAGGCGGTGCCACACGCCCAATGTCAAGAGATGCCTAATTTAATTTTAAGCCTTAGAAATTTCGCCCATTGGATTGGAATACACATAGTTTCTACCTGCAACGATGACAAATTTAGATTCTCTAAATACCTTTTCAGGTCGCGTATATAAAGCAACTATTTCCTCTTTTTCTAAGTCTCAGCTGTCGCGCTTCGTTTACTGTATTGTCAATGATAGTACTAACAGTGACTCACTGGTACATACAGATAATTAACTGTAGAGGTACTCGTGCACCCTTCTGGCAACTTTTTGTACTGTTATACCGGTGTTGAAAATAATGTTTCTTTTCTGGAATTTATATTTTTAGTAAATATATATTATAAAAGTCATATTTCTTGCATAAAGATATAAACAACTGTGTTTAATATTTCGTTATGATTTCAACTTTCTATGCATCCTTATAATTACTACAAATTATAATCATAAACCAATGATCCAAAAATATATTTATATTATAAATGTGTATGTATGTAAGTATTTATGGACGTACATTTGGTACATTATTAAATTATTAAAATAATTGTTTGACAAACTTGTATTTTAAAAAGACCGCCATAAATTAATTTTCAATTCGCCCGTAGCGCCATCTATACAAAAACGGCTGAAGCTACTCGCCAATTAGTTTCCGCAAGTACCCGATAGATGGCGCCAGTATTCGCCTGGCTCAGAGGTCGGTAATCGTTGAGTAGTTTCAGCCGTTTTCGTACAGATGGCGCTAGTAGTTAAACCAATGTCGGTAAATTGGTCGGTAAATCGTCGAGTAGTTTCCGCCGTTTACGAATAGATGGCGCAAGGATCGAATTAGAGATTCCATTCTTATGGAATCGGGCGATTTGATTTTGCAATTAATTTACAATTAACATCGAAGCAATTTACGTTCTCGCCTTCGTTCTCAAGGCACAATCACGTACAATTTCAAGACCCTCGAAAACAAAGACACGTACAGTCTTGTACAGTCTTGTTGGATGTAAGTATAGACTTTGTATATTATATTATACACATATAAATAACAGCAATTCAACAATGTTTATGGTATCAGCAAGGGGCATATGTACATTTGATGAATATTTATGCATTTGTATAGGTTCATAATTTATTACATAAAACCTGTTGCACTGTGATGAAAATGACTACAGAGGAAGACTGGGACGTAGAACGGTTAAAGGCAGAACACGAATCTGATGAACATTGGGAACTTAGACGTAAATTTCTTTTAGCTCATAAAGATAAATTCCCAGAAGATGAACTTGTTTGTTTGGCTCAAGTATTTACTAATGTCGAATTGCTTGGCTGCAGGTAAAGTACATATATTTGTTACTAATTTTCATATATTATTTATAAGAACATGACATTTAACATTGATTATTTTTACTATGTTTCTCTCAGATATCCAAAAGAGACAATGCAATTAATAGCAGAATTAGCTAAAGATATTGTTGGAGATTATAGAGAGAAACAGAAGACTAAGTTACAAAGAACATTTGTGAAAGCTTCAGATGCTGCTAGTTCAAAGGTTAAAGGTATATCTAAGAACTGTGAGTTCTATCGCTATTTTTAACAATTTCAAATCATTTTTTGGTCATACATTGTATCGAATAATGTATTTATGTTATTCAGGACTGAATGCCCGATCATCTACCAATAAAGTTAATACAGAAGTAGAATTAGAAAGTACAAGCTCCACTGTTGAATCTACAACTAGCAAAGTACCCGTTAAACGAATAAAATTACAAGAACCACCATTTGGTGATATCGTATTGGTAGAGAGACCTAAGGATGTACCACAGAATATAATTGCTTGTGCAATTAATGCCTCGGGCAATGATTTAGAATGGAAATTTAATAAAATCAGTAACTTTTTGTATGTGTTATTATTTTTATTTTCTGTTGTATATGCAAATAAAATTAATTGCATGTCTTTATAGTAAATGCACTATTTTTATCAACTCAAAGCCATTGGCAGAAGCTTCTAATTGTAATCAGAAAATGGCAAAGAAAGAAGCAGCTATTATTGGATTACAAGAACTAAAAAAATATTATTATACAATTAAGGTTTGTAACGTGGAGTTTTGACGTTCATGTTTATGTTTATTGAATTTAATCCAAACTTGTATCTAATGTTTAGATTAAGCAAAATATAAATGAAGATTCCAATGTAACTACAACAACAATGGTAAAAGCAACAGTAACAGAGGAGTCAATTTCTGATGATAATATTGGAAAAAAATTAATGAAATTAATGGGTTGGACGGGTGGAGGTCTCGGTAAATCGCAACAGGGAATCGTGGAACCTATCACGTAAGCGTGATTTCTCTTATATTTTGTGCAAAGCATTGTAAATATTAATATCGATTGAATAGTGTTAAGCAACAGATCAGCAGAGAAGGACTAGGACTAAAGTCAAATTCTTCCTCACTGAATCACGTAAAATATAAATCTAGACACATTATGAAAAAGTATTTGGCAGGTGACATGAGAACTGATTTGGTATTCTCTGCATTTACAAATGAAGAGAGAGCTGCAATCCATGTGTAAGTAGTATAGTGATAAAAATTTCTGAAACGATGGATCACATTAAAAACCGGGTTTATTAAATTTAGGATAGCAAGACAGTTGGGTTTGAAATCACACAGTTATGGTCCTAAGGATCAACGAACATTGGTAATATCTCGTAAAATAGATGTACGAAATTTGGTGGACGAATTAAAAAGTCTTGGAGGGATTACCAGCAAATACGAATTGATCGAACCAACTGAAATGTAAATGAAAAAATATACCTATTTTTCTGTCTTTTCTATTCATATTATTTCTTGGTCTGTTTTTATACCTGAACCGAACATTTAAATAAAACATTTTGTCCACTAAATTCAGTATGAATCATTTCTTTTGCGGCATAGCCCAATGTGTTTGGAAAGTATTACTCATGTTGATTTCATGAGATTTTAGTCGAATAAAAAAAAAAAAAAGAAAACTTTAATTTTTACAAGAATCATAAGCATATCATATATACATATACGTGATCAGGTACATACAATTTTAATTGCATAAAATAAAACTGAAGAAACGTTCACTTTATTTAATGATCGTCGCGCGCTGAACTTATTTCCAAGAACATTGTATTTTAATTAATAGAAGTACAAAAACTTTAAGAAGCAAGATCACTTACAAGTGTATGGTACGTCGCAGTTGCCGTATAATAAGAATAAGAATAAGAATAAGAATGCTTTGGCAGTAGAACAATATAGAAGTCGAAAGTAACATGGATACGACGACGGCATGTGATTTTATTACATTATCACATTATTTCAATCTTGTTAACTAATTGTAAGATGGTCAATGTTGATTACGTATACTTTTGCGCTGTACATATTTATCAAGCGGCGGTAAACATCCAATAATGCTCGTTCACGCTACTTTGTTTATAACATTAAAAGAAAGAAAGCGATAATTAAAACATATACATATATAAATTACATCATTTTCGAAATTGATTTGAATTTGTATTTTTCTCAAGCGTGGATAACTATGGACGGATCGTGCAGATATGTTCTGTTACGTTTTTAACAATTCACGATTATACATATATGTATATTTGTATGTCTAATGTACTTAAATAAATTAGATTGCTAATGCAATGAAAACTATTGACGTTTATGCTGGTAACTGTAATTTTCATGACGTACCTACTGAGAATTTTATATACGCGTGCGATTTCAAACATAAAATACAGATAATAAAACCCGAGTGGGACATGAATTATTACATGGATTATTACATCGATTGTCTCTTTAAATCGCATCATACAAAAGAGTAGTAAACAAACAATTGTAAACGATAGATAAGAGAATACGCGGCGTGTACAAGCATTTTAGAACTCCTCGCTCTAAACAGTGCTGCTAGAGAAATGTTTTGAGAAGCTTTTATGGATCCTTCTATCGTTCTTCTGCTTTTATGTATATTATTACACATAATAAAATGCATAAGAGGTCTCTCCTGTATACAACACTGTTTTAAAACGATTGAAATATACACACTGCACATTGTACATGTTTGGATTCATCAATTCCAATTACCATTAAAGATGGTAATCTTAAATGTATCTTAAATGTACCACGTCGAAATTGAAGGAAAGGGAAGGGAGGAGGTGAAGGACGAAGTCGTTCCTGAGCGGAGATTCAGAACGTCTTGATCCTTTGAAAGATTCATCTTAAAGTTTACACAACTTCCCTCAGGATTCTGTCTTCGGTCCAGGCCCTACTTTGGACCGTAATTGACATCTGGAGGGAACGTTACATATCTCTCTCTCTCTCTCTCTCTCTCTCTCTCTGTCTTCTTCATTTTTCTCTCTTTTATATACCAAAATATTATATCTACTATTTGATAAAAGTGACTCTTTTGTTGATATGTAATATATATATATATACTTAATTATTTATATTAGAAGATACGTCATTGGTTGACTAGAAGATATTACGCTTAAAATATAGGTAGAGATGGGTTTTATTCGTTAAACGAAAGTCTTTCTTTGTGGGTGTAGACGTGTAATTAGCTCCCCGGTTTCGAACAGGAAGAAAGAAAACGGAGAACCAGCACCCTGAAAGAACACGACACTCATCTCCAGATTACGTTACTGATATGTATCCATATTGATATGTTACGTTGCATTACCGTCATTTGCATCTTTAATACATCTTCATCTTAAGTAAAGAGCGCGTTATACCCTGAAGGAACGCGATAAGATGCTAGATTTGTACCTGCTTTACTTCCTCATGTTTAAAATAGATAATATGTATATATATATATTTTTTTTTTTCTTTTTTTTTTTCGTTTCATATACACATTCGTGTATCCATATCTCACTAAAGATCGATCGCTTTTATCAGAAAAAATAAGATGACTGTTGTTGTTTTGAAAACATTAATACAAACCGATCGACACAACATGAAATACACTTTTCTAAAATGGAATTTGTACGTTGCGTTTAATAGTGTTACAGCAAAAACAACTGGATACCTAGTAAGATCGATTCAAAGTTTTTCCTACCAGCGAAGGTTTGTATCGATCTTTACGCTTTATTGACGATTAAAATAAGTATATCGAAGCATACGTTACAAAATATACAATTAACCCTTTGCGATCCAAGTGTGTAGCACACTGTGTCGGTGTTTACAATATATCTGTAACATTCAAAAATGATAATGAAGCGGGGGGGGGGGGGGGGGGGGAATATCAATGATAATACATCTGTTTTAATAAATAAATATAAAGTAGACCGCAAAGAGTTCACTGTATATCCGTCCAACGAATAAAACTTTTTGATTCCAATAGGACTTATCTACGTATTTCTGTTTGGTGCGTATCGACGAGAAATATCATTCATTGAAATATCATCAACGATTCTTGATTGTTCAGACATGCGATCAAACATCCTTTTACCCGATGCGATACAAAAGCAGCGTTTTTCAAGTAACAGAAGAGAGATATATATGGCTGATTTATCTTGATTGTCCTTCACTTAATTGAATAATCGGTGTACGACCGTGTTCAATGACGCGTTCAACGGCAAACTATATCCAGTAAGATTCATTCTAAACATCAGATTGGCGAAATACTGGTCGAAAATCTACGTAGGTATAAATTACTCGAACTCGATACGACGGGAAACTGAAATCCGTAGAAGGACCTTTACATGGTACTGTACCAGCAGTAATCATCACACCGCTTCCTGTATATAATGTATATATACGCATACATACAGAAATTATTATGTAATATACATTGTACATGATAGCTTGTGACAAACATCATGTGCAGTATACGGAATTTTACGATCAATTTGCAAGGCAGAAGATTTTGCGCATGCACGAGTACGTGTCGTTACTTTGAACGCCATAAGAGACTGACAATGGAAGTGAAAATTTAAAAAAAAGAAAAAGGAAGAGAAAAAAAGAAAGAAGAAATCAAGGTATAATTCTTTTTTTTTTTTTCCTTTTTCGTCTCTGAAAGGATGATTAAATGTCTAACGGCTACGCCATACTGGCCTCGGAAGCGGGCAACGTTAGCCTGTTATATCGATCGCAGGCCAGTGCGACACGAGTAAAATATAATTAATTGACCCAAGTAATTACTATGCTTCTATATCGTCGCAATGCTCGATGCGTGACTTTCATCGTCACGACATTGTTTCAACTTTGATCACTTTCTTTCCTAGAAGGGTAACAACGCGTCCATTGTAGCGCGAGAGAACGACGTTGGGTCATTAAAAAGGTGTGCACAACAGATATATGTATGCATGTATGTACAAGCGTTGACCCTTGACATTTAGCGAAAGTTTAAACGTTCAGTACTCCCATGCCCCTCGATAATGATTGATAGATACAGCTATCTCGATTGATCTCGGTGCTCTTTTGGCGTATTCTTTTGAAAAGCAAGAACAATAAGAAACGAAAGGAGAAAGAAGAAAAAAGATAGGCAAACAAGTAGATGGCGATCACGTTGCGAAAGATAGTTGGCAAAGAAGAGTAGTCGAGCTTTTAAGCGATAGGATAATGCGATTGTAGTAATACGATACAGCCAACATGATAGTGCCTCCGCGATGTCGTTCCTCTGGGAGTAGCCTGTTCAGTCGAGAAAGCCGGTTTTCACGAGTTTCTCCAGAAAGAACTTGACGTCTCCCAATTCGGAATCCTTGATACCGATCGATTTCAGCATACCCAAGTCACCGTTTTCCACCGCCATGAACACGGAACGCAAGTGTTCCAAATCTGATCGCATCAGATGCAATGCTGCACCAAAGTCTTCGATCGTTTGAGATTCTAAAAACATGAATTTTGTTCATTGTTCGATACAAATCAAACGATTAATACCTAATTTAAATTGGAACCAACGGAGACGCCAGCAATGTTGTTTATGGAAATGAAAAAATAACTTACCAGAAAGAGCTATGGCTACCGAGTTCACTCCACCCAAAGGTTTCAGTGTATCTCTCGCTTTGGTTCCGAACAATTTCTCGAGATAATTAGGACCGTGACTTGCCAGCAACGACTGCAGAAAACTAGCCGTTTCCTCTACCGGTGGTCTTTTCGCTAAAATGTCCAACAGAAAGTATTTACTGATTAAACTTTAAATAAATAAATGAATATAAAGAAAAAATTGCCAATTGACATTTATGTTTCTTTACGATGACATGGGACACAACACACGCGGTGCGTCAGTCACGCATCGGACAGCCAAGGTAAACAGTAGTAGAGGTCGAGCATAAATCAGTCTTTCTACATAATCTAAGTTCAACTGTTTCGTAGTATGTATACGTTGTAACAATTAATTACCAGCTGTGCATAGTCTTGAATCCTCGTCGTATCCGTTTTGACAATCTGGAGCACCGTCGCATAAATACTGGATCGAAATACATATGCCGTCTCCTGGACATTTAAACGGCTCGTACGGCCGGCATGCATTTTCTGTAACATTCGAATTTACAAATATTAAGTTAAGATACATGTATGTATGTATGTATGTATGTAATGTACGACTTTCTGTACAGAGTGGCCAAATTAGCATACATAATTATTAATAATTATTGCTGGCTGCTAGCACAACTGATATGGATTTTACCAATATATCATCGTATCAATTGGTTCTCAAGTGAAATACTCGATCGGAAAATATGGTAATTTCAATTCCCTGCTCGTTACCACAAGGAATTTAATAATAAAATAACATTAATCAGTGGTGGTAGTAGTCATGCCACGTTCCATAACGAAACGAACTACCGTTTCATTCATTGCATTGAATAAACTACAGACAGCCTATCACGAAGATGAATCGTGATACGTTGAAATACACCACGTGGATTGAAATTACCACTTAAACGACCTTACCATCCACACAATGGATCGTACTTATGTATATAAAGACTAAAATGTATCGTAGAACCTTGCGTAAACGGTGTTTTAATCCTTAACCAACTTGTTACATGATATTCGTCGTCGTGTATTTCTACAAATATAATATTATTCGATGTTACCCGAGATTTTATGAATAAGGGAAAAAGAAATAACAAAAAATACATATGCATGGAATATTTATAGGAGCCCAATTGACTCCACCTTACCTATTTGTGCAACAGAAATTGCACCCCATCATTACGAACTAGCATCATTACAAACAACTGTCACTAAATAATTATAGTTTATAGCTTAATCGATTACTATTTCACAATCTACAGAAAAGTAATTCTACTCTAAACGGAATGTAACGTTAACGAATTTCAGATAAACAAATCATGATTATATTCAAGCAAGATTACCGTACAAATTAGTAACGGACAATGACGACTTACCAGTACGTTTCGAGTTGAAGTGACCATAAAATCGACTCAAGTCGAGCGCCATGACGGCACGCGGAAAAACAACGCAAGCACTCAGGGCGAGGCTAAGCGCAGCCACACTAGTGCAAAATCTTTGAACCATTCTTAGCCGGTGTAGCCCGTTAACTAATCTCGATAAACGAGTGTTCACGCAGGCTATGCGTTTCGTTGGCTAACAGTGAAACAATGACGGTACTACGCTCTGGAACGTCCGAAGATCGTGAACCTGAAGCTTGTTTCAGGCTACCTAAAAGCTAAAAATCGAAATAACAGTCGTTGACACGCTGATCCCTCGATGAACAATACGAATACGATTGTCTGCCTTCACTTTTCCTGCTTTAACTTTTTCTCCTTTCACAGCCACCCTCTATCTCTTTTCAACACCGAGTGGCTGGTGCGTGACACGGGGTGCACAAGCACTGTGAACACACCTGCCTACCTTACGTATCATACATGCCATGCTAAGTACGTATTATAATCCCTACTCTTCCAGAGACACCTCTATTTGAAAAGGTGGGAGAGAAGGTAGGATCAATCGTCCAATAGGACAACAGGACTCGCTGAATGTGACCAATGAAAATGGGCGAGATCAAATGTACATACTACCCTGGAACACCTACGCGACCCTTTGCTACGTCGCATCGATTTCAACCCCCTTGTGTCTGTAGGTAACTTTTGTTTATCGTTACATACATATGTAATGCTGCGTTTACGCGGGTAGAATAGTATGGCGTGCGTTATCCTCATGGAATAGGGTAATGGATTCACTAAATTTCGAGGAAATCCCATTTAGTTAAATTAACGCGCAACCCTGAACAACTTTTGTTAAGAACTTCTCGCGGTTAGACCTTTTCCCTCGCTATTATACGTAGTACATACATACATAAGTACATACATGTAATACTCAATTCATTTTTTTTTCTAGGCATTACTATACAGATGCAGATAATTGTATTCGGTATAATTTATATATACATAAAATTGTATGAATTTTTTTTCTATAATTAAAGAGTAGTTACAAGAATATTTTATAAAATTGTGTAATAATATAATATAGATAACTCTGATATATGTATATAATAAACTAAAATATTCCATATTTTTCAAATGTTTACGTTATAACATTTTGTAATTAACTTGATGTAACATGAATCGTTACCGCGATAACTTCGTATCGTATATGTATACGCTACACACATACATAACCTGAAGAAATATCAATATACATATACGTATCTATTTCAAGTACCCATGTAAGGTTTAAATAATAGATTGTATATATCTACAAAATGGGGTTAATAAAATAATTATGACGAAATACAAATGTTATTTATTATGCTCGTTGCATGGATGGAAATGATAAAAGGTCGGATAAATAGATGAAAATGTATTAAAGGAACTTTAAAAAAAAAAAAAGATTACAGTATGGAGGATTTAAAGTCTAAATTTTTTGGTCTTATTAATAAGCAGGTAATCAACCTTATACTACTATTATTATAACTAAACATTATTTATTTATGTGATCAAGACCTGAGTACAACTATTTTTCTTTTCATTCATCTTCTTATTCTTTAGGTTATGTTGCTCTGATTTTCAATATGTTTTTTATGAAATGTATATTGTATATTGTATATAGTTTATATTATTGTTCAGAATACAACCAAGATTCCACTTATGGGTTCACATCCGGATCTCATCGATCCATCTGAATCTCAGAAACTGGATAACATACAATCAGAAGTTGATCAGTCGACAGGGAATGAACCTATTCCTGACCAAGATATATTAGAATCCATAGAAAAGATTTATTTTAATACAGACCACAATTTTGATGCCTCTAGATACGAATTAGAAAAGCTACCAAAAGTATTGCAGTCCAAAGAAATTGAAAAAAGTTATAAGAAATTGAAACAGCAACATCAAGTTGTATCAAAGAAAGTTTTACAACTTATTTTACAGAAGCAAACTGCTTGTAAGAAAGAATTTGACAAAATTTTGTTGATACAAGAACAATTGCAAGATGTATTAGAAATATGTAGAATGGGAAGGGCAGATCTTAAATTAGCTGAAAGACAGTTTACAACAGCTAGTTTAGGAATATTAGCAAATTATCAAAAAAGACAAATTGTAGAAGAATTGTTGAATAATTTGAATACCATAAAAACATTGGTAAGTATTTTTTATTTTAATTTGGATCATTCATTGAATGAAAATATAATAATAATAATAATAATAATAATAATAATATTTTTTAGCAACGTACGGGAGATCGTTTGCAAGAGCTATTAAATGAAAAAAATTATCCCAGAGCAATCTCATTACTTTTAGAATGTCAAAGTGCTGCGCAAACTTATAAACATTTTCACTGCATTGCTGCTTTAAATGGAAAACTACAAGACATTTTAGAACAAGCAGAGGAAGCTTTAGATGTTACGCTCTCAAAGATGTGTACACAGTTCAATGTAACGATATACACGTCCATACAAGAAGCTTATACACTTTTAGGAAAAACTCAATCGGCAATGGATCAGCTGCATATGCACTTCACAGCTGCAATTCATAATACTGCTTTTGCAGTTGTTCATTCTTACGCAGGTGGTGACACGAAGAGGCAATACAAGCAGCTTTGTCAGTCGGTGCCTCGTGAATGTTGCATCGCTTGTCTAACAGAATTGTGTAAATCATTGTGGACGATATTAAGTTCTTACTATTTGATAGTAAATTGGCACAATACTCAAGAGAATAAGCTCAAGTTCGACATTAAAGATGTGGAAGAAACTTTTAATCAACAATATGTAAAGCATAAACTAGAAAACAGTATGATTCGAGTATGGCATGACGTAGAAATAAAAATATCAATATTTTTAATGAATGTCGATTTAACTTACATTAAATTTGAACAGTTTGTACAAGTTTTAGATATAGTTAACAGGTTAATAGAAATTGGAGAAGAATTGTGTGGCTTTAAGTCAGAAAACTTGCAAGAATCGATAAGGAAGCAATCATTGTCATATTTTTCCCACTATCATACATCAAGGCTAGATGAACTTAGAATATTTTTAGAGAACGATGGATGGGAGCTGTGTCCTGTTAAACCTAATTTTGTAGCAACGCAATTACAGGAATTCAAAAGTTTAAAACCATCGCTCAATAGTTGTAAAGTTTGGAACAATCTAGACAACTCTAACGTTAACGAGAATGATAGTACCATGGGAATAGAATGGATTCAGAAATATTTAGAAGGAGGCACGTCTCCGTTTGCCATAGGTTTAGATGATACGATGGATGAAGATATTTTGATAAACAGCGAGGTATGACGATATTTTATAATACTAGCAGTTATTGTTTTCGTCGTTATAATATATTGTATATTGTATACGTATAACTTTTAGGATAATTCACCAGCTTATTTTTCCGATGAATCCGACGACGATATTCCTGATGAATTGAAACGGGAATACGTTGACGATTCGGATCACGTTAAAACGAATAAAAAAAAATGTAAATTGAAGCAATCAGGACCGATGGTTACAAACACCACGCTAAGCATATTGCGTGTTTGTGGAAAGTATTTACAGATGTCTAGACTTTTGCGTTCGATCGCGGTCACTGTCATACAAAGTATGATACAATTTTATGAATTATGCTTTTATACGGTACATTTATTCTTCACCTCGGATCTTGTAAGTTTCTACTGCTCGTTGGTAATAAATGAAAATTAATTTATCAATAATGAATAATCTTCTTTTCAAGCAAATAAATAGTGACTCTTTATACAGTCCAAAATTGAAATTGTCATTGGCAAGAATTAAAGAGAACTTGATCATTTGTGAAACTGATACCGAAGATAATATTAAGTTAAATTCGGATAAAGTGCGACAACCACAGCTTTCTTCTATTGTAAATTTACACAAACCAGAAGAACTGCATGGTCTAATGGAACGTATTGTCGCAGTGGAATCTCTAATATTTTTAGGACAACAATACGAAAGTTTAAAACCCTATTTGGAACATTTAATCGGTGCTAGTCCACAACGTGGTTTCCTTCATCAATTTTATATGCAAACGATAGCATCAACGGTAGATCTAAGGAAACCAGTGTATATGGCGGTCGCATCGCAAGCCTTTGATGTGGCAAATATCCTAAATTTAATGAATAAAGTTAACTGGGAGGTAACGGATGTTATGTCTCAACATAGTGGATATATTGACACATTACTTCAGGTATTTATTCTTTCTTTGTACAAATCAAAAGTTTTTCAAAACTCTTACAATGAAAATTAATGTTATATATAGGATATATGTATTTTAAACGAAAGATTGAGGAACATTGGAAGTTGTCTTCCTTTAGCCGATCAAGTATATAATGCTATTTGGGAAAATATTGCACACTTAATCACCCATACTTTAGTCGAAGGGTATGTACCGTTTTTTAAACAATCTACATGTATTTTCCTCTATAATAACGTTTATACCTATAAACTTTTTATCACAGATATTCTAATGCTAAAAAATGTACAAACGGAGGTAGAGCATTGATGCAACTTGATTTTACACAGTTAAAATCAAAGTTTGAGACGATAACTGGTTTAAGACCGATGCCGCATAGAGAGTACGTGGAATCGTATATTAAAGCTTATTATCTTCCAGAAAATCGTTTAGAGAAATGGATAAAAGAGCATAAGGTATTTAAAACTCTATAGATAGACGCAATTATCTTATACGTATTACTGACGATGAATTAAAATTTATCTTCTTAAATATTTACTTTATAGGAATATTCTATTAAGCACTTGATCGGTTTGATTTCTTCAGCATGTCAGAATAACAAAAAAACTCGGCAACGTTTAATAGCGCTTATAGAAGAGCAGCGACCGTCTAGATAGCATAGAGCTATACATTACAGTACAACTCAAGATTATGTTGAAATAGAAATTACATAAAATATCATTTTTTTAAAGTAACTAACAGAAACTTATTTAGAAAGATTTTTTTTTTTTTTTTTTTTTTGCATCCCTATAGTAAGTCACCTAATTGAACAATTCATTTTGCAAATACTAGAACATAGTTTCATATAATTGAAGATATATGTGATAAAATTCGAAATCTTTAATTCTAATCTAATAAACATCGTTAAATAAGTATAAACGAATCTCACACCGAAACTTTTAATTAGATACATGTTATATTATTATTATGGAATGTACAAAATTTATTATTGAAATCTCGAACAGTATTAAGCAAGATACTGAATAAAAGATATTAAGACATTTTAATCTCAAACATTAGTGTTACAGCATCTGTTAACAGATGTTATTTTATATTTGATCTTTTTAATTTAATTATTATGAAGCAAAGTAATGTAAATAATTTTTTTAATCATCGTCTCATTTTTATAGTTATTACATATAAAATATAATGATTGAAAATATTTTTTTAAATACATAGATATACATAAATATATTGTTATGATTTAATATCTTTTAAATATACAATGCTATCTTTCCATTTGAAATGTTTATTTGAACACGTGGAATCTTATATTTTGAGACAATACTGTTATAATTTAAAGGTGTCTTTATTATACAAATAATAATAATAATAATAATAATAATAATAATAATAATAATATACAAGTACATATATTTTTTTCTGGGTTTGTCAGTTTTCAATTTTGTAAAAATTACTGTTAATTATCTGTAAGTATTTACTATAGCGTTAAACATACAGTATATTTTACTAGAAACCAAAAAATTCTGCTGCACCTTTTCATCAGTTGTTATTCATGAAAATATTTAAAAATTCTGCGCGTTTGATAATCGTTACAAAATTTATCTGAATTAATTATCAATTAACACAAGTATTGTACGATATGTGTTGTAATCCATTTCAAGCGAATTTTATAAAATAAAAAAAAAAAAAAAATAACAAAAATTTGAAAATTCTTTTATAAAAAGTAGAATAATTCCTTCAGGTAGGTGCGTTAAGAACTCTCTGGCTAGTAGTGTAAGTCAGCGTTTCTTAATCCTGAAATTGGGCTAATATAAGGACAGTCGCACCTCCTAAATCTACGTATTCTTTTTGTAAAAGACATATGAAACACGATTTTTGAATAATTTTTTGTTAATTATATAAAACGAATATCAATCTATGGAGTACTAAGATGTTAAGAAACGCTGATAATTGTATTGAAGTAACCGATTTTCTTCTTTACTCCAAAGCGTTTTATATCGAGCCCTGCATTTTGAATGGCCCCTGTTAAAACAAATTGTTGGAAAATATAGAGGATATATGTCTATGAACAATTGAACAATACTAAATTCTTATTTTGACAATAAATTTAGCTGAAAAATGTTAATTGCTGATATTATGGTTGAGATGTGATCTTTTTAAGCAAAATCGAATTCTTATACTGTACATGTTCTTCATTGATTCATACTGAGCAGAGAATGAATAAATATGTTGCTATTAAATGAAATTCACCTTTCTGTCTTTTTATTGAAAACATTACTAAAAATATCTACTTCAAATTATTCATCGTTTGTTTGTAGGATTCACTTTACTTCAGGCTTTGGATATTTCTCAAAGAAATTTGTACTCTACGGTTATAAAATGTTTCTTATGTATTACAATGCCTCTCTACGATAATTATAAAGACAATTTAATTATTTCAATTGGATAACATCTATGATGAAAACTAGATTTTCATTAGTTATATATTTATTTACTATTAATGAACCTTATATCACGGAGTATTAGTTTCTGAGTTTAAATAAAGCTTATTGCCAAAATTTACTTGATTATTAATATCAAAATACATTTTTCTTTAAACAATAATAAGTTCTCCAGTAAAACTATAATATTTGTATATTATAATTATTTTGTATTTCTTCTGTTTTTAATCTGAAGAAAACAAACATGACACAACGTTATAACAATTTTATATGAGCACAAAAGTTAATAATATATAGTATAAATACATGTAACCATAGAGCACTGTTTAATACTAGAAAACACATTAAACTAAAAATACATTAATCTCTTTCCAAAGCCTGTTTATGGCTTTTAAATATCAGTTAATTACTTTGCACATTATATTTCATCAAATACGATACTTAACGTTAATGGTACGGATGCCGAGAAAAAGAATCTGACGAACTTATATTTGTAATAATCATCATTGTTCGTTTTATGTAAAGTAGTACAATTTGTTAAAATTCTAGTATCTTAATGTAAATGTGGAATGCAAATACAACATTAATATAGAAACAGAGTGAAAGGAGTAACACATCGGTATTACTCTGTTTTAATACTATGCAAGTACAAAACTTGTACAAAACAAGAAATTCAGTGATGATTTAATTTTGTTTCTTTAATCAATAATTGCGAATATTGATAAATATGTTTTCCACTCTTATTCTACACATTGTTTTATGTATTAAAAGAAAAGAAAAGAAAAGAAAAGAAAAGAAAAGGAAAAAAATAAATAAACAAAGTGATATAAAATGCGAATAAAACATTGTCTGACTCTTTTCCTTCTGACCTAATCCTAGTTTTGCGTTATTCAATCGCTTAACGTGTAAAAAACATTGGCAGATTTAATGTAGTTACGTTAATAGTAACATTGTTCCTGTTTTCACGTTTCTTTTTTTTTTTCTTTTTTATTTTGTTTCTTTTTGAGCTGGTATTTATTGAACCCCATGGCTTACCATTTGTGCGTACTGAACAACCCGATTTGTATGTATAAGTGTACCCTTATACGTTAAATATTTTCATTAAATTTTATTGAAAATTAAAGATAAAAAATGCATATCGAACTATCAAAAGCTTTCCGAAAACGGACCGGTTGATATACATTTAAAAAAAGTTATCCAATTGGAAGACAATTGTTAAAAAAGGACAAATGAAACTGTTAATACATGTAAAGAACAAAGTTTGTAAGAAAGATTTGTCAATGAATAATATTTTGGTGCTATATAAAGCCACTAATGTAAGTGCTTTGAATGTTTACTCACATATATCAACGGGATTATATGTATGAATATTATGTAATACATATTATATAGCACTGACAACAACCAGTGAAGAATCAAATTGTGTCCACCCTTTGGGCATATTTACTTTAAACGAATTATAATATAAATGAGAAGTTTTAAACTGCAAAGATCATTATTTCTCTTTTGTTTAATGCATCCCTTGATACCACAAGTGGTTCACCATAATTTTTTATAATTGCTCCATACCGCGATACGAGCAAGTATGTATATATATATGTATATACATATAAATTATAATGAAATGCTGAACGTGATAATATTAATTAATAATATTGCATTAACTATTTCCACGAACTTTAATAAACAGTTAATAACAAAGTTTATACCATTTGGTACTTTGATAAATTTCTATTTGTATTATTACTCCTAGTACTGGAATGCACCATCCAATATTAATGGTTGTTTTACATTTTCTGTTATATACTTAAAGTGATCGTTTCTCCTATTGATCACAGATCATTATCAGTTGCATTATAGAGCCTCTACATGATAAATAAAAGTAAAAATACAAAGCAAACGTACATTCCTGGTATGTAGTTAATTGATGAAAAATAAATATTTGCTCATAATTTATGATTACTGGTCAACCAAGTAAGGCCTTCGTAAAGCCCATCTCCAGTTGTGGCACATGATGGTTGAACATACCAATTCCTGTCTCGTATCCTAGTTAAACCCAGCTTTTCCTGTATCTCGTGTGGTTTCATTGCTAAGAAAGTTAATAAATGATATAAAGTACAAATTATATATGAAATATATTATGAAATAATGTATAACGATCAAACGTTCTATATTCACCATCTGGAAGATCTTGTTTATTTGCAAAAATTAAAATAATAGCATCTCGCATTTCTCTATCGTTTATAATTCGATGAAGTTCTTGACGCGCTTCATCGATTCGATCTCTATCGGCGCAATCTACTACAAAAATAAGACCTTGCGTTCCAGTATAATAATGACGCCAAAGTGGACGTATTTTGTCTTGTCCACCTACATCCTATGACACAATGAATTCATTAGAAATTTAAAAGTTTCAAATACTTTGTGCAGACATTTCAAACAGTACTTACCCAAACATTGAACTTAACATTTTTATAGGTAACTGTTTCTACATTGAATCCTACAGTTGGTATAGTAGTTACAGATTGCCCTAATTTAAGTTTATATAGTATTGCTGATACGTAATTAAGGAAACGTTACAAAGTAAGCACAGAATTCCTGTTTAAGTAACAAGTCTCATACACAAAAAAGAATTGTATATACGAAGGATACTAGTTTTACCAGCAGCATCCAATCCTAGCATAAGAATTCGCATCTCCTTGTTGCCAAAGATTTTTGACAACAATTTGCCCATCTTGCCAGCTGCTTTCTAGGCACCTGGCACCTACATTTTATAAATATTACCGTTTAATTTTAATAGGAATATGATATCTTGGTTCATGAAATTTTTATGTATCGTAATATGATGTTTTATGAAAAATACTCGAGTCTTTGTTAACATACATCTAAAATACTTAACAATATTGTTCTTCATTATTTAAGAACTTTTTGTAAAAACATTGAAAATAGTACATACATACAAGTAGAACATTTTATGAATTTCTAACCTCTATATAAAATTTGTTGTACCCTGAATTAAGAGCAACAGTTTAATGAACTATGCGAATGAAATATTATTGAAATAAGAAAATTCAAGGACATTTTTTATAACTCATCAAAATCTCACAAATGAAATTTAAATAAACATATATTGGTAAAGTCATAGCATTATAAATAAATGTGGGATGTATTCAGGCAATAGTTGAATTTATTGTAAAAATTTGTGGTAAGATGATATCTGAATGAGGAAGTACCCAACAGTTGTCACGACAAACAGATTAATCGGTCGTGCAACTTGCATGACAATCGATGAGGAATTTTTGAAAAAATCCTTCAAGTCAGCAATATCAAAGGAGTGTGTACTTGAACCAAACACGAATGTAACTCACCGAAATACATTTACAAAAAGCGAATACTTTATCATGAACGCGTAGATATATCACATCACTACACATAACTTATTATTACAGCCGTAATATCGCTACAGCATTACCAGAAACGTTATTTAGGTAGGTGCAGCATGATGTCTCTTCGTAAGTTACAAGCAAACACGCATGCATGTAACTTGAACGAGATATTCAGATTACTTTTGGATGCATTCAATTCTGACAGAGAATTTCGAGCGCCACCACATGTTACGAATTATTACTAATTCGTTATTGGCAGCACATTTAAAATTTTGACATTTCATTATAATTCAACTTGATTATATGTTTCTCTCGATACTACATAATTATACGAAATAAACTTTGAATAAACTGATGATATATGTATAAGTAGTTGCGTAAATAAGTGCATGTAAAATTTACAAAATACTTTGTAAATTTAAATATATTTCCTACGTAAACACAAATAAAACAATTAATATTAATAAATGCATACACTTAGAGGCTATTGTAAACAAACTTTAATTTGTCTTCATCCAAAATATATCTTATAAATTTTATTATGCGTTTTTTAATCCTTGTATACGCATGCGCGTATGAGTAATCAACTGATCAACAAAAAGTTAATATTTTTTTTTCGATAAATTCATATCAAATTTGTACAATTTTTTTATAACTATCTTTGATATTATGTGTCTTTAATCATGAACATTTTTTACCCGATAAAAGATGTTACATAAAGGAAATAAATGATAAATAAATCGCAAATAAATTACAAATCTTTTTTTTTTTTTTAGTTTAATATTAAATTTCAGTGTTATTTAATAGACAAATGCGAATTAATGTTGATGTATTTATACAGTACCAACACATCATACGTGCATACACATATGCACGTAGCATACATACATATGTATATATATGCATAGGAATGTAAGGTTGCCTTTCGTATCCTCACCTCACAACCTTTCACTTTTCCTCTGTATCCTGCATTGATGGTAAGAGATGATGATTTTAATAGTTTTTATAAAAACATTGGAATATTTTTAATTTCCTTAGTTGTGTCTTATTGATAGACGGCTACACAAATCGATAATAACATTGCGCTTTAAGAACAAGGTTACGATCTTGGTATTTGATTGAAGCTATATAGGAAAATAAACATGATTTTTCACGGTCGGTGTACGTTTGTCCAAACAAAATATGTTAGAGAAGAAAAGGAGAACTACAAGAGGCTGGAAGGGCGAGAGGGGCCGATAAGAGAAATCAAGTCAAACGTGCTACGTGGAATCGTAAAAGTGAAGGTGCACTTCACTCTACCTGAGTTGGGTTAGGTTTCTTTAACTGGGCGTAACCGAGAACGTTATAATGGAATCTCTTCGAACGAAACTGGCCGAGTATGGCCAAGAACACTTACTCAAATTCTGGGATCAACTGTCAGATAAAGAGAAAGATTATCTTTATCAGGACATCTCCAAGTTGGACCTTATGGAAGTGACATCATATTTTCAAAAGGCAATGTATGCTTCATCTTGCATGCTTAAAAATACCTTGGATGATAAAGTATCTCCTATACCTAAAGAGAGTATCGCGTCAATCAAATCTACCAATAAGAAGCAGCTCAAAGCATACGAGAAATTAGGATTACAAGAGATAGCTAATAGTCGTGTAGGTGTATTACTTATGGCTGGTGGCCAAGGTACTCGATTAGGAGTATCTTATCCTAAAGGCATGTACAATGTTGGATTACCCTCAGGAAAAACTTTGTTTCAACTACAAGCTGAAAGAATACTTTGTTTACAAAATATAGCAGAAAAAGAATGTGGAAAGAGAGGAGAGATAACCTGGTACGCATATTGTTTAAACGTACTCGATGATCGATCAATTGTTTATACGGGAAAAATTGAAATAATAGCTATTTTATTGTTAGGTACATATTAACCAGTGAAGCTACTCATGATACAACTCTTAATTTTTTATGTAAGCATAATTATTTTGGTTTAAAAGAGGTAAATGTTAGAGCTTTCAAGCAGGGTATGTTGCCGTGTTTTACATTTGATGGAAAAATCATTTTGGACGAAAAATATAAAGTTTCCAAGGCACCGGATGGAAATGGAGGTTTATATAGAGCTCTAACAGTAGAAGGAATATTGGATGATATGGCACGACGTGGAATCCATAGTGTGCACGTTCATTCAGTTGATAACATTTTGATAAAAGTAGCAGATCCTATTTTTTTAGGATACTGTCTATCTTCGTCAACCGATTGTGGAGTTAAAGTTATAGAAAAATCTTCACCGAATGAATCGGTTGGAGTTGTGTGTAAAGTACGTTTATATAATACGTTTGTATTATTAATACTATTACTATTACTATTACTATTGTTACTGTTACTCTTATTGTAGGTTGATGGTATCTATCAAGTCGTTGAATACAGTGAAATTTCAAAAGAGACAGCTGAATTACGTTATAACGATGGACAACTAGTATACAATGCTGCAAATATATGTAATCATTATTTCACTGTAGACTTTTTACGTGCAGTTGCTAATACTTATGAACAGGAAATGGATCTTCATATTGCTAAGAAAAAAATCCCATACGTGGACGATGATGGGAATAGAGATTTACCTACATCTCCAAACGGTATTAAAATTGAAAAATTTGTATTTGATGTGTTCAAATTTGCAAAACAACTAGCGGTCTGGGAGGGAATTCGCGAAGAAGATTTTAGCCCTCTTAAAAACGCCGATTCTGCTGGTCAAGATTGTCCGAGCACTGCACGTAACGATGTGCTTAAGCTACACAAAAAATGGTTATTAAATGCTGGAGCATCAAATGTGATAAACGACGTAGAGGTATCTCCTCTATTGTCGTATGCAGGAGAGAACTTGAATCATCTAAAAGGACAATCGTTTGAAGGTCCTTATGTAGTGGAATAATTCAATCGCGTTAACATATTTTTAGACATTATCACGTAATGAGATTATTTTCATACTTGTCAATATAGTCTTAAAATTATCGTAAAAATATGATTTTTACTTTTCTGTGATTTAATGATAAAATTTAGGTTAAAAAGATTTTAATGCTTTTATGTACATTTTGTATTAGTAATACAAAAGACATTATTTAGATTAAAAATTAAATTATGAAATTCAAAATCGCGTTATGTATATGATTTCGTATAAAGAGAAAATAGATTTAAAGCAACATTTGCATAAATATTTTAACATTCCTCATGTTCTTAAGTATTACATTATTTGTAATGTTTTTAATTATACCATAAGTATCGAAAATTTATAGTTGTAAGAAACATAAGAAAATTTCTGTATTTTGACAATATTTATACCATTTTTATATAATTAGTGTGAACACAATAAAAAATTCAAAGGATTTATATAGGTACATAAGTACATACTCGAATGATTTGCGCCAACATCTTTTTATGTTTATTCCTAGTTTATTAACAAGCATCAAATGTATGTTACATATCTGTCTGTGCAAAAGATGCATTCAACATTACATTTGTAAAAACATATGTAATTCAATGATACATGCATACATAAATGCATATGTATGTAGGCATTTCCAAGGAAACTGCAATATACAGGGATGTGACTCCCCATCACTTGCATATAAATGTTTCTAGAAACTAAGGTTTTGAGAATTCCTATTGGTACTTTGTAATTCCCTTTTGTAACTTAATGCATATAGGTTGGTATCCTGTAATAGGTCACTTTGAATTTGAATCGTTAAAGAAAACGGTTACTGTATGCATGTACAAGAAAGTGTAAATGTAAAGCACTAATCATGTAAAAAACGAATCATGTCTACTAATATAGAAGAAATTTGCCAAATTTTGTATGAATGTAATTTGTATGATAAAAGTTATGAAGAAGGATTTGGTTTGATTGAAAATAATTCTATAGATGATGTGAAGAAAGATATTGAAAAATTGTTTGCAAATGTACAGTGTAACATAGGAAGTGTTGAATATGCAAATTTAAATAAAATGTTGGCTGTTTGTTATTTAAAGGTATTACTGATCCGTTATTATTGTACTATTATTAAAAATATAAATCATGTTTGTTATTTGTAGATAAATAATGAACTGAAAGCTATATGTCACCTAATTGAGTCGCATGCAGTGATACTTCGTCAGCATATACTGCACAGATATGTAAAAACAGAGATGCGTGAGTCAATTTTAAATTCACAGCAGGTTTATGGACTTAAATCTTCTTATGTTGAATTCAACATAAATAATACAAATAATGTAGATAATTTAACAACAATGCTCTGTGATCTCCCTAAAGGTGAACTATTAAAAGTATAATTTAAATGTTATTAAATACATTAAATACATGTGTATCTTTTTTCATGTATAGAATGGTATGTAATTCAAATCACTAGCCAGTACAAGCCTCCAAGTATTTCTGAATATAACAAAACATTAAATCCAATGCACGAGATACATCTTACCATATTACCAACAGGAACTGAGAAAACAAAACCAATATGTATAACATTACCAAAACCTAAATTAGATTCTTCATATGATATCTGTTACGAAATTCAGAAGTTGCTTTCTAGTAATAGATCAGAACTTGAAGCTACTTATACAAACAGTGAATTGTATTGGAAAATGAGAGGGAGGCAAAACATAAGTATGAAGGTATTTCAATCTTTCATAAATGTATTTCTACTAAATTCCATTACCATGGAATTTTTTATGCACTTGTTGTATATGTATGTACATGTTTAAGACTGCTATACAAGCATTAGAACATTCATGGTTACGAGAATGGAGAGTTTTGTTTATGGCAGATCCGATAGACAAACAGGATTTAGTAATGGACATTTCACAAATGATTGATAAACTTATATCTGGTTGTAGAAGATCGTAAGTAAAATTTTGAATTAATAATTTTTTATGTTTTTAACCATCCTATTTATTAATTATTTGCCACAGGAAAAATATGCCGGAAAGGTCTAGATGGTTGTTAAGAAAAATTGCACTAGCAGCATGTTTTCTTACAAGGGAAGAAATAGCCCGTGCGGTAATGTATGTGCTACCCGATCATGACAGACTTGCTAAGAATGTTATATTGTCTATATATGGAAAATTATCTTGTATAGAAGAATTGAAAGATGCAATTAGAAAAACATTAGTGTTGATTGTTGATGAAGTAAGTTTGTAATCTTGTTCATCATAAAATATGATGATAACAATCTTAGTATTTTCTAGCACATGGATTATATACCTTTTGAATCTATGGAAATTTTAAAATGTCATCCTGTTACTCGTTTTCCATCACTGCATATTGCATATGCTTTATTTAAAGAACATGAAAGTACAATGGAAAATGGCTGTAAGATAATTAAAGTTAAAAATGATATGGGTACCTGTATAGTCAATCCATCAGGTAATTTGATTAAAATGGAAAAACGTATGAGATTGTTCATTGAATATTGGCTACCACAATGGAAAAGCTGGTATAACGTTGAACCTCGAGAAGACGTTTTTGAAGATGCATTAATTAATCATGATATATTAATGTAAGATTATTTTGGGTGTTATTATTTCATTATTTACACAATGTCAAAGATACAATGTTTCTAGGTATAATGGCCATGGTAATGGAATGCAATACTTACCAGGAGAACAAATTGAAAAACTAAGGGTGAAATCAATTGTTTTATTATTTGGCTGTAGTAGTGTAAAATTACTTACAGTAGGAGGACGTTATCCTCCGTATGGCATTTCAAATCAATACTTAATAGCTAGTAGGTAAAATACAAGGTTTTACAAATAAGTTGAACGAAATTACAAACAAGTAAGTTCATATTAAATATTTGATATCTTATTTTTAGTCCGTGTGTACTTGGTATGTTGTGGGAAGTTACAGATGCGGATATCGATAAAATGACTACAAATTTTATTAGTAACTGGATTCCATCACCGCTAAATAGACCGTGGACTGATGTAGATATCAATATGTGGTGTGCGGGTACTTTAAGTTAGTATACAAAATTACAGAGTATCTCTATTTTCTTTATTTTTCAATTTTACTTTTATTATTACAATAATTTTTCATTCTATTAGAATTTTTAAAAAATACACCAAAAAGCACACAAAACGTGCCTATAGAACCTGAGATGTTAAGGGCAGTAGCAAAATCCAAAAATGTCTGTTCTCAATACATGACTGCAGCTGCGATAGTAGTACGAGGACTACCAGTAAAGTTAATTTAAATTGTAAATATAAAAACGATATTGAACATTAATTTATATATAGTTGTAAAAATGCTGATAAAAACTTTTTTCTTTGTAGAATGTTTCGTAGTTTGATCGCTGATTACGTTCAACGCGTGCCCTAAGAAATAGTATTGTCTTTAGTCACATGATTATTTGCGGCTCTGGCACGGAACTGGAAATATTCTTGTGAGGTAAAACTTGACCTCCGTTAATATATAATTCGTCTTTAACAATTACATCTTCACCGAGTACCGTTGTACCCTCCATTCGTACCCAACGTCCTACAACGCTTCTCCATCCTACGATGCACCTATCATAGTAATGTATCATATATTATATTCGTTTAGAAACATGTATTAATACTGACGTAGAATAAGTATTATATGTTCACAGATTTTAATACTAAAATTTATAGCCATAATAAAATAAACAGATGTCATTGAATCTTAAATAATTTAAATCATATTGTTTTGGAAATTTACCCATCTAGCCATGCATGCTCTTTTATTACAGCTGCCTTAAGAATGGTGCTCCGTTTGATGCAACATCCATCAGATAACACAACACCAGGACCAATTGTAACATTTGGTCCAATTCTACAATCTTTACCAATTTTTGCTGTTTCATCTATTAAAACATTTCCTACAACACCTGGACCAGAGTACAATTTTTCTGGAAATTTCTGTCTTAAAGATGTCAGGTACATACTCATTCCTATACAAAACATACAGAGTAGCACATACAAGCAATACATACAAAAATATATTAAAATATGAATTTATACCTTTGAGGAAATCTTTCGGTTGTCCTACATCCATCCAAAATCCTGTTAATTCCATTGCAAATAATTCTCCATCTCGTGCCATATGGGGAAAGACTTCTTTTTCTATGCTTGTAGGTGTTAGGTCTATTCTTTTTAAGACACTTGGGTTAAAAATATACATACCTATAAAATTTACAGTTAAGGTAACAAAATGATCAAGTTTAAGAAACTATCAATTTTTTAATTCAATATCAAAAACTGACTACCTGCATTAATTTTATTAGAGATAAATTCTTGTGGTTTTTCTACAAAACTCTCTATCTTTCCATCGTCGCCATAAACAACTACACCATATTTTGATGGTTCTTCAACTTTAGTAACAATTATAGTCCCTTCTTTACCATGATTTTTATGAAATTCTAATAACTGCCTGAATGGAAAATCACAAATGATATCAGAATTTAATACAAAGAATGGTTCATCCCCTGAACACAAAAGGTCATGTACAAGTGCAAGCGGTCCTGCAGTACCAAGAGGTTCTGGCTCGTGTGAAAATATTAAACGTACTCCTAACTTTTTAGCTTCTTCGCCTAAATCTTTTTCCATTTCTTCTGCACGATAAGATACAGCTAATATTACTTCTTTTACATTTGTTTCTACCTGAAATTCAAAATTATAATAAGTAATGTTTATAAAACAAATATGTTACAGGAGCATTCCATTGTACCAGAGCTTCTATTTGATGTAAAAGCATCGGCTTATTAGCAAATTCAACCAATGGTTTAGGTCGACTTAATGTAAGTGGTCTTAATCTAGTTCCATATCCACCAACAAGAATTACTGCTCTCATTGTTCCTAATTTCTTTCTTTTTCGTTGCATTACCCACTAACGATTTGATTCAATTGTGTTTATAACACAGGGTAAGAAAAAAATTTAATTCTGTAAGAACAATATTCATGAAATTAAAAAGTATGTAAAAATAGAAATTAATAATTTTATTAGATAAGTGTAACTTCATACATAAAATTCTATTCGAAATTTTTGTTTTTTACAAATACATAACTTTCAAAACAAAAATAAGTTTGTATTAAAAACACAACACGATTAAATCAACTATATATTTACATAGTATTTATTTGTTAAATGTATTTCGTTATTTAAGAATTTAATAAACATACATACAATAACATATGTAGCATCCACATATTAACACACTGGAGTCAAAAACAATTATTACTAATGAATATTGCCACGTAGGATTGTAATATCACGTAGACGTTACATATGTATATATACACATAAATAGTGACACAAGCACGCGATAAGAATACACGTATAATTATTAATACTAATGCGATCACACAATATCCCTTGTTACATATTATATATAGATGTATTTACGATGTTATTCTTATCGAAATTTCTATCTTTTGCAGTTCAGTAAATTTTAATACAATTGATATTGGAACATTGTCATCTGCCGTCAATAGTAAACCATAATAAGCGCCATACTATCCCTTATTTGTCAATACATATGACATATTTTAAACGAAAATTAATATAATATAAAATGAAAATGAAAATGTTTGAATGAAAAAAAAAAGAAATGGGTATTTTTTTATTTATGCAAATTTGATATAATAAGTTCTTGATAATTAATATGATATTTTTTTAAAGGTATATACATACATGCATGGTTATGCTATGAGTTATTTTTACTTGTTTAAATATTTTGCTTTTGAACATCTTTTTTAAATTTCACGGACGGTAAAAACGAAAATGTAAGTAGTTATTGATTTCTTTGAAATCGTTTGTCATGTCTTTTCAATAAATTTTACAAATTTTTCGCTTTAAAATGTTGTGCATGGATGTAAAATCGAATCTTTAATGGCATTTATAGTTAAAGCATGTAATATACAAAAGATGTATGTATATCGTATTAATTAGAAGGAATAAATGAGAAATGTTAAACGTAAAACCTGAAAGCAACCTCATTTTGTGCATATTTCATATATGCTAAAGCGAATTTTCATTAATAGTGAATTGTAAAATGTTTAGAAATTTAATAAAACCAATATTAGGTTGAGTCGTCGATTGAAAATCGGTGCTTAACGGTATTAGTTTACGATATAGCCGCAAGATGGCATAATAGATGCGACGCTGCTTTTGACGTTCGTGTATGAGTTTTTTTTTGGTTCCTTCTACTTTGAAAACGGTAGGAAGTAAAAATTGTTGGTACGGTGCTTAGTCCTCAATAGTTTAACTGAGGATGTGGTGGAAAGAGTTAAGTTCAGTAGAAGAGATTCAAGTAAAAAGAATAGCAATTTCGAGTACATAGTACGCGAGACACACGAGGTCCCGCGATTGGCTAGTTTATGAAACGACGATGGCTCCGTGAGGAGAGAACATGGCTGCGACGCAAGCCGAGAGCCAACAAAACGATGTGAAGCTGAACGAGACCGTGAAATGCGCACAGAAACGTCCGCAAGTCGGTGGGAATAGTGCGAGTGTTAATTCAAAGCAGCAGCTGGATCCAGAGCCGGGTGATAAAGTGCCCCGGGGCGCGGCCCAGCTGCTTAAATATGTGAATCGCGGCGGGGACACGGGTTTCGAGATGAGTCAATACCGCGAGGACATTGGTGGACACACTACCGGTGAAGTAAAATCACCCAGAGAGGCTGGTCAAGCTCCTCAAGAATCTGTCGGCAAACAAGAGCCTCTCGATGCACCCGGGCATCCAAACCATCCCGGACATCCGTTTACGTCTAATGTTATACGTGATTACCCGGAGGAGTATACCAACAAATCAAACGAATTTCCCTCCAAATCGTTAACTGATTACCCAGGCAAACAGGTACCAGAATATGTGGGAAAGCATGGAGAATTTCCAGGGAAACAGTTGGATTATCATGGTAAACACTTAATACATGAAAGTGAAAGAGTTCATCGGGCTGAAATGGAAGAGCACTATGCAGCTTCCAAGATTGAATCACGATTGGCATACGTAGGGGCCACGCCAAGTAGTTTTCCAGGCCAGCCAAGGTTTCTGTCGGGACAAAGTATATCGCAAGCTACTGGTCCAACACCTACGTTAAACCAATTACTTCAAGCATCTACACCTGTACATCGGTTCCATGGAAACTATCCTGCAATGGGACCAGAACCTTATCAACAACCTTGGCCCATTCAACGACCTCCAGTTGTCCCTCCAGTTTATCCACAACCTGGTCAACGACCTCCACAGACGGTAATTGGAATAATCTTATATCAATATATCTATATACAATGTATTCTAATAAAATAAATAAACATTATTAATAATTATTTTAAAGATTATTCTGAACTTTTGCTTTGTTATAATTCACAGTTTAATCTGTGCATAATTTGTTTTGTTTTTCTAATTAACTGTCATATTTATTATTTTGTAACTAATTTTGTAATCGCTTGTACAATAAACAGGGTTCACCAAGATTACACGCAGGACCTGGAGGCCCAAGTTCTCCAACTCCTATGCCATATCAGCAATATACACAACGTTATTCTTCCCCAACAAGACCCCATGCACCGTATAGCCACCATCAGGTACATACATATTAATTAAAAGAAATGTGAATAAAATAATCGGAAGTATTAATTGACCTTTCATATTTTTCAGCTAAATTCATACACTACACAAACCAGCCACCCTTCCAGTTTATATACAGAACAGAGGGGTTGGAATCAAGGTGGACCACCAAATCCACCACCACCTCCAACTAATCAAGCTAATCCTTCCAGTCAATCACCACAACGTGCTCTTTCTCAATCTCCAGCACCACCACCTTCAGCATCTCCACAGCCACAATCAACTGGCCAATCTCAAGTAAATTGCACTATTTTTTTACATTTATAAGAATGTTTTAATTTTCATACTTGAAATCTCATTTGTTGTGTCAAACAATGTATTAGAGAGATATAACAAATAACACAGAACTATGATTGTGTATGTTATAATTTATATATCATAATCATAGCGAATTTAATGTTTACAATAATATATTTAACAGAATTTCATGGTAAAGTTCATTATCATGTCAGTAAATGTACTTAAATTTGTGCATGTTTCATAAAATTTATTTGTGCAACTTTTGAAAGTAAGCTTTTTGTATCCTTCGTTAATTATTTACTAATTTGTAATCTTGAATAAAAACTAATATCATTTACAACAAATGAGAAATTATAGTATTGTATTAAATATTTTAGAAAAGATAAATTCGTGATGACGCAATCGAATTATTCATTAATTAAACAAATCGTTTTGTTATTTTTTTTTTTTTGTTTTTTTAATTTATAGAGTTTCCACAACCTGCAGCAGCGATCAACAACACCAAATACTCAAGGAATTGATTCAGGGGTAAGTGTTAATATTTTAAAAAATATTACGTTTTGTAGTAGACTACATGAAAACGGTGGTACAAATTGAAGCCTTTCCTCCTAGATGTTTCACTTACGAATGTTACAAAAAATGTACATAGAAGTATTCTGTAAATCTAGTACTAATTTTAAATGAACACAGACCTATTTTTATTGTAATTATAATGCATATGTTGGTGTTATTTTATGTTACAATTGATTCAACTTGATTTGTTGAAGATGATGAAATAGAGATACAAGGTTAGGTTCTGTATGAAACATTAATTGAGATCACAAAGCAGTTGTAATTTCGTAGTGCACAAAGTGCCATTTGATCTTGGATACAGTGGACGTAGTACTTCAATACTTCTCTGGTGAAAAGAGCAAGCATGAGTGAGCGAAAGGGAGACCTCTCAAGTATGGGTTGCCTACTGTAGGAGGGGCAGGATGTAGGTAGTGGGGATGGAGAATAAGTGACTTGTAGAGTTCGATTAGGGCGCGAGTTGCGCGGCCGCTGGAGCCCCAGATATTAGCGACTTCCCCTTCTCTCTCTCTCTCTCTCTCTTTCTCTGTTATTCTCTCGCTCACTCTATCGTTTTCAAATACATGCATTCATACATGTGTGTATAACACACATCTCTTCATCAGTATATTCAATCCCTCTCACTTCTTCCAATATAGATGGGCGGGTTAGCGAGAGATCCATGTGTAACATAGGTTACCTGAGTGCAGAAGTAAGCAAGAGCAAGTGTGGGATTCGCTCAAATTGGTTTTGGAGGGGAGAAAACTCAGTATCCGAGGTAGTTCTCCCCACTACTTCTGACGTTTTACATCGTTCAGCTATATTCGGTTCGTTAGATCATGCAACTGTCACTCTGCGACATGCTATCGAACTTCTCGTATTCCCCTGACGGTGCTGAAAAGAGGCGAATATTTTAAATGTTCTATGATTAATTTATTTTATTTTACGTTTATTTATAACAAATGAAATTTATCTACGAGTTAAACGTTTTACCAACGTATAACGCTAAAATTTTCTAATATACACGAATCGTTTTTTTACTACAAACATGAAAACTAGAATTTTGCGCTGTGAATATAACGATTCATTTGTAATCATTTTTTTTTTTACAACGGAATTATTTCAATATAACTAAAATGAAAAATTATACTGTTGGTACGAATAAATGTTTTCGAGCGCAATTTAATGCGGGTATTAGATTTTTTTTTTTTTTCTCTTTAATTGGCTTGTTTAATTGAAAGAGAAATTGAAAGATGAAAACGACGTTTACCCCTTTAGTAAGTAGTTTAACTTTAAAGTATTCTTTCTCGTGTTCTGTGTCGGGGTTTTTGGAGCACACGGGTGCTCTTCGTCGAAGAATGGCGGAAATAGTCGACGGTTACCGAACGCTTGCCGCGCCACGAAAGAACGCCCTCCAACGAGCAGCTAGACGCGAAATCTGTAAACCGAAGTCACGGAACACTCGATAAAAAGAATCACGTTTTTAGTTACTCTTGGCCACGTACACGTACGTAGACGATCAACGCTGCGATTCTAACCTATTAAATTCGCAATCTTGACGATTCGAAGTAGTAATATAGGATCGTATCAAAAGGTTGCTCCTTCGGTATGAAACACTAAGTTATTGACACAACATGCGATGGTCGAGCGAAGCACACGGTGAACCAGCAGTTCTATAGCAATAGACAAAATTATGCCCGCTTTTCATGTGGCTGTACAAAACCACCTATTCTCTTAATTACACATGATCAAATATGGTGTATCGTCGTTACACGAGATTCCCGTAAACATGTGAAAATCGTACGAGGAATATACGAATCTATGGTGGGTTTTGTCGTGGTGTGTGGGGTAACGCCTCTCTGATTCTCGCGTCATGCCGAGAGTTCTTGTGTCCGACACAGTATATACTATACGTTCCGTGATACATCCGAGGAAGTCTTTAATCGTCTTCTGTACGGATGAACTGTCCACTGCTTGGTAGGTGTAATGATGTACCTTTTTCTTTCTCTTTTTTCTCAATCTTTCTATCTCTGTCTCTCTTTCCCTTCCTTTCTTCTCTCTCTCTCTCTCTCTCTCTCTCGTTCACCTAGTATCCTACACATTCATCTACCTATCTTTTGCTTATCCAACCATCTCTCTTTTTCTCGCTCTTTCTCTTTCTTCCCTCTCTTTTTTTTTTTTTAGTGTAACCGCGCGCTCTCTCAATGTATCATTGTGACGACCTGTACGAAGTGTTACGTGTATATATATATATATATCTCTCTCTATGTGATGTGTGTATACATATATATATATATATACATATGTACTAATGCACATGCAAAAGAATATCGTTGAAACATGTGCGTGTGTATGACGTGTTATGTTGCATCGTACGATTAGCAGCGAATGCCGCGTGTAGCGTATATCCTAATTTTCTTGCGATTAAAATACAACAACGAATAAAGCGATTCTTTTGAAATGTACGTGAACATAACATTTTGAAAAATGTACTCTTTGAATAATTAGTTTCAGCGACGAATATTCTTCATCGTGTTAAGAATGTTTTACCTTCGATGTTTGGATTAGTGTAATGTACAGTTGGGTGACTTTTGTTGTATCTTTATTTTCATTACAATCTCTCTCTCTTTCTTCCCTTTTATTCTATGTAGGCGTTGCTATGTAATACTTCTTTACTCAAGTTGTAAATTCATGTTAAGTTCAACAACATTTTTCTAATGTATTGCTATATTTTGTATATTTCAGGAATTGTCAGGACAAAACAGTAACGATAGTTCGAATGGACCTGCTTGTCCAGGAACACCAAACTCACAGGGGATGAGACCAACCCCTTCTCCTACTGGATCTACAGGTTCCCGCTCAATGTCCCCTGCTGTTGGTTCGTATATTTAGTCAACTGATTTTATTTGATAGACTAGTTATGTTTAAAGATAAGACAATATCATAGATTACATTTGTAACAAAACTTATAGTAATCTCTATTTTATTAAGTCGATTGTTAAGTTGATTCTCTGTTACAGGTCAACAAAACGTTCAGATGCCTCCACGCCCGTCAAGTAGCCAATCAGATGGTAGTGGACCAGCACGAATGAGTCACTCTCCTATGACAACTCAAGGTAAATATAAAAAGTTAGTTAATTAAGAGAAGATCATTGTCTTTGGTAGGAAAGATTAAAAATGGAAATTGTGTATACTTTTAGGAGCATACCAGCAGCCATTGGGTCCTTCACCACATATGCATAGTTATAAAATGAATAATACTGGTCCTGGGGTTGTTCAACCAGGACCTGGTTCTGCAGGTCTTGGTGGAATAAACCCAATGGGTGGTGGAATGGGATATGCAGCTGGTGGAACGGCTGCCGGTCAGCCTGGGGGTTATCACGCGCAAACCACCTACCCGCCTCCTCGCCCACATGTACAATTTTCACAAGGATATCCATCACCAGCCAATTCACAACCACCACCTAACAATCAATATCAAGCTCCTAATAGACCCAATAATTTGGTGCAATATGCTCCGTACACGGTAAGCTTTAATAATGAATTATTGAGATAACGAAAAAACATTATATTCGTTAATTTGTTTGAACCTAATGTGCGTTTTTTCTTTAGCATAAAATGGGATTTAATAGTGTACCGCCAGGAATGCCTCCTAGCCCAGGACCACCTCAAGTTTACGGAAGTAGTAGTACAGCAGGTATGGTACCACCAGGTACACCTGGAGTGACTGTGATCGGTAATATGGGTCCGCCAGCAAGTTCTATGGGCCCTCCGCCACCATCGCCTAATCATGTCAGTAGTCAACCACCACCGACAAGCTCGGCTGTGCCACATTTGCACACTCCTTCGGCTACACCACCTCTCAACCATGAAGGAAGTCCAATGCCTCCACCAAGTACTACTCCTAATTCACATCCTGCTTCAGCGCCAACACCAACCAGTCACAGTTCTGCAGATCTTACCGAAACTTCTAACGACAGTGGCATAACTACTACCGCTTCAGGTATATCTGTTATGTGTAATTGGCGAAAGTAACTAATATTTTTTGAAATTTCTTGAAATTTCTTGAAATTTCTTGAAAAATGATTTAATAAAACATGTTACTTGCGTAGGTACATCAGCGATAAACGTTACGTCCACCTCAAGTGGTACTGTTACATCAGTAATAACCACTGGTCCTGATGGTACATCTTTGGATGAAGGTTCTCAGCAATCTACGTTATCAAATGCATCAGCAGGTTAGTACAAAATATTATTATGTTTTTGCGAGAAATACACGATGTTCTTTTCGTGTAGCTTCTGGAGAAGATCCAGCATTTACACCAAAGGCCCGGAAAGAAATGATGGGAGGGTATCATAGCCATCCAACTACACCACAGAGTACAGTTCCATCACCTGGAGCTGCGAGTATTAATTCTATACACGAAGAATATCCCGATATGAATAGTCCTGGTTGGCCACGTACTCCTGCTAGTCCTGTATGTATTTTGTTTAAACCATGATTTTTAGGAATCTGACATAATGGTTTATTATTTCGTATGTATATTTATATCTTTACATGCATGTTTAATGTTTCTGTCATCAAGATTTTAAACATAGTGTACGTTCAGAGTTCATAATTTGATATCACAATTTTTACGATTCTTTCAATATTTTATGTATTTTACAGGTATTTAACAGTCATGTGCCTCAAGACCCATACAGATCTAAGGTTACTGTTTATTCATTATAAGTATACTTTATACTGTCGTACATAATATTGTTTGATATGATACGATGATGATACAATGTTTCAGACATTTGATTAACATTTAATTTTTGCATGTGTATAACCTGTAGTCCTTAAGAATATTAAGAGTAATATGAAAACGTAGAAGACGAGTTAGGATTATTTATTAAGAGGAAAATTAACAAATGTTGTAATAACAATTTCAGAAACCTGACAGCTTAGCAAAGTTGTATGAAATGGATGATTCAATGGAACGAAGGACATGGCTGGATAAGTTAGTTAACTTCATGGAAGAACGAAGAACACCAATTACAAGCTGTCCTACCATCTCCAAGAACCCCCTCGACCTATTTCGGCTATACCTCTACGTGAAAGAGAGGGGGGGCTTCATGGAGGTATGCAAGGTGCAGTGTAGTTCCATCTAGCCCTCGGTGTCTTTACGTAGTTTTTTTTTTTTTTTCTTCTTTACTGATTCTATGTGTTCATATTCTTCTTTTTGATATTGTGTATATATATGTATGTATATTGAAATATGCCAGTAGTTCGGTTAAATTGCCCGAGTTTTATTCGGCATTTTTAAGTATCAACAGAGTTTTTCAAGTTGTTTTTCTTTTTGTATAATCGTAAAACACGCTTTGTTTCTGTGTGCGCTGAATTGTGCATGGTCATATATATATATATATATTTTTTATTGTTATTAGTGTCTTTCTTTTTCTTGTATATTATATAAAAATATGAGGAAAAAAGGAAGCTTAACACGTCTTTTCTTAAAGTTGTCGTTCGACGCGTATGGAATACTCCCTGATCTACAAACCTTGGTGCTATATGGAATTATTCTAATAATCAACGAAGATAAACTTTTAATATCAATGTAATAACGGTAATTCGTTTCGATTGTACTCTTGTTTATTCGTTTCATTTTGAACACTTGTGTTGCATGATCAGGAATCGAAGAGAATCTGTATTGTGTAAAAGGAAAATAAGCGACTATTTTGTCAAGTCGGTATATGATTTCTGTTAGATTAGCCGCTATTATATTTTTTTCCATGTATTTTTTCTTTTGCGTTTTCGAAGTGCAGATTTTTGTCTGTTTGGATTTTGCACTGAAAGATTAATCAGAGAAACTAATGGAACGAACTGACGTTAATTTTCTATAGGTAACAAAGAATAAAACGTGGAAAGACATAGCTGGTTTATTGGGAATCGGCGCGAGCAGTAGTGCAGCGTACACATTAAGGAAACATTACACGAAGCACTTATTGGCATATGAATGTCATTTCGATCGTGGAGGTGTGGACCCTCAGCCTATTATAAACCAAGTTGAAGCTGGTTCGAAGAAGAAAGCATCCAAAGGAACTGCCTCTGTACCCTCACCAGGTAGATATTTCAAATATTTTTCCATGATACATTTTTTTGATAGTTTTCTGATAGTAAAACAGAAAAAACATATCTTGTGTTTTGTTGTATACTTAGGGTCTTCCAATTCACAAGATTCCTTCCCTGCTGCTGGTTCGAGTAATGCTTCCATGGACGGTTATGGAACTTATCAGAGCGGTTATACCGGTGGCACACCTGGAGGACCTTCATCAGAGTACACGCCTCCTCCTCCCAGACCACCAAGCCAGAGTAGCGCTCCTTCCCCTCATCAAGGTGAATATAATTTATTTTATTAGTTTTTATCTTGATATAAATTATACACATAGTGATGTTAACAACGAGTATACATGTATTGAAATATCGGTTGGTAAACAACAACAACAACAACAACAACAAAATGTGAAAGGAATTGCGGTTGAGAGAATATATTCTGGCAGGTGGTTTGAACCAGGGCGGGCAGAATAACGCAGTAAACATGCCGAATCCGTTCGACGACGTTATAGGACGCTTTTCTCGCAAGTCGAACACAACGCCCTACCCTGGTCCATTACGAGCCCCAGGTATTTCTCTCTTCCTTATCTCCTTTCAGAGTTTCTAATAACAATAATTAATAATCATACTGACACAGTTCATTATTATTATTATTAAACTTTTCAATTGTTTTTTGCAACAAACCTGTGCTTCTATTTAAGGCATGCAACAAGGCAGTTACCAGAATACAGGTTCCTATCAAAACTACCCTCAGGATCAGTATATTCGACCTCAAGCAAACACATTGTCTCAACAGGGAGAATTCAATCAACCTTATTCTCCGAGATCACATTACTCACCTTACGTGCCGGATGTTGATAGGTTAGAAATGAAAAATTATATCGAGAAATGTAAATTTAAAAGAATAGAGGATAATTTGAAGGATTTTTTTAGAGGATATGCCGGGGCAAATATGCCACCGAATAATGCTAGTGGACAGGATTTATACAATAGATATAGCAGTAGTCAGCAACCCGCAAGTTATCCAGCAGGAACACCACCTAATGCAAGAAGTAACAGCTATCCGTCTACGCCACAAGCACATCCAGCTACTGTACCTCAACAAACGGCAACTAGCCAGCCTTCTTCACCTTCGCAACCTTCCGCTGCTTCGTCTTATTCTTGCCCCCAAGACTATTATCGACAGGAACAGGTGACGTATTATGTTTTTATTTTCAAATGATTATTTTTCGTCATATCATTTAACTAAATATTGCAATTGATGTTGAAGGGTGGATACGGTGCCCCTGGAGGAACACAGATATATTCAGGTGGTGGGAGCGGAAATAAAACCATGCCACCACCACCCCCAGGACCAAACCCACCTAGACGTCATCCTGATTTTGCCAAAGATCAACAGTATCCCCAGTATAATCAACAACGACCAGCGTATCCAGGTAAATTAATGCTGGTTGGCTGGTTAGTTGACTGGTTGACTGGAATGGGTGTTTATTTATTATATAGAGAAGTTTAAGTAGTGAAATATGAAATGTTTCATTCGTTACTACAGGATGGCCAAATACGACTAATCAGTACAATAGTAGTAGTGGAAATAATAGGGTTCCCTATCCAACTCAGCAACCACAGTCTCAAACACCACAGCAACAACAACAGGCACAGCAGCCAACGCCACCGTCTGCTTCCTCTACATCGTCGTCGGCACTTGCTAGTAGTCAACAATGGGGTAGTCAACAACCAAATAGAACAACGCCTCAACCAACATTGAACGCTATAGCCCATGCTCCTCCACCGTGGGACCATCGTTACGCAAATCAACCATCCCCTCTTTATCCTGCGCCTGGAAATCACCAGGTACTCGATCGTGTAATCGATTTCTCTGTTCTTAATTATATTTTCTTATTTTGAAAGAACCAACTTGTTCAACGAACAAGTATAAGATTTGAAAATGATAGGAAAAGTTATAGATGCGGCGGTGGTGGTATTTAAAATGTTTCTTTACAGAATCAGCTTGGTATAAATCCGATGATTAATCAACAGCCTACTTCGAAAAGAGAAATGACATTCCCTCCTGACAGTGTGGAAGCAGTAACTCCACTTCTTTATAAACGGCGGAAACTTACACGCAACGACGTTGCACCGGTAGAAGCTTGGCGGGTTATGATGGCTTTGCGTTCAGGTCTATTAGCTGAAAGTTGCTGGGCCCTTGACGTACTAAATATTTTATTGTTTGATGATTCTTCTGTGAGTTTTGTATTCTTTGATGATCTATTTAATTTATCATGATTAATATTAAGGTAAATTATTAAAGGTAAAATAAACGATTCTGCAGGTAAGTTATTTTGGGTTGGCGCACTTGCCCGGGCTGTTGGATGTTCTGCTGGAACATTTTTCACGTTCGTTGTCCGATATGTTCGAGTCAGCGGTGAACGAAGATGATCGGAATTGGAATCAAGCGGCGACGGCGGCGGATGGTCCTGAAGTTGATCTCGGCGCCGTAACTCGTCCCGTTGATCCCGAGGATCGAACGAAACTACTTTCCTCGTCGAATTACACATTTTTATCGAGACGTGGTCGTCCAGTCAAAATTGTCCCGAGAGACGATGATTTGTTCGTGCTGGACACGCGGAGGAGTTGGGATCATCAAGAGTGCGAGCCGGAAACTGAACCTTGGCAAGTGGACAGCAACACCACCAAGTACATCGTAACCTGTTTTCAGTCTGAAATAGGATCGGTACCGTTTGCCCGTCTTCTTCGAGACGAAAAGCCTCCTTTACTCCAGAAAGAAGTTGACTGCACAGATTCGAAGGACGAAACCAAAGCGGAGCCTGGTACGTTAGAGGCGTCCGAGTTTTCACGTAAAACAATCACAGAACCTGATGAAAAACCAAAAGAAACGAACGAGAAGAAACAGCAGCTAGACAAAAAGAAAAAGACAAAGACGTTGAGCGACGTTTTGTCGAGGATCAAAAAGGAACCGGTAGAAATGAACGATCTTACGAGGGAATTGTTTGAGAAGAAGAACGATGGATTTAAAAAAGAATGCGATATGGAGGCGAAAGTGAACAACAACGTTGGCGAACATTTTGCGGATGTCGAAAAGTCCGAAGAGGAACTTGTTCCGACTCAAAATGGACTGAGCGATGCAACAGGTAACCAGATCGAGTTGGAGAAGAGCGAAATTAAAGTAGAGAACGAAGAACAAGAGACAGAAACGAAAGATGACGATGATGATGATAATAAGGAGGGACCAAGATTAGACATAAGAGATCCGGCTGGAACATTGAAAAGAAGACGAATAAGTGATTACGAGGATGAAAGTTACTCAAGAGACGAAGCGAGTTTATATCTTGTTACAGAGACTCAAGATAACTTGGCTCGACGTTGCGTCTGTTTGTCTACTATTTTAAGGAATCTCACATTTATACCCGGAAACGAAGCCGAATTCGCGAAGAACGTTACATTTTTGAGTCTCCTTGGGAAATTGTTGTTGCTACACCACGAGCATCCGGTCAGGACGCAAAAGACGCGCAATTACGACCGAGAGGAGGATGCAGATTTTGCTGATTCTTGCAGTAGCTTGCAAGGTGAGAGCGAATGGTGGTGGGATTTCTTGCATCACATCAGAGAAAATATACTGGTTATGGCAGCGAATATAGCTGGACACATGGATCTAAGTCAACATCCAGAAGAAATATCTCGACCGGTATTGGACGGTCTGTTACATTGGGCGGTATGTCCAGCCGCACACGGTCAAGATCCTTTTCCCACCGTCGGACCGAATTCTTCTTTATCGCCGCAAAGATTAGCACTCGAGGCATTATGCAAGCTTTGCGTTACCGAATGCAACGTGGACTTGGTTGTTGCGACACCTCCTTACTCGAGACTTCAGAGACTTTGCTCTGTATTGACCAGGTTACTTTGTCGAAGCGAGGAGCAAGTGTTACGCGAATTTGGCGTTAATCTATTGCACTTTTTGTCTGCGGCCGACAGCGGCGTAGCCCGTACGATCGCTCTCCAAACACCCTGCGTTGCGCTGTTAGTAGCATTCATCGAGCAGGCGGAATCTAGCGCGTTAGGTGTCGCGAATCAGCACGGATTAGCCGCTTTACGTGACAATCCGGAATCGATGGGTACCAGCTTGGACATGCTACGACGCGCAGCTGGCACGCTGCTTAACCTCGCCAGGCATCCTGACAACAGAACTCTGCTCTTACAGCACGAATCACGATTACTCGCCTTGGTGATGAGTCAAATATTGGATCAGCAGGTGGCTGCGATTGTTGCTCGTGTATTGTTCCAGTGTTCCAGGGGCACGTAACTTTGTTAAGACGGTATTTCGTTTTTCATCCGCGGGTGTTTGTTTGTTTAGCCCCTTTGTGCAAAATGATCTTTCTTTTTTTTTTCTTTTTGTTTATTAAACGAGACAGACAGCTAATACGAGCTGCTAATTCGGTAGAGAATCCAAGATACCGATATATATAGAGAAAAGTAGAATGAGTGCGAGTGAGAGAGAGAGAGAGAGAGAGAGAAGATATATATATATATATAGAGAGAGAGAGAGAGAGAAAAGTTGCGATGAACGGGATGAAGCAAGAAATAGGAGAAGAAAGAAAAACGCGGGATTAGAGTTTTGTGTAGAAGGAACAAAGTGTCGATATATAACGCCATCGCAGTGTGGTTGTAGTTTTATATCGAGTAAACCAGAGAAATAAGAAAGTTAATTATCGGTGTTAGCGAGTTAAGGTATGCTACGACACGACCGCTGTACCTGTCGAGTATACCTTTCCTACTTCGTGAATTGGAAATAATATCGATAGTGTAAGATATTTCATAGTTAATGAAGAGAAAAGGAGGACTGCTGAAAATGAACAGATGTAACGAAGAGGAGGGAATTCGTGAAGATATAGAGGGGTTAATGATAAAGATGGGAACGGGTTGAAGGGAGAAGAAAAGGGAAGAAAATACACAGATGTTGAAATGATGACAGAGAAATGAATAAGAGAAAGAAAAAACAACAACAACAACAACAACAAATGTTTAGCAGCATAATAATATATTAAAAGGAAATGACGATTGAAACAAAACTAAAAAAAATTTGTTTGACGAACCTAAAATGGTGCGATGTGGAATGATAATATAGGATGACGATTATATATATAAATATTAACGATAATATAATGCAAATTTTTATATTTGCATGTTTTGTGCTGTAATTAGCGAGTAATTAAGATATTTTGTAGATAACACACACTTCCATTGAATCTTATTCGAACTGCGTTGCGCCGTATAAACGTGGAGAAGAAAAGAAAACTGATACGATACGACGCAAACGCTAACGGTGGTCTCCCTTGCAAAAAGTAAAATGAAAAAATAGACCACCGAAAGTCTCGACTTTAGAAGCACAGGCAGAACTAGAACTGAAGAAAGACATTGCTAGTTGAGGGGTGAATGGATGAGTGGTGGGTGGGTGGGTGGCTGGCTGGGTGGGTGGCTGGGTGGCTAGGTGGCCGGGTTGTTGCTGGTTGCTGGTTGCTGGTATATATGCGGTCTGTATGCAAATCAGAGAGAACGAATAAACACAAAGAGCATGAAAGTAGTAAGAACGATAGAAAAGAATAAATCACTGGAAGAAAACAATTGACCTTTTGCCGAAAGGTACATAGTACGAATGATGCGTGGACGAATGCTAAACAAGAATAAATAAATAGAAAGTTATAAAGATACAGATGAAGTTACAAATTTATAGATTCGTTTCAAAGTGTGAGTATGCGATAGATAAACGCGAGAACCGGACAGAATAGAAAAAGAAAAAGAAAGAATGCCTGCATTTGGTGTATGCACCTTCTGTCCGCGTGTATCAAAATTTACCCGTATTGTATAGTGGAAGCAAGAAGGGATGAATGACTCGGTTGTGTGCACGAAGGATGGGGGTTCTGGTAGAATACGGGCTGGGGAATAGTGTCTGTCAAATAAAGAAAATAGTTGTACATACATACGTACATCCATACACGCATATATAAATAAATATATATATATATATGTATGTATGTATGAGAGGAGCTTACAAGATCGAGAGCGAAATAAACACTCATCTACAAGTACGATCACCACTTAAGTAAAACTATAAAGAATATTTCATGAGCTTTGATGGATTTTGTTTTATTTTTATTTTATTTTTTTATTTCTAATTTTTTTTTTTCTTTTCAATTTTTTAGGTAGAGGAAATTTATAAAATAATAGCGATAACTGTATAGTTTATTGTTTTCGGATTATTACAGATACTTATAAATGTAATTAAAAGCCATTGTGATCAAATTTAAATGCGTAACTTGGATTATTTAATCAAGAGGAATAACATTAGTGGTTAATAATGATAACTTCAAAAAAATATGAAAAACTTATGACAAAGGGGAGAAGAGAGAAAATAGAGGGATGGAGAGAAAGGAAAAAATGGTTTTGCGAATGTAAGAAATGGAGGATTAAAAAAAAAATGAAATTTTTAATCTAACAATAAGCTCTCGATCGTGCCATTAAGCAATTCCAATGGAATATATTTATTACTTATGAAACTATAATTTTCAAAATGTATATGTTATTGTAAAAAACAAAAACTAATAAGTACTATTCCCCCTATTGTCAGCTTTTGCACATATTTCGACAGTTCTTACATATACATTTATCTAATGTAATAGAGTGAAAGACAAAAAAAAAAAACAGAAAGAGAGAAAGACCACTCTAATTTATAATGTTTGATGAAATGAAGATATTTATATCTACTTCGCCATCGCACACCTTCCATGCGGATACTTCCTTTTTCATTTGGTAGAAGTGGATTTCACAAAAATGAACGGTGTTTCAATTCTCATCAAGGTAGCCTATGTAAAAAATCAATCAGATTTGACTTTATTTAAGAAGGAATAATTAGGTGGAGAAGATGAAGGCAAATGGAACAAAGAAAAAGAAAAAAAAAAAAAAATAATAACACGAGGTAAATAAGTTAAAACAGAACACTTTCCCTGATCCCAGCTTCTCCCTGACCCCAAAATATCCTACTCTATAGATATCTAAATACGTGTAGTTCTTAAATTATTTACTTTAGTTCGAGTGGAGATGCCTGTAAGTGTAATTTACTAAGACTTTTTGTAAATAAATTATGAAATAAACTAGACGTACTTTATCCAAATGGCTATTGTATGTAGATGTCTATCTCTCTTTGAAACTTGACGGTAAGCTGGAAGAAATCCAAACTTTGAGAGAATCGATAAAAATTGAAAATATAAAAGCTATGCTTGTAGGGGATGATATTACTTTTAGATATAGATTTTCAATATAAACAAATAAATAATGCGTTTGTCAGAGAATTTATTGTGCCTGAGTAATTTAAATATACAATAATTGGTTTTTTTTTGTTTTATAGTTCGGATTCCAGTTATACAACTTGCTTTGAACAAATACTGTTCTCCATGTTCAAGATCATGGCTATATTTATTTTCTGGCACAGCCACTCCAGAATGTCTGCTGCATCGCTTTCCAAGTACCAATCCATTATGGGTGACAAAGTACCGTCGTTCTATGGGTAAGATTAATCCATTATTTTTCAATTCTCTTTTAACTATATCAAATGATATCATCTTACCTTATTCACATGGAAAATAAGCTTGTTATTAACCACCGTAGGTGGTGATAGTAATTGATGGGTATCTAAGGTCCACTTTACATTCAGAGATCCCCATGTACATCCTCTCTCAATGAAATACAGTCGCCTAAATTCAATACCAGTTTAATCCCATTTATTGAATTAAAAAAAATCACTGAAATAACTTTTTTCTACTTACTGCAACGAAACTAGAGCTATATGTTTACCATCGTCAGAAAGAGCAGTATGTGCCCAATATATTTCTGTATCGATTCCAGGATTCTTGTTTACCATACTTAAGAGATGCATTCCTTTAGCTTTATGCATTGAAAATACTTCAACTCCCTAGGAGAAAGTTTCAAATTTAGTTTACAGATAGAGAAGACTGTCTTCTTTACTGTCTTCTTTGTTTACCTTATACGGATTCACGTAGCGTGCTAGGCGGATCCGAGATATAAACTTATGACCTATTTCTTGTGCCCTGAAATAACGAATATACTCAAATGTATGCATATTAAAATTAATCATAGCATCATTTTAATATGTGTACCTTTTTATAATATCTGCTATTACTTTTGAGTAAGCCTTTAAAGAGGAACTTTCATTGTTAAAAAATATTGACGTTTTCTTTCCCAAAGTTTTGAACAAGTACTTTAATTCTTCTTGATGAATACCTAAAAGGTTTTGATAACCGATTAAAAATCATTGTCTCTAAAAAGGAAGAAAGGAAATAAAGGAAATATAGGAAAATAAATATTATACTTACTACTTCTAAATGCAGCCACTATGCTGAATGTTTCTAATTCTAGTTCTGTAGAAAATGAGCTATATAGCGAGAAAGGAGGTATATCTTTGTTTTGAAAACATGGCTCTTTTGCCTAAAAATAAAAGTTTCATTATTATTCGTTATAGAATCAGGCGATTGGAATTTTTTTAAAACATACTTTCGATTGCATTACACGTGGTTCGATGTCGAAATTAAAGATTGAAGTTTGCGTAGTAGTGTCTGGTGTATTGTACCCTAGCTGGCATGTTATTTCTTGACTCAATTTCTCTGCTATTTCATCTCCGCACAAAATCAGCTGCAAAAATATTCGTTCTACGTGTTGTACAATGTATGAAATGTAAAAAATTATCGGTAAATGTTACTTACCATATTAGATTCATAAAAGTTGTCTCCTGGCGATTTAAAGTTATAACCACATTGATTTCCTAAGACGGTAGTCGAACGTATTAAAACATGAAATTGCTGCATAATCTGTGTCATATAAGATCGTGATAAATCTAATACAAGTTCTTCATTTTCAACGGTGATGAAATTTTGTTGATAGCAAGGAAGTCTAACGTGAAAAAAATACAATGTTAATACGATGCAATTACAAATACAGATGGATCAAATATTTTGCATTACCGTAGTTCAGTATATTTCTCAAATCCTCCCTTTTCAGAATATTCAAAAATAAATCTAACGACATTCTTATAATCTGCTATATCGCTAATATTATAAATATTAGGTCTTTCTGTATCGGCTAACAATGTTAAACGTATCATGATCGGAGAAATATATATATGTTCTATTATATTTTTTCTCTTAACAGTTGTACCCTGAAACATGTTATTGTTCATTTTCATCTATGTCAAAATATACATATATGGTGTACGAAGGATATAATATACGTACGTTACTTTTGCTGAAAGGTAAAACATGAATATTTGAAACATCCTTTCTTAATTTCACGGCGATAGAATATTTAGTTTCCGGTTTTTTTGGTATCAAATTGATCAGAGAAAGTAGTAAGCCTTCTTGTAGATTTAAATTAAATTCTCTAATTATAAGGCAAACACCCTTGTAAACATCATAATTTAACTTTCTCTGTTTCAAATATGCAAATTCTACGCAATGCTTCAATCTATGACTTCCTGCATAATTGATGATACTTTTTTGCAAATTAGAATATAAAATCACTGGAAAGGTAGTATTACGAACTTGATCATCCACCTGAAATAATTATTATTTTATTAAATTGAAAGAAGAATCATCCTTTGATAGAGTGGTCGCTGGGATGATTATCCCAGAATGCTCGTCAAGTAACCGAACACCTTGTATATTAATGTACCTGTATTTTATGTATGTAACCCTGCAAATGGGTCAATGACATAGATTTCCTGCAGTGTAACCAAATTCCTGGAGAATAGGTTCTTCTTAGTTTTCCAAAGAACGGTTTAGTCATATGCATTTTTACAAGATCAACCTGAAAAATTTCTTTCATATTTTATTTCTCCTCTATTTTAATTGGAATTTTAGGAAAAACTTACATCAATAAAATTCTCTAACTGTGCTTTTTTACAAGAATGTACATATTTGCATTCTAGCCATGCACTCAATTCTAACGATAAACTCTTCCATTTTCTGTCAAAATAAAGCTCCCAATGAGCTGCTGAATCTGTTATGTTTCCATATATTAATTCTTTCAGAATTTCATTAGATTTTGTTACCTGTAAAAATATGAAACACACAGTGAAGAAATGTTATTCGCGTTTCTTTTTGCATATACTTACAATACTGATGCCAATACCAGCAAAGGATAGAAATATTTCCTTTTTACTAGCTTCTGGATCAATGATACTTTTTGCTTTTAAGAATAGCGTTTCGTGTTGAGTAAATAGTAATACTCGTTGGTTCACTTCCATGTAACTCACCCAATAAACAATTGTTTTATCTGTCGATGATTTATCATTATCATCGTCATCGTTATCGTCATTGTTGTCGTCGTCGTCATCGTCGTCGTCGTTATCGTCACAATTATTATTCTCCCTATTAATACTCTCAGGTTTCGATTCCAGCCACATTAATTTATTATTAACTGGTTTAACCGTACATGCATTAAACGATCCACCGCTACATTTTTCCACAATCACAAGTGGTATAAGTTCTTGTCCGTATCCATCCTTTAACACAGATAAATATAATATAAAATATACGTTTCAATTCAATATAGTACACGATACGGACATACCTTTTCAAATTTTGCATTGTATCCAGGTTTTTTATTGTTATATACATTCCAAATGAGTTCCCTAGTCTTAGTAGGGTCATCCCATGTGTACAGGAGACTTTGAAATGGATTTATCAAAGCTACCTGTCCTAAATTACATTGACTAATTTTCAAAAATAAATTGTCACAAAAATTGTCTATTCTTATGGGTATATCACCAGTCACATATTTTTGAAATGTTACATAATACGGAGAAGTGATGCCACCTTTGATTTGTACGGTGATTGCTGACTAAAAATTTCCTTCCATATAATATCGAGTAACATTTAAAATTTTGTTTACAATGAATCATTACTTACACCATTGTCCATTCTCAATACAGTCTTTCCTACGCGTGTAACGTTGAAATGCTGAGACACCAATTGACTATTTCTCCATTTTATTTTCATCTTCATTGATTCTGTAACCGGCCAAAATGGCATAATTTGTCCGGGTAAAAGATCGTTCCATAAATCCGCTTGATCGTTTTCTTCCATAAATCTCAAGTTTCTTTTTGTTTTGTTGCTAATGTAAAAATAAGGAAGAAACGTTATAATTTTTGTGAAATTAGGAGATAAACGAGAACTTTCAATCTCTGTTAAGATTCTGTATTTTCTTCCTCGTTCTGTATCTTTGCATACAATTAAAGACATTGAGGTAATTCCTTCTAGTCCAAATGGCAAAGACCATTCGGATTGATGGGCTCTTAATCTAACCATGCTTTTCTTATTGTTCTTTTGAGAAAATATCATCAATTCTTCTTCTGGTATCTCGTTAATTATATGAGTATAACATTCCTAATAAAAATATTACATACCATTCAGTTGTTGATAAATATTAAAAGTATACATTGTGATGAAATAAAAATAATCACCTGAATGAACAAAGGTAATCCAGACTTGTTTATCATCCAGTATTGTGACTGAATAACAACGTGCCAACTTTTAACTTTACACAGTTCTATACACAATAAAAAAGATTTTGCCGAATCAACCTCGCTATCTGCATTCATCGCAACAAATTTTCTTTCTAAATTCGTGTTCAGTTTAACCATTCCGGTCCAATAAATACCCAAATAATTTTGAATCTGTAACAAAAGTGACGAGTAGCTTAATTTAACTTAACAGTTTGGCAGATACATGTATTATGTATCGATAGATACGTACCTTAAAAACAAATTGGATATCGGTATTACAATTTAAAGAATGCATGTTTATTCTTTCTCCTGGCTCAATTTTTACTTCATAATTAATAGCAGGTATATGAACGTCTATAACAAATGGTAGCTGATTGTTCAAAATAAGGGGAGAATGAATGCTTATCAAGTAACTTGGTACTTGGCAGCTCGGTCTTGTAATTAACGAGACTTCGTTACAAGAGACTTTAACACAAAATACAGAATTACTTTCATCAGCTTTTGTTTTACAACATATGTCTTTAATAACATTCATTGTTGCGCTTTGTTCTTTCCAATAAATCCCTTCTTCGCTGACCTGATACTTTCTAATAATAATATAAATAAATAAGAATAAAATTATTTTTGCAACGTCAAGTTTCAATTGAACCGATTTTCTTTCTACTTACTCTAAATAAGCAGGCAATATATGTATAGGAAAGTGATAAGCTATGTATAAGGGAACACTGTAAGTAGAATCAGGTTCAATTATTGTCATTCTAATGTTGTCGTCAAAGGGATTTGTAGGTTCACCGATACACGTTAGCCCCAATTTATCTAGTAATGATTTTTTATAGTAAAGACCCAATGCATATGATGTTTCGTTTCGAAACTGAAATAAATATATGTTCGAGTAGTAAATTTTAATCGAGTCCATGTAGGCAAATAAAGAAACGAAATATTTTACCTGTAAGGGAGATCGTACAGTAATTGTACGATGCAAATAATTGTTTATCGTAGCTTCTATAACTAAATGATAGCGAACTTCGTGTCTGATAGGTCGAAGTGGAATCAGATTGCAACCTTGTCTTTTTGGACAATATACTAATACATCGTCAAATCCTAAGAATATTACAAAACTGATAAAAAAATATTTCTGTTTTAATTTTTTATGTACTTATAGACTTATATGAAAAATACCTTTAAAAATGACATGTAACACTTCTCCGGTGATTGTCTTGTATATATCAATGGTGGAGTCATCCTGAAATATTTCTTCCATTGGCACTGAATAATTTTCTGAATTTACGTCTGGATCAGCAAAATCAATTTCATTATCACCCCACTGGGGGCTAGCAACACGTGATTGAGTTTCCACTTCTGGACTGCTTGGAACACTTGCTGGTGAATTAATATCATGGTAATCTTGACTGACGATGACACGGGTTACGCTTTTCTTATCTTCCTACAATGACAAAATTGAGAATAGAAAAATACACAATGAAAATACTATATTATTAAAAAATATACCAACTTCTTCTGAAACAAGAAGTTCTAGTCGACTTTCATGACCGATATGGTTTTGAAGATTTAATTTTCTCATAGGAGCAGGTATTATCGGTATTCCACTAGCAGCTTGTTGAAATGCATTTACAATAATATCCATTACGGCAATTAAATTCGAAGTAATCACAATATTCAGTTTATCCTCTGTTGATACGGTAATGTAGACCGCCACATCGTTTGATTTAATTGATTCACGACCAACGGGTCCAACTGTGGTTAAACATTTATTTCGAATGAAATTAAAATAATTGAATTTTTTAAAAATTGTAGTAAATCCTTACAGGAGTCTACGTTACATTCCGGTGTTAACTCTAATCCCTCGTCTTCGTTTGTGCTGGAATTCTCGCTATCGCTATCTTCCTCTTCGCTACTGTTACTGTTAAACAAGTAATTGGAAGTTTTTACTAATTTTTTCTGACCTTCATCGTCATCCGTGTCAGAGTCTTCTTCGTACGTTGAATATAGATCTGTCTCTAAAATAATAATTATATTTCTTAATTTTTATTATTAATTGATCGAACGTTAAATTTGACAGCATACCGTTTGATTTTGGTACTGTTAAATGATCTGGGCTTATAAAAACCATATCTGTAACATCCTGATCGGTACTCTTAGCGCTTCTCTTTTTAACTTTCAACGCGTCTTGCTTTATATGCTGATGCGAATCAGTCCAGTTTGAATTTATCATAAAAGCTTCGCCATGACGGATCTAGATATACGATATAGAAAATCAAATCAATTTCAGATAAGAGATTAACGAATGACAAGAAACACGTACTTTTATCATTAATTCCCATGGTCTACAGGTTGTATCGTCTTCTGAACAAAAATCAATTAAGGGTTCCCAACTTTTATAATCCACGTTATAACAGAGTGCATGAAGCTTTATACTAGATTCAAAATTAAAATCGTTAAACCAATCGTTAATAGAAGCTGTAACTATGCTGTGCATTTGTATAACAGGAAGTCTTTCTGTCAGATATTCAATTTCCAGTAATAAACAAATTACTAATGGCTTTAGATTAATCGTTACCACTCTATCGTTGCATTCGTCATTTAAATGTGAATCATCTGCAAAATTATGAATTAGAAAGATTAGAGTTGAAAAAAATCTTATTGATGTGACCACTTACCATCGTTCAGTTTCTTATACGGAACATTGGAAATTTTTACAGGTGTCCATAGATTAATGTGCGCATTAGAATAATCATGATTGAAAGATTTATCTTCCAATCTCAAGTTAACGCTATTCATTAAATTTGTGGCTTCGCTCAGTATCTGTAAACAGTGTATGTTATTATTTTAAAAATATTTATCTAAAAACTTCTTTCTCGACCGGGAAGCCAGAATATTTACATTGATAAATGCATGTATTATTTCTGCAGAGAGATGAACATTAATTTTGTTCACAGTGACAGTATAATCGACGTTAAATTCGGGTGGTTCTTCTTTTCGACAAATTTCTATATCGCAAGGACACAGTAACCAGTACGGAGTATAACGGGAATAATTTCCTTGTCTCCTTGATTTGGCTCGTATGTCAGTAAGTGTACATACAATGGATGATGAACAACTGTGTCTGCTACTTTCAATAGATATTTCAGCTTGCAATAGAATTACATGCGCGTTGGTTGCTTTCAAATCTCCAAAAATTAAAATCTCGGGTTTATGTATCCTCACAGATATCGAAGCATCTAGATTTAAAAACAATGAAAAAAAAAAAAAAAAGAGATAAGTACATACATACAATAATGCACAAAACATTTTCTGTAGTAAATACATATAAATACCTGGTTCTTCTTTAAAATATTGTGCGTATTTTAATTTCTTTCTTTCTGCAGTGATATTATCCCTGCTCTTGATTCAAAATAAATAAATATATATAAATGTCGAAAAACAATTTCGACGACAATACGTACTTTAATGAGACGAATAGGATAATTTATCCTTCTAGACAAATGTAATTACTTACTATCGTTGAATTGTTATTCTCGTATCCGTGATTGACAATTCCTTTGTCAATCTGATCTGCTGGAAAGGAATCCATTATGTATCGAGTAAGATGCATCACGAATGGAACAGACAAATTCACTCTAAATTCTTGAATAAGTGCATCAAAACATTTTTCACCCTGTGGCCCACAAGTAAACGTAATATCAACAATCGGTGACATAGAAATACATATGTAGGATTCAGGTTGCACTCCGATTAATCTTGCTGGTGATTGAATTATTCTTCAATGAAAATAAAAAAATATTAATTGCTGGATATTATTATTTCAGAGTAAAGAGTAGACTTTGCTTATACAGAATACAAACTTTCTTATAATTTGTGATTCCTTTCGGGTATCTTGTAAAACACAACTCTGAAGAGAGAATTTCATCTTTAGACTTTTGTCGCTATAAAATCCGTACGTATTGATTATTTCTCCGAACGTTAATCTGCATAAACCATGATTCAGATCACGAACCGGTGAACTCAGTACCTGGAATTGCACACTCATAATCAGAAAGGCTCGTTAAAAATCTTTCACAGACATTATTGACAAGAAAATTTGTTCCTGTACCTCTTCTGAATCTAAAAATAAATTCAATTGCAATCCTTCTAATGTTAGTTTCATATTAACTTCGCACACTGTATTTTCATTGTGCGTAAGAAAATCTTCTAATTTCTTCACCATCACATCTTCTACCTCGGCTTTCTTCAACTGATCTTCCATTGTAGACTGTACTTGATTTTCATATGCATTTTTAAATAGTATAATTTTCGAAATGTTATCTTTCCACACTAATATACTAGACTTTAGGTCTCTTTGGCTTAGATTAATGTTTACAAAATCCATAGAACCTTGTAAATTGAATAGACCATACGTTTGAAACTCCATTGCGCTACGATACTCTGCTTTTCTTTTAATATCAAAATGAATATGAACAGGCTCAACGATCGGTTCCTATGAAATAAAAATTAATTTAAACACTTGTATCGTTAAATATCTGCAATCGTTGAGAATATAAAATTTTTTACTTGAATTTCCAAGTCTTGATTGAGCGTCATAATTGCTCTGGATATAGTTACATTGTTCAGCTTTACTAAAATGTTATCAATTATTAACTGATTTGCATCGTTGCCGGCTACCTTAATACTTTGATTGAACTGATCGTTTCTTTTGAAAAAATTTTCGACCGATAATACACCTGAAAATACAAAGTTGAATATACGAATGAAATTGAAAATTTTAGCGAATTATAAATATTCTTGGACAATCGCAACCTGTATTTAATACTAGAAGAGTTGGCACATCTTTTTGTTGAGGTAAAAGAAATATAGGGCCTTGAATGTCGATGAAAACATGTAACTTCGTTGCGGTTCTTTTAAATTCCTCGATACCGCTCATAAGTTTATCGGTTAAGTAATTTTTTATGCTCAAGCAATATGTGGAAGTAAATGGTGTTAAAAAATACTGTAAAAAAAATTGGATGATATAACAGTAGCAATAGCAATGTGCATAACGTTAATGTAACGTACAGATTAAATGTTTACCTTTAAATCGTGCAATACTTTATAAATAAGTACACAACTGATTCTCCCGATAGAAAACTTAAATGTTCCATCCGACATCACATCATCTCCATTCGTATCGATATCGGAACATTTATACAGTTTTGGCATGTGTCTCACATATTTTAAATCAAGAACTTTATCCTCCTCCGTTATCAGTAACTAGACGAGAAATGCATCAAGTTACAAATATTATTCAGTTTATATTCTGTACGTAATTTTCATAAGATTGAAAACTTACTTTTGAATAAAGTGTATCTTCGGTCATATCTTCAACAGATAAATGTGTAAGATGTGCACGTAAAACCATTCTTTCATTAGCATTGTAAATGCAATCATTTTCTAGTCCCAGGATCTGTATTTCCATTAAATCCAAATCTCTGTCACAAAATCTAATGACGAGGGCGTTAAGCCTTGCAGAATAATTCAATTTAATAGCACCTAAAAAGAAAGAAAAATCGTTAACGAAGAAATTTGACATTCGATAATTTTGTATCTACATAATACCTGGAGGAATAGGTGGATCATTTTCCTTTACTTTCCATTGTACGATACTCTGGCATAAGTTTTTCAGAACATTGAAAAGATTATTGTTTTCAAAAATGCTGGAGAGATATTTTTCATTATTTTCTACAAATAGTTTCTCACCGAGATGTAACAAATCAGACAGTACGTACCCGAATAAACTATACCAATGGTCTCTTATTTTTAGTAGCGCAGGTCTGTGAAGATTTATATTGACGTTAAGTATGTTTATAACAAGAGATCGTTCGATACTTTTGAAGTGAGACTTAAAATCAGGACAATTTGATTTGACCTAGGGAAAGAAAGAAAGTAGATATGTTTAGAAAAATGAAATACAGAAAGAAAAATTCTGATTCTTCTACAAAGTACCTTACGAAATGATACTACAAGAACTTCATAAGGTTCTTCGGTAGATATTAATTCTAAATATGATCCAGTTACTCCTGCATTTGTTTTGTCTACCAACAAAACAGATCCTACACCAAACTGGATAGCAGATCCATATTGCATTATTGCAGTTTCAAGATATAATGCATGTAATCTAAGATGTAAATAAGGCTCTTCTCTTCCACAATTCATACTTGCCAAGTGAATCGATAACTAAACCATTAAAATATTAATAAAATTTCATTTTGTAAGAGTTAAACAATATTACAAAATTTTGTTTTACATATACAATACCTCTCCAATAGCGAATCTTAACAAAATATTGATATGATTACACGGAGATACACTGTCGTCGAATCCAGATAAACTGATAGTCTTTGATAGTAATTCCAAATCTTCTTCACTGACTTCAGAGGATACAATACTGTTACATAAAACGAATTTCTATCAAATATTATTTACTTACTTACGTACTTACATCAAGTTAAATATTCTTCGCCTCGTTAAAATATTCCAAAAACATTTTACATATTAATATACTTAATCTTACTTCGTTACCTATCGAGTTTTTGTACGTTAGCCGTCCAAAATTCCTTAGTAACAGTTGTAAATTTGTTTTTGGATCTATCAATCGACGGCAGGCATATAGTGCCTTGCACATTTCTAAGTTGTTTTATCGATACGAAAAGTTTATTTAATCTGTTCTTTGGGACGTGTTGCGTTAAGTCCTCCTCACATTTCTTGACATTCTTCTGATACATCAACAACAAGAGATTTAAAAAGTGAACACTCTGTTGTATCTTGTTTTCCGATAAATTGAATTTAATACATGAAATAGAAACATTTACTTTAGTCCTGTAAAATAAGTAAAATAATTATAATAAATCCAATTTGATATTATCTTACACAATTAAAGTACACAATACCGTGGTAGCTGATGATATTCAGGTTTAACACTATACGAAATTGTTGTATTTGCTTGTATTTTCGGTACAAAATGATATTCGGAATCCTTCATCTTTCTGACTGACCTCCAATCATCCCCTATCGTGTAATAAAAAAGCATTGAAAAAAAAAAACAAAAAAATTCATTTAGCTGTATTTAAAAAGAAAGATAAAGACAAACCAGAGTGACAAAATAATATCTGTGCTCCTGAAAATACAATATGGATTCTATCATAAAGTAATTCCTCTAATTCCATAAGTGTGGCATCTTCAAGTTGTAAGTTTGTATTTTGAAGTTCATTAGACAGGTTCACATTGCCAAAATCAACCAGAAGAATGTTTCCATCTCTAAAATACTTTTCTCATTACTTACAAATTCAATGAAATTTAACAATTTATAAATATACCTATGTACCTTTGCATTGATCCATGTTCGGGAAATACAATATACGGTCCTTTAATATCTATTTTAAAACTGATCCGTAGCGTCTGAGATATTATATTTTCTACCAGAACCAAGAGATTCTTCTTCATGTAATTACACAACTCGTACACCCACAAAATAGTTGTTTGAACGTTTGTATCGCTAAGTTTGAAAAATCGAATAATTTCCATCATAGCATGCTGAAATTTAATAAAAATCTATTTATAGCTTATTTATATAAAGAACACTTGTTGATTTTTTAAGGATATTGCCATTACATGATAATAAGTCACTTCAATAGCTTCTAGGCTTATAGACACATCAAAAGTTGGATCTATATTTTCGCCATTTTTCTCAAAATCTATTGCCAAAAAATTTGTTGATACATTTCCTGTAAAAACGAATTATAATATACTACATACCATAATTTCAGTTGCTTCATCTTCAAATATTTATTCTTATACCTGTTAAAACATTATCGACAGTAATTAAGGGCACTAGATCACCTTCCAGAGAGACACCTTCAATTACAAAACTCTCGGCCCGTGTAGATATTTTAAAAGCAGACAATGCAGGTCGTATCTCAATACTTGTTAAGAATTGTGTTATAGTTACAACAAGAATTTCTTTGTCATTTTTTAAAAGACTTAAACAAGAATTTGCTAATGTAAAATTCAACTTGTAATCTAAAATAAAATAGAAAAGTTTATTTTCATTCATTTCTTTTCTTCTGCTGTCGTTATATATTATTTAAGGATTTGAAATTATACCAATTGGTTGTAGCAGCTTTTCTATTTTGATTTGTTTTTCTGAACTGTTACTAATATCATCGGAAGATATCTTCGTTTCCTGCCCTTGAGTTGCCTCATTCTTTATTTCTATATTTTGTACTTCCTCTTGACTTAAAGATGTACTATTCTTCATACTATTTAGCGATAGACCACCGTTATTCACGCCTTGATGTTTTTCTTTAATCATTCTATTTTTCAATTCTTGTCTAGCATGTTCTCTAGCTATTACTATGTTAAACATTGTTAAAGAATCTTCGTATTTTTGCAAATCCAGCTTCAGTTCTGTATCATTTGGCTTAAGTAAACTCTGTAGACACGCTTCTTTGTACCTTCTGTAATTTTTTCTATGTTCAACAATTTTTTTCCAGGTATAAGGTTTCACGTTATAGTCCAAAATAGAATTGTAGGCATACTTCCACCAAGCTGATGGATTTTTCTTTATAATTTCATTAGGACGATATTTCATATATTGTCTATGGGTAATGATATGAAAATGTAAGAAAATTTGCATTTAATTTAAAACGATAAACATACATACTTTTTAATATTTGTACGTAGTAACGAGTCATAGAGATGACAGAAAGTAATATACTGCATTTCGGAAATTTGCATTGCAACATCGTGAAGAACAATATCAACCAACATACGAGATGTTTGCGTTTCATTTCCTTTGTATATGATTACTTTTATTTTTGCAGTAAAAGGTTTTAGAACTGTAAAATAATTCTTGTCAACTCGCTTCTTTACGTATACTAACAATAAATAAAAAAATAAATAAAAAAAATGATGAACTTACGGAATTGAAACTCTTTGTTTCTCATACCGAATGTTTGCAAGGCTTTATGCATTGTACTTTTCCATGCAAAAATAGCAGATATATCCCAGTCGCACCCGTTGTTTGTAAAAGCAGATTCTGTATTATTATCCATATATATGCTCAAAGATTCTGCTCTGACCAGTTGATAAATTGTGCTTAAATTGCTCGTACAAATGCCAGGTTTCCATTTGCTAAAATGGAATTTTAAATTTCATGAATATACGTAAGATGAAGGAAGAGATAAAGAAAATCAACTGGTTACCTATTCGTAGTCATTATAGATACGCTTTGAATACAAATACCACAAGCGCATAGAGATTCGTTTATCTCTTCTTCGTATCTAATATGTACATTATTTATAGTGATTTGAAAATTCTTTGTCACTGATTTCAACAAATTATCAAATAATTCTACAAAATAACTGCATATGTAAAAACCATTAAACACCAGAAGATACTAGAATACAGATTTGTTATGTTTACCTGTCGTATAGGTTTCATCTTCCTTTAAATCTTCCAAAATTTTTCTCTTCTCTGCCCTGATTAACTTTTTCTGTATTTCTGGATCATACGTACCGTATGTAGCAGGTACAGCTACTATGTATATATCCTTAAATACATAAATTTATATGATATATATGCAAATACCTGATCACAAATGATTTATTACCTCTAGACAAAGTACAATCGGTTGAGAAAATAGTCCAGCCCATGGTATTTTTAAAACAATCTTCCCTATAAGTCCTACTTCTACCTTGATCGGTAAACCAAGCTGATACTGTAACGCAAATGATACATTATTTTTATCGCTTTAATAATTATATTTACGTAAAACATTTTATATAAAAGAAAAGCTTACTTACCAAAGCTTCGGGTTTCAGTTTAAGATCGGTGAGACAAGTATCGCCAGAAAATATACCGACATTAAACTGTTCGGTGTCCAAGTCTTCAACATACTTCCCCAGAAGCCGATTCAAGAAGGCCGCTATGGCACCCTCGAACATTGTTTCGCGTATAACTGAATGTGTAACGTTGTTTACTTACCGCATTCGATGCAACACGGTTTTCTCTAGCATTGATACTTCTTCTCATAACCTTCCGAAATTTGTAAAATAAATTCCGTCATGCGCAAAACTACAGTATTTTATTGATCCGCTTTTCTCTCACTTTGGAATCCCATCGTGCCTGACCAGCACGGATAACGAGTTGTCTCCGTTTATTGGAAATCTACATACATCGCGCGCATCCTTTATCGGAATAAGCCATTTATTTATATATATATAACTTAAAGTTTAAAGAAGAAGATTAAAAAAATCTAATTCCACTTAATTTATCTATATAGCACTCGTTTATTGTTATTGTATCATACAAGATATTGATCATTTCAAATTTTATATACAGCAGTATTAAACTGTCTGGAGAGATGCTTAATAAAACGAATAAAACATGGCATATCTCCAGTTTTATACGTTTTACCATGCATTCAATCACGAAGATCAAACAATATCGAGCTACAATATCGCTTATAACAGCAGCAATCGGTAATCAAATTACGTTCACGCATTTCTATAATCTATTACTTGAACGTAATCATCATTTTTTATTTAGTAATTTCATTGTAATTCGATAAATTGAAGAACCTAGAAAATGTTTATAAGATCGACATCTAATACGCGCTATATGCTTATTATTATATACAGAAAAATATATGTACATTACATTGTTATCATTTAACGTCAGTTTAAAGAGGAAAATGATGTTTCGTTTCGCCGGTATTCGGATCTACTATAACCTTTTCCTTGTGACTATTTGAAGGACTACCAAATGCATTTGTATCAGCGAATGGAAAGAACCTTCCATCCGCGTACTCCTTAAAAAGTAATTCAGCAGCCTTCTGTTTCTCTTCCTTTCCATTTGATGCTATTTTCTTCATTGTCAAAGTTAAAAGCTCTATAATAAGATAGGATTCCGGTTTGTAAAGTCTTGTGAAATGTAGTCTTATATGTTCACCAACGTTCTCATCTTTCCGAGGGATGTAGTCGCAATGGGGACAGGATGGCGTCATTCTTTCAATACCGTGTCGACGCTTATGAGCGTCCATCGCTTCTTTGTCACAGGTGGAAAACGGACAACTTTGGCACCGTAATGTTTCCACTTCGTCGTTCGACGATACCAGTATTCCTTTCTTTTGCAACAACATTAAAGACTGCTTGTCTTGATTCGAAGCTTGAACTCCACCGTAATTTAACATTGATATTCCGTTCGTAGACATTGTCGCAGCTGAATTATTCGACGATTTAAGAGTCTTTCCTGAACGAGATACAGATTCCCTGTCGGAAACTGTATCGCCATCGATGGTGATCGTGTCATCTTCGAATTGCCTGCGCGACGCTTGCGCTTCGGCATTTGCTTGATGCTTCTTCAAATGCTGTATGTAATTAGCATAATATTTGACAGAATAATCACAAGTGTCGCAGCGATATCTTTGTTTCGCTCCGTGCAACGTCAAATGAACTCTATATTGTTCTCGTTTCTCAAAAGCGGAAGGACATTTGTGACATTTGTACCGTTTCTCTTTCAAACGACCATTCCTCAAGTAACCAGGGTATACGAAATTCGGATTGCCACGCATAAAGATTCCAAACTGAGGATCGGGTGGCGGACTCAGATTCGAAGTTACATCGTTCGTATCGTTCTGTCGTCGATGAACCACTTGATGTTTCACCAAATTCTGAGCTGTCTTCGACGAGTAATCGCATTCGGTGCATTTGAATCTGTTGTTGGATCCATGCAAAGTCATATGATACTCCAGAGCATCGAGTTTGAAATAACGAGCCGGACACTTGGCACAAGTGAATACTTGATTTCCTTGATTTCGTTGGTTTGAGTTGTTGTTATTGCTGTTATTGTTGTTATTGTTGTTGTTATTGTTGTTGTTGTTACTATTACCATTGAAACTGCTACTCGAAGTTTCCGTAATTTCTACTACGATCCATGCAACGGTAGGCGTTGAATTATTTGTGCCTTGGCCATTTGTTTCGACGCAAGCTGTGGTAGGAGGTGGATAACGTTGCGAGTAACCGTACAATGATAACAAGTACTTGGTACGTTCTTGGTACTCGGTCGAGTGTGCTTTCTGATGTGCTAGAAGGTGAGCTGGTTGTCGAGCAGCGTAAGAACACCACTGGCAAGAGTAAGCCAATTCCGTTGAATGATATCGCAAATGAATTCTTAATTCTTTCTCGCAAAGAAATCGCGCTGGGCATTTACTGCAACAATGCACAAGCCTCGAATCACGTAGATCAGGCTCTGAACCCAATACAGGGGAATGCGTGAATCCGAGAAGCGCAGTCAAATCGATCAACTGCTGCGAATCTGGCCTCGAATCGTCTACTAAACAATGAACGGTACCTAAAGAACCGGAATGCATGTCTATATGCGCGACCATTACTTCTCGTCGTGTACAAGTAAAACTACAATCGGTACATGCGATCACAGGACCATTACCAGGAGAATCGAGATGCATGCTTTCGTGATCTCGAACTTCGGCACGTCGCGAAGACACAAAGGGGCAGTGACGACATTTTAACATCTTCGTAAGTGTACCATCCGGTCGGGACACCCATACTAACGGAGCTTCAGGCAGTGCTCGGGTATCCAGAAGTAACGGCGGAGGTACACTGGAACTTTTTGAGGCACTTGTGATACAAGTCACGTTATTTTGCGTTGTTATATGTATCACTTGTTCTACAGATTTTTCTCCTTTCATACGATTCGTATCTAAAATGATAGATAAAAAAAAAGTTGGTTAAACATTTAATAACATCTCAAAGGAGTATTTCCCATTGTAAGGAATAAGATTTCAGTACCTCCTCCTAATGGTTGCTGCGTTTTAGATTTAGTAGGTGAAAAATTATAATCCATATTCTGTTGATGTACAACAGCAAGTTCTTCTCCGTGAAGTCTAACATGATCCAAAAGCTCCCTATAATATCAGAATGAATAAATATTTGTCAAGAAATATCATTAACTTAATATATCCATATATGACGGTGATGTATGTACATACGCTTTTGTGCTAACGTAATAAGGGCATAAATAACATTTGAAAATTGCTTCCAAATTTGGACGATGATGAACTCGGTGCATCGATAAAGTAGCGGCATCGGATGCAGAATATGGACAATCTCCGCAGCTAAATGCATTCTATAAACAAATTGAAAATGTGTTATTTCTGTAATCAAAATCAGTGTACCACTAACAAATACGTACTTTTTCTTCTTCGTATCGTTGCTCCGATTCACTGTGAGACTTAACGTGCAACGATACAGTTTCTCTACTGGAATGTCGAAAATTACAACGCTTACACTTCCACATTGTACGTTTATTTTCTTCCGAACTCGTAGCAGAGGTAGATGTACTCGGCTGACTTGTAGAATTCAAATTATTTTTAAGCAACGATTGACCACGATTTCTAGCAGCAGCTTTCAGAGGGGGAGGTGGCCTTAATCCAATATTAATAGCGTTAACATTATGATTTCCTTCGCTCGAAGACATTATCGAAATAGGAGTAGTCGTAAGTTCGGGTGTTTGTAAATATTCATCGGTGTTCATTATTAACAACTTTGTCGGTGGTTCGTCAGAATTTGTTTCTTCTACGTTACGCTCCTCCATGTTTTGTTCGTCCCACGATTGTTGTTCGACCTAAGCAAAAAATCAAAAATGGAAAATTTACATTTAACGTATTATTCTTTCGGTATCACGTATCGTATATACACAAATTTATATTCAACATAAAAACAACTACTCGGCACACTGAAAATTTCTTTCATAGTACAAAATAATTTGCCATAAATTAAAAAAATCATCTTCAAAGTATATGCAGAGAACATTTGAAATATCATCATCATCATCATCATCATCATCATCATCATCAACATCATCATCATCATCATCGTCGTCGTCATCGTCATGTCGGTTATAATTACTAAGAATATGCTTGTAATTGCAATCAAATAAACATCATAACACCAATCAAGTGTCCAAGCGCTCTGATACGAAAAATTTCAAAGTGTTTTCCTTTCTTCGGTTTTTATCAATTATCATCCATCTTTATTTTCCAAATCAAGTAGACGGATCATCACTTGCGTTTATCAGAAAAAAAAAAAAAAAGAAAAAAAGAACGAGCAAAAAAGGTATAAAAATGTCAGTGCGCCTAAGAAGATCGACGAGCACTGTGTTACTAATATAAAAGAATTGTTTAATGTAAGTGAAATTAGTGCTTTCACCTGTGCAAGGTATTTGTTATATTTGGAATAATTCCGTCGACCTGTTTCATCCGTCATAAGTACCGTGGCAGTCATATGAACTGGATCTTTAGCTGCTTTAAGTTTAATATGTTTTGTGATGTCCCACCGCCAGTTAGAGCGATACGCGCATAGGGAACACTCGAATGGCTTCCGATTTAAATGACCGACAATATGAACATGAAAACGACTTGCGGTGGATGCCCAAAATGGACAGTGCGGGCATTTAAATACCCGTCGGCCACATGGATGCGTCGAGGTGCCTTCAACCTGACAAAAGATTTGTCTACCTTTATCAAAATAAAGTATTAACATATTTTCAAATACAACGGTCTACGGTCTCGACTGCCATAAGTAACATTTAAAGCACATTCTTAATAATAAAGGAAAATATGAATAGAAAGAAGAAAAAGAATATACATATTATATCAACGTAATATGTAATAATTTATTATAAAATGGTGCTGCATACTCGAATGAAAAAATTTGTGGTTTCAAGCTAAATCGAAAAGTACTTTAAACACATTATTCTAATGGCCGTACGGGATGCTTGCAATAAAAATAAAAATAAAAATGAAAATAAAAATAAAAATTAAAAAAAAATAGTCAGATCTGTTGACTCTCGTATTGCAATCGTTACAATTTCTTCGTTCGTGTGCGTATGTTCATATTGGTCATATGCACGTTTAAAGTAGATGTATTATTATTTTTATGAAACACCATACCGATGATCCAGAAGAATTCAGTCCGCTGAGATTAATGTCCCAATCCGTTTGCGCAGGAAATGTATATTCACCGCGATACGAGGTCACACGGAGTTCTGAACAATTTGATATTTTTTCTAAGCTATTGTGTATGGACGTATTGTTGCTTGTCGAGTGACAACACTGCATATGCACTTGTAGATCAGTCGAACTTTTGCAACGTCTTCTGCACTTAGGACAACGCGTTGTACCCACAGATACACTGAGAGCGGTGTGGTGTGTTTGTTTGTGACAAGCCAGCTCTTCCATGCTACTAGCTTTAAAAGTACACCAGCATTTCAAATCGTTCGTAGTACTTACAGCTACCTCTGGTACTCCGTTATTAATTGACGCCGACGTTGTAAGCTTTTCCTTTAGCTTATCAAAGAAGGACGCATTTTTTTTTTCAAATAAATCTGCCGCATTATTTGCATCCTTCTTTAAATTTCTCACCTGTCAATAATAATTTATTTGAATAATTATTTTATCATATACATTTCTTGCCATCTATTCGAGAGGGAATAAAAAACAAATAACTAACTTCTTTATTTCCATACAACTTGGCTAGTTCGGTGTCTCTTGCGATTTGTGCAAGTTCCGGCCTTACCCTCACACGCGGAACTTTCAATAATGTTGCCGAAGATCCACTGGTGTTACTGCTGCCAGATTTAGCAGGGCTTAAAGGTATTAACATTGGCAGTGGTTTTTTAGATTTATTTGGTGTAATTGGAGCATGACATTCTGCCAGATGTCGTTGCATTTCAGAATCCCATGCTGTAATAAATTGACAACCTTTCTCCTCGCATTTTAACGCTATACATTCGGCATTTGCCATTGCACTTCTTTTATCTTCCAAAGCCTGGTCAGAAATCGAGTACGAATCTCCAGGACTGATCGACACGCTTGTACTTCCAGATATGTGTAACGAATCTCGAAAATCACTTGCACCCACCTGAAATTATATGGATTTTTAAAATATATATATATATATATGTGTCTGTGTACATACATATATATGTGCGCGCTTGTGTGTGTCAAATGGAGATTATTCAATGGTATTTAATAATCGTATTACCTGGTTGTAACGCTTAGGGCTATTTCTTGGTTTACGCTCAAAAGGTGTGTTAGATTTGCGATTTGTTTGACTCACAGGAGGTTCGTGATGATTGGTTTCGTGCACTGTTAAACTCTGCCTGATATCAGCTGTAAAATTACAAGCACGACATTGGAAAGCTCCTCCTCCTCCATGATTCCTGGTGTGCCTGTCTAAATTCCACTATAAACAAATTTTGTTGCTATTATTATTACTTTATTCGACCAAAGTTAATTCAATTTACTATTTCCTTTTTCTTGATAGTTTTATTAACCTTGTACGGTGTACGAAAGTCACAAGCATCGCACTTAATCATTGGCATGGAATGATATTTCACGTGCTTTGTGTAACGAGCACGTACATGCGTGACATAAGAACATTTAGCACATCTAAAAAATCTTCTTTTCAAATGATGTACTCTCTGATGAGTTTCAAGATCCCTTGAATTTAGGGAAACATATGAACACATGGAACATCGATTTCCAGTATCGCGTATAAATTTTCCCTATAAATTATTATATATCTTTTTATTAAAAACCATTTAAATATACACATGTTAAATATACTTTATGTTCTATCTTTCATTTTAAACAGATAAAATTGGATTTAAAAATCCAAAAAATTCTTTTCCTTAATAAAAAAATAAAAAAGAAAAAGAGAAAATATTAATTAAATTTTATATTCAATTTAATTTGAATAAATCTGAGATACTGTACCTTTTGTTTGTGTTCTTTTTTCAAATGATCAAGATACGCTTTAAGATTAGACAGGGGCTTTGAGGGTTTACAAGTTTTACATTCATAATTTTGCGAAGATCCCGAACAATCGTATCCCTCGTGTTCACGTTTCAAACTGTTCCTTACAGAGCTATTGCCTTTGACATCGTATGAAATTTCCTCGGAACTCTCCTGTAACTCGTATTCCCGCATCGCGACTTCCTGTCGAGTTTCTTTAAGGTTACTTTCCTTCTGCGGTTCAATTTTCAGTTGCTGAGGTCGTGGACGAAGTGCACGCAATCGAGGTAGCCTTCCTGACATCTTGGACAAAATTTATTTTGTCCCACGTACCTTCTTCTCTGATTCGTGTCGTGCATCGAGATATCTTTTTATTTGCCCACGATCTTCTCAGCCACGTATTGAAATAAAAAAGATGAAAATGACGGTCGCTTCTTCATTAGTCTATACCGTTTTCTCCTTCCAAATGACATTAACGTCAAGCCACTTTACCTCGTACATATTATTCATTTTTCACGTAAATCTTAAAAAAAAGGGCTCAATTAATGATTTAAATGACTAAATAGAAATATACCCGTATTATAAACAAAATTTTCACATAAAAATTCTTTGAATTCTCGTTAAATCAGATCGTTAAAATACGATAGAAGACTGGTGCACGCTACGGAAGTGCAAGTAGAGCATACTCGGTGGTCGCGCGATCTAGAGGCTGTGGGCGCCATTTTTTCTTCGCTAGCAAAACTGTTGACGAGGAAGGTGTTAGAGCATTTTCCACAAAAATCTTGTACTTTTATCAGAGTGTTTTTCGAAATAAATAGCGGAAATAAGACGATATAATTTAATGAAATTTTATCTGTTATTTTACATCTACTTTCACAATAATACTAAGAGGCAACAATAAAACTTACAACTTCGTTATACTTTATTCAAGTAAGTATGTAAGTATGTTGTAAGTACGTACATTTATCATACGTGGTATCTCGTAACTTTAGTTTCTATTTATAACTAAGAAACTATTAGAAATAATCAAATATTACAGAAAGAAACAACTTAATTCCTTTTTCTACTAGAAACAATTAACAATTTTCAGCTTCTGGTATAATTACTTCCAGTAGCTTGTCTTTTGTACGTCCAACATCCGATGTTTATAGGATAAAAATATTACATATAGGATAAAAATATAAATATGTATATATTGAAATATGTACCTGATATTTAGATCAACAATAGAAAAATATATCTATTACCTTATGGAAATGGTATTAATAAAAATAATAGTTTTTTTTTTTAACAGGCGTGTTCGATGTCCATTTTCCCAAGCAACTTCCGGTTTTTAGTCAAGTGACAATCTATCAAGTTTAGAGCACATATGTGTGCGCATCGTGTAATCAGAAACAATAGGGAGGAAAATTAATTGTAATTCTTTGAAGACAAATATCAAACAGTTAATTCGACCAAAGGTAATTTATTATTTGATTAATGTGAACCTACGAACCCGAACTCGAACCCGTCCCCGTCCCGTTTTATTGAATCTGTATACATATGTATATAAGTACATACAATCGGCCAAGAATTTATCATTACAATATTTGATGGTATTTAAAATATGAAATACGCTCTTTGCACCCTTCTTTCTTCGATCTATTTTCCTTAATATTCGCTCGTTCTTCACGGACTAATTCATTTTATCCTGATACAGTGATTAACTTTCAAGTATCTCGTTATCGGCAGCAACGGTAGCTATTACCGGACCGAAGGATAACAAACCGTAGCGGAGACGATGAAAGCGCAAACAACGAGTCTCTCCCTCTCCTTCCTCTGAAACTGATGGTGATGTCAAAGTGGCGCAGGTTAGGCGCCATCTGCAATTCCAATTCTGATTCTGGTTTCTGGTATCCACATACTCCTCCCATGCCTCCTTCGCTTCCTCCGTTTCTCCTGCAGCCCTCAACGAAATTCTATTATACATAGGTATATATGTATATATTGCATTGCTTTTTAATTACACTGGTTCACTTATTATAAGCAGAGAAAATAATTAACTTAGAGTTGCAGTCTTTTTTTTTACTCTGTTATCACTGGAGATTAATACAAATTACTTTTAGATAGGTCTACTATCTTTTCGTGCCAGTGAAAATTGCACACTTATTATACATTAATTCTACGGTAATTTAAGTATTTTGTTCCGTTCTGTTTTTAATATCTTTCGATATACATACAGTAAATTTTAATGATTCTCTAATTGATTTTATACTACTTATATTTTTTATAAGGCATCGAAAATATTTCACTTATAATATTATGAATAAATTAATTAAATGAATGTTTCATAAGATAGCAGCAGCAGAAAAATTTCATAATCATCGTATTACGTAAGTTCATATGGAAATAATTATAGGGAAAAGGGCATATCCCAAGAAACATTCGCATCGATTGCAGGTGTTTACCTTTATTTTCTCTAATTTAAATAACGAAATTATAATGATTCACGAATTACTTTTTATTAAACGAGTATAATATTTTTTTCACAAGTCTCTATGACCTACTTTTCTCCGCAATAATAAACAATACATATAGTATATCATGAAATTTCGAAATACATTGATTCAATTAAACGACATAATTAAATTAAATAATATTTCATACAGTTTTTTTTAACGTAACAGAACATTTTCTCCATTATCAATATATTCAATGATTTTATCGGGGAAGGGATTCCTTTTTATCGTACTTTTTACGATAAGAGAAGAGAAGAGAATTACCGGAGAGAAAGATAAACGATTAATTTATACATAAGCTCATTTTTCAAATTAACAATTGTTTAAAAATGTACCAGAAATGAACGTAGACGTATAGATGATATTAAAAGAAAACTTTTTAATACATTTTTACAATTTTAGTTACAGTATATCCATTTCACGCCTTTTTAAGGCTTACAATATATGTATGTATAATATAAATGCAGTTTCATTCACCATAACCAGTAACCTTGTTCTTGTTAAATATGTTTAATACTTTGATTGCATTACATCAGAACGATCGTAATGTAGTCACTTCTTGACTTGCTTCTGCAGATTTTCTGCCAATTTATCAAGGAATTCAAATGTTTCTAAATAACTAGATCTTGTAACATTATTCAATCCTTTGATGCAAATTGCAAGATCCTTTGTCATGTAACCAGATTCGATAGTATTTATGCAAACTACCTCTAAGGTTTCTGCAAATCTCTTAAGTTCTTGATTATTATCCAGTTTGGCACGATAAACCAAACCCTGTGTCCATGCGAATATCGAAGCAACCGGATTGGTTGATGTTTCTTTCCCTTGCTGATATTGACGATAGTGCCTTGTAACTGTACCATGTGCAGCTTCTGTTTCTACTGTACGTCCATCCGGACAAAGTAAAACTGAAGTCATTAAACCTAGAGATCCGTACCCTTGTGCCACGGAGTCGGACTGAACATCTCCGTCATAATTTTTACAAGACCATACAAAACCACCTTCTGATTTCATCGCATACGCTACCATATCGTCTATTAAACGATGCTCGTACCAAAGTTTTTTCGCCTCAAATTGTGCTTTATATTCTTTCTCGTATACTTCTTGGAAAATATCTTTGAATCTGCCATCGTATTTCTTAAGAATCGTATTTTTTGTAGAAAGATACAGAGGATAATTTCTTGAAAGAGCATATTTGAAAGAGCTGTGAGCAAAGGCACAAATACTTTCATCTGTATTGTACTGAGCTTGCGCGATACCAGCTCCCTTAAAAGTATGGACTGTATGTTGAATTTTTTCTCCGTTATCTCCTGTCCATGTAATTTCCAGTTTGCCAGGGCCTGGTACCAAAAAGTCTGTAGCTTTATACTGATCTGCATGAGCGTGTCTACCAATAATAATGGGTTTAGACCAGCCAGTTACCAGACGCGGTATGTTCTTACAAATAATTGCTTCACGAAAAACTGTACCGCCTAAAATATTTCTAATAGTACCATTGGGACTTTTCCACATTTGTTTTAATTTAAATTCTTCCACTCGTTTCTCGTCAGGTGTAATAGTGGCACATTTTATTCCTACATTATATTTCTTAATAGCCTCTGCACAGTCTACGGTTACTTGATCATCGGTTGCATCCCGATTTTCAATACCCAGATCGTAAGTGTGTAATTCAATATCTAAATAAGGTAAAATAAGTTTCTCCTTAATGGCATCCCATATGACACGTGTCATTTCATCTCCTAAAATGTCAACGACAGGTCCAACCTAAAATAAATTACAATATGTAAAAGGTATATAATATAAATTTAAAAACTTTTTATATCATTCATTTAATATTATTGTTTTGATTTGTTTATTAATCTGGATTCCATTATTACATAATAGACATTCTTTTTTCTAGATGACTTTTAAATTTTTAATTAAAATTTACACATATAAACGTATAAAAAAGAAAGTAACATAAATGACACGGATTGCTCACCTTTATTTTAGCCATTACTGCAGTGGAAACAGAAAATGTTCTAACAAGTGGGTGTATCGATTGATTGATTTTTAACGAAAGTAACTGCGACGAAGCACCGTTACTACTAGCGGATTCGATGTAAACTGCACTTATAAATTGCAGGTTCTTTTTTATGAGACGGTGGGGTGAAAACATGGCAGTTTTATCGAACTTTATTCGTTGTTTTATCAAGAATTCTTTAAATCGACCGTACTAAAATTTATTTTAGTTTTTCTACTTTATCTTAACACATATATATTACGCCTATGTTGTTTCACAATTATATACAAAATATTTCGTTTGTTACATACAAGATCTTTTATTCCCGTATGAAATATTAATTAAACGAATAATACAAATTTATTGTACGTCGATTAAATCGGTAGACGCCGTGTTATTGGTAACGGATATTAATACCAGTTGGTAATAAATAATATCACATTAGTGCTACATATCTGTTAAAAAGTTTCATCTTATCTGTGGAATTTGTACTGCTTTAAGTAAACAACATTTATTTACATGCAAAAATTATAACCACATACTTCTATTCAATATGCGCCATACAGAAGTGGTTAATACAAAAATTAAATTATTTTATGCAGAATTGTATATACATATGACAAACGTATAAATGATGTTTTTGTAATTATTTACAAATCATGTAAACAAAAAATAAAAATTCATTAAACATTCATGAATAGTAACTTATCACGTCCTGCAAATTTGCATTTCACAAAAGGAGGGTAAATCACACAATTAATACAAGGTTGGAACAAATGAAATACACATGTAAATTTCATTATGTATTTACATATATGTATACATAGACGCTGTATCTGTTACATTTACCTATTAAAATGTATGCATATCTGGATGACCAAGAATATATTTCTTAAAAAAAGAAAAAAAAAAAGCCTAAATACTTGACATAAATTGAACATTTTATCGAATATTACGGATTAACGTATACACATGGTTGAGTATCTCTTTTGTTGATCAGAATTTCTCATTAATTTAATCAATTTTTCAATTCAATGGTAACGATAACTCTTGAATCAGAAATCAGTGATCATAAGTAACGAAGATGGAAGCACGGAACATAAAACAAAACACTCAAGGTAAGTTTTTATGTAACGCAAATTTTAAATATTTCATTTGCATTGGGTATCGAGTTATCTTTAGTTATTTACCGATTAAATTATAAATTGTAAATATATATACTTACATATAAAAATTTATATCGTCAACCAATAAACAATGACAGTAATGCGATTGGTTATATTTATACAGCAATTTGAAATTGGTCATTACATGTCCAATCACGATTTTGCAATTGGTGGCAGTAAATCTGAAATTAAAGACACAGGAGAACTTGTGATATAAAAATGGAAAAAAAAAAAAATATAGTTTCTCCGCGACAACGTGGAATGATGGAACTCGAAGATTCAGGTCTACACTCTTAACGCTATTCATGATTCATGTTCATACAGCGTATCGTTTTGAGTGATATATTGTGTATCCAACATCGAACCAGAGGATGGAAACTCGAGTTATCAAAATCTAAATTCACTATGCCTCGAAAAACGCTAAAAACGTATCAACAATCACGTTGACCTATTGAAAAATTAACGATTTGAAGGTGTATCCCTGAAATCTGGCAAATTTGTTGCTTCGTGACAGAAGCGTGATATCTTAAGTTTTGTTTCGTTTCGTCTCTGTTCAACTTCTTTTCTTGTTTTTCTCTCGCGTTCACCTCCCCTTTACTTTTCAACCCTTAAGCACATTATCCCCCGAAAAAAAAGGAGAGCACTCTTCACCCTTCCTCCCCCTCCGCCCCTTCTCTTTCTCTCTGTCTCTCTGTCTCTCACCAAGTCTCTCATTTTTCCCCCCTCTTTCAATATATCGCGTATTTTTCTTTCTTTTTATTAAATGTACACGATAACAACAGAATTTTCGGTACTCTTGCACGTTAGAAACGTGGATGAGTGATTGTATATTTGAACGGCAGCCGATTATCGGCCGATTCCTTCCTTTACGCGAGTGAATGCTCCCTACGTTTAACTGGTGTCAATGTACACACAGTGTAACGTTATTGTAGCATTAGCCAGAAAGCATTTCTAAAAGAATCTTCGTCTAACTAGAATTCGACATGATGAAGAGCAGTGCTATGCTTAAGAAAGAAAGCAAAATGCGCATACGTGCTTTTCCGGTGAGTACAGCTTCTTTTACTTTTCATTTAAATTTCGTTCGTTTTATTCATTAAAATCCATATATTTCTTACTCATTTTTGCATATCTCTTTATTTCACTCATATACTTGTTAATATTAGTCTATCTGTATTTCTATATAATACACTTGTATACTTTGATAACCTGTTCTTATAAATTATATGTCAAGTTATAAAAAATGCCAATCAGATATAGAAGGAAATTTGCTTTTGTTATTTGATTCTTTATCATTAATCTGAATTTTATGTTTTTGTATATGTTAATATGTAGCAATACCATTAATTTGATATTAACAATCACAATCCGTTTGGTTTTGATATTTTCAATAATTATATGCGATTGTATTCTATGTACTCTGATAACGATGAATGTGTCAGCAGGTATTTGATTGATATAGTTGCTATAGAGGCATAAAAGACAAGCAATGATATATAAATATTGTAATGTTACTACATTTATTCATGACTTTTGATCAGTTTTGCCAATAAAGTTTGGAATTTGTGATTTTTTTGTACAAAATTTGCAATTGTATAATACTTATATTGAAAATTTTGTGTTAAATAAGATGATATTAAAAATGTGATAAAACATTTTTAATACTTAAGTTACTATATAAGATATCTGTGTATCTCTATGTGATCATGTTTTATTCTGTATGTAATTTGTTAAAAAGTATTTAAATTTTGTTTGGTTAATTTAATCAATGAAATGAATACGATGTGTAATTACTATTTGTTGTCAATATTTTTTTCAGTCTTGTTTTATGGAAATAGTAGGATAATTAACATTAACAATGTTACGATATCGATGAAGAGTATGCGATAACATAAATACCTTGAAAATTCGTAATATTAAAAGCATATGTTTACATAATGTATTCCTTAACATCTATAGTTGTGCAATTTGTTTTGTAATAAAGTTAATTTTTTAAAAATTTCTGATATTTATCTAGTTTTTAAGTTAGATATCTGGTCCCTTAGATATTTCTTATTTGACTTTTAATTTTTCTCTCTTCCAATAATAATACACGACACGACACGACACGAGAATAATAATTAAGATTACATTTTTTTACTTTTTTAGACTACTATGGATGAAAAGTATGTAGAAAGTATTTGGGCACTACTAAAAAATGCAATTCAGGAAATTCAGAAGAAAAATAATTCTGGTCTTAGCTTTGAAGAACTTTATCGGAATGCTTATACTATGGTTCTCCATAAGTATGGAGAACGTTTATATACAGGTTTAAAGGAAGTAGTAACGCATCATTTGGAAAATAAAGTACGAGAAGATGTATTGAGATCTCTCCACAATAATTTTCTTCAAACGTTAAATCAAGCTTGGAACGATCATCAGACATCGATGGTAATGATCAGAGATATTTTGATGTACATGGATAGAGTGTATGTTCAACAGAATGATGTAGACAATGTTTATAATTTGGGACTTATCATATTTAGAGATCAAGTAAGTATTTGTCAATGAAACAGAGTCATAGATTTTAAGGTAGTTACGAGTGAAAATTCAATAAATCGTTTACTTTCAGGTGGTCAGATACGGATGTGTTAGAGACCATTTACGAGAAACATTATTAGGTATGGTAGCAAGAGAAAGAAGAGGAGAAGTAGTAGATCGCATCGCCATAAAGAATGCTTGTCAAATGTTAATGTTACTTGGCATCAACAGTCGTCAAGTGTACGAAGAAGATTTTGAAAGGCCTTTTTTACAACAGAGCGCTGAATTTTATAGAGTAAGGAAGCTTGTTGTATACGTGTATCTTATGAAAAATCTTTGTAAAATTATTCATTTTGTTTTCTGCGCGTTTAGATGGAGTCTCAAAAATTTTTGGCAGAAAATAGTGCATCGGTATATATAAAAAAAGTTGAAGCTAGAATTTGCGAAGAATCTGAAAGAGCAAAACATTATTTAGACGAATCCACCGAACCACGAATAGTAGAAGTTGTAGAAGAAGAACTAATTAAAATTCATATGAGAACTATCGTTGAGGTAAATAATTATTAATTCTTCTTTAACGTTGAGTTGTAGTTTTAAGATAGTTCGTGTAATTTCTAATTTCCACGATTTCTCTTGTTGCCTCCGAAAGTCTCTATCTTATTATTATACATGCTATTGCTATTGTTTTTTTAATTACAGATGGAAAACAGTGGTGTAGTACATATGCTCAAAAACCAGAAAACTGAAGATCTCGGTTGCATGTATAAATTATTTTCAAGAGTTTCGGACGGACTACGTACAGTATGCGATTGTGTTTCTCAGTTTCTCAAGGAACAAGGACGTGCCATGGTTCAAGAGGAACACGAGTCAACAACAAATGCCGTTCTTTTTATTCAGAATTTATTGGATTTAAAAGACCGTTTTGATCATTTTCTTCATTGTTCGTTCAACAACGATAAAAATTACAAGCAAATGATTGCGTCGGACTTTGAATACTTTTTAAATTTGAACACCAAGAGTCCAGAATACCTGTCCCTCTTCATTGATGACAAGCTGAAAAAAGGTGTTAAAGGGGTTAGTTCTGTTAACTGTTGTATTCCTATAGATAAGTACTTATTATGGTAGGTAATACCGTGAAATTTTACTAAATCTATTGTATTCTAAAAAGGATTAATGCGAAACAATCATTTTTTCTTACATTTTAGCTGCCAGTTAGTAGTTAATAATTATTTAACTTGAATAACATTGATATTTCTTAATTCGTTACAGATGACAGAGCAAGAAATTGAAGGTATTTTAGACAAAACCATGGTTTTGTTTCGATTTCTCCAAGAAAAAGACGTGTTTGAACGATATTATAAACAACATTTAGCGAAACGTCTTCTCTTGAATAAATCAGTGTCCGACGATAGTGAAAAAAACATGATATCCAAACTTAAGGTAAAATTTACTCTGTTATTACCCGTTTTATTACTTTAACATAATTCATTATTATTATTATTATTATTAGTGTTTAATATGAGTGTGGATTGTTCGGTAATTTATATTATTTCAGACTGAATGTGGATGTCAATTCACGTCAAAATTAGAAGGGATGTTTAAAGATATAACAGTCAGTAATACCATCATGGATGAATTTAAGGATCATGTCCTTACATCTAATGTATGTTAATAGTTGGTACATGTAGGTAATTTTAAACAGTTTTAGATTTTGTTAAAATTCTTCTCTCATTATTACAGACAAATCTGCACGGTGTGGATATAAGTGTAAGGGTTTTAACAACTGGCTTTTGGCCAACACAGTCTGCAACTCCAAAGTGTAGTATGCCAGTAGCTCCGCGAGATGCTTTCGATGCCTTCCGACGTTTTTATCTTGCTAAACACAGTGGCCGACAACTAACGTTACAACCGCAATTAGGTTGGCGATTAATTATTTTAATTCAATAATAAATTGACTCCTTGTGTTCTTCATTTTTTATAGTTTATAATATGTACATATATGGTGGTGCAAATATTTTAGGTTCCGCGGATTTAAATGCTGTATTTCATGGACCACGAAGAGAAGAAAACAGTTGCGGCGGTCTAGATACACCATCGTCTTCAAGTTCCATTGGTAACGGAAGTGGAAGCACTAACGGTAGTATTTTAAGTCAACGTAGCAGCAGTTGTGGAAACACAAGGAAACATATAATACAAGTATCAACTTACCAAATGTGCGTTTTGATGCTGTTCAACAAAAGAGACAAATTAACGTATGAGGTCAGTTTGAATAAGAAATTCATCGTATCGTTTTTGTTTTTTTTTTTTATATTGAAATTTCAATGTTTCAAGATTATCTGTACAATGTGTGAAACGTTGCGTAGGAAATTCAAGGTGAAACCGATATTCCAGAGAGAGACTTGGTTAGAGCATTGCAATCTCTCGCAATGGGCAAAGCTACGCAAAGAGTATTGTTGAAACATCCCCGTACAAAGGAAATAGAACCTTCGCACTGTTTTTGTGTCAACGACAGCTTTACCAGTAAATTACACAGGTACTGTTTTCTCATCGTTTTCTCATTTTAATATTATTTCTTATAAAATTCTGTATAATTTTTTAAAGAGTAAAGATTCAAACGGTGGCAGCAAAAGGTGAATCAGAACCGGAAAGGAGAGAAACGCGTAATAAAGTCGATGAAGACAGAAAACACGAGATAGAAGCAGCTATTGTTCGTATTATGAAAGATAGGAAGCGCATGCCTGTATGTAACATTAATATCTCTTTATTCATAATTGCTGGAATGTTTAATCTTACCCTACGTGTCTCTCTCCCCTCTCTTTTTTTTTTTTTTTTTTTTTTTTTTTTTATAGCATAATATACTTGTAACAGAAGTAACAGAACAGTTGAAAGGCCGATTTTTACCTTCGCCCGTAATAATTAAAAAACGTATCGAAGGATTAATTGAACGAGAGTATTTGGCGCGCACGCCAGAAGATAGGTACGTGTTATTTATTTATGGTATTATTACAATTATAAGTTAATATTTATTTAGATTCGTTCGATTACAGAAAGGTGTACACGTATGTTGCTTAATGTTCGAATTCAAATATTGGATCTGTACAAACATGTAAGTAATTTGTAATAATGCGTATTTCGTTAATTGTATTTCAATGTTTCATTATATTTTGCTGACTTGTATGTTGTATCATGAGTTTTCATTGAGTAAGGATTGTTACTCTTATATAATCATGATTAAAGTTATCGTATACGAGGCAGTCTGCATCAACCATGTTAACAAATTGCTGATTTTACATTCCATCCTTGATGATCTTTCTTCTTTTCTTTTTTTTTTTTAAATTTTATTTTATTTTATTTTTTATTTACATCGTCTTATTTGAAATGAGTTAGAGTCGAATAATTTTCTACTTAGCTATAAACAAAATTTAAAAGTGAAGAAGCTTTACAAGAAAAAAGGTTAATAAGGTCAAGTTGAAGCTGATTGATGTCGATTGCCTCACTGTTCAGAAAGAATACCTAGATACGTTTCATAATTGAATAGTTTGGTGGAAAAGGTTAATGTAAAGGTAATATTTATACTTTCAAGTGTAAAGTGAAAATTTATAAATATGTTCCATAATATAGTTCACATTTTCTTTGTTCCGTTTACATAATTAAAATTTAGTTATCGTTTAATTAAAGATAGATTTTGTTTAATGATAAATTGGAAAGTAAGTAATACCAAATCGCTAAAATTGATTCACTCATTGAGCGTATTACAATTAAGAAATTTTTTTACACTTGTAAAACTGCGATTAACTACAATCATATACAATTTAGACGAATACACCGTAAATTTCATAAAAGTATTGATGTTATACAGCGATTTTATTTATACTCGTGGTTATCTATTATATGTGTACATAAGTAATGTGAGTGTATTATCTAAGAATATATTTGCCCCATTTTCAATATTCGATTATTTTATTTGAAATATATTCCATGTCCTTGTTCAAAATTGATCATATTCCTTTTTCAGAAATAAAATAAAATTAAAGAAAAAGTTTAGTACATTGTTTACCAAGTTTCACCTCTTCCACCTAGCTCATCAATTATTTTCTTACATACAGATTAATCAAATTCTTCGTTAAATCGCAGAATATTTATTGTAGTATGCCAAAAGTGGAACCTACGAGTCTATAACAGATGCGGAATTTACTGATGAAATTAAAAAAGTGCGCGGATGAGCTTATAGAAAGTTGAAGAACGTAATAAAAAGAATGAAAGTTATGATTATAAACTATTATTATGGGCTCGTGTGTTGAAAGATGGAAAAAAAATGTGAAATGCATCATATTTTTATTTTCATTTATATCTTTATTTATTAATATAGAGATTTAATATTTAAACAAACGGTTTTACCCTTTCTTACGCAAACTGAATAAAAATAAAACCCTGCAAAAGTAGTCCTTTGTTTCAATACGTTTTAAATACAAAGCATCATATTGATCCTATCCTTTATATTCCATTTACTAGTATTCAATACAACCGAGTTTTTCGTATTCAAGTACCCACTTGTACATATGTAATAGTGTGGAAAGATAAGTTTCGAGTTGAACATTTCGGAATATTACAGAATTTTCATATTATTTTTCCTACACAATATTACATATATTGTATGAAGTAACAAATCAATAAAGATATAAACTTAATTTTTTCTAAATTTAAAATCTATTAAATGCTTCAATATTACATTTGAAAAAAACAAATACATCCGCTATGTATTATAACGTAATTTTCAATATGAATCGTTCACATATAAAAATTGAATTCAATTTTCAAAACGGCGCTAAGAAGAAAGTGTTGCTATTGTTTTAATAATTACATAAACTTATTTACATTCACATTTGTTTACGAGCTTAAGTGATACGCATAAAAATTCTTCTACAATTTTTGAGGAATTAACATCATGATAATGCACCCATAGCATTGGAAGAAAAATGCATTACTGTAGAAACTTACGATTTTTACTCCAACACAAAAAGAATAAATGACATTTTGTTTTTTCCTCCTTTTCTTTCCTTCGAATTATATGGATTATAACCACGCAACGACTTTAAATACAAATCGTATACAATATCATACAGTTAGTTTATTATATTTTACTTTGTTCTGAAAAATTTGTTAATCCACTTTTATAAACATTACAATTTGCACATATTTATATCATTGTCGGTAGTTAACCAATACTGTACACATGTATCTCAACTTGTTTTCATGTAACAGTTAAGTCTATGCTGGTTTCAATTAAATTATCTGACAGGTGGCAGGCATCTTGGTGAATAAAATCGGTCACCCGTGGTTATTCGTTAGATGATGATGACTCCCGCCTTTTTTCTGCGTGTTTTTTCGTGAACTCTTCAGCGTTTTTTAAAAATTTTTTTCTATCCTTTAGAAACTCTTCGGCAAGGTCTGCTCTCAACGGATGTTCAGGCTCTGGATCATTTACTAATGCTATCAATGCTTGTACAACTGAAAACAAGTCCATATTTGTTGTTTATTCTTTTATTTTAATAACAGCAAATTTAAATATAATTTACCTTGATCTGTTTTCGTAGCTGGTTTCCAATTTTCAGCGCTGATAATTGGTAAGCATACTTGTCCCTTTTCATCAACATTCGGATGATATATTTTAGTTTTAAAGTTTATCTTTGGAGGTTTAAAAGGATATTCTGCAGGAAAGTTTATCTCAATTCTAAATGCTCCCTTATTATATGGTGGATTATCCTAAAGCACGTTAACATATATGATACAAATTTCCTAATTATAATTAATAATAATACCATTATGCTACCGTATCAATTTTAAACATAAGATACATAATATTTACAGAAACGAAATGTGCATTACTGTATACAACTAACTGTATATATATCTTTAAAAATAAGATTAGGTTAGGTTGGATTAAATTATATCAGTAAAACTGAATGATACACTGGAACATACCGGCAGTATAAGGCCTTGCCAAGTAAGAATATTTGACTCATCTACTTGAATATTTGTAAAATTTTTCATTGCTGAAGCTCTTAAATCACCAAGTTCCTAAAAGAAGAAAATGATCATTATTGGAACTGTTAGTACAAATCTAATTATTGAATGAACATTCTTCGAAATAGCTACAAAATATTTAACGATGATTTCGAAAGAATTATAAAGAATTTATATTAATAACAATAAAAATGTTAACGTCCTGTATCTTCCTGAAAAAGTTCGATATCATGAAAAAGGATACCGTGAAACCTATTCCTGTTAATCACCTAGCAATTATAAATAATATTTCACAATGTTTAATGCGTACTGATTTGATTAGATACACTTTTCGACTGTCAAAATCTTTGATTTACCTTTTGCAATCTTCTCGTAGCTGCCATTTTGAAAATAAATTTCACTAAAAGTAGCAAAACTTCTCAACTTCTTGATGGCTTCGCAGCTATTTCGCCTTTGAAAATACCCTAGTATTTTTTGTAGAAATCTTTAGAAAACAAAGTTCTACAAATTTCTATTTATTGTGTATCCTGTTTTACAACACGGCTACCTCATTAATACAAATATAGATATTTATTATTGGTCACGAATGTGAATTGCAAACCATCCATTCGTTTGGTTGTACGCTTGCGTGCATGCATGCGTGAGCGCATGCATATTGTATGCAAGTACATATGTCATGTGTGCAGGCACACTTACTAAACCAATTGCTTCGTTAGAGTTGCAGTCAACGTTGTTGTTTGAGTCCAAAAGCTGTTCTCAGCGATCTTTACAGCTGGAATTGATTTAATTTGCAAATTACGTATATATGTATGTAAGTTAGAACAGTGTCTACAGATCTAAGAATAGACGTGCCTTTGTTTTCAAGAAGTTTTGAATTTGTGCCCTAACAACGAACCTCATCTGCACTATACCAGTATAAAAATGTGAAATACTTCGCACCGCAACGGTGAGAAGGGATTACTTCGATATATCATCGTTCTCAGATGAAGGCTTCATTATGAAGCCCTTGCTGGCACCTTGCGTTGATTATAATTCAATTGCAAAATTAAATTTCCCGCCAAAGTATAGGGAGTCTACGATTCGACTGTAGCGCCATCTATAAGGAAATGGCTGAAACTACTCAACAACTTACCGACCAGGTTTCGGGAAGGCCAGCGATGCTAGCGCCATCTATCAAAAAGTCGTGGAAACTGCTCGACGAGTAGTTTCCGCAAAGCCCCGACAGATGGCGCCACAATCGAACCGTATACTCCCTATCCTTTAGCGGGAAATTTAATTTTGCAATTGAATTAATAATTAACGCCAGCAAGGGTTTCATAATAAAGCCAAGGAATGCAGAGATATACAGAAAACAGGAATGCAAGGGATGCAGCAGCGACTACAGATGTGGAAGTCTGGACATGCCTCAGTCAAAAGCAGCATGAAACTGAACAATTGTTATTGTAACAAGTAAATATTTCATATTTATTTTTACACATCAAATGAAAAATACAAAAAAAAAAATTAATTACTTTCCGTTTGATAGTAAGATAACTGTACTACAGATATACATGTATGAATGAACATTTTCTTTATTATGAGTGTAAATTTGTTTTGTCCTGTATTGATCAAAAACACATAGTCATGATTATATAAATTAACAAATTTTAATAATAATTTATTACAAACATGTACCTATATTGTACAATAATTTCATAGACAATATTTATTCCCAGTTATTTATTATTTTTTTGTCTCACAAGGCTCAACCCTTTATTCCTTACATCCCTGCACTCCTTACAACCCTGCATTCCTTACATCCCTGCATTCCTTGCATCCCTGCATTCCATACATCCCTGCATTCCTTACATGTCTGCATCCCTTACATCTCTGTACCCTTTATATCTCTGTATCCCTTACACTCCTGAATCCTCCCTGTACCTCTTGTATCCTTTCAGCCCTTATAATAAATATATTAATAAAATATTCATGGCCACTGGTTCGAGTAAAGGTAAGTAAAATCTCGTAAAAAATAATTTTTATTTAAATTTTTGCAAAATTTTTAGGTCTTATATTTCGCTAGATCCGGTCATACCCATCACTATTCCGAACAAGCAAGTTTCACGATTTGTTCGTTTCTAGGTCTTATATTTCGCTAGATCCGGTCATACCCATCACTCTTCCGAACAAGCGAGTTTCAGGATTTGTTCGTTTTTAGGTCTTATATTTCGCTAGTTGCTTGGGGTCCCTGACATCCCAATGGCAAACTATCGGTATGTAGTGTCACCGGTACCTCGGGGTCTCAGGTACCCCGAATGCCGTAGTGTCGGTGAGTAGAGTGTCGCCGGTGCTTTGGGGTCCTTGACACCCCAGGATGATATATCGGTATGCAAACAGTGTCACTGGTGCTTCGGGGTCCCTGGCACCCCGGATGCTATATTATTGGTATGCAAAGATAGTCACCTGCGTTTAGGGGTCCTTAATACCCCAATATGATATCAGGTCGGTGCGCAGAGGGTGTCATTAACGCAGTGGGGTCCCTAACACCCCTGGATGATATCAGGTCCGTATGAAGAGGGCACAGCCAGTATAATTTTTTTCCAGAGTTTATTTAATTTACTTCATTTACTTTTTTTGCTTATTAAATAAGTTCATCGAAGGGGAATAACATTTATGATAATATCCTTCTTCTGGGTCTCAGCCGAGTACTCCATTTATTTTACTTTCTCCAGTTATTTATATAATTTTATCCCTCATTATAGGCCAAGGCCATCACAGTATCCCTTACATCCCTGCATTCCTTTCATCCCAGCATTCCTTACATTCTTTTCATCCCTACATTATTATCATCCTTACATTCTTTTCATCCATACATTCTTTCCATCCCTACATTATTATCATCCCTACATTCTTTACATCCATACATTCTTTTCATCCCTACATTCTCTTCATCCCTCCATTCTCTTCATCCCTCCATTCTCTTCATCCCTTACATCCCTACATTCTTTTCATCCCGTACATCCCTACATTCTCTTCATCCCTCCATTCACTTCATCCCTTACATCCCTACATTCTCTTCATCCCTCCACTCACTTCATCCCTTACATCCCTACATTCTTTTCATCCCTACATTCTCTTCATCCCTTACATCCTTACATTCTTTTCATCCCTACATTCTCTTCATCCCTTACATCCCTACATTTTTTTCATCCCTACATGCCTTTCATCCTTACATTCCTTATATCTCTGCATCCCTTATAATAAATATATTAACAAGACTGCTTTAAGTAAAGGTAAGTAAAGGTAAGTTAGTTCCTTTTTTCGGCACCAGAGGGCGCTGATTCGATGTCGAGATTTTAGTTCACATTTTTGCCGCCAGAGGGCCAAAATCTCGGCTTGATTTAGTTCCTTTTTCGAAAACCAGATGGCGCGGCTTCGAGGTCGAGATTTTAGTTCACATTTTTGCCGCGAGAGGGCCAAAATCTCGGCTTGATTTAGTTCCTTTTCCGAAAACCAGATGGCGCTGCTTTGAGGTCGAGATTTTAGTTCACATTTTTGCCGCCAGAGGGCCAAAATCTCGGCTTGATTTAGTTCCTTTTTCGAAAACCAGATGGCGCTGCTTCGAGGTCGAGATTTTAGTTCACACTTTTGCCGCTAGAGGGCCAAAATCGCCGCTTGATTTAGTTCCTTTTTCGAAAACCAGATGGCGCTGATTCGAGGTCGAAATTTTAGTTCACATTTTTCCCGCCAGAGGGCCAAAATTTGGACAAGCTTTCGTTCGTTTTTTTGCCGCCAGAGGGCGCTATAATGGGATGCTTACAAAACAGATGTAAGAATGTAAGGAATGCAGGGATGTAAGGAATGCGGGGATGCAAGGAGTGCAGGGATGTAAGGAATGCGGGGGTGTAAGGGATGGGGGCATGTAAGGAGTGCGAGGATGTAAGGAATGCGGGGATGTATGGAGTGCGGGGATGTAAGGAATGCGGGGATGTAAGGAATGCGGGGATGTAAGGGATAGGGGGATGTAAGGAGTGCGGGGATGCAAGGAGTGCAGGGATGCAAGGAGTGCAGGGGTGCAATGAGTGCAAGGATGCAAGGAGTGCAGGGATGCAAGGAGTGCAAGGATGCAAGGAGTGCAGGGATGTAAGGAATGCGGGGGTGTAAGGGATGGCGGCATGTAAGGAGTGCGGGGATGTAAGGAGTGCGGGGATGTAAGGAATGCGGGGATGTAAGGAATGCAGAGATGTAAGGAATGCAGGGATGTAAGGAGTGCAGGGATGTAAGGAAAGCAGAGGTGTAAGGAGTGCAGGGATGTAAGGAAAGCAGAGGTGTAAACGATTTTTTTTTTTTTTTTAACGTGGGGAAATCTTACATAAGACCCCCAGCCGACCCGTGCGGGCGGGCGGCGGGGAAATGTCAGATTCTTACTGACTAAAACCCCACGGCGACCAACACTGGCGCTAATCATGTGGTTATCATTCAACGAACGTCTTGAAGTTAATGTAAATAATCTTTGCTTTGAATTTTTAACAAAAATTTGATGCTCGATCGATAGCGTGGTACTATCATTGTAAGAGTACTTACGTACAGTAAAACCTGGATAAATGCAACGAAAGAATGCTTGGATAAGTGCAACATCGCTATCCCCTCCACTTGGGGGGATCCCCCTAGACGAACCGAGCCGCTCGACGAGAAAACCGTGTAATATGATCCGACCGTAATATCGGTGTGACTAATACTAATTGAACGATAAAACTTTTTTATTTTTAACTTTTTCTTAATGAAACTTTTACTAACGCATTTGTGAGATTTTTCTGATTAAAATGACACCAAACATGATATAGTTTGAATTGTATTTATAAACAATAGTAATAGAATAAACAACATAGAATTGACACCACGACTGAATATAAATGATGTCGGCTGAATACAAAAGATGTATACGGACACAGAATTGGCATGTCGGCTGAATACAAAACATGTGTACGGACACAGAATCGGCATGTCGGCTGAATACAAAACATGTGTACGGACGCAGAATCGACACCTCGCTTGGATAAATGCAACATTAAATGCCCAGAATCGACACCTCGCTTCGATAAATGCAACATTAAATGCCCAGAATCGCCACCTTGCTTCGATAAATGCAACATTAAATGCCCAGAATCGCCACCTTGCCTGGATAAATGAAACCTTTGAAACCAGAGCCGACACCGCGACTGGTTTTGATTTCGATCTCTGTTGCTTTTCGCCAACCTTTAACATCAATTTTAGCAAGTAATTATAATTCAAACTATATCGTGTTTGGTATCATTTTAATAAGAAAAATGTCACTAATCCGCTGGTAAAAGTTTCATTAAAAAAAAGTCAAAAATAAAAAAGTTTTATAGTTGAATTAGTATTAGTCACACCGATACGTTTCGGCTCTTTCCTTTCATCATCGGACCTCTCTCTTTCCGTCACTGCCTGTCCCTTTCTACGTTCACGCTTGGCTGGTCGTCGCGTGTAACCCGAGATTCGACACCTCGCTTGGATAAATGCAACCACTGGGTCCCAATCTTGGTTGCATTTATCCAGGTTTTACTGTATTTAACATTTTTCTGCCTTGTTTTCAAGCATGCGTACAACGTCTCAGCGTCACTCACAGCATGTTTCCGCGTTATTAAAAGGAAGGATAGTTTGACAAACTTGTATCACTTGATGCACTTTGGTAAATAAATCATTTGAAAAAAGCAGCTGAATTATTATTTAATTCATACAATATCATTTCTAGGTTATTTCTTTTCTCAGCTATTTCATTTTAGTTATTCGTTTCTCATTCGTATCTTACATATGTACTATAAAGCGCAAACACTAATCTATAACTGCTTTGGGGTCCCTGACACCCCTCGATGAATCTGGTCTTATGAAGAGGCACAACCAGTATAATAATCGTCCTCTAATTTCTTCCGGATTTATTTTTTCTGCTTATTAACAAGCTCATCAAAGAGGAATAAAATTAGCCTTCGAAAACAACGGCATTTCTAGTCTTGTTGGATCTGTAGTCTCTGCCTATCTTCATCTTGGGGTGTCTGAAACCCTATGGATATTAATCCCTCGAAAACAAAGATATGTCAAGTCTTTTGTATCTGTAGTCACTGTTATAACTTGCTGTTTTCAAATTTATATGTAAGTAATTTTAGAATAACATTACAGTAAAAAAATATAAACTCCAAAATGAATGGTGTTAAAACAATAACGCTTAAATTATTAAGAACATATGGTACTAAATCTACATTCGAATCTGCTGGAATCCGAAAGAAGGTAGAATTAATAAAAGAAGAAAGACATTCTAGAATCAATTTTGAAGATTTTGGTGAAAATGACCCTGAAATATATGAGTCTGAGTTTGAAGAGGTAGCTGAATTGGATGCAATGCGGGAAAGGTACATATAGGAAGTATTAAATTACAATGTAGCGTTTGTATACTGCATATATTTAAAGGTATCAATTCATATCTTCGAATATTTTAGGAAAGTAGAGAGAAATAAGGAATTACTGCCATATCATATTGTTAAAAGTAAATATTTTAAAGAAGTAGAGTCAAAGTTTCTTACGTACAGTGAAAGAGATCAAATAAAGACGCTACATCAGAGTGATCCAACTGAGTGGACACCAGAAAAGTTAAGTGAGAGTTTTCCAGCTTTACCTGGAACTATAAAAAAGGTTTTAACATCAAATTGGCAACCAAAATCAGTAGAAAGAATAATAAATTATGATAATGCAGTTATTGAAAATTGGAAGAATTTTAAAACTGGCAAGTTAACTGTGAATCCTGCTTTGAGAGAACATCTGATGAAATTCAGAAATAGAAAGATCAGCTTACTTGATAGAAAAGCACTCGAAAGATTTGTACCTTGTCCTATAGTACTTCCAAAACCAAAAACTAATTATTTTTCATCTATTGTAAAAGAAAGTGTTGATAATACTCCACAAAAGATTGAAAGAAAACTTATCACAGATAGAAAGAAAGTTGTAGAGGTACACATGGAAGAAGGTAACAAGGTTGATGAAATGGATCTTAAAACAAGAAGATGCGAGGATAGAAAGGAAGGGAAATTAATTTTTACTGAATTTATGAAAAAGAAGTTGAATGATCTGGATGGGACTTCTCGAGAAGAAAAGGAAGTGCTATTAAGTACTTATAGGAAACACATAGAATCCACAAGTTCAGAAGATATAAATTCTAACATGTTGGACAATGCCACGAAACATGTTACAAAACATGAAAAGAGTAATAGCGTTACGAAAAATACGTCGAATGAAAATACCTTAGTAGTTAAAAATGAAACTCAGAACCAAGTAATAGCAGAAACCTATGTTGAACATAAAGGTTTAGACACTTATGTTAAAGAAAGAATTTCATTTATGGATACAAACTTTGATTATGCAAAACGTATAAAAATTCCTAAAAACGCATTTAAGGAAGGTATGACATATAGGATAAAGGATTGTTATTACGATGATGATGGAGAATTTTTATACAGGATACCCGGATTAAGGTCTTAATTGGCTCTTAAGCTTACAAAACATGTTGTACATAAGTATTTTTAAAATTATGTATATTAAGAGTATTCTATACTTCTGATTTTATATAGATATATGAACGTTCATAATTATAATGTAATCTTTAATTAACAAGTATTAGAATAAATACACACATGTATACATGTAGCAATACTGGTATTTCAATAATAAACTGTAACAAAGTTGTATTTTATAAAATGCCGTCCTAAAGGTTTTTTAAAATTCGATTGTTGCGCCATCTATACAGAAACGGCTGAAACTACTCAACAATTTACCGACCATGTTTCGGGAACGCGGGCGACACCAGCGCCACCTATCGGGATGTCGCGGAAACTACTCGTCGAACAGTTTCCACGACTTTTTGATAGATGGCGCTAGCGTCGTCGGCGTTCCCGAAACCTGGTCGGTAAGTTGTTGAGTAGTTTCAGCCATATTCGTATAGATGGCGCCACAGTCGAATCGTAGAATCCCTATCCTTTGGCGGAAAATTTAATTTTGCAATTAAATTATAATCAACGCGAGAAGCCAGTAAGGGCTTCATAATGAAGCCTTTATCTGAGAACAGTGATATATCAAAGTAATCTGCTCTTACCGCCAACCTACGATAGACTGTTACCGTGCAAAGTGTTTCACATTTTTATACGAGGATGTAGTATTATCCAGTATTATTTGCTATAACGCATCTGTTTTATTCAAAACGCGCGTTTAATACGAAAAAGTTTCGTACTATTTATTCTTCACTGAATTTTACAATTACAGTTACAATTACAATTACAATTACAATTCTTATGCAGGAAAAATATTAAAATTAAGATATGAGAAAGTATTGTTTATCAAGTATATTTATTTTTTCTGTCGTGAAAGACATTAAAAAAATATGTACACTTCTGTTGAAATAAATTATGCTTTAAAAAGTTGTCGATGATTTGCACTGTGTAATCACTTTGACAAAAATATTCTGGAACCTATTCCCTCCAACAGGCAACTAGATTATTGTATAAGGCAATAAACCTTCTTTTAAATATGATTCTTGTGTAGGACGCTAGCCCTATATAATGTATTAACGGTTCTTAATTATTTCCTGATCAATATACACAGCTCGGTAAGTTGACAATTGCCAAAACATATAATATGAATAAAGCATGTCTGTTTTACAACAGTTAAAACATTATTATATAACCACTATGTTCTTAAGAGGTATCTGCGGCGATTGATCACGATTTGAACAGTGTAAAATATTTTACAAATTTACCAGTAGAATGTAAACTTTGAAGCAACTGCATTCGTTTTATTTTTTTATTTTCGCTAATTCGAATACGATCATCAAGATAGATTCGACACTAATGTATACATGTATGTATGTATGTATGTACGCAAGTGGTTACACGCAGTCTAGATTATCCACCGGATACTTTTCTGAAAATGAAATCGCATACAATATCCTTGGGTTCCTCCAAAGGTGAACTCGATGATGTAAGAGTCAGAATAAAACGTTTTAACATTTGTTGAATGTGTAATTTTTTAAAAACAGAAAAAAATTTGTCGATCACGTAACTTGTACAAGGTACAGCTTTAGATGCTGTTAGGTATATTTCGTCTAAATTGTTTAAAATAGGAAGTAAATGGATGCGCAAAGGCAGCCAGCTGCCAAAAGAATGCGTCTTCAGCACCTCGTAACAATCGTAACAATTAGCTCTGCCGTGCTATAAACGTCGTTGTTATCACGTGCGAAGAAATTTTCCTCTCCTTTTGAATCGTTCCTCTAGATATCCTGGAATCTGAAAAGAGTTTGATAAAAGGGCCGTTACAATTGTCTCCATAAAGGTCCAGCTAGATTAAGCGGCAGCTTCTAAATTACTACATACATCTACAGAGAAAGAATAAAAAACAGTAATTTGCCAGTGCAATTTATCAAGCAGATTTTTCTTAACGATAAATCTTATGGCTACGTCGTACCGTTGAAAGACACACATAACAACACGAATACAATACACAACTTTGTTTTTTGCTCTACGTTTTACAACACTTATTTACTACCAACAATTTACATTTATACAAACAGGTAAATATTTACCATTCAGGGTATTCAGGATTTATTTAACAACAAAAATTAATTGTAAATAATTCTATTTACAATTCTTGCTTGAGTGTTTCTTTTTACGTATTCCCGTAACTTGCTACTCAACAAGCTACTAACATTTATTTATACAAAACGATCACTACTTTATACGGATAAATACGTATAAATACATGCGTGCGTGGTACGACGTCTTAGATTGTGTACTTGGACTTATTTAACAAAGAAATGCATGCGGCGCTAATTTTTCTTATAATTTACAAAGCTTGATAAGTGGAAAAAGAACAGACAACTTAGATTAAAATTAGACAACATTAGATTAAAATTAAATACGAGAAAATCGTCCTAATCCACTAATGGTCAGGCACTCTGGGAACATTAAAACATAAAAGAGCGTAAGGAATTTAGGTGTTTTATTCAATGAATAGCGAAGTAGATAGGATTGTCTCGATTATATCTTTTTTTCTCTTTTTCTATTCAGCAAAACTATCATACGCGTAGGATAATATTTACAGGGTAGAAAAACATTTATACAATTTGAATCATTGCTACCTTTGGTTTCGGTCGATGTGTGTCCACCGCATCAATAGGTAACCTTATGTGTTCCACTTTACAACCATAAGCAACCGGCGTTAGTTTGATAATAGTATGCAACGGCACTTGTAAATATGGCAATTCATCTATAACGGAAAAAAAAAAGGTAATTTTCATCAATTAAAAAAAGGACAGAGTAGAATGCTCTGTACGTGGTAGAGTTTATTAAGTAAGGCTTCTTTAAATAAAACTTCCAATGGATTGCGTAAAATTAACGCTAATCAAGTTAAGTAAACTACGCGGAATTTGTGGTAATTAAATTATGTAAAGAAGAATACGAGGGTATCTTGAACTTCCATTGCGCATACAGCTACGTCATCCACATCTTGATCTCTATTTTCCTATTTAATTTTGAAATGTCGAAGGTTACGCAACTTGATCAATTTAATATTCCTGATTCGCATTTACGTACATGCATCTTTTATGCAACGTAAATGAATTCTTTTTCTCATACATTATGTTTATGTAATAACATAAAAAAAGGAAAAGGAAAAGAAAAAGTACAAAGTCAAAAAAATAGGTGTGAAATATGAATACTTACCCGCACTTTTATCTAAAAAGTAAGCGAGTAGACATCGCAAAACCGCTTGATGAGTAACCACCAAGACATTACCCTGTCGTTCTAACTCCATGATTACTGGTTCCAACCGCGCAACCAAATCTTCGTAACTCTCTCCTCTTGGATAACGATACGAGAATTTGTTTTGATCTCTAGCAGCAAAATCTGTTGGATACTTCTCCGCGATTTCTTCATAAGTCATTTCTTCGCAGATACCCTAAGGAACGGAATGTTTTAATCTTTAAAATAACGTCTGTTATGTCATTTCACAGACGTGTTTTGTGTCATGTCTTTTATTACCGCATCGATCTCATTTAGCGCTTTCCACCTTTCCTGAGGTACGTTTACGTCGTTCGCCGTCTGTATGGTCCTCTTCAGCCAGCTGGTCCACACTCTCAAACCCTGTAAACAGAACAGTTTCATTCTTTTCCTTCCAAGAGAATGTGTTTTTTTCTCTTTCACCTATATGTATAGTAACTCTCCTCACCTGTATATCCTGGTTAGTGATATAAGTAGCCAATGCTTTGGCGTATTCCCAGCCTCTTTCGCTCAACTCCGAGTCCCCGCCGATCTTACCTTCGAGGTTCATCACGCTTTCGCCGTGCCTAGTCAAATAGATCGTACGTGGCACTATGTGGATGTTCATAAGGTAATAAACTATCCTACTTTGTATGTGACCCTCGTGTTTGTGGACCAGTACTTTCTCCCCTGTGTTGTAGATCTTCATAAAGGAGAGATCGCTTTCCTGATTCTCGTCCAGCGGCTGGTACTTCTCTTGATAGTGTTCGATTCTTAACATGAAGTCAGCCAACACTTCTTCCTTGTTCATATTCGCATAATCTGGACTACTCACTTTCACCTGAAATAATTAATTCGTTAAAATTAGTCATCTATTAAACTTAATGGGTATATGTAGAGGTATATTCAGGTGCATTTCCATACTTCCATGATATTCTGTTCAACGATCTCCGGGTCGTTGCAGACGGACTCGACGAAGAATAGCTTGAAACCCATTTTCTCGACAACGATATTCCTGATTAGTTGACGCCTCTCTATCGTGGAATTGGTCGCGTCAAATACGGCTACCTCACCGTCACCGCTCTCCAACCATTGACAAACATCCTTAAGAGCATCCATTGCACACTGGGTACGTATCGCCATCGCTTTTATGTTATCAGGACGGAAAAACTCATGGCATTGATACGCGGTAGTTGCATGCCGCCTGTACTCTCCGAGATTGAACACCTTCGTATTTATACCGATCCAATTCAGGTATCTGCACAATTTCTTGGATATGTAAGTCTTGCCGCGAGCTGGCAGCCCAACCATCGCGATCACATGGGGCTTATTTACGAAGTTTGCTCGTTCACCTGAAAACAAAAAAAAAACAAATGTCAATTCTAGGTTTTTCATTGTTAAACACAATCGTTGTTATCAGTCGCTTCTCGTCCAAAAGCTACAAAAAATTATATTACCAACAATATGATGTTCACTTCGAAATCTAATTGTAAGATCCATGTCAATTTAAAAATTCCTTTTCGAAGTGATTGCACCGATAATCTAGTTATTGTTATTTCCGCACAACGCTACGGTTAACCGGTTCATAACAACATGGACCTCGTATCGCGTTTATCGCGTGAACGCAACTTGCTTTTTATTTATCTTTACATTATATATACATACATACATATATGTATATGTATACAAGCACACACACATAATGTAGATATATCTTTTTATGTTTATCTTTATTGCTTTTTTCTATCATACTGATAGCTCCCTTCCACGGTCGTATATTTGCTTTTAGCATGAAATAATTTCATTAAGATATTCTATATAAACGTAATGTCGTAAAAACTGAACAAATATATTAAATTAAAATTTATGTCCGTGTTGCAACACAACCGCTCAACCTGCCTTAGATTTATAGACGATCAGAATAAATTAGCTGTTCAAAGAAATTTACGCGATTCCTTCTAGACACTATTAATAAATACATACTTGCCAATGTTCGCTAATTTATTTAAATCTTGTGATTAATCGAATTTGATTCTGAGGTAAAATGAATCGAATCGAATCGAATCGAATCGAATCGAATCGATTCGAATCGATTCAAATTGTAAATCAAATGCGCGCGCAGATTTCGATCAGATAAAAGATATCACGAGTAGTAGTAGCATGCTTGTGTAAATCGAATTTCTTTTTTTAATGCTAATATTTTATTATCTGTTATTATTTGCATCGTTTTTTAATTGCAGTCTAATCGTTTAAGATTAATTTTATCGCTTAGCTGGTGGTAATAATCGAGCAAAGACCAAGGTACAAGCAATGGTAAAAACGTTCACACGAACCGTATAAAATTATATACATAAAGATATATGTTTCTATGCAACCAAACTATTAATACTGAAGATTAATCATATATGATCAAGGTCAACAATAAAGATCATTTTTATGGTGTCAGATACAATTTAATACCTATATCGATTGCTTCCGTACTGCTATAAAAATCAGTCATTTAATATAATCCTTTCGTACATATTACCAATCATGTCGTTTAGGTTACACGCGATCCGAGATGTTACACCTTTTCAGGTTATGTTTCTGAATAGTGATTACACGATGGAGTAGCGCGCATGAAGAAAAATTACATTTTTTTATAAAAATAACAATTTCAAACGATTTTGTATCGAAACATATCGATAAATAATAATTCATGTTATACGATCAATTGAAATTTTATATTCGATTGTGTTAGAAAATTTGATAGGTATTCTATTCCATGTGAGAAGACAAAGTGTAAAAAAGTAAAAAAGAATATATAACAGTATCAGAACCGAATATTCCAACTTAATTTTTAGATATTCATTTCAGGGAAATCACTAAATATTTATAAATGTCTTACCTCGAATGGGAAAGGGTTTTGTTTGAATGGTGTCCGAGCTCGGTGGCGTATAATGCATTTCGATTTTTGGATCAGTCATTCTACGACACTACGTGAATCTTCTTTCCTCGATTATAACTCTATCTTTTCGACAGTTATTTCACTAAAGTTTTCTTATGAAGTAAAAGAACACAAATTTTTAAGTCTCACCAACAGTCCCGCACACACCACGTATATGTCATTCATTAAGCACACATGGAAATTTGTCTTGGTAATCCTCACTGTCACTGCGGTTCTATCCTATAATTCATATTTATGAAACGTGATCATGTTAATTTGGCATTATCGTAGAACCGCCACGAGAAAGCCAGGAAAAATATTGTAATGGTCGTCAGCAAAAGTCTACTGTGGTAGCATACACATACACACAGAGATAGAAAGAGAAAGAGTGAGAGAGTGAATGAAAGGGGAAGAGAGACGTAAGGGCAACGCACACCTACCGCTACGCCGGAAAAATTCGAACTTTAGTACGCGCCGCACTACGTATAAGCCTCGAATCTTAAAACGATTATTATTGCGTACGGATTGTGGTGCGGGGAAATCTTCTTACCAGTAACTCTCATTGCGTGGCTCCGTTTTCTTCTCTAAAAGAAACTTGGAACGATTTTCGATTTTCGTAGAAAATATTGAACATCCATTTTCCGAATCGAATGTGTCTTTCTCGGACAGAAATTATTCTTTCAAAAAACAACACTTCCTTCTTACCTACAAAAATTTATTACCAGTTCGAATCAGATTTTTAACAAACACCACTGTTTATATGAAATACCTCCGACCAGTCCTTAGTCCCGAGAATGATCACGCGACTTCTCCTGACGTCACTTTATTCCTTTCTAACTAACTCTTTCTGGTTTAAGTTGAAAAAATGGGAGGCAACTTTTATAAGTTTCTTACAAGTTAAATTTGATAAATATGAATGTATTTTGTAAAAAATTAGAAACACGATAAAGCCCCGCTAAATACTTTTGTTATTTATTTCATCGACCAATAAAAAACACCGTAAGTAAAAAGTAACGAATAGGAATGCGTGATTCTGAAAAAGTTACTAGTTAACCCTTTATTGTTTATTTCAAAAAGTTTCAAAAGAAATATTCTTTCTTTTTTTAATTATATTAACCCGATTCATCTTACATCTGATTTTTTGTAAGTAAGTATATACTTACATACGTTACAGAAATTTCTATGTTCGGAACGTTACCGACCGGTTTTCGTCGGAAAGGAAGGTCGCGTCGTTCCCTTCGCGAACGTGATAAAAAATGTTGAGAGCGTTCTTCCGTATAACTTTTGTAAATATATGTATACATATATATCAGAGTTAATTCTTTCTTGTGTCGTCCAAATAAAAATGAACTACAGTACATAACAATTTATTGAAAATTGTTGAAATGTATCATACTAAATTTCTATTAGTTTTTGTTTAGAATTTACAAGGAAATAGATTTCATGTATACCGGCAGTACAGTTTTTCTAACCTATTAAGCAAAAAAAAAAAATCTATAACTGTTTATTATTATAATTTTTCATTAGTGTGTCATACAAAATTTGTCGAGATGACTTACTTTGTAACCAGGACATTTTCATTTCAATGTAAATGTCATATTAATTACTACAAATGTAATTTGTATACACATAAATATTAAGTAGTTTATATTTTGTTATAGTGAGGAAGGGAAGGAATGTTCTAAAACCATTGGTTACATGTTTTCCTAGGCACCCACTATCGACAAAACTTGAACCTCAGCAAGAAACTGCAGATGGTAAAAGTATCCTCATATTTATTACGTATGAAATGTGCATATTTAATATTTATGCGTTCAATGTATTAGTTTCAGACATTATAAAAGAAGAAAATCCTTTGGATCATTCAGATTTTTTTCGTGTTCATAATATGTTTACAGTTCAGGACTTATTTAACGCAAGAGTACATTTTGGTCATAAGGAAGGTTCCTTGGATGATCGTATGAAGCCTTTTATATTTGGCTCAAGACTAGGACACTTAATAATTGATTTAGATCAAACTGCAGAGTTGTTACGACAAGCGTTAAATATTGCTGCTCATATAGCATTTAGAGGTGGAATCATATTGTTCATAGCAAAAAATCCTCAAATTGCTTATTTAGTAGAACGGACTGCAAAAGAATGTAAGGAATACGCGCATACTAGAAAGTGGAAACATGGAATATTTACAAATTCTGAAACTCAATTTGGAGCAATTACTAGATTACCAGATTTGTGCATATTTCTTAATACTATGGAATCTGTCGTTCACCAACACGTAGCAGTGGTACATTCGGCCAAAATGACTATACCTACAATTGGCATTGTTGATACAAATTGTAATCCAAATCTTATAACTTATCCTGTTCCTGGAAACGATGATACAACTTGTGCTATAGAACTTTATTGTAAACTATTTAAAAACGCAATAATGAGAGGAAAAAACTACAGAAATGAAATAAGAAAGAAACATGATTTCATATCGTAGTAAGTTGCTCTTGTTAAATTTATTTGAACTTGTTTCAAAAACTACGTTTTGAATTCCCTCAAGATAATGGAAAGAAGATTTTGTACAGTATGAATTAGTTTAAAAAAAAGGAATAAACATTCTGTAACATAAATTATAATATATTTATTGTTCTTGCCTAAGCGTTGGTTTATCATCTCGTAGACGTTGTATAAATCTTGGTCCCAACAAACTAATTATACTGAAATGTAATGCGATTATGAAACATATGCAATGAAACATGATAGTATAAAATACTGTACCAGCTTCCTATGTTTGGATAGTACATTCTCAAATATATCAACTGAAGTATACGTGGCTTAGCAATCCACACTTGAGATAGTTTATTTGCTATTGCGATCCCCATTAACGTAGCACAGCGTTCAGCACTGAGTTTGTTTTCGGAATTTTTATTCGCTTCTTCACCATATTTCTAGAAAAAGAATGTATCGAGATGCAATTGAAACATCTCATTGCAAGATTAATATAAACTTACTTCTCCATGTTTTTCCGTAAATGCTTCTGATAAAAAGTTAGTTTTAATAGGTCCTGGACATACCATTGTAACAGGGATATTTTTACCCATTTTTTCTATAGAAAAACAGTCATAATAACCCTGTAAAAGAGATGTTATTAGTAAATGTGTATTAGATACACATAACGTGTATTAAATTGTAATAGTAACAGTTTAATACAACTAACTTGTAACGCGTATTTAGTTCCACAGTACGTAGCAGAAAAAGGTGCTGGTACAATACCAGCAACGCTCGAAGTAACTACAAAATGACCTGAACCCTTTTGAAGAAAGTATTTTGCCACTAGTCTACTTAAAGCTATTTGTGAAAAGACATTTAAATCAAACATTTCTTTGTCAACAGCCAAGTTGATTTGCTCCCATTCCGCTCTCTGAGAACGTCCAGCATTATTTACTAATATATCTAACTAAAATTAATTTACAATCCAATAAATATCCAACACTAAATTGACTTAATAAATAAAAAGAATTCAATTTATGATTACTCTTCCAAATTTGGTAATAATGTGATTGAATACAGATTCATGGTTGCTTATGTTGTTGACATCTAACACGAGTACTTCGATGTCTAAACTTTGTAAATTTACATTTTCTAAAAATAAATAAAAACAATTAAAAACAAACATACTTACAGTAAAGTAAGTTGTAGAGAAAATTATTTTTCATTTATGTACTTTGAATACAATTAGCTTTTACTCTTTCTAGTTCTGTTTCTCTTCTTGCTGTTAAAATTAATTTGCAACCAGCTTCTGCTAATACGTACGCAAGGTATTCGCCAATTCCACTCGATGCTCCTGTTATCCATACTACCTGTCCTTGTAAAGAAGCTACAAAATACAAAATGAAAATACACAAGAATGATTTTGAACTAAATAAAAATGAAATATACGTTTAAGAATTACTCACCTATAGGTTTTCCAAATTTTTTGTACAAAGCAAGATTTATATCAGAATCTAGAAACCAAGGGAATATCATATATACAAGAAAATAAATTACAACTATTAAACCAATAATGGCCAGAAGATCCATGTTAAATCGAATAATTTAATCTGAAAATAAAAGATAGTAATTATATACTTGATGTCACGGGAGTCCATAACTAAGTGCGCAGGTTGGAAAATGGCGGGGGAACGCAGCGATGGTGGGGGAAAGCGATCCGCCAATCGCTTTCCACTTCCGCTGGAAGTATCGCCAATCAGAGCGACAATGCGCAGAAAAGAACGAAAACTGGTCTTTTCGCAGTTATGGAATCTCGTGACATCAAGTATAAAAGGCTATATATGTATATATGTAGTACATAATATGTTGTTTCTGATACAAAAATATCTAACAGAACGGAACAGAGGTTTTACTTTCATCGATGTCAATAAACACAGTTAGTTTATATTTTATTTTTATAATTGATACATAATTTTGTGCGTAGTCGATGTTTTGATATATATATATACACACTAGTACTTACATATTTATATATTTATACAGTAAATATCTATAAACGTTGAAAATATATATTGAGAAGAAGCCTGTGTAAAAGAGACTAGTTGTTATTCATATAAAAGTTATGTCCGTGATAAGATAAATAAAAAGAAGTTATTATCGTGTCCGATAGATACGAAGTGTACAATTTAGATTAGCTATTTTCCTAAATCAAATAATAAAAAAAATGTAATACATTGTCAATTAATTTTTAATTTTAATTAATATTATATATGAATATGTTTTTTTTTTAAACTAATTTAAATTAACGTTCTATTCGAATGTAGGTGAAATAGATACTCTCATTTATTTTCTCAAATTTACGATGTTCTTCCCACTCGTTCAAAGTATATATATTCCTGTAAAATACATATGTAATATTATATTGTTGTAACGTAATATCCTATAAAAAGTTTAATCGCATTTCAAATAACATTCACGACATAAAAACTTGAATAATACAATATTTACACGTTATTTTCAAAACGAATAATGAGTAGATTGTACTTATTAGATAGTTACATCATTGAAATGTGATTGATTAAAATCTGTTATACAACTATATGTCTTGCTTAGAATATACAGTCGGTAACGTAGACATAAAGTTTGATAAAACATGCATACATCAGTTTTTTCGTGAAACTTTTACATTCTTCCTTGAAACGTGTGGTAAGAAAAACAAGTGTTTGAAATAAATGGCGGAATAAATGAATTTGAATACTTGCCATTAAAAATGCTGCGGCTAGAAGTAAGCTTTTTAGTTTGATATCTATGTCAGCGGGAAATGTGATTAATAAAGTATAATCGTGAAGAGTGTTATCCCATTGATGCATCAAGGATGCAATTTGATGAGTACCGTCAATAGCAATTACCTGAACACGATTGAGAAAAATGAAATAACATGCAAATACATAGATTGTAAAAGGTATAATTGTATCTTTTTCTATCGTTAAAATGAACTATACTTGGAATTGTGCTTCTTTGTACATGCAGCAGCCGCAAACGTTTGGACCGTAAATGTTGCAAAGTTGTTTTCGCATCGAATCGTAAACCGTGAAACTTGGACCTAATATACTGAAATTTTCTTCCACTGTTCCGATCAGGTTCGAGCTTCCGACTGTGATTTTCTGCATCAAAGTTGCTGACATGTACATATGTACCTATACATATGTATGTATATTATATGTAGATAAAAGTTCCACTCACGTATAATTTGTTTAAAGTGTAAGTCCACTGTGAATTTATTCTCATAACGAACGCTACTTCGCCGCATTGATCTAAAATGTTGAACGTACAGTCTCTACGAATCCATTTTGACCAACTCAATCCATTTGTTCGATTTTCAGATCTCGCTTCCATCGCTAAGAATAGCGTTTCGGCCTTTGGTACTTTAACTCGGTATTGGAGTCCTTTTTCTGATCTACCGAGTACTAGAGTGAAACACAAAGTTCATCAATGTTTCTTAATTATTATTATTATTATTATTATTATTATTATTAACCTAGTATGCATTATTTATCCAACATCAATTGGCATGAAGGACATTAAAAGGAAGATTGTTCATTCTACCCGTTTGACTAGCACAGGTTGCAATGAACGCGTGTAATATACTTAACATTATTACTATAATATTTTTGAATAACAGTGAAATTTTTGCCTTTCATTTTTGAAAAATTTCGCTTACACTTTCGTTTATACTTAAAGGAGTTACGAACATGTACTCAAATCGACGATCTGATGTATTTCTAATTGTTCCACGTTGCCCAAGAAGTGGCTTCCTGAGAGGGCATTCAATTGCGATCGCGTGGTTGATACCCAGTCCAAAGTGCTGACAGGAATTGGTCTTCTTGGCTGTTGAACATCTCCTGACGAAATTGGTGTGATTCTTTTTATTAATCTTTCATATAGGTAGATACATTTAGGTAGGTATCGACCGAAAGTCTATTTAACATAACAGTAACGTACGTTTACCTTACGAAATGTCATAAAAGATTAATTATTCCTGCGACGTGTTAAAATGATGGAAAAAATTTCTCTGATTTTTATGCTATTAGGATGTTTCTTTGTTGAAAACTCTGTATATCTCTGTATACATTTACGCTCACCTTGCGGTTGTGCGGTGATAACAGTGGGATTTGAGAAAATAGGGGGCGATGAATTTGGTCCGTTCTGTTGCATCTCCATGCTTTGAAAATTTCTATGATTTCTTTCTGTAAGTAAATATCATATCTTGTAGCCTGTTGTTTCTTTTTTTACATTGATTTCTTTATTCCAGAAATCGTTCGAGAAGAAAGAGTGGGGATACCGGAAATCGAAGCAAGTCTCTTATGATATTATGATCTTAGGTTTCGATAAATTTTTATATCACTCAAACTATTAACAGTACACTTTACTAACGGTTGTAGGTGTAAACATCGTCACGAAGAGGAGAATGGATAAATAGAAAGAAGAAAAAGAACACCTACCTGTACGATGATCAGCCGATGTCGAAAATGTGACACTATTAAAAGCACTAACGTGCATTTCTTTCTACTTCTTGACGAGTGATCATTAATCCTTCATCCTTCACATGGTAACATCGGATTCTCTTACGATCACGACGGCATGCACGAAAATTTAGAGGACACGAACGATTTACACGGATCATCGATCAGCGAACGACCGTGAAGATATATGCTGAAACAGGTCACTTTGCGCACTCAAGGGGTCGTTTAAGTTGTCCAAGGACTCTAGAGAGTCAACCAACAGGTGGAATTTGTTTCGTTTGTCAGGTGATCCAGATTTGCTCAGAAATCTCATTCGAGCGGTATCATGCTTGGAAGGTCTTTCTGATACTATTCCATACTGATCGACGAGCCATTGTGCTTCTTTTTTTACTGTTATCGCCTGATAATGAACGATCGCTTATCGATGTAATACTGGATAAAAATTGTATAGAAACTGCTAGGTCTTTTAGAGGTAGATAACTCGGAAAATTACCGTCAAGAGTCGATGTTGCAATACAATACAGATACTTGTGTGTATATGTATTTACGTCGGGAGACGTTGAAAGTGAAAATAAGTCAGAGAATTTATTAGATTTTTCAGTTTTAGTTTGAAGAATGAAAAGTAACAGAGCCTACTATTATTTATCATTTTTCTATCACTTACAATTAGATTTAGATTTTAGATCGTTAGACTGTCGTATCCAATTGTTAACTACCTATCTTCCAGAGTTAAAAAACTAACAATAAGTATACGTTGCGGCTGAGCATACATATGAATTCTCGAGAACAACGTTTGTTGGTCGCGCGCATACGGGTGGTCGCATTCCTTCTAATGGAAGTGACACGCGTCGTTCGATAAATAGGCAGAAAAGGTGATGAAACCATAGAAACGAAACGCAACGCAACGCGAATTCATGAAAATATTCTTGAAAAAACAAGTTTCACCAACTTTCTGTCCTTTTCGTTGGTCGACTACCCTTTTCAACATTTTTTATTGTCTTAGATATTCGATAAATCTTTACTTCGCTCTTGTATGTATCATTAATTTTATTATATATGTATATGTATATTTTTTCTTTTAGCTATGTAGTGGAGTGGACTACTGACAATGAGTTCTATATCAAGAATGGAGTACCAAGAATGCTTAATATCCGCAAGTCGAAGGAAGAATTCTCAAATAAATTATTATCCTGTGACCTCAAAATAACGGAATTTATCGATCTATTTTTCTCGTAAAAAGCTGACTCTTCCAAGTCCAAAGTCTCTTTGTTCAATCTAAGCTTATGACACTGTGATTGATATAATAGAGAAAACTGTGTTTGCTCCTCTAAACGTAAAGATTATCTTTAAACGTAATTTTAAAGAATTTTTCTTTTTAACGATCTTCATTGCATCTTCACTTTCAACCAGATCATTTTGTCTTTCAGAAACACCCTTCGAAATTGGTATCACTGGATCAACATAAATCGTAAAAAATATTCAACGCTCCACTGTCCTACATCCTGAAGATCGAACGTTATCGTCTCTTCGACGTGAACGGAAAATGCTGAAACTCATTATCCGCAATTTAATCAATTTTCGGCTTCTCATGTCCTATGAAACGCGTGCATCTATTATTATTGTTCCATCTTTATGTATGTAAGTAAGTACGTAACGTAGGTTTGAGGGTTGTCGCTGTCCGCCTGTATTTTCTCAGGCAACACCCCACGCCTTTACTTGTTGCTGCCGCTTTTGCCATTCTACAGCTAGATCCATGCGCGTTTCTATCGATCACTGGCCGCCCCTATATAAAAAGGCCTCGTCACCGGTAACCATGGTACACACACAGTCCAACAAAATTTCATGAAGCTGCAAAGAACCAAGCAAACGACGGAGAAGCTGTGATATAAGCAACGCGTGAAAGATACACCACCAAGAGACTAGTGATACTCGAATGAATCATTAAAAGTAAGTAAGTCGTTGCTCTCCTAGTTACCAGGGTAGATTTATTATTATTATCATCTTCATCATCGTCGTATTTAATTAATACCAATTGTCTTCTCTTAGCTTGTGAGAAAGATAAGAATATCGAGGATACGCGATTCGTTGATGAAAAAAAAGAAGAAATTTGTTAAAATCCAATCTTTGTACGAGATGCAGAAAATATTTTCATTTTCATTTTCAGTTAAACGAAGAAAATAGAAATTTAATTGTTTCAGTCTCCTTTGTAATTACTAAGAAGTAACATAAATTTTTCAATTCCGATGATTCTGTCAATGATGTCTCGTGTTTTGCTTCACCATCTGTTAGCGTCTTGACATATGTATTTATATAAGGTACCCGACGAATCTCAGCCGATTTACCCGATTCTATCAGTAGATTTCGTTATTGCATCTTTAACGAAACGTTATTCGTTGGCCTTTGAACGGAATCGATCGCGACTGAAAGCTGATTATACAGGGGAACTGCTAACACGATTTCTTTTCCGTGACGTTCCAGCAGGAATTCTCAACGGAATTTATATCAGTCTACCTTTTACTTGATTAAACTTTATTAGCATTTCTAGAGTTAAGCAATTGGCAACGCGATATCGCGTGCTGTGTCTGATGTTGATGTATCCTTTCGTTTGTTAAAGAACAATGCTTCCACAAGAATGGCTGTTAGCGTTTCTAATTGCGGGAACAGCAACCGCGCTGGCTCCCACTTCTCATCAGACGATGGAGGAGTCGTTGAAGACCGCGCTGGATGCTATTACTAGAAAGCAAAGGTCTTTGGACAGCCAAGAATATTACAACGATCTTCGATCTTTCAAGTATCATGATGCTGAAGATGAGAGAAAATTCAACAGAGAACGTCCAGAGGATAATAACAGGGTGCTCGAGGAAGAGGATGAAGAAATCGAATTCTTGCCCAGTGGTAAACTGAATTGGATATCATTTTCCTATCTACATATTATATGAAACAGAGCTGATAGGAAATTTCATTGTAGACGGTGGACAACTCGAAACGGTGGGAAATGGCTTTCAAGATTTAAACAATAAGCTGTTGGAAAGAGCATTGATCGATTATCTTGAGAACATCCCTCAACAAGTAATTTTCTTTCTTTTAATTTAACTTAAGGATTTTAGGAAATGAAAAATGAACTATGATATATTTTAGGAAGAACCAATTACGTCTTCGTTTCGAGAACGCGAGCGAACCTCGAACCGCAAAAGAGGTTCCGACCGATTGAACGTAGACAATAAAGAGCTGGTGAAATTATTCCTAGAAGAGTTGCAAGATGGTACATCGTATAATCTCGACACAGGGGATGAAGGATACATGGACGTTCATCAAATGCAGTACGATAGATACAGAGGCGATCGCGGCAATAAACTTTACGAGTTAGTATTATACATATATCGGTAGCAATTGGGATAGGAATAGGTATAGGGATGTTTCTACTGAAATACATATTTCGTAACAGAAACTCTGCTCCAATGTCTTGGGGTGAACTGATGAACAAAGAATCTTTATTCCGAGGACAGGAGAGAGAAACCGATGAAAACGAGTTTAATCGAGATCCAAACTTGTTATACTCCCCTTTAGCCGAACGTAGGAACGTGAATGGGAGATATCCGATAGGACGTGATTTAGAAACGTATCGAGGTATGGCGAAACGTTATCCTGTAGCTAAAAGGAGTCCAAAACCCATGCCAGTCAAGAAACAAGTTACAGATCCTAAAGTAAGTAGTTGGTTAAGAAATATTTTTATTTAATACCTTTCTAAATACGTATACACGTTTGAAGGTGGCGCAGGATTTGGGTGCACTGTTTGGTACTCAGTCTACTACAGACAATCAAAATCACACTCAGAATTACGATCACGATCACGATCACGATGATCAGCACAAACACGAGAGTTCCTCAGAGTCTCCAAAAGTCACTCCACCGTCGAAAGGTCAAAAAGAGAACGTCACGAAACCTAACAAATCTAAATCGATCGAAGTAAGAAAAAAGAGCGTCGATTGGTCTCAATATTTTGGCATCGATCGAAGAAGAAAGAAAGCGAGTTTCATGGCTGGTCCAGAAACGCAGAACCAAGATGACGAATGGATGTTACAGCGCTATTACGAGGTGAAATATTTCACCGTATTTCGGGTATTAACGTTTATCGTTGACCTACGAATTTTCTTTTTTATCCTAGAATATGGTTGAGAATCTGAAAGCGAACGATCACCGGGATTATCAGAAAGAAACTAACGACAGAAAAGATAAACTGGAACAAATGAACTCGAAGCAGCAGCGGCAAAACATCAAGGACTTGATCGTCGAGGATGCTTTAAGATATGCAGACTCGGAAGATGCCACAAACTTACAGAAGGTACATACATATTTACGTTAGATTATCGTCAGAATTCTATTTAACGTTACGGTAACGATTGAAAATAGGTGAAAGACAAAGTAATGGCTCGTATAGCTGCTGCCTACTCTCTAGAGAAGGTGAGAAAAGCTCTGAATGAACTGAGGAATAATGTGGCTGTTCGAATAGAATCGCAAAAGATTGCTCGTTCCCAGAACAATCAAACGTCTAGTTTTCGGGAGAATAATAATGCTGGCAAGGCTAGTGAAAAACGTACAAGCAACAATATAGTCGAGAACGATGAAGCTTTTGAGGAGAATAGAGTCTGTCCAGCGTTGGAAATAATTGAAAAACGATGTAGAACCGCGGATAGTTTGGCCGGAGATGAGGCACAGATGCTTTATCTGCCCTGTGTGATGTTGCAAATCTGCAAGGCCTGTGTAAGTACTTTTCTATCACTTTCATTCCTCTTTGAGAAGATAAGGAATTTAGCTTGTAAATTGATCTCTCTCTCCTTAGGTTCAAGATGATCTAGAAGAAGAATGTTTAAGCTATTACGATATGGAGACCGTAAGGATATGTAATGCTCAGGAAGCGGAAGAAGGACAAAAGGGAATAGTAGCGTGTGTAAGGAGAGCTTTAATATTGTCACGATTGCAACCACCGCCAGCAGTCTCTATACACTGTCGCATAAACGGCAACGAGTCCTGTTTACGACGTTATCATTATCGTTACCTGCATCGTTATCTTCGCTATCCTTACGGTGGTCAACGACCGAACAATGGCTACGAAACAATCGGCTCTCAGCAAATGGATCGATAAGAAAGGAGGAAGAAATATCGGTACACCGATATCGGTGAGACACGACGTCCACGTCACGTTGAGAAAACACGTGCGGCTCTCCACCAAATACATATATGTGACCTCGAATCGAGCTTTATTTTCCATAACTTTTAGTATTCTCCTTATAACAATATATGTATAGTTTGTGTGCAATCAAACAACAGTTTACATACATACATACATACATACGTATACATGGATCGGTCTAAATGCTTTCGGCTTTTCAATTAAATTAACTTGACCCTCATTTTCTTTAAGATAGAAAAATTATAGAATGTCAGAAGAGATTGAACGAACATTGAAAGTCGATTCGAGACAAATATTGAGAAAACTAGTTGAAATTGAAATTTTCTTCGTGTAATAGAGATATACAGTATAATAGAATTTTAAGAAAAATACCAAATGGATTCTTCTATTTGCGAGGTGTTTTCTTTTTCTTCTTTATTTTCTTTAGTCGACTCGAAATAAATACGACGATGAAAGATGAAAGACAATAATTACTGACTAAACTTTTGTTATTCATTTTTAAGAAGGAACGAGTATTGAATTTCTTTTCTTAAAGAATATACAGTCGAATAAAGATCATTGTCGATAAAACAAATCACTTATGAAACTCGGCTAGATACCTCGCAAACAAAATCAATTGTATAATAAAATACATTATAAAAAGAGATGTTAAACACCGAATTGAGAAAGATTTAAATTTTCGTCATACCTCCGTTTAGATCTATTCGACAGCTTCCATTACTTTCTGGTGCTACTATTTAATAATAAATTAAGAATTTACTTCCATCTTGTCCAAGTTTGTCAGCATCGAAGGATATTTCATGAAATTTATAAAAGGGACAATTTATTCTATTACAGTATAAATTTCTATGCGATTGGATAATAGAAAAATCTACCTATCGTCTATATCTTTATGTTATCGAAACACTCGCTACATTCTATGTGTCACTCCTATATTCAAATATAATAAATATGTTTCAACATATAATTGCATTTTAATTCCTTCATTTTTTATCTTATTAACGATATATTAAATAAGTATATATACTGTTAGATCGATGATTTGTTGTTGGTTGAGTCAATATTATCGGTAGTATCCATAGTTTGTTTAAATGACTCTAAAATTTCCAGGCATTCTGGAGTGTATAACTTTAAGAATTCTAATTGCAACTGAGCGCATTCAACTAAAAACGATAGAAAATAATAATTACAATTAAAATCACGAATACATATATGTAAAATAGATTTGTACGAATGTAGTACCTCTCCATTTGGAAACCATTTCCAATTTTTTTCTCAATTCTAAGTTGATTTTGTTTATTTTAAGAACAACGTCTTTATTATGATCTGACATAATTACTATTTACTATTTACTATTAATATTACGTAAATAATTCTACATACATATACGTACGACGTACGATTCAAAAAACGCGTCCTACTTCAAGTCCGTTTGCAAGTAGCGACTCGCCGTGTCCCTTTTAAGAACGCTTCCGTTTCCAATAAAAAGCGTGATTGGCCGACTTGGAAACATAACAGTACTTTGCCACCTATGTATGTAACGCGAAACTGCGCGAAACCCTGCAAATCTAGAATTACATAATCTATGATTAATAAAAGTGGCGATGGCGTTTTATGGTCTGTGTTCCTTTGTGAACAAAAAGTGGCGTTTCTGTGGTATTTTCTATGGGAGGCCGGTTTATTAACGTAATCTTTCAGATTGATAATAAAAGAGTGCAAAGAAAGAAAAATAATATCAAACTCAGAGGAAAGAAAGGAAAACGTGAAAGTGGCGAGTATAAGAAATAGATGTGATCCCGCTTTCGTCGGCCGGCGAACATATTTATCTTTCATAGCAAATGTAATATTCTAACAAAAAAGTAGGAACAGTCCTATCAGAATAGCATATCTGATTATATGTAATCAACTTTGGTATGTTTGTATTCTCGTTAAAGCGAGATTTTCAATCAATTTTCATGATCACATGACGTTCCCGCCGTAACCTTCCATATTCGTTGGTAAACACCGTATTGATATACAGGGTGTCCTTCAATTTCCATTCAAATTTTTCTATACGAAATTTCATATATTAACATTGCTTGATTTTCTCTAAATATAAAATAATCATATATTTTTTTTATTCCAGCATGTCATTCAAAAGAAAAAAATAATGTCAGAAATGGAGAAAAAAGAAATTTGTACGATCGAGGATCACGATACGTACTCTAAAGATTTGGAGAAAACTAATATCATGGAAAGCAGTGGGTTCAGTGGTTACAACGAGAGTCAGGATTTTCGTCTTGTAGATATCGGTGACGAGGAATCCCTAGATAAGTCAGAAAATGAGAAGAACAGGAACGTGCTTCCTGTTTCTCTCGATAACGTAGACACAACTTTGGGCTTGACGGATACGTCGGTCAGTGTTCATCAGGATATTGAAAAAGATAACATTGCCAAGGCAGAATGCGCAGAAGAAAATACAGAATCGCTCGAAGAAGAGATAGAAGAAATTGAAAAAAATGAAAAAGATGAAAAAGATGAAAGAAATAATGATAGCGGTGTTGTAACAAGCAAAAGCAAACAGTCTGACGAGGAAGAAGAAGAAGAAGAAGAAGAAGGAGTAATAGAATGTACACCGCCAGAAGCTTATTCATCGTCTAACAATAAGAAGCAAATGGTTAGCAACGCGACAACGACAAATCTAAAACGCAAGGCCGAGTCATTCGATGAGCCACCGAAAAAATTATTAAAAACAGAGGCTAAGGAAGATGTAGTAATTTCTAAGAAGAAAGAATCCGAGGACGAAGAAAGTTGTCATTCTTTTAAATCTGACGATTCTCATCAGGAATTTTCTAAAAGTTATTCCGATAGAAATGTTATAATAGCCGAGACTCAAGATACAGGGGACGAGAATGCCGAGACTATGATAGAAAAGATCAGCACGAACGAAGAAAAATCAAAAAACGAAAAGCATTCTGAATTAGAAGTGAAAATTTTCGAAATTGATAAAAATGAAAATTTCAACGATGCATCAATATTGAACGAAGCTGTTGCAAACAACAAAGAAGAAGAAGAAGAATTTTCTGATACAACGAATGCTGTGCAGCTGAAAGAGAACAGATCATCGGTGATGAAAGAAAATGATTCTTCTACGTCCCCTATTAAGATGGGAACAATCGAGAAAATGCAATCAGATTCAAATAATACAGGTGGTATTAAGTTGATCGATAGTTGTGTAAAAGATTCTAAAATCCGTATTGAGAAAGGAGCGGATAATAATAATAAAAATGGTATAGGTTTAGAAGAAAAAGGCAAGGAAATAGCAGAAACATCGGTTTCCAATGAAATAACAAACGAATCTCATTCTAGTTTAAATTCAACAAATTTATGTAAATCAAGAAACAGCATAGAACTGATATACGATCGAACCGCGGCCCATGAGATAATGAAAGCAAAACCCAAAGAAATAGTAGAAATCGACGAGGATGGAGAAAAGATTGTGCTAGATTCGTCTCAAGAAGATTCTGATTTAAAGATAGAGAAGAAAAATCTTTTGGATAATACAAAGTCTGAGACGATATATAAAAGTTGCTACGAGAGTAAAAGCAGTAGCGAGTATAGTTTCAAATCGATCGAAAATACCAAAGAATCAACGTCCCTCGAATCAACTAAATCTAACAAATTAATGAATGGAAGCAGCGAATCGAAAAGATGCGATACAGACAGTACAGCTAGTTTACAGTCGGATACGTTTAGCGACGGTCCGGTTATTCTTGATAAAGTAGTAGGCAGCAGTCTTTCTACGCCCGTACGTAACGTAAACAAGCAAGTGAAACAAGCAGTTGTTTCTGTTCTATCGAAGGATACAAGCGATCATACCGATTTATTATTAAGTGTAAGTGATAACGAACCTGATGTTTTTATAGTAGATGATAAAACTAAGTCTAATTTAACTCACGGTAGTTCTATCGCAAAAGCTGTTGTTCAGGTGGAAAAGGAAATTGGTATATATGTAAGAATGAAATGTTTGTTACACGTCGACGAGGGTACAAAGGAATTTTTGAACAAAGAAATCACCGGTGTACAATGCGAAACTGTCGCTCCAGAAGCCACTGACCGATTGACGATGATCAGACAAAAAAATAACGATACTTCAGCTTCGTTGGCAGATATTTCTGGAAATGACAATAAAGATACATCTCCTGGATCGGTAAATAGTAACCCACAGTTGTATCAATTGAATCCTTCTAGACTGTCGTTCGCATCTACCATCAGTTCGTTAAGTTCTGCATCTAGCGGTGCATCATTGACGGCTAAACTTGCGATAAGGGATAGTACACATTTCTCATTGCCAAAGGCACCATTGCCAAAGCATGCGAGAAAGCAGATACAAGACATGCATTTATTGCACGACAAGCAAGCACTAGACGAAGCGTACGAACGGCTTAGCAAAGAATGGCAAAATAGTCACCTTCTCGCGACAACTATTTTAAATCTGGCTAATACGGAACTATCCGGAATCGATACCACCTGCAATGTTAGTAACGAAAGAATAGACGATCAATTACAAAAAATCAGATCCTCTACTCCGGAAGTAGTTAACCAGGAATTGATGCAGGTACAGCAGGTGCAAATGCAAACTCCTAAAAGCACGAAAAAGAATAAATCGGTGAAAAGGCAAAGAAGTAAAAGCCTAAAGTCCGCCGATGGTCATCATTCGACGGCGGCGGCGGCGGCGGCGGCGGCGGCGGTGGGACTTGTAAACCAAACGGAAAGCAATAATACACCGAGCAGAAAAAAGAATAAAATAGAACAACAGACGGATAGTGGTTTAACCGGTACTGTAGATGATTCAGCAAAATCTCTCTCACAAATGATAACGGACGAGTTAATTGGTAAAGACGTATTTGCTAAATGGTCTGACAATAATTATTATCCTGGTACGGTTACTGATAAAGTAAAAACGAAATATAAAGTAAACTTTTATGATGGAAAAAATAAGATACTTATTGAAGATTTTGTTATACCGATACCAGCACTTTTAAAAGAGGGTTTGTCCGTTTACGCTACTAGTAAAAACGACGATTACGGATCGTGCGGTATAATTGTCGATACCGAAACTGTAAATAACCAAGTATATTACATCGTAGAGACGGACGAAGGGGAAAAATTACAGGTTCAGGTTAAAAATATTTTCTTAACCAGCGATCAGGCTCAATTGTTAAAAGAGGAAATTTCTTCGGAAAATAAAAGTCTTCCATCCACGCCGAAACATTTAGGTCAAATAACGCTAGACAATATGGTTGATGGTAAGAGACGTTCGAAACGGATTGCCACTCCTTCATATCTAACGCCTAAAATTCATACACCGAGTAAAAACGAATCGGAACCATCTGTTTCTGGTATACCTTCTTCATCCATTATGAATAAAAAAAATAAGAAAAGATCATCTGAAAGCAGCGATGCTATTTCTAGCGATTCGAACGTTTCTCTGAAAGATGAAATGTTTTCTATCGGCATACAGCCTGAAATCATTGGAACTCCCTACGAGCAAACTGTAAAAGGACCACAGAATCGAATAAAAAGTATCAAATCAAGAAGTAATAAAAAGAAAGTGGAAGACGAGGAAACTATTGCGATATTTGGTCCAATTCCACGCACCGATTCGAATCTCTTCAAAGGCATGTCTTTCATTCTCACTTGTGCACCGGTAGAAACCATTGACCGTTTTCAAATCGATAACAAAGATTATGGTTCAGATCCGGGAACGGAAAACGAGGAAGACTGGGTAAAGAAACCTTTTATAAGGGATAGATTAACTACACAAATAGTAGCGGGTGGCGGAAAAGTTTACACGGACTTTAATGAAATACCACGAGAAGAGTACAAAAATACAAAATTAATAACAAACGTACCAAATAGTACGGCAAAAACTTTGTTGTGTCTCTCAGTTGGTATACCCGCTTATAATCATAATTGGATTATAAGATGTTGTCAAGAAGTAAGTATCGAACCTGTCTACATCAATCATTTTTATAATCATTTACTCTACGATATATCGTTTCTATAGGGAAAAATTGTAAATCCAGCCGAGGATGAATTACCCGCAGGATGGAGTTTAGATAAACAGTCGTACGTTGAAATGTTCCAAAGACCTAGTAACAAACCATTCACCCGGATTATTGTAATAATTCCGGTTCTAGAATCTAATAAACAATTTGTTACATTTTGGCGGCAAATTTGTGAAAATGCAGGTGCTTGTGTCTTATTGGCGGATAAACCAGGTATGAGAAATCATTATTTTTATTGTTAAACCTTCTCTTACTCTGTCTTTAATTACAATCATTTGCAGATACAATGGAAAATTATATAGACGGTACAGTGATTCTTACAAACGGTTCATGTCCGTCTTGGACAGTAGAGAAAGCTGCTGAATTACAAATTCCATTGCTTTCTGCAACGTGGATCGTTCAATGTTTGATAGAAGGACAATTATGTCAGTATGATTCGCAGCCACGTTATAAATATAATTATAATAAAAAAAACTAGGTACGCTTAACGATCGAAAAGTTACTCTAATTCTAGAGATCTAGAGGTGAGAATCAGCTTTTATACGTTCGAAAATTATCTTATATTACCGAATGTTATTTCTATTTTTATCGTTTATCCAACAATTTTCTCTTTCTTCGAACATTTCAGAACGTTACTTTGATATTCTACGATTACAGAAACCCTCGCGAATCTTCTCACGATCTATGTATGTATCATTAATTTGCGGATAAAACGTATATTTTATATAACAATATTGTGTTCTCTGTGAATAACTGGTGTAAAAAGATTTCTCCTTTAAGGTGATCAGTTATTATGAAAAAACGTAATGTTAGCGTTTTCTAAGATTTTTTATGAATAAAATTCTAAACGAAAAATCACTTTTATAGATAAATAAATAAATGAAGGAGAAAAGAAAAACAAAGAAACTGTAAATTTAAAAGATGATTCTTAATCGTAACGTATGTATGTACACAATTCGATATTTACTACTTATTCCAATTATATTTTAATCGATAGGAGGAGGTTTATTAATACAAACCACAGATAGTAGCATTCAATTTTCTCCGGTTATATTCTTTTTTCATTTTCTTGTATCGTTCTGCGAAAAGGTGAAATCAGAATTTCTATCAACTCGTATTTACATTATCAGATGTAAATAATTCGATGCATTATTTCTTTTTACGTTAAGCTATTTACAATAATCAAATAACGCATTTAGTTATACGAGAATTATTATATTTTTCTCTCTTTAAGGTTTTCTTAATAACTATTGGTCTGTTGTTGAAAGCAATTACGCGAAAAACTTACATGTATGTATATCTCGATATGATAAATCTTTTTAACTTACGATTAGATGTTACCTTAAGTTGAGCATGTTCTCTTTCAATAGAACATACATAGTAAATATTAATGTACTGTAAATCAAAGTTAACGATGGGTAGTATATCCTGTAAATATTTTTTTACTTGAAATTACAATAACGGATCATAAAAACTATTTACATTACATTTTTATATTCTAGATATACATACTCCCCCCCCCCCCCCCCCCCCCCATTACTAAAAGAAATTTATAAAATCTTTTATCGCCTATGCACATAGCGAATATAATATGTTCGGTAAAAAGAAAAGAAAATAATAAATATCAAGCGAGTTGCCTATAAATACTTCAAATTAAGGTAGCATTAATGATTTTTAACAATGAAAGATACTAAAAGCGTATCTTTAGCGTGTTTACAACTTTTTCAGTAATTAATTTACAGAATGATTCTCTGTTAGACCAAATATCAATAAAATGATAAAAATGTATGTGGAAAGTGCACATGTGCGAATGTCTGTCTGTGTATATAAGTAAATATATACATATACGATAAATTTTATTATGTAAGATGTAGTTATCATGTAAAATGTTTGGGGATAAAATACAGTGACATATTTTGGCAAAACTTTGTTCATTGTCGTTTAAAAACTAATAAGCATACAAGGTTTATAGTAGCATTTCGAATAATGTACAACATTCTTTGAGTGTATGTACAAAACATTTAATAAAACAATATATATATACGATTTTTTATTTTAAGGATTGTACCAATCAAGAAACAATAGAGAAAACGACATTACTAAAAGGAAAAAGAGAATCCACACTCTAAGTCCTGCATTCCTTTGAATCGCTTGTCTAATTTGTTCATTAGCTTCCTTCACGTTCTCCGTCGACCCGACAACTGTTGTCGTCAAACGGTCCAAATCCTTATCCTGATCTAATACCTTTTCTGTAAATATCTCCTGAAGTTCTGCTATATGTACAACCTTGGTTTCGATTTGTTTAACTTCTTCCGTGAGCATGTTAAGTTCGTTGTACAACTGTTCATTTTCTGCTTCAAACAGTTGTATATCATCGGCCGATATCTCCTCTTCGTACGTTAATGCGTTTACATCACCATTTATTTCCTGTATTTTCATCGGGCTAGAATTATTCGAACTAATCTTATTCTCTTTATCTTCTGTTGTTGTTTCGCTTGTATTCGACTCGGCTCTTTTCGCTTCGAGTTCCAATTGTCTTACAGATTTTGAATTTAATTCCAACTTGGCAATTTTTCTTATCTCCATTGCTCTTTTTACCCTCATTGCTTTTTGTTCAGAATAAATTTTGCAAACATTCTTCAAATAATCTTCGATTAACAGCAACATAATTTCTCTATGCTCCAAATTTTGTGGAGAAACTTCGCAGCCTGCAATTTCTCTTCTCAATTCCTTGATCAACTGAGAACAAGTACTCATTATTTTTTGTGCACCTACATCGATCTGATCACGATCTACATCAGTCATACTTGGTACATTTGGCAAATAATTTGAAAAGTTTAAGTATGCTTTGCGATTCTCTATTAAGAATTCACGTAACTTTGATATTTGTGCAACTACACCTTGAGCTTTTACGAAGAATGCGCTCTTGCTTCTTACTTTCTTCAGATTTCTTATACTATTGATAGTTCCAAGATCTCTATTACGAAGGCTAACTGTCTTCACGCTGGCTTTAAATAATGTACTGACATCCATTGTTAATTCTTCTTGCTATCACCTTTCTTATGGAATGATCGATAAAAATAAATATCTTATTTTACTTGTATCAACACCTTATGGTTTATCAGTCATCAAACCCATCGCATTCTCTGATCAAATTAATATGTATCTTTATTATAAATCATCAGATAATGTAACGCTTTATCAAATTAAAATAAAGAAAGTAGTCGTTTTAACCAAATCTTTCAACTTAACTTTATATATATATATATTTGCTAGGTGATGTTTAATAACACAGCAAGTAACCTAAAAACACAAAATGATTATAAAATATGCTAAATTATTTATATATTTACATATGTACACATGTACATACATATATGTATAACTTTAGTAAATCAAAAGAGTCCACACCATTGATAAAGCAGAAAATATACTATATAAGTACAACAATATTATTTGTTACAATTGTCTTATTTGAGTCAGCACATGATTGGAAATGTGATGAGAGAAATAAACTATCTTTCTATAAACGTAAATGTGTCACTTTTGAAGGAATACAGTTTGTATTTCATTCTCAGAAACATTTTCTCCATAAAATTTAATCATTTGTAAATACATATGTGTATTTATATATACGTGATACGTATATATATACATATATAGATAAATACACATATATGTGAGTACATACACGTCTCTCTATGTGTGAAATTGTTAATAATTTGCACTCTTTTTTTCTTTTATTAAAAGGTAATATATGAAATGAAAATAAATATTAGAGAATGTGTATATAGTAATATGCTAAAGAATTCTATTTTTGAAATAAGGAATCACATTTAAATTAAAGATATACGTTCTTTAAATTGACAAATTAAGAGAGATCATCGAATTTTGAAAAGTAGAATAAAATAATGTTCATCAACAACGTAAATAGTCGGTACTGCAGAGTATCATTTTTGAAAACCGGAACACGTAACCAAATGGAATACTGCTATCGAAATGACAAGATGGCACGTCAGCAGCAAGCAGACGTTGACGAACTTTTTGACGTGAAAAATCACTTTTATATTGGCAATTATCAACAATGTATCAACGAAGCGCAAAAAATCAAGGTTTGTCTCTTTAAAATCCATTTTATACTAACGTTACTTTCATTCTGATCGTTTATAAAAATGATTTTTTTTTCTACACCATCGAAACGAACAGTTTGTCTAGCTATTCATTGTTCATTTTTTTATTTATGTACATATGTTAGAATTAATTTGTATTATTTGACACCGTTTTCTTTCACTATCATAGTCATCTTCGCCGGAGGTGGCAATGGAGCGAGATGTATTTCTTTACCGTGCTTACATAGCACAGCGGAAATTTCGTGTTGTCTTAGATGAGATTAATAACTCATCACCCCCGGATTTGCAACCGCTTAAAATGTTGGCCGATTACTTTGCAAATCCCAGCCGTAGAGAGGCAATAGTCACAGAGCTACAAGAAGCGACGAACCGTGCTAATTACGATAATCATAACTTCTTGATCGTTGCTGCAACCATTTACTATCATGAGAAAAATTTAGAAGCAGCTCTTAGGATACTTCGCAATGTTGATCATTTAGAATGTTTAGCTTTAACATTGCAAATCTATTTAAAGATGGATCGATTAGATCTTGCGAAAAAAGAATTGAAAACAATGCAAGAGAAAGATGATGACGCCACGTTAACTCAGTTAGCACAAGCATGGTTGAACATAAGCAGCGGCGGTGATAAGCTACAAGATGCTTACTATATATTTCAGGTATATAACGATCTATCTATCGTATCAAACGTATGAATTAGGTATCAACTTACATTAAAATAATGTTGTTCTAGGAAATGATAGATAAACATTCCAGTACAAGTATGTTGTTGAACGGACAAGCTACTTGTTTCATTGGACAGGCTAAATACGAAGAAGCTGAAACAGCCTTACAGGAATCTCTGGACAAAGATAGTAATAATCCTGATACTTTAATCAACATGATTGTTCTTTCACAACACATGGGAAAACCTCCCGAAGTCGCTAATCGTTATCTGAGTCAATTGAAAGATTCCCATTTGGAGCATCCATTTGTCAAAGAGTATTTACAAAAAGAAATAGAGTTTCAGAGGCTCAGAAAGCAATATTCTTCGTCCGCCTAAATGTATTGAATCGTATAGCATTTTATGGATTAAATTAAACATGAGTATTAAGAGTAATGTAACAATACTAATTCTAGATACCAAGTGCTGTAAGATTAGAACGTTTTTGCAGGGTATAGTGCACTATACTATACGAATTCATGTTCTTTGTTATTCTTCATGGAAGAATATTTCTTTTAATACGTTTTTTGTTTAGTGATTTTATACAAAGTAAAGAAAGAAAGAAACCATTTCACTTTTACATAAAATTTCTACAATATTTATGATTGGCGAATAAAATGATAGACAAGTAAAAGTATTTACAATTTTTACACGTATAATTAAGGTATACGATAATACAATATTCTACCGATAAATTACTTACCTTATCTACAATCTTAATAAAGTATTTAGAATATATAATTACAAAACAAATAACAATGGCTGCCATTTTATAATACAATTATAAATCACTGCGAAGAAAAGGATTACCAAAAAATTTCGTTTTGCATGCATTTTAACATACATGACATTGATGTATGTATTATTTAATAAAGTTTCATCTCATATATCACTGAAAAAAAAAGGAATTTTTATACATTAGTAGATTGACAGTGCCACACAATTTACAGTGATTACAAAAATGTTATTTAACCGTTGAGCAGACCTCCTAAACTCCCGGGGTGAGTGTGACCAAATAATTAGGCAAGTTTAGACTTTCACGATATTTATTTACCTCGCTACGATTGCCAGATGCCTGCGTACCATCACGTACCATGTGCGACTGCCGCTTCCTTCGCCGGAACTGTTCCACTCTAGAGTGGGGAGCGCGTATGGAGGGGATAATGCAGGGACCGCGCTGATTGAACTACTAGCGCCATCTACACGAAAACGGCGGAAACTACTTGCCGAATTGTTTCCGCGATTCCCCGACAGATGGCGCAAGTGGCCGTCGAGTAGTGTCGGTAAATTGGTCGGTAAATCATCGAGTAGTTTACGTCTTTTTTGTACAGATGGCGCAGCGATCGAATTTTGCTCTGCTTTTATGAGCAATTTTAATTTTATCAAATCTTTGATTATTTTGTGCTTTTTATATTATATTTTTATGCTCCGCTTCACTCGAAGATGTCTTTGGGATCCCCAAACTCATAACTTCTTGAGTGCAAAGGCATGTCCAGTGTTTTTGTATTTGTAGTCACTGCGCGCGTCTAAGCTAAGTTATTCTCTAAAATTCGCATCAAATTTACAATAATAGAATTTAACGGGCTTACCATTGAGGTGTTAAACAATTCTTTTTTTTTTTTTATTTTTTCTTTTTCGCCACTCCTTTGGTAAGTCCCAATTTTTCTCGCGTTTCGCATTTCGCCATCTAACGTGATATTTCGTAAATATCTAGTGTCAAGCCGAGAAACGTCTATTACATGGAAGAATTCGAAAATTTAAATGAGTAAGTTTAGTTAGTCAGAATGCGTTAAAAGTGACAAGATCGCGCAAATCTCAAGGACGTGATTATCGTAAAAATACAATTAATTTATCGAAAATCGTGAGCCGTTTACTAGATTCCGGCGGGAGTTACAACGACGTTGAAGCAATTTTATAAACGTTATCGTTCTCGAGTAATAATTCGGAAGCAATCAGAGAAATAAATTTCAGATTTTTTTCTTTGGAAAATATTAGATTGAATGCGGATCTTGACAACATGGCGATAAGAAATGGGTACATAATTGCTTACTGCTAAACTGTTACAATGACAATGAATTCGGTATTACTTTCTTCTACTGTCATGTTTTTCCTTTTTATTACTCTGTCGTTTTCGTTGGTTAGAAATTCGTATTTATCTCAAGTTCTTTATTAAGTATTGTTTTGAATATTATGCGACAGGTAGTTTTTTTTGTACATGTTACATTTTGAATATAACTGATTGATATTCTACTGATATTTATAATCGTGATTGTAATAAGCGATCTATGAGCTAGAAATAATTGTTAAGTATATGGTATATTATTTTGATGCTGATTTAACATAACCTAACATATATAAAATTCTTATATATTATATTATAAAATTGTACAATATATTACTGATTATATATATATATATTACATTGATTCGTATCATAACATGAAACCTTCATATTTTTTCAGGAATATAGTTTGCAAATCATAAACTTGTATAGCACTAAAAATTTGGAAAACAGAAACTATCAACGTTGAAACGCTACAGTTACAGAGCAAAAGTACTACTTACCGTTGGGATTACACGATAATAATATACATATATATTCGCAGAAACAAGTTTACAATTTGAATGGAATACTTTAATGTTATGGAGAAATGAGATACATTAAAAAACAAGATACATGGTTCATATTTAGTTCTAATGAAATTATCAAATTACATATATGTTATTATTTAATAAGCAATCGGTATCAATATCTTTAGAGTTACATCAATTAAGTAGATCCGATAAATTATATCCTTCCTTATTGTTTACAAATATTTATAAACATAAACTTTCATTGAAACAAGATAATAAATAAGGGGAAAAGATTTGAATAAGTTAATAGTAGACATAAAATTATCCTTGAATGAACTTTACTTTGGAATCTAAATTTAGTATACGTTGTTGTAAATAGTATTTGATATACTCGATGAATAATATATTATAATAATTATACTGTTAAAAAATTATAAAATTTCATGTAGAATTAAGTAACATATTTTGTAGTACTTTATACATTATTTTTGACTATGTATCACACTATGTATCCACCACAAATAATGGTGCAGATAATGGGAGGTCAACAGGCAAATGGACAGTGTCCGCCGGTTCAAGCACACGCAATGCACAATCATGGTGCAGGAGCATTTCTTCAATCTGAATATGTAAAGTATCGTTCAGATAGCAGCTGTGCACAGAATAGACATCAGATGATACAGGTATATTATTGAGTTTATAAAGAGTTGGTCGTTTTAAAGGAATCTTTTCGAATACAAGTAGTATTTTTGCAGACAGGATCTTATCCACTGGAGTTACTGCAATTGATGGGTGTTGAAATACCTTCTCTAAGACGTATAGAATATATGCAATCACCGAACGGAGTGTCTTCTGGACAGTGGCAAAGACGGGTGAATACATCAAATAATACACCTATTATACCCTCTCCGCATCTTACTTTTAGGCCAAACAGTAATGGTTTAGTAAAAAAATCAAATTGGTATAACAAAGTCAGTAAAAGAAATTCATTTAGAGAATCATTTGCAAAGAACGAAAGGTACGGCAGTGATAGCGGTTTCAGTTCTCGATCTCCAACACCGAACAAGCATCACATTGATAGTAGTCAAACAGAAAGTTCAGACGAACGAGATTCTGTAATTTCTTCGGTTGAACAAAGTATCAAGTAAGTATATCATTGAAATTCAGTACGAAGCTTTGTACGGGATTACATAATTGTTTAATATTTAAAATTATAAAACATTATTCTGTTGCAGAAAGTCGCATAAAATGCATTCAAACAATATTGCAAACAACAGAATAATGCAGTACGGTATATTTTCAAATACTTCCTCGAATCATTATTATCAAAATCAAAAACCTGTTAATTATTATCCCGCTGCAATGCCAACATCTAGAATTCAAGTACAAACTTATCAGAATAAAAGAAGATATCATTCAGGTATATTTACATTGATTATATATATATGTATATATATATAATTTCATTCAGAAATAAATGATGCTTTTAGGAAGAAATAGTCCACCTCCTCAAAGATTGCAAAGGAACAGAAAATATATGGGGTTATTATCACCAACTTATAATACGTTTCCTAGGTATGGAATTGCTCCAGATCGATTCCTTGCTAGGTCACATTTAGTTGAAGTAACTCACGCCCCGGACGAGTTGATTAATGGATCTATTTGGGATAATTTGTCAAAAGATGTTTGGTCAAAATTTATGGTCAATCAACAAACTGAAACCATATATAGAAATAAAATGATGCTTTGGAGATATCTTTATGTATACATTAAGGTATAATTTATGATATTCATTGTATGTACGTATGTGTCAATGAAAATGTCACTTTTATTTACTATATACAACATTTTCAGACTGCATTTCCAAAATATGGTTTGTTTTTGGTTGGATCTACGATGAATGGTTTTGGATCGGATAACAGTGATGTTGACATGTGTCTTTTAGTGAGACATACAGAAATGGATCAAAGGAACGAAGCCATTGGCCATTTAGAGCAAATATTAAAGTGTCTTAAGAGATGTGGTATGTTATTGCCAGTTTCAAAATTAAATTAGCGTAGTTTCTGTTATTTCATCAAGATATTTTTATTGTAATAGATTTTATAGAACAGCTGGAACTTATACAAGCAAAAGTACCAATTCTCAAGTTCCATGATTCTATACAAAATTTGGAAGTTGATTTAAACTGTAACAATGCTGTTGGTATTCGAAATACTCATTTACTCTATTGTTATTCTCGAAGTAAGAATATACCATACAGAAAGTATGTAAAAAAGAAAAGTTTATAAGCGCTTTAACTAATAGAAATGTTTTTAAATAATTATGTAGTTGACTGGAGAGTGAGACCATTAGTACTGGTGGTTAAACTTTGGGCTCAGTCCCAGGATATCAACGATGCGAAAAACATGACAATATCTAGCTATTCTTTAGTTCTTATGGTTATCCATTTTTTGCAGTGTACGTATATGTATATTCTATATCTATGATGCGTAGATACGTAGGTATTTATCTGTTTATTTATTTTAGGTGGTGTTAATCCACCAGTTCTACCTTGCCTACATACTCTTTACGAGGGTAAATTTTCACCGCATACAGATATTCACTGTATAGATATTCAAGAAGAATTGGACATTCCAGCCACTGTACTTCGGCCAAAGAATAGACAATCATTAGGGGAACTTTTTGTTGACTTTTTTCGATATTACGTGATGTTTGAGTGAGTGAAAAAGAAACATATCATAAATATCATAAATATTATAATTTACTTGAACGGGTATCCCGTAACACTAATTATTATAAATCTATAAAATTTAATTATAATAGTTTCAATCAATTCGCAATATCGATACGTTTGGCTAATAAAATACCGATAGAAGAATGCCGAAGAGCACGATCTTATAAAAATGATCCGCATCAGTGGAAATATTTATGTATCGAAGGTGAGTGTACGATACTTGACGAATCAATGAAAAGATAATATTTTATAATCGATATTTATATTAATTCTTTACGTATGAACAGAACCATTTGACCTTACCAACACTGCTAGATCAGTTTACGACCCGGATGTTTTTGCAAGAATCAAACAGGTATTTGATTGTACGTATCAAAACTTGAAGAAACATCATGACTTATCCAGGATATTTGTCAAGATGAATTCATCGTCATCCTATATCGTGACGTAATCACGTTCACAGTTGGCTAGTATAGAAATACTCATTTATCTAGTATAATTTTATACTTGAATGCGGTTTATTTTTGCAATTGGCCTCAGCTTATAGAATTGGAGGCAATTCGACTGATACCACCTATAACTGTATGAAGGATGATAGAAAGTACAATGAGGTAATAATATTCTACGCTTACCTTGAGCTACCACGCTCGTGTATTGTGATAATAGCCGGCGCTTCCATGCAATGGCTCACCTGTTGCGTTTAAAGGATCGAGTTTTTCCTCTCGTCTTGTTTCGTTTCTGTTTTATTTCTCTAATTTTTTTCTTTTTTTTTTGTCTATTTTTTTCTTTTCTTTTCTCAGTATGTAGAGTCGCTTATTACATGAATTTAAATCTATACGATCAAAAAGATTCTTAGCTTTTCACTATAAACGAAATAATAACATTTGTAATTAAAAACGTAGAGGAAAAAGCATTAGATTCAAATTGAAAGTTTGATAATATTAATCGCACACATACGAAAACTGTTTTTCCTTCAAATATTAATAATCACCTTGTGAATTTCTTCAGTTCCATTTCGTTACGTATTCGAATATATGAAATGTGGTGCCTTACTATTATTTAATTGTTACAAAGTCTCTCGTTAAATATAATAAGTCGCCGATATATGTTAAAAAAGAACTACGTCTAAAATTCGAAAACGACATCGAACTTTCTTTCAAATTTCAAATATTCATGTACAAAAAAAGGTACTTACTCTTAATTAAGAACTATCGCGAATAAACCTGTGCTTAAAAAAAGAAAGAAGAAAAAAAAGTACAAGAAAAAGATATCTCATCGAGATAATGAAAAACGAAAAAAAAAAAAAGATTAAAAAGAAAAAGGTAAAAATTGTTTTGAGAGAGAGAGAGAGAGAGAGAGAGAGAGAAAAAGAGTATGAAAATGTTAAAAATATGTTAATATTATTGATAGTAACAACAGAGGTTCATTCAAATTAATTTATACAATCAATTAAACACTACTAAAAGATATTTCTAAAATCATTAAGTTTCATTTAATTGTATCATGATCGTCAAAATAAGAAATTATTTTTGTCTTTCACGAACAGATTTCCGTAAAACAAACGGTCTACTCGGAACGTATCTTGAAAGAAAAGTAGACCACTTGGGTATATACATGGTGTAGTTAAAAAATTTAAAAAGTAAACTAAACAGTGCAATTGGTTACATAACTAAATTTACAATAATAATTTGTTAAGGTAATCATTCGATTGGGCAAAGTTCCTACTTTCATTAAACATCATGATTCCATTTTCTAATACTAATTTGACTAGTCCTTTCATTGCCAAAAATATAAAATGTAATTTAAAGTATAACATATAAAAAACAGAGGGCTGTGTGTTAACAGTATAAAAATTGTTAGGTATTAATATTCAACCCTCAGGACTGTGTAATCAAAAAGCGAACATATTCGTAGAACAGATATAAAAATTGATGCTTTCTTGAAAATTATTTCCATAAATATATCTTTTGTACGTATAAATAACTTAATCCTGAACAGGTTTAATGTATTTTTCTAATTAATTATTTACTTATTTTTGTAACGAATACTTATAAAAGAATTAAATGTTGAAAATCTTCCTTTGCTCAAAACTAGAAAAATCCATGATCTTCCTATTCTTCTTTTTGTCAACTGTACACAAAATTTTAAGATAATAATATTTGAACTTTTATAATTTTGATTTTGTAGTTGAATAAAAAATATTTACATACATATATACGTGATCTACGATTTTATAACTATATTTACAATATAGAATAGAAATAAAATAGGTAATTTTTTCAAATTAAATTTATTTGTTCCGTAAGATTTCACAATGAATTTCCATAATATATTCTGCAGTTAGCGGTGCGCTGTTGGTCGGAAAGAAGAAAAGAAAACAATTTCAAGTCGTGTACTTAATGTTGCTCTTTTTCTTTTTTTTTTTTTAATTTTCAATTTTTACCGTGGCTTGGTGAAATTAATTTGTTATCGCGAGAAGTCAGGACCAAACGAAAAAAAAAAAAATAAAGAATCAAGTCGCAAGGGGTGTACGAGGGAAAAAAGGAACAAAAGAAGAAAAAAGAAAAGAAATGCAAGCATAGAAATTAAATGTTACATATAATGATACTTTGGATAGTACATTACTTAATTGACTATTCGATATTCAAAATTCAAATAATTTCTACAAATTTTCAAACTAAATCGGTTACATCCCCAAAATACACGGAACATTATCTCTATCTTTTCAATAAATCCATTTCTTTGTTTACAAGAAAAAAAAAATATACAAATAGCGAATGAAATTTGTTTTCACTCTTGCGACTTTGTTGACCCCTGCGATGAGAAAACATATATATATATATATATATGTATGTACCAGTTTAACCAGGAAAAAAAGAAACCAAACTAATTAACATGATTTGTATTGATAGGAATTCGTTATCGGTTAGCATTATGTCAACATCACGTCAAGCCTATGAGATAGGATTCCTCTCTTTTGACCTCGTATTGGCGACAAATTGGCACGGTGATACTTTTGACCGATTTATCGTTCCGTTGTTAAACAATACTCGTTACTTAAAACCCCGTTCTTCTGGTACGTGCCGCCATACATTTATTTCATTCATCAGGATTCCATGAATTCTCTCTATAGGCATGTATTCGTCTTTTCCCTTTTCTTTTTTCGACATCGCTGTTCTCACACCCTTAAGGGAAATTGAAAAGACACGTAACGCGTATCATAGCCAATTCAATGTGTGTTGTTTCTCTGTCAATTTCTTTGTCTGTGTATCGTATCTCCTTAGAGAGGATTTTCCAAATATCCATACGAGATTGTTTGTAAAATATGCGTTGCCATCTAGAAATTCATCCAGTTGTATCGTTAGAAAAACACTTTTAATTGGCAAACAATATATACTTGTTGACCTCTGATTTGTGTGACGAAGCGTTACATGTCCCGTATCTTCCTTACCTTTTATTATTATTATCATCTTTTTTTCTTTTTTTTTTTTGTGTTTTTCATATTTTGACATTTTTTTGTGTAATTCTAGTGTCACTCGATCCCCCGCGATAAAACGGTCCGTTCACGGTAAGCGCGTGTCACGGTGAGTTGGTTAAGGTAGTGATTGTGTCGTCTCCGCTTTGTCCTATCCCCTTTTAGTATTATTAACCATATCCTTTCCCGTCTAGAACACGGTGAAATGGCGACAAACTTCCTTTTTTTTTGGTAGCTTTATTTTTATCCCTTTTTTTTCTTTTCTGTTTGTTCTTGTTCTTGTTGTTGTTCTTGTTGTTGTTGTTGTTGTTTAAAAACCCTCTTTAACGCCGACGACTGCGTGCATATTACCGTACTCGATCGCCGAGCCGTTTTACCGTTTTGCGCAGTTAGTGATTTGTGGTTGTTGGTCGAAGAAGAATTGGTCGAACGAGCCTTCAGTCGCTCCCGCGACGCTGCATAGCAATTGCGTTGCTCAGCCGTACGGTCTCGGCTCAGTATGGCTGGGAGAATTGTCCCCCGGCTTGTGACTGTCCAGATTGATAAAAACCACTTCGATCACCTTGATAAGTTGAATCTTGCGACAAGAGACCGTCCATTTGCGATTGAAATTCGCCGACGGCAAACGAATCCTGTGAAAGTTCCGCTTGACTCAATCCAGGTTGAGAAAGACTAAAGCCTGGCTGTGACATACCCTGTGTCGTACCCTGGGTCAACGGTAAACCCGGCTGACTGTACGGTTGGGTATTCTGTTCGGTTTGACTCAACTTGCCCATTCGCGGGCCTTGTTTATTCTTCGACAAAGCGGTACCACGACGATTACGTTGATTCTGTCTGGCCTGTAACGCTTGTTGATGTTGATTATAGAAACGCGGCGGCACGTGCGCCATGTTCATAAACATTCCAACTGGAACTGGTACGTTGTTCATCGCTGCCTGAGCTCTCTCTGGACTAATGTAACTAATCGTATCGTGAGTTCTGCTGAATATGTCCAAAGGTACGTTCCTCTGATAATACGGATTGTGATTCTGTTGACCGTTCACTTGGCTACCCGAACGATCGTATACGGATCCTGGAATAAGAGCTTCTCTCGCATCGTACATCGAGGTGGACATGAAATGCGAGCCTGGATTAGCGGTATTCACCAATTTCTTTGGCTTGGCAAATTGAATCATAGATTCTTTAAGATTATTCAAAGGCCCTTCGACGAGTACCTTTTGTTCTTTGTAGAAACTCAACAAATGATTCCAGAGCGGCTGCTTGGACAACACCTTTGGATTCCCTACGATTATTATGCCGTATTTTGCACGGGTCAATGCAACGTTTAATCTTCTCGGATCGTTCAAGAATCCGATACCTTGATGTTCGTTCGATCGTACACAGGACATGATTATTATATCTTTTTCCCTGCCTTGAAACGCGTCTACGCTGGCGACCTCGATTTCTTGATACAATTTCGAATGCAACGAGCCTTGGTACTGCATGTACTGAACCAAATAGGCCCTCTGTCCCTCGTACGGAGTTATCACTCCGATTTGTTCGGGTTTTACTCCGCAACGCAAGAACCGTGTCGCTATCTTTTCGACGTTGGACGCTTCTGTACGATTCAAGTACGACGTGCCACTTCCAGCGATTTCTTCTTGTCCTTGGGTAACATAAAAGAACATGGGTTTGTCGGGTGCTGGCCAAGGGAAATCGATCTTCAACAGTTTTCTTTCGTCCGCGCATACTCCATTTTGTAAGGAACCCTCGTAGAAGAAGTTCGATGGGAAACGCGATAGGTCCGGATGCATACGATACTGTACCTCCAAACGGAACGGTCTGATTCCAAGTACAACTAATCTCTCGAAAAGAGATTGAGATAAACCTGCTCTGGCTGCCTTCTTGCACATAACAACAGGTCCTAATTGACAATGATCACCAACCAGAATTAATTGCTTAGCACCGAGTACAACCGGTACCATGCACTCGGGTTCGGTCGCTTGCATACTTTCGTCGATAAGAATAGAATGGAATTTCAGTCTGTGCAACCTTGGATCACCGGCACCGACGCAAGTACAACAAATCACATCGGCTGCTTCCAACAATTCTTTCTCTGCTGCTTTCTTCAAAAGTCTATAACGTTTCTCGTCGACGCTCGATAATTCTCCGGTTTCGTCCTTCAACTGCTGTAACTTTTGCAGCTCCGTGTTTGTTTCCATATTTTTTATTTGATTGTGAAGAGCAAGAAAGCTGACCGGTGAATCGATCGCTTCTCGGGATTTCGCGCAAAGTCGTACAACTTTTAGATTAGACTTGTGTATTTTCTCGGTCAACTGATCGACGGCCGTGTTCGAAGGAGCGCATACCAACACAGGACCGCCGTTCTGTTTGACCAATTGATAAACTATCGTAGCGCTGGTCACAGTTTTTCCCGTTCCAGGTGGTCCTTGAATTAGAGACAAAGGTCTTTGTACGGCGTGTTTCACAGCGTATACTTGAGAACGATTCAAATCCGGTAAATTAGGAGCACTGAAATGCTTCGGAAGGTGACATCGAAACAGGACTTCTTCCACTTCGTGTCCTAACAACCTATGGTATATGTAACCAGATACGGAGGTGTCGTCCACGGCAAATTTTCGCAATGCTAATTGCATGCTACGATTGAAAAAGATAATGATGACGATGATGATGATGATCATAATAATAATTAATAATTCATAATTAATAATAATAATAATAACGATGATGATGACGACGATGAAAAGATTAACTTTTTCTTACTTACCGATCAAAACTTGTACTTTTCCAAATAAAATCAACAACAAAGTTACTGACACACTCTGTAGGAGCGCCAGAATTATTCTTCAACTCGATACCGACTTCTTCTCCGTAATTATCAGGAATCTTTATCACGTGTCCAATTCCTGACCAAGGTTTGTGAAGTTCGCCCAAATAGCGAAGTCTTAATTCATCTCCGTGCATCAATTTCATATCTCCGTCGGTTTTCGCCAACATGAAATAGGCAATGGTCTTTTTATTCAATCCAACGTCCCAACGAACTTCGATGTTTTCTTGAGTTTGAGACTCCTTTAAACGTTTGTCGTAATCGGCTTCTAATTTAACAAGCGGACCAAATATGTTTTGATACTGGTAACCATCCTCGTACCGCAACAAAACTTGTTGCGGTTCTTCGTCCACTCCAGGTTTCTCGAGGTCTTGAAAGGTCGCGTCGACGTTATCACGCCACAACTCTTCCAATTTATTTATCTGTTGGGCAGAAATCTGTCGAGCTCGCAACTGTTCTTGTTCGGATGGAATTTTCACTAACCATGCCAAAAAGCTACGGTCTTCGATCAACGGTTTCCACTGTTCTTGATCCCTAAAAGATAAAAAAAAGGTGTTGAAAAAATAATAAAACGCATTTCTTTTCTAGAAAGAATTATTTACCAGTTCATGTCCTTCAACGAACTTTGAGCCGCGCATGGTTGACGACAAAGCAACACGACAACAGAATCTGCTTTCGCAGGGATGAAACCGAGGACGAAAACATTCCGGACAGCGCAAGAATAACATTCCAGAACAGTTTCTCCCAAAGGACCGTCTCTGTAATATAAATACATTACGACATAATGATAATGAAAGAAACAGGCATAAAGCAACATAGTATCTGGAGAGATACTACAAGTTACGATACCTGTGTAAAGTAACTTCCTTGTGCTTAGCTCGGACAAGGTGGTTGATGATGTGCGAACCAGATGTGTTTCCACGTCCATTGCAGAACCATTTGCGACAGATATTGCACATAACAACGCAGGATGCTTCATGAATTCCACAGTATTTGCAGGCATGTTCTGGCAAATCACGATTATAGTAAGCTTCCTCTTCTTCCTCCTCGAACTGTAATTCGGCTAGACTTTGCGCTGCCCCGGAAATTTTCAATTCCAGAGACGAACTGCCGCTTGTTCCGTTAACCTAAATAAAAGAAAATCACCTTGCACAACACAATCCGAAACAATGTCTTTTTTACGTAAAATTCAGCTAACCTCTTATAAATAAGAAACTAATAATTACGTTTATAAAAAAAAAGACTGAAATAAATCGAGTGTCACGTTTTCGGCTGAATTGGATCGGTGAGACAATCACGTGGGAAAAGTTATATCGCGCCGTATACACATGATCGGATAGGGGGGAAAAAAAAGCAGGGTGATGAAACGAAAGGAAGGCGTGGACACGTAAAGAAGCACGATGCGTGCATCGAAATTAATAGAAGCAGCATAAACGGCGGCGGGAGGTTAGGGTGTAGTTATCCGCGTGACTGGAAAAATTCTCGGCAACGAAGAAACACAGATAAAGTCTGATGAAAATAGGTTAGAGGCCGATCTTTCTGAACATATGACGAGCCAAAAAAACCAACCTGTACGGGCTGGTTAGGTTGACTTTGAGCAGTATCGTGTTGCGAAGCTTGCGTTTGACTCGGCGAAGGTAACGTAAAATCCGTAAAGTCAAACTCGCTGCCTTGAGTGTCCGCACCGATTAAATCCGCTTCCTCCGTGTCGAGAAACGTGAGGGTCTGACTGCTGGGTCCGTATGCATCGACGCTCATCGTGTATAATATTCGCCGTCCGTTTCCTACCCTGTAAAGAGATATTGCCTGCCTTCCGTCACGTAAAATCCACCAAACAGCACTCCTCTCTGATAAAACGTTCCACCACTAATGCTCCAGACAGATTTATCGTTAACAAACGACAGACAAACGAACCAGCGAGTTAAGTGAACTAAACACTTGGACGAAAGAGGCCAGAAAATCCTACGCCATACTTGGTTTCGCGCAAGTCTCGCGCCCACCAACACCGCGACACGAGTACACAACTAACTTTTCTTCTTGCGCTGGCCGCGTGTTACGTCATCAGCTGATTTCCAACTCCGCTAACAAATCACCAACGAAGATCGCCAATTTCGTTGGTTTTTCACTCGAAACCTCGATTACTTTCTTCCCGAGCGCATTTTTCTCATTTTTCCTGCCGATTCCTCTTGAAATCTTTATCGGTTAAACATCTGATAAGCGATAGATTGTGACGCATTCCGGCAGATGACGACACAACTATTGCAAGTTATACAGAAATCTTGGCGGAAAGAGACATTTTCTTTATTCTTCTATTCAATTCGATACAATTATATTTCTACGTCTTTCAATTGTTTACACAATCACAATCACAATCACAATCACAATCTCGATCTCTTACGATTAGTTAGATAGAAAAATTTAGTAAATTTATTTAGTAAAAAATGGCGCGCCTTAGATGGCGCTTTCGAATATCGCCCAATCAGAGAGCTCTTCTATCTGATTCAAACTATGATAAATTACCTACATGATTTTCTTTTCTTATAATTCATAGCTAATGACACAAGTTCACCCGCCATTCAAACGTTCGATGGAATTGGAATGAATTGTTTACCTTCTTATACCATTATGTACTTTGAACAGATTGGAATTATTAGAGAAAGGTATGAGTTCCGGACTTGTTTATTATCGAATTCTTTCTACTTACGTACATATACATATGTAAATGCTACGATAATTAAAGTTGTACACGTATAACTATAATAAAGATAATAAATAGAAATTTAATATATACAAAAACACTTGCTGCTTCATCGGTATCTAATATATTTTCTAGTAGAAATTTAAAGAGCTTTTTTTCATTTCGTACACAGCTTTAAATTATTTTCTATCCGATTCATAATACATGTATAGCTTATAAAATAATGTCGGGAAGTTGCAGAAATTTCGACGTTACAGCAACAAATTTCCAGGCTTAATTTTCAATATATCTACACCTAGTTTTCGTCTTTAATAAAAATTCAACGTATAAAAAATTATTGATGAGATCAGTCCTGTTGGCGATATATCGACTATACTTTCAAGCAGTTTATCTTATAATATTGACTTTGAATAAAATGATATCGAATAAATCTTCATTTCCATGAGAGTTTCAAGAATTGCTTCCGCATTTTCTCCCTAGATGGCTAAGTAAGTAACGATCGATTCTCGAATCGAATCGAATCGAATCGAATCGAATCGAATCGAATAAAATTTTAAACAATCAATTAACGGTTTATTTCGATACGAACACGATGGCAAAGTGACATGAAATTTTGGTAATGAAAATTCCTATAGTTGAAAACATTATCACTGCTACAATATGAATACTAATTCCATCACGATCGAAACACAGTTTAAAAGATTATTCAAGTCTTTGGATGGTTGAAACTTTCGTGAAAGTTCCACTACTCCGTGCTTTTCCATCACACTATAAAATGGCACGTATCAAGTTCCTCTTTTAACAAATCTCTGACTTTGTAGGTAATGCTGGTGTGCCTAACCCACGAAGGAATATTTGTGACAGTGAATATCATCGTATTCCTGATGACTCAACGTTTAAGAAACGGTAAGTTCTTTTCTCAACTGCATCCAGCAGTTAATGGCAGTTAATAGCAGTTAACAAAATAAATATACTCGTTGAATTTACAGTCAGTACTGAGGATTCGGAGAATTTCTCGTGAAATTACTCTGCTGATTCTGTTGCAAGGGGCCAGCTGGGCTAGGTCTGGATTGTTCACGGTATTGAGGAGGACCCGGTGGTCCGTTCGGTGGTCCGGTTGACCCAGGAGGTCCAGGTACTTTGGCATAGTTTCCTCGTGTAGAACCTTGGTAGCTACCGTATGCAGAATCGTCGCTGCGCCTAGAGATATGGCCATACATACTCTCTGGTCTTCTAGAGTTCGTTGCGTTATCCGTATTGGTGGATATAGGTACGTTTTGGTGTTGCTGTTGTTGCTGCTGTTGCTGCGGTTGTTGTTGTTGTTGTTGTTGCTGTTGCTGCTGCTGCTGCTGCTGCTGCTGCTGTTGTTGATGATGATTCTGTCCAGACGACTGAACACTTGCAGGAGACTGTTGAGGGTTCTGATTACTTGGAGGAGGAGCTGGAGCCCTGCCGTATATACTGGAGCTCGTAGAAACCCCATAGATACCGTTCTCCCGGGTGCTTAGACTCGTTGAAATTCCTCTGATTCCGTAAATACTCTGTGTACATTGCTGCAGCTGATTCTGCATATTCTGATTGGTACTGTTATGATTCTGCGAAGACTGAGTCGGTCCACCGGTTGTTGGTAGATTCGTTGGTAGATTCGTTGGTAGATTCGTTGGTAGTTGTTGATTCTCCCTTGTAGAATTTGTGGCTGCCTGGCCTATTCTGATGGGGTACAAGCTCTGAGCCGGCGCTAACGGGCCTGGCTTAGGAATCATCAAACCATCTCGCGTACCAGACGTTGATTTAGCGTATACGCTTTGGGAACGATTCAAGTTTGCCCGAGTCAAAGGCGGAGACTTGCAGTAGAGTGACTTGGTTCCACCGTAGATGGATTCGACACGTTCCAAGGCTGTCGGAGGGGCACTGTAAATAGAAGAAGATGCTCCAGCTACTGGACGGTAAGTGGCGTAAGCGGTGGGAAACTTTGGTCCGGATGGTTTGTCCAGATCGTCGTAAGTGTCCTCGTCGGATCTCATCGACGAGTTGTCGCCGTCGTCCATCTCTCGAGGATCCCTCGATCGTTTCGGATTCAGGACGTACTCGTAGAGCAGAGCTGCTACCGCGCTTCCCGACAACGGTCCCACCCAATACACCCAATGGTTGTCCCATCGGTTGCTCACGAAAGCTGGACCCAGAGCTCTAGCCGGGTTCAAGAATGGACTCTGAAAGTATAAATATCAAATTGTTATTTATCACCTCTGCATCTGGCTTTTTCGCGACACGATATTTAATGCGTATGTTATGTTTCTTGGGGTATGATTTCAGAGGAAATCGAACTGAAGGAGAAAATTTAACAAACAAGATTTTCCTCTCTTTGGATTGCAAATAATCTGACGTTCAACGTGCACACGTGGTGGTACTATCAGATTTTTCGTTTTCGGCTGCATTGTATATACACCCGTGTTCCGGAGCAGGTGGGTCTCGGATCAAGTTCTCTCTTTTTTCTTTCATCCTTTTCTCTTTTATACCCCCCCGTCCCTCGCCTGCTCCCCCTACGACTCTCACGTTCTTTCTACGGCAAATTGCAGGTGCTCTTTAAACACGTGGATCGGGAATCGATTTGAAAAAGACCGAGGGACATTTTGGATAGACCGGTTCAGAAGAAGAAGAAGAAGAAGAAGAAGAAGAAGAAGAAGAAGCCTTTTGCAGTCTACTTATACATTTTGAACGTGAAAGGTGTACTTACCGAAACTAAAGTAGCCGCTGTATAAGCAGCAGCTAGCACACCGGCTGGTTTTGACGAAATTGACGATGGTAAAGCTTTGGAAGATTCTGAGGTGAAATGGGCCAGGACTATAAGTACCGAGAGTGCTAGTTCCACTAGTAGTCTTTCGATAGCTCCACCGAGGCGACCTGGGGATGTCAATGTTTGCGTATTGGAAGGCGTAGTCACCCTATATAACAAGAAAACAAAATACAAAATTGGTAAAAATTCATTTATAAGTACAACTTATACGGAGCAATAATGAATTATCTGGTGATACCGAGTGGTAGTATATGTATACTGTGGACAGTATGCATTTATGGGAGTAATCGCATTTGGAAAAAAATGAAACTATGGTGGAAAATATTATCGATTTCCCCAAAGTGATCGAGCTTCGCATATGGCATTCACTGTGATACCGCAATATAATATACGATGATTTTCCTATTGAAAGTTACTGTATCCCTGACAGCGAGCGTAAAAGCCCTCTGCGGCAAATAGGTCCCAACGGTGTAATGTTTATATTAGCCGGTGCATCGTCGAGACCCACCATTCTACTTTTATCGCCCCTCGCGCGCTATTTCATTTGCATAAAACACCTCGTTAATTTTCTCAGTTTGTACAATCATACGGGGTCACAGAGACGCGACCTTAACCCTTTCCCAACAGCAAACAGTCCAGTGAGAAAAAGTGACAGCAGTGATCACTGCTAATCTCACATTAGATATAACATTATTGCCACGAACTACAAGATAGTTTGAAAGGTTTGAATCTTATTCAAGTATAATTACGACTAATCATGGATAATCTCTTAAATGCCTGTTTCAGCTTGAAATCTCCATCGACCTAAAAATCTATCGTCACGTGCATCAGCGAAAGTTCTCCCTTGGTTCATGCAAATGAAAGCGCCCTTTTCTCTCTCTCTCTCTCTCTCTCTCTCTATCTCTCGAGTAGGTACTCGTGGATCGTATTACGAGAGAAAGCGAATTGATGAAATCAGAAATGCAGATCATCAGCGCACAATTGGGATTAATCGTGCGCGGTTCGCGGTACACCACAACCGTGCAAAGAGGGTGAGAAACTAAGGGGATGAAAGCGTTCCTTTTACTAAGCTGCGCGTGATAAGCAGATTTTATTTGTTTGTAAGTATTAAAAGACTTTTGCAAGTTTTATCTGTGTAATGTAATTTGCCTAATGAGTTTCCTTTATACAGATATTACAAGAAATTGTGCAGGTGCCTCGAACCTTCTTTGTAAATCTGAGTAAATTTGAGAAAGGTCCCACGATCAAGCGGCTCGTTTTCTCACGTTTCTAACCCGAAGAACCCCCGGTCATTCGCGCGAAACTCATCTGATATGATCGTCATTGGAAGAACGTTTAATCTTGCGTGCACTTGACTCGAGAGCGAGTGCAACCTGTGCCCCATATTTTGAGAGGGGTAGAGAACCCCAGAGGGTTCACCCTAGAGACCGTCGATACGACGCTTTAAATAAATTTCAATTTGATAAAGGGATGGGGGACGAGGGACAGGGTGGGGGCGGTGAAGAGATGTGTGTATCAGTTTCACCAGGCTATGCTCGTGTTTAACGAGCTATTGATACCTTCCACCACTGGCCCTTGCCCCTCTCTCAAGAACTGCAGACTCGCCACAAAAGAATCGCTTCCCCTTTTCGACTGGATGTGTTCCAACGAGGAAAACCACCACATGTGATACGCGTTAAACCGCTACGAAGCTGAACAGAGCTCTATTCTAAAGTCTTGCCCTATGTCCTATGTTCTATGGGAAAGTTCAGATGCACCGGACAAGCTATGGAATAAGAAAATTAAGTTTTACGGTCAACCAACGATGCGGGGTAAATTTCTGCCTCTCCTCGCTTCGTGGGAAGTTTTCAGGGAATACTGATGCTGAATCGTCACGATTCCACTATTATTTTATACGGCATATTAAACATACATGTGCAGAAATATTTCAACACTTTTGAAGAAAACGGAACGCTATAGCTTTTCGAGGAAGCGGCTTTCTGCGCAACTCTACTTTTCATAGAAATACGGACTCAACAAAGCACAGGAATTCTTTGAAAGAACAAGAAAGAACAAGAAAGAGAGAGAAAGCAAGGTAGGTTTGATCGTGAGTAGTATTCTCTCTGCTGAATGAAAAAAAAATCTGAAAGAAAGAAGACAGGAAGTGCGTATACCTACGAGGATCCGTTTCTCCGTTATTTATTATTCTTAATTTCTATCCTGAAGGTTCGTCTAACGATAAAACGAACGAACTGAGAAAGAGTAGAAGACTGTTCTCTCGCAATAGATAGAATTTCATGCATATGATGGCCTTTCGATTATGGTAATGATCATTCACGCACGGATTCTACAGGAGGACGAAGCAATCTTCTGTTGATTTGTTAAGGTATAAATAAAGGAAAGCTCGGCAGCTGGTCAAAGATCGTTGCGGATCTCTATAGATCCTACAATATAAATCGTACAGTCTGCCTTTCTAAAACACGTGCCAGCCACATGTTGCACAAAAGGGGAATCCTTAGTGATCCTTTCGAGCATCGTAGCGTAAGTCGTAGTCACAAAGGAGCTTTAGGAGGCCATAAATGATTCTTTTTCGGTCGTAGAGATCGAAGAGCAGCAGATGTTTTGTCGCCTTCGTATTCTTCGAAGACGTTCCACCTTGATCCAGTCGGCAAGAACGAAAAGAAAAGAAAAGGAAAGGAAAAGAAAGGAGAAGATAGAAAAAAATTTACGATTGATCCTTCCGAGATATGTAAAAGCAATTGCTCAAACATCTAGTATAGTAACTTTAGCAAACGATATTCTGTTGAAGGTAAAGGATCGAAGTGAATTTTGTAAGTTAATCTTGGGCAGTGTGAACAGTTTGCCTATGGTGCATCTAATGATTAGTACAGTCTACGACAAGGGTAGAGGAACGGAAAGATTCTTGAGAAGGAACACGTGGTTGAGAAGGAACCATCTGTTGGCATCCTGCTCCGGTTATAACCCGACCTAAGCTGGCTCTTTTACTTACTTACTTACGTAGGTATGTACAAGTTCTTTTCTACCTCGCTTTGAATGCTTCAACACTTTTCTTTTTATTAGGAAAAAAAAAAAAAATACCAATGTCAATTAAGCGAACTCGTAGATCAAGTAAGTAAATTTCTTTCAGTGAAAATAAAATTTTTAATTTAAAAAGTAACGTGCTTAGAGAAGAGGTAAAGAAAAAAATTTATTAGGTGAAAATAAAGGCGATTAATAAAGCGTAAATTTTCCCAGCAATTTTAGTTAATGCAAATATTTAGTTAAGACTTGGTAGGGGTTTTAAGAGGCGGGTGCAAAGATCCATACCATATGTTGTATACTTTTTTTCTTTTTTCTCCCTTCGCCTTCTTACCATTTATTTTTACCAACAGAGAAACACACTTTTCCGACAACTTTTCCATTACTGTAATATGATATCGAAAAAACGATATCATTGTAAAAGATGGAATCACGTGGAACGTTTAAGCGGTCCGCTTTGAGTTCGCGGTAAAAGGTGTTCGAAGCAGGTAAAGCATTCCTACTGAAACAGCTCTACCTGACCCACGCTGCCTGGCTTTCACGCTGCATTTTCGACCCAACAACAGTTTCTCTCCATGTACGAGATCTAAAAGGAACTAGATACCTAAAATGTATAATACCTACATAGATGCTAACGATAAGTGAAAAATATGTCAAGAAGAATTGAAGATAGAAAGATACTATAGTGAAATTTATCATGTTAAAGCGTTGAAACAGAGCTTGACTCGATGGACAGAACTACGTCAGATGCTGAAACGATGCTAACACTTAAATGTCAAGTTTAAAATCAAGTTTCCTAAAGGACAGTAGTATCCTTCAAGTACCTATGTCAAAAGTCTCACCTATTATTATTTATTATTATGTACACTTATTTTCATTTACTCTGAATGTTTAATATTTCACCAGTAACAATGTTTAAACACGGTTTCACAGTTGTCGAAGAAAACGAGGAGAAAGATGTCCCGAAACTGTCTTTTAAAACCTTACTTATTCGACTGGACGGCGAATTACTGTACATATGTACATACATACATACATATATTGAAAGAAAATCCGAAGGAACGCGTCGTACGAGTCTCAGAATTATTGAAAAGCGGTGCTCGAAAGCCCTGGCTTAAGAACCCAATATCGAGGGTTCTCCAGGAAGCTTTAGATATTGCGCATCTACCAGAAATCGTTCCGTGAAACGTGCTTTCTCCGTATCGGACGATATTTCTCTAACAAGCAGGTAAATCTAAAATAAATCTAAAAGAAATCTAAAAGAAATATAATCTGAAACGTGATTGATCAATGATTTGGATTTCAGTTTAAAGAAGGACAAGGATAAAAGACCATAGGAGAGGAAACGTGTGTGACGAGACTGTTTCTTCTCTGGAATATCCGGTTCGCCACGCGTACTGCGTGTGTCTTGCTTCACGTCACAACACACACCTGCTTCCTTACAGCTGTTCCCTGGTTCGTGGTGGCAAACTAACTCTCTTGTCAAATACGTAGGTTTATAGCATCGTATCTATAATACTATCCTTCCATTCTTCAAATTAATGTTCATTTTGTAGACTTTAAAGAATCTCGAAAAAAATTATAAATACATGTCAATAGAAAAAAGAAAAAGAAAAAGAAAAAGAAAAAAAAATGACAAAGATAATGGGAAAATCTTGTAACTGTTTGATGAAACGATAGTAAATTCTTTATGGATAGTTAGACTAGCGGTTTTCCCTCATAATTTCTCCATTAGTACATTAGTTTGATAGACGATTTATATGTATATCTTCCATCTTTTTTATTTATATTCCAAAGAACAGAAGGAAGTAGCGCATTGGGGACAGCCACCCCTCGACGAATGCAAGGATACGTGTTTTACAAACGCCACTGCTGACCCACCTCGCAACAGATGCAAGAATATGCCTTTTTTCTCTCCATCTTTTTTCTACTTTTAGGGTGCGCGCACTTACACACGTACACACGTTGTCCCCAGAGACGTTTATCGCAAGGGACGACGAACTCAGCCGGTTAACTAGAGTATTGTTCGATTATTATTTCGGTACATATCGCGCACTTGTTATCTCTTTATGCGGTCATATGGTGGTAACAAGGGTGGTTCCTCGATCCCGGATCTGTCATTGCTTCGAGAAACAACCAAACTATGCGACAATTTCTTTTCATCCGACGTAAGATCTTTAAACTGACTTGATTCTGACTGAAACTAAACTTTCCAATTTTTTAATAGTCTGCAATTTAATCCTTTATCGAAGGATAATGACATTAGAAAATGTATTTATGGCAAAGCACAGGGAATGTTTCTATTTTTTTTTCCAGGCTAGAGAATATCTATCGATGAAACTTTAAAAGTATTTGAAGGGGTGTTTTATCGAACAAAGACTGGGGTACACGAACTTCCAGGCAATCTGCGTGGAACCTGTGGCCTCTCTGTTACAGATTCAACGATATCCAAGTAATTCTTCAAAATGTTACCATAAACTATCGTATCAATTCATTTTAATAAGCAACACTTTTTTATTAAATCATTAAATTATTCTTTTTTTTTTTTTTTTTTTTTTTTCAGATTGACATCAAACGTAATAAAACGTTTAATTTGAAATGTTGAGATATTAAAATTTGATGCTGTATTAGTCGGTAGAACTAATACAGCAAATAATGTGATAATAATCGTGTACCATTCTTCTGTTTCAGAAACGTTGAAAGTTAATTCGAAGAGAGCAAGTGGCGAGTTAGAGAGGTCGAAGAGGAAGCGGTAGATCGTCGACGGAGGAGAAAGGGAGGACAATGATCCTCGGAAACGGCGGACGGGGCACGGGGCACGGCGTAGAGCGGAGAACATCTGCTTTGCTCCGGATCACAGCGTGTCCTCCTTCAATGAGGCGATCGGCGTCGTGAAACTTGTCCCACCTCGGCGTGCATAGGTATTCATTATCTTCGTCTCTGGGTACACACTGCACACGTTTCATCCTTTTTCACCACGACCTTTTTTGGTCCACGAAACATCTGCGGCAGCTGCGAGGCGGTGGCCTGCCGCAGTACTCGGGACCAAGCAGGTGCTCACCTTCGAAGAAGCTTCTCCTTAGCCCTACCAATTACGCGTGCCTCTTTCTGCCTCGTTCTACCTCTTTCTGTCTCTCCCACTTATATTTTTTTCTCTCTCTCTCTCTCTCTCTCTCTACTCTTCTACACGTCTCTCCGGCTTTTTCATTTTTTCTCATTATTACTCATTACTCGTGTAACTAATATAAATTTCTAGTGGGATGAATGATTAACGCTTAAGAACGATTTAGAGAGCAGATGCACCATAAAACGAACCGTTCCGTATAGTATAAACTATAAACTATAAATTATCACGAGTCCACGAGGAAAAATCGAGACATGAAATACAGTTTACAACAGTCAACAACAATTGACCAGGAGAAGCTACACAATTGTTTCATGGATTCCGAAGACGGCACACTGTCTTCTCGGATTCCGTATCTACGTAACAGCTGTCCTCTTGGGGCTGCGCGTATCTTGAAACGTTTTCCGTGTAAACTTGTACAAAGGGATTTTGTGTTCGTTTCTTTTCATTGGTACGTATGCATATCGTACATTTGATATATTAAATAAATCTTTCAGAATTTTAGCAATCAAACGTCCTGTCTTTATGCCTATTAACACTTTGACGGTATCACATTGCAATGCCTTTTTTATCTAACAAAGGCCCGAATTAATTGAATTACATTTTTAAAGAGGATTTTAAAATGATTAACTGTATAATTTGAATTGTAGTTTGATTAGTGATTAGTGATTAGAAATTAGTATTTGACAACATCAACCGTGACATCAACCGTCAAAATGTTGAAATTAATTTCTATACACATAATTGTACATATTTTAGGAAAATCACTTACCCGTAAAGCATCGCCGCGCCAGCTATACCGCCTCCGCATTGTGCAGCTATGTAAAGTGCAGCTCGAAGCAAAGAGATCCGTCGACACAAAGCGAAAGATACAGAGACAGCTGGATTCACGTGGCCACCTGCGATAGAAACATTTCATCATTTTATTGTAAAAAGCTACAACGCTTCGTATAATCGTATTTCAACCGTAAACTTTTCTTTTTAATCTACGCGTATTGCATATCACGTTTCATTTATTTTTCTTATTAATGAAAATTTATGTCTTTAGCGATGGTGTAAATGGTAATTTCTTTTTTTCAATTGTTAACTTTTCAGCTAGGATTCAAATACCGTCTAGACGTCATTTATTCTCACCTATTCGCGAGGGGTTTATAGCAGAATAAATACAAAGGTGTTGCTCTGCTTTAGACGGTAGCTAAATATATTAAATGGATAAGAGAAATAAGAATTTCAGCGTGTGCGTGAAATAAATGACCACACGTTCACAAATATACGTAATGTACGTTCTGATGCGGTCTATATGTTTCCATTATGTAGCCGCTATAATCGGTTAACGAGTCAATCGAGAGAAACCATGAGGGCTGACCTGACAATACCGTTGCAATAGCAGATACCTAGCAGAAATCTTTGTCTTTAAAACAACAATTTCTAACAACTCAAGATTTTAATTTATAACGCTAAATCTATCCTGAATATTAATCGGTAATTTGCCAGAAACATCCTCATAGGATTACAAGCAATAGAATCTTGAAATGTATCTGAAATTGAAGTATTTTTTTTTTTTTTTTCTTTTAAGGGAAGGAAGAAAGATTCTTACCGCTAACGTGTCCAAAGATCAAGCAGATCGCGGCGATGGCGAAACCAGAAGCAACGGCGATCGCCAAAACAGAGAGACCGCTACCGGAAACTGCGGAGGACGCAGCCGCACCGGATACAACGAGGCTGAAGAGAAAAGTGGCGAAACACTCTACAGCCACTGCTCTCCATAGTTCTAAACTGCGTGCCTCGATGGACATCGGTGCCTTCCTTTCCACCAACTCCGCGTTATTCTCCTTTAAAGCTGACATCCGCGTGAGCAGTGTCACAATATGAGCGTCTATTTCTCGCGACAACGTTTCCGTAGTCATGTTTCACGATCAATTTATCCGAAATTCGATGAAAAAGAAAATATTTTTAATTTATCGCTACTTAGAGCATTCTTTCTTAACTGTGTCACTTTTTTTTAGAATGCACCTCTTCAACTACACTCTCCAAGTATCACAGAGCGTCGAAAGATCAGCAGGATTCGGATTCGAGTGGTTGACGGGAAGGTGATCAAGTACCGAGAGACACAAGGTTCGAGGAAAACGATGTTACCGGAATGGCAACGCGTTCTCGAGTGACAAGCCGCGATCCTCCGACGAAACAAGTGGGCCCCAGACTGTGCGAGCGCCTTCGCCAGTCCGCCAGTCCACCAGCGCAACGCCCCCACCATTCTACCACTGTTCCGGTGCATCTGTGCATCTCTGCATTTCTGCTTCTACACTCTGACACTCTACATTGGAGGAAGGACCACCGTGGCGAGAATGCGTATAGTATTAAATATTAAGTATTTCTTTAGCAACGGGTACATTGTAAGGGAAACGAGGCATCCCACCACTCGCTTCACTCATTCTTTGTTTCTTCCCTTTAACAACAGAACTGAGCAGGAGAACGATAAGTACTTCTGCTTAAAAAAAAAAAAAGTAACCAGGTTACATTTCCTTGGATCCAAGGAGAACCCTCAGGAGTATTCTATGAGTCTCTTCTCACCTCCGCAATGTACATATGTATTTGCAAGCCAAACCAAAAGATGTGTTAGGGTTGAATGCTGTTGTACCTTTGGAAAAGTGATGGTAGAGAAAAATTAATAATAATAATCAGATTTTGAAACAAATAGACCAGGGAACGGAATGGATACAGAACAATAATTATGAATTATGGTGTGTCTTATTCCCACGAGTTCAAAGACTATTTTGATGGCAAAGTTCCCACAAAAAAGGGATGTACGCACGACAGAACACGAACAACGACGGGTATAATAGCATCCATTTAAATCAGCATTTCGCGAATGTTAAACAAGGACAAGGACGACGTATCATCTGTTGTTATCTTTCAGATTTTCCTTTCCAGAGCTGTCTACGCCATAATGTGAACAAACTGTCGATTTGGATGAGAATAACAGTAGGAAGTTGACGTATAATTAAATTCGCCTGCAAATTCTTTACCGAGACTGTGCACTCGTGGAAGTAAAGTCGAGCGGAGAACGGTAATAAATCCAACAATTGCTGTAAATTAGACAACTCGCCAATGGCAGAGAGTAGAGAAGGGGTGGTAGATAAAAAAGACTTTTACTTCATCAAACTGCATGGAATAATTTGGAACAATTCCTTGGAAATAACGTTGATATAATATTTTCCAAGCATTACTTAAATTACTTAAATTACTTAAATATTCTAAAAATAATTAAAAGTAAAAGAAAATACAAATAATTTCAGCTTACGTATTAGCTGTTACATCTTCGACAATCTTCGAGAAAGAAAATATTCAGCAATGAAAATCATTGATTACCGTTTGATTACTGTTTTATTTTAAGTATAAGTTATGAAGATTCACAAGCAAAAAATGAAAACGATAACCCTGATCTAATCTATTTCAATTTCAGATAAAGATAAACGTATAGATATTACATACAACTCATCCATTCACGCGTCTACATGATTCAACGTACAAGTACCTATTTATTAGTGCGTGGGCGATCGCAGCACGTAAATACGTGCACGCAACAGCAACATTGCCATTCATCCTCGTCAGTATTCTCTGAACGTTAGTTCAGGAGCAACGTTTTTTCTTACAATTACTTCTTCAAAAGAAATTCACATTCATTGGTATACATATTTTGTCCATTAGAAAAGTAACATTTCAATCATTATAAGGAGGTTCAATTCTTAATTTATAATTACTCAAAGTGACAATTCATAGGTAAAGGTGTCGTGTAGTAAGTTAGTGATACACACATAAGTAAGTAATTATGTATCTATATGTATACATACATATATACTTTCTCTTATAATGTTCGATCACGTCGATGCGCTGTCACGTAAAAGATTTCGAATCGTTCAAAATTATTTATATACATACAATCATTTAATGTTCATTTTCCAGAAATAATATTCAAAGTGATTTTCATTGGGACGCTATAAGGGAAATCTGGATTTCGATGTTTAACAAAGATTGTTAAAAGATTGTTTTCGAACGTTAGTAGGGTGTGCCCTATCGTGATTTCGTAAGTGCACGTGTATCACATTATACATATATGTATATATACGTATATTAACCTTTCCTTATTATAAAAAAACTATATAAAATGTGTGTTTCAGGTGGTTATATTACAGAGGTTACATCTCGTACTCGTTCTCATATGGCTATACGTGGAATTTTACTTTCGTACCGCCGCCTTTCGCCTTTCGCTTTTCCCTGCTTCACCGCGAGAGTTTCCTGAAACAGTTCAGCGAGTGTGTATGCGAACTAACCACACCTGTGCCTGGCTGACTTGGTTGCAGTCATTGCAGCGAAACACCAATCCGCATGAATCCGCATGATCCGCACGCGGCCAAGATGGCAACGTATAGTCTGTACGCGTCGATCGAGCGCGTCTGTTTTTATATCTGGCTTTTTACGATAACCGTTCGGTGTCAAGAACCAATATCCTCGGGTAGTCGATATTATGGCCGCGATGGTGTCTACGTACCATCGAACGGGCCCAATCATCGAACTGACACTTATATGTACAAAGATAGAAGGTACGGCTATCGGCCGAGTTATCTGGATCCTGTTTACAAAGGACCCACCAGACCATCGGGAGATCGGTATCACTACGAGGTAAGATTCGTCGTGTCACTACAGGATTTGTACGGGTTTTTTCAATAAAAAATATTTTTAAGGAGACAACTTCGAGACTTCCTTTGCCAGGAGTACTGGGTGGTTGGCGCGAAGATCTTCAAGGTAGAGAACGAGCCGATTCGAAAAACTTGGACAGAGATGTGACCGTGACCACTAGCTACGGACAAGTACAAGGATTCAAAGTATATTTGTACGACGATCCACAAGCAAGACACAGGCCTTGGAGTTTGCCTGTCGAAAGAGTTACAAAACACGTAAACGTGTTTCTGGGCATTCCTTATGCTACTCCTCCTACAAGGGAAGGTCGCTTTAAACCTCCCAGACCTCATAAAGGTTGGCAATTGTTGCAAGCCGTAGATTGGGGACCGGCTTGTCCCCAACCCAGCTCGTACACAGGTGCCACTAAAGGAATCAGAGACGTAGACGAGGACTGTTTGTACGTTAATATTTTTACTCCGTCCATCGAATCTGGTTTGGCTCAGCCGTATCCGGTAATGTTTTATATTCACGGAGGAGAATTTACCCATGGAGCCAGTAACTTGTTTCCAGCTCATATGTTGGCTGCGTTTTATAACGTGGTAGTGGTATCTGTTAATTACAGACTTGGAGCACTCGGATTTTTGAGTACAGGAGATGAAAACAGTCCTGGGAATTATGGGATTCTCGATCAGTCTATGGCGCTAAGATGGGTCTACGATAATATTAGAGCTTTCAACGGTAATCCCGATGCCATAACTCTTTTTGGTCCTGGTGCTGGTGCTGCGAGCGCTGGATTGTTAATGGTTGCACCTAGAACCAGAGATATGGTGTCAAAAGTAATCGCTCAGTCAGGTTCTGTCTTAGCAGATTGGGCAGTTATAATCGATAAATACAGAGCGCAGAACACTTCTAGAGTGTACGCAGAAATGCTAGGTTGCAGCATAGAAAGTAGTTGGAAATTGGTGCAGTGTTTGAAGGATGGTAGATCCTTCTTTGAGCTGGGTAACTCTGAATTAAGACCGCATATTGGCACGTTTCCATGGGCTCCTGTACTCGACATTAATTTTACTGTACCTAGTGATAATTGGTACGAAGATTGGAGGGCATCGGATTGGCATTTTTTCACCGAAACACCCGAACAAAGTATAAAGAATCATAGGTTTAAGCGTAATCTGGCATACACAGCTGGTGTTACTACTCAAGAGGCAGCATATATGATATGTATGTCCTTATCTTTTCTACAATATTTATTATTAGAACGTACTAAACATGTTTCTTTTTTTTTCCATTTCAGATAACAATGCTACATTGGCAAGAAATCGTTATGTAATAAATCCAGAATTATTTGATAAAAAAATTTGGGAATTCGTTCTTCAATACAATTACACTCTTAATCCTCAGGGCGTTTACGAGGCTATCAAATATATGTATACGTATTGGCCAGATCCGAACAATGTTACCTATATTCGTGATCAATTCATTAACGTAAGCTTTATGTACATGCGTTTCGTATATATTCTATATGTATATTTTCAAATTTATTTTTCTCACATATTTATATATCTTTTCTAGTTATTATCTGATTTTCATTACGTGGCACCTTTTGACAAAATTGCAAAATTACTGGTAGAGAAACGTGTACCAACTTACTTGTACGTATTAAATACGACTATAGATGCATTAAAATTGCCACACTGGCGTAGAGTGCCTCACAATACCGAACTACTTTGGTTAACAGGAGCACCATTTATGGATGTTGGTAAGCAGTAATTTAACTTCTCGTTAACTTCTCGTTAACTTCTCGATTAGACAAGTATCGTTGTTTTAGAATTCTTCCCTGAGCAGTGGAAATTAAAACGTGACATGTGGACGGACAATGATAGGAACATGAGTCATTTCTTTATGCAGGCGTATGCAAATTTTGCAACGTACGGGTATGTTTAAATAACTATTACTATTATCTTTCTTTAGATTATAAAAATGATATAAATGATATTTGTTTTTTAGAAATCCTACACCCTCACAAATTCTTGGTCTACACTTTGAAGTTGCTAGATCAGGACAATTGCGGTACTTGAATATCAATACCACTTACAATAGTTCAATTTTATTCAACTACCGACAAACCGAAAGTGCCTTTTGGTCTGCTTATTTGCCAACTGTTGTTGGTCGTTTGGTGCCTACGTATCCTCCAGTTACAGAAGTGAGAACAATCCCTACGGGATCATGTACATATATATCTGTTGTAGATAAATATTGAATTTACTTATTTATTTATTTATTTATCTTTGTGCCTATCACAGTACTGGTGGGAACCAAAGCAACCTCTTCAAATTGCATTTTGGTCAGTCTCTGCAACCTGTCTACTGCTGATTGTTCTTTCTGTAGTATGCTGCATGCTTTGGCGCAATGCCAAAAGGTAAGAAAAGGTAAACAGAACCAAACCCGTACACCTTTTAAGCCGGTAGTGCATGCGGTTGTGGTTGTGGTTCTGGTTCTGATTCTGGTTTCATTAATTATTTTCGAGGTTTCGGGATAGATTATCCTACATTTTATTAACTCTACCTTTGCTTATAATTTATGCAGCAAAACAACGGCTGCCAGAATGTATACAGGTAATTCTCGCATTATTCATTGCATAGCTTTCAATTTTTGCACTAATGGTTTTTTTTTTATCTTTTCAGTTAAAAAAATTATACACGTTCTTTAATTGATATTAACGGAATATGTATTAATTTATATCCTAAATTAGTTTTATCTGCTTCAATATTTCCAGACAGTCTGATCACTACTATAGCGGAGACATCTTGATGGTGCGAGACGACGAACCGTCGGAGGGAATCGAGAATATAACTCGTACCTCGAAGGAAAACGTTTACGAATACCGTGACACGCCACCGATCAAGTCCAGGATACCACGACAAAACGAAGCTAAACTTCAAGATCGATTGGCGCACAATCGAAAGTTCAGTTCTACTCCATCTCTTAGAAGCAATTCTAACATATCGCTGAAAGACATGCGTTCAGAAGGATTTGTTACCAGTTCACCGAATGGACAACCTAAATTAAGCAAAGCTATGAGCCAATCGTCACTGCCTAAAACCAAAAGCAAGACGCATTTAGTTCAAGGTGTTCCACAAACAGCTGTGTAACATTACTTATTTATTTCGTTAGAGAAGAAGAAGAAGAAGAGGAAGAAGCTCTTGAAGCTACTCGTGGTACGTACGAAACTGAAAATACATATTTATAAATGACTGAATTCTAAATAATAATATTCCAAGGTTTGGCTAAAGCTTTTGCATCCGTCCACGTTGTATGAATGTAGAAACTTGTACGATTTTTTATGCAGTACTGTACATATCATTACTTCTTTGATATTCTTTTTTAATGTTATACATGTAGGTATGTGTGAAATTTATCACCAATAGTAATATATTATATGACAATGAGAATGACAATATATGCTTAAAGCAAATCGTTTTTATATGTTTTTATCATAAAAATAATTGTTTATAATTTGATAGTATCGTTAGTAGACACGCGTAGTTATAGTCGAACCGATCTCATTATTACCGCTATCACTATTTCCGTAGTTCATAGATGTACGTATACTAAAAGAAGAATTTTGCATTTAGTATTAAATAGATATATAGAATATTAAACAGGATATGTATTAGAGTATCAAAGAACACTGTTAAAATAATAATATTTTACAATTAAAGAATATGCCATATAAGCAAATTGAACGTGTTGAAAATGAAATTGCAACCATATTCATTGTATGTACATTTATGTTATTATACATATATGTATATAGATCTGACTATAAACATTTTGGAGCTGTGTAAATTAATACAATGAACCAAATTGTTTTTTACTTATTAATTAAAAAATGGGGCCAACGCGTATCGAAGTAAGAGTTTACTACTTTTATTTTGATATGGATTATTGAAAATTTTCTAATCCATGAATATGTAGAAAGATGTGGGCAAGCGTAAAGAAAGAGTGGATCGCCGAGAGCAAACTAAAGACAAGTTTGATCCTGTTCGGCTAGAAATTAAGTATCCAGGAACAGCGATATTACTTTTGAAATGTCAAGAAAAGCCTGTACTGTTAGCTGCAGCCGCAGCTTTGGCGAAATATGGTAGCAAAGCTAAAGGAAATTTGGAAGTTCTGTTTGATCTTGACATTGTGGACAGCGTGATTCCATTGATCACTCACGAAGATCTGTTTACCAGAAGGTACAGAGAGAGAGAGAGAGTACCCAATATCTTTTAAATCTTTATTCAATACTTATCAATATCAACAGGTTTGCTGCAAAATTGCTAGCTGAAATGGTTACTATTCCCAATGTCCTTCATTTCCTCCTGGATTCTGATTATTACATTCCACATTTTGCAAAGGTCCTTATCAATGACAATGATTTGTTCATGCAGGAATTTTCCTCGTTAATATTAGCAGAAATATCAAAGGATATGTTTGGAGCAGCAAAAATATTGAAACAGTGTCAAAACATGGATTTTTTATTTGAGAGAATTCAGTCACCAGATCCAGATGTAAAGAAGAACAATATAGAAATAATATACAATTTGTTAGAAGATCCTACAGGAGCGACAGCAATTATTAACACAAAGGTTTGTTATTATTTAGAATGAAATGAAATGAAATGAAATGAATTATTTAGAATTTATTAAATTGATTTTTTAGAACTTGAACTTGTCAGCAGTGTACCAGCTGTACAATTCGGTGTATCCTGAAATTCAGAAGCTAGCCCTTAACGTAATAGCTAATTTAGTGAGCAGAAATCAAGACGAGTATTTGCAAGATCTCTTTCGACGATCAAACGGTCTCCAGGCTTTACTTAAGTTTTTAGACGTAAGAGAACAATTCGTGTCTTCTCGTAACACTTAATAGTAAATTTTTGTTCATCCAGAATGTCGAATGGGAAGATGTTCATTCGGAAGCATTTCGGATTCTTCGGTTAGCCGCTGACAATCCTGTAACCGCTGAAACATTCGACGACATTGGGGGTATTAAACAGATGTTGGGCTACCTGGAGGACACCTCTCACTCGAAGCTGTTCGTGGAAGCTCTTGATGTAGCCGTTTGTCTGTCGCATACACCGAGGGGTAGACAAGTAACGTGTATTATTTTTTTCTAAACTATCAGTTAAATTAAAATTAGCTATTTGTCATTTCTTTATTCGATAGGCCCTCTACAGATACGGGATCGTCGACTATTTATTGCGTACATTAGTAGGCAATGTGCAACCTGATATATATGAAATCAGTTGCCATAGTATTGGAACGATGAGTTTGTACGATAAAGCAGCCAAGGATCTAACTGAGAGCGGTTGTACGAAGAACATTCTAGGTGAATATTTTCTTCGAATTACACAGAAGCAGATATAAAAGCAGATCATATATGTATGTATGTATGTATAATTACCTTTCAGATATAATGAAGAATGAGAATTTCAAGTGGAGTCCAAGGCACGCGGCTCTGTTTGCCTTGAATCAATTGTTGAAATGCGATGTTAAGAATTGTGAAAATTTCTTGAACGCTCAAGGACAGGTAATTTGGCTAATTTAGTGGAATAACTGAAAATTAAATGAAAACTCGTAACTTGTGTTTGGACAATCCTTAGAATTACTTTTTACGGCTGATCAGACAACCGATAGGGAAGATTCCTGTTGAGATTCTAGTAGGAATAATCGAATGCTTGACAACAATTGCAAGAAATGAAATTCTACGATCTGCTATCATTAATGCAGACACGATTGATGCCATGTGTGCGTCTTTTGAAGTAAATATTTTTTTTATATTATAACAGCCAGTAATGAAGTAGTTTTAAGCGAGGAAATAATTGATCTAGTTGACATGTACATCGATGAACGAGTTCAAGATCGCCTGCTGCAACGCTCTCTCCGTTTTCTGCATCGACAATGCTGGAAGAGTCGCGTTTTTGAAGGTTAACGGACCAAACCGTTTATATAATATGTTGTCCGACGTTAAGTCAACTGCAATAAGGAACTCGGCCGCTCAACTGGTTCAATTATTATGCGCGGATCCAGTTTTGGCAGACGCTTTCGTCTCGGCCAGATATTTAAATTAGTAAGCGTAATAGAATGTCGTCGTCGTCGTCGTCGTCGTCGTCGTCGTCGTCGAAATAGAATATGACTTGAAAGAAGAGTATGCTTGTATTATTTAATTTTCAGTATGCTGAGCAACCGATTGATCGCGAGACTAGTTCCTTCGTGGGACACGTGCATCGAGGCCTTGTTCAATTCGCATCTGCCAATCAAGTTTGCTTTCACTGGACGACTTTCCTTACACGATATCACTCGAGATGGGTTTTACGTTCTTCGGAGGAACGTTTGCAAGTACCGTTAATCCTATACGAGTCGTTTCAGAATATAAAGAGAAAACATTAATTTTCCTAGATTTCCAACATTAGATGAGATTTTTCATTTCAAGTTTTGCCCCTTGGAACCCATTTACGTGGTGAATTGTATCCGGCCTCGTAAATCAGTTATCGAAGAAAAAATAGAAGAAAATCTATCAAGTGTTGTACAAGGTAAAATATCTTTTTTTCATATCTTATCCGTTCAAATCCGATTGTGGGAGAAATATTTCTGTTCAGATAGCAGCGACAGTAGTAGTATGCGGAATGTTAGTAGACAAGAAATCTTGTTATCGAATGAAATCGGGAAGCTGAGGATGGATACGAAATTTGCTCATCTTCAATGCGATCCTTGTCTTAATGATTATTTAGAGTTGTTCAAGTGCAAGCTTATCGCTGCAGAGTCAAAAGATGTGTAAGAATGAATTTTCAACTTGATCGACACATATATTCTTGACCGTACGAAGAACTTGACCTATTTGATTCAGAGCATTGAAAAGTGAAGAAGGATTGGTAAATATTAGCTACGTTGCTTCTCGCGTCAAGATGTTGGCGAAATTCGTGGCTCAACAACTGTCAGGACCGGATCCATTGATCAGGTGTATAGAGCATCAATTGGAAATTCATTTGAGAGAAATCATGAATAGCATTGAAACAAGCGTGATACCGTTAGGAATGTTACGCGTTGGTTCTTTCTTGGAAAGAGCGTTGCTTTTCAAAGTAATGGCTGATAGGATACATTTGCCAGCCGCATTGGTGCGAGGAGAGTATGGCAGAGCTTGGATCGAGGTAGCGGTAGCGGTAGCAGCTGAGGTAAAACTCGAAATATCTTACTAATTATTTCTAACGATATTACTGGCTGGTAAATAATTTCTTTAGAAGACGAAAAGCACGATCGAAGAAGATTCGTATAAAAGTAATCTACAGAAGGGTACATCCTGTTCAGAAATGATCACCTTGCAAGACTCTGTACTGCAATCGATAAACGAAGAGAAAGATTCAGAGAGCATCGATTCAATTTCTATGGAACAGTGGTTCACGATTTACCCAAAGAAACTGTTAAAACCGAATTTCATCGTCGATCTGATGATTAAACCTGGAGATCTGATTCCAATAGAGAGTCGTAAAGGAAAATTATACCGTGAGAAACAATTAGTGTGCGATACAGTGTGCTACGATCAATGAGAGACGATTGTTTAATAGCTTTATTTCTCAGATATATCTTATATGTATATATCGGTAGTTGGAAAATCCGTATCTATGTATACATATAGCTATGGACTGAACTGTGACTTTTACTTTCTTTGGACTTTGTAGAAAATCGTAAATCGTAACTTACATCTAAATGACTTAATAATAAAACGGAAACAATTATTTACAATTATAGTATAACGCGTTTAACGCTTTAACATATGCTGTTGCTGTCGCTGTTGCATATGTATCGTATTACTATTTAATTATAATGGCATAATAAATAGTGGCATAATAGCCACCATAATCGAATGGTATTTCAGGTAAAGGTGTTTATTTTAAATTGTGAAATTCTCCGAGTTTCACTAATCCAAAGAAACTATTTTCTTTGTTGAAAAGGACAAACTTCGGGGAACTGATCTCTTTTAATTGCACAACGTCGTCTCTGTTGAGCCTCGTTACTTGGGCCGAGAAACAAGACTGACTGTGTATGTGTGAGGTGCCCGAATTGTCAATCTGTGAAAATACGAGTGATATAAGAGTACTTATCATGTTTCGTGTTTTATTTAAACGTGTATAAAGAACGTTGTATATTACGTATTATACGTACCAGACACTGCAAGATTGGCTGATTATTCACTAGCAGATGAAAACCGACTTGGTCGTGTTGATCTTTGTATACTATTTGCGCGTACGCCAAATACAAGCCAGACTTGTAGACGACAACGCTACCGTTCTTTGACAAATTGAAATGATTGTTCATACCGAGATCGTTTACCCAATCGTTGGCTTTCCAGGAGGTGAACGTCTGGTCTGCGTGACGGACTCTTCCATTCCCGGTATGCTCGTCGTTAGTCGCGAAAGCATTCTTATCACCGCTGTAATGAACGGCGAAAATCTGTTGTGGCGCGTCTACATTCTTTCGTGACCTGCCTAAATTCTTGCGAAGCTTTCGCAAAGATCTTTTCCGATTCTCCGATACGCTTTTAACGTTCGAGTAATATTTCTTCGGACGAATAGATCTTACCGATAATATCTTGAACCTGTACAAGGAATGCAAGCGTAACGCTACTAGTATATTCCTTTTTTTCATTTCTATTTACGCGTACATTTTTGCGATCTCTTGTTGCAGACAGCTTTTCTTTTAAATCAACATGCAAAAAAATCCTTATTTTTAAGGATATAGATGAGTTACGATTAATTAAATAAGATTGTCAACTTACTCGACAGCCGAAGATGAGTTGGTTACATTTCTTTCTTCGATCGATCTTTTACGCTTCATATTCATTTTCCAATCGATAAGGAAATTCTTCGCGTTTCCTCTGTCTAATACATCACGTTTTTCTTTCGTATTGTTCTTTCTATCATCTGATTTCTCTTTTAGGAGCTTCTTGGTTCTTTGGTGATTGTGACCTTCCCGAGAATGCTTCGTTTCATACTTCCTCATGGCTGATAGCCATTTGATCATCGCTTTGTTAGAAGCGGCTTCTGGAGGCGAGGGTACCGGTGCGATCGTGGACGAGGAATCTGGAAAATCGGAAGGCCTCGCACCATACGTCGGACCCGTGTGATGATAATCTAAAGAATAATCGTGAGACGACAAGTTGACATCGTCATAATTTGAATCGTAGTCGGCGTTGTCGATGTCCAGATCCCCTGGATCGTTATCATCGCCGTCGTCGTCGTTGTCGTCGTCGTTGTTGTCGTCGTCGTCGTCGTCGTCGTCGTCGTCGTCGTCGGATTCCTCGGCGTACAACTACAATTAAAACAGAATTTTTATAAGCATATAATATTATTAATTTTCGTATGTAGTATGGAAATAGGAAAGAAAAATAAACTCTGACCTGTTCTTCGAAAACTTTCACCTCGTCCAAGAGGTCCTTTTCGAGAAAACGATGCTTCAAGTTTTCGACGCTTCTCTTGAGCTCCTCTATCTCCCGTGCGTTCACCATGGTCCAATGAAATTTCCAGCTTTCAAGAGCCAAACAAAGAAGAGCGATCGATAGAGCCGCGATACTCAATATCGTGTGCCTGGTAGGTCGAAAACGATACTTGTTGAAACCTTTTTCCAATTCTGATTGGGAAATACTTAAATTCTCTCTGGAAAAGCTAAGAAACGAGCGGCTCTCCTCTTTTCCATGGACATCGTTCATCAACCTTTCCTTCATCCTCGTAATCTTTGTACCTTCTTCAGGCAGCATGGAAGTCATGTTCTTTGAGGAAATTTTTCATTAACAAATAAATGCATGTGTCAATCACGTGTTGCTCGCATCTTATCTCTTGAAAATGTATAATATAATCGGTGAAAGAGGTCAGCTTGACATTGGAAAAACAGATCCACGTCTTTTTCTCTTAGTATAAACTCTTCAATTTAATTTATTCCTTTTTCACACCTTCTTCTTCTTCTTCTTCTTCTTTCGAAAATGACCTTCAGGGTAGGACCGCACCGACAGATTCGAATCTTTCTCTCTACCATCGACCTTTTCTCCTCCTTTTTTTTTTTTTTCTTCGATTCTATTCTATTCTCTAAATTTGACGGGTCTATTAACTGTTGTACGCTTCTCGTAAATTCCTCTTTTCTATTCAATGAGTTTTACCGAAAAATCAATTGAAATCGAATACGAATTGCATCGAAGAGGAAAGAGAATCGTTTTAGTGGTATTCTTGCAACCGAAGCGCAGAAAGAAAGAAGAAGCGACCAACGTGTTTGGTAGCCACGAACATACTGACTAGAAGGAGTGGAACGCATTCATCGTTACAGCGCGCTCGTTTCTGGATCTCAGTCAGTGGCGTAGATCAGTGATTGGGAACTGCAGCTTCCACATCATGATACGATATACGCAAATGTTATAAATCATATTTCTATTCTCGATTACGCTTAATATCTTCGGTTTAACTTAAACTGTAACGCTTGTTTATAAATTAGTAGAAGATATTTCGCTATCACAAGTCACAAGTCACAAATGCTAGTGAAACGACAGTGAGGAACTTGTGTTATTTTTCTTCGTAAATAAAGAATTGGTTGTTGCTCGAGATAATTTTCTTCGTCAAGAAACAGTTGCCAGCAGAAATTCCTACGCTACGTTCTCACCGCATTGTTTCGCAGAAGATGATGACCGTTCCAGGAGCAGTCGTGTATCAAATTCGTTCTCGTCCACCGAAAGAATCCGAAATCGGAGCTTCCTGACTGTTTCAAGTAACAACGCAACAACGCAACAACGCACGTTGACATCAACGATCACGATGATGATTAAATTCCACGCCGATGGATCCTTTCCTGGAACATTTGTACTTTCGTGAGAACTAATGCTCGACGGTGGGCGTTCGTACATTCTCGTTTTGCAATTTAACAACATACATACTCGTCGGACGAGAAATTTTTTATTTTTATTATTTTTCTATTCAATTTTCAATCCTAATTGCTAAGTTAGGTATAGAGATTAAGAAATACTTTACCTAATAATTTCTAAACTATCAAGAAATAGTAGTCTCTATAGCGTAAGAAGGAAGGGATCTAGAACGTGTTATCATCTCGCGTTACAAGTTTGCGCAACAAGAATCTCGTTTCGCTAATTTCCATCTTATTCTAATTGTAAGATCGTTAACCCTTTCTCTTAACGGCAACAGATTCGTGACGATTTATGCGAGTAAATAACATTGACTTTAGTAACCTGGTACGTCTGATTTTCCATTGGCCAAGGCTCCGCTAGAAATTCCGCAATTGTGATAATAATTAGTCACCGCTATCCGACTAATTGAGGCTGTCGTGTCGTGTACTGGCCCGTACTGGCCCGTAGTGGCCCGTACTGGCCCATACTGGCCGTGTGTAGGACGTGCAGAAATTTCAGATCTGGATCAATTTACGACTGACGAGCCGAACCGGAGCTGCCAATTATTTCATTCAGCCTTTCTTCTGGTTTCGTGCTCTGCCTACTTACCGTTTCCACGACTTTCTTCTATTCAAACTTGTCTCATCTGACTCTTACACACTTACAGACAATAAATTCGATTAAACATCTCTTTTTTCCTTAGAAAAGAATTAAAAATTTCAAGATCCGGCAACGGATACTTACAATATTACATACGCAGAATGATCAACGATATCACCGCGACCATTCTAACTGGCTTCGCTTATCGTTGGAAAAATCTTACTCACCGGGATGATACTAATGGAATGGAATGGAATGGTTGGCCAAGTAATTTGCTCGACATCGATTCCCAGCTAAATATAGTAGCAAAATGTATGTAACGTAAAAAAGGGAAGAAGAAATTTCGAGACTGTAGCTGCTACACAGCCACGCAGCATCGTAACAAGTCAGCTTCCAATTTCCTAACTTTACAATCTTACCTCTGACCATGTTAATAGCGTCTCTTTCTCTATTTCACTGAATCCTAGAAATTCTGCAATAATTTAGCATGCCTTTTTGAAGGATGTCCTCTTTACGGGAAGAGCAAACGTAGCATTCTTGAAACTGAAATGCAATAATCAGGAATTAAAAAATCGAAAAATTGCTTACACGCACCGTCGCATCGAAGAGTAAATAGTTGCTTCGTAAGCGCATTCTGAAAAAATCATTTAATATTAATTGCGATACCGGTACCTCATGGGGGGGATGTTTCAGACCCCAAAATCATGACCCCTTGAGGAATAAAGAAATGTTCAGTCTTTCTGTATCTGTAGTCTCTGTTTATAGATACCTAAAATCAGGATCCGCGTCGACCTTGAAAACAAGTTTGGAATTCGAAGCAGATTTCCTGCTTCGGGACTTACTCTTACTCTTATTCTTACTCGATAAAATGCGATATTAATCTTTATCTTATCGAGAGAAAATTAAATTGCATCCAATGTTGTATGTATAGATATAACGTGATTTATCGATGTAGAAAGATATCGTAGCCACATCCTGCAAAGATTCGCATTTTTCTATCGATACTCTATCAGATGTATGTACATACTACCTGAAACATTGAAAACCATTCATCTTCGAAGCTTATCATCCCGATACGTAATAAAATGTAATTCTTAGCCAAGTTAGCGATAGCGGAAGAAGGAAAGAAAGAAAGAAAGAAAGAAAGAAAGAAAGAAAGGCGGTCACCATAGTTCCTTGCTGATCGAATGTTGGCAGCGTGCAAGCTAACACTTAACAGCCGCCAAACCGGTCGAGCGTGGTTGAGTTGGATTCATTGGATCGAGTAAAGTCGTCGGGACGCTCGGAGACGCTCGGAGACGCTGGTTTGCTTAGATAAAGAAAAGATGCTACCAGAAAGCGTCATATACGGCCAACTGCTCTACACAGGGTGATTCTTGACAAGGAGGTTCAACAACGAATTAATCAAGATCGATCCGCCGCGCCGATCGATTTTTATCACCTGTTACTCTCGTATTCGGCCTCCACGAGTAGTGTAGAATCGTCAGAAATGTCTCTCATTGTCAGGTAAGCAAGCCTCATTTTACAATCTACAATCTACAAATGTAAGAACAAAGATATACCATGTGTCACGGTAATTCCTTTTCTTCGCGTTCGTTGTTGATACATCTATACTATACATATACGTGTGAGTAACTACGTGATCCGTATGACGAATTAATAGGTGCACCTTCCTTGTTTCTAAAAAGGTTTAAGTAGTCGATACTCGATAACAGTTCTTACCGTTTGGTCTCTCTTCGTTTAATTTTCATAGGATACGATCAACCACGTGGCACGCCTGATGAAACTAACGAAAAGTATATTGTACTTGGATATTATTCTATGCATCAACTGTTTTAGTGATTATCGATAAGTGTTATTGGTATTTTCACCGATAACACCCCGTCCCGTCGTAATTTATCAGGTCTGAACAAGTTGAGAAACAATGAGAAATATCAATTTCTGCAAATGTTCTGTGTTTTCCCTGTTTCAGGGGGTACTTATCGATTTGATACCATTTTTAAACTAGTCGATATCAGGCGTTTTTCTGATCGATTGTACGCGCAATCGCAATCGCAATCGCACGAACGATGGTTACTAAAATCAAAATGGAACAAGTTCAAAATGACATCGATAATCCCGGCAAGGACAGAAATTTAATCGAATGGAATCTTGATATGAAAGTAACCGTGTCGAACGTGAAGAAATCGAAAATGTTTCAGCGATCGCGCGCTATCGTTCTATTCCTCTTGGCTATTATTTTCGCAGTTATATTGTCGCATCTTAGGAAAGAAGTACGCGGCTTACAAGTCCAGGTAACTGACTTTTCTCAACTACATACATTTTCAGATTAAACCTGAAATTTGAAATATCAAATATCAAAATTCCTTATTTCTTATATAATTAGATGCAATGTATGAACGTGAATCTACTTTTATTAATGTCAAAGTACGACAGACTAAACAGAAGCTTAAATCGAGCCTGGATTCAAAGATCTGAAAAATTTATTGAAAAGAAAAACATGCACGATATAAAACAATTACTCGAACAAATATCAACGTCAAAAGCTACCGAATTTTTCAACGATATTCGTCGAAATAGATCCAATGGAACCTCTTACACCTATGATTCTGTCGTTTCTTATTTCGATTCTAACAATCGTTTGAAAGAAAATACTCTGAGCGATCCCACAATCTCTAAGAAATTAGAAGATGACGAGAACGTTGAAGAAATTCGTGGTGATACCAATTTAAGAATCGAAAGAGCAATATTAACGTTTCAGAAAGAGAATTTAACGGAGAAAGAAACGCAGTCTACAACGAGTAATAAGAAGAAATTTCAAGGCAGTGACGATTATGTTGACGATGACTTAGATATATGGAAAGAACCCCGTGCTGGGAGATGGCGAAGAGACGAGGGAAGAGGTAAAATACGGGGAAAGAACAAAAGGAGGCCCAAACGCAGTCGCAGGCGATTGGGTATCTAGTATTATTTAGTTAGCATGTGTATCCCAAAAGCAATCGTTCAAACAATTCGTACAAATATTGTATTCATTATAATCGTATTTTCGCTAATATATAATAATATAAAACTTGTCTTTCTTTTATGTCATTTAGGCCCTTTAGTGGCAACGTTTGTTGGAGCAATACCTGAACAGCACGTTACCGATACCGGTATGTATTAACGTAGAAAAATATCTCTAACAATAATTTTATCTCCCTCTCTTCTTACTTATTATAGTTTACATTGGTCCCTGGGTTAAGAGTACTAAAAATAACACCCGATATAGTTTAAATAAATTTCACTTGGTAGAAGATAAAAAATCTATCGAAGTTACCGTGACCGGTCTATACATGATTTCTGCGCAGGTAAGAAAATATGTTTCTCACATTTTAAATTTATTTCAATTCGCAGTAGAACACATATATATATATATATTTTACAGATATTTTATTTTGGAGAACCAACAAATTATTCCTATTGGATACTGTTAAGTTCCGAAGGTAAATCGACCACCCGGAAACTTGTCAAATGTTCTACAGCTTCTTCTACATCAGCTACAGAAGTTTCCTGTTACACAAGCGTGATAACTCCCTTAGAGAGGGGTGATAGGGTTCACATACAACAACAAGAAAAGAATAGGTAAAACATTGCTTTCGCTTTAAAATTCATTCACCTATATTTTTTTTTCTATAAAACAGATGAACGTTTTTAGATTAATTAATATGAGAGAAGGACACAGTTATATCCAACTGGTACTTCTATCAAACAACACTAATCATAAAAGACGTTCACGGTAGAGCAATGCAATACAAATATAGCTGTGCCATGTACGAGAAAAAATCATTTCTCAAATGTGATCCTGTCCTATAACTGTGAGAAAGCAATAAGGTGATTACTTTATATTAGTCAGTTAGCAATTAAAACGTACGTTTTTATCCGAGTCATAATTTCATTCAATTCAAGTAATAAAAAACATTATTCCTTTCTTTCTTTCTTTTTATGATGGAAGTTGTGTGTACAGTAGAATTAAAAGTGCATGATGAACGAATACTGTACAAAAAAGTATTAGTATGTAAGTAAATTAGTTTCATAAATTGTTACAAAGAAAAAAAGGAAAAAAAATATCAAAAAGTACCACTTACTTACGTTATACTTTTGTACATACGTTTTAGTTTAAGAACAGAACGGAAGTTGTGATGTTACTTTTAAGATTAATACAATTTTTTTTTTTTTTTTTTTTTTTTTTTTTAAATAATAATTATCTAAATAAAAGTAATAATTTCTGTTTATTGTTAAAATATCACAAAAATTACTTAAAACGATTGCAAAAGTATATTTTTATTCAAACGATATATACATACGTATAAGTAAATAAATAAATAAATAAATGAATAATTAATTAAATAATTAAAGAACAACTACAAAAATATTATATCTATTTTAAAAATTTATATATTATTTTCTACCATTTATATAAGTTTTATATTTTATTTGCAAAAATATATATTTTTTCTTATCGCAAACATTATATCACAATCGATTACTTATATAAATCTGATGAATTCAGTCTTTTAATATACGCGCATCAAGTACGATGATGCTCGTACCTTTTAATAAATAAATAAAGAAAGAACGCTCGGTTTCTTCGTGAAGGAACAACGTCGATGCCAGTCATGTGGCAGATGTTGCTCAGCTCGTTCAATGGTAGTTTGACCATGTGTCACGGTATAGTCGTTATCATCCTAAAGAAATGAACGATAAACAGTTAGAAAAATCTAACGGATAATCAAAGCAATAATAAAACTTATAGATACCTATCATTAAACGCAATGCATACTCGATACATAAACTGTATCAAGTTTTGCTATTAATTATATCATAAAAAACATTATATTTTTAGTATTTTTTTTTTATATAAATATTCGGTACATTCTTCCCTGCTTTTTCATCATGTTTTGTATTTACGATCGCAATAACTTATCATTTCTTTTCCTGATGAAAAATATTCTTTTTCTTTTGATCAAATTTCAATTCGTATTTCTTATTGTTATATATCATTAATTACATTGTTATAACATACAATGCTGCAGGTATCGTAGGTATAAAGCGGTTCAAAATTTGTGAAAAGAAAAAAAAACACACACGTCGTATGTCCTATACCTATATGTATGTATAATATCTTATTCAATTCTTTTCTTTTCTTTTCTTTTCTTTTCAAGGATATTTAAATATAAAAATAATACTACTACTTAAATCCCTATTATGTATATACTACTGTAAGAAAATGATGCATCTTGTTAGGTGTATCGACAACCACCACCCTATCGTTCCACTTTACACTCGATAGATGCAGATCTATTTAATATTATCCTTGCTAACATTTGTGTTTTCAATTAATTGGTAGTTCTTTTGGTATAAAAAACGGATAGATTTGTATTTACTCACCTGAATTTTGGTTGAGGTTTACTCGAGCATTTGTCTTTTACTATATATATGAGCGTAATACATGTTAGCATAGATTTTCGTTAGAATTCGTTATTCTTGTTGCTTGCTTTTCCATGACTCTTTAATACTGTTCGTGTCTTTCTTTTTTACTACATCATTTATTTCTTTTTTCTTTTTTCTTTGTAAATAACTTGGAAAACAATAAATTGTCTAATCCATATCATTTGCATCGTAAAAAAAAGATGAAATCTGATTATTTCGTATTGATCAATTGTTCAGAAAAATGAAAAAAGGATGTTATAGTTAATGAAAACACTATGATATTTTAACAGAAGCAAGAATATTTTCTAAATTTTGATTTAGGTGTTATGATACCTGTGCCATCGGACAATAATAACTTTATCGTACAGTCGTCATTTATTCATATAATATTGTATGTTATCCTTGCTGGTAACGAAGGGAAGGTATTCTCTCTTTCATTCATTGTGTTCCCTAAGTATCTCAGGTTGTTGTTACGCCTGTGAAATAAACTTAGTTTTTGTCAAATTTTTTATATATTTCAATTTCTCCACCAATGCTCGATAAAAATATTGCACAACGCTAATAATATTCTATTTCATTCTGGACATAAAATATTTCTTCAACAAACTATGCGTACGTATATGTACAATAAATAAAAATACTTTTCGTTCGTTGAGAAAATTAGAGAAAAATTTCTTTCTTAAGAGATCAATTACTATTTTTAACAAAAACTCTCATACCTATGTTAATTACGTTAACATCATTTTTTTTCTTCCCCCTACGTATTTGGATTTCTACGGCAGTTGCTGGTTTTCCTTTTTATTTCGACATTTTTTTAATACTCAGTTCATATTTCACTGTTAAAGGTAAGGAAGTAATAAATGTAAAAAAATATTACTGTTTTTTTGATTTTTCTTTGTTTCATGATTTCTTTTCATTTCACTCGTTACTCTATCACTTACAATATTAAATTGATTCGCTATCACTATGTTGATGACACATGAAAATGACTTTAATGTGATTTAGATAATTTCATTGTTTACCATCAGAACATAAGATCACATTACCTGCCCTACATAAAAATTCTGCACTCTAACGTGCACAACTGGATCGAATTTCTGTTCCTACTACACGTGCATCATCATAATTCCTGAGTAATTACATTGTTTCTCATTGTGTCGCTGACATTCTGTTTTGATTGTCTCTGCTAATGTGACACTTTCAATACGCGTATTACCTTTAAATTTGATAAACGACTAATCTTTGTCACTGCTGAGCAGAGTCACTGTAAGACCAATGTGATGCATTATAAAATTCTTATTTCATAGAAATATTGTCAAAAAATTGAAATCACACTACTAACGCACAAAAAGGGCAGTATATTCAGATACAATCCAAGATCCCTCGATCCCTCGATCCATAAAAAGAATACACCATAAAATACAATTACCTTTGTTTTATGTTTTTTTTTTTTCTTTTTTTATACAGAATGTGAAACACCAACTTTTCTCTACATCTATAATTGTTTTTTTTTCTCTCTTTTTTTCTTCTTTTGCGTGAATGTGTGTGTGTGTGTGTGTGTGTGTAATATTAGGCTGTGTGTTCACAGCTATTAACTATCTTATGACTTTTCAATTAATGTAAATATCATTGTCCTTACTATTACAATTAAGACAACATGATTTAATATTATTTCACAATTCGCAGATTAGCTCAAAAATGACTGTACACCAACTAAGCTTAAAGTTAAACAAAGTTGTTAGCTAAACACGACAACTTAGACACTATACGGCTAGTCAAGTATAAAACGCTCGTATCATTTATACTTTTCATCGTAATTAAACAATCGTTCGCGCTTGTCGCGCAAATTAATGAAAAGCTTTTTCCATGCGCGCGACAAAGATAGGAAATTATGAAACTTTCATTAAAATGCATTATATCATTTCCTTCGATTTTCTTTCTTTCTTTCTTTCTTTCTATCTTTCTATCTATCTATCTTTCTTTCTTTCTTTCTTCCTTTCTTTCTTTCTTTCTCTCCAAAAATTGATCAATGAGATAACTAATTATGTATATAACACTCAGTGTTTGAGACAAAAAACATTTTGTCCAACTTTTTCACGCGCTAGGAATGATTCTATAAATTTGAAAAATTGTACATCTAGAATATAAAATTAAATAGCTGATTATGTCATTTAATAACGTCGTTGAGACTGGGTGTTTTGGTAACCAGCACTGCCACCTGCAAACAACCATAGCTTCTCCATTCAATCACTTCGTAAATACGATTTTTCTTTGATTCTGTATTTTAATTCTAGTTCATAGAAACATTAATTGTCATGTAAAAGTAAAAGAATATACACGTATTATTTCTCTTCTTTTAAGGCGCAACATTTTTCCTCTTATTACCACCACATGATATACTTAAATTTTAAAATTTCTTTAAATGTTACAAATACTAATCCTTCAATTTACTTTGTATTATTATACATTACACATCCGATATGAACTTCTCTTTTTTTTCTTTCTTTCTTTCTTTCTTTCTTTCTTTTTTCAATGATCTACATCCTTTCTTAACTACAAATATAATATTTAATAACCATACAGTAACATCTGCTTTTTTATATTGTTTGCCACTTTTTAACGATACACGGTTCAAATAAATCTGCTCTATTATCTTTCTTGCACAGTTAATAATAAACGTATTTTTCCTTATTTGTCGTAAATGAATAATTTTCAGTTTTTCAAACTCGTTTGTCTCTTTAAACTAAGAAATATGATCGTTTTCTTGGCAGTACGTTTAAAATTGAACCTAAATATTTTTGTTCCGGATAAGAAATCGCCTTTGAAAATTTAAAGAAATCTTTTCGATTGTAAATTGTACTTACCATAATCCTGTTTTCCATATACACCATCTTGAGTCGAATAATCTGTAAGTATAACAGAAAAAAAAAAGAAAGAACAAATTACCCACTGTTACTAAAAATGTTTTTCATGTAAAGTGAATGTGACTCAGACGAGAAAAATCTGTAATCCAACAGATTTTTAACTTTAGCGATATATATTTTTACCTACATACAAGTAAATTTGTAAAATATTTATCTTTCCTTTTCTCAATGTTCATCGGTACATATCGTGGTAGAGTATCTATGGTAAATAATAGCAGGAGGCAGTGCTATAATGCTGGTATCTAGATGAAAATAACTACAACAACCACACATGTTTGTATCTCGCCAATTTTTTCTGGTAGGAGTAGTTAAAAAACGCAACTCTTTCAAATTCAAAACAAATTAAAAGAAAAGAAATAGAAAAATTTAAGAAAATTTTTTACTTGCGTACACGTGTCTTCGAAAAAAAAATCCAATTTTTTGGTAATAAAGCATTTCTCGTCTGAATCGATATATATGTACATACATTCAAGTATATAATGTATAAACAATTTAAAAAGATAAGGACAGGGTGTTAATTATTTACCTCCTTTACTTTCTCCCTTATTTTTCTTTTAGTCGAATGAAACCAGAGAGAAAATAAGGACGTAATGTAAAATGTGGTGGTGTCGAACGAAAGAACTAACCATAAAGTTGCGTCGAGTAACAACCCCTGTTGCTCATAGAAGTAGCATTAGAAGATTGGTCATCATAGGGATTAGCAGGGGTATAACCTATACCCCCACCCCTCGCAGCCCCTGCCTCCTGCTGGTAATTGGCTGTGCATGCATGATATATCAGATTAATTAAATCATGATCTTTTCAAGTATTTTCGTCCTTGTTTATAATTGTTCGCGAAAACGTAACACGAGCTTTGCGATATTTGTTCGATATATATATATATTTTCCTTCTTTAAAACTCTTAGGTAAAGTTGTAGCTACAGAATTACATACTAACCTGATGGTGGTGCTTTGCCATAACTGTAGGGATCTCCAGTACTGAAAGCTCCTGTAGCTGGAACAGCAGGTGCTCCACCGTACCTGCTATCAGCAGTCGCTGACGGTGGATAACCCTGCATAGAAACATAAACTTGTCAGACGTGTTCTAATCAACTTTCAATCAACATGTATTATGTAAAATAGCTTACAGCTGTTTGACCATAATCTGGAGGCTGTTGATAACTCTCATAGCCTTGATAGGATGATTGAGTATAATTTTGTGAACCGTAACCTCCTCCGTATCCCACTGGCTGCTGCTGCTGTGGCTGCTGTTGTCCACCATAGGCACTGCTAGCGCCTCCTCCGTATCCTTGGCTATATCCCGAAATTCAAAAGTTAATATTCCATGGTTTTAACTTTACACCTGTAAATTAAAGATATTAACGACCTTGGAGGTTGAGTTGCATAGCCGTTTGCAGGTTGCGAAGATGGTTGATCAAATCTTGGTCTTTTCGAAGGTCCACTCGAACCTGGTGGTCCACCTCCTCGTTTTGTCGGACCACCACCGCGTCCACCTCCTCTACTTCCGCGATCACCAAAACCTCTGCCTCCCAGACCACCCCTACCTGACCCACCTCTTAAAAATGATAAAGAAATGAACAGGAATTACAAAGCAAATAACTAGTTTTAAATTAAAAAAAGAAAAAAGAAAAAAAAATTTATGCAAATACGTAATTACGCAATGTACCTTGATCCTCCTCTGCTGCCTCTATCCATACCTCCTCGGCCACGGAAACTACTACTTCCGCCGCGACTATCTCCTCTGCCAAAATCACCTCTTCCTCTACCACGAAAACCACTGCTTCCACCTCCTCTACTTCCACTACGCGGTGGACCCCCCATTCCTGGTGGTGGTCCACCACCACCGGGTCCGCTAGACATACCTGGTTCTGGTGGACCTCTAAAATATCAAGAAAATTACGTTGTACAAACGGAATACATCTGAAAAGTAGAATCGGCGAATAACCAGTTATAAATACCCTGGAGGAAAATGTCCACCTCTACCGCCTCTACCAGGAGGACCGCCTCTACCCCTCATCCCTGGTGGTCCACCTCTCATTCCACCCCCGAGTCCACTTCCACGACCACCTCGCATCATCCCTCCTCCTCCACCTCCTCCGCCGCCCCCGCCTCTTGGAGGTCCACCTCTATTAAGTTAATATGAAAATAAAAAATTAAATCCAAATCGTACAAGTATCGATAGTAATTTAATTAAGAGAAAACGAAGCGAAAATTACCTTCCCCTATCTCCGAAACCACCTCGTCCTCTCATGGGGCCACCTGGACCACCACGACCACGAAATCCACCTCTGCCAGCTGGCGCGCCTTCCATTTGTTAATGTATCTAAAATTTTTGTATAAAAATCTTAATATAACAATACTACTCCATTATGCCAGAAATTAAAATATAGACGCTGAGATTTCTGAGGATGTCTAGATGATTTCCCTCAATTATTCTTGATTCTATGATAAATTAAGGATCTTATATTTATCACCGAAAAAACCCATATAAACTATACACTGTATTGCTACCGAAATATGCTTACATTTCACTTATTGCTAAATAATCCGTTCATAGATATGAACCGCGCCAGTCTTAGATAAGCCAACAATGAAAATGGACGCCGGTTGCCGGAAAGAGAAGCATCGACCACACCACTGAATTTACTACACTAACATTACCGGATATCCTGTATATTACGAAGAGTTCTCATATGACATCTAAAAATTTCAATTATTATAACATTTATCTAAAATCTTTAATTGAATTCGGTTATACAGTTTGTATTATATTTAAATTGTGTAATTTAAATTTAATTTCCTCGTCTTCTAATTATTTAAACTTCTATTTCTATCAATATATCGATCAATTAAGAAAGATTATTATTACTAGAGGAAATGAAATATAATATATTTTATGTTACAGATACATTTTTATAAATACTTGTAAAAATATTTAAAACTGCAGCGACGAATATATTGGAGGTTATTTATAGAATATAAAGAAGAAGAAAAAAAAAAATGAACTCGCAATGATTTTTCATGAAAACATGATTTGACGTTATTTTACTGCTAGTTACTTCTAGTGAAAAACGGTACGGTATAGTTGGTCATACGCACAAGCATACTCGGGATTGGTCAACAAACTGGGATTTAAATATTGAAATCCGTTGCCTTTCTTGCGCGAGTAAAAGCAGCAATTTGTATTTCGCAGGAAAGTTAACGTTCAATATATTTCTTTTCATAAGGCTGGGAGAGGATCCAAGTAATTTTGTACGGAACACAAAGTTTTACACTGCATATTTTGCAATTACCCACAAAAAAGTAACACAAGATGTCAAAGGACGAAAAAGAATGCATTATTCCAGATGTGATATACGATGTAAACTCTGGAAAAAGTTATACCAAGGGCAGGTTTTTTGGAAAAGTAAGTTTGTTTTTTCGTATTTGATTTTTCTTTACTGTAAGAGCACACCCACAAGCTGAATATATATATATATATATATTTTTTTTTTCTATTTAAGTACAACTTTTTTTTTCGCTCACGAAGAAGTGTTATTTCTTACATAAACATGGCAACATTACACTTGTTGCTTTATCCTCGTAGATTTATGAAGATCATATGTAAAATATATACATCAACAGATACGTTGTTTTAATCTTTCGTATCAAATATTAAAACCAATTTGGCTAGATGTATAAAATATTAATATTTGGAAAGACATTGTCTTCATTCTGTTGGAAATGCGTACCACACGATGAGCAAACAATACATTTAAAAAGAAAAGTTGTCGCTTAATATTTATTTATACAATTTTACAGGGTGGTTTCGCAAAATGCTACGAAATTAGGGAGTCAAAATCGCATCGTACATTTGCTGGAAAAATTGTACCTAAATCACAAATTACAAAAAGCAATCACAGAGAAAAAATGACGCAAGAAATTTCCATTCACCAAACCCTGAATCATAAAAATGTTGTTGGCTTTTATGGATTTTTCGATGATCCACATAACGTGTACATAATCTTGGAATTATGCCGCAAAAGGGTAAACGATCTATAAGATTTCTCTACGAGTATTTTAAAAGGATGTAGTTTGTTAAACGGATCATTGTATTTTCTAGTCAATGATGGAATTACATAAACGTAGAAAAGCCTTAACAGAATGTGAAACGAGATATTACATGAAGCAAATTTTAGACGGGGTAAATTACTTGCATCAAAATAAAATTATTCATAGAGACTTAAAATTAGGTAACTTATTTTTGAGCGACGATTTGCAAGTTAAGATCGGTGACTTTGGATTGGCAACCAGACTGGAACACGAAGGAGAGCGAAAAAAGTAATTGTTTGATATGATGTAGAATGCGTATCTAAAAATCGAAAAATAATCTAACTTGTCTTCTTGCTCTGTTCTTGCTCTGTTAATAGAACGCTTTGCGGAACACCTAATTATATAGCACCAGAAATTTTAACTAAAGCCGGTCATTCTTACGAAGTTGACATATGGAGTATCGGATGCATTATGTATACCTTGCTAGTGGGTAAACCTCCATTTGAAACGTCCAGTTTAAGAGAGACCTATGCTAGAATTAAACAGGTTCAATATAAAATTCCTAGCCATATCAATATGATTGCAGTGAATATAATATCTAACATGTTACAAGGAAATCCGTCTAAACGGCCTTCGATATCAAAATTAATGACAGATCCATTCTTTACTTGTGGTAAGTGTCGCGTATCGCGTATCGCGTATCGCGTATTGGTACGCAGAAAATCGGTGATTATTTATTTATTTATTTATTTATTTATGCGGTACATGTGTTACATGTTACAGGTTTTATGCCGCTCAGTTTACCTCTATCGTGTTTGACAATGGCACCTCGTTTAGATATGTTAGAAATGCATAATCAACGCAAACCATTATCTGAAATGAATACTAATGTAGGAGGAGAGGGACAAGACTTGGTATTTCGAGTACCTATTAGTCCAGCTTGTAAGACAAAGCCTGCAGATGCAATGAACGAAGTTCAAAAAATGAATCTCGACATCAAAAAGATGCTGCAGACGTTACGAGAGCAGCTGGCTGCTGTGTTAAAATCTAAACCAAGTAGAGAAACAACTTCGTCAGCAGGTACGATGATTCGTCAGCAGGGGTTCAGATGGCCCATTTATTATCCCATATTCCATGAACGGATATATTCAAGATATCCTATCTGATTTTGATCCTGAAAGCTCAGGCATGAATCTTCTAATAATAATAATAATTTTCTTCTGATCGAAGCTAATATGTGTTTAATAGCGGTAGCGTTACTATTAAAATTGAAATGATCGAGTTAAATAAATTTGATTGAAATTATTTTTCAGACGAAATGACAGATCCAGCTGCACAGCCTGTAGTATGGATAAGCAAATGGGTTGATTATTCGGATAAATACGGTTTTGGGTATCAACTTTCCGACGATGGAGTCGGTGTAATGTATAACGACGGCACTCGGTTAATAATGTTAGCTAATTGTTTTAATATTCATTACATAAATCGCGATGGGAATGAACTGTATTACACGGTCAGGGAATACCCGGGTGAATTAGAAAAGAAAATGAAATTAATGAACTTCTTTTTGAAATACATGAAAGAACATTTAATGAAAGCTGGTAGTTCAGTTAGCGTGAAACCAAGCGATGCAATGTCTAGGATACCATACATGTATCAGTGGTTCAGAACACAGAGTGCTGTCGTTATGCAGTTGACAAATGGAACGGTACAGGTAAGTTGAATAAATATTATTTAAATTTGATAGATAAAAAGTCTAATAAGATCGCGTTTCCTTTCCAGATCAATTTTCTGGATCATACGAAAATTATTATGTGCCCGTTAATGGCAGCTGTCACGTACATAGATACAGAGAAGAATTTCCGAACTTACAGATTTCAAACTATACAAGAAAACGGATGCTGCAAAGGTTTGGCGAAAAATTTAACGTACGCTTACGAGAAACTTGTATTAATGTTATCGAATTCTCAAGCTCGATAATTAGTAGTGAAAGCTCTAGTAGTGGGTTAGGAAAAAAAAACAACAACAACAACAACAACAACACACAATTCTGATACAACAGTGTATTATTTTAGATGATATCTTTTTTTCTTTTTTTTAAGTAAAACCTTAATGATGCCTTTATATTTGGCGAATAACAAACCCAAGTAGTTATTTTATTTTTATTTTATTTTATAGAAATATATAGAATTTTGCTAGATGTTTTTATTATAACAGTGAAAGAAAACATCTATAAATCATGCAAGTAATTGAAATAATTATGCAGGAGGTCTTTCATGTTATCAAAGGACCTTTTATGTTTTTTTTTATCGTTTCAGACAATTAAGTTATGATCGTAGTTGTTCGCCCAATGACTCATACTTTGACGTTTTTATAAAAACAACGAATATTAAATTGATATATTTTTTCATGACACATATATACAATATATGTAGATACATATATGTATATCGCTCCTCGTTAAACATCCGAAATAATTAGGAAAGAATAAGTTCTCATAATAATAATTGTCATCACGCTTTGATGGAGTAGTGCAATTGTACATTCGTTTATTTATCAGTATACGAGAAGAATAAGCGAGCTAATTTTCAATATTTCAGTCACGATTAATAAAAATATTTGTACTTAACTTTTCAAATTGATACTTGACCAATAATTGATGTTTCTAATTCTACGAACACGTGTAAAATACATATGTACAAACGACGCATTACTAAAACGTACTAAAGCTTCCGATTCTCTAGACTTTACAATATAGAAATGAGGATATAGAAATGTTTTTAATTATAAAATTGATTACACGGTACCTAGATGAAAATAAAACGAAGATTTTTGAATAGAATAAGCATATCGAGACAAAGAGGACAATACGTATTTATAAGATTTAAATTGATATTTTAAAAAATTATATTCTAATGGATTATGAAAGAAGAAAAGAAAAGAAAAGAAAAAAAAAATAATGATATATAAATATTAAATATACAAATGTACATACATACATAGACACATCTTGTGGTACTATACACAATACATATTGTATAAGCGTATCGTATAAGCATGAAAACAATTGTAATAATAGTATTATTTTTGTAAGTAGCCTATGATACAGTTTTGAAGGTGAAATAAATTGTTTTCCTACTTAAACACGTTCTTTATAAAGTTTTATTAGTTGTTGGTGTTAATTAATTCTGGCTATCGGGTTAGGTTAGGTATGGTTTCGATAGGATAATACCAAAATTGTTATTATAATAAAGTTGCATAAAAAAATAACAAACTATTGAAATAAAATATAGAGGAAAAAGAGGCAGTTGTAATTTGGGGAAAAATGTTTAGTTGGAATCAACATGTTGCATGTAAACGTAAAACTATACGTATATGAGAATTTACAACGAATCGAAGAAGATTATAATTACGCAAAAACGAAATATTGAAAATGACGAAAATGACGAAAATGAGGAAAATGAGGAAAATGAGGAATGAGAAAATTGAACGAATTCAATTGATATCAGCAGCGACCAGGGGGTAAATGTAACGATGTAAACCGACTTTATCGACGGTACGTACAATGTGGTACAATGTAATGGAATTAGGATACGTCATAGAACGAAGAGGAGATGCGAGGCTCGCGAACGAAAGGCAAAACCTGATTCAGTAGCGGCGTGGGCTTTGCGCCAAACATACGCAACTTGGGTTTGTTGATGGCCGTTTAATTACTATAAGGAAGTAACTTTAATGCATAAAGTGTGATATTCTATTGTAGAGCGGGAAACGAACAGTACTAAAGAAAGAGGGTGAGTACAGATACGTATGTATGTATGTATGTATGTATATAAGAAATGTTTCGTAGAATCAAGTCAGCTGTTCGTGATGAAGTTGTTCCTTCCTAAGTTGTAGTCGCGGTGTTAGAAGCCAAGGTCAATTGTATATGGTACCACCCGGTATACCGAGAGCTGAAAATATCTTTTAGATTGCTTCTAAAATTTCGATGCATTCGGTAAAGCAGATCCTTTTAAATAGATTAGGCATGTCCCGTTACAGCAGCCGTGCTTAAGAAAGTATTAGAAAAAACTGTGATTTGACACAGTGAATTTGATTGATCGGCAATATCAGAAGGTCTGAAATGGTCTAAAATGGTCTAAAATGGTCTAAAATGGTTTGAAATGATCTGAAAATAAGAAGAACGAACGATAATAGAAATTGTTTTTTTAACAAGTAGTTTGAAAAACAAACTTTCCGACTTTCACCTTCATTTTATGTCACATCTGCGCGAAATAGATAAGATGACGCGGGTTATTTACTGGCTGTACATACAGTTATTCTTGTACGTATTAAATGAAGTTAGAAGGAATGTTGGTATCACGCAAAACATTACACATCACGCGTTGTCCACAATTGACCCGTTCTCAACTTCTGTCTCGATAACAATAATTTCACATAGCGTCGTTTAGTGTAACCATTCCATTAGTCGGATTATGTTACACAACCAACGATGATGACGATTAATAACGAAACCGAATAAAAGATAATTTAATAATTAATTGAAATTGATATATGTATGTATATTTATGTTTATTGAAAATAAGGGAAAAGAAGTTATTCCATCATCGTGATAGATTTGAATGTTTCGTTTGAATCCCGCTGAACGTTTCGACGTCTCGTTGCATAACACATTTCTATTGTTCTGAACGAATCGTATAATAGTATCTTACTTAACCCATTAATACCTAAAGTTACGTATACGCAATATTTTATTATGCCTTGTATGGTCAGAAATATGTTGGTTTTCTTTTTCTTTTAGTACCTTGTAGAATTTACAGCGGCCTGATCGTCAGTGTATTAAACTGCGTTAAGAAGAAAAAAAGAAATACATATTTGTATATATAATACATACGGAACTTTACCTCCTTCCCGGTATCACGTATTTACGTATTTACGTATTTACATATTTACATATCTTCATTTCGCGCGCACAATAAATTTGTTAAGATCTTAAGAATAGTAAAGAAGGACGGTTCGTTTACCTTGTTCGCTAATTGTTTTACGATTCCGTGCGTGTAGACATCCGAGTATGCGAGCAAAATCAAGGTTGATCGTGTCATTGTGTGTTATATGTACTCTATTATTACCGACTGAATTCTAATGGCGTTTCTTTAACTTGAGCATCATCATCATCATCATCATCATCATTATCATTATTACATAAGTATCATATATGTAATATTTTCTGTGATAAAAATCTCTGTTGAATAATGATGACCAGCGTAATTTTCTTCACGGTTTCTATACGATTAGAAGAATTAACATGTAGGGAAACTGAAACTGTTTCGCGAAGATGATAATTCGTCCAAGAGTTTCCGAGTCTTTTCCTTTTTCTCGCAACGAGAATAATTTATAGCAGTGCAGATAGTACATATAATGCTGAATCACGTATGACAGCAAAGATTACTGGCATTATTTCATCTTCGTTTCACGCAAGATATTCTATCGGCACATGATAGACAAAAGACAAAAAAGAAAAGGGGGGTTGCAGCAAATTACTTGACTAGAATGTTGAAATTATCCTACGTACTGTCAGCGAAGAATAAGTATTTAGGTATCCCGGTAACGCACACTACAAAAATATCATTCGACCTTCCACACTCGTTATTTGATCAATGACAAAGCAAAAGTTAACGTGATAAAGAGAAGAAATCAGGATACATATGTACATACATATATGTATACACTGTGACACGGATATGATACATATCATCTCTTTTTCTTTTAAATACAGGTGCTGCGACCGATATACGTCTTACTTTCATCCATGAAACGGTTCCGTGTCAGAAGAGAAGAACAGTATGTATCCCGGAATTTTAAGATTGGATTAAATCTGTCATATTTCTCTAATTAGAGATTGCTCAATTTTACGGCAATTATTAATCCACTCGTAAGAAGACTCTTTGATGAAGAGATAAGCTACCTCAAAGCTAAACCACCTTGTGTGCGTCTGTATATATTATATACATATCTTTCTGAGACATACATACATACATATATATATGTATGTATGTATGTATGTATGTAGTGAGAATCCTTTTCGTTTTCTATTTCTTTTTCTCGACTTTCTCGGAGACTAATCAAACAAGATTTTTCAGTTTGCGAACAAAGTATCATTAAGGGGCTAGTTAATGTACCGCAATCGGGATCGGAATTGCAATCGCATCGTAGAAGATGGACTCGAGCAGTGTCAAGTCGAAACCGAATCCACGAGAAAAGGCCAATTTAATATCGGTATTGTTTTGGTGGTAAGTTGCGATACTAAACGGTATACATATTCCTGTCTTTCAAACTTTTCTACTTATTCTTTTTTGTTTTATGATATGCAGGTGGACAATAGATTTATTCAAGACAGGATACAAGAAGATTTTGCAAACAGACGATTTGTATAATCCTTTAAAGACCGACAGATCTCACGTGCTCGGTGACAAACTAGAAAAGTTGGTTAAAATCTCATTGTAAATTGTATAAAGAAAGTTTAATTGTTTAATGTGTACATCAACTTTTCAGACGATGGAACAACGAGTTGGAAAATTCGAGAAGGCACAAACGACAGCCCAGTTTATTGAGAGCTATTTTTCGCACTTTTATATGGGAATACGCTGCGCTTGGTTTAATGCAAATACTCAACGAATTCATAATAAGGTATCAATCGTTTATAAAATAGTGTGAGATTATCGGACAGTAAAGAGATTAATTCGTTCGAGTAACGAGTAAACAGTAAACATTTCGAAAACGAATTCATATGTATATGTATATGTATTATATATATATATATATTTTTTTTTTTTTTTTTTTTTTTTTTTTTTCAAAGATTAGGAACACCTATACTGCTCGGAGGATTGTTACGTTACTTCAAAAAGAGCTCGGACGAAAGTTACGAGACTGCACTTTTATATGCGGCTGGTATTTGTTTAGCAACAGCAGTGAACGTCGTTACACTTAATCAGACAGTTTTTGGCGCGTTCCACGTCGGTGCGAGAATTAGAGTCGCCGCTTGTTCCGTTGTTTATCGGAAGGTAATTTATAATAGATAAATTTTCTTTATTATACATATACCTATATCTATACTATACATATATGCATACTGTATAGGCGTTGCGGCTTAGTAAAACAGCTTTAGGCGAAACGGCACCGGGCAAGATAGTTAATTTGTTGGCTAACGACGTGAACAGATTTGATCTTGTTTCCATCTTTATTCATCATATGTGGTCCGCCCCGCTCTCTGCGCTGATTATAGCATATTTTTTGTATACCGAAGCAGGATATGCCGGGCTGATCGGTATTGCCGCGGTCTTCGTTGTCGTGCCGATTCAATGTAAGTTTCTGCTAACTCGATAACTCTATTTCAAATCAGTTTTATCATTTATTTTATTTTAGCGTACACGGGAAAACTATCGTCCAAGTTTAGATTGCAAACTGCTATAAAAACCGACGAAAGAGTCCGTCTGATGGACGAGATCATATCAGGTGTGCAAGTAATAAAGATGTACGCGTGGGAGAAACCGTTTTGCGCTCTGATCGAGACTGCACGGAAATTAGAATTGAAAGTAGTTTCAAAGAGTGCCTACATAAGAGGCATTTATATGACGTTTAATTTGTTCACTACCAGAATGGCTCTTTACTGTACGCTTATCAGTATGCTACTGTTTGGAAACGAACTAACGGCTGATAAGGTTTTCGTTTTCTCTTCGTATTTCAACATATTGGCGCACACCATGTCCGGAATGTTTGTACGCGGTTTTGCAGAAATAGCCGAATGTATGGTAGCCGTAAGAAGATTGCAACATTTTCTCATGTACGAGGAGTTTCGCGAAAATAACTTTGCTCTCAACAAATTTGCGGCCAGCATTAATGGTAGCATTAACAATGATTCGAAACAAGCTTCTAACAAAACATCCAAGCCTGATATACCATATGCAGACGAAGATACGAACGAGTATGAAAGTCTCGATGATTCCATAGAAAAGAGAAAGCACAATGGTCTGGTAGTTGTTGCTAATGATTTGTTACAGAAGACGGCTAATCTTATGGGAGGTAAATACACAAAGACTGTCTATTTATTTTCATTAAAACTGTTGAAAATGTTAAAATGTTTAAATACCATATATATATTACAGAGAAGAAACGTTCTTCTGCTTCTATATTGAACAACGAAGAGACGTATGCAGTGAAAATGGTCAACCTCAGAGCCAAGTGGGAACCAGGTCAGTCGGAGAATACGCTTGAAAATATAAATCTGGAGATTGAAAAAGGAAAAATGTATGCAGTGATTGGTATGGTTGGAGCTGGAAAGAGTTCTTTTCTCTCCGCTATTCTTGGTGAAATAGATATAGTAGAAGGTCATGTTAAAGTAAACGGAAGCCTAAGCTACGCAGGACAGGAAGCATGGGTTTTTGGCTCCACTGTTAGACAGAATATACTATTTGGTCAACCGTACGATCGTCATAGATATCAGAAGGTTGTTAAAGCGTGTTCTTTGCTTCGAGACTTTAAACAATTCCCTCAGGGTGATCAAACAATCGTTGGAGAAAGAGGAAGTTCTTTGTCCGGAGGACAGAAAGCTAGGATCAATTTAGCTAGGTCTCTTTATAGACAAGCAGACATTTATTTATTGGACGATCCTCTAAGCGCTGTAAGTGCTCGGCTTGCTATTATCATTTCAATTATAAATAAAAAAATCTGACATTCACTCGTGTGTACTCGTACGTTGCAGGTGGATACACACGTTAGCAAGCATTTATTTGAAGAATGTATGCAACGATATTTAGCTGGAAAAACTAGGATCCTGGCTACTCATCAATTACAATATATAAAAAACGTAGATTCTATTATTTTAATCGAGCAAGGGAAAGCTACAGTTTTTTCATACTATCAAGACTTGTTGAATCAACGACCAGAGTATGCTGAACTGTTAGCGGCTGAGAACGTAACTAACGATGATTCTTCTTTGGAAAAGAGTGTCATGCGAAGACAATTTTCATCGTCAAGCACCAGAGTATGTTGGTTTACGTTTACGTTTTATACCTAATTTATACCTAATAGAAATATATATATATATTTTTTTTCCAAGTAGAGTCGAACACCGGATGCCAGTAGCGGAGGAACAGACGACGAAGAGGAAAACGATGACGCTGAAAACTTTAACGACGGTTTAGAAGGAACTTCCCGCGGAACAGTCAAGGGACCAATATTTATTAAATATTTCCAAACTGGTGCTAATTTATGTCTCGCAGTAACGCTTTTATTACTCTTTATATTAACACAATTCATCGCTAGTCTCAACGATTACTTTGTTCCTATATTGTAAGTGTTAAACCACTTACCTATATGTACATCTACACTATACGCTACAATTCTATAAGAATTTCTATTTGAAATATTTCACAGAGTAAGCGAAGAAGAAACACGGAGTTATTTACTTAAACAGACTGCCTTGAATGCTACCAACGACACAGTTATAGAAAAGTTGGATACTTTTCATATTTCTACCGTCTACAGTTACATGTACATTTACACAGCCATAGTTATTGGTCTGTTTTGCATTGGCATTACAAGGTCGCTAGCGTTTTACAAGGTGTGCATATTATGCAGTCAAAGATTACACGACATGGCCTTTAATGCACTCATTAGAACAGGCATGAGGTTTTTCGATACAAATCCGAGCGGTCGTATCCTTAATAGATTTTCCAAAGATATGGGAACCATCGACGAATTATTACCAAAGGCTGTACTGGACGCTGGTCAAATATGTATGATGATGTTTGGTTCATTAATAGTATCGTGCATCGTTAATCCACTTTTCTTAATTCCAATTCTATTCTTGGGTGCTGTGTTCTACTGGATACGAAAAGTATACTTAAAAACCAGCAAAAATATCAAGCGTTTGGAAGGAATGAGTAAGTGCCAAATTCAATTTCGAGCTGGACAAAGCATGCGATGTTCATAATCTACATATTATAATAATAGTTAAAATTCTTGTCAGCTCGCTCTCCCGTCTTCACTCACTTAAACGCTACTCTAAATGGATTAACTACTATCAGAGCTTATGGCGCACAGAATATTTTAAAGAAGGAATTTGATAAATTGCAAGATGTTCATACTTCGACCGTTTATATGTACGTAGTATCGAGTAGCGGCTTTGGATTCTCATTGGACATCTTCTGTTTTGTTTTCACATCATTGGTTACGTTCAGTTTCCTTTTATTGGAACAATGTAAGAATTTTATTGATATTTTCTTCCTTTTTCTTTTTCTTTTTCTTTTTCTTTTTTAACGATCATTACCGATCATTACCGATCATTACCGATGAAATCTTGCAGCATTCTCTGGTGGTGAAGTAGGTCTGGCCATTACCCAAGTAATGGCCATGACTGGAATGATTCAGTGGGGTATGCGACAGAACGCCGAGGCTGCAAATCAGATGATGGCTGTGGAACGTGTACTAGAATATACAAACATTCCAGCAGAACCGAATTTACGCGATAGAGGGAAATTTGCAAAGAAAACTGATAAGCAGGCTGCGCTTCCAGCTAATGCTCCCAAGAACTGGCCTACCGATGGAATGATCAGATTCAGGAATGTTTATATGCGATACGCTGAAGAGGATCCTCCGGTATTGAAGGGATTAAATCTTGTCATTAATCCTGGTGAAAAGGTTCGTCACTGTTCTAGAGAACTGAATTATTATAATAAAAGTGGAAAATTACAGAATAAACGTTTCACAGGTAGGAATTGTTGGAAGAACAGGTGCTGGAAAATCCTCCTTGATTTCAGCATTGTTCAGATTGGCAAAGATCGAAGGAGCGATAGAAATTGATGGTATAGACACGGCGAGTTTTTGTCTAGAAGATTTGAGACGCAACATATCGATCATTCCTCAAGATCCAGTTCTTTTCTCGGGTACTTTGAGACGTAATTTAGATCCTTTCAATGAATTCTCTGATACAGCTTTGTGGGAGGTGATCGAAGAGGTACGTCAACATTTTAAAATGATGAAAAGAGATATTCTTTTTTCAACCATCTTGTCCTTGGTATAGGTGGAATTAAAAGATGCTGTTCTGACTATCGGTACTGGCTTAGAAAGCCGTGTATTAGATAGGGGTAGCAATTACAGTGTTGGCCAAAGACAATTGGTCTGTTTGGCAAGAGCTATCTTAAGAAATAATAAAATACTGATGCTCGACGAGGCAACAGCTAACGTGGACCCGCAAACGGATGCTTTAATTCAGAATACCATCAGGAAAAAGTTCATCAAGTGCACTGTACTTACTATTGCTCATCGATTAAATACCATTATGGATAGCGATAAGGTCTTAGTTATGGATAAAGGTCGTATGGCGGTAAGTAAGATATTACTTACTATAGTAAAATAATTTTTATTAATAATAATAATAAATCATTTTAGGAATACGATCATCCCCATATACTGTTACAAAATAGTTACAGTCAATTTACCTCGTTGGTAAAAGAAACCGACCGCGCTATGTACGACCAATTACTTAGGATAGCGAAACAGTCTTACATTGCCAAATACGCAAATTAAGCCCGGGTTCAAGTTTTCAAACCCCGTGGCTGAAACCCTGAATCAGAAATGAAATTTCTATCTCCGTGCCCGTAGATTGACGACAACCAATCTAACGAACAGAATTTTCTACTGATTCCAGTTTTATATCAAGTATTATCAAGTATAACTTCTAAGCGGCAACGATATTAAAACAATCATATTTTTCTATCTTCCTATTTTCATAGACATACACCTAATCGTAAGTATGTATAGGTATTTCGTAGTACTTTAAATGGAAATACTGCTGTGCAGTGTACTTGAATTTTTATTTTACACCAGAAGTAAGTAAAAGTCGTCTATATTTACAATTTTCAAGAATTTTCAATAACTGGAACATTTAGCTGTTGTACCTATAAACATTTACGACTTACAAGATGCCAAATAACAATGTATTATAAGGAAGATATAGTAAGATAAGTAGGTAATAATGAATATACATTTACAATATGTATATTACAATTGTATTATATTACGTAAATGGATAATGTACTATAGTTTGAATAACTATAATATTTTATAATATATACATATGTACTTTATACTGTGCTCGACGAACCTATATGTATATTTACCTATTATACCTATTATACCTATTATACCTATTATACCTATTATACTTATTATATGTAAAACTTAATTCGGTGTCCTTTCTTTCTTTCTTTCTTTCTTTCTTTTATTCAAGTCTTATTTTTGAAAAGTAATAGTAACTTTTCAAATCTAAAAACACTGAATTAACTTGTACATCTAATACTTGTACCAATATGTCGTTACAATATTTGTCGAGTCGAATGTAACTGCCAAAGTATGTTGTAGATACATTGTGTTTGAAACAACGCGTTTATCATGTGGCCCCGAGTACATTAATTATAAATAAAATTTTACTTTTATATACATTAATGGTATAATAATAATAATAACAGACATTTCATGTTTTATACTTTATTTTAGGCCTTTTTATACCGTATGTATCGAAACGCAAGAGTTGCGCTTCGAACTTTGATACTAATAAAAAATACGGTTTACGATCGTATAATCTTTCAAGGTGAAATTTACTATGCATTATATGTTATCAGTCGACATAAATATTGTAAGAAATATTGTTGAAACGTTAGTAAGGCCAGACTTTTTAACAGAATGGATCCGAAATTAGTGCACACCAAAGAAAACCCGAAAGAAAATGCGAATCTAGTAAACAAACTGTTTTTCTGGTATGTTTTTTATCACTTTATTTGTTATTGATTATTACTATTAGAATAATTCTATCATAGGTGGACGAAAGAATTATTTTGGAAAGGATTTCACAAACAGTTGACGTTATCGGATCTCTATCGTCCATTAAGAGTAGATGAATCTGAAAGACTTGGCAATCGTCTGGAAGGGTAAGTCTTTATCTTATCGTATAGTTGAAAAGTTATTAGAATTCAACATTTTATCCGGTTGCTTGTAGGTACTGGAAAGAAGAACTGAAGAAACTGAACAAACAGAATAATAATAATAATAATAAGAAGAAGAAAAATGAACCTCGCTTGGAAAAAGCTCTGTTTCGTGCCTTTTGGTCGGAGCACCTTTACATGGGTCTGTTAATGTTTTTTCAGTACGGGGTCCTCACTATATTGCATCCACTTCTTCAGTCTTTGATCATTAGTTACTTCAAAGTTGAGAACGAGATAAAAGAGACCACCGAATCAGACGCTTTAATTTATGCAGGTTGCTTGATAATCTGTATAACAGTAATCGTCTTCGTCCAGCATCATAGCGACATGATGGCATTACAAATAGGCATGAAACTTCGCGTTGCATGCTCCTCGTTGATTTACAGAAAAGTATGTATCGCATTTATAATTTCATTGGAAATATAAACAATGTCTTGAAATTTCGTAAATTTTTAACATGTTCGGTGATTAATGTTCTTAGAAACGATGTATATCCTTGGAATTTAACAGATAACATATTCAATGAACGCATATTATAATTTATAATATATTATATCTACATTTGACTTTGTAATGTATTCTTCCGCAAGTTTAAAATATTGTTTTAATTTTTATTCATATTGCAGGTATTAAGACTGAGTAAAGGAGCCTTGATTCAGACTACCCCGGGTCAAATTGTGAATTTTCTTAGTAACGATGTTAGCCGTTTTGATGAGCTCAGTTTTTATTTAAATTTTATTTGGATCACGCCACTTCAAGTACCTTTAATCTTTTTAAAGATCCTTTAAAGATCCTTGGATATTATTATATGGATATGTTTAATCTTACAGATCATTATTATCGCCGCAATAATATGGCAAAAGATTGGAATCTTGACTATTGTCACAATCGGCTCTTTAATGTTAATAATACTTCCAATTCATTCTATCTTCATCAAGCTTTCAGGCAAGATGCGAAGAATGATAGCTGTTCTGACAGATAAGAGGATACAACTGATGAATGAACTAATAACTGGTATACAGGTAAACAGAAAGAATATCGGTTGAATCGAACTTGGAATATTTAATGTACATACATATATATATATATATATATATGATGTATATGCTTATCAGGTGGTAAAGATGTACGCCTGGGAGGAACCATTTGCGAAGATCGTGGCAGATATAAGAGCTGCCGAGATGAAGAAAATCAAGTTTACCTCATACGTTCGAGCTATGTATTATGGCTTCTCGCTGTTCACCACTCGTACCGTACTGTTTTTTACTCTTCTATCGTTTATCTTGACGGGAAACGATTTAAGCGCGGAGATAACATACATGTTGTCTACCTACTTTGAGATTTTTCAACTCTCAGCTGCTCATTTCTTTCCAAATGCACTTATACTGACTACCGAAACTATGATATCTATCAAAAGATTAGAGGTTTCTTTCTGTTTCTCAAGCTATCTAGAATAAAAAAGGAAATGAAAAATGAATTAAAATGATATTTTGAAAACTTATTTCAGAAATTTCTACTATTAGAGGAGCAATCAAAGGAGGAAAGTTCATCGCTTCTCGATACCGAACAGAACAGCTTCTTAAAGTTTAAAGAAGTAAAAGAGAAAGTGGAATTTATCAGAATGATCGACGCAAACCGAAAGAAAGTGGCAAGTTCAAACGAAAGCAAAGAACGCGGATCTGTCTCCATAGTGCTGGAACGTGTTTCAGCAAATTGGATTGCGAAACAATTGCCACCGTCTATATGCAACGTCTCGATCAAGATTCAGAGTGGGCAATTGTGTGCGCTGATAGGTCCAGTGGGTTCAGGTAAATCCTCTCTTCTTTATTTACTTTTGAACGAACTTCCTGTCGGAGCTGGAAGTTTGAAAATGCACTGTAAACCATTGGAACAGAATATTGGGCAGAATAACCAAGGTCAGATCGTCGAGACTTCAAATTTAAGAATCTCTTACGCTAGTCAAGAACCATGGCTATTTTCTGGAACTATCAGGGAAAATATCCTCTTTGGGCAACCTTATGACAAAGCTAGATACATTGCTGTAAGTTTGTAAGTTTCAGGTGAGATTTTCAATTGAATTCTAGGACGGTATCCTATCCGTGTTCCAGGTGACAAAGGCTTGCGCTTTGACCAGGGACTTTAAACAGTTTCCTCAGGGTGACACGAGTAACGTTGGCGAAGGAGGTAGCTCGTTATCCGGTGGACAAAGGGCACGAGTGAATCTGGCCCGTGCCGTTTATAAACGAGCCGATCTTTACTTATTCGATGATCCTTTAAGCGCAGTGGATGCACGCGTAGCGAAACATCTTTTTCATAAATGCATCGAAAAATACCTTTACGGGAAAACGAGGATTTTGGTTACTCATCAACTGCAATTTGTCAAACAGGCTGATATTATCGTGGTATTAGATAAAGTAAGTAGCTACGTAACTAGAAATTTACATAACAACTCTTTCATTTACATTTTTCCAAAGGGTTCCGTAAAAATGCAAGGGTCATACGAGGAATTGTCAAAATCAAACCAAGACTTTAACGAGATGATGAATCGTATCAAATTGGAAGCGAAAAAACAAGAAATTGAAAATTCCGATGCTGTGGTGAAAAATGGACCGAGTAATAAAATAAGCTGCAGAGTTTCTGTAACGTCGAATGCCAGCAGCGTGGTAATTAGCAAATTGGCTACATTTTTTTTCTTTCTATTATCTAAACCAGCCCCATTTATATTCAAGTCACTTTACAGGTTTCCTATGACTACGAAGATGAACGATTCGAAGAAAAAGGTGAATCAGAGGCAATAGCAAGCGGTTACGTTGCCAATAAAGTCTACAAAGAATACTTTCATCACGGTGGCTCTTATTATATGTTGTTCGCGTTGCTTTTCATTATCATCGTGTCCGAAACAGCTACCTGTGGCAACGATTACTGGGTCTCTTATTGGACAAACCTGGAAACTGTGAGAAGACTGGTGACGAATAAAACAGATTCAGTGAACAACACTGGATACAATTATATGTTTAACAATAAATTCTTATCTAGTATGTTCACCTTGGATGACAATGGACTCTTACCCACCGACGGTGCTATCTATCTATATACATTTTGCATCATTTCTTGCATCGTAACCGTATTAGTACGAAATCTGTTCTTTATGAAAATCTGCACCGATGCTGGCAAAAATCTCCACAACTCTATGTTTTCCAATGTACTCAGAGCAATGATGTCCTTTTTCCATAACAATACATCTGGTATGTATCTACATATAGTTACTATGAATATTCTCACAAGTATAATTAAAATAAATAAAAATAAATAAAAATAAAATGTATATGTACAATACATAGGTAGAATCTTGAATAGATTTTCCAAGGACGTGGGCGCGATGGATGAGTTACTACCGAAGACCATGTTGGAGACCCTTCAAATATTAATCGTGATATTCGGTGTCCTCTTGATGATACTTGTAGTCAATTATTGGATGATCATTCCATTGGTTATATTATTTCTCCTATTTTATCATTTGAGATTGCTGTACCTGAAAACTGCACAGAATGTGAAACGTCTCGAAGCTGTAGGCAAGTGCATATACTTAAAAAATATACATATGTACATATAACATGCTGTTTAGAATGAATTAAGTAAGAAACAGGAGTGTTGTTGACCCTATATTGTATTGAAATTTCAGCAAAGAGTCCAATGTTCTCTCACGTAAACGCTACGCTAACCGGTTTAACGACCATCAGAACCAGTGGATCAGACATCGTAGATCTTTTGCGAAAGCAGTTTGATGATTTACAAGATGTACACACAGGTGTATGGTACATGACGCTCGCAGTTTCTGCAGTTTTTGGTCTGTTACTCGACTTGGCCGCCTGTTTTTTCATCGGATGTGTCTGCTTTTCCTTCATCCTCTTTAACACAGGTACTTACTTACTTACTTACTGTTTGTTAAAGAAAAATGTTTGTTAGAAAAAAAAAACTATTGAAACGTTAAAAAACTTTAGGTGATACTTTGGGAGGCGACGTTGGTCTAGCGATATCGCAGTCTATGATTTTGATTGGCCTGTTGCAGTATGGCGTGAAACAAAGTAGCAATATGGTCTTACAAATTACCGCGGTGGAAAGAATTTTACAGTATACTGATTTACCGAAAGAACCTCCTTGGAAGAGCGACGATCCTCCGCCAGCTGACTGGCCAAACCATGGAAAAGTGGTTTTAAGGAATATCACCTTGAAATACAACCCGAAAAATTCAACTCCTGTTTTGAAGGTTTCAACAAGCTTCAGACAGATGAAATATTATATTTCTACTTTATTTCTTCTAATTTCTTCTAAATTTCTTTTTCTTTATATTCAGAATCTGAACGTAACCATAGAGGCTGGATGGAAAGTAGGCGTGGTGGGCCGAACAGGCGCAGGAAAATCTTCTCTAATATCGGCGTTGTTCCGTTTGTTCGACGAAGGCTTGGAAGGAGAGATCATGATCGACGGAAGAGACACTAAGACACTGGGTCTGCACGAACTACGTTCGCGGCTATCTATCATCCCTCAGCAACCCTTTTTATTCTCTGACAGCTTGCGTTACAATTTGGACCCGTTTCATTCGTACGATGACACGTTACTGTGGGAGAGCCTTCGACAGGTTGAGTTGAACGATCATCTTTTGGATCAGAAGGTAACGCAGAGTGGAAGCAATTTGAGCATCGGTCAGAGGCAATTGATTTGCTTAGCTAGGGCGATTCTAAGGAATAATCGGATCCTGGTATTGGACGAAGCCACTGCCAATATCGACTCTCGGTAAGAGTTTTCTCATATTAGAAGCTTTACGTTGCAAATTCATCATTTGATAATCATTATTTTAGCACGGACGCTCTCATTCAAAACACCATACGCACGAGGTTCGCAAATTGCACAGTGATCACGGTTGCCCATCGTTTACTTACAATCATCGACAGCGATAAGATCATAGTGATGGATGATGGTCGTATAGCGGTATGATTATATTTTCAACTCTATTTATCTAGCATCACTTGAGATTGACAATGAGCGAATAGCGAGCAGTAAACCTATTTAAAAATACAAACATACATTTTAATTAAAGTAAAATTGTATACCCCGTTTGTGAGAACAGGAATTTGGCTGCGCTCACGAGTTGCTGCGCGACAAACCTACAGGAATCTTCTCGCAGATGGTGAACAATACTAATGCGACGATGGCACAAACTCTTCGGTCTGAAGCGGAAAAGGTTTATCTGAAAATCACCGGGCAATCGTCCCGTCGAACCTCCGGTGAAACAGACGCGTCAGATACTATTATGCAAAGCGAACTTTAAAAAAATATTAAAAACACTTTGAAAGATTTATTTCTTGGAAAAAAATGAAAAATTGCTAATTACCGAGAACATGGAATGTTTGCAAATACATAAATGAATAAAGCGGACATGTTATCGTATCGTATCATTTATTATAATATTCCATTTTTTCGAACCATTTTGTTTTAAATAAATTTTAACAAGTACTTATGTAAGTAGCAAGTAGGTAAACGGAAACACGTTTGTGGAAGATGTTTGATAATTATTTTTTCTTAATGTTTGCTTTGGCAACTATCTCTACCTTTAAAATGTATCGAAATAATCGATCAAGTTTCTCGTTCATTATTTCTAAACAAGAGGAGTGACTTTGTGTCACAACACTTACATCGTAAAAGGCAATCAAATCTGCACTCTATTTTAACTCTCCATAGCGCAGATGATATCAATGTTCCTTCCTTTATACCATACACCACATACTTGTGTATAAATACATCATTATTTTCGGTCTTTGAAACTTCAAATAATACTACTCGCACTATTATAAAGTAATGCAAACACCTGATGGTTTTTATGTTAAAAGAAATGTCTGTTAGGTATTCAGCAGTGTATTAGAAGCTCCGTCGCCTAAGGAGGAAGACCACCCACCCTCCGGCCCAGCAGGGTGGTCCCGGGTGTGTTCATCAGAGGTCCCAGACCACCCACGTAAAAAAAGAAAGGTTTACCAATGTATTCAGCTATGTACGAGTCGACATCCTTGCAGGGGGTGGTAACTGAGGTAATTCTGAATAATCACTTGAATCAAAAACTAAGCATTAACTAGAATTTTGTTAAAGGAAAAAGTTGTTGAAAATCATCTGAGCTATAGTAACCAGTTTCTCAAAGGATGCCCATCCGTAGCCGAACACTCTGGTAAGTACATGTAGGTACATACATAGAATACAATTTCAATTCTTTTCTTGCGTCACTAAAAATAAAAACGTACCTCTTTTTCGATACTCTACAACAATATGTACTTGTGTATGTATATCGTGTACATGTCTAGATTAGAATGGTTTAGTTAGTATAAATCTTCCTCCGCAAAGATTCTTTGAATATTCGTCGCTAGTTACAGTTGAGCTACATAATAATATATGGTCTGGATTAAAAATATTCTGAACGTGACAATCGAAAGTAGGTAACACACAGCCTAAAAGAAACGAGAATCTGCCACGTTATTTATAATACAATGAACAAAGAAGAATCACAGATAGATTACATATGTATATACAATACAAATTTCCTACGCGTTTAGTAATTGATTTGAATTGAAAATATTGTAAACATATCCATGAATCACCAAATGGAAACATGTGATACATGAAAATCTATCTCGCAACAATGCTCTTCACGATCCTCTTTGCTTTTCTATACCCAGTCAGTCATACTCCAGGCCAAACTAAAATACACAGTAGTTTAAACATTAATTTTCCAATAGCACTTATAATACCTATAATGTATATAGGTTTGTTTTCGCTTTGTTCTTAATTTTTTTTTTTATAGAATTACTACATGCATCTTGAGATTTATACTTTCAGTCCTTATAATGGTGTTTACAAGAAGAATTTCTCAGATTTGAATAAGTTTTTACACACTAATACTCATTCGAATCTAAGAAGGGTACCTGACAATTTCTGCTTATTAAATATAATATTGTATCCTGTTACTCAAGATTCATGTATCGATAGATGTATAATAGTTTAATTAAAAACTAGATTTGATTTATTCACCTTGAATACGATCGTTTAAATACATGTCATCTACTTATAAATAATCTAATAGGCAAACGTATTCGTCTTTTAATTTTTCTTCTTTTTTTTTTTTCATTTTTTTCATTTTTTTCTTTTTTTCTTTGAACATTACAATACCTTGTTGTTCGTGTAACAACAGTTATATTTCAATAACAACACTTAAACATTATCAATGTGCTTTCATAATCATAAATTATTACGTTCTGTATCGTCCAACACACTTTGCGTCACAACTAATTTTCTTATTTCTATGCTTTGTTAGTGCAACTATTACGCTATTATAGTACTAAATATTGTATAACAGCGATTTTTATTTATGAATAATCTTAAATTTTTTTTTTCTTTTTTTCATTTCTTCATTTCTTTTACTTTTTAGAATATTTTAAGAAGTATTCTCCCTAACTTTTCTCTACTTTTTTATACTTTAGTTCCGTTTATTCATTTCGTTTAATTTTCTCTACTATTTAAGATTAAAACGAAATGAATTTTTTAAAAGTACGTATTAATGAAAAAAAATAAGGAATATAAAATGTAGTAAATCTAATGTTATGGCATAAAGTAAGAAATATGATTAAACAGAATTATGAATGAAAGAGAGAAATTGTACAAGAAAAATGAGAACGACACTGTTATATAATATTGTACCATAAAGAAGAATTGTAAAAAGCTATCAATTCTGCATTTCACCACCAATTGTGAAATTTGTACAGTAGCAAAATTCAAAATTGGTCGTTTTCTACCGTTACCCTTTTAGCTGAGTCCTGTTTCTATTCCCTTCATTTTTCTTATAAATTTCTTGTGCGCTGGAACTTGACCTACAATTGTTCCCTTACAAGTACAGTACTTTTTGCAGTTTTTTATATTTATAAAAAAAAAAAAAAAAAAAAAAAAAAAAAATCCTCCTCATATTTTATATTTTCGTATGTTTCAATGAAACTCGTTTAAAATACATTGCAATGAAATATTTGAGGAAAAGTCATAAAAATATATTGAAAAATTTACGTAAGAAATATCGGTACTAAATATAATATGAAAAAATGAATCTTTGGCATCATCGATAAAATTATGGCAACTACATATGTATATACGATTATGTACTTGATAGTATTTTTAAATTCTCTGAAGAAACGAATGAATTTTATTTGATCTTAAAATATGAAAAAGTTGTTCTTGTGCATATCATACTCTTTCTGTTGCTACTAAAAATGTCGTACTCGCTAATTGAACTTAAGGTATCTTTTGGCAGTTACAATATCTTTTGAGCAACCTGTATAGTATTTTAAGTATTACATATAATAATTTAAAATGATAGATTTATTTCTGTATATTATATTACTTGCATTTACGATCTCTTTGGTTTTTTCGATCATGAAACGTTACGTCAGTGTTTAATTATATTAGGTATATTAACTGAATCACATTACGTTTATGTTGATCCTGCAGTATCTCTAATTCTAATATTTCATTTTTCATTTCATTTTTCACAGATACTGATTTAGCTATAAATTGAAAAGAATTCAATATGGCTATATTTTGTGTCCCTTTCTATCGTACGTATTATCAAGTATACATATAGTACTTACTACCTTGGCTAATAAATAGCAATAAATAAGTATTGTATAAATGAATAAGGAATGGAATGGAATGGAATGGAATGGAATGAAATGAAATAAAAAGAGAATAAAAAGACAAAATACCTTGATGAGAATTATGATAGGTGGGGATAATGGTAAGTTAATGGACGGTAAAGCAGAGAGAATATTGCTAAACAGTAGTCTCCCGGTCTACGTGGATATACTCCACGAAACCGGGTTGCTGTTGTCAGGATGCCGCTCCGAGTAACGTTTCTTCTGTTGGTGCTCGTCTCGGTCTATTGCTTTTCTTTGTACCCTTGTAATGAAGTCTTTTTGTACGTGCTTTAGACCTGGGAAAAAGATTTGATTGTAATATCGCGATACCCCGTATATCGTGATTACGATATCAGGTATGATTTTACCTGGTGATGAGAATCGCAAAGAAGCAGGCGAAAGCGGTGATGATTCCAGCGAGAGCTGCCAAAACGAGCCAGATTTCTGAAGGAAGTAGCCCAAGTAATTTTGCACCATTACCACAGTTTGCTTCGTCGTATCCGGATGGACAATGAGATCTTCCATCGCACCAAAGACTGGCGGCGATGCAAGCACCCAATTCAGGACATTTATGAGGGCAGTCTGCAGCATGAGGTGACGTATCGTTTTCTACTCCTCCTCCTCTCTCGGGTAAACGTAATTGTCTACGTAACGCGGCTCTGCTTTTCGAAATTTCAAGCCACGAAGCTGCCGCTTGACCAGACTCTCTCGCGACAAAGTCTAAGAGAAGGGCGGGTGGTCTTGGTGGACCTGGCCATTTAGCTTCGTCCGTACCTCCTAGCCATTCTTCGGAGAATACATGAACCGTGAATTCTCTGGCACCTGGTTCAGCAGGGCATACCACTTTCAAAAGTTTCGGTGGCCAGCCGGAATAAAGAAGAATTCTGTTGGTAGTCGGGCACTTTGCTTGCTCGTTCATTTCTGATACAGGAGGAGGTTCGAGGGGAAGGAACCAGCCCCAAGTAAGAAGAAACAAGGATCTGTTTTCGCGAGCTTCCACCAGCCATGGAAGTCCTTCGCAGTAAATGTCTGGTCTCGATAACGGAGGAGCGACGAATCGTAATTCACCACCTTTGGAAGAAAATATTTCTTTTCTTACATATATGTAGATATAGCTATTTATTATACATATAATGATATTACCTTCGCCACGTACTCTTTGTTTCCGGGGACATTCGGGTGCTCGAACGAGTTCGAAACTGGCATAGAAAAAGAGCGTTTCAAAGTCTTCGTGGGGAGCTTGGTGATCGACTAGAAAAGTAATTTCTAAAGCTCTGCTCGAAGAGATGTGCGTGAATGGAAGATGCGAGGTATTATCACAGAAACAAGCTCTGGCAAGCTTCACGTCTCGCCAAGGAGCTTCGTATAAAACTAGACGAGCTTGCCTATGGTTGCCTTCTTCTTGAACGACGCACCGTGGTCGAGCAGTGTGAGGATCTGGTTCGCTGGTACAAACGGTCGATTCGCCTAGGCTAACGTTGTGCAACGTTAATCGGACTCGTTCGTCGGGACCAGCCTCGATTCTATATCTGCAATCTAATCTCGCAGATCCTCCCCTACCGAAAAGACGAACGTCGCGCGGTGACGTTACTTCTCCGCTTCGAACTTTACGCCAGACTCGGCTACAAACACCGTCACCCCATGGTTCGCCAACTTGTATAGTTGAAATAAATTCGTACTGTGCCTGAAATGTATGCGTATAGGTATGCGTATAGGTATGCGTATAGGTATACGTATAGGTAAAGATGAATAAAGAGTAGAGTATACTGCTTACATTAAAATTGACCGTATGAAGAGCAGTGCCGAAGGTAGCTTCCATGTGTAAAGTCAAAGACGGTGCTACCGTAATGTAACTTTCCTCCGCTGTACACGGTCTTGTACTTCTCGTGATATTCCTTAGAGCAGCATGGGCGCACAACTTTGGTGTATCGTCGCAAAGGGTAGCCATTGCGAGTCCAGTAGTTGGAGTACCGTCCCAAAATATAAATTTCACTGCACACGGCAGATCCGATTGAGAACTAGCATTGTTTTCAACTTGACTCAAGTCCGTCAAGTCCCTCTGAGAATAAGAAGAAAAATATATCCAGACTCTGTCACCTGCGGATCCTTTGATATTCCAGGTACAGCTAGAATTTGGTGGCAGTGCGTGTTGCGGTGCTCTCAATACACCGGTTCTTTTGTTAGTACCATTTACAAAAAAATGACAACCTTGAGGATCTTTCGCGTAATCCAATCCGTCGGAATCGACGTAAACCACTTGAATCTCGAGTTCGATTCGCAAAGCGGAACCACCAAGAGGTATAGCTATCGGAGAACTTTGAAATTCAACTTGCATCGTTGGACCTCTGGCGGTGATTCTCGGTAAAGCTCCTCCGCAGTATATTAATAAAATCGGATCTTCGGCTCGAACACCGTCGCGAAAGATAAGCCGATCCTTCTCGGCAGGACAATCTTGCCATACGGTCAAGGTAGCGTTGGCCGATGTTATCCCGGACGGACCGGTCGGCGTAGATTTCACAGAAATCATCGCGTGTTTACAGGTCGGTACCTCCTTTTGTCTGATGGTGATCAAACAGCTCGCGTTTCGCGGATACTCTCCTGGATAATTTGGACTTTGCAGTCTGCATTGCTTCAAATGACATTCGTAAAAATTTCGAGAACAATAAGTACCAGGTACCGGAGAACCCCTCTCGATAGGAACCTCGGGTTTACCTAATCTAGCAACAGCTTCGTTCCGCGCTACGAATCTATATCGTAGATGAAATTCGAACGGAACGGAAGCAGGTGCGTGAAATAGTCTTATAGAGGCTGTTACGGTACTGGTCTCGCTATAATAGCTAGCTTTTCCTTCCCCGACACCGCACCAAGAGCCACCGGTGAAATGTCTACCTAATTCAGCTAATTGCAACGATCCTTCCGGGCAGCTGGTGACGAAGCTATCGGTGTTTGGATCAACCCTGCCTACGCTAAACGCGTCCCATAACAGTTGCACCAATTCTCCGTATCCTTGACCAGCAGCGGTGAACGTTAAATGACAAAGGAACGGTAAACGTTCCTCGGCAGGTCTCGGAAGATCCAATTTGTACGTACGTCCTTCTCGGCCGTGATACGTACGATTACAGGGTGTACACATAGCTGGCTCGTCACTGTTGTCTCCGCAATCATCTCGTCCGTTGCAATAAGCATCGATCGGTACGCAATGCCCGTCTCGACAAGTTAACTCGGCCAGACCGCAATCGCCACCTACCACGCGGTCTGTCCGCTCGAACAGAAAAAATACGATGACGAAAACTAGAAGACGGTATTGTTTCCAACCACCTCCGGCATCAGCTATCTCCTGGAAATGATAATATTTATTACATACCCATCTCTCTGTTTACAACAAAAAACATACTTGACACTTTCTTCACAGACTTATCTATTTTTAACGAAAACGATACTGATACTGATACTTACGTTCATTTCTCTAGTACTTAATAATATGTATACCTATACATATTATTAAGTACCACTTGAGATAACCGGTTAAATAATAAAAAATCCACTCAACTGTGTTTCCAGATACATAATATCAAATCTCTGATCTCTCTGATCTCTCTGATCTCTCTGATCTTTAGATCGCAATTTAGAAAAAGATACTATAGAGTGTACTATAGAAATACAATTACATCTTTAAGCAATACATACATAAAATAGATAAAAAAATGATTTACCATAATCATCTGTCAGTGAATCGAACATCACAATAGCAACCTTGACAACGTAGCTTCGAATCGATAACACCAAGTAATCACTAGCCTCGCAGCACGATAATTATATGTCTGAAATAAGTGAAAACTGCAATTTAACCAATCTTTTTGAAATTGTTAAGTAACAACAACAGTCGCAGTAACAGTAAATAAAGAGACTCGTACCGTTCGGTATCATCGCTTTCGAACAGCTTTGAAAAAAAAAGTAAAATGCACAAAAGTGAAAATATATCAGCCACGAATATAACACGGTCTGGATCAGTCTGGATCGATTCGTGTCGCGTCACAACAAAAACGAAATTCGTAGAAACGTTAAAAGTACTTGCCGTGAACAAGTTGATGCGCAACTGCATACTAAAGAGTAAAGCCCGGAGGGCAGGTTTGCTGCAGCCTGCAGGGCATACCGGACCGGGGTAAGGGTGATGGAACGAAACAGGGCTGAGCTCAGGGCCTGGCGCCTCAATGCATCGATCGGCATTCGCTCCTTTTCTCCCCGTTTCAACGCCCTAAAACACGCCACTGCACTGACGTAACTACAAATTCTAATACCTGAATCTCTATCGCAATTTATCTACTTTATTCTTTTTTAAATCTTTCAAATTAACACATTAAACAAGTCATTTTTAATGCAGTATATTACGATTAAGGGCATATTATTAAATAATTATCGTATCGGATGCAAAATTAAAATTTATTGTCTACAAATCAATCAATGTGATATATACATACAGTATCGTTATCGTTATCGTTATCGTTAAAGTACAGTACTATATGTACTATAACGAGACACCAACCCTTTTCATCTTTTTTTTATGTCGCTTAGTACCCTACTTATTAGTTTGAAGGTTAAACGAGGATAATAATGTTACGTTATACCCTCGATACGCTTCACCACACGAATTAACTTCGCGCCGAAGCTTTCAGCGAAAAATGCAAACACTGATCGCTACAATTAAACAGTGAATTCTAGGTCGAAAGGGTTGAATAAAAGAAAAGAAAAGAAAAGAAAAGAAAAGAAAAAAAAATTATATTAAAAATTTATATCTTTTCGTTTCTATTTTCAACTTGTACCATCTATAGTAAGAAAAAGATACAAAAACTGTTCACCTTGATTTTCAACTTTAATTGCAAATATAAATAGAAAAATATAAAAAATGATAATTCATTGTTATTCAATACATTCGTTTGAATTAATTTCAATTTCAACTAAAATATAACTTGAATACGTTTTTACAAAGAATAATTGTCCATCAATACGTTCGATATTCTTTAATGCGCATGCCGTATTTAAAATTTTAAATTAGGTCGACAAGATGTTTTCTATTTTTTTCTGCGCTAAACATACATGTGCCGCTCATTTATTAGATCGATCTAATTTGGCTTTTGAACGGCTCAAATGTCCCGTTGTAAAAATTCGAAACAACACTTTTAAAAGACCAATTATTGTGTATTTTCTATATATATTTATATATATATATAATCAGTTTGCAGCTTTGTCAAAACTTATGGAATACATAATGGTGAAAACTGAATGAATCATATGAAAAAAACAAAAACTTCATTTCGCATCTATGATACAGCACGTTGTATTTTTACGTTACGTGTTTTAAAAAATACGTTGAATCGATTAAAGCGGAATGCAAAAATTTGTTAAATGACTCGATAATAAATAAGCCGTAAAGATAAAAAGAAATTTAAAAGGCGTATCGTGTACGAATATCCTCGAGTTTCTTTGATACTTCGGAAGGTGTTCGTTCAAGATCGCCCGCGATACTCTTTTGTTTCGCCGGTTCGATAGAATTAAATTGTTCGCAGAGATCACCGTCTATAACATTCTTTACAGGGTAATAATATGATCTAAATGACAAGTGATCCCTTCCGCAAAGTGGTGGATGTTCCGAGCGCATATGCATTTCTAAATGTTGAAAGAAATCATGATCTTCGTGACTAGTAAACGGTACCAGAACGCCAACTGTTCCACTTAACGTTGTATACACCAAACTTTCAGAACCACCCGGAATTAGGGTTGCTTTCTGTAAAGACATAACCGTTTCACCAACGTGGAAACAGGCAACCGTGTCTGCCTTTTGGCTGGCTCCGTTCAGTAAACCTCGGTCCCACAATGCCTTGTTCCCGGTTGGATCTTCATCCACGTCGTCGTTAATACCACTTGCTAACCGTATCTGTTGACAAGTTTATTTCATTGTACATGAGATTTTACCCCTCCTATTTCTTTTTTCTTTCCCCCGCAATTGATGAGTATCGAGTTACTTACAACAGCAATGTTACCAAATTTGTCGGCAGTAGCAACAGTATCGTAATCAAGTACGCATGTTGTTGTGATCCATCTCGGATGCGTGTCATCGGCAAACACTATCAGCTGATTTTCTTGTCGTTTGTATCTAACAGCGTACACTGATTCCTGAACGTCGCTTACATAAATTCGTTGCCCAATCGCATTTATAGACACAATAGCATTAGGAATATGTTTATTTTCACATTTACGTAGTAATTTCTTCTTGCCCATATCATATAAACGTAACATTCTACCAACACCAACTAATACTCTTCCCTGATATGGACATATAGCCAAAGGTACCTCGTCCAAAGTGGTTTTATGTACCAATTCAAGACTAGTACATTCGGTATTTACTCTGAACAAGAAACAATAAAATTTCGTTAATATTTATTCTTGTTAAAAGAAATAAAAGAAAACGTTTTATATTAATTAATGAATAAATATCAGCACTGCAGGATATTTCACCATCGCATTATCGCATTATCGCATTACTACATTTCAGTGATTGTGTATTTTTGTCATCATATATTTATATTTCATTTCTTATGTTCCAATTACTTAATCAATTCAATGAAAGAAATACTTACTTGTAAGTATAGAGGAAACCACCGCTGCTAAGTCTAGGATTTAATTGAAATTCTTTCGCAACACCAACTATGAGAAACAATTGATCACCCTGGTTAAGAAACTTTACAAGACTTAGGCTGTAATATAAATTTATGAAAATTAACATTTTTTCATATTTACACCGAAAAATATAGAAATATAGAGAAATTCTTACCATAAAGCAGCTAAATTCTGTTCAAGTCGATGAACTTGAAACGTTTGCCCCGTTGTTGGAGCTATTATTCTAATTAACGATGCCCATAAGCCTGGTCCGGCTCTTGGTGCTCCAAACACAGCTTCGTTAGGTTCTTCCGATAAGAAAGCTTCAGCCAATTCTCTTGCTACTACAGCTTCTTCTGCGCCAGCTGCTTCTTGCATTTCTTCTGCCATTTGCAATCTTCTTTGTTGTTTTGTTTCTTCTGTGTACGCGTTATGTTCTGTTTCAATGATTATCAAGTGTGCAGAATCCGAATGAATCGCAAACTTTCTTGGCGTGTATTCCAGAGGGAAACTAATTTGATTGAACACTGCACCCAATTTCTCGAGGGCAAGAATTCTCAAGGTATTTGTAGAGATGGCAACAATTCCTTCAGGACATTGTTCGGAACTGAAGCCTGAGGCAAATTCCAAACTTTCATAGGACAACGGTGTTAAATGAAAACGATTTTGATAATAGTAACTTAACCACGATCTGCTGCTCATTGCAAGCACCGCTTGGTTTCCTTGCATTTTTATCCTAAATAGCTTAACGGGACGAGAACCTAAATATCGCGTACGCGTGTCGGCGAGATCCCCTGAAATTGGATCTAATACTGTTCTCAACAAAACACCGTTTTGCAGACCTAATTAAAATATAATAAATACACAATTAATTTAATTAAATTATAAAATAGATTATACATATATCGTATATATGGTATATTCAACTAACCTATATTTAAATAAAGACTTGATTGTTGAGAGGATAATTCCTCGGAATTATTTGCATCTTTCGCACCCATTTCAACGATACATAAACTTTCTGCAGCCGCTGGCAAAGCCTGCATACTTCTAGGTGCTAAGCAATCAGAAGGATCTAACGAGATAATCCTTACGGTGTTATCTTGAAGACCAACAGCCAAAAACCATGACCTTTGTTCTCCAATGGCTACGTTTCCAAGTGCCATACACATCACCTCCGAAGGCATTTTCTTTCGTTCTGTATATTCATTTAACTGTCCCGTCTACCAAAAGTATATCAAATAAAACAGATTATTAAACTTGCAGATAATTCATTAAAATGTCCACTTTTCATCTAGTTTTGACGAACTTTTCATAACGAGAATATTTCGAATTTCTAAAGACGATGAAAGTGATATACTTTACGCATCTTATACGTTTCTGCGAATAAACACCATCACAGAAAGAACAATCGATGCGTCTCGTAATATCGTAATATCGTAATATTAATTAGAATGAATAATTAGAATAATTAGAATAATTAGAATAAGAATAGGGGTAATAGTAAACGTACAGGATCCATTTCGAAGTATACTAATTCTCCTCCGGTAAGAGCGATTACAACCTGACGTTGATTCACTGCGCATTTAACTATAGTCTTTTTTCCAGGCGCTTTCCATTCGTTTACACGTTTGTCAGCACGAATATGTCGTATTCCATCGGGATACACCTAAAAAGGAGTTTAAATAAATGAAATGGTCTATACATAAATAGTAATAACGATGATTTTGTCGAGTTCAGTTTACCAGAATATGCTTAGATAGAATCTAAACACTCAACGATGCAAGAACTCTTTATCATCTAGCACTGTTTAAAGCGACCAACTCGTGGTGATACCAGGAGTTGGAGATACCATAGTGCATAGAGAAATATTATCCTAATTTTATATTAATTAAGATAATCGTACCTGTACTAGCGCATCTTCACCCAACGCCGAACAGCTCAATGTTGGTGTTGTACCAAGAAAGCCAGAATCGGTCACTTCTTCTACAGTTTCTCCGATACTAAGTACAAGAGTAGCATTCACGAACGACACTATGATGTAAGCATCATATTCCTCTGTAATCAAAATTATAAGGCTCACTCTGAATATCTAAGCAAAGTAAAATTATCAACAAGTGGATAAAACAATAGATTATTCTCTCTTCTTTAGAAGTTGATAGCACAGGATCTTTGATCCTACACAGAAAGAGGAGATGGCTTTTCGAGCAAATCAATTCTTATCCCCTGGCAATTTTCACCATTGTCCTTACCTTTCTATCACCGCGTGTTCTGTACTTCAACCAATAGCATGCTGGTAGCCTGAAAGAGAGAACTGGTGTTTGATAAGAGTGTATCAAGCCACCAGATTCGTTAATATCATTTACAAAATCAACTATCTCCAGAATTTTTTAAATCTTATTCAAAAATTATATCATTTCTATTACTTCCTATACATCGAACTCAACATTAAGGACAACCAAGTCTACTACATTAATTCTCGTAACTATCGAATGAAAACTGTTACTATACATACATATATATACTTGACAAGAAAGTAAACGAACGATCAATGCAGAAGAACAAGGTAATTCTGCATTATCAATAAAAAATAAAAAAATAAAAAAAAAAACACGTTGTAACATGCAAACAATTACTGTGTAATATGTTTTCTTTTTCAAACTAACCATCGACTCTTCTTTTAACAGTCCACACAGCGTTTGGATTACCAGGTAATTCGCTAACAGCCATTTCAGACACCTCTAAACCGTGCCGCAACACCCGCAAAGTAGATCGCGGACCTCTGCCACACGTTATGTACAATTGCGGAGTATCTTCGTTTGCCAAATCAGCTACCTATATACGAATGTCAACATATTTCATATATTGAACGCGTGTACGACGGCTGATGAAAATCTTATACATTTTCTCTATTGTACTTGTGTACTATTATATGTTATTCTTAGGTTCAACTTCAATTTGCAAAGACAAATTGAACGCGACTAAGAATATTTATTTTTTGCACCTTCCACAAAAAAAAAAGAAAAAAAGACTCGTGAAACGTCAATTTTTTACTTCGAGGTGCATCCCTTGTCTTTTTTAAATTTCACTCGCTATTTATAAGAAATTCTTCAATTTACCTGACACGCCATTATTGGCGACAAACTATCCATTTCATCGACTAATACTAAATTTCTAAGCGGTCTCGGTGCAAAGAAGAACGTGTCACCTTCTTCGAGAGGCATAGCAGAGCTGAACTCTGGCTCGTCGTCATCGTCTCCTAAATGAGCAATTTGATAGAGATAACTGAAAGAAATAACAAATATGTAATGTGAAATAATTTTCCATAATCATTTCCTTTCCTTTCCTTTCTTTTCCTTTGAAAGTAAAAACTCATGTACGAATGATTTACTTACTGGTTACCAAATTCTGATGCTACAAACAAGAAACCTGTTTTTAAAACACACATACTTGCTGCAACCGGTACAGTGTCAAAATATTTTAATTTAATTTCAGTCACCATGTCTTCGTCCGTTTCCAATGTGATCTTGAAAATATCTCCCTGTTCCGTTTGGGCCAAGAAGAAGAACATACTTTTGGTCTTGTGAGTAGCAGAACACACGAATATCATGCCTCTTTCAGGATCATCTAAATCGTTACGTCGTCTAGGAATAGGACAACGGATATCGTGCTGATCTCCTAAATTTTTATATGTCAAATAATTTTCTGAACAAATGAGAACACCGCTTGGCCCATCGTTTCCTCCAGGAACCGATACAAGGAAATTTGCGTGCTCCTCCAGAGGTTCGCTGTACTTTCGTACAACATGATTCAAACCAAGATCAAGTTCATACAAGGTTAAAGTCTGTTGTGTTTTTACTGCTGCATCACCTGTAGGATCGCTGTCCGCTTCCTACCGAAAATCTCAACCAATCATTAACACAGTCCAATACAATTCCCTCGTTAGTAGATATATATTACCTCGTAATCAATTTCTAAACAGGCAAACATAGGATTTTCAAAACCCACATCCACTCCCACTGTATGGTAAACTAACGTGTTACTTTTATGAGCTTCTAAAGGTGAAGAAATCGTAAGTCGAGCCTCGGGATCTCTATTTAAAATGTACACTAATTTTTGTTTCTCAATTGCACCTAAAAAAGAAAAAAGAAAAAAAAACCTTTATATTTTGACAACTTTTAAAAACGAGGCTTATATATCTAAATTGAAAGCATTTTAACAATAAAAGATAGCCATCATTAGAAGTAATTGTAATCAGTGCTGTTCAGTTGAAACACGGAACTCCTGAATAATCATCTGGCATAAAAAAACCTACTATAATATTTTATATTAATTACCTATCATTACAGCTCTTCCTTTAGGATCTATAGCTAAATATTGTCCAGGTACGATACGTCTACATCCGCTTTTTCCAAAAGTTTCTTGATGAACTTTCTCAAAAATATTTTTTGCAGGAATGTACTCCAGAATTACGATACGCCCAGAATCTGATCCAACGACGATATAATCTTTCGTACCACCGGTCAGTCTAAAGGCCATTAAAGACCTTATAATTCCAAATACTTCTACAGTTAATAAGGTATGAACTTTTCCAGTATTTGGATCCGGTCTCAAAAGTTCTAAAGACTTGCCACGAGAGACTAGTATCTCTTGCATTTTACTGCCAGAGAAGTTCCCATGTACCGCATGGGTTATACCCGTCGCACGTTGGAGAGTCAAATTATACAGATACATGGTTTTACTCTTCTTTTTAATCAATTAATTAATAAAGCGAAAACATCTATTAATATGCATTAGTATAAAGAATTTATATCCATCCTGTAACCCTGTAACAAATACAATGAATAAAATTAAATTCATCTATTATACTTATGTATATTAGAAAATATTTTCAAATTTTCTATCTACGTAAAAATGAAACTAGCAATATTTTAAAACTTGGGTATAAAAGTTATTTCTTGCACGTGTGAAACCCAAGATCTAGCTTCGATCTACGAATTTTTGGTAGAGGAAAAAGAAGAAAATTTTACAGTAAAATAAATGTAGATCGTAGAAAATAAGATTATTACTAAAAGTATAATAACATAGGAAACGTTATTTCACCTTATAGACACGCGTATACTCGATCTTGACGACGATGCTTACAGATATTTCAACTGCTCCCGACCCATCAACCATTTGCAAATGAACAAATTATTTCTCCAGTCTCGTCTCCAAGTCTCCAAGCGGTTTATTTCCACCAAGATATATTAAACTATAGGTTGGAATCCAGCGTATTTCATAAGAAAATGACTAACAACGCTATCTAAAGTTGGAACTGTAAAACTAAAAGTTTTCTTAATCTTTATAAATGAAGCTTTATTTATTTATTTATTTATTTATTTATTTATTTATTTATGTACAATATATAATAATTAAACAAAAGAATACCAATGCCGAATTAGAATAAAACGCATAATAACGATTAATAGTTTTATGCACCGAAGATGAAATTCTTTTATTTTACATTTTCAACATTTTCCATCTTAACAGCTACGTTTTCAACGCACAAAATAGTTCAAAGTTAGGTCAAAAGTTGATATGCTTTTCATACAATTATTGAAAAAACCGAAACAAAAATGATACATGTGATGCTTGTCTGTAATTTATATTTTATTATGTACATATCAGCATATTCTATATATGTTGCACCAGCTAATATTTATCATTATACTTATTGAAACAGGAATAAATTGTTAATCATTTTTTTTTTTTTAGGTACATACATACTGCATTCTTTAAATTGGAAACTATGAATGTGTTAAATTTATAAAAAAATTTACTAAGAAAAGAGATTTTCTTTTACAAAGAAGACACCATGTCGAAAGAAAATATTAATTTACCAAAAGTCCCAAAAGATTTGTGCTTCTCAGAACTTGATTTCATTCAGGTAATTAATTTGGCATGTTACGCGTTAACAAGATATTATGTTGTAGATTTTTTAATTTAATTTAATGTTTTATAATTTTTAGCAAAATTTCAATGTAGATACTTTTCTACAAGAACATAGAAAGAACACAAAACTGGAAACGATGCGAGATGATTTGGGAATATATTTGAAATTATTAAGATCCGCTATGATCGATTTAATCAACAGAGATTATACAGATTTTGTGAATTTATCAAGTAATCTTATTGGTTTGGATAAAGCTATCAATAATCTGCAAACACCGTTAGGTCAATTAAAAGAGGAAATAATGGTAAAGTAAAAATGAAAATCTTCAAGTATCAAATATTTATATATAATATTTTAGTAAAGTTTAATCCTTTTTTCTTTTTTTTTTTACAGCAAATACGACAAACTTTGGACGATGAAATTATTGTAATTTCTCATAATGTGAATGATTGCGAGAAACTTAGAGAATACAAGAAGAGTATATTCAGTTTACAATATATTTATAATTCTTTCAACAAATTGTCAAACACATTATCGTTAAATACATTTCTTGAAAGTACAGTTAAAATAGATATCTTGGAACAAATTGCAGCAGAATTCAGTCAGTTACAATTTTACATGTCCAGATGCAAATTGGATATTATCAATGATAAACAAAAGGTTCGTATGTATGTATACATATTTAATGGATAATTAAGAAATTGTTATTCTCGTTAACGATAGAAAACTTTCGTTGTTATAGGAATATGAAAAACTTGAACAGACTTATATGACGTATCTTAACGAATTGTTCTTGGCATCTTTGCAAGAAAGAAATTCCGATTTTTTAATTCGATGTTTAAGAATTTATGTTACGCTTGACAAAATAAGCGATGCAGAAAATTTAATAAGAAAAGAAGTTGTTAGTCCATTGGTTCATAGTGCAATTAGCATAGAAAACTTACAAACCAATTCACTTGGCCTACAAGATATTTACGATAGATTGTTGAATATTTTGAATGTAGAACTCGAACTGCTTTTGGACATCACATCCAAGTGTGTACCTTTTTTTTATTAAACTTGAAGTTTATATAGTATTATATTTTCTTACTTTCATGTCAGAGTTTCCGCGGAGAAACGAAGAGTACAATTCGATTTTGTGGTAAACAGTTTTTGGATCGAGGTGGAAGAAAAGATGGAACAATATATTAAATGTGTTTTTGCACCCGGAGATCCAGTATTATTTCATTCGGTTAGTAAATATTAGTAAATATTAGTAAATATTAGTAAATAAGAAGAATAATGTTTGTATTATTATAGGGATATACTGTATATTACGATGTTTTACGATTTCAGAGATACATTGCAACTCTCAAGTTTTTAGAGAAATTAGAAGATAAATGTCTTTCACACGAACCTTATGTAGCATTAAAAGAAAATCCACAGTATAAACGTTTTTTAATAAAGTGGAATTTACCAGTCTATTTTCAAATACGATTTCAAGAAATAGCCAGTGCGGTCGAAACTGTACTAACAGAACCAATATCACCAGCGTGTGTTAAGGGAACATTAGAAACGTTTACGCAAAAGCATTTTTCTCTTCATGCAACCTATATCATTGCGATAAATATACAAAGAATTTGGTCCAAAGACGTATATTTGAGTCAGCTTTTTCATCGGTAATTATTAATAATAATTGCCAGCTTGAAAAATTATAAAATATAATAAGAATTTTTTACACCTTTTTACACGTAGATTTTGGAAATTCACTCTTCAGATATGTGCCAGATATCAAATGTGGATTCATAGAGCCCTTAAAGAAGTATGAAATTTAATTTAATTTCCTCTAAATCATGAAAAAGAAAACAAAAAAAATTAATCTTAATTGTTTTCTTTCTTTTTATGCAAAGGTATGGACAGTAGAAAACGAAGTAAATAATCCAAACAAAGCAGAACATTCGACGAGGCTCAACTTTCTTATTTGTTTGTACGAAGATGTAAAGAAATTTGTAGCCGCGTCTTCACTTCTTTTAAACATGATCCAGTCGAAACTTGAACGAACAACTGAAAAAATATTGAAATTATTGAAAGGTTGTACAATACTTGGTAAATTATCCGTAATCCGTAGTTGAAACTGGAACTGTTATTGTATAATATATATTTTATCCTATAGATTCCTTCGATGAAACGATAAAGAACTTGGAAACCATTTTGCCACAAATCACAGAAGAAATTGTAAACGAACTTTTGAAACAATCTGTGGTACATTTGAAACAAGTCAGTGATATACCAAGATTATTTAGACGAACAAAAAGGGATATACCAACAAAACCATGTGCTTATGTAAAAAATAGTCTTATATTTCTAATCAATTTTCATCGAGAGTATAATGAAGTGTTACTAGATGACGTTAATCGCTGGTTGGAATTAGCTCTATCTTCATTAACTAAACAGTAAGAGGAGAAAGTACGCAATTGTATCAAAAATATTACAGTTTATCATACTTTCTAATTGCAGTTACTTAGCTTCTGTAACAGATGTATTAACATCGGTACAAAAAACTGAGGAAAGCTTGAGAAGATTAAAAAAAATACGCGATAAATCCACGGGTTCATTTTCTTCTGAAGCACAAGGAATCAGCGATGATGAAAAAATACGTATTCAGTTGCAAGTTGATGTACAAGCTTATGCCAACATGGTAACATTTATTATTAAATCATTGATATCTTACCGTATAAAACTCGTTATGCATATTTATAATCTAAATATACATATGTATATCCGTTATACTTAAGATTACAGAGATGGAAATTTCAATTTCAAACGTGTCTCACGTGGAAGAATTGTTACACGCTGTTGAAACAGCGATCAAAAGATAATATTCTTTTTCCATTTTTTTAAACGAACAATAACAACAACAACAACAACAACAAAAGTGATACCTTTCACATACTTTTTCCATTTGTTTGTTGCTTTGTCAGTAAGTAATCTCCAATTTTTTTATTTTAGAAGGGTCGCATGGAATTCTATAGAATGACATCCAAATGTTATTTTACTTAACAGACATTTAATCTATTATTTACATATATATTATGTTTATATTACAAAACTCGTAATCGTATGTTTTAACCGATTGATTGTGAAACATGGAATTTTTTAACAACAATTTTCTACTCCCACAAATCACTCTGTGGTAGTTCAATTGTAGTTATACCATCTTGGTGGGGATACAGTGGATGCCACCAATCTAAAATTTGACAATTAACAACATCATTTAAAATAACTTGATTCGTCAATGTACCAGGAATATCTGATGTTCCAAATCCAAGCTGCAATCGATGATCTTTAAAACCTGGCATTAAAGTCATCGACACTGATTGCAGGATCAAACCGATTACAGGTGGCAACATACTATATTTTAAACAAGTTACCTACAAATCATGCAACAAAATAAATACAACGTTGCATAGCATTACATATAATGTATCACACTTTGGTCATTTGTTAAATATGTACAATAAATACCCTAAGTACTTTACAGCCCTCTTCTGGATTTACAGCTACATCTTCCAACATTTCAAGAAAATCTGTTTTCTTAACATTTATCTTGGATTTCTGTTTCAGCGAGTTGGTTGATTTTGGAATTTCTTTTAATTTGAAATAGAAATACCATCGCATTTTTCCTTTCTACAAGCAGATTTCTCATTAACCAATTAATTTTATACATTTAATACTCTACTAATGGTACAATGGTACTTCTGTAATACTTGCTTTATGCCACATAAGGCAACACCGTCTCTTTACTAGAGAGTGAGGCTCGTCTTGTCTCAAATAAGATACGTCGTCAACTTCTCTTTTCAAGGCAAAATAAGTGTAATGTAACGTTCTAATAACACAAGCACGAAGCCCGTGCGTACGAACCATACATTGTGGTTGCAAACGTTCCGGTAAGCTAGGAACAAACTTATAATACCTGCAATCACAATTTAATTTTATGTGCTAAAAAGAAATATCATTCATTTAAAAGAAACTTACGACTTATACAAATGAAACCAAAATTTTCCAGTGGTTGTTACATGGTAAGAACTTCTACATATCCGAGCAAATTTTCCAACAGCCTCTGGACTAATGTATTCGGATATAATAAACCATATATCTAATGGATAATCTACACCTATAGAACAGTTGAAAAATATTTATCCCTTTTGTGTAGAAATTTAAAAATCTCAATTTTTTCTTTTTTTTTTTCTTTACCTTCATCTTCTATTACATTCTTTTCGGAAGAACTTGTTTTTCTACTTCTCCTTTGACTAGTCGAGACACCTGGTACAATTTACAAAACTTGTTATCATTGTTAAATCACTGTTATTTACAATTAATTTCCTTTACCTTTACTGTTTTTCTTCGACTTATTTGCATCAGATAAATTTTGATCACTTTCATCCATCTCCTCTTTCCAATCTTCCTCTTGTACTGTTGCTTTTTGTTTCACTGTAAAAAAGAGAAAAAAGAAAAAGAAAGAAAAAACCCAAGAAAATATGACATGATACAATACGAAATGTCGTATACTGCAGTGTGTATTAATTGCATTCTACCAAACAGAAATGGCACAATAAAAAGTTGATTGAAACGTATTGAGAAAATAACCTTCGGAGAAAAGATTTGTCACCGCCTTTCTAAATCTAGCGTGAGTCCGTGATGAATTTGCAAAATCGTCAATGGTTACATCTATCATGAAACAATAATTAGTTCATTATATACACTAAATAAAGAATCAATTTTAAATTGATTATAAAACAACGATTAACCTCCAATCAAATTGTCATTGCCATTTTCCGCGTTTATCTTTTTGCTAGACTTTTTTCTTAAAAAAGGCATGATGTTACGTGTTACGTTATTATATTTACAAAGTAGTCAGGTACCCGTTATAACGAAATAAAACTTAAAATTTACAATTATTTACACTAGTAGTAGACGATACTACAGGCATCCATCACTAAATCAGTAAAATTATTACATTATATATCACTATACATATATGTATATTTATATACTTGTATGTTCTTTCATTGAACGAATTTTGAATATATTTGCAATTATAATAAAGAACTGTAAGTGACTAATAAAAGAAAGTACAGAAACAGTATTTATATTAACAATTATATTTATCTAATATATACTACATTAATTCTCTTACTGGTAAAGTATAATGCATGCTAAATACATATATAAACATTGAAACATTTAATTAGGTTAATATTCATATATTTTTAATATCAAACTGTTTTACAGGACTTTCGTTAAAAATGAATCTTTCCGTAGAAGAGGAAAAACGAATTTTTAATCTCTTACAACAAAAAAATTGTTGCTTAAGATGTTGTTTGCGGTTCATTGGATATCGTACACCAAATTGTTTCCAAGATCCTGTTACATTTGTAAAACGTGTAAGTTATATTTAATGTAGTTTCTTTCACACGCATAATAAAATAAAATAAAATAAAATAAAATAAAATAAAATCTTTGTTTACCAGTCAGAAATATATTCTGCGATAGAAGATAGTTTTACAGACGATGTGCCTTGTGCGGCTTGCTTGGGAATTCTTCAGAATAAAATACAAGAGTTAGTTATTGAAAAAGTATGTGTAAATACTTGATTTGAAATATAGTTATTCTATATAAATATGAAATAATTTTAAAAACAGATACAAGCCAAAGTAGAGAAAGAAAATTATGACAGCGATACTTTTCTATGCGCATTGACAATACCTGTATGCATAAATCTCAGAGAACGTTTGTTGCACGTTCAATCTGCCACCGAACTGAATCTCTCGGAAGATGCGTTACTTAATTTTAAAGTAAAACTACAGAGTATCAAAGATGTTTGGAAATGGGTGATGATTCCTAAAATAGAAAATGCAATTAAAAAGCAGGCAGATATAACAACACCATCCCCGTTTCTTATCGACGTTATCTTTACATACAAGCATAATGAAAAAGAGTGCGAAACATTGTAAGTTTCCTATAGAGTTGTTACATCTTAAATGCTTTACTTTGGCTGAATAATGCTTCTGTCTAATATCTTTTTCTTGTAGATTGCATAACAAGAAAAGAAAATGCAACGATAATAAATTCAGTCGAAAAAGCATAGAAACTTTAATGAACAGTATTACGGATGAAGATTTTGCTAAATTTTTCAAAAGTTGGTCATTAGAAACAACCAGCAGCGTTGACGTAGAAAATATACTATGTTCATGCTCGAGTATTTTTATAGGAGGTAATGTTTTTAGATTTGTAGTAACGTGCATTAGTGCATAACGCTTTATTATAATTTTAGGTAGATACAGTAAACTATCAAGAGAACTTAGTCAAACACCATGGTTCATAGATGGGATAAAGAAGATGGAGACATCTGTTCAAGACATAGTGTGTAATCCTATCATCGAAGCGATGAAACCTCAATGTAGGCTAATATTTAAATGCAATTATCATTAACATCGATTTTTAATGTATAATGTTGTTTTTATCTGTACACAGCTATTAAATTTTTATCATCGGGAAGGGAAGATGTCGATGTCAGAAATATATATGCAGGGAGGCCATTTGCTGTTGAATTAATTAATCCTCGAATGACAAAAATAACAGAAAAGTTACTATCAAATTTAGTCACCCAAGTAAATCAGACTTCGCAACAAGTACAAATCACGTCAAATTTAAAAGTATTATCTAGGATTGACTTAAAAAAGTTGAAGGAAGGTGAGAAAGTTAAAACAAAATTTTATCGAGCACTTTGCATATGCCGTAACGGATCGAAAAATACACTTTCCCTCGAAGAATTAAATAATACAAAACGAATAAAAATAACTCAAAAAACACCGTTGAGGGTATTACACAGAAGACCTTTGAGCCCTAGAATCCGTTTAATCTACGAAATGAGAGCTCGCTGGGCAAAACCTCAAGAACTAAGAAATCTATTGGACGTTAAAGATGAAGATATTAATAAGTTTTTTGTATTGGACATTAAAACACAAGCAGGAACGTATGTGAAAGAATTTGTGCACGGAGATTTTGGACGAACTAAACCAAGTTTATGCGATATTCTTCACTCTGACCTTGATATAGTTGCATTGGATGTGACAGGTATTAATTTAAATTGGCCATAGGAATTATGCTAATATATCCCCTGTAGCTTTTTACTACCTATTAAAAAAAAAAAAAAAAAAAATAAAAAAACCTGCAAAATTCTTACTAGATAAATTATTTTATTTTATACAATACAAATAACATCGTATCTTTAACGGTCGTGTCTTGATACATATATGTAGTTTACGTCAACATGCGGCATTCTTATATTTTAGAATCCAAAAATGCTTTTTCACAGCAGCCATAGAAATTCTTTCTGAACTTTTCCTTTTAATTAACTGTAATTAAAATAATGTTATTCATAGAAACCAAAAAAAATATTAATACAACTTTTAAATGTTACCTTTGATATAAGGTCTTTAGCTCCAGGCGTAATTTGTTCTGGCCACTGTATATTTATTGTTTTTATTTTAACATAAGTTTCTTGCTGTGAATCGCTAAGAAAAGGTGGCCTACCGACGAGAAATTCGTAACAAAGGATACCTAAACACCAATGATCGACATATATGTCGTACGTTTGTCCAGTTACCATTTCTGGTGGCAAATAATCTAATGTTCCGCATAATGTATTCCTCCTATAATTATTAATATATACATAATAACATTGTTTTCAATCGCATTTATACAAAATCCGTCATTTTTAAATGCACTTACTTAGATGACGGTGCATGAACAGACCACCCAAAATCTGCTAATTTTACATCACCTTCGTATGTAAGTAATAAATTCTCCGGTTTTATATCTCGGTGAATTACATTATTCTTATGGCAATATTCCAAAGCATCTGCAACTTGATACGTATACTTTGCAGACCTAACAAATGGAATAACGTTTTTTCAAAATTACCATATACGTATATTAAAAGAAAGTTCAAGCGAGTTCAAGTTAAAAAAACATACAAATGTTCGTTAAATCTTTCATTTGGTTGCCGTTTCAATTCCTTATAAAGCTCTCCTCCAGCTGCAAATTCTAGTACAAGGTAAATACGTTTGTGGTCATGAAAATATGTCAGCATTTGAAGAATATGAGGATGCCTAAAAATTGATACATTACGATACCATATATATATATATATTTATAAAAGCAAAAGCGGTAAGCTTGCAAATGAACAAATTTACCTCAAATGTGTCTGAATTTCGATTTCACGCATTACTTGCTTTTCAACACGTCCCTTCATTAATTCTACTTTGTACAAAGTTTTCAAAGCTACCATGTATCGAGTGGTTTTCTCCCTTGCCAAATACACTCGTCCAAATTTCCCACGGCCCAAAGGTGATCCAATTTCAAAATCATTTAAACTCCACTGGTACCTATAATATTTTTCACCTTACAATCTAGTAATAAATTTGCAATAATTTTGGAATAATACGCAAAATTGTTTGCTTGTACCTTGGACCTCTGCCTTCGATGTGCTCTTCCATTTTACATAAGGTATCAGAGATAATTTCTTTGTAATCGGATGGAACATTGGAAGACAATTTAAAGGCATCACTGTTAGTCATAATTGGTACTATCTTAAACATTTAAAAGTACTTTTGAATATGTTTACATACAAAGTCAGAAGAAAAATTAATGATTGTGTTTTATATACCTTAAAATATCCTTTAATAATAATTACCTATATTTAATGTTTTATAAATTTCTTATTCCTGACAAAATCAATCGTTTTTACCGGTGTATAAAATTCTTTAATCTTCGTTTTTTCTACTCCAACTGCCTCCTTTGATTCAAATCTTTAAATGAAATTTAATGACTGAAGTGACATCTGCGGGATGAGAATGACAATAAAAATTCAATTTCATTTTTCGTGTAATATACCCTTTTTTTTTTTCATTTCATAGATCAATTTCAATGCAGAAATATTTGAATGCTCGTATATTTTCTTCAGGATTCTGGGAATTACGATTTTGGACAATGTGTCGGTCATTGGTTTCACTCATAATCAGTCCTAAACCATGGTTCACGAAATCATAGAAACCAATAGAAACCGTGCGAAGCCGATCGGTTACGTATCGAACGGAATTAGTTTTCATTGAAAAATCTTTCTAAAAATCACCAACGGTCACCATTTGAGAAGAACCGGATTCAAACGATCGTTTAGTTTCCTATCTATGTTTATTTACCTTTTATTGGTTTATCAACCATAAAATAATACCCGCTGATCAATTTTGACGTTTTTGGGTGAATTTTTGACAGTACCAGAAATCCGCTGACTCGATTTCACAATGGTAAGGAAGAGTATTAAATCTCGATTAATTACATTCGAGTAAATTATTAAGTAACATATTTTATTTATTTTTAGTATAAACATTTGTATGGTTATCGTTTCAAAATTATTCTTGATCGTAAACAAAAAAAAGGCTTTCCGAAACAAAGTACATGTATTATTTTATAACTTCTTCTTTTAGGGTAACGAAAGCTCTTTGCCTATGGAACTGTGTTCTAATTGTAAGTTAATATTGAACATTGTTTTCGAAACCTTATATTAACCTATTCTGTTTGATCGAATTTTTTCGTTTAATATAACAATTTTATTTTTTTGGAAACGATTTAAATTATGCTCTGTTCTCATTTTAATTAAAATTTGACAAAATTTATACAAATTTGTATTAAAAACAAGTTTTTCTTTTCCCCTCTCTCTCTTTCTCTATTTTTTTAATTTTAGTTTACTTATTACCTTTGATTTATTTTTATCATCAACTAAACATAGCACTTGTAAAGAAGAAGGTATCATGTTTATTATGTTGTTGCGTTATTATAATGTTTCATAATGATATGTTTGCATATATTTTTTATGTCACATTATCAAAAAATTTTTAACATAAAAATATCAATGTGTCAGTTGATGTTGACGAAATTAGAAGATTGGGAAAACGATTTCGCAAATTAGATCTGGATAATAGCGGTGCTTTAAGTATCGATGAGTTTATGTCATTACCAGAGTTACAACAAAATCCTTTAGTTCAACGTGTAATAGATATATTTGACGCCGATGGTAATGGAGAAGTTGATTTTAAGGAATTTATCCACGGTGTTTCTCAATTCAGTGTCAAGGTATGTATACCAATATCATTCTTCCATTGAATAATTTACTTGAAGAATTTGTTGTTTTTCTCTTAAAGGGTGACAAAGAAAGCAAATTAAGATTTGCCTTTAGAATTTATGATATGGATAACGATGGTTTCATAAGTAACGGGGAATTGTTTCAAGTATTAAAAATGATGGTAGGCAATAATTTGAAAGATACACAACTTCAACAAATTGTTGATAAAACAATATTGTTTGCTGATAAAGACGAAGATGGTAAAATTAGTTTTGAGGAATTCTGTTCTGTAAGTAATAAATTTTAGAAAATTAGAATTTTGGGTAACTAATATAATATGTTTGTTACGTATGATTTCAGGTTGTTGGTAATACAGATATTCATAAGAAGATGGTGGTTGATGTCTAAATAATCAAAACTTGTGACAAATATTAAATATTAAAATATGGTAATGTGTTTGATTTTATAAATTTATTAATAACAGCAAAATCATTGGATAGCTGTAAGTAACAAAATCTTGTAGCGTCAAATTATGATTGTTACTAAGCCTTTAATCAAGCCAATTTATATATCAGTTTGACGCCTTTCAAATGTTTTCCATAGTACAATGTATATTAGAATTTATTGACCACCAACTTTCTACAATTGTGCACATTCTCTAAACATTACATATACGCGCGCGCGCATAAAACTTTCAACACTATAAATGAACATTGTTACATTACATAGACATACACCTACATATTTATTTTAGTCGATGATGTTATGTTTGTGTAATAATTCTGTTATTATTTTATTCAATTAATGTACAAAACATTGTAAAGTTACTTTAGGAAAACTTAAGAAATACAGTTATAAATATATAAATCGTTAAACATACCGTTTCTTGTATCAGTATCTTATTAAAATACGTTTGGTTTGTTATTTTACAACTGTGTTTCTGTAGTTTTTCAATTAAACGCTATTAGATTTAGACAAACGAGAATATCTCGTTCAAGTGATAATATCAAATTTAATATGTTGTTGGAGCGTAACTGGTGAATCTCAAAAATATTTCTAATCATTTTCGAAATGAATTTGTATCACATGTATTGTGTTCAATTACTACCAATTGTGCATTTGAAAAAAATACATCATTTTCTTTATTATGATTGAATTAATATCTATGGAGTTTTTCATATATATATATATACACATACACATATAAATAAAAGATGATCAATCTTTTCACATAAATCTGTCTTTCTTACAGCTGTGAACAAGACTGAAACAGAAATGGAATTTTCAAATGCACTGTTACTTTTAAATAATTATATTTGTTAATTGTGTTATTTCTAAAAGCATAATATACCACAAAATATAACAAGTTATTATTTATTCTGGTATTATAATTATTTGTATATTTACATATTACAAAATCTTAATGTCTGATTCTGATTTTAAATCTTTAAATATATTGAAATAAATTTGCACGATATACACGCATAGGGTAGATTAATAAGTATTAAATATATGTATAGATAAGTGTAGATAGGTAGGTAGCGAATAAAAATAATGTTCCTTTTGTTGTTCATTTGTAAAACAGTCAAAAACGTTTTGCAAATGTGCATCAAGAGGATGATGTTATTGAATAAAAGTAAAAATTTGCATAAATGGAGGGTGGGTCTCCACCCGCAAGAACCTCTCCGTGGTGAGACCTGGGCAATCGTTATTATTCGATGACTAATTAATAACTGTATCATTATTTCTATGGTATGTACATTTATTAATTATGCAACAAATAATGGTGATGTAGTTAGTATAGCATGCTGTTAGTTGGATGCAATAATTGAGGTGGCGCTTGAATCAGTTTCTGTTCAGTTATGAGCTGTTTTACCGACGCGGAATTCAGAGTTCGGCCTCCACGCTAGCATCACTGTATCTTGTTTATTGAGCGTTACTAACTTCACTGTATATATAAACGTGAAATTTGTAATCAACCATACTACGCTTTTGTTTGAAGCGGTGTATAATTTAAACGCTGCCACACATTTTTTAAGCGTATGTACGTACAAGAAGTATTTATAAAGAAAAAAAATATATAAATAATATTGTTTTTCCAGTGGTACTATAAATTAAACATAAATTACCATGTTGTGTAGTTTGATGTCGATAAAACAGAAATACGCTCCAAAGATTTAATACTTATACATATGTATACGTTGAATTATGTAAAAATTATAAATCATTTTAATTACCATACAACGAAGTACATACATAATAAATAAAAATTAACCAAATCTGCTGTCAACAACAACAACAACAACAACAACAACAACAGTCAACAATGACATATTCTTTTCAGGTAAATAGATATTGGTAGGTGTTGGTAGGCCTGCTTCATCCCCCATCCTTCATTGTTTCTATTTAGTACCCGGTGTGTTTGCGTTTTTCGTTGTTTCTTGCCTAAAGTTTTGCTACAGGTTCTAGCAGTTTAACGAAAATTGTCGACAGAAATTATTTAGTAACTAAAGAAGACGGAGGGGAGAGTAAACGGAAAAAATGGAAAATTTGGAGGAAGTATTGCAGGCATTAGACGAGTTTCAGAAAATGCGTCCAAGCGAAATACCTCGAGAACTCGAGGACTATTTGTGTTGGGTCGCAAAAACCGGTGATCCTGTTTATCAGTGGTCGCTAATAAAAACTCTATTTAGAGAAAAACTTACTCGCGTAATGACTGATTTCTACGAAAGCTGTCCGACACTTGATCTTGCACCTTGTCCTAACGTTGAACATTTCAATTACGACACTATGAAAAGCAATCTTTTGGAGCGTTTAGAATCATTTGCAAACGCTCCGTTTACTGTTCAACGAATTTGTGAGTTATTAACAGCACCGCGTAAGGAGTATAATAGAGTTGACAAATTTATGCGAGCTATTGAAAAGAATATCTTGGTTGTTTCTACCAGAGAACCTGGACCGACAGCTCGAAGAAACGAAAACGGAGACGGTATGGTCAATGGATCTGTAGATGAAGATACGTCGGTAACGCAACCTCCTCAGGATGTAGAAATGGAATATTGGGAAAAAGACTGTTCTTCCACCGTTACAATTAGCGTACATACAGTTGAAAACGAAACACCATTGTTACAAACGGTTGTACCGACTACTACCGTAGTAAAAAATGTATTTGACACAGAAGAGATTTCTCAGGAGAAAGTCGAATCAACTTCAAAATCAGACAACGTTGTATCTAATTTTATACCAACAACTTCAGAGTTTACTAGCACTCCCAATTTAACTTGTTCGCCGCAAACACAGAATTCACAGATAGAACCTACGATGCAGAATTTATCTACCATGGTTCCTGAAACTTCTGGAATTGTCAGTGACGTTTCAGAAGCTATCATGAACGAGGATACTAGTTCTCAGCCTAGTTTAGAACTGGAAAATGATGGAGGTGAAATTACGGATTCCTCGCGAAAATTACAAACTACCTTTCAGACGAAAGACTTCAGTTCGAACGAAAGTAAGTCATTAAAATTTTATGTAGATAATTCCAAAGCAAACGGAAAAACAGAAGTTGGCTCGCGTGTATCATCGGTACACCTACAAGAAGAGTCGAGTAAAGCTAACGACGTATGTACGATGAAATCAGATATCGAATCTAAAACAGTACCGAACAGCAAAGAATCGAACGAAAATTTACAAAATGCAGCAAAGTCGAGCAGTAATCGGGTAGAAGAAGTCGAAACAGTTACTCAAAATGCGCACGATTCAACCATAGAGGATAAAGAAAAAGTAGTAGAATCTTTAAAGAATTCCAATATAGAAGATATATTATCGAAAGATAATTTAGAGAAACCTACCGACGATGTAAGTCTGATTGCAGATAATACGAGTACAGAGGAAAGTCCGTCTGGAAATAGTTCCGAGGATATGCCTGTAGATGTAGAAAATTTAAAAGATCATAATAAAGAAACAGAATCGACAGAAGATTCTAAATCTATCATGGAAGATTCATGTTCCAAAGATAATACGACAAAGAATTTTAATTCCGATCAAGAAGAAAATAATTTAACCATAACGAAAGCTATAGAAGATGAAACTAGAATAATAAAATCCATAGTACCTGATAAAATTTCTATTATCGAAGAATCAAAAGACACGACGGAGACTATTAACGAGAAAATAGAAGAGGAGGGTACTTCGTCGATCATTGAAATATCAGAGAATTTAGAAAATCGAAATCCTGTAGCAACAAGTCAATCTAGAAACGAAAATAAAATGTGCGTTGAAGATAATCATGTAACAGAATTGGAAGGTAATGATATTACTGCTACTAATACTACCGCTACTGCTACTACTACTGTTACTGCTACTACTACTACCACCACCACTATTGCTGCTGCTGCTGCTGCTGCTGCTGCTGCTATTACTACTGTTACCGCTACTACTACTACTGCTACTACTACTACTATTACTAGTACTACTACTACTACTACTATTACTACTATGATTGAAACTAGTGATACAGTAATAGAAAATACAACAAGTAGAAAAGTACTGGAACCGGTAGAATTAATGGATGTAGACGAGGAAGAAACGTTATCGGTATTTGAACAGAGTGACGAACCAATGGAGCAAGAAGCAGCACAATCATCTAGAAGTTAATAAGAAGTGTAAGAAACAGGTTCTATTACTTTTATAATGCTTGATTTTTATTTAAACAGGAAACGTAAAGAAATACTGAACGAAACAAATTTATCCTTAATATAAGAAGAAAATCTTTATTGTATTTTGAATATGATTTTTATGACCTTTATAAAATTGCAAAGGGTTGTCTAATTATATATTATTTACTATTTTATTAATTTCATAATTGCAACTAAAATCAAGTAAATTTGGTATTGTACAGAACTTGTTCATATGAATTTCTAAGCTCCTGTAGAAAGCAAAACACTGCCTATTCCCAGAACATTATAATAGTAACGACCAGCTTTGACCACGGTTTGGGTTTCAACTCAAATCAGTTTGTAAAAAAGTAAAAAAAGAAAAATTTGATCGTGAATTTATACAGACGAAAGTTTTTACTGATTAGGATGTGACTGTGGCTCATGACCGGAGCGTATGAAATTTTCCCGAGGCTACCTAATAATAAATACGCAGTTTCAAATTTTAGAACATAAATTGGTACCTCTATAAACTTGGATCTAAAATATAAATCGAATCATTGAACGTCAAACTGGTTACTGGTCTTATGTACAGAAATATCATTCGAAAATTGACAATTCAAACGATACATCAGTTTTAAAATATTAATAGCTTTCAATGACATATACGACACAGAAACTAGAAAAAGTGATAAAGGTTTCAATTTTACATTATAATTGGAATCAAAATGCAGATTCCATTTTATGATTCAAGTTGTAACCGATAAATAAATAAATAAATAAATAAATGAATAAATAAATAAATAAATAAATAAATAAATAAATAAATGCCTTTATTACAAATATTATCTCAATTAAAAGAAGGTAAAACATAGCAAGGATAAAAGTTTATTTTCTCCCTGATTAGAGAAATAAATATTATCGCTCTCTTTATACCTTGCTGTGCTTTTCAATAAAAAGATAATAGTTAAATATGTATTTTATCAGGTAACATGGATATTTCTTCCTAAAGGAGAATGTACTAAACTTGCGTAATGGTTTAAAAATCCTCCTAGTTTAATTATAATAATTTACTTCTGGTCATGTGTTTACATTGGATATTTTTAAGGAAATACAAGTTTAAAAGTAATAATTTATCAAGAAGTATATTAATTGTAGCAATAGCATATTAATTTAAAAATAACATAAATCGATGATGAAAGATATTGATATAACTTAAAATAGCAGTGTATATTATTTTATAGGAAAATATATTAAAAATTATTACCAAAGTGGGATTATTCATAATACCTGCCTTACAACATCACAGATCAAAGAACACGCATGATTTTGTGATTATTATTACATTAAAATACTTACTCAAGTATTTATGCATCGCTTACACAAATTGTTTTGATACATTCAACTGAAGTGTAGGTTTCAACTTGTTGATAAAAAAAGCAATGGATACATAAGAAATCCAATGGTTGTAAAAGTTAATTTGGGCGTCCACATTTTCGTAGTATTACATAATTCCTTAAGAGTCGGTATATTGTGTAGAGAAACTTAATAATACAATACAGTTACAGAATAACAACACATTGTATTCTATAAATTAATAAATTTATTAATTATTTATTACAAATGTGATTTTCAATGACCTTTACAAATTATCGTTAGACACTATCAGTCATTTGGTTGATAAAATAATTAATATATATGTATATATATACACACACACACACACACACACAACGCACATACAATTTTGTGATATACGATTTAGGTAAAAGTTTGATGTTGAACTAACTTATTAAAGTAACCGTCGCTTAAACTCCTAAGTTCCTTGTAAGTTCCACTTTCTGCTACTTGTCCTTTGTTCAAAACCACGATCTTGTCAGCATTTTTGATCGTGCTAAATCTATGGGCTATAATTAACACTGTTCGACCTTGAACAGCTTTTTCTAAAGCTTGCTGTACATAATGTTCACTTTCAGCATCTAACGCACTCGTCGCTTCGTCCAGAATTAAAATAGTTGGTTTCTAAATACATAAAAGGAATTTCAAATGTGTATCCTTTAAAGATGAGATTGTTGTTTTTTATTATTAGTAGATCTTACCTTTATCAATGCTCTGGCAATAGCAACTCTTTGTCGTTGTCCGCCGCTAAGGGTAATGCCCCTTTCTCCGACTAACGTATCCAAACCATCCGGCATGTTCTTTGTAAATTCCAAAACGTGAGCATGTTTCGCAATTTCTTCCACCTCGTCACATTTTGTTGGATCTTCTAATCCGTATAATATATTTTCTCTTATCGTTCCACTAAAGAGAACAGGTTCCTGAGAAACAATACTGATCTGTGATTTCACCCAGGCAGGATCGAGAGACTTAAGATCATGATTGTCTAAAAGTATACATCCTGAATTCGGATCATAAAGTCTTAACAATAGCGATGCTACTGTAGATTTTCCACAACCTGACGATCCAACGATAGCGATCACCATACATTTTGGAACGTTCAAAGTAAAATTTTTCAAAACCCACGCATTCTTCCTCGTAGGATAAGCAAAATTAACATTTTGGAATTGAATATCACCTGATAATTGATTTTCCGGAATTTTACCACCGCCAATAGGTATTGCTGGTTCTCTTTCGATTAATTCAATTAAACGCATGTTTGCACCTAACGCTTTGTTTAATTCGCTATAAAATGAAGATAATCCATTCAATGATATTCCTACGTATGCGGCATATATTAAGAAAGCGCTTAAGCTTCCAACCGTGAGCGACAAGTCGGAAACCATAGTTCCACCGTAATATAAAACAGACAGGATGATCGCGTTTCCTGAGAAACCGGTTAATCCAAAAAATATTCCTCTATATAAACTCTCTTTGTAGCATACTTTGAGCAGATTCTCTAATTGAAAATTATAACGTTTAACTTCATCAATTTCTTTCGCAAAAGCTTTTACTGTCCTTATATTACTGATCCTTTCTTCGGCTATTGTATTTAACGACGTTAAACTATCCTGTATGTCGGTTGAAATATTTTTTAAAAAACGCCCATAAACTATGGCTAAACCAGCTATCGGTGGTACTATAGCCAGACCAAGCACGGCTAATTTAGGTGAAACATAGAACATCATGGATACTCCAGCGACGCTCATAACAGCGGAACGCAATCCGTCCGATAAATTTCTTGTTAACGCGTAACTAACCAGTTGCGTATCTCCTAAAATGAAGAAAGTCAGATTGCAATTACAATTATAGGAAGCAAATCCGTTACAAGAATCAAGTATCAAAGTTAAAATATATACCAGATAATTTTCCAACAAACTCTCCTGTACTGGATTTATCGAACATTGCCACCTCTTGACGAAGAATACCAGCGTACAATTGTTTTCTTAAAGACTGAGTCACCCTGTGCGCAGCGGTAGATATTAGATACACTCTACAAAAATTACATATACCTCCGACAAGGAATACTCCAAACAAAATAATGCATAATTGATTCAGTTTTTCTTTCATACGTTCTTTTTCAGTTGTATAAACGATATCAATCAATTTTCCTAAAGAAAAAGGTACAGCCATTGTGATAGCAGATGAAATCAGTAAAAATGTGATTGCACCAAATAACCTCCATTTTTCAGGTACTGCTAACATAAACAAACTTTTAAAATCTGATATTTTCTTTCGTGCGATAGTTTGCACGGTAGAGTTTAAAACTTTTCTTTCTAAGGTACTGCTTCCGTGATATCTTAACGGAGAAAATACACATGTTTTTCCATAGATCCTGATCAACGGTTTCGAACATGTATAAAATAATTGTTTATGCACCACTGAAGATTTATGAAAATCTATTTTTCTCGAAGCAATATTTCTCGTGAATAATCTCCAAACAAGCGTCATTTTTTAACGTACCTATAAATGAAGTAGTAATTAGAAAAATGAAACGTCATTGAAACTAATAATGCTTCATCATCGATCCACTTAAGGTTACAACATTTCAAATGAATAATACATCAATCTTTCAGAGTTACATGCGAATTATTATCTTTAACTTTATACTGCATTTAAATTAGCTACTTATATTTTCGTTTTATATCGTGTATTGTATAAATAAAATATAAAGTCTGCAAGTATGTATGTATGTAGTACGTTCAAAAATCTTCCGCCTCCTGAACTGATATCGCTATTCTCAAAATCCCTAAATAAAAAACTCTGAAAACTTTCATTTTGACGATATTAATATTAAAAATAACATAATATTTAATCGTTAAACATTATAAAATTTAATATATAACTGAAACGTACGAATAATAAAGCAAATATTAATTCAAATTTCTCATATATGTATCGAACCAATCAAACTTGACTAACATAAGTATTTTTTATCTTTTATGTTTTGTCCAACCTGTTAGCTGCTCGTTGATGGGCATGGAATGCACAATAACGTTCTTTGCAGTTCTTTGTATCTATCGATCGATTTTTCCGAATTACGGAACTACGCGACGTGTATTGCGTTTATGTGATGTGTTGTTGCTAGTAATTAGCCAGTAATTGCATGTAACTAGCAGTTGATAGTTTGGGCAGAACGAATTATGCGCACGGGTAATAATCCTATTTTCTATCGCGTTCTGTTTCTTAAATTTTCAGACGTTTATATACGATCGAAGGGTTTATTCTATAACCAACTTCTTTGTTGATCAGTTCTTTGTATTGGGTATTCAGTATTCAGGCATATCGTTGAACGAGTAAAGTTTTTTTGTAAAATTCATTTAACAGGAACGTAACGAACACGATTTCGGTGTGTTTTTGTAAGAATTTTGACAAAGGTAAATGATAACGAACTATTAACGGTAACTTTTAGTTGAACGTATTACAAAAACAATACATATAACGTTACGAGCATAATAAGTATCATGCTCATTTACGGTTTATTTATGTACGATCAAAGGCGATGATATTTTCCAAATATACGACTTAAAAATTTTCCCATTTTCCCATTTTATCGTATTTTAGGTGGTGGTAAGTGCTGCAAATAAGTAGAAAAGATCAAGTTTCAGCATGTTTGGGCAATCGGGAAATACGTCGTTCAGTGAGTAAATCAAACAATATATTTTGTTTTCTTTCTTTCTTTCAATCGGACGTTATTACATTATTACATTGTTATAGGTGGTTTTAATACAGCAACACAATCCAGTCCGTTCGGACAGTCTGCGTTTGGTAAACCGATAACTACTACAAGCTTTGGTACTTGCACAGCACCGGTCTTTGGTAGCAGCAATACTTCTCTGTTTACCTCAAAGCCTGCAGGCTCTACCACTGGTGGCCTGTTTGGTAATACTACAACATCACCTGCATTTACTCAACCATCTTTTGGAGGTAGTCAGTCGTAAATTATTTATGTAAAATGTCCGTATACATATATCAAGTAGATATAAGTAGGCATAAGACCTTTCTCAGGGGAAAGAAAGAAGGAAGGAAGGAAGGAAGGAAGTGTGTTTGTCAAGACAGTTTTGTTTGTAAAATTAAAACTCTACAATTTGTAACAACGTTTGTTACACAATTCGAATAAATATATATTTTTTTTTTCTTTGTCGTTTACAGGATTTGGTACAACCAATACAAACACCAATTTATTTGGTAGTCAGCAGAATGCAGGGACAAATCTTTTCGGTACAAGTACACCAACTTCTGCATTTGGCCAATCGAATAAACCAGCAGGTTTTAGTTTTGGCTCAACTTCTGGAACAAATTTGTTCGGACAGCCCCAACAGTCAACTCAACAAACTACACCTTTTGGACAAAGTAACACAACTGGAAACACAAATTTATTTGGTACAACACCTGGTTTCGGCAGTACAAATACTACTACCACGGGTATGACGGGTACTGTGGTTAAGTTTACTCCCGTCATTACTACCGATTCTATGTCAAAAAATGGTATATCTCATACAATATCGGCGAGACATTGCTGTATCGCATCGATGAAAGAATACGAATCAAAGTGTTACGAGGAATTACGTTTTGAAGATTATTCCGTTGGACGTAAAGGTAACGTTGTTGTACATAATTAATACAGGTCTACCTATTTGTTTTACGTACATACAAATGTTTGATTCTATCATTGATCAGGGCCCAGTACTGGGATTTTCGGTACACCTGCGCAGCCTTCACCTTTTGGCAATGCAGGGGCAGGTACTAGTACAGCAACAACGGGTAAACTATTCAATACGATTTATATTTGTGTATTTCGTTAAATATTTTATCTTTAATCTTTAAATGATATCGAATGTAGACAACTAAAAGAAATTCGTGTTCTTCTTCTTCTTCTTCTTCTTATTATTATTATTATTATTTTGAAATTAGGTTTCGGTGGAATGAGCAGCGGATTTGGAACAACCACTCAATCCGGATCGAGCGGTCTATTCGGAAAACCGATGACGAATTTTGGAACACCTTCGACTACAGCTACGAATAATTTTGCTTTCAGTTCTACTCCAGGCACGAATCTGTTTGGTAGTAACACTCAAAACAAACCATTTGGTAGTAAGTATTGAAGGTTTGAAGCGCAGTGCTATCGGTATCATCGATACACATAGCGTAAGTAAATTGTTTGCTTTAACGAAGAAAGTACAGATAGTTTTATTTGCAGCGGCAGCGCCAACACCGCTATTCGCAACCAGCAATACCAACCAAACTGCTGGTACAGGTTTTGGTGTGATTAATACGGCACAAAACCCCAGTTTCGGATCCACATTTGGCTCGACGCAACCGAACCAGGTAATAGAAATAAATGAGAAAAGATGTATATGCATATACTATAATATATAATATATAATATATTTTACTTATCATTCTAGAGTATCGGTCTGTTCAATCAAAACAAATCAGCTTTCAACGTACCATCCACGTCATCTAGCACTGGATTCGCCGGGTTTGGTCAAACGGCAGCCATTAATACGGGTACAACTTTATTCGGTGCTAAAGCAACTGGAACGACAGGATTCGGAACAGCACCTACTTTCGGTTCGACCACATCGTCCACTTTTGGAAGTACACCAGGTTTCACCGCTGGTCAAAACCCCGGTTCGTCATTGTTTAACACATCTTTTAAACCTGCGGGACAAACGCCTGGATTCTCTTTTGGTTCTACGTCCGCACCTACTACTGGACTTGGTAAACTATTTAATCGTATCGGAGCTTTTATTACCGTAATCTATTTTTCGTGTAAATGAAATAAATTCCAATCGTTCCTAGGTACGAATACAGGTTTGACATTAGGCAGTGGTACTAGCTTGTTTGGGCAACAAAAACCAGGAGGCTTGTTCGGTAATACCGGAGGCAACACAACCTTTAATTCATCGGCGTCTTTTGGTTCATCAACTTTCGGAACTAATTTAAACGTAGGAAGTGGCGTTGGAATGGGTTTAATCGGTACCACCGGGTATAATATCTTTACTTTTACATTTCGTTTTGTTGCATTTCATTTTTTATTGTCCTTTAATGATCTGTAATTTTTTTCATTTTCTTCCTGTAACAGAGCCGCGAACAATCAAACAAAAAGTTCAGGAACCGTGCCAGTGCATCAACAAATTTTGGCCTTAGTATCTGCACCATTTGGTGATTCACCGTTGTTAAAAAATCTTTTACCGGTAAGAAATCTTTTATCTACAATATTTATAAACTGACATAAAAAAGAGTAAAATGTTTTAGTATAAAGAAACGCGTGGTATTTTTAGGCTTCCGGTAAAACGGAAGAATTATTGAAACCCTCAAATGCACCTTCTAAGATACTGAATGGACCTCAATACAAAGTTACAGCAGATAACAAATCTCCAAAAATCAAAGCTAAGGTTGTCACTCCTGCACAATTATCGAAGGTAATTGTGGTATCACCGAAGATGTACTTTTATAGAGTAGTTCTTTTTACACGCATATCCTGATTTTTCGTAGAAATCAATGTTCGAAGGTCTCGAAGAGGAAGATCCACTATCCGAAGCGTTTCAACCCCGTCCAAATGCAAAGCGTTTAGTCTTACGTCCAAAGTCAGTATCAAATTCGATAGTTTCGTCGCCAACGGAAAATTCGCAGACAACTGAGAAACATGTAGAAGCCTCTGGGAAAGTTGAAGAAAGAAACAGTTTGACAAATTCGTATATCGAAAACACAACAATCGAAACGGTGGATAAAGAAAATCATAATCAGGATAGTAATCGGCAGTTAACAAACGATCGAAGGTCGTCTTCGTCTTGGTTGAAAACGAGTCTTACGCGTAATTCGACGGGGAAAAATTCGGACGAGGAGATATTCGAGGGGGGGCAACGTTCGCAACGTACGCAACGTTCGCAACGTTCCTTTTCCGGCTCGAATTTGTCGTCCGAAGAGATGATAAACAATACCGTTACCGAATTACGATCTTACGGTAACGCTACTCCATCGAATCGCGGCTGTTCCGAAACGAACGCGATTCTCGATACGTCTTTGAAAAATAATTCTTCTCTGGTCGATAAAACGTGTCGAGAGAGTGTAACAGAAAATACCGATTCGAGTCACGAATTGGACGACAGTAGTTCATTCTCGACGAGTGAAACGTGCAATTGGAAAACGAACGCAGCTAATATAACATTGAAACGCGCCGGCTACTATACGATTCCGCCTCTCGATAAATTGGATGATTATATTCGCGGGGAAAGTTGCGTTGTACCGAATTTCACGATTGGTCGGGAAGGATACGGAAACGTATATTTCCCCGATTCGTTCGACATATACGGTCTGAATTTAGACGAAATTGTACATTTTCGACACAAGGAAGTTATCATTTATCCGGACGACGAGAAAAAACCTCCGGTTGGCCAGGGATTGAATCGAAAAGCTCAAGTTACTTTGGATCGAGTCTGGCCACACGATAAATCATTGCACAAACCTATTACCGATCCTCGCCGATTGGTTACAATCGATTACGAAGAAAAGTTACGAAGAGTATCCGCGAAACACGACACTAGATTTCTCGAGTACCGACCCGAAACTGGTTCATGGGTCTTCAAGGTACGAAGACACTCTTTCTGTCTTTTTTTTTTGGATTTTTTTTCAATTCATTATTACTCGTATCCTTTCTTCAGGTGGATCATTTTTCTAAATACGGTTTGAGCGATTCGGACGAAGATGACAGTAACGGGCCTACGATAAACGATCCGAAAAGATTAAAACTATCCAGAGCGGATCAACAGAAAACCGCAACAAAGTTGGAACAATCAAAAGCACCGGTACAATTTTCTTATCATTCGATGATCGTATTATTAAACTTGGTATACTTTCGACATAGATTCTGACATAGATACTTTTTATGTAGAGTAAGGACGTTGTCACGACTCAGAATGGGAACAGAGGTAGTGCAGATCTTTTGGATTTAAATGCGCATCGAGTTCCAAGACGCAGCATAGGTAAGTAAACTGTACTATTCTGAAATTGGTGTGATATAAAGTTGCCGCAACGAAAGAGGACTTTTTCAGGAGATTACAATCGTGAAAAGCAATTACCGATAAGTCCGACTGGTGATAATGCCCGTATTTTGGGCACTGATAGTCATAAATTACAACTGATGAAGGCCAGTTTCTTCGACGGTGACGATGAAGAGATCAACGAAACTTACGATCAAGGTAAGTACATATTAAGAAGTGTATTTATTTTCATTCAAATCGATTACAATGCTCTTTTTCTTTTTCTTTTTTTTCTTCTATTTTAGAATCGAATCGTGCCTTATTCCTAGCTAGTTACAAAAGTAGTACTATGAGATGTTTCGTGGATAGTGCGGAAAAACCGGAGGAGGATCAAAGTCCGACGTTGCGATCAAATTTAACGATTCGTCGCACACCGTCCATTATTTACGAAGAACCGATAGTTTCGAAGACAGGTGAGAGTTGTTTGCAGCAATATATGTATTAACACTAGTACATTTACAGACGCTAGGTTACACAGATATAATAACGATTTTCCAATGATAGGTAGGAAATTAAAACGGTCGACGGACGTTGTATCTACGAAATCATCGATCATTTATGGAAAAAGCTTTCCTGATCCAACGGTAACTCCGGTGACAGCGATTTTGAAATTGCGTTCCGAAGTGATTCCGTTTTCGAGGTCTATTATATATATGCTAGAATCACGATGTATTGCTGGCACCGGTAAGAGATGGATTAATTATTACTTTTTATTTATTTATTTACTTATTTACTTGTTAGATCGTAAATTTGTGAAAACAACGTATGCTCGTTTACAGGCATACAATTCGGAAGGATGTTTAAACCAAGCTGGGGACGTGGCTTAACATTGCTGACGTTAAGTACGCAAGGACAGGCGCTGAAAGTATCGTTGCACAGCCCTTTCAAAGAAATCGGATGTTACGTGGACGGTCGTTCTCCAGAAGATACATCGTCCGTCGCGATCGTTCAACGGATTGAAATTTTGGGTGGCAGTGGAACGGACGAAAAACATATCGAGAGATTCAAGGTATCCCGCGCTTCAATAAGTATACTGTTTTACTTATTCTCAAAAGTTAGATTTAATATTCTTAATTTATAATGACGCGATTGAAGAAAAGCATAGAAGGGCATCTAAAACTGCAGTTGTCGCAACGTCTAATGGGTCAGGAAGCAGACTGTCCAATGTTTGTCGTGGATACAGATACTACTAAAGCGAGCATCGCTTTGCACGATCATTGTAGCTTAGCCGAAGAGTTTGCTGATCGATTTACCACGGATTGTTACGCAGCGTACGTTGTTAACGTTTGGAAGCTCTGCGTAGCTCTTTGGGGCACTCTCCCGGACATAAACGCAGGTATGTTGGTTTTATTTTTCACTACATTATAATAATTTAATTTTGATTACGTTTCAGAAAATACAGGAGGTCATGCCGTTGCAGTAGCACGTCGAGAGGCTATCGGGGAGTGGTTACAAAATTTTATACGACGGACGCTCGAACAAAGAGAAAATACGAACATTAGCAACGACGAAAAGATACTACTTTTGTTGTCGGGTGTGTATACTATAGATTTTGAGAAATCTATACATCGCGTGCAACGATTTTTCTTGCTTGCTAATTTTTCATTGTTCTTTTCTTTTTTTTTTTCCTCTCTCTCTTCTTTTTCCGTTTCTTTTTAACCCTACCTACGTTGAACAATTGCGAAACCGAAGCTTTCGAATTGGAGGAAGCGTGTGAAAGCGCGCGAAAACTAGGTGATCATTGTTTAGCACTATTAATGGCACAGTTACGCAGCGGAATGGCTGTGAAAACGTTAATAAAAGAACAAATCGCTTTATGGCAAGATGCCGGTATCGAGGAAAATATACCGTTGGAACGATTGAAACTTTTCGCATTGGTGGCGGGCGAGCCGTTGGTGTCCAGTAAACATGGACTTGTTATTAACGTTTGCGAAGGTCTCGATTGGAAAAGGGCACTGGCTGTGCATTTATGGTAACGTTATCTATCTCGTGTGAAATAGCAATGTAAAATATATATATATAGAAGAATATCGTAGATGATCTGTACGGTCGACGAAGGTAACGGTAACAGTATTGTATCCTGTATACATTTTCAGGTATTTTTCATCTCCTGTTGCTTCGATAAGAGACGCGTTAGAGTTGTACGAGAACTCGTTTGACACAGGCAAGACGGAATACGCTTACGCAACAGCACCGAAACCCGAATACAAAGGCGACGATTACGAGATTGAAATAACGAACGGGAAAGCAATATACGATCTTTGTTTTCATCTATTGAAATTATTTTGTACCGGTAATCATGGTTTGGGTGAGCTGTTGAATCCAGCGACGCACACCGTCGATCCGTTGGATTATAGATTGAGGTAATATATTTAATAAGAGATTGTCTGATTGTCGGATAGAAAGGAAGGAAAATGAATTTGTTTAATTGCAGCTGGTTGATGCAGCAGGTGCTGTTAGCTTTAGGTTATTCACACCTTTCGGAACACGTTGCCACTTTAACGCATATCAATTTCGCGACCCAGTTGGAAGCACACGGTCTTTGGCATTGGGCTATATTCGTGATGTTACATATAAGCGATGCGGATAAAAGGAAAACTGCGGTAATCAATTTGTTGCAACGACACGTCGAAATAGAAGATAGAGAGGATTACGTGGAAGAAGAGAAATTTTTAACGGAAGAACTGGGTATACCTTCGATCTGGATTCACCGAGCCAAGGCTGTAAAGAGTTGCGTGGCCAAAAGGTTAGCGTGCACAGTTTGTCGGCTGTTTCGATGAGCAAAAATGATTGACATAAAATGATTGTTTTAAACGTTTAGATACGGGAAAGCAGCATTTTACTTGATCAAGGCGGAACAGTGGAATACCGCGCATGAAATTATTATCGAACATTTGGCAGCGGATGCTATAATAAACGGTACGTTTATAAAAATGAAGCATTTAGAAGAGACGATTGGAATATTATAAATGTGTCTTGTAATTTTCTTCTTTTCTTTGTTGTTTTTATTTAGAAAATTACGAATATTTGCGGCACTTGTTACGTCCGTTGATTCCTTCGGAATGTAACAGCACTATAAGCGGATGGAGCTGTCAAGGACAACTGCTTTGGGAATATATGGAGATAACCATGGACATTGAATGTTTGTTACGCGGTGTTGATCCTCGTGGAATAAATAGTAAATTGGAGTCGGTGAAACAGCGATTGAAACAGCTTTCTTTCAACATCAATCACTTTCCATGCCCAACGGCTAAACACAGGTAAATCTCGGCTATATTTGTCTATAAATTAATAAATTAATAAATTAATAAATTAATAAATAAGGTATAAGGTATAATAAGGTTCGGATAGAAATACGCATCTTTCGTTTCAGACTGTGTCAAGCGGAAATAGCAAAAAGGACATTGCATTTGGCTAGAAGTTTGTTGCAATCGAACGGATGTAAGTCTACCTCGATGCTTCAACTGGTATCTGAATTGCCATTGCCAGAAGATTACGCTCAACAGGAGCTTCGTCCTATAGTTAATATGCGTGTATATGAAAATATATATCAACAAGGGTAGCCTTGCGGCGAAAGTTTATAGCCAATCAACCGTTTCATTTCTAATGTGTAATTTCTAATTTGTAATCTGTAATCTGTAATAAGTTGTAATTTGTAGCTAGCGATAACAGAAAGGAGACTTGGATGGTGACTGTAACGATTATGTTTAGTAGTATTAGCAATTATCGTGTTTAATGACAGTAACAAGAAGAAGAAGAAGAAGAAGAAGAACGTGGTATCTAACGTTTGTAAGCTCTGTAAGTAAAAAAGTTTACGTTTGTTGTCTGAATTATTCTATATATAGATTTTTGAAAAAGTTAAGTAACTAAATGAATGAACGAATAAACGAATAAACGAATAAAATTAGTAAAGAATTAATAAAGAATTAATAAAGAAAAGAAAAATAAATCCTATCCGAAAAAAAAAGAAAAAGAGATACACATATATTGGAAAAAATGAAAAATAAATTGTTAAAGTTTGCGATAATAATTGTTAAGAAGAAGTAGACTAGTAAATTTAGTTTGTAGGAAGATATCGATACACGTTAAATCAATGATGCTGAGCTTGCGCCGCGTTACAACCCTTCGTATACATGGTACATGTACTACACATATGTATATATGTATGTATAGACGATGGTGCGAGGTCCCGAGTATCTCGTTCTCGCCAAGTCTGAACGGATCGTCGGGAACGTAGTCGATGCTTCGATCACTGGAAGCAGCAGCAGTAAGCCACTACCGTCATTTTAAAGCTTAGCGTCGAGTTGGAGTCAGCTCCGTTAGCAGTGTCATCGTCGTCGTCCCTAGCCCTCCTGATAGGCATCCCCCGTATTGCCGGCATCACAAACACCGCTATACTACTACTTCGGTTTAAGCGGGGTGGTAGCCATGCTCACACCCTGTGGAATATCGTAACTCTTGAAACATCCGAGTCCAGCGTAGACGTAGTAAGAGTAACGCGTGCGCGCCAACAAACGAACCAGCCAGCCAGCCAGTCAACCAGCCAGCCAGCCAGCCAGCCAGCCAGCCAGCTACCTTCGTTTCGAGTACACCATCTTTGCTCGATTTTCATGAGAGAAAGTGTTATCAAAACGGACACGCGCATGTTCGTTTATTTACGAGTAGACGAAGAAAACGTAAAATTCTGCTAAAAATTTCACCGCATCTAAATTTCTGCCGCGTATAAATTCTATTTTATAATTTTTTTTTTCTCTTCCGTTTCCTCCGCGTTCACCCCATTGCTCTTTCTCTCTTCATTTCTATCCCTGTCTTTCTGCTTCCATATTCCCCTTCTCTGTTACTCTCGTTGCCACCCCCTTCTCGCTACCAGTATTCCCTTATCCCACCCTCGTCCTTCATTCTTTTGGGTTCTGTGCGCGTTACGGTGTGAACATACTTGAGAGATCGCGCGACAAGGCGGTAATCGGTGGTGCATCGTGAATCGTGGAGAAACGAATCGCATCGAAAGCACAATGTCTACTTTATTCGGAAATGAAAAAATACGTGTTTGTATCGAAAGAATAGGATAATAAAGAGGAACGGTGATTTATCCGGCGGGTAAAGTGACATAGGATCGTTTTTCTAGCTTTTTGCCTAGACGTTCGGTCCTTCGGGGGAGCGATCGGTCGATCGGGGGGTGTTTGCGTACGCAGCTACGTCGAAGATGTTCGTTTCCGAGATGATTCGATGGTTAGAGAAACTAGCGTTTCATACTGAAAAATGTGTTTGGTGTTGTTGAGCTAAGTCGTCCTTATCATCTCTTTCTGCTCGTCGTCGGTACATATAATAAGTGTTCGGTTTTCGTTTCGTACAGTTGTAAAGATATACATATGTAGACGGTATAGAGTAACGAAACGAAACGAAACGAAACGAAACGAAGCGAAAGTATTTAGTTGAGTCGATTAGCGTGTCACTTGTTTGCTCCAAAGTGCATATTTAAAGAAGAAGATAAAGACGACGATGTAGATTTCTTCGTACTGGCATGTACAAAGTTCTTACATATACATATATACATATATACATATATACATATATATTGTAATATATGTATATCTAAGGATAAACAAGATTTCATCGAAACGGTAAATTCACGCACGTAACACTGATTCGCGTACTCCGGGCGATCGATCGCTACTACGAGGGAGCGGTAAGACTAATTCTTTTTGAGAAGTAACGTCGAATTAACGCGTGCGTTTTTCTTAAAAGATTGCGATTGGTTGGTTCGTGTTTGTTTCATCGTTTGCTCTCACATTCGACCGGTCATCGATACTGTCGAAACAATGTTTCTGTCCGTTGAGAAACTGGTCTACTACGGAGTGTTGTTACTTGTATGGATCCGGTCAAGTTATCAACAGGAAGAGGATATACCTCACAACGAGTAAGTGAAAAATCCGAAGCTACCTTTTTCTTACTTTTCGAGTATAAAAACGAACGAAGAAACGAATGGGAGGGGCAAAAGATGAACGAAATATGTATCATGTATGTAAATATTCACATGTATGTATGTATGTATGTATGTATGTATGTATATGGTATAGATAGAGAAAAGCGTAACCGATTCGATAGTGTAAAAGTCGCGAGGGGCGGTTTAACGCACAGGTGTTTGTTATTGTAAACGTATGAAAGGTGGAAGTAAAATTACGTGTGGTTCGAAAAATGTCAAGCACATCTCCGTTAGCGAAGGAAGAACGCAGGCGCAAAGCGAATTACGCATACACAGTCGATTAACGAGAATTAAAATAGACAAGTGTGCGTGCGTGCGTGCGTGCGTGCGTAGATGGGTGCGTACGTGGGTGAATCTATCAATGGTAACACGTTATGCAGCTGGTGTGATCGGAAGACACGGTTGATCAGAGTCGTTTCGAACAACGTCGACGGAATTGAAAAGTAATCAAAGGATTTATCAAAGAAATTATTCATTTTGTAGGGTAAAAAATTGGGCGTTGAAGTTTGGCGTAGATCTATGGGAGTTTGGGAAACAAGTAACGAAAATGAACGAGATACAAAGGGTAAGAAGAAATAATAAATGTTTAGAGAAGTTAGTTATTAAAATTTGCGTTTCGCGTTTACAGAAATATCACGACATGGGAGCTGAAGTTGTAAGAAAGGATGGTCTCGTCTTAGTCCGAGAAATGGCTGCGGAAGTGAAAAATATGTTGGATTTTAAAATGAACGCCGTCATGGTAAGATAATAAGTAAAATATTTACTTGTAAGTAAGTAAGTAAGCAAGTAGGTATTTGGAATTGGAAATTGCAGAGATTAGTGGAGAGCGCAGAGCAAGCGGCGGTATCGGCACCTAGGGATGGAAACGTATCACCAAAGTATTACGCTTCTCAACGGTTTGACAGCAGCAGTTTTACCGGAGATGGGAAAACGTGGACCGGTGAAGAAACTTTTCTTTCTTCTAACCGTCATTTCGATCATTTGGCCGTGAATACCAGTCTATCAACGGTTTTATTACCTGCCGGCGTGAAAGATGTCGGTAAATAAAAATAAGATTAGTTTAGGAAAGAAAATAAAGCCGAGTTTCGTTTATCGTTAGTCGAAAACAGTAGGTATACATATAGTAGAGATTGTAGTTTGTCATTCGCGAAACGGGTAGAATTTTCAGATCAGGAAGTAGCAGCGGCTATCCAATGGAGCGAATATCTGGATCTGTTGTTTGTTAATAATTACGAAAGCGATCCTTCGCTATCTTGGCAATACTATGGAGCAACATCGGGATTCTTACGTCGTTTTCCTGGTAATTGAAACTAGGTTTACTACATAAAGGATAACGAATAAAGGGTAAAGGTTTTTTCATTTTCCCAGCTATATCTTGGCCACCGATCGAAGATGGTGGAAGGACCGCGACCACCAGTGGGAGGAAAAAGGGAAACAGAGTTGTTCGAGACGTGTACGACTTTCGAATTTCGAATTGGTTCGTTGGAGCGGCAAACAGTCCGAAAGATTTGGCTATATTAATCGACACGGAATGTTACGCATCTGAAAGAAACAAACGTCTGACAGTCAGCACCGCTAAAACTATACTCGACACTTTGGGTCCTGACGATTACGTGAACGTTTATCGTTACGGAGATACGGCGGAAGAGATCGTACAATGCTTTAAAGACAGTTTAGTTCAAGCATCGCCAGAAAATTTGCACGAGCTGAAAGTGGCGGCAAGTTCGATGAAATACGAAGAAATGCCGACAAACATATCGGCCGCGCTTGGGACTGCCTTTGAAATTCTTCACAGATACAACAGAACGGGTCAAGGAAGTCAGTGTAACCAAGCTATCATGTTGATTACAATGGATAACGCTGGCCTACCTACGGATGTGATTAAGCGTTACAATTGGCCTCATATGCCTGTCCGTATTTTTACATATCTCATCGGTGGTGACAAGAGCCCGGAATTGCGAAACGCAGCATGTGCTAACAAAGGCATGTTTTCTTTTTCTCCTTCTTTTTCTCCTTCTTTTTCTCCTTATTTTACTTGACACTCTCTTTCACTCTGACGTTTTCTAGGATTTTACGCGAGAGTTAGCGATTTCGAAGATATCAAGAGTAAGGTTTTCGAATACGTAAAAGTGCTTGCGCGGCCTATGGTACTGTATCAACACGATCATCCTATTCATTGGAGTCCGGTCTACGTTGGCGGAAAGGTACCTACATAATTATTCCTACTCTATAATTCTTACTCTCCATTCCTCTCCATTATCGTTCTCAGAGTGGTAGATACGGTAAAGAAAGTTTTGGACAATTGATGACCTCGGTAACAGCACCCATTTTAGATCGTCGAAACCATACGGTAAGCTGGCAATTCGACATTTCGATAATTGGAAACCATTAGGTTAATTCCGTCGCGCTCGTTTATAGGTGAAAACGGCCAACTTGTTGGGTATCGTCGGTACCGATGTACCGATAGAAGAAATTCAAAAACTGGTCCCTCCTTATAAGGTATGCAACCCTTAAATTATTAAATTAATCATTAAACTATGAATTGAACGATTCGATTGGTTCGTAGTTGGGTGTGAACGGATACTCGTTCGTCGTCGACAATAACGGACGTGTCTTGTATCATCCGGATCTACGACCATTGGTGAGTAACAAAGTTCGAGAAGATTGCTCGCTTTCGGTAATTACTAACACCTTTCTTTTCTTCATTTTTTCATTTTTTCATTTTTTCTCGATACAGCCAGGAAACGTGGACGTAAGTAAATCGCTTACTCGTCTAATAAATTGTTTTCGAAAACGCAAATACGAACTGGTCGATTTTGTTACAGTACGAGGAAACGTTAAAACCTACGTACATTAGCGTGGATCTGTCGGAAGTCGAACTGGCAGAATACGATGGACCGTTACATCCGTTAAACAATTCTCTTCTTCTGGATGTAAGTGTTGGATTTTACTTGGACTGATTACTTGGACACGTTTCTTCTAGCGTTGCTGTTTCTTTTACAGCTGAGACACGATATGATCGATCAGAAAGAGGGAGAGACGGATTTTGCGATTAAAATTCATTACGATAACATGGTGAGTCGAATGAAGAAAATCGATAACACTCTTGTGTTCTTTTTCTTCCAATTCCAGCTACTATTTTTATCGCGTAAATTGAAAAAATATTATAGAAATTTTGAATTCAGATTTTAATTCGCCATGTTATTTAACGTAGATGCTTTTATTTCTGTTGATGCGCATACACACACATACACACAGAGACGAGTTACCATTAGACGGCACAATTACTTTTATAAGCCGATAGAAGGAACACCGTTTTCATTGGGATTAGCATTGCCCGAAGGTTACGGCATGTTTGAACTGTTGGCCGAACAAGAAATCAAACATTCTATAGTACCTGGTAAGTTGTATTTAAAACAGTTTTTTTTTCCGTGGACGATGAACCGCGATTTGTCAGTTTTATTAGCGGGAGGGGGACATGGTGGCAAAAATAAACTAATAAATATTTAATCACTTTTTTGCATTCGCAGTAACCAATTATTTTAAAGGAAGTAATTGGAAGGTACATCCAGATTGGGTGTATTGCGAATATAGTTCGGCTTCCGAAAAATGGTTCTCTTCCCCCGAAGAACGCGTTCTCCATTTTTTGGCAAGAACCGGAAGACCGGGGTGGAAATGGATGTCCTTGAGACCAAGGAGTCCAAGCTCGCATCACAAACAAGCGAGCAAGCCAGACAAAGATGCTTATTACTGTAAGTGTATCGTATTATTATTATAATTATTACTATCATCGTAGAAATTGGTATAATCGACGATTCGTTTCACAGGCGACAAAAGGTTAGTGCAGTCCCTTGTGTTAGATGCCTTGGTCACCGATGGCTTCGATAAAAGAGGTGCAATGCATAAAGAGGATAATCAAAGGTAAGCAGCTCGTAAGTGGAATTCACGGATGCATGTCCTCCACACGCGGACACTTGTATACTATATGTACTATATTATACATATATATATATATATATGCATTTTCTAAATATGTGTATATATATATATATATATATATATTGTGTACAGAGTGTGGAAATATCGACAATGCACTGCAATGCACTGCAATGCACAAAAGAGCACGCGGTATTATTACGCACCTATGTAACCTTAACGGATACAGTAATACGTACCGTTGCCTCTATTTTTTCTTTTCCCGTTGTCTCGCATAGCCGTGTCGCCAACGAAATCGCGAAAGCAAATAAAATTGTTAACGAAAACGCGAAAGAACGCGGAGTTGATATTGACGACTGAAGCAAAACGGAAGAAGACAAGCGAGAAAACGCGAACAGAGGAAAAAGCATAAAAGAAAAAGAAGAAGAAGAAGAAGAAGAAGAAGAAGAAGAAGAAGAAGAAGAAGAAGAAGAAGTAGCAGGAGCATAAGAAGACGACGACGTAGAAGAAGAAGAAGAAGAAGAAGAAGAAGAAGAAGAAGAAGAAACGAGACAGAGTACCGATTTTCGTTGCTCGCGTAAAACGTATCTCGTTATTTAACATCGTTAGACATCGAGAAAATCGCATAAAATCGCGGAGTGGTAAAAATAGGGGATGCTGTTGATGAAGGTGGTACATGTACGAATCGTTTGACTCGAGAGAAATAAAAAAGAAGAAAAAATGCTTCGAATGAGAGTTAAGAAAAGAAAATCGGAAAGCATTTCGCGATACAGATAAAACGTAGCTTTTTTTGCAGTGCGTATGTGAATTGAATATTATCATAGGTACTTACATAGGTATATTTATCCTCGATTGTGTTTAAATGGTTCTCTAAAATGTGACACGTACTATGCGCAACGGTTAATCTCTTTCATTTACAATGCTACCTTTTATCGCATATTTTCATTACATTTTATATTGTGTGTCTCCACCGCTAGCCCTATTGCCATACTGATGGCTCTACTGCACAGGTAATCCATTATGCACAATTATTTGTATAAGCGCACTCGTCGATATTGCACGGTGACATATGTATATTGTATATCATTCTTCTAAAGGTCGTTGTTACCGTCCGTTTGCCGACCCAATCCCGATCGTCCGACATTCCTTTCTTATTTCTTCGTTGCTTCCGCGCGCAATTTTATTATTCTCTAGATTCTAGATTCTAGATTCTAGATTCTAGATTCTAGATCGTAGATCGATAACATACGATCGACCAACTACAAGGAAATACTTTTTTAAGATTTATCCGGAAAAATTAATTCTTGCAAAGTTGAGCAGTTTGTCGAATCGCGAAATAATGAACGTTAAATGCCAATACGTTAGGCGGTTAATCGATCGGTGTTTAACCAGTTAATACAATATTATCGTATACGGAATAAAAAGTACTTACATGTACTTCACTGCAAATTACCATACGCACATATACTTGTTGAAGATGAAAAGAAAAGAAAAGAAAAGAAAAGAAAAGAGAAAAGCATCTAGGATTCATTTATACGTTATCATCTCATCGATTTTCTTTCTGCTTTCGTCTAATTGATTTTCTACTTACAGTCAAGGGAAGGGCAGATTTGGTGTAACACGGAGTTTTATCGCAACTAGAAGCGGTCTTTTTCGTTGGCACGAGCATCAGCAAAACGAAGAAACCATCGAAGAACCGTAAATGTCAAATATTTGCAATCATTTAATTTTTTTAACCGTAACACTCTATCGTGTGCCGTCCATCTCTTCTCGCTTCATCGATAGAATGATATTATTCTTCTTCTTCTTCTTTCGTACAGATCTTTTGCCGAGAAATACGCAAGAGCAATGGACTCATCGTGGTACAAACGCGCCGTGGATCAACATTCGATCGAACCGGAGAGCTTCGTTTTTAGCGTTCCGTTCGACGCCGGTAAGTCGTAGAGACGCAAAGGTGCAACAATCGTCATCATCATCATACAGTTATTATCACCTTTTCACAAGTAATTATTTTTTCATCACCACCAGCCGATACCGTTAATCCTTTGGTCACCGCTACTCACGCGGTCTTCATCGGGAAAGGACACAAGGCACCAGCAGCGGTTGTAGGTCTTCAGTTTCAACATTCCTCTCTGGCTTCGCACTTTGTCAATATCACTTCAACGGTAACGTAGTCCTATAATCTATATCGTCTTATCTTCTTTTCTTTCTTTTTTTTTCCTTTCTTTTTTTATTTTTCTTTTCATATCAGAGCATAAAATTAGAATAGAGTGTCCATCGATCGGGACGAGATTGAAATTGGTGTTTACAGTGCAGTGGCACGAATTGCAAGAAAAACTGTGCTTCCGAAGAATTGGACTGTTATATCTTAGACAATAACGGATTCATTATAATCAGTGAACGTCACGAGCATACCGGAAAGTTTTTTGGCGAAATAGACGGTACTATTATGGATTCTCTGGTTCAAGATAGAATATACAGGTACAAATTTGGGAACGTAACGAAGCGAATAATCGCGTTGCGCGGCAAAACGAAAGCCGAAACGTGTATGTTTGAGTAAACCGTGTATGTTTCAGAAAAGTAACCGTGACCGACTACCAAGGCAGATGTAGTCCGCAAGAGTCTCATCAATCTGCCGCTTCAAGAACGTTATCGGACTCTATCGTGACCACGATCGCGATATTTGGAAATTTCCTCTGGAACGTGGCTTTCGCTTTTAATTTCCAACATTTCTGGCAAGATGCGTTCGCGTTCGCGTTCGCGTTCGCCGACGAATCTGCTCTGCCATTAGATGGTAATAAATTTCACGGGGACAGAGAAGGTATAGAATAGACGTAGAGTAAATTATTTTTTCAAATACAAATCGTTAATATCACGCACACCTTGAAACATTGCGTATCTACATATTTTATATCTCGTCTATACGATCTTCTCTTAGTTTTATCATTTCCTTCGATTGAACAAAGTTTAACGTTCAAATCAACGGCCAACGAATGTACCGCGTCGGTAGTAAGTATATATTGAAATATATAATAATTTCAGACGATTCGATCTTCACCGACACCGTAGTCGGGGAAGGAGGAGGAGGAGGAGGAGGTGGTGGTGGTGGTGAAGGAGGGGGAGGAGGAGGTGGTGGAGAAGGCGGAGGAGGAAGAGAAGAGGCGCAGGAATTGGAACCGTTTGCTGCCGCTGGAGGAGATTCGACCGACGATCCAACGTTCGGGGAGAACGAACAGTTTCCCAAAGTTCCTGCGATCGCTACTGTTACTCCCGTATCTCCTAGCACAACCAGAGCTACTTCTACCTATTATCCGCAAAAAAAGTTACGCTCGTGCGAAAAGAAAACGGACCTTTATATCTTACAGCCTGAAAGATTGAATACCAGTGGGCAAAGCAATCCTTTGAAGGGCAAGTTAACCAATTGTCACGTGACCGGTTGCGAGAGGTACGTAAAAGTGTTTTATAAGGAAAAGATGTATTCATTCAGCATATAAGCGAACGATATCGCGATGATTTTCTAAACGTTATATTTACAGACCGTTCAGCGTACAAAAGATTCGCCATACGAATTTAATTCTACTGGTGGTAGATACCTTGTGTCCATGCGGAAGTAAGCAATTGAGCATCGAACCGATAGAAGCTCTGACTGAGCCTGGAGCTTGCATCGCGAGAAGAGAACGACTGTATCGTCGGAGACCTCCGAAATGTATCAATTACCATCCAGAAGAAATGGAGATCAAGTTTTGCGGAGATGCGAGTCGACCTTCGCGCCTATATTTCACGTTGTTTATTACCATTTTTATCAACATTTTCGCAAAACCGCTCGCGTGACTTTGTTTAAATTAATTACACGCACGCATACCCAGACGTACACTTACTCGCAAGAGAATGCAACACGACGCAACACGATACACGACAGAGGAGACAAGCGCGCAGACACCCATTAACTTTTCGAAATGAATTTAGCGTTGTCGTTTCTATGAAACAGTTATATATATATATATATATATACACATATAAAAGAAAAAAGAAAAAAAAAAAAATGGTATACTAGTTGATCGGTTTAATACTTGTATTTGACGAATACGTGCATACGAACGAGCAAACGAATGCATGCGAGCGTGCGTGTGCATCCGTGCGCGCGCGATGCATATATGTATCTATATATCGTACGTAGTTACGTATCGGTGCATAAGCGCACAGTCATGCAGATGCACGCGTCTTCTTTTTCGGGCATTGGGCACGCGTGCGCATGCATGCGGAATGTACATATACAAATACACGATATTAATGTTGATCGAGGGAGGTCTACGATTCCATATGTATATGGATGATACATACATATATTATTGTAAATTTTTGTTGCGGGAAACTTGTGAATATTTCCTAATCGTACTATGTCGAATCTAATTCTCCCAACGCCTAACACGAATCGATGAAATCGTTCGTAATTCGCGATACGCTTAAACAGACTAACGATAAGAACGACGATAACACAAGCGAACGTATGTAGAATATATTATTACCGTGGAGCAAGAAAACAGTAGAACGTTTCGTTAGTCGTCGCCGTCGTTGTTGTTTCGAGAGAGCATCAAATTGGAAAAGATAGGACATTTGCACTCGAATATCGGTATTTCTGGGTTCAAACTTTAATCAGAAATGACTGGAACGTACATATGCTACTGCTGGTTAATAGCTTAATACACATATATTTAAAATTCGATTAGGTAGGCAGAATTGTGACTTCGGTAAGAGACGATCGCTATCACAGAACAGTTGTTCGAATCGGCTTCGATCAGTGCGCTGAGAATACAGGTGTCGTTAATCGGTATTCGTGTACATAATTTCGCGTTATGTGTATGTAAATACATAAAAGCAACTGCGACAACTTGACTAGGTACCAATCCCTAGCCCTGCTTCTTTTAGCGAGACTTTTTTCAACTGAAAAGAAGGGATAAAAAAATATTGAACGAAAAGCGTTGTTCGTTCGCAAGGTAGAAAAAAAGTTGCTAAAAATTTTAGCTAAATTTATCGTCGCTTTCATAAAACCCCCGCAATTTTACCGTGTATCGTTTCTTTTAAAAACCTTTTACCGTAACGTGTAAGAATGAAAAACCAAAGAACAATGAATGCAATATCGCGCAAAAGTTGAGAAACAACGAAACACCATTGGCGGAATGGAATCTTTAGTCGAAAATTAAAGGAATAGGAAAAGCGAAATCGTGAAACGTATATGTACATACATACACAAGTAGGTACCGATATATGCGTACGCGTGTGTTTCGTCGTCTCTTACGTCGTCTACGTATGCGTAGGTATTATAAAATGTTCCAGAATGTCGTCGTAACGTTAGAAATGGCCACGTTAAGACGGCAATACGGAACATAAAGGACGACGAATGAAAAAACAGAAATGAAACTTTTAATATTCCATTACTATGAATTTCCAAGTTTCTTTATCAAGATTAACTGTAATACACATCGTTCACATATCTGCGACTGTAAAGATGTATCGCTTTAAACGTCGCGACAAAAGCGTGGATTACACTACGAAACTGCTATATCGGGACTGCTATAACTTTACGAGAAGAGTAAACTTTACAAGAAAAAAAAAAAAAAAAAACGTGTTGCAGGTAAGAAATCGTTTTTCGAACGGCACTTCTAGGTGCTACCATGTCTTCCATTATTTGTATATTGATAATACAGTCGACTATAAATATAAATATGAATATGAATATGAATATGAATATGGATATGGATATGGATATGGATATGAATATGAATATAAACATGAACATGAACATGAACATGAACATGAATATAAATATGAATATGAATATAAATATAAATATAAATATAAATATAAATATAAATATAAATATAAATATAAATTATAATTATAAATATAAAGAAATAAATTTAAAAGCCATACGTGCTGAACATGCTGTAAAGTACGTATCTGTCTGTACGACGAATAAAATATTAAACACGTAAAATTATGATGTAACTGAAATACGGCATAATAACATTATATAATAAAAATTGACTGCAAGAATGATTATTTCGTTTTCTTTTTTTTTTATCGATTTCTACGATACTTGGTGCGTTCACCGATGCTACCTCCGAGTACTCAGTTTGTTTGAAACTTGGCGCAGTAGTTTGTAATTGAAAGAGTGAAGCTCGGTCGAACGTAGCATAGTTTGAAGCAAGTTATCGAACGAGGAAGCACATATTTTTCCATCGAAGATGAAAGAAACGTTCTTTGTATATTCTCTACAGAATAAACTTTATCCCAAAAGACGTGTAGTACGAATAATAAAAAGAGAAGTTAACGACGAAAGTGCGATTCTTCTTACAGAATTTCAGTTGTAATTAAATTGTACGTATCGATATCAATAATATCGAAACTTGATTCGTATCGATACCAAATATCGATAGAATTGAGAAACATGCTCATCACTTATCGATATTGTATCATAGAATAAGGAATGCATAGATCCTCCATCGCAAGTTGAATTCCGACATAGAGTAAGTAATATTTAAATCTTCCATCGCAAATTGGGTGCAGACACAGAATGAGGAATATGTAGAGTTTTCAACACACGAAAACTTTGCCTTGGGAAAGAGTATTTTGCGGAAAGGTCGGTCTCGGAAAGTACGGTATGCGGAAAGTTTGTGTTCGGAAAGTCGATTTATACCCTGTGGCTGGGGGTTTAGAGTACAGCCGCGGTAACCCCTGCCTGTCGTAGGAGGCGACTAAAAGGGGGCGTTGCTACTGCTGATGTAGCTTCGATTTCGGGCCTCGGGCATAGACATAGGAAATATATTTACCTATTTTTCATTTTAGAGCAAGGTTTCTTATGTATATACCGACAATTTCACAAATTTGCGTATAGTTGCTACTCTATATTTAAATAAACTATTATTTCCTATGCCCTACTTTCTACATTCCAAGTTATCTTTTTAACTAACTGTTTTATTGTAGCATACGTTTGAGAATACGCGCAGCCATGATGGCGCTCACGGTCGATCGATTTATCGATCGGGAGTCGTCCATCTAGGTGAACGCGTGAGCAGTGGTCTTCTCGCCGGCTCGCGCGCAACGACGCCATTATCGAGCATCGATTCATCAAGTTCGGACTCGGGCTGAACTTTGATTCCAGGGACATAAAATTATTGCCCTTTTTTCTTGCTCTTTAGTAGTTTTTGACACGTAGAATCCATAAATGTAGGTCGTAACTTTAGGAAATTAGCGGTTCAAAAGTTATGAGTATGTAAAGTTTCACGTTTTTAGGGTATTTTACACGCTACTTTGACGCCATGTTGCTTCCATCTATTATTTGATTGGCCCGCATAGATGAGCATTCGGCGGCCATTTTGGCGGGATAAATCAAATGTTTCATTTGAATTTGTTTTCCACGATAATGATTTCGCCGACCGCCTGTGCGAGTATTTATGGCGTCGATTTTGCCGCAAAAATAAAGTCGATATGATGGAATCATTAATGGAGGCAATTAAGAAACAATATATTTTTAAATAAGGTAAGCGGAAGTATTAGATTAGGTTAGGCTATATACTTAAATCCGACCGCCGTCAGGCAGTCGGCAACGCTTTCGTGAAATAATAATACTGTTGAAATGTAATAATTTCTTTTAAAGGGCCCTCTTTAAAATTTTTAGGTTGGTAGTATGATACATAGGAACTTTGAAAGCTCATCTATGCGGGCCAATCAAATAATAGATGGAAGCAACATGGCGTCAAAGTAGCGTGTAAAATACCCTAAAAACGCGAACTTTACATACTCATAACTTTTGAACCGCTAATTTCCTAAAGTTACGACCTACATTTATGGATTTTACGTGTCAAAAACTATTAAAGAGCAAAAAAAAAGGGCAATAATTTTATGTCCCTGGAATCAAAGTTTAACCAGTTATTTGAATTTGTTTAAATATAGTAAATGAACAGCAAGCATGATTTGATAAAGGCGGCGTTGAGAATTTTCTTGAAGGCGTTTTCTTTTTTACCGACTTCAACGCCGGCCGCCACATACATACCTACTTACATGAAGCTAGCCGGAAGGAATAATAAAATATGATTATTTCCACAGCCGACTCTAGTACTAGCCATGCTGAACAACGTGGCAACACCGTTCACGTGACAATCGGGAGTCCTATTTTCAAAAACAGAGTCCTGTGCTCGGAATTGTAATTAACGTCTTTTTTAATTAAAAGCTGTAGTAATATACACTATTTTGTGTTAATTATGTATAAACAATATATAAACGTTGCAACTATGGCAAATATAAGTGATGTGGTAGTATAAAATTGTTATAAATGTGATATATATTTTGTGTACTCTCAAAGTAGTTTGGTGTTGTGAAGCATGATATTTGAAATATTTACAGTGGTTTCAAGAAAATTTAGGTGTGAAGCAAAATGAAACCATCTTTGGATCAAATTGAAACATTTAAGAATTGATAAACGTGTACATAAGTTAATAAAAACCTTGAAACAAGCGAAATTATTAGAACGAAACCAAAGAGGTTATGTGAAGTCCAGAGAGTAGTCGGGAGTCTGACGACGTTGATTGGCTGAGAGTCCGGGAGTCCGGGAGGCAGATTGAGTAGGGTAGGTGTTGATATATTCAGACCGGACTCCCGCGGTGTTGCCATTTTTAAGTACTTCAGCACGGCTAGTACTAGAGTCGGCTGTGTTATTTCTAATTTTTCTTAGTGTATTTCGTTTGTAAATCGTTTGTGATTGATTGTGAGTCTATTTTTAATGTTTGTGACAAATTAGTTCTTTTGTAATTATCAATTTTATTTTAGTCATGATGTGAGCCGGAACTTTTTAGTAATTTTTTATAATAAACAGATTTTGTGATAACTGATAACTGTAATTGATTGGAAATCGTTTGTAATTTACAAATATATCATTTTCATTGTTTGTGAGTGAATAATTTCTTAATTATCTACAAGTTTGTTTTATAATAAATAATTGTAGTGCGCTTGCGCAAAATATACTCAGGACTCTTGCCAATGCCAACGGAGAGCGTATCGGCGCGTTACGCATAGCGGAAATCGTGTAAATTTTCTGTTTCATATTCTATGGGCAAAAGTTCTTTTAATTTTTTGGAGCAACTGTCATTGTGCTGAAGATCTTTTATAATAAAATAAGTTACCAAGCAAAAAGTATTTGAAGGAATTATGTAATAACAAAAATAACACAAGATAAATATTAGATAAGTATTTATTAATTAAACGATATTGTATTGTCGTGATCAAGTGCATCAACACCACATCGGTATAATAGGACTCGTTTGGCAAAATTTGTATGGAATAATGAATGAAAAAAAGAAAAAAATAATAGGGCTGAACTTTACCTCAGGGGCCCAAAAAATTATTTTTATCTTCTTGAAGTATTTTACGAGTAGAATCTAAAAATCCTAGTTTTAAGGCGCGGAATCCATCGGTTCAGAAGTTATACGTGTGTAAAAGTGAGCGTTTTTAACGTATTTCACCGGTTATTTCGAAGCCATATTGACTTGTAGCTTGTTACCGTCCAATCACATCCAATGAGTGGAGTCGCCGTCGGTAAAACAGAATTACATGAGTGGCGGCCGTTTAGACGAACATTTGAATGAGATGTCTTTTGTCAAATTTTAATAAAATGTCTTTTGTTACATTTTTCACGTGTTTTGTTTTACTACCTGTAGCTTGCATTGTTTCTCCGCTTGTACCTCGTAATTCTCGTCTTTTCCTAAAGTTTTCCTTTATCATGCAAAGTATTAAATGGAATTTTACCAATTTGCCTCAGTCAACGGAAGCGGCTGTTGCATGGGCTCGCGAACATAGATTATTGCGGGTGACTAAAATGTGCCGTGTTCATCGGAAGGCGATGGCCGAATGATGCTTGTTGGAAATCGTGAAGCGGCAACCTTAATTCCCATAATTAAAGAAAACGTTATCGCCGGTAGTGAAATTCACACCGACTGCTTCAGAAGCTACGTAGGACTTGCTGAAGAAGGCTTTATTCACAAGTCAGTAAACCATAGCGTGAAATTTGTAGGTAAATTAGTCTAAACTTTGCTTTCATTCGATTTCTATTATAATTTGCATTTTTTACTATTTCTAGGGTTAGGGTTAGGGTTAGTGTTAGAGTTAGCCCTTGAGTATAGCACACCCGGTATACCTAAGGTTATTTTTTGTTTTATAAATAATGCCCCCTCGGATTTGATAGGAACTGATGGTACTCACACCCAAGAAATAGAGTCCAATTGGCGGCCAACAAAGGATTGGATGCGGGATAGAGCTCATTTTCATGACGAAGATTTTGCTCACCGTCTTTGCGAGTACCTGTGGCGTAAGTTCTGCCGTCGAAATTAAATTGATTTGATGGAATTAATGATGGATGCCATCAGAAGACAATATACTTTTTAACCGCTTGAATTAAATAAGGTAAGCGGAAGTCGCCAGTATTTTTAATACTCATTTCTACGGACCAATCACATTACAGATAGAAGTCAATATGGCGTCGAACTAACCTGTGAAATACGCTAAAAACTCTCACTTTTACACACGTATAACTTCTGAACCAACGAATCCCGCGCCTTAAAACTAGGATTTTTAGATTCTACGCGTAAAATATTTCAAGAAGGTAAAAAAAAAGGCCATAATTTTTGGGCCCCTGAAGAAAAGTTCAGCCAAATGATTTATTGATCAATGCGTATGAAGTGAATTGCTAAACAATTTTTATAATATGCAGACCTAACTTCACCTGCGGGTGTCTGGGATACCCATAATCATGATCTCTCGAGAACAAAGATATGTCCAGTCTTTTTGTATTTGTAGTCACTATTTCATATTTATAAAGGTTTGGTTAGGTTGTATAAGAATTTTGTGTCTGTTGCGTTAGTAAATTGACAGTAAATAATAATGGCAGTTCCGTCAGTTTCGTTATCAACCCGAAATAAAAAGCACTTTTTGGGAGTACCGGCACCATTGGGATATGTTGCTGGTGTTGGAAGAGGGTAATGTATAAAAAACTATAATTTTAGTAATGTAACCTAGTTCGCTGACATAATACATCAAAACATTGATTTCTTTCTTCTTTTTAGAGCTACTGGATTCACGACTAGATCTGATATCGGTCCAGCTCGAGATGCTAATGATGTCTCGTAAGTATTTCATCGAAAAAGAATTTGTATCAATGAAAACGTGCTATTTTTTTGTTTTTTATCCTGGTGTTACATTTTCTTTGTAGAGATGACAGACATGCTCCACCTACAAAAAGAACAAAAAAGAAAGAGGAAGAGGAAGAGGATGAAGAAGATTTGAACGATTCTAATTATGATGAATTTTCTGGATATGGAGGTTCTTTATTTAGTAAAGTAAATATTGATTGTAAATATCCCAGAATGATCATTAAATGTATTCTGTACTAAATTATCAATATTCTGCAGGATCCATACGATAAAGATGACGAAGAAGCTGATGCTATATATGAAGCTATTGATAAACGAATGGATGAAAAACGTAAAGAATATAGGGAAAAAAGGCTTAGAGAAGAACTAGAAAAATATCGTCAGGAACGTCCGAAAATTCAACAGCAGTTCTCAGACTTAAAACGAGAATTAGTAAACGTAACTGAAGAAGAATGGAAAAATGTTCCAGAAGTAGGTGATGCGAGAAACCGGAAACAGAGAAATCCGAGAGCCGAGAAATTTACACCCCTGCCAGATTCTGTTCTCGCAAGAAACTTAGGTGGCGAAACTTCGACTAGTATCGATCCGTCTAGTGGTTTGGCATCTATGATGCCTGGTGTAGCAACACCTGGAATGTTAACTCCTACGGGAGATTTAGATCTAAGAAAAATTGGACAAGCTAGAAACACTTTGATGAACGTCAAATTGAATCAGGTTTCTGATTCCGTGGAAGGGCAAACTGTTGTTGATCCTAAAGGTTATCTAACAGATTTGCAAAGTATGATTCCAACTTATGGTGGTGATATCAAGTAAGTTATGCAAAATATTAAGTGCTTTAATATTTCCTTCAATTGAATATATGTACATATATATTTATTTCATATATTTTGTTTAGCGACATCAAAAAGGCCAGATTATTATTAAAATCCGTGAGAGAAACGAACCCCAATCATCCGCCAGCATGGATCGCGTCTGCTCGTTTAGAAGAAGTTACAGGAAAGGTACAAGCTGCTCGAAATCTGATAATGAAAGGGTGCGAGGTAAATCCTACGTCAGAAGATTTGTGGCTAGAAGCAGCTAGGCTTCAACCACCGGACACAGCTAAGGCGGTAATTGCACAATCCGTACGACATATACCAACGTCTGTTAGAATCTGGATAAAGGCAGCGGACTTGGAAACAGAAACAAAAGCTAAAAGAAGAGTGTACCGCAAAGCTTTGGAACATATCCCAAATTCGGTAAGACTATGGAAAGCAGCTGTTGAATTGGAAGAGCCAGAAGATGCACGGATTTTACTCAGTCGAGCGGTCGAGTGTTGTCCGACCAGTGTAGATCTATGGCTCGCTCTTGCTAGATTGGAAACCTATGATAATGCAAGGAAGGTGCTCAACAAAGCAAGAGAAAACATTCCGACAGACAGACAAATATGGACCACCGCTGCGAAATTGGAAGAAGCAAATGGAAATAAACACATGGTCGAGAAGATTATTGATCGAGCGATATCCTCGCTAAGCGCGAACGGAGTTGAAATTAATAGAGAACACTGGTTCAAAGAAGCAATGGAGGCTGAAAAGGCTGGTGCTGTGCATACTTGTCAAGTTATCGTCAAGGCAATCATAAGTTTTGGAGTAGAAGAAGAGGATAGAAAACATACGTGGATGGAAGACGCAGAAACGGTAAGATATTTAACACGCATTTGCGTCTACTGTGGTATAAATTATTATTCATTTCTTAACTGTTTTAGTGTGCTCAACAAGGGGCATTGGAATGTGCTAGAGCTGTTTACGCCTACGCATTGTCAACGTTCCCTAGCAAAAAATCAATCTGGCTACGAGCAGCTTATTTCGAGAAAACATATGGAACGCGAGAATCTTTAGAGTCCTTGCTTCAAAGAGCAGTTGCACATTGTCCCAAAAGCGAAGTACTTTGGCTTATGGGTGCAAAATCGAAATGGCTGGCGGTACGTAAAATTTATAGAAAATTCAACTTTATATAAATATCTTTGTACATAATAATGTTTTCTTTTTTTACAGGGTGATGTTCCAGCAGCTAGAGGTATTTTGTCACTCGCGTTTCAAGCAAATCCAAATTCGGAGGAGATATGGTTAGCGGCTGTGAAATTGGAATCGGAAAATTCTGAATACGAAAGAGCTAGACGATTGCTCGCTAAAGCTAGAGCATCCGCGCCTACGCCTCGAGTTATGATGAAAAGCGCAAAATTAGAATGGGCTTTAAACAACCTCGATGCAGCATTGAAGCTACTAAAAGAAGCCTTAGAAGCATTCGATGATTTCCCTAAATTATGGTTAATGAAGGGTCAAATTGAAGAACAACAAGGCAGTTTGGATAAAGCTTTAGACACGTACAACCAAGCTGTAAATTTCTCTTTATTAATTTCACAATCACTTAGAGATTTAATTGTTACTCATACTTTTCTTATTTGATTTCCAGATAAAGAAGTGTCCGAATTCAATTCCATTGTGGCGATTATTGGCACAATTAGAACATAGAAAGGGTCAAGTTACCAAAGCTCGATCGGTATTAGAAAAAGCACGTTTGAAAAATCCGAAAAACGCGGAACTCTGGCTGGAAGCTATTAGAAACGAATTAAAAAGTGGAGGTGTCAGAGATATGGCGAATACATTAATGGCGAAAGCATTGCAAGAATGTCCTACGTCTGGTTTACTTTGGGCTGAAGCGATTTTCATGGAACCGCGGCCACAAAGAAAAACTAAAAGTGTCGATGCTCTGAAAAAATGTGAACACGACCCTCATGTACTTCTGGCAGTATCAAAGTGAGTATCTAATAATTTCATGTAACGTTTGTCTATACTGTTAACAATGTTTGATTATTATGAAAAACTTAAAAATACTTTTTAGATTGTTCTGGTGTGAACATAAAATCACCAAATGCAGGGACTGGTTCAATAGAACGGTTAAGATAGATCCAGATTTGGGAGATGCATGGGCTTATTTCTATAAATTTGAATTGTTAAATGGAACAGAGGAGCAACAAGAAGATGTAAAGAAAAGGTGTATTGCCGCTGAACCTCATCACGGTGAAAACTGGTGTAAAGTATCAAAGAATATAGTGAATTGGTGCTTAAGCACAGATCAGATTTTAGTATTAGTTGCAAAAGACCTACCGATTCCAATATAATATTTAATAAAATAGAGGTTAAGTATGTATTGTACATATATTTTTTAAGTTGTATTAGAGTAAATAAACTATTAAATTGTATAAATGAACGCAATTATCACATATCTCATTGAAAAAAAAGTGTGCAGAATGCAGAATATTATTTCTTTACATTTGTTCTGAGTAAATCTATCTTTTTTTTTTTTACCAGACCGTGCTATTTTCAAGTACTGGTAACACCCAACGGGACTGCCATATGACGCGCAGCTGGGATAACTGCACGATGAGTCATTCGAGCTCGTCAACCCCTAAACTTCTTCAGATCTCTCCCTATTCTGTCAAAAATAGCAACGACAATCCCGATGAATCTTCTGTCGCGTTTCCAGCTACAAATGTAGCTTGGAATGTCTATAATATATTTTATAACTACAAAAATAAATAAAAAGAAAAACAGCCTAATAGGAAAATAAAAGAAATGGAAAACGAGTTTATAGCGAACACAACATGGGACTTTTTTCGTGCATCGAATGTAAAATCATGCTCGTCACGAAGGGTGAGTCAGCCACCCTCTCTGATGACGGTCAAGGCGACGATTGGAGGAAGCTTCAAAGGATAGTAGGAGGAATTCAACAGTGGGGGGGAAGAGGGAAACTATACTCCCCGATTGGCTAACGTTCGGGGTCGGTATCGATGGTGGGGGATACACAGTCAAAGTCGGAGCGGTAAGCGTAGGATCGGCAGAAGGAAAAGTGGAAGAGTGGCTCCGCCAGTGTTACCTGGTGTTACGTGCCGCGGAATTTCTATCCGGTCAATCAGTGTGCTGTCTCCTTCCTGCCCTTGAACGTTCGGCTGGACGGTGCCTGCGCTTGCTACCTCTTGTAGTGACAACTGACAGGTCAGTGCTCCTTCCGTGATACATTCTATCTCGTCGCTTAAATTGTTCTCCATCGATATTTTCCTCTAAGTGAACGAATCGTATCGGTGTCATTGTATGTACCAATCCACTCATGGGACCGGCTTTCGTCGTGTACATACCGAAGAAAGGCGGTACATAACATAAATCATTTGTATACGTGTTTTCAACATCATGAAAGCTATCCGAAGCCAGTCATTATTCATACATTGTTCATGCTGTTTGTTTTCGATGAGCAAACTGATAAAAACGTACCGATGCTTTTTTAACGATATCGATTGTCTTTGTTATTCAACGATCGAAAATGGAGGGGTGTGGTCAAATCTCCATGCACCTTCTTTATATATATATATATATACATATCTTAAGTAGAATTTTTATTGTTTTCCATTTTCTTCAGCAATAATCTGAAATATTTAATTTCTTGTATTTTTCATAAATTTAAAATCATGTTCTTAGGAAACTGAAGTATACGATATTCTGGCTACTATCCTATATGTTCCTTGTAAGTACTTAGGTATATACTTTGTAGAATGAAATTTTCATGTAATCGGTAAACCTGAAACAGGAGTTAATTCCGAAGTGAACGTATCGTATTGAGTGAAGAGTGGAAGTTGTTACCCCAAAGCTATCCTCGAGTTTCCACATGTTGTATTACGGTGTAGGACGGTAGGATTCAATAAGGGCGTGGTTTTGACAAATGCATTTCCGTTGCGCATCAGGCACAGAAATGTATTCTTCGTTACCGGTTAGCAAGTATTCTTCGTGTAACTGTTGAGTTTTGAAATATTTAATAATTTCAACAACGATACATAAATTTACCTCGACGGATTCGTTGCAATACGTGCGTTCGGTTCTAATTAAATATATGTACACACTTTAACGCGTCGTGTCTTCATAAGGGAGAATCGAGCAATATCTGCATTTTATCATGTCCTGAACAACTTAAGTTGTTTCAAGGCGAGCGAGAATGTCTTTCAAATAAGTAAAACACTTAACAAATTCTATTCGAATTACAAACATGATTTTTATTTACTTCGTTTCTTGCAAAAAATAATGTCAACTTATTCTTGGAAAGAACATGGCGAGATAAATTTTATCATTTTCATAAGCTATTACGTTCAATATTGATAGAGATACATACGTGGAGAAAAAATACATACACGTATTGATAAATTGTCGCAGTTACTGAAAATAAATTTAGAATCATTTATGAGGAAGTATGAATTACAAAAAATGAATCGTAACGTTCGCGTTTATCTTGATGCATACATGTATGTTAATGGAAAGTGCATGTAAGTAGATTGAGATGAATCCTACGCTATATATTAAAAATCACCTTTTTAACCATGACCATGAAAGCCGAGGTCGTCGATACGTTATGTAGTACATACATACAGATAGCAGGGGGAGTTGAACCCCACTCTTCGACCCCCGCATTGCCAATCGATGAAACCGTCTGCCACCCGTCGACCGCTCCCCCGGATGCAACCCCGTGTATACGAATTCACACATTCACACACATTTCAGACACGCTCTCAGATATTTCATTCAGGTTACGGAAGTATCCTGAGACACCTTTGAGCATCTTCAAGGTCGGAACCGACTAAAACGTGAGCTAATTGCTCGCTCGAGATGCATTACGCGTCTCTAGTCAATAAAGCAGATGAAACATTTAAAAGTTAATTGTAATCGTTTCTATTTTGTATTTTATTTATAAACGATTGAATGTTCCCGAGTTTTATCAACTTTTCCATTCGACAGTATCACCCCTATTTCACGAGCACCACGAGCGGGAGCGTTGCTCGTCAAACCGAAGCGTAATGACGAAAGCAATCTGTAATCTACGAGATTGGGTCAAAGGGTTCTCTTCGGAGCTCTATTCATTCACCGTGTATACACCTTGGTACTTGTTCACGAAATCATGACCGCTGAAGAGGATCCCTTTACGCTTGCGTTATCAGGCGAGAGCACGGGATAATTTCGTACACATAGTTATAACAAAGCTCTTTGGTGAATTAAAATTTTCTCTTGCTACTTGTTCTATCGGAAAGTTGAATTAGAAATGCTCCAGACTTGTTAAATTCTTGAAATGTATCTCATTTCAAGTCGATTCTGGGGTCCGTGAATCCCAAAGCCGCTTAGTAACACGTAATACGCCCCTGAATGTATGTATGTACGCGCCGCCGCTCGATACGACGATAGGCGTGCGTCCAGGGTTCGTTAGCCGTCACGGTCGCACGAAAGAGAAACAAAGAGAGGGCGTTTGTATCGCTGCGAGTGCGAGAGAAAATCATAGCAACGCATTTTCTACTTGTTACATACACACATACTCGTCGTTCTTCACTTTTCTGTGATTACTGCACGTAGGTGCAGAAAACCGAACCGCTGCGCGGTCCTTCGTTAAACGCGATTACCCAAGTTAATTGGTATCCCGCGCGAACTCGTTAGTTCTCCGTTCTAAGATCTCTCTTTACTCGAGAACCCACATCGACGACGGTGACCGACGAAACCCTTCAGCGATTGCCCGATGTTATCGACCGACAGGATGTACTTACGGTCGATCAGTTTCAGACACACGAGTTTAGTAGATTATTCGCAGGTTATTATTCGAATAATAGCGTTGTAGTAAGTGTAGTATGTTTTCAACGAAACAAGGCCGGCCGAGCTCCGAAAAACGGCCCCTTCACATATATGACATAAAAAAAAGTAGCTCAAAGAAAATTTATAAAATTAACGTTAAAGTTTGAATAACTAATTTAGATTAATATTCAAGTTAAACATTACTCTTCTTGCATTCTTAGACGCAAAATCGTCTTATGGCGGCCCTGGACCTTAAGGGGCCCTAGGTGGCCGCCTAGTCTGCCTAGGTCCATAGCCCGGTCCTGTAACTAAAAATGATATAGTTTAAATTACGCGATAAAGAGACGAGAAATTATATGGAAAGAATTTTAAGGTACCCATTCAAGTTGAGAAGACAAACCTTGGCTGATGTTACAATCTTCTGCGATGAGTAGAAGCATCGAAGCGTGTCGTACACCGACGCGTTCTGCAAACCGGCTAGCGCGTCGGTGCGAGTCAACCTAGTTTCCTTATTAACTTGCAGACCTCTTTTCTCCTCGCGAGATCAAGTAGGATTTATCGTGGTTTCTCCAGCGTATTGAACATTTTCAGTTCTCCTTTCGTGTCGCGATTATCCAATGAGATACATCTTCGAACGTGCTTTCTTGGCTTTTGTGAAATCGACCGACTTAACGGTGTAACACGCTCCAGCTTAATGTATGTACCTTGATTACATTACTGTACTTACAGATACATATATGTAAATGTTATTATATACATGTTTTGAAAAGATTCATAGATAAAATTGCAGAGCTTAAAACCAGGTACGTTAACCCGAGGGGAAGATTAATCAAAATGTATCGTTTGGTTGAATTTGCGCGTACCAACCGTAAGACTAATCGTGCTCGTTCTCCTCTTCGTTTTCTGACCGTTACACGCAATACGTGGTTCGCGTGTATTCGTGCACTCGATGCAATACTCCTACACGAGTGTACAGAAGATAGGGAAAGAAGAAATATTCAACGAGTGGATACGTAAAGGACGCGAACGTGTTCCACGGTTGCGTATTCAGCCTCTTTCGAGCTCTCTCTATATACAGCCATACGACCGGCTACCATATAAGGACCTATACACAGCCTTGTCGATGCTGACCCACCGTTGGAACGTATCCCTCGAAACGCTCTCCTGAAGCCTCTGATGAACGCTTATCCGTTGATTCTGTTCCTCGAAGCAATCTCTTTCTATATGCTGTAATCGGTTTTTTCGAAACTACTTATTTTTCATAATAGCTGAAAATAAGGAACATTACTGAATTTTCAAAGTAATTTCGTTTTTTTTTTTAACATTTTGACGAAGTATCGCGTGTTCAGTTAGTCGACAACAGCAGTCATTTATTTTCAAGTAAACGGTCTGAATTTTGATAAAACGATGACGAATTACTTCAAGCATTATGTCAGAGTTGTTTTAAATATTGATAAGAATATTTAACCATGAGATAGGTCGTGAAATTCAGAAATTACTTCTTTACATTATATTTTTCTTGCAAATGATTATCCATAGGTTAAACAAGGAACAGAATATATAGAGAAAGAAACGGAACGAAGAGTCTCGGCGAGCATGAGTCATTCTATGTTCAGTGGTGCACAAACATTTTTTTAACTACATATGTGTCCTTTCTAAGTAAATTCGTAAAGACACGTTCATCTGCAATTAGGTAGATTTTAAACAGTATACGATTCGAACAAAGACAATAATTCTGGATCGTGAAAGAATTGAGCTTTCAAGTTAATTAAAATCATGTGGGTTTCGAGTGTCGTTGATTGCACATCACTGGTCTAACAGCTGTAATGCGTATAAAAGCAATATGAGTTCGATGTACGAATATATTATACGAATAATCCAAAGTTTTCAAGAGAACGTGCAACGATTATAAATTTTTATTTTAACTAACATCAAGGATCTGTTTTACGTCGCAGTTTTTATGTACGTGTACATATAATATTTTCATGAACTAAACATTTAGAATAATTTATGGTTCGGTCTGCAATTTATCATTGTTCTTGCTCCGGTTGAATTCTGTTGAATAAAAAAAATGGAGAAAAAATAAAACTTATGCATTTAAGGATGAACGATGTTTGATCATGAATAAAAATATTTATACCGTTTCTTAAAAAATACCAAGGTTTCTAGTAGGTAAATTACAGCGAAGGATATGTGACCAGAAAGGAAATGGAAGGCAACGTAGACCGGATGTAACAAGCTTTTGTAGCTTCCGCTTCGTAACATGTTATGTACTTGGTAGCATGTAGCAGAAAATTTAGAGATAAATACGAGTTATTGATTAAACTTAATTGTAGATATTATATATGTATCGTGATTTTTAAATAAATTAAATTTCAGTCGAAACGAATAGCTATATCCATTGATCGTAATTAGTGTAACAAGCGTGTGCGTTAAAATTCAGCGTTCCAACATAATTATGGAAAATCCGTTATTTTTGCCTGTAAGAAGAACCGAGACGACCGGAAGTAGTAGACGAGCAACGCTTGCTTACCTTTGCATTCGCCAGAAACGATGCCGTTATTCGCGCGGAATTTATGGCACTTATAGCTTGTGTCTTCATCTTGCATCTTACCTGGGATCAAAGAAAATTTATTGCCCCTTTTCTTTCATACCTTTTCTTTTCAATTCTCTCTGTTGATGCAGCACTAAATTTAAGTACAGTGGTACCTCGGTATACGACTTCTGTTCAGTATACGACATAAATTTTTTATGTGAATTTTTTATTTATGTGTTTAACCGTTTGACTCCCAAGCAGCGCGGTCGCGCTGTTTAGATTTTATGTCTAAAAGACCCAATATTGGGTTTATAACACCGCTATTGTGCTGTTCAGTACTTTTCGACAATGTTTTTTTTTTTTTACCCCTGGGACTCAAACGGTTAAACAGTGTTTAAATTATTTTACAACCTCATTAATGTAGGTATAATATCAATAGAAGTTTTTTTTACATGAGAACGGATTAATTATTTTTACATTACTTCTTATGGGAAAGGTTGGTTTGATATACGTCCTATTCGGTATAAGTCCAAACATCAAGAACGGCCATTTTAAATTAAGAAATTTTACTCGTTCTAAATCGAATCGAATCGAATCGAGCGAACAAGTCGCGTTGCTTTGTCGATATAATTCGACGTTTCTGTCGATACACAAGTTGAAGCGTTCGATATCGTAGTTATATGAACAAACGTGCCGCGTTTACAGTTTTGTCTCGTTCTCATTGTCAGTAATAAGATAATAATGAATCTACACGTTTGCTGACAGTCGATGATTCCTGCATTTCCTTCTTTTCGATATACATACATTTACACTGAGTGGTTATAGTTCGCACGCGAACAAAGGCAATGGGATAAAGTCGAAGGAGGAATCGCGCAACGACACCGCAATGAAATTGTATTTTATCGATTCTTGTAAACTGCGCGACTTCAATTTGTTTCTGTCTTCTTTTAATCCAAGTTTATGTTGCGATCACTGATCCCTAGGGATATTTTGGAAACCAGTACGACAACACAATCGCAAATATTCAAAAAGATATTATGCCTCGTCTCATTATCACAAATGATTTCTTGGAACATCCTTTGTTCAACTCGGTGTACTAAACAAAAGCACATCATAGTTTGTACAGACACGCTGTATGGTTCATTTTAGATTGCGATCCAAGTTGTTGGTCATTTTTATAATTTGGAAATTCTTCTGGACATTGGCAGCCACAAAAATAGAAATTGCGGGTTACATTGTTATTTTTAAATAAAACTGCATAATGTATCGCAAGATCTTTTAACATTGTATACCGATAGATTTGGTAATAATCCCTTTGATTATTAATAAGTAATTTACAATATACAGTATATTACTGTTAGTAATGATAATAAGTTGTTTGTTTTAGATTGAGGAGTACAACACAAAGCCATGTCGAGTCCGTCGTTGAAAGACCTGCCAAAAGTAGCCTTAGACTTGAAAAGCGAACTAGAAGGTTTCAATCATGGCTGCATGAAGAAAGCTGCAACAGCGGAGAAAAATGTTTTACCTTCTGCCGAAGGTACATACGTACATACATCACGAATTTTCATTATTCTTATCCCCTATTAATTTTAATTATGTATCCTTACAACAGAGGTTTAATGTTAAGAAATGATTTGTTAGAATTGTAATTGTAATGCATGTAATAATAATATTGCAATTTAGACGTGCGACAAGAGCGACAACATTCTGAATTAATCCACGATGTGGAGTCTTTTAAACCAGATCAGTTGAAACATGCCGACACGAAAGAGAAGATTATTTTACCAAATGCCAAAGGTATTATAGAAATTTATCGATTCGTAGGAACACTTGCAGATTCTATATCTCTTCTGTGGGTAATAGGAGTTTATTTTGCGACTCTTTGGTGCTTCGAGGTGACGCGAACAACAGCCAACGTCACCCCAGACAAGCTTCTTATCAGGGACAAACCGATACTGCCAAGATACATACTTTTATTCATCGTTTCTATATATTTTGTCATTTATATACTTACATAAAAGTATAAATATTAGAAGAATTGAGTATGTATTGCTATGAAGTACCGATTCATCCCTACTTTTTATACACTATTGCTTTTAGGGATTGTTTTGCATGTACGGTCGCTTGTCGGTTACGTACTACTTTATTACTTTTAACGATAACACGATGTTATGTCCGCTCGGTGATAAATCTTTTAGATACGTATAACACAATAACAATACAGCTTGAATATTCCTTAGTAAGGGTAAAGAAATAGTGAATTCTGTTTACCTATTGCTGGGTTAATGTCCAACGGTCATGAATGCGTCAATTAATGCAAAAAAAAAATGGCTGCAGTTCCACGTTTCACCGTCCGTAGAACCAAAATAATTAGGATATGTCCCCTGATAAATCTCGACGAGTCCTATCGAATGAACCTAGTCCCAGGTTGCGCAAACGAATAATAAAAAAGTTATAATCGGTTGAATTTTTGTATTTTTTACTTAAAAGGAAGTTTAAAGTTGCTATTTATAATAGCGGCTGAGTGGTGTATAGGTTAAGGCACTCGCTCTTCGACAGCGAGATAGGGAATTCGAATCCTCGAGGAGCAAAAAAAAACACAATTTTTTTCCGAAGACCTTAACCATACAAAGCTCAATCGGCATTTCCTCTCTCGATTCAATTAGGTTAGGTTAATTTTTTCCATTTGCGCAACCTGAGACTAGGCTCATTCGATAGGACTCGTCGAGATCTTTCAGAATATACAGGGTGTCCTGTAACTCCTGTAAATGGGGGATTGCTGGGGTGATTCTGAACAACATTTTCCTTTACCAAAATGTCGTTTGAAGCTTCGTTTTTGAGTTATTAACGAAAAACACTAGCCAATCAGAGCGCGCCTTTAGCACGGGCCGAACCACGAGATGGTCGTGAACAAACGCATTGGCACAGCGTGGATATCAAGAGAAGCGTGCGATAAATGTTACATCGTCTTAAATTAAGAACAATGTGGAATCATTCGTTATTCATGAATAATGAATGCGTTTGTGCCAATGCGTTTGTTCACGACCACGACCGAGCACGGCTGAAAGCCAACGCTCTCGTGGTTCGGCCTGTGCTAAAGGCACGCTCTGATTGGCCAGTGTTTTTCGTTAATAACTTAAAAACGAAGCTTCACGCAACGACATTTTGGTAAAGAAAAATGTTGTTCAGAATCAGCCCAGCAACCCCGTATTTCCGGGAGTTACAGGAATTACGGGACACCCTGTATATATTGTCCTATTTTGGGGGCGGTGAAACACGGAACCGGAACGGAAATTTCGCCCTAAATTTTACATTTCGAAGTGGCTACATTTATACAGTATCCACAATAATACGCGTCAAGTCTCTTTGATGTGTGAAAAATGACTGTCACCCGTGTTTTGTTTTCCATTCTTTTACCTCGATTTACTTTTTTTTTTCATAGATGTAGCCGCGGAGAAGACTCAACAAACGCTGATGTCGGGCATCGAGACATTTGACCCGACCAGTTTGAAACACACTGAAACTCAAGAAAAGAATCCGCTACCTGACAAGGATGGTACATTATCGTATTTCCTGACTTTCAAAGCAATTTTTTCTCTTTGTTTAAAAAATATTTAAGGAATGTTATTCAATATTTGTATACAGCGATTCAGCAGGAAAAGGGAAAGCAGCAACTAATCTCTGGAATTGAAAATTTTGATCCTGCGAAGCTAAAACACGCCGAAACGCTCGAGAAAAATCCCTTGCCTACCAAAGAAGGTACATAACTGAATTAATAAATAAAAGAAAGAGAATAGTTTTGATTTTACATGAAAATAAGTAAAATAATATTTTTTCTGTTTCAGCAATCGACGCTGAAAAAATAGCTGCTTAAAAAGGGAACTTTAAAACCGGAAACACAGAAAAGAAAGGAAGCAGCGACTCGTCATTTCTTCCATTTTCTATATCGTGAAATTTTATAACAATTTACTCATACATTGTCCACAGGAAAAAAAAAGAAGAATGCGACACACACTGTGTTAATGTAATCTTATGATTATACTTATCCTACCGCCATGAGCGTCCCTTTCGGCGAGACGCACAAGTCGTTTTTTACATAAAAACTATTAACAATGAAACGACGATGAAGGTCGGGCCCAAACTTAATGAAAAAAAAAAAAAAAATACGATCAAACTTTACAAACGGTCCATTTCATTCCTAACGTTACCAATATTCAATGATTTTGGGCTTGTATCAACATCCGTCTTAATAATAACTCGCCAAAGGATGTACTTTTTATACTAAGAAAGCTGCACGTAAGCAAACGTTATTTTCGATAGCAACAAAATTATTGGGTAGCATTGCATGCGTTACAGATATCGCAATGGTGCAGCGGTTGATCTTATATTTGTGTAAAAATCATATTTTATATAACGGGCTATTGTACTTTTTTAACATTTCGTACACATCGCATTGTCATTCCGATGAAAATTATTATGACGAATAAAAAAGTAATTTGTACAAGAAGTTTTATAATGTCTGTATACCAGTTTCATTAGGATATGCGATAAGAATCTTATTCCTTCACAAACAACAATATCTATCATTTGATATAATTTACATAGTATTCGTGTATGAAAATATATTTCTTAATGGAAAAAAGAAATTACTGTACCCTTGTTCTACATCAGACGAGGGTCATTCAAACTAGCGCGCGAAAGCAAAAAAAAGGCGACTTCTATTTGTAACTGTAAGCTTGTAGTAGTGTAGCGAGGTCCTTTTCTTTCTAGAATAATTCCCAAAAGTACCGAATAACGGATCATGATTGGTCGATAAATCGACTTCGTCCAATAGTCTTGTGGAAATCCGTTGTAACAGAAAGGTAACGAAGAAGTACACACACCTGTTGCTAATCCTATGGTAGCCATGCTAAGATTTTAAGAACAAAGTAACAGTCAAATCGTACTACAACCTCCTAAATTTTGGAGCGATTGTCACTCTTTGATCGAACGAATTTTTCATATTTGCGAATAAACAGGTACAGATATATTCTCTTTCTAAATAATATAATTATTTTATTTATTTTCAGATTAGCAATTCACAGTTAATAATATACATATATGTAGTATTATAATATAGAGACAGTTTTTCAAATGTGTGACCTTATTGTTAAACGTATCATGAAACTATGAAAATTTTAGCAGATATAGAATATTTATATAATTACGTTCATTAAAAAACAAATTCAATGAAAAATACGTAAACTACGTATAAAGTTAAAAATGCCTTGTTATTTCTCTAGTTGCAAAAAATGGAAATTTCACCTAGAAAACCATCAAAACGATCACAAGAACCTGTTGATGAATGGCTACAGACCGAAGGATATTTTAGGAAACATGCACCCAAAGATCCCACTTGTTTGTTTAGAGCAGTTAGCGAACAAGTTTATATGACACAATATTATCATATAAAGGTCAGAAAAGAATGTGTGGAATTTATGCGAAAAATGAAACATTTGTTCATAGAGGTATATTTAATGCATTCGTTTTAGTCTTCGTATTGTGATATAAAATTCTTAATTATACAATCTTTCACAGAATGTAATAATTCCATTTGATGACTATCTTGAGCAAATGGAATGCTTTACCGAATGGGGTAGTATAAATGAAATCCAAGCCATGTCATTGCTTTACCAAAGAGAATTTATTATATATAATGGTCAAAAGCAAATTAGTTACAATGTTACTAATAATGGTTTTCAAGATACTATATATTTATGCCATACTCCGCAGAAACAATATGAAAGTATATATACAAGAGACTTTGTTGCAACTGCTGCCTATTGTCAATGTAGGATCTATTTCTCTTTGTTTTGTTTTTTAATTAATATGCTTCCATTTGTGTGCCAAATTTTTTTATAATTTTATTTTCAGCCATTGTTTATCAAGTATTATATAAGAATGTCTTTCACATGAGTGATATAGAAGATACTGTTCATAAAATGTTACATGACCGAAGTGGTACATTTAGACATGATAAGTTTTTCCTCAAAGGAAATTTAGAAATTAGAGAGTGAGTATATTAATACTTATATTATTAATATTCAGATCAGATCATAATGTAAGTTTAATTTGTATATGGTTAGAGAATTGACTACAGAAATATTTACCAAAGTTGAAACTGAAACTTATACCGACGAGGTTGATAATGGGCAAGCTGTACCAAAAAATATACCACCTTTTCCATATAGAATTGCTAAAGCTCTTGATCCCAATATTTATCGTAATACTGACTTCGATATTTGGCATGAAATCAGACGAGGTAATAAAAATCAAATTTATGTTAAAAATAATGTAGCTGTGTCAAAGGAAGTAATGAAAATTTTAATATTTCAGAAGTGAAAAATGCGGGATGGACCAGACACAACAGCCACGAACTTCAAGTTGGTGGCAAGTGTTTGGTACAAATGGATTTTAATGAGAACGATATTGACGAAGCTAATAATAATAGCGTTTATATGTCCTCTCTTGAAAAAGAATCTAACAATAATAATGTAAAATCGGTGGAGAGAAAGGACAAACAAGGTCCTGCATTCTTTTATGGACATATTCAAGAAATGAGTAAAGATCAGGGACCAGTGTTAGTTTTTATTGAAGAACTAGGAGAAAAGAAAATTGTACCCTATTCTGCTCTTAAACCGCTACCTTTAAGAAAGAATAAACAGAACAATTGGCTACCAACGTATAAAAGAAACGTACTTTTAGATTCAAGTTAGTATTTGACATTTTTTATAATATTTTCAAAATCTTTTGTATTTTTCTTTAAAGTGTTTGTTGCATATTTTGATAGATCAGAAATGGAAAAAAAACTGTGGCTCAGGTTCGCGCAAAATTAAAGAGACTACTAGTATGAATATTTTTTCAAATAATATTGATAAACATGAGAACAGCGATAACAGCGTAAATGATATTAACAAAAATAATTTTCAGTGGAAAGAAGAATCTTTGTAAGTATCTTGTTTATGCCTGTAGTTTAATTGATAAAAATATTTATTTGATGGTTTTATAGAAAGGTAGTTCAACATGGATATGAAAATTATACAATGGAAAAGTGTACCAACTTTCCAATTAACGTAAGTTCAAAAGATATAATAGTTATAAATGAGAAAAGACTTAATGTTACAATGAAACCTTTCTTTTTTTTTTTTTTATTTTTCTATTTATAGAATTCAGTTCCTCAAAGGAACATTTTTGATAATACCCAATCTTCTATAGTGGAGCCTGTTAGGCAAGAAAATAATAAACAACGCAAAGAAAGAACTTCGTTTACAAATAAAAATTCGGAGAATGTGATAAAAAATGTAAAACCTGACGGTATAAATAATAATAATAAAGTTGTTAATACAGGGTTCAATTTATATTCTAAGCAAAGAGTGCAAAAGGAAGCTCATTATTCATCATATTCTGGTATGTAACGAATCAACAACTTTATTTTCAGCGTATATATTTAATGAAACTTACTCGTCTTTTATGCATTGTTTAATATTCAGAAGATCCTAGTAATCAGATGCTACGTCCTATTAATTGTTCTGTACAAAAAAGTGTTGATATAAATGGTAGTGATTTGCCATTATCAGGTAAATGTATACATATCTTTTAGTACATGTATTATTAAACAATTATGTTCACAGAATTTTTTTTTTTGCTGTTGTAGATCCGTTTACTTTGAGATTTTTTTATAATTTAGGATTAGAGGTAGGTCTTACTTTTTAGTTTAAAATTAACTCGTTAATACGTAGTTCCTTTTTATTATATTATTTTGTAGTATTTTCGCGGTAGCACTAACTGGAATTATTTAACAAATGGACAAGCACCTGACTTTGGACAGTGGTATCAAGGTAAGCGAAATTTAAAATTAATTTTTCGCTTAATGATCATCTCTTTCCTAATATCGTATATATTTATATAAAAGGAATACCTCAAAATGATATGGGCATTGAAAATATTACAAATGGTGTACTACATGACTGTACATTGACCGAAAAAAATAATAATGATCAGAAAGAGACAAATACTCCTCAATTGATGTGTAATAATAATACGAGAGTTACGCAAACTCTGCAGGCTGAAGGTTTTAAAGGAGAACACGGAAAAGACTTGCACCCATCTCATGATAAAATCAAAGAACATGAACCGTTTAATAAAAGCACTTCCTATATGAATAGAAGTGGTTTAGGTCCACGATTTAAGAAAAATGCCGATAGTATGTATTAATCAAGAATCAAGTAACTGTAATCAAGAATTATGAATTTTTTTTTACCAAAGTAGTATTAACTTGTTCTTTTTACAGATCGATCCCGTTTTAATCAACATTCCACACCGCCAACCAATCAGTATTTATCAAATGAATCACCCAATTTTAAATCACCACCTCCTCCTCCTAAGCTAGAAATGGAAATGAAAGGGGATGATGGAAATGTTCAACATTCGATGATCGTACCTCCACAATTACAAACGCCGACAAATGCAATGAACTCTTATCAAGTACCTTACATGCAGCAGGGCATGTATCCATATTATGCTAACGAGGCAGAAGGATTTGCAAATTCTTATTATACTCCAAATACGGGATACTTTCCGATGCCTTATTTGCCGCCTTCTGAGATACCAGATAACAATAATGTACAATCATTTTCACCGCAACTTTACCCAGGCATCGATTACGCACAAGCGTATTCTGGATTGTGTCCACCGTACGTGTGTCCTCAACCACCTCCATACGCTATACCGCCACAAAATATGCAAGAACACTGGTATGCAGTTGCTGGACAACCGCATTACATGCAGTATACACCTGTATTACCTGTAACTACAGAAGCAACTTGCAACGGAATATCGCAAAGTGCAAGTCAGAATGTTTCGCTTTAAAACTTGCCTTACATTTACTATTTGCAAAACTTATGTTCCTATAGAGTAAGAATCTTGCATAGTGATTGCAATGAAAATGTGTGTAATCAAATAATCTTGTTTGCAAGTTGTAAAACCAAAGCTATCACTGATAGTATTATCTAGTAGTTTGTAACAAGTACCATTAATACTCACAAATATTATATAAAAATTTTTGATACGTAAAAATAGTGAAAAGTTGCAAATTTTTGAAATTCTATATTTTCAAATAAATGTCAAAAATATGTTACTTATACTACATACTGGAAGTTGAAGTTTAAAGTTCGACATAAGTATTCTACTAACATATAACGTGTATTAAATTATCGTCGTTGAGCTCCGTCCTGTTTGTAGAGCTCAGTGATCATTATAGTACAAACTATCATTCTTAAGTGTTAATAGAAATACCTGTATAAGTTGGTAAATAGTTCCTAACGTACAGTTTCATTACTGTATGTATATTGCTCAAGATATAAATAACAAATATCTTTTTGAAATTTTATACAGGTGACTTTAGTTTATAAACATTCATGATCTCATTTATACTTGTACATTTTGTTTGATAAAATACTTTATAAAATACTATAAAATAAAGTTTCCTTCTTGTTTGATATTGAATATTGCATCATTGAATAACTATAATGGTGGAAGAATTTAAGTCAATTAAATAAATAATTGAGAAAAGAAATTACAGGCATTAAATAAATAACATCAAATAAGTACAACAATATTGCACTTATATATCTACTGAATAATTGTAATAATGATGATCTTTTATTTATATTGGCAACAGTTCTAATTCATACAGGTTGCAAAGGGTATAGCCGGGTAAGGTAGGTAAAATGGCCCTTGAACCAAATTAAATTCAGAATGCGTCATTCGATAGCATATCATAAGAAAATACTGTACACCAATTTTCAACCCTTTATCTTAACCAGGGGGGCAGTGAGGGGGGGGGGGGGGGGGGGGGGGCAAAAAAGACGCCACATCGATCGTGCCCCATTTCTCCTATTTGATAACATCCGAAAATTCTAAAAAAATTCTGATACACTACAAACACGGTAGTGCATATTAGGGAATTTTTTTAGATTTTTTCATTGCAAATCCTAGTTGTAAATCCTATATGTAACAAATCCGCGATTTGTTATTGAAAATGTAAGAGCACTATTTTTATATTACTACTGTGGTAATAACATTAGTATAGCTATTATTCTTGAATTTTTTCAGATTTTTTGTTGTGGTGCAACGTAGTTAAAAAAATCAAAAACCAATTATTTCGCATAAAAAAGTAGCTTCTACTTTGAATTTTTATTTCCTGTTTTTTCAGAATATGTATTAAGTACTTTTAAATAGATTCACATTCTTATTCAAAAGGAATATGGAAATAAAGGAAATAAAAATATATGTTTTTTTTTGTTTCTTTTTTTTGTGTGTTCACCGATTACTCCGAGATGAAAAAAAATTTTTCATTTTTTCATTAGTATTGCAAAATACAGGAAGTTTTTAATGTCAAAATTGGACGATTTCAATGTCCTTTTAATATGTTGTCGGGGACATGATTCTGAACAACTTTTTCATTATGCATAATTAACGGAAAGTTTTGGTTTCCGAGGTATTCCTGAAAAACTATTATTACTATTACATTGAATTCTACGTATGCCTACGTGTCTCTACGGGTGTATGAGTATGAGTTAACATGAAGTCGCCGATTCTCCACTGTTTCTTATATACATGTGTATACCGCAGTTCACCAGAGTCCATACTGCGAAAAGACCAGTTTTCGTTCTTCGCGCTTCTCCAGTGCGCATCTTCGTCCTGATTGGCGATACTTCCAAACGAAGTGGAAAGCGATTAGCAGAGAGCTCGCTGCGTTCCCCCACCATCTTCCAACCTGCGCGTCGCAGTTATGGACTCTGGTGAAATGCGGTATATGTACTCTGCAAGGCATGTATGTACCGATTACGATGAAACCTTTCATATCTAATAGGAGATATTTCGTCAATATCTCACATGCACACATTTTTATATACTCGTATCTTTTAAACTATGGTTTCCTAAACTTTTAACTTGCATTTTCGGACTTTTCAGGTCAAAAACTACAAAAATACATATTTTGGTCCCCTAAGACGAAGTTTAACCCCTGTAAGTATATATTTTGTTGTAACGTTGTAACGCAAGAAATAGTAATAGTAATTACATATAAATTGTAAATGTTATTGCTCTGAATAAGTAACTATATATTACATATTAAAATTGTTGCATACAACACCTGAAATACAGTTAGGAAAGAAGAGCTTGGTATCTGAATTTTATGAGGAAATAGTTTTTCGAGATCCAACAGCATTGATGGAACATCTATTAAATTCTAATAGGCCTATAACTCTGGGTGTATGGCGTCATAATGCAGATTGTAAGTAACATTTGATCTATTTAACCATTCTTACATAAGAAATTCTTATATTTACGAATATAAATCAAGTGACTGAATTAAAATTTGCATTTCAAATAATATAAAACAAATTTATAACTTTGAACCAAACACTAATAGGCTATTGACAGCATAAAGTTATCGGATTATGCTGAATGCTGATTTATAGTTATTATTGCAATCCCTTGACACATGGTATCTAATATCCTATGCTCACACAGTGAGTTATCAAAAATAATTTCCTTTTTTTGTAATATCATGCAATAAAGTGATAATCAGAACAAGAGGTAATTTTTATGTTAGGCAAAGAGCCTTTGAAACCATTACGAGATGCTAGAACTACCCCATCCGAACAAAGTAGTCGTTCAAGGAGTTCAGCCAAGGAAAGTTCTGAAGCTGGTCCTAGCTCTAGAAAACGGAGGCGTTCTGTGATAGACAAAGGTGACATAGTGTGGAAGAGGCTGCACAATGAAGAAGCTAAATTTGCTAAAAGTGTTGCTGGTAGAGAAGGGACACCTAGGTTTAATCGATTCTTAGATTTTTTAATTGAAGAGGAAGGAAAAAAATGTTTAGAGGTTCTGAAAAGAGAAGGAGTAAATTTAACTAATATGTCCAGTATTTTAAATAGAGCAGGAGCCAATGCTGAAAAAGCTTTTAAAGACTTATATAACCTTTGGTTTGATGCAGAAGGAAATAAAACTCAATATTTAAAATCTCTAGAAAAAGAAGGAGTAAATCTATCTAATGTGTCCAGTATTTTAAGTAGAGCAGGAGCCAATGCCGAAAAAGTTTTTAAAGACTTATATGACATTTGGTTTGATTCAGAAGGAAATAAAACACAATATTTAAGAACTCTAGAGAAAGAGCAAATAAATCTACCTAATATATCCAGTATTTTGCATGGAGTAGGAGCTAAGGCTAAAGTTGCTTTTATAGAATTATATAATCTTTGGTTTGATGCAGAAGGAAATAAAACACAATATTTAAAAACTCTAAAAAAAGAAGGAATAAGTCTAGCTAATATGTCCAGTATTTTAGGTGGGGCAGGATCTAATGCTGCAAAAACTTTTAAAGACTTATATTATCTTTGGTTTGATGCAGAAGGAAGCAAAACACGATATTTAAAAACTTTAGAAAGAGAAGGGATAAATCTAGCTAATATATCCGGTATTTTAAGTGGGACAGGAGCTATGGCTGCAAAAACTTTTAAAGACTTATATGGTCTTTGGTTTGATTCAGAAGGAAAGAAAACACAATATTTAAGAACTCTAGAAAAAGAAGGAATAAATCTAGCTAATATATCCAGTATTTTAGGTAGAGCAGGAGCTAAGGCTGTAAAAGCTTTTAAAGACTTATATGACCTTTGGTTTGATACGCAAGGAAATAAAACTCAATATTTAAAAACTCTAGAAAAAGAAAGGATAAATCTAGCTAATGTGTCCAGTATGTTAAGTGGAGCAGGAGCTAAGGCTGTAAAAGCTTTTAAAAACTTATATGATCTTTGGTTTGATCCAGAAGGAAAGAAAACACAATATTTAAGAACTCTAGAGAAAGATGGAATAAATCTAGCTAATATATCCAGTATTTTAGGTAGGACAGGATCTAATGCTGTAAAAGCTTTTAAAGACTTATATGACCTTTGGTTTGATGCAGAAGGAAATAAAACACAATATTTAAAAACTCTAAAAAAAGAAGGAATAAGTTTAGCTAACATATCCAGTATTTTAAATGGAGCAGGATCTAATGCTGTAAAAGCTTTTAAAGACTTATATGACCTTTGGTTTGATACGCAAGGAAATAAAACACAATATTTAAAAACTCTAAAAAAAGAAGGAATAAGTCTAGCTAATATGACCAGTATTTTAAGTGGGGCAGGATCTAATGCTGCAAAAACTTTTAAAGACTTATATGATCTTTGGTTTGATGCAAAAGGAAGCAAAACACAATATTTAAAAACTTTAGAAAGAGAAGGGATAAATCTACCTAATATGTCCAGTATTTTAAGTGGAGCAGGATCAAATGCTGCAAAAGCTTTTAAAGGCTTATATGATCTTTGGTTTGATGCAGAAGGAGAGAAAAGACTGTATTTAAAAACTCTAGAAAAAGAAGAAATAAATCTGACTAATATATCCAGTATTTTACATGGAACAGGATCTAATGCTGTAAAAGCTTTTAAAGACCTATATAATACTTTTTTTGATGAGCAAGGAAATAAAAAACAGCATTTAAAGCATTTTGTTAAGAAAAACGGTTTTACAATACATAACTTATCAAGTATATTAAGTGGATCAGGAGCCAATGCTCAATATGCTTTTGAAAAGTTGCATAGTGTCTGTTTTAACATCAAAGGGAAAAGAACAAAACTTTTAGATGATTTCTATAATGCAGGTTTTGAGCCGGGTAACTTGTCCTGTATGTTATGTGGAGCAGGAGTTCATGCTTCTTCTATTTTAGAAAGATTGCATAGTGTTTGTTTTGATGATAAAGGAGAAAGAACAGAGCTTTTAAATGACTTCTGTAATGTAGGTTTTAGGTTGGGTGATTTATGCAATATATTGAGTGGGGTAGCAGGAAATCTAGAAGAATTTCACGATTTTTGTTTTATAAGAGAAACAAAAAAATATTTGTACCATTTCTTAGATGAGAAAGAAAGTTTTACGCCGAGTAATTTATGTAGTATATTACATGGAGCAAGAGCTAATATTTATTCTGCTTTAATAGATTTTCATAATGTTTGTTTTGATGGGGCAGGAAATAGAACACAACTTTTAGTTGATTTCTATAGAGCAGGTTTTACAGCGAGTAATTTATCCAAAATATTGTCCATGGCAGGAAATAATGCCTCTTCTATTTTAGTAAATTTTTATAAATCTTGTTTTAATAAAGAAAATTATTTAAATCACTTTTTAGCCGAGAAAGCACTCTTTACACCAAAAAATTTATCTAAGATATTAGATAGAGTAGGACTTAATATTTGTTCTATTTTTGAAAAACTGCATGATCTTTGTTTTGATAAAGAAGGAAACAAAACAAATTATTTAGATAATCTTATCAAAAGTAACCCGACGAATAAAATACTTAATATATTACATAAAGAAGTTAAAAAAGCTCCTTCTACCTTTTTAGATGGTATATCACTGCAACAACAGAATATTAGCGGGACAGAGAAAACGAAAATAAGAAAACATAGATGATCTTACACAGTAGACCAACACATTCCAAAACAAAAAGCTCTCGCGGCCCTTGGTTTTGGGCGCTAGAGATGGTTGTATTATTTAAGTTTTTAGAGATATATAATACTAAATTAATAGAGATTGATTTAAGAATAGCAAAGAGTAATCGAGATTTCCGTCTACTATCATCCGTTTTGGTTGGCTTTAATTAAGTTCTCTTTAGAACACCACTATCAACTATATCGCTGACATCTATGGATGATTAAATTTTTATTAAAGAAATATGTTGAATTGTAATACTATTTTAGTAATAATATGATAAAAGTTATATTATTTAAATAGTTATTAATGGCTAAAATTCATGCAAGGTCAACAAGATCAAAATATGGCGTAATAGGAGCTCCTAGACAACTTACTAGGAATCCTATTTCAATTTTTAAACCCATAAAAGAAGGAAATAGCAGAAAGAAAGAAGAACATGAAAAACTGTTAAAGAAATTAAGAGAAGAATTACCTAACGGCTTTAAAAAAGGAGTTGTTGTAGGTGAAGAGGATTGTTTTTTTGATTCTGTTGCACAAGGGTTAAATGAATTAAAAAGTAATGGTCCGATTACAAGCAATATAATTTTTAATGTGAAATCATTGAGAGAAGATTGTGCAAGTGATGCTCACAAATACAAAAATAAAATTATGGAGGATGTAAAATTAGGGGGCTATTTTGTCCCACAGGAGAATATTGCTTTTCTTAATCTTGGTCATATTAAAGATGGAAAAGGTAATAAGGTTCCAGACAAGGAAAAGACTTTTGATAAATACCTGGCAGATATTAAGAATATGGCTGGAGAGAATGGCCCTATTACTATATGGGGGCATCCTGAAATCGAAGGCAAGATTATTACCAGTAAGTATGGTATAGAGCTTTATTTTTATTCAATCAATGAGGAAAAGATTACAGTAATTAAAATTACAGCGGGTAATGATGATCCAGAAGTTTTTATAGAAGGAGTAGCTCTTATTCAGTTACAGATTAAATGGTAGTCGAAAAGTTGTAGTAATAGTGAATTATAGGAATCATTTTGTGCCACTTCTTAATAACCTAGAAAAAGACATTAAAGAAGCTATAGAAGTTTCTAGGGAAAAGGTTTGTGATAGAGTAGATGATAATAGTCATTCTTTGACTGAAAATATAGAAAATTATGCTCTTGGGGAAGGGATAGGACAGAAGTCACAGGTACAGACTCAATCTAATCACAATTCTTTGCAAGGCAAAAGTCATCTCACTGCAACTGATGTTTACAATAAATTAGAGCAAGTGAAATTCAATAGTGATTATTCAGGTAATAAAATATAAATTCTTTTATGAATTCAGCTATTATGAATAATGGCAATCAGCTTGCCTACTATATAAGCCCTATTAATTTTGGATTTGGTACAGGTGATAATGTTCAAGACACACTCAAACATATTTATAAAAGAAAAATTACGGATGGTTCTATAATAAATGATCATTATAATAATGAATTAGATAAGCCTTTTATTTTTATAATTAACGTTCAAACAGTTCTTACTAATGATTCTACTGGTACTGATAAGAAAGATGGAGGTTTTCACTGGATTAGCTGGGTACTACTACCTAAAAAATATAGGACCTTATCAGGCAAAGAAGTAAATAATGGTAAATATCAAGTTCTCCTTTTTGATTCGTTAATCATATCTTAAAGTGGTAATATTTTGATAAAACAATGATGATAATAATAATAATAATGTTTACATCTAAAATGTACAATAAACGTTGGATAAATATCATTTGACAGATACAAAATGTAGGGTGTCCCAGAACGCTTGTTACTGCTGTCACTGCTTACACTTTGGCATCCTTTGAAGGAACAACGGTATCCATCTCTTTCACACATATTTTATATCTGTGTATAAAATTTACTGAATTTTATCACAACAGGAATGTTTTAGAAGTAACAGAGGTTAAAATGCAAAAAACTATTATCATATATATTCACAGCCGCCATATTGTTGGTTGTGCGATTCGATCACGCGCGAGCAACAATTATTGGTACTGTTGCGTGTCCGTCGCGGAAAATAGGGATATTCGGGGATTTAGGTGCAGGTGTGACAGTCCGTGGAGCGCAGAGGCGCTCTGCTCTCAAGGCGCGGATATACAAAATAGTAAACTGTTATTATTGTTTTGAGTACTTTAATATTTTGAATTCAATTTAAAACAGAACTTTGACTTTGTGTTAACAAGGCTTAGAACTTTCTGTGCGAAAACGACTTGTCCGTAACGAGTGACAAAATCATTCTGACAATTCTGCGCTTGGCGGAGGACATCTTCGCGCGTTGTCGGTCGATGCCCCTTCCTTGGTGGATCCTGGATCCTCCCTCAGGATCATCCCTCGTCCAATGGTGGAGGAGTCCACCCCGTCTCGTATGGGCCCCTTCTCCTGGCTGTGGTCCACCCTCAAGCGCGTGGAAGTGGAGGCGCTCCGCCAAGACGCTAGAACGTTGCAGCACACATGTGCTAAGAGAAAGCGTGGGACCCAGAGAAATTAGGAAACGACAAGACCTTGTACTTGCCAAAGCAACTCTTGAGGAAATTTACGACCCTCTTAGAGTGCATGAAAAGACAGGATATCGAAAAAGACTTCGTAACCCTTAAGGACCGTTCGTGACTTGGTCGAAAACAACGAATTAGCTATGGTCTATCATAAATTAGTTTTTAGGAATTTTCCAAGTGAAACTATTCCATTCTCTGGACTTCCGGCCTTCTCTCAGCTCTATCACCCACGTCGAGGGGTTTACAATTTACTCTTTGTTTATTTATATAAGGGTATGCATAGACGATGTTCGAATTTCGCTCTTAATTTATGACCATCGATACAAAGGTCCTCGAAGAACATTCAAGACATATCGATACAATAGACTATCGATAAATATTCCCATGGCAGTGTCGCCACACCACTCTAAACATATTCACGTGATAACGTTTCACGTTACAGTACACTTTTTGGCAGTGATCCTACTGTTCTTTCCTATACTGTGGTTCTGGGACCACTGGTTGGATCTGTAATCACCGTATGTCACTGCAACATACCCATTGTGGATTTTACTCGTCTTTGTTCGTGTATAAACATAAGCACATAATGCTAGGCAGATCAAATATAAACGACAGTTTAATTTCTTCGGTTCGTGATGGGGATTTAAAAAGAGTATGCGAGTTAATCAATGTTTACGGTCTATCTTATTCACAAGCATGGTCAGAAGGATACGTTTTACTCCGTGATGCTATTGCAAATGAACATACAGAAATTGCTAGACTACTTTTAATAAATGGTTCCAAAGTTAACAGTAAAAACGAGAATCCCTCTGATAGTCCACTTCATTTAGCTGTTAGGAAGTGTAACAGAGAAATTGTTGAACTGCTTCTAGATAGAGGTGCTGATGTTAATTTTAGAAATGAACGAGGTTACACTGCGCTGCATGATGCGGTTAAAACTGGAAACATGGAAATTACTCAACTACTTTTGAATCAGGGAGCTTATGCTGATGCTATAGACAATTACGGTATAATTCCACTAAACATTGCTGCTGTGAAAGGATATGTACAGATTGCTAAAGATCTTCTAAATCATGGGGCTTATATTTATTCTGTATGTACTTCAAAAGGGTGGGAAGGGTATATGTCACTACATTTTGCCTCTATAGCAGGTAGCGAAGAAGCTGTTAGATTATTTTTGGATAAAGGTGTTGATGTTAATACTAACGCAAAGGATAATTTAACGCCACTTCATATGGCCACTAAAGCAGGACATGAAACAGTTGTAAATCTACTCCTAAAGCATGGGGCTAAGGTTGATGCCCAGGATAAGAATGGCAAGACTGCACTGTATCTTGCTGTTGGACAAGAATATTCAAATATTGTTAAGGTTATTTTAAAGTATTGTCCTGATATTAATAATGAAAGCAACAGAAGCTCTTTTGAAGCCGCAGTATACGGGTATAGAAAAGAGATCGTTGAGACTTTTCTTCAACATGGTTTTACTGTTAATCCTAAAGATATAAAGAATCCTAAATTGCTGTATACTGCTGTTGAGAAAGGATATTTGAAAATTGTTGAAGACCTGTTGAAGTATGGTGCTAATGTTAATACATTACACAGTTCAATGTATAAAAAAGGTTTTACGCCTCTACATAATGCAGCCAACAACGAGCAAAAGGAAATGGCCAAATTATTGATAAACTATGGAGCTAATGTTAATGCTAAAGATGCAAGTGAAAAAACTCCAATATTTTATGCTATTGAAAACGTTGATGCAAAAGTCACCAAACTACTTTTAACTAATGGAGCTGGTATAAAAGATAGTCCTGAGTTACTAAGTATTGCTGTTAAAAAGAAATGCAAAGAAATTGTTGAAATTCTTTTACAACATGATGCTGATATTAATGCTACTGATGAGTGTGGAAGAACAGCCTTATATTTTACTGCTCTTGATAAAGAGAGAGAAATTGCTGCATTGCTGTTGAGTAAGGGGGCTAATGTTAATGCTAAAACTAAAGATGGAGAAACAACACTTCATGCTGCTATTGAGAATGGATGTACAAAAGTATTTGAAGCTCTTTTGGAATACAATGCAGATGTTAACTATATAGTAGAAGGTGATATGACACTGCTCCATCTTTCTGCTCAGAAAGGAAATGAGGTAATTAGCAAAATGCTTTTAAAGAAAGGGGTCGACGTTAATGCTACACGAAAAGATCGAATGACTGCACTTCATATTGCTGCTAAAAACGGTCATTCGCAAATTGTTGAGATTCTCTTGGAATTTGGTGCTGAAGTTGACTTTAGAGATGAGTATGGTAGAACAGCACTTCATATTGCTTCTGAAGAAGGATATACACAAACTATTAATGCTCTTCTAGAATATGGTTCTGACATCAACATTATAAGTAAAGGTGGTTATACGCCACTTAAATATGCTATGATTAGATATGGTGAATACTTACAGGATAGACGTGATCTTGAATTTAATAACTATGATCCTGATCGTGATTATTATGAGCCTGATCGTGATTATTATCATCCTTATGGTCGTTATTATGAGCCTGATCGTGATTATTATCATCCTTATCGTGATTATTATAAGCCTGATCGTGATTATTATGATCTTTTTCCTGATTATGATGAAGGATATGTTGAGATCCTTAAACAGTACATAGTTAAAGTAAAAACTGCAGGCTTATACGTAAATGCAATAAATTTAAGTTGGATTAATTTCGGTGGAACTAGGCTCATGGAAATTAGTGACAATGAAATTAGTGACAATGAATTTAGCAATTTTCAGAGGGAATGTAAAGCAGAAATAGAAATTATGACAGGCGAGAAGATTGATAGTAGCAATACTTCTTTTCACGATATCCTGACAAAGAGTATAAGTCAATTAGCAATATATGCAAGGAATAAAAATATAGTACAGGCCTTGAAATCAGATGATTATAAAACGAAATTTCCAATATATGCTAGTGTAATAAATGGTCGATTTAGGAGAGGCATAGAAAAAAAAAAGTTACTGGAACAATGCAATATGTTTTTCCATTCTCTCTGCAAAAGCCTTCTTGAATTACCAACTTATTGTACTGAAAAAGTATTGAGTTACCTAAATGATGAAGATTTAAGAATTTTAATAGATGCTTGCAAGCCTTTGAATAGCCCTAATACCTATATTAGCGATGTGGAACATGCCTTAGTTGTGAAAGGTAGACAGATAGAATTTCTAGATACTAACTAGAAGTTTGACGTCAATATTTACTGAAAAATTCATGTTAACATGTGTAATATTTATTTCTGCAAAATCGCTAGTGACATGGCAAAGAATACTACTATCTCGATAAGGTACCAAATAGCAAAGAATATAAGAAGCTGGATATTAAGGCGGAAATATACTGTAAAAGATTTAGCAAATAAAACAGGTATAGGATACTATACGCTGTTAAGATATGCAAAAGGAAAATGTGGCATTCTAACTAAAAATTTAAAACGTATAGCAAATGAATTGTCAGTTTCTGTTGATAATCTACTTAGTCACATGCATTGTTCAACCTGGTTCCTCAGTGTATTTCTTGGCCTTCGAGTGATGAAGCTCAACTTACAATGCGTAAATTTGAAGAAAATAGTGGTTTTATATGAACGATTGGCGCTATAGACGGAACGTACATTAAAATTGAAGTACCTAAAGAAAATTCTAAAGATTATATAAATCGAAAAGGATACCAATCCATTCAACTTCACGTAGACTCTTACTACAATATCTATAAAAGTTATGTATTAATTTTATTTATGCTTGTATTCTTAATTTTTTTATTGATTGTAGGTGGTGTGTAATCACAGGGCAATGATTACTCATTGTTATGTTGGTCATCTAGGATCAGTTCATGACCAGAGAGTCTTCATACAATCGGAAGTTGCTGAATATTTAAATGATGACAGCAAATTTCCTTTTGATAATCATTTAGTTGGAGATTCTGGGTATGAATTACATCAACATCTCTTGGTTCCGTTTAAAGATAACGGACATTTAACCGCTGCACAAAAAAATGTCAGTTTCCGTCAATCGTTTGCAAGAGTTGTTGTTGAAAGATGTTTCGCACTATTATAAGGCCGTGTGCCGTATGCGTAGTTTATTATATTGCTTGCCTATGTTTCGAATCGATCTAATTGCTGAATACGTGGTAGCTTGTTGCGTCATTCACAACATTCTTTTATTGCGTGAAGATGAACTTTTACTAATACCAGTGCCAGCAGCTATATAGGATCGAGTGAAAGTTTTTCATGTTAATGAGAGACACCCAAATGTAAACGGTGTTTATAAAAGAAGTATTATTTCTAAAAAGTAGTTATAAATAATTTTTAGTAATTTAAGTAATTCAGTATTAAGTTTTTAGTATTTAAGTAATGTTTTAAGTAAGAATATATTTTCTTTTTTTTATACACAGTAAAAACAAAATGTATGTATGTATATTATATCATACATTATCTCATATATTAAACAATATTGTAATTCATTTATGCATGGATAAATAACCTTAGATATTTTACATGAGGAGATATGATGACTTTATCAATGTTCCCCAACTCCCCATATTTAATAATATAATATACTCATAAAGTTGATCAGGTACTCGAAAGTTTATATAAATAAACTTTGCCATGGCAACGCTGAGCTAAAGGTTGTACGCAAAGTGGTATGCATATGTGTATACAGTAATGCTTCGAAATAAGCAAGTGGCTCGGGACCGAACAGTTGCTTATTTCGAAGCAGGTAGCTATTCGGCTTGACTTTGTTCTTGAAACGGGACGATAGAAAACGCGAGAAACGAGTGAGAGATCCGAGGTAGCGGCAAATCATAAAGTGATCGGCCGAGCAGCGATGTTATTTTTTGGACAAGGATAGAATATAACATGCCCTCTCATTCTCGCACTATGCTTTATTTCGAAGCAAATATACCAGACTGAGAAAGCATTATATATATTCCATCCTTCTTCTACTAATCGATGTCACTACTCAGTCGAGCGTGAAATTTATTACCCTAAACATCGGCTTCGCGCTTTCATGGACCTCTCACTCGTTTCTCGTACCTCTCACTTTGCGGGCGACTTCAAACAAAGAAGAGGGGATAGCGACTTGCTTATTTCGAAGCAGAGACCACTTGCTTATTTCGAAGCATTACTGTACTTACAATCCTTGGTATCGAAACAATCTTCTGTTACCGCAGTGACTACACACTGTAGACTACAGTCTGTAGTCACTGCAGACCTAACCCAGTGACTATAGATACAAGAAGACTAGACGTGCCGTTGTTCGCAAGGGTGCATGATTTTGGGGTCCCAGCCACCCCCAAGCACAGTTAGGTCTGCATGCAGAACATAGTCAGTATGACAATCGTGCCTGTTTTACCAGTCCCTCGTTTACCGCACGTCGCACATACTACTGAAAAGACCCAATTTTAGAGTACCAATAAACAGAGATGACGCACAAATGTTACTAAGAATATTTTGCAAATCCCAAAAGAAACATAAAAAATGATAAAGACAGAGAGAATGCTGCATTGCTGCTAAGTAAAGGGGCTAATGTTAATGCTAAAACTAAAGATGGAGTAACAACACTTCACGCTGCTATTAAGAATGGATGTACAAAAGTCGTTGAAGCTCTTTTGGAATACAATGCAGATGTTAACTATATAGTAGAAGGTGATATGACACTGCTCCATCTTTCTGCTCAGAAAGGAAATGAGCTAATTAGCAAAATGCTTTTAAACAAAGGGGCCGACGTCAACGCTACACGAAAAGGTCGAATAACTGCACTTCATATTGCAGCTAAAAACGGTCATTCGCAAATTGTTGAGATTCTCTTGGAATTTGGTGCTGAAGTTGACTTTAGAGATGAGTATGGTAAAACAGCACTTCATATTGCTTCTGAAGAAGGATATGCACAAATTATTAATGCTCTTCTAGAATATGGTTCTGACATCAACATTATAAGTAAAGGTGGTCATACGCCACTTGAATATGCTATGATTAGATATGATCAATACTTACAGGATAGATATGATCTTCAATTTAATAACTATGATCCTGATCGTGATTATTATGAGCCTGATCGTGATTATTATCATCCTTATCGTGATTATTATGATCCTGATCGTGATTATTATGAGCCTGATCGTGATTATTATGAGCCTGATCGTGATTATTATGATCCTTATCGTGATTATTATGATCCTGATCGTGATTATGATGAAGGATATGCTGAGATCCTTAAACAGTACATAGTTAAAGTAAAAACTGCAGGCTTATACGTAAATGCAAGAAATTTAAGTTTGATTAATTTCGATGAAACTAGGCTCATGGAAATTAGTGACAATGAAATTAGTGACAATGAAATTAGTGACAATGAAATTATAGGCATTAAATTTAGCAATTTTCAGAGGGAATGTAAAGCAGAAATAGAAATTATGACAGGCGAGAAGATTGATAGTAGCAATACTTCTTTTTACGATATCCTGACAAAGAGTATAAGTCAATTAGCAATATATGCAAGGAATAAAAATATAGTACAGGCCTTGAAATCAGATGATTATAAAACGAAATTTCCAATATATGCTAGTGTAATAAATGGTCGATTTAGGAGGGGCATAGAAAAAAAAAAGTTACTGGAACAATGCAATATGTTTTTCCATTCTCTCTGCGAAAGCCTTCTTGAATTACCAACTTATTGTACTGAAAAAATATTGAGTTACCTGAATGGTGAAGATTTAAGAATTTTAATAGATGCTTGCAAGCCTTTGAATAGCCCTAATACCTATATTAGCGATGTGGAACATGCCTTAGTTGTGAAAGGTAGACAGATAGAATTTCTAGATACTAACTAGAAGTTTGACGTCAATATTTGCTGAAAAATTCATCTTAACCTGTGTAATATTTATTTCTGCAAAATCGCTAGTGACATGGCAAAGAATACTACTATCTCGATAAGGTACCAAATAGCAGAGAATATAAGAAGCTGGATATTAAGGCGGAAATATACTGTAAAAGATTTAGCAAATAAAACAGGTATAGGATACTGTACGCTGTTGTACTTCGGCTTGAATTCAACTATTTATTTGTCAGTTGTATAAAATTAGCAAAGTACTTAAAACGTTCGACTGTGCGAGAACAATCAGTAGAGTTCGGTTGACAAAATCGATCTCATCATTCTGCGCTTGGCGGAGGAGATCTTCGCGTGATGTCGGTCGATACCCCTTCCTTGGTGGATCCTGGATCCTCCCTCAGGATGATCCCTCGTCTAATGGTGGAGGAGTCCACCTCGTCTTGTGTAGGCCCCTTCTTCTGGCTGTGATCCACCCTCAAGCGCGTGGAAGTGGAGGCGTTCCGCCAAGACGCTAGAACGTTGCAACGCACATGTGCTACATACGAGAAAGCGTGGGACCCAGAGAAAATAGGAAACGACAAGACCTTATACTTGGTAAAAGGCAACTCTCGAGGAAATTTACGACCCTCTTAGAATGCATGAATAGGCAGGATATCGGAAAAGACTTCGTAGCTTTTGAGGACCGTTTGTGACTTGGTCGAAAACAACGAATTGGATATGGTCTATCATAAATTAGTCTTTTAGGAATCTTCGAAGTGAAACTATTCCATTCTCTGAATTTCCGGTCTTCTCTCAGCTCGATCACCCACGTCGAAGGGGTTTACAATTTAAGCTTTGTCTATTTATATAAGTGTACGCACAGGTGGTGTTTAAATTTCGCTCTTGATTTACAACCATCGATACAAAAGGTCCTCGACAGATATTCGAGACATGTCGATACTACAGACTATCGATAAATATTTCCACGACAATGTCGCTATACCACTCTAAACATATTCACGTGATAACATTTCACGTTACAGCATCATACTGCAATCAGTGACTATAGATAGTTGAAGACTGGACATTGCTCGTGAATTTGTGCCTCGAGAACGAGCGCTATCTGCTCTATCCTAGTCCAAAAATGTGAAACACTTCGCACTGCAGAACAGGCTAAGTCTAACAGGCGTTGATGGTAACAGAAGATTGCTTCGATACCCAGGGATTGAACCCCTTTGCTTACAGCCTTCAGCACAGCGTTATCATATCTCACTAGACAAAGAAAGAGAATACGCGCAACGAAATAAACTGATTGTGAGATAAATACATGTCAAAGGAATGCCGCGAGATCTTTTACTTTATCGAGCCACACTCAATTTGTAAATACGGACATGCATGGTTTTTCTGTTAAAAAAATAATTCTAATTTCAGAAAAGTAAAAAGTTCGTACGCAGTGAACAGAAAATGCAATTTATGTATGCAGTAATGATATAATATGGGACAGGTATTTAAAAGAAAAAAAGTGTATTTTAAAAACATTTTTTTTTAATATTGATTATTATAATACATGGGGTGCAGCGGTGGTACGTATAGGCGATGCGGCGGTGGTGCGTAAAGGGGGTGTGGCGAAGGTGCGTAAAGGGGGTGCAGCGAAGTTGCGTAAAGGGGGTACGGCGGAGGTGCGTGTACACATTTTGGTAAAGGAAAATGTTGTTCAGAATCACCCCAGCAAGCAACCCCCCATTTCCGGGAGTTACGGGACACCCTGTATATTTATCATCTTACCTGAAGCAGCACGACGAGCATCGTCACAAGACAACATTATATCGTACATTTGTTCATTTTCGGGACAATATAACGTTACTTTTTCCATTTTTTGGTATATAAAATGTCTTTGGAATAAACTATGGATTACTAGTGACGTCAGACGCTCACGCCGACCCACCTCCTTAGCGCGAGCCCGCGAGCGTTCATTTTTATTGCCTGAAGTTGCCCACTACACCGTCCGCTGAGGCACCTGTGGGTCCCTGGGATACCCATAATCACGATCTCTCGAGAACAAAGGCATGTCCAATTTTCTTATACCTGTGGTCACTGAATAAGGTAAACATTTGAAAGAGTTTTGCGTTCTTTGATCTATGTTTTGAAATTGTGAAAACACAATGGAATAATCATGTAATCACAGTGATGGCAACGACTAATGAATTTGGACCTGACTCTGGTGGCAGAGTGAAGGTAAATTTAAGAAATAAAATGAAAAAATGAAAATATTTTTAGATTGGTAACCTCAAAGCATTTTAATAACAAAACAACAATCATACATAAGTTAGTGAGAGATGATTACCGTTACATAATCGAAATCTTACCGAATTTGCTCAGGGAGTTACAATAGTGAAACCAATAGTGTATGGTAATGTAGCTCGATATTTTGGTAAGAAAAGGGAAGAGGATGGTCACACTCATCAATGGACAGTTTATGTTAAACCATATCATAATGAAGACATGTCCACATATGTAAAAAAGGTTCACTTCAAGTTACATGAAAGTTATAACAATCCAAATCGTATTATGACAAAACCACCTTATGAACTTACTGAGACTGGTTGGGGTGAATTTGAAATTGTTATTAAAATATATTTCCATGATCCTAATGAACGTCCTGTAAGTATATATTTTGTTGTAACACAAGAAATAGTAATAGTAATTATGTATAAATTGTAAATGTTATTGCTTTGAATAGGTAACTATATATCACATATTAAAATTGTTTCAAACAACACCCGAAATACAGTTAGGAAAGAAGAGCTTGGTATCTGAATTTTATGAGGAAATAGTTTTTCAAGATCCAACAGCATTGATGCAACATCTATTAAATTCTAGTAGGCCTATAACTCTGGGTGTATGGCGTCATAATACAGATTGTAAGTAACATCTGATCTGTTTAACTGTTCTAACATAAAAAACTTACTTAATTCTTTTACAGTTGAAGCAAAAAAGGAATCTACGATGAAGGCAATAATGGAAGCACGAAATAAAATTAGACTGGAGGTAATTGACCTTAAGGAAAAAGTAACATTAGCAAAAGAAACAATTGCTAAGTTTAAGGAAGAAATTGCTAAGATCTCTAAAGCTGGTGGAAGTTTGTCTGTTACATAACCGCAATGTCGAACCATCTATTGAAACCATTGTATAAAATACTATTCTAAAACCTACAAAACTTTGTATAATTGATAAGATGTATATAGTTCTGATATGATTGTAAATTTATAATAAAACAGTTTAAAGTAAATATACTGTACGTTTGTTACATTCATAACACTGATGCAATTTTTTACTGTATTGTAACATATTGTAGAATATAAACATTATGCATATAAACACATATGATAATCTTATCATAGATACTTTGATTTTTTTTTTATCACGATTTTGAAATGTTAGTCACGTGTCACAAAATAAATAGAATTAGTGAGAATGATATAAATCTACGAAACTTGAGGAGAGGAAGATCAGTAATGTTAAAATGTGAAACGGTATCGATTCTGTGCGGCATAACTGAGTGATTCAATTTAAATTTGTTTTTGCTAATCACGTATGGATAAAGGTTTTATTTTTGTGTACGGAAAATGACTGCAGCACCGAACACAAGCACAAGCAAACCGTAAGCGTTTTAATTGTTGATTACGCGTTTCGAACTAATTATAGTTTTAGTTCATCTCAGTTCTAATATACGTATTAGATTTCTTTATACGTATAGATTTCTTATTTCTTCCATCTCTATACGTACATATAAGCACGGTCATGATAGTTATGCAATGAACTCCATAACGATGACCGGCCGGCCAATAATTATTTGTATACTAAAGATTTATTCACGAAACAATTGCCATAGTGTATAACACTTTCCGTTGCTTTTATATACTCGCCAATTTATAATAATGTTCGATTTTTACCATTTTATACTGCAGCCAGTGACTACAGTGACTAGTGATTAGTGACTGTAATCACTGCTGTAGCTATAAACATGATCAGCTGATCAGTGATGACTCAAGTATTCATTCAAATTGGCTAATTTTTATTTAGTATTTTATTCTTTGATTAGTTTAAATACCTAACTTTTAATTTTTCTAGGACACTTTGGTGCCAATTGTTTTATTTTCTTCATTCTTATAATTCCGTTTCTAATCTTGTAACCAAAATTGATTTTTTTTTTTTTCGTCGCTTTATATTTACAATTTAATCTATATTTTGTATTATTTATATTTTTATACAATATTTTAATGCAATTAAATTTGTAAACATTCAACTATTTCTTGGTAACTAATTCATAAAATAATTAAAAACTAACGGAAGTAAAATTGAAATTGGTTTCGGTTGTAGTTGCGTTGATTTTGTAGCGGAGTGTGACACTAACACATATTCACGCCGGCGAGCGAGGGGCACGTAAAGGAGAGACTGCAACCAATTGACTGCCGGCGTGAATATGTGTTAGAGTCCACGTGAGTCCACGCCGCGACAGAATCAACGAAACTCACGAGGGGAACTACCAGGGCCGACCCTGAGATTTCGGGGGTCCGAGGCGAGCTCCGAAAAAGAGCCCCTTCACATATATGTATGTACGATGAGTTGCATTGAACTTGTCGCAGTGAAGTTGGCTACAAATTCACTAACACTTCACATCGGCTCACCGACGCAGCATGAATGCGTTAGAGAATGTGTAGCCAACTTCGATGGAACTCGTGTATGTATATACATACTGGATAGAACACATAACTTAAATTCTATAAAAATTGCAACGTATGTAATTAATTATTAATAAATGCAATGATTATAGCACAGCTGTAATAGGTATTTAAAAAGAGACAAATTACCATTAAAAATAAAAAAGTTGGGAACCAAGGATTTGAACCGTGGACCTTTAGATTGTGAGTCATCGCGGAACTAATCGTTTGTATGTGTGAGTTTATCATACTTCTCAATGTAAGGAGTAACTAACTTTAATTGTTAATATCTTTTAAACAATTAGCCGTCTGCTCCCAAAATGGGGTATAGGCGTATTCAGCTCGACGAGTTCTACAAGATGGCAAAGTTTCATTGATAAGTGAGCGTAACGCTCAACTTCTACGTAAATATTATCATTTGAATTTCCGCACTTTATTTGAAATCGAAATCCATCTGATATAATAAAAGAAGTATTCGAAATAAAAGAATACGAGTTTTAAATGCAATTAATGATCTTTGGTTTTTTCTTCTTTTATTAGTCTAGGTATCGAATTTGTAATTGGAGGATTAGCGGCAGTGGGAGCTGGATTTTTTACAAATCCAGTTGACGTAATTAAAGTACGTCTACAATTACAAGGGGAATTAGAAGCACGAAACACGTACAAAAAAATATATAAGAACACTGCGCATGCGGCATATTTGATAGCGAAACATGAGGGTATATTCGCTTTACAAGCTGGTATTGTACCAGCCCTTTATTTTCAAGTGGTTCTCAATGGAATACGGTTAGGTGTTTATAACACGGCAAAGAAGTATGAGCTTATTACTAACGATAAAGGGAATACCGACGTCTTAAAAACTGTAATGGTAACCGGAACAGCTGGATGTATAGGAGCTGTTCTTGGTAGTCCTTTCTATATGGTAAATCCTACTCTTCAATTCTTACCTATGATACCTATTGCGTTATTTTAGAAAATACCAGATCAACTATAAGATTGTCTAAAATTAAATTTTTATGAACGGTATCGATATTGTGTATAATTTACATTATAATTGATATGTTAATGTACATATAAGCAATGTGATATTGACTGTCTATCACTGCACCCTAGATAAAAACGCAATTACAATCACAATCGGCACAGTCTATAGCTGTTGGATATCAGCACAATTATTCGGGTACCTGGATTGCGATCAAATCTCTGTGGAAAGAAGATGGAATTTTCGCTTTGTATCGTGGCTGGTATGCCAACATACCACGTATTTTTGTTGGATCTGCGACACAGTTGACTACCTTTGGGTTAACCGCGGATTGGCTACGCTCGTTAAAAGTGAGCATTTGATTAGGTACTGAAAAATGTATCAAATCATTCGTAATGTTCCTGATGTTTCTCTTTTAGATATTTACAGACCAGCCACTACTTTTGACATTTTTCGCTTCTCTAATCGGTGGAAGTTGTGTGGCTCTTACCATGCAACCATTTGATGTTTTAGCAACGAGATTGTACAATCAACGTAAGTTTAATCAATTCAATTCTTTTAACTAATCTCAGCTCATAATAATTGTACAATGATAACACAGGAACGGACGCAGCTGGAAAAGGGATGTTATACAATGGACTTTTGGACGCGTTCATTAAAATATTACGGACAGAAGGACTGACTGGTTTATACAAAGGAATTTTTCCAACATGGATGAGAATAGCACCGCACACCGTACTGTGTTTAGTTTTTTATGAAAAATTAGATCAATTGTATAACAAATTTTGAAATCAACATTTATAAACCTTAACTTTAAATTTCGTTACATGCGTATCGTATACTAGTGAGAAAAATTTTGTAATTTTAAAAGTATTGCATAAAGTATGATATAGCAAGAAAGAATAAATTAATTTCTTACACGGGCAGTGATGTGCTTTTTAACTTAACAATGACAAATTTAAGGACACAAGATTGCTAGTCCATTATATTTACGAATTAAGTGCACTTCTGATTATATTAAATCTTAATTTCAATTTTTGCATTATGTTTATATATATTCCTTAAAATTAGTCCTTCTGAGATCCGAAAATATTCCGATAGTAAAACCTGATAAAAAAAAATTGCAATGATATCAACATTGCAATTTTCCGATACTTAAGTCACTTAAAACAATAACAACAAATAGAACTATAGCAAGTTCCTTATTTATATAGTAGTGTAAATTAGGCCAGTTTTGCTAAATAATTCTAATGAACTGATTACTTGTATAAACTGTATAATTTAAAAATTTGTAAACCTACCTAAGTATCAAAAAATTTTTAATATATCACTTGTTTCTTCTAAGCGGCAAGAATAGCATTTGCCATAGAATTTGGTATTGAATTTGGTCTAGAACTGAAGCCTTGATTTATCGATGCCGCTACGTCCGTCGTATTTCTTCCTCTGGTCTCAGGTAAATATATCCTAAGTTTATCAGTATAATATTAAACCTTGACCATTATTGAATATGTTGTAAATAAATGATTCTATTCAGTGTTACATACCTAACCATTTGTGCAAGAAGTAATAGAGCCCCAGCAAATATTAAAAAGGTGTACGGTCCTATAATACTTTCTACCGTTGGGAACATCATGCCTACCATGAAATTTCCACCCCAATTAAAGATACTACCGAGTGCCATAGCAACTGGTCCGGGGCCAACATCAAATAATTCTGATGCGATGAAGTATGGTATTGGACCAAGACCAATACCATAAAATATCACATAAGCCAATACGGCTATCGTACAAATAAACGGCATATATGATCCTACATGCTGTAACAGTGCAAATAATTATTGTTAAATATAATTCTTTAAGTCAAAGAAAATTATTTTAATATAAAGAGAGATTAACTTACACTTAACAAAATGGAAATGCATAAAAGTAAGAGGCATCCAAAGCATAAATAAATACTGGCGAGTAGGACGCTTCTTCTGTTTAAAGATGACATCACTGGTACAGAAATCAATGCCATGGCAATGTTAGCTACTCCAGTTCCAAGAGTAGCATACTGTGCTCCTGCGATGCCAAGTCCAGCATCCAGAAAGATCGAGTTAGAATAATAAAATACAACGTTTATACCACTCATCTGTTGTCCAAACTGTATCATACAAACTAAAAATACAGGGAGCTTTAAACTTGGATCTTTCAGTATACGTTTAATTGTCCAAGGTTCAGCTGTTGTCTTCGATTCCATTTCCTGCTGTAGATTAGCAATTTCTACTTGCAAAAGCATTATATCCATATTACGTATCCTACTAAGTTCTAAAATGTTAAAATAATTGTTATTACTATAATTATGATGATGTTATGTATCACGGTATCAATATTTACTAACCATCTAAAGCTCTTTGTTTTTGTTCTTTAATTATAAATAAATATTTAGGACTCTCTGGTAAAGCAATACTTGTAAGAGCTAAAGCATATAAACATAATGGAACAAACGCTCCCAACATGTAATGCCAAGAATTTTCAGTTCCTAAAACCGAATGGAGTCCTGCAATTTGGCCTAGAAATACACCACATGTAATCCCTAGCTGACATAAAACTCCAACAGCACCTCTCAACCTAAGGGGGGCAATTTCTGCCATATACGTTGGTACAACACACGTTGCAAAACCTGCAGAAAAACCTAAAAAGAAAAGGAAAAAAGATCATTTATAACGGATCTTATATGAATTGTCTTTGTGTGCAATACTCTAAAACTTACCTACAACTAATCGACCTGCTAATAAAAGTTCAATCGAGTTTAACTTTTTTATTAAAAAAAACATCACAGCTCCTACAATGCCAAATACGTTTCCAATACATAGTGCTCTTTTCCTTCCATATCTGTCTGCTAACCAACTACCAAGAAATGAACCAATTGCACCACCGATAAGAAAAATTGAAACAACGGTTGACCAGATTATTTTTAGATTATTTTGAGAAACATCCACGTCATATCTTTCCTTAATACTTTCGTTACAAAATGATTCTACCAACTGCAATTAATATATAACTGCACATATATCAAAATTAAATCATTTAATTAGAAATGATATTACAACAACAATACTAACGTGGGCTGCATTGTTTAATACGCCTATGTTGAATCCTGCTGGTACAGCTGAACCTAGACAACATGTAACACCTGCTAGGACTAAGATAACAGTCCATCCACCTGGTGTCTGAAAGAAACGATTTTGAATAATTATTATCTGTAGTTGTTTGTGAAGTGGGACATGATTATACATAAAAATTATTACATTGAAATGAAATATGAAATTCAGCAATGAAGCAGTTCTTGTGAGTTGAATTTGCCAAAATACAAGACATAATTATAATTTAAAAATAACAGTTGATAGAAATTTATAAAAGATAATAGATTTTAAAATAAAGAGATTAATTGTAAATTTCATGAAAAAAAAAATGATAAATAGACGGGTGACTTTTATCGTAATTATAACTATAAAAATTAGGTATAATAAACAAAATTAAGAAAAAATATATTAAATAAAATGTAGAATACACGATAACGATAAATCTCAGTTTACAAAAAACAAGAATTTATGAAACGAATGAAATTCAACTGTACTTGGAACATGTTAAGACATTTTAGTATATGCTGTGAGGTATATAGAGGTACAATGTGATAAAGCTTATAACAATATAATGATTAATAAGTAAGTAATGTAATACAAAGTGTGTACTGGTTAATTTATATTCTTTGTCATAAGTTTTTCACAAACCCCTCTCTTAAAAAAACAATAAAGATGTGTAAAACTAGAAAACCATACCACTCAAATAACTAAGCATCTTAAGCAATAGTGTGTTGCACCGTGAGAGATCAATCAGTAATAAAACAGAAAAGCCTGGATGGAATGATGGGATAAAACTCAATAAAACCACACATCACTGGTATACCTGGAAACTATTTAGATAACCAAACATGCATGATTAAAACTTTTTATAAATTCAACATAAGTTTAGTTTTAATTTGTCAATTGCATAATTGTATGTACAAGTTACCTCTTTTATAATCGCTTATACTATCATTAAATTTTTACATAACTATGCTGCAATTAATCACACATTGTTGAATATTTTTCAACAGTTATTATTTTACGTAAAATAATAAAAAGTAAAAGAATGTAAAAAGAAAAAATAATTAACAAAGCTTAACATCATTGGGACACTTGCTAAATCTAGATTAAGTTAAGCTGTTATATTTATATACACTTTTATCGTACGCATTATGTGGAATTAATATACTTAGAAAAAAGACAAGTTCAAGATATATGATAATGGAAAATAACTTGACCTCTCATTCAGTTTTCATATATTAGCTACATAAATACATATTACAGCATTTATATACTTTGATAAAGCAACGATAACTAATATATGTATACATTTACTTCATCACAAGTCATAAGTAAGACAGAGGTTTGTATCTTCTTTTTTTTATACAATACATGCATTTATAATAACATTAATGGAATTTTAAAGGGGAAACATACATGAAATTATCATTACATTATGCAAGACACAAATGCTGTACATATCTGATGTGCTTCAAGAATTGTTGCTTTTATAAGAGAACATCACAATTTATTTTTATAAATATGTAATCAAATAAATATGAAGAATAAAGCAGCAATGATAAGGATATTCTCACCCCTAAAGTACCTGTGAAACTTATTACATTAATGTTCATATTAAAAGTGAAATTAGTAAGCCGTGCAGCGTGCTTTTGATTTTTTACCAAATAAAGTATAATTACCGATCTTTCATCACGATTATCCGAAGTCGTTTGATGCGAACGATCAGCATCCGTGAGTACGGCAGCATGACTATCTGCAATTAAAAATTAATAATCATACACCAATATTCAATACTTATCGACTACCTCCATGGTATATATGTATATTGCATATACATATATATACACATATATCAATACACAAAAGTATACGACCTTTCTAGATACATCTTGATATGTAGATTTAGGTTAATGTACTTGATTGAATGAAAAACGTTTCTACGAAAAAAAACCATCATAATAACATAACATTTTGCTACTGTACTAACAAGGAACGGAAATAAGGGAAAATACTTGAAGAAATATTACCTAACGCCATGCTTTGTACAACACGTGTCACTGACACGATGTCTGAACGGTAAATGACACTAGACTATAGACACTACTGGCTGACCGTAACACGGTTGCGTTGCCTTCGGTTTAATGCTACTGCACGAAATAACAGGTTGACGAAGTTTATAAATCTTGTGACGCAATTACGGAGTAGATGTATTTTCATTCTTTAACGTCAGCGAGACAATTTCATTTGAGTAGTGTGAACGACCTGAAAGCTTACATTCGGAATACACAAGTATACTTATATTTTAATTAGCTTTCCCTCTTATGATTACAAAGAAGAAAAACACACAAAAAGACAGGGCTGGCCCTGAGATTTCGGGGGTTCGAGGCGAGTTTCGAAAAAGGGCCCCCTCACATATATGACATTCAAAAAAAGTACCTCAAATAAAATTTATAAAATTAACATTAAAACTTGTATAATTAATTTAGATTTGCATTTACAACGATTAATATTCAAATAAACATTACTCTTCTTGCATTCTTAGACGCAAAATCGTTTTATGGGGGCCCTGGACCTTGGAGGGCCCTAGGCGGCTGTCCAGTCTATCTAGGCCCAGGGTCGGCCCTACAAAAAGACTATAAAATGCGGTATGCATTTTCGATATTTAATTTCACGCAAAGTTTATCTAATAAATTGTAATTTATTTATATAAACGGTATCGTTTTTCTGGAAGGACGGGAAAAGTGTTTCCTGTATGAAGATTTCACTTATCATATTGCATCATATCGACAGTCTGGAGCTGCAAATGTATAAACACTGAATCGAAGTTGTATTTCACAATACAATGATAGCGGTGCACGTGCACGCATTATCTGCCGAAAGAAAAGTGTCAATGCCAACGAATTAACTTCAAGTGCAAAAATATGATGATACATTCCTAGTTGATCTCAAATAATTTACTTAAATATAAATGAATTTTTTACTGTTTCTTTTTCTAGTGCCTTGAGACTAATACAATTTTAGGTAAATAACATAAATGATCAAGTATACGTTTTCGCTGGTAAACTTGGTACGAATAAATTATCATGTAATTATCACCGATAGAAGTAATTAACATAGCTGCTTGAATATCGATGAATTTTTGAAGGTTTAATTAATCGTAAATTTTGCACTTTTACGCTCGATCGCGAATATTGCATCGATTATTTTGTACGTACCTTGGTAATCGTGCATGTCTCCAAGGTTCGAATGACAATGCGCGAAACGTGATCTATATAGAGGAAAGTAATTCTTAAAATATAATTATTTTAAAATTGCAAACATTTACAATCGAATATCATTCTAAACTGGTTACCTACTTTCTATGTACTCGCGTCTTCGTTTTAAACATTTCTGTTGTACCTTAACCGTCTATCGTATCGATAACGTAATTCCAATTTTCGAAGTTTATCAATCGATAACTAAACTTCTCGACCGTTTGAACATTTTCAACGGTCAATGACTGCTAGTGATGCGTTTAAATTGTTTGTTCTTTTATATGTACGAACATTTTGCTGTCGTATGCAATATAAACTCCTTTATTCTTTTTTAACCAGTAATATTTTAAACACCTTCCAAGTTTCGTACTGCTGGCAGTATCGAAACTTTATTGTATACTTTTTCATGATATTCGATTGCAAATATGATTAAAAAGTTTAACACTTACTGATATTTTCTTTTACAAAAGGTTCCTTTCCAACGACCCGAGTCCCGCGATACGCAATCACACAAATACTTCGTCACGCTGCTCGCAGGGGACTAGTTCAAATTACAGTAAATGATTTCAGAAGTTACAAACTCCCCACCCCTCTTACCCTCTCCTTTCAACCTAACATTACGCATTTCTTTACTTGTATAATGAATTCTAACCTTGGGTAAAACTCTTACGGTAAATTCGCGCAAAAGAAACTATATACATTTGTATACGTGATTAGTGTACTACCAATTGTTATTACTAACAGTCACAATTACTAATTTTAAGGAAAAATGATATATTGTATACCAAAGTAGATAATGAAGCGCATAATTGATTTTCTAGTTAACGACATGTATTAAGAATCGTATACTCGCAAAATACATACATATCTTACATGACAATTGCGTGTATAATTAAGCGAGATATCGCCTTCTCAGGAGACACGTTGACAGTTTCACTTCTTCCACTTATAATAATGCTAGGATGAAATTTCGTAGTACACGTCACTCAAAAGAGTTTTTGCAATAGTTATCATCGTTCGCTTGTAAATATTTTCCTTCATCTCACCGAACGTTCTGCGTCTGGAATTTATTGTTTATCTTTCCGAATTCTTTCTTGTTCCGTAAAAATGAAGAAACGTCATATTTAACTTATGTAATCTACTATCGAATCGAACTATCGTACAATATTTATCTGCATAGTCACATTTTAACAGACAGGGCCGGCCCTGAGATTTCGGGGATCCAAGGCGAGTTCCGAAAAAGGGCCCCTTCACATATATGACATAAAACAAAGTACCTCAAATAAAATTTATAAAATTAACATTAAAGCTTGTATAACTAATTTAGATTTGCATTTACATCGATTAATATTCAAGTAAACATTAATCTTGCATTCTTAAACGCAAAATTGTCTTATGGGAGCCCTGGACCTTGAGGGGCCCTAGGCGGCCGCCTGGTCTGCCTAGGCCCAGGGCCGGACCTGTTGACACATCAATAACAACTTTCTGAATGAAATCGTATTTAAATATTCTCATTTACGTAGTTGAACATTGCGATATAATACAATAATCCTCAAGGTTATTCTAGTTTTTGTTTTTGTTTTTTTTTCTAAATGATTTTTGTGACGCGACGAAGCTGCAATTTTGCATTGTACCGTGGTTTACGCTATCCGATACGTTTTCTCAAGCGATTGGAGGTTTATCAACATTTATGATAGTGAAACGCACATGAAAGAATTATCGTCCGTGAACCTTTGAGACACTTTGGTTTCAAGTACAGTCCATCCTATGATCCCGTTCTCCTTTTATTTCTTGACTCAGCGCCGTTATTAACGGATACCTGCCGCAGGAGCATTGATTCTTGAAGTCATCCAGATCCAAGGACCAGATCATCGCCCCACCAAGATTTAATTCCCTAATGATGTCAGCCTGTAGAGATAAATGTGTGAACAATTCTGAATAATTATCATTCGCTTATTTAACAATTGCGAGTATTTATCTCGTGATATTGTAGCATCCTTTATGAATATGGAGTACCTTTTTCGTTACAGTGGACACGTCCTCGTAGCTGACCCATTGATCACCCTTCGTCGCGTACGGACCGACTAGACTTTGTGGGTCTTTGACCGCTGACCAGCCTCTATACCTCACGTTGTTACATATCTATGAAAGTATAAATAAGTCTGATTATTTAGTGATGAAAATATGAATGCCAAGGAATCTGGGTGCAGCAAGATACGTTTAACAGATACCTCGTAGTATGCGAGTATACCCGCAGACTTGGTGAACTCCCCTGGATACCCAGGCCCAGACACTTCCACGTCCAAAGCCGGTGTTTCCGTCGTTAGCGGTTCCCTGGATAACGTGAAGCTCTGACCATAAGTTGGCACACCCATTACGAGTTTATTGGACGGTACGCCCTGCTCGATCCAATATGACATCGAAAAGTTCACGTTCAAATGATCGGTTGGTTTGTTTAATGCTTGATAAATGGGAGCCGCATGGCCAGTTTTGCTGTCCCAATAACCGTGATAGTCATAACTCATCACGCCTATCCAGTCAAGATATTGCACTAAGGCTGGAACGCTGTAAGCCACATCAATGACATTTTTGCTAGATGAAACTGCTGTCGAAAGAAGCAGTCCCTTGGGTTTAAACGTTGCACTGAGGTCCTTTAATAAGTCTGCAAATGCTTCTCTGTCGCTGGCTGGTCCTCGATTGCAATTAACCTATGAAATCAAGATACGAATGTATGTACATAGGTGATTCACAACGTCTTTACCTGTTGTTTCATTTACCTGCCAACAGACTGGATATTCCCAAATAAGATCAAGACCGTCGAATCCATGGTTTTCAATGTACTGAGCAGCATAGCGTGCGAATCTCTGTCGTTCTAAGGAATTGTGCGCCAATTTGCTATATTTGCTGTCCTTGGATTCCTCCCAGCCACCCAAACCAAGCAGAATTTTTAGTCCAGTTCTACTTCTCATACTTGTTATGCGATTAAGAAATTTCTTTTGTCTACTATCCAGTGGATTTTGTATAATTAATTGTTCTATATCCAAGGTGGCGAGTCCGTAAACGACATGCGTGCATAAATCAGGTTCTATATCTTCTGGCAAAAACTTTCCTGCTCCTGGTCGTTTCCTTGCCCATTCCATCAGGTAACAGATGACTTTCTTCTGATTTTCTTTGGCGGCAGTTAGAGGCAACAACTCGTTAGACTGTAAATCAAAAGACTACCTCTAGCATTGAATTTCTCTTCATAGGAATAATAAAAATAAATTCTGACCTGTCGTTGGGTATCCCTGCACCTGGTATTCTCTGGCCAGTCACAACGATCCTCGTTCCAATAAAGACCACGCGGGCAAGAGTGTTCAGTGAGCTTGCCGAAATTGCATAAAAAGTACTTGGAACAGTCCTTTTTGTGTGGAATGAACAAACGACCTTCGCAGTCTTCCGGCGAAGCTATCACCCATGGAGATTCAACATCTATTTCAATGGTATCATCAATATCCGAGCTCGAATCTTCAGGTGAAGATGTTGGCGGCAAGTATGTTGGCCTTTGAGAAGTTGTAAGTTCCCAGCTTGGTTCACGGGTGGTCGTTGACGTGGAAAGCTCGTCGTCATCGATCGTTGTGAATTCTGTTTTAAGAATCCTTTTAACTGCATTGAAATTCAGACCTAACCCATCAAACATTTTCTAACTGATAAAACATTTACCGCTCGTAACTGGACACAAAGGCCCTTTTGGATATCCTCTTAGAACCCTATTCATGGTTCTTAGAAGCGGACTAGGTTCACAGCCGCATCTGTTCTTAAAATCGTCTAAATCTAGCGCCCATACCATACCACCAGCCAAACCAAGATCCTTTATTAATTCTGCTTTAATCTTGACTTGCTTCGCATCGTCGAAGCTGACCCACTGGTCACCTTTGTACGCATAGGGACCGATACGTCTTTGTTTATCCTCCACAACGGTCCAACCGTTTTTCAAGGTTCTCTCGCATATCTGCAATAGAGATTGAAGCATCGTATATTAAGAGAAAAATTATACTTGAGAAAGTTAAGATAGGCTTACTTCGTAGTAAGACAAGAAACCTCTGGCTCTTGTTGCTTCTCCAGCTTCACCTCCTCCATAAGTTGGCGCATTTAATCCTCTCTGACTTCTCTCTGCCAAAGAGAAGGACTGCCCGTACATAGGTACTCCCATAACAAGTTTGTTGGGGGGAGCACCCATCTCTATCCAGTAGTGGATGGAAAAGTTCTAAGAGATGATTAAAATAATGAGAACCTGTTATTTAAAGCTGTATAATGTAATTAGACGTACCGCGTTAAAGGTCGGCTCCCAATCGTTAGGCATACGATAGAGAGGTGCAACATGACCAGTTTTCTTATCCCATTGACCGTGATAATCGTAGGTCATGACGGATATCCAATCAAAATACTTAGCCAAGGTGGGCACGTCGTAACCAGCGTCGATAACTCGTTTGCTTGGGGAAACCGCAGCGGATAACAATAAGCCTCTTGGTTGAAATTCTTCGCTCAATTCTTTCACGAAGCTGGCGAAAGCTTCCTTGTCCGAGGTCAAACCTCTGTTGCAGTCCACCTAAAATTTGTGGATCAGCAAATCACTCAAGATAAAAATTTACAAAAACAATTAGCGCAATGAGTATTCTTTACCTGCCAGCATACCGGGTACTCCCAATCCAAGTCCAGTCCCTGAAACTCATATTTTTCTATAAACTGTATCACATTTTCAATGAATCTACGTCTCGCAGATGGTGAATTCACTAAGCGACTGTATTTGTCGCCTGCGGAATCGTTCCAGCCTCCGATAGCCATCAATACTTTTATTCCTTTCGATTTTAAAGCTGCTACCCGTTCATAGAATTCTGAAAACAAGAGATATAGATACACAAAAGAGTAAGTAAAGAGATATGGTATACCGCAGTTGATCAGAGTCCATAACTGCGAAAAGACCAGTTTTCGTTCTTCGCGCATCTCCAGTGCGCATCTTCGCCCTGATTGGCGATACTCCCAAACGAAGTGGAAAGCGATTGGCGGAGAGCTCGCTGCGTTCCCCCACCATCTTACAACTTGCGCGTCGCAGTTATGAACTCTGGTGAACTGCGCGGTATAGGTAAGTTTATCTAATTACTGTTATCAATATCAGCCCATGGGTCGTGTGACTTGATTGTCAGCTGTGATCCATCGAGGACGGCGAAACCATAGAGAACGTGAGTACACAAGTCGGTATCTATGTCTTCGGGTAAGAATTTTCCTCCCTCTTGTCGATACCAGGCCCAGTTCGTGAAATAACAGATCATTTTAAATCCACTATCGCTCTGCAGATGATCTTTGGATGTCGAAGAAGGTATAGCCGTTGTGACGGGAGCAGCTGCTACTGTAGGTGCTGGTGTAACCGCTGCTTGATCTAAATCCGATTGCTCAATTGGTGGCCGGCAGGCTGCAAGGTAAAGGGTACCTTCGTTAAAACGAGAAAAAGAAATAGGCAGAGGGATTAGGATATGAAAAGATTTTACGTTCGTCAACTTTGCTCGGAGTGTCAGATAGCACCCCTTGAATGGTGCGCATCAAAGGATGCTGCCCCTCTCCGCATCGTCCACGGAAATCGTCAAGGTCTAAAGCCCAGACCATTCCACCGCCCAAACCCATATCTTTGACATACTGAGCTTTTCTTCGTATGGATTCGACGTCGTCGAAGCTGACCCACTGGTTGCCCTTAAAGGCATACGGACCCATTCTGTGTTCTGGATCTTGAACGACGTTCCAGCCACGGTTTCGAATTCTGTCGCAGATCTCATAGTAGGCTAGGAAACCGGCAGCTCTGGTGAACTCTCCAGCCTGTCCAGCGCTGGCAGGAACGTTCAGTCCTGCTCCAGCACTAGGATCGTTGATGGTGAATGATTGACCATAGAGTGGCATTCCTATAGATGGAACGAGCAAGTTAAAGAATCAGTAAGAATAGCTTAGAATATTTTTAAGAAACTAACAAGTAAGTACCCATGACGATGTTTCTGCGGGGAGCACCGTTTGAGATCCAGTAGTTGATTGAATAGTTTGCATTGAAGTAATAATAGTCATCGTCCGGATGATAATAAAGCGGTGCTACGTGACCAGTCTTTTTGTCCCACTGTCCATGGAAGTCGTAAGTCATCACTGCGATCCAATCTAAATATTTAGCCAGAGCTGGAACGTCGTAGCCTTTGTCGACGACCTGTTTGCTCGGTGAGACGGCAGAGCTGAGTAACAATCCTTTGGGTTTCATTTCACTGCTCAGTTCCTTCAGAAGATCCGCGAAGCCCTGTTTGTCCGAGGCTGGACCTTTCTTGCAATCAACCTAAAGCAACAATGTCATCTACTGGCTCGTTGGAACGAGAAAAGACTAAGGAGATGAACGTGTACGTACTTGCCAGCAGACCGGATACTCCCAGTCTAAATCAAGTCCATCGAAATCATATTTCTCTAAGAATTGAACGACATGAGAAACAAACTTCCTTCTGGCCGTTGGACTGTTTACCAAACGACTGTACTTGTCTCCAGCAGAATCATTCCACCCTCCTAGTGCAAGGGATACCTTCAGTCCTCGCTTCTTGTACGCGACGACTCGTTCGTAGAAACCTGTTCAAAATAAATTCTCTGGGTGATCAATGAATTACATAATTGACATTAAAATTTTAATAAACCACGTACGATTATCGTAGTCGGCCCATGAATCGTGGGCCTTGATGGTGAGCTCTGAATAATCCAATACGGCGAAACCGTAGACGATATGAGTGCACAAAGTGTGGTCTATATTTTCAGGAAGATAGCGGCCAACCCCTCTTCGATACCAGGCCCAATTTGTAAAGTAACAAACGACCTGAAAGTATTCATGAAAATTGTAAATTCTACCTAGTTAAAAATTCGAAGGAAACAGTGGTAGAAACTTTACTTTGTAATATCCGCTTAATGGAGAAACTTTGTCAGGATCTATGAGAGTTGATGACGTAGTGGAGGTAGGTTGAGTGGTACTTGGTTCCCAATGTTCTTCGGTAGGCCTATTTGTAGGTCTACTAGTAGTAGATGTGATTGGCTCCCGATCCTCGGTCGAGGTAGGATTCTTCTCTTGGCAATTAGCACGGGAAGGCCAATCGCAGATTCTAGTTTGCTGATTGAAGTGCAAACCAGGAGCACACTTGAATACCTCGTGGCGACCCCATAGACACGCTTGATAACTCTGACAATCTCCTGGAACGCCCGAGTAGCTTCCAGGAATGCAAGGCTACAAACAAAACGGCCGCTGTTAATCTGTTCAGCTATCCGGGAGTTGCTTTTTCTTTAAAAATAAAAAACAAAATTAGTCAAAGCTGTTTATTTACACTAGATTTGGAATTGGCGGCGATCAGTGAAGCACTTTTCATTGGTTTATCGCAGGGAGCTTTGAAGGCCCAGTCGCACATGTTTTTCTCATTATTCCAATTTAATCCTGGACCGCATTGCTGTGAAACTAGGTTCCCGTTCACGCAAACCAAGAAACTTGTACAAGAATTCGGATATGCATAGTATTGACCATGTTCGCAACTCTTCCCTGGCTTTTGAACCGGCCTTTCTGTGATGCCTGGCCTCTGGGTAGATGGACGTGGACGTTGTGTAGTAGCTTTCGAAGTAGACCAGACCGAGAATGTTGTTGACTTCGGGGTGGTCCATGTTGGTCTACGGGTTGTAGAGCCTAAATACAATGCATCAGAATTTATCATCAGCTACGATATAGCTAACAATGAGCTAACAATATAGCATTACTAGTCTTCGTATCGCATTTCGCCGCAGTTGGCCAGTCGCAAATGCCTCGTCTTGCATCCCAATGCAATCCTGGCGCGCACTGTTCCCGCTGTAACTCTCCAAGCACGCATCTAAAGTAACTGCTACAGCTTCCTGGATCTGGCACGTATTCGCCAATGTAACAGGGCGTTCCTGGTTTCAACGAATCCGGATCCGATGACTCTTCTGTACTTTCCACGGGTGGTTCCCTACAATTGTATTCTTGTAACTGAAAATAATACACTCAAGTGCTGGCAAGCGTTAGTTATGAAAATATTCTACTTGGTTGACGTCCAAATTGAAGAGACGCTGCTGCTGGTTGGTTCAGTCCAGGAGAACGTGGTACTCATACTGAGCGTCGTCGACTGTGGTCGTTTACTAGTTGTGTCTGGACCACTGCTTGGTTTTTGGCTCCACGTCCATGTTGGCCAGGTGGTTCTGGTCGTTTTCTGAGTGGAAGTACTCGGCTTCTCGGTCCACGTTGGCCACGTGGTCGACTGTGGAATTGGTGTGGTGGGCCGTGGGGTTCCATCTACGGCGTCGCTGTGAGGAGTCAGAGTTGGAGGTTGAGGTGTGACCGGTTCGGGTGGCCGCTGGCAACCTTCAGAAGCTTTGCTTTTCAAACGTCCTATAGAAGAAGACTACTGTTACTTCAAGGGATCAAATCTTGAAGAGAAAGCCAGCTTGAGCTTACGAACGAACCTAAAGCACGATTAATGCTTTTCAACAAAGGGAACGATTCCGAACAGCAACGATTTAAGAAGTCGTCCAAATCCACTGTCCACAAAGAAGCTCCTCCAAAACCATTCTGCAAAATGTATCGTCCTTTTGCAAAAACGCTCTCTCTGTCATCGTAGCCCACCCACTGGTCTCTGTGGTAAGCGTTTGGACCTTACAGAAAGAACATTTGAAATCATTATACTGTAGAAAAAACCGACTAATACTTTAACTGATTCTTTTTACCTAATCCATTCTTCCAACCCTTATTCTTAATTCTATCGCAGATTTCATAGTACGCCAACATCCCAGGTTGTCTTGTGAACTCTCCAGCAGTTCCAGGTCCAGTTGCAGGATCACCAATATCATTCAGATCTTCGCTGGACAATCTATAAGCTTGTCCATATAGGGGTACACCTATCAGAAGTTTTGATTTATCTGCGCCAAGGCTGACAAGATACTCGACGGTAGAATTCTGAAGAATAATAAAAAGGCAACCCGTAACGAACTGTTTTCATTGTACGAAACTACGTTTGAGACTTACGACATTATAGTATGGATTAGGGTCAGCAGCGCTTCCGAACAACGGCGACAAATGACCTGTCCTCGACTCCCAAGCCCCGTGATAATCATACGTCATAACCGACATGAAATCTACAATTTTCGAGATCTCGTATACTTCGTAACCTCTGTCGATTATTTCCTTGTACCCTGACAACGCGACAGCCAACGTGAGTCTCGGTTCTTGTTGATCGAACTCCTTCTTCAGTTCTCGTATCAGCTTAGTCAAGTTGGGCTTGTCGGTATCGGGACCTTTCCTGCAGTCGCTTTGCCAACACCTCGGGTAGTTCCATTCAAAGGAAAGCCCGTCGAAATTGTGCTTCTTCAAAAAGTTGATCGTTGACGCGACAAACTTGCGACGAGATGCACCGTTACTTATTAAGCGAGAATATTTATCACCGGTGCTATCCGTCCATCCTCCGATTGCCAATAACACTCTGGATCCCTTCAGCATCGTTACACGCTCGTATAGGTCTGAAAAATTCAGGTCTGTTAGATATATGTATCAACACAGATCCAGAGACAGGAATACAGTAAAATTTCTCTAGTTGTCCGTTTGTTGCCCTGCTGACAGTGTCCGTCGGTTTTGTCCTATGCCTATGTATTTCTCACCCTATGTTCTGTTCGTTCGATTCAATCACGCGATATGCGACGCGGCTTCTTTGATGAGAGTTAGAGTTTGGTAGTTTATAATAAAGCACTGTAACTTTTTTAATATTAATTTTTTTTACTCTTCTGATTAAAATGGGACCAAACACGATATAATTTGGAGCATATTTACTTAATTTTATGTGCAAGGAAACATCCCCAATGCGAATGTTTTTTTTCGTTCGTATAGTCTAAATTATGTCATGTTTGGTCTCATTTTAACCCTCGCAGTACGGGAACGGGGTCTCCGGAGACACGTCTCGGTGTGAGTCACGAGAGACCCCCCGATGGACCGTACTTCGAGGGTTAATCAGAAAAATTGTACCAATATGTTAAAACAATTTGCATCCAGAAAATTCTAAACATAAGAAAGTTAAACTGTTGTTAATTTCTCGGCTGCTATCGTGCTATCCTTCTCTTTTACGACTTGTCGCCGGAAACCAAATCGCGTCTATCCTGCCCAGATTGTCCATTTTCGCTCTTCAGCTTACGGACAACTAGAGAGATTTTACTGTACCATGATTAAAGGTAAGTACTGTTTTCTATGTCGGCCCAGGGATCAAACGGTTGAATAAGCAAGGTGTCTGGATTCAATCCAGCAAAAGCATAAATCACATCGGTGCACAATCGTGTGTCAAGCCGTTCAGGAGCGAACATTCCATCTCCTTTGCGATAGAGAGACCAAGATGTTACGTAACAAGCTACACGTGGTCCTTTTTCTGGCGTGATTTCTAAATTTTGCGCTTCTTCTACCTCTCGTATCTCGGTCGAAGAACCTCCATCTTGAATCCGGTCTACTTGCCTCGGTTTGCACAATTCTGTATTCGCTTTTACGCAACGACCATTTGCCGAGTTGAAGAAGTTTCCCTGTCCACATTGACCCTGATATTGTACACCTATTCAAATATGCAAATATATTGATAGACGTTTATTGATACGAGTTTGTAACTCTGATTGGTACAATACCATTGTAACAAGAATAAAATCCAGAACAGTTGTCTGGGTCGGTGAAGAGACCCTCGGTGGTACAATTTTTCACTCGTTTCTCGTCGTAGAAACCTATTGACTCTATCGCGGCGTTGAGCATTGGCCAAGGATTCCCGCAGATTCCCTAAATGTTCAAAATGTGCAAAATATTTTTGTTCAATTCTTGAGGATTAGAAATAATCTTCTCAACTAATTATAAACAACTGTACCTGAAAATCATCCAAATCGACAGACCACAGGGACACACCGCCGAGTCCCGTTGATCTAACGTAAGCAACTTTTATTTTCACCGACAGAGGATCCTCGTAGCCGACCCACTGATCGCCACGCTTTATGTACGGCCCTTCTTCGTCTCTCCCGGATATCCACAATCCATCCTCCAGTTTCTCGCAAATCTAAAATCGTCCCGAACATTGAATAAATAAATGAATCCGTTCTTTTTAATAGATTCAAGAAGGAAACGTGTAAAGGGTTACTTCATAATAAGCCATCCGTCCATTCTGTCGCTTGTTGTATACACCCCCTATGCCTGGCCCGATGATGGGGGCACCAGCATCGGTGAAGTTGCCAAATTTAAGGGTGTACCCTTGTCCAAAGACCGGTATACCAAGAATGATCTTCGACCTGTGTTCGCGTGGAACACTTTCGATCCATCTGTTGGTTGCACGAACAACGTATCTCAACGGTGCTGGATGAAGGGCCAATTTTTCACGTCTGAACCCTGGACTCTCTCTCCATGCTCTCAGAAGGACCAAATCGGCAATAGAGGTGATCTCTTGATCTACCGGATCCTCGGGTCTCTGAGCTACCGCTAAGGTATACTCGTCCTGAACGTCGAAGGATTTTTTAATCGTCTTCAGAAGTAGCCTCAGATCGTTGGAATGTTCTGCTGAATTTTCCCAGTCGATTTCAACGCCGTCAAAGTCGTTTGCTCGCAAGAAAGTCAATATAGACTTGGCCAGTCTCTCGCAATGGAGGGTACAATGGTTCTTGGTCACTTCGGAGAACAGTTTACCTCTGTTCGATGTTGCGATCGAAACAAGCACTTGCAAAGCTGGGTTCCTCGATCGGTGTCCCGTTACCGCTTTATATCCACCTGTTTGAATTGGTAGGAATAAATTAACGGTACTTCGATTGACTGATCGATCTGTATGTGTCATGTGCAGGATGTTCATAGAAAAGTGTTTATTTGAATCTCAACCTGTCTGAACTCCTCCAACTTGTGAACACTTTGTCCCATTACCTTTAATCTCGTCGTATTCGGGATCCTTAGAAACGATAACCAATTCCTCTGGGTCTGAAAGATAGAGATTATTCGTTTCACTGCTGGAACAATTATTTTATAATGTTCTGTCAAGTATCGTAAACAATTACCTAAAGTGGCTGCAGCGTACACTAAATGACTGCATTTGTGATCTGGAATCGATTGAGGAAACAGAGAGAATGGTTCCACTCTGTGAACTGCACCGGAATCTAGATGACACACCATTTTTGGATCTACGATTTGATGCGTTCGGGTAAGGGTCGGTGGAGCCAAGGGTTCGATCCATATAGATTCATGATCTACGTTGCTGAAGAATGGTGCTTCTCGATGTTCCACCGCGTCTCTTAAAGGCACTCGACCACTGGGCCTAAATAAATAATTAATTATCTATCACGCGTTGATCGAAATATTAACCGTCCATAGGTAAATTGGTACATAATTTGGGCTGAAAATTTCGTTTGCATCATCAATGGCCCAGATTACCTACAATGACAGAGAGTTGATAGGAAACATCCAGTTATGCCATAAGCGTAACGTCATAATAAATAATAAAAGTCCATAGTTTTGTCAAATAGTTTCACTGTTCCCTTTGGTCTCTGCTTGAATATTGTAAAGCAAAGGATTAACCATGACCATCGCTTTCTTCTAGATGAAATTCGATATCAACAAACGGTTGTAAGCTTATGGAATAGCTGGATAATATTTCTCGAGGACACTGACTCTTTGCTATCTTGTAAAAGCAGACTCGCAGCTTGAAGATTCATTTGATTCGCCGGCAATGCTTCAACCGCATCACGCAGTGGGAATCTTTCAGAACCGTATTCCGCGTGAGTGATCGTATCATCGTCCAGAGTGTTCTCGGTTACCACCGGATTTTCAACCGCGTTTCTTTGAAACCCGTTCGCGTTGATGAACTCTACGTCCGCTTCTTTTTCATCCAGATTCCATTGGGGTGGTAATAAATATTCTTGAATGTAAGCTCGATGAAATGGTCCTGCGACCGACTGGCCAATGAGAAATAGAACGAGCCAAGGAAACATCTCTGCAAAAAAAAAAAAACAAGAAAGAGATAAACGATCTTATAGTAAGAACTAACATTTCGATAAAGGGTACAGGCCCTTGAGTCAATTTTATTCAACAATGCGCCATTTTATAGCGTATAATAAAAAACCATTGTACACCAAGTTTCAACCCTGTATCTCAACCGGGAGGGTAGTTACAAGGTGAGAAAGAAAAAGCGATTTTTGCGATATTTGCCCTATTTAATGGCATTGAAAAAATCTGAAAAAATTCACAATCATAAAGAAACATGGCTAGAATATTCTAGAATTTTTTCAGATTTTTTGAATGCCATTAAATAGGGAAAATATGGCAAAAATCACTTTTTCTTTCTCACCCTGTAACTACCCTCCCGGTTGAAATACAGGGCTGAAACTTGGTGTATAATGGTTTTTTATTATAAGCTATAAAATGGTGCATTGCTAAATAAAATCGGTTCAAGGGCACTTTTGACCATCTTATCCTGCTATACCCTTTGTTATTACTCTTGATTTGTTTTAAACAGCGGCGATGCTTACAATTCTTTCGTGAAATAAAAAAGAAACTTATGAACTATAGTGCATCGGTGCGACGAGCACTAAAACCTGTCCTGCAGTCAGAACACGCGTTCCATGCACCGACACCGAAAAAGAAGAATATAGAACGAGGTGGGCTTCGCATTACAACAGCTACAAGTCTGCGATGATTGCACCTCAACGAGAATTTAATCATAATAATTAGTTGGTAGAAATACGAGTCATGATAACTGTAAACAAGTATCGTGCAAAACATCCTCGAAGGGCATTCACCCTTTGTTGCTTCAACAATGAAACTGTAAGTTGTTGACTAGATCTTTGAACATTTCCAAAGGAATGCAGGAGAAGGCTTTTCAGACACGTTTCCTTTTTTCCTTAGCACAAGCAAAAGACTTTCCATGGAATTAGCCTAACAAGGGGAACTACCCAAGTGTTACACTCACTTATTAATGAAACTTTGCCAGCTTGTAGAGCTCGTCGAGCTGAACACGGCTATACCCCGTTTTGTGGGCAGACGACTAATTGTTTAAAAGATATTAATAATTAAAGTTAGTTACTACATACATTGAGAAGTATGACAGACTCACACATACAACTCGCAATCTAGAGATCCACGGTTCAAATCCTTGATTCCCAACATTTTTTTTTTTTTTTTTTTTTAATGATAATTTGTCTCTTTTTGAATAACTATTACATAAAAATTATCATAAGAAAAAAAAATTTTTTTGTGAAGCAAGGATTTGAACCGAGGACCTTTAAGTTGCAAATCACGGATCTGCTCCGTGGTTAAACACATGAGTCGTAATCCAAAGGTCCTCGGTTCAAATCCTGGGTTACCATTTTTTTTTTTTTTTTTTTTTTTTTTTTTTTAATATTCAAAAAGAGACAAATTATCATTAAAAAAAAAAATGTTGGGAACCAAGGATTTGAACTTCAGAATGTAAGGAGTGACTAACTGTAATTGTTAATATCTTTTAAACAATTAGCCGTCTGCCCACAAAACGGGGTATTGGCGTGTTCAGCTCGACGAACTCTACAAGCTGGCAAAGTTTCATTAATAAGTGTGTGTAACACTTGGGTAGTTCTCCTTGTAAGACCCTGTGACCTTGTCATTCGTGTGTATAATACTTTTATTTGAAGCAGCCCGTGTGTTTGGCGGTCATCACAGCAGATACATGCGTGCCGGAAAATTGAAATTTATGCGGACGAATCATGCGCTGATTCACTCGAGGACAAAGACACGCGGTTGCTCCTTCGATGATGTTTAACCATTCAAAATGCGACACTCGTAGGTGGAAGTGACCGCGAGACAAGAGGACAAGCAGCGATGGGCATTCGAGTTTCTGCATTGCAATTCGATTACTGGGATCAACGTAGAATCTCCAAGTGTTTCAATTCTTATTTCAATTCAAAAATTTTGAAGATTCTTGAAAACATTCACTGACACGATAGAAGATTCATACCTTTTTCTTTCTTTCTTTTTTTTTTTTGGTTTATGTAAGAGGAAGTGGAAGTAATCCCCCTGTCGCACTATTCGGCTAAGACGTTTGTAAGATACAAGATAATATAGATTAATTTTGATGTGTGTTATTTCATTATGTTAGTCAAAGTTAATGAATTTAATAATATAAAAAATGTACCCTTACGATATCAGAATAGCAGTCGCATTAACTTGTTGACTGAATTATCCTCTAAAACGCTGAACTTAACGAGAATCGAACTGCTTAACGATTGCTTAATGTATCTTCTTTCTATTTTCTATCTTATCTTTGAGAAAAACGTTCTATTGACAATAATTCTTTTAACGTGTTCAACGATGAGTGTTTATGATCACTCCATTATCTTAAAAGTTGGAAAGAAATGATTTTTAAATTCTCTAATTAATCATGACACATGCATAATGACTCTCGTTAATGATAGATCAGTGAACCTTTAAGAAAAATAAAAGCAAAGGAAAATTATGAATAATATTGTTAAACGAACCTTGGCTTAAAGAAGAAGCAGAGCTTCTTCACCGTGTACCGTTGAAAGCTGTTCAAATCCGAAGCGTCAATGGCACCTGATTCTACTGCACTGACCGATGATGATTGAGAAGCCGCGACCGGCCCCACCGTACACTCCTCCGGCAAGTGGTTCGCGATGAATTTTTAAAAGCGCACCACCCGCTTCGTGGGGAGGGCTAACTTGCATGAATCTGGTATTCTGAACGCGTGAGGTCGCCCATATATACCTACTCCATCGCCAGGGACCCCTCGACCCGCACCCTACAGACCCTGTCACCAACGTCCTTGACCACGAGAACGCGACCGTGTACGTAAACCAATTCTGAAACGCGAGATACCTGGTGATGGGCTAGTAATCTTGACAAAATATTACCTATACAATATAACACATGAAATATATTTGTGAAAATCAAGGTATTCGTTTAAGGAGAACATGGCCATCGAACAGTACAAATTAGAAATGAAAAATTAGAGATTCTTGAAAGTTACACATCGCCAAATTATTAAGTTTCTCAAAGTTTTCAAGAATTTCTGCAATTTAGAATTTTCAATGGAAACTGTTGAATGCCCTTCAGCGACACTTGGTGAGAACGACACCAAGTCAAACGTGATCCTGCAACTTGGATACACCTCGTCGTGTTTCGCCTTCTAATCCCTCCAATATCTTCCTTTTCTTTCTCACCAGGTAACCATGTTTTACAACCTATTTAACCCTTTACAGTATTCCTTTTTTTCATATAAATTTGCTTAGATGATTATTTATCTGGTAACTCTGGACTGAAGAGTTACACGTATGGGAAAGTAGGAAACGATGGAAATGAAGATGATGATTTATCTATAATTGCATACTTGCTCGATGCCTCTGAAGATTCTACACGTTTTTCAGTACCTGAAATAAACGAGCAATCAATACCTGTACTTTAGATAAAATAATTTTTAATAAAAAATACAACCGACTTCAATATGCGCTAAAAAGTGTAAAATAATTTATATTTCGTTTATACAACTGCGTAACAATTATTAATGAAACCTCTTGCTGCATTAACAAAATACGCTAAAAGGTATAAAATAACTTCTATTTCATTTATATCAATACTCCACAGCTATTAATGAAACCTATTTAAACAGTATACTAAATACACTTCAACCTTTTCGGAGGCAGGACAAAATTAAAAATAACGGAATAAACAATGCTGCCAAAAACGATTTGATTACTGTATGGCGAACTTGGTAATTAATAAGTCGTAAGAAAAGATACGGAACGTTATAGATATGGCTGATAATATTTATAATTAGAACAAGAGTATCAGAAGTTTGCAGCACTTCTGATATACATACATGTAGTAAATCCGCAATGGGTATGTTGACCCCAGTTGAATATTGTTTACTTAAAATTATTTTTATATATAATCCCGCAAAATATTTTTTTTGCAGGACCAGTTGTGAGACATGCTCTACGAGATACAATAGATTTCGTTTCGAGTACATTCTTAGAATAATCGGTGAACATACATTAAAAAAAAATCCTCCTTTTTCGAAGTCGGTTAAAAATATAGCGTGTTTAAGTTTACGTATTTTATATACACATACAGTGTACATGACTAGTTCCGTTCTTAGGTGAAAAGTCGCGATTTTCGGAAATTTTAATTACTTATAACTTTATATACGTTCACCGATCTCGATGAAATTTTCAGTATACACATAATTTCTTTGAATCTACGAAAGACATATTTTAAATTTTCATTATAGGCTCACATAAAAAAGTTGAAAAATTGCCTTTTACTATTTCGACAAATTGTAATTTTTTAAAACGACAAAAGCACATATCCTAGTAAATTAATTTATATAGCTTCTCGAAAAACCTCAAGTGATTTGGTCCAATTTGAAATGAGGTATTCTGTTTCAAACGGTGGCCGAATACTTTTGCACGCCACTGTAGCTACATATGTACCTAGACTAATCATTGCAACATGGCGATATCAAAATGATATCCAAACGATATTATCGTTACAACGAAAAAGTGCATTATCGCCTGTAAGCGTTGTATTTGCCAGGAACTATTGAACGTAGAGGAATGATAAGAATAATATCCATAATTTGTCCTTCTTTGCACGTCCATTTGTTAGCTTGATTTTAATGATACCAGCAATTCGAGGTCCTCGATTGAAAGGACTCGCTGAGAATGTGTATAAAATAAATGATTTAGTATGCTCCTATGATAGCAGCACGACGAAAACAAGCAAAAGATTAACGTGAAATATTTGAATACGTTGAGAAGTATTCGACATCAATTTCTGCAATTCAGGATGGTTGTTTTGCGTTTCATGTCACATATTTCGAATAAACTAGGCACGATCACCTTGAACGAACGTAGGACAATCACGATGCATATTTTTTTTTCCTTAGTATTATTTGCACAGATGCACCTTCAATTTCAAGTACCATCGACTGTTCCGTTTCATCTAGAAAAAAATACAATGTCAGAGGAGAGACGAACATTGAACATTCTTAATGATCAAAATAAAAATTTTCAAGCCATAAAAATTTCAAACTAGCGCGGCACGGTCTTCAAATCCCTTACCAAAATGATGGCCGAAGAAAGAAAAAAGGTGAAAAGGACGATGAAAGTTGGAGACTCGTCCCATTGAAGAATTTGAGAGTCGATCGCCATAGCGCCAGGTATCCAAGAACCTGTGGAATCCTAAAAATAAGGCACTTTAGGGAACACCTTGAACTTGCCGATGTTCGTTTTATCGACTTGTTTCCCCCTCTTATTTTCTAAAAAAAACAAAGAAGAAACTTTTAAGAAATTGATCACGTTGATCAATTGATTATTTTTAAGTTTACGCCTCTCGTTCAATTATTATTCGATTGAATGAAAAGTAATTGTTATGTATGCGCGAAAAGTATTTAAACTTGAGAGGGTTGATGAAAATGATCGAATCATATTGAATCGTTCGATCTATACTGAAACTGTTAGAAGGAAAAGAAGAGCTGCTACCTTCAGACGTCAGAGGAATAAAGATCAAATTTGACGAGGAGTTTGACTGGACGGGTATTCAAATTTGAAATTTAAAAATTAATTGTTTTACCTCCGATCGATCCTAATAGGAGATTCAATTTGTTCGTGATGATCGTCGATAATACGGATTACGGACGTTAGCGTTTGGAAGTTCATTGGCATCGGGAAGTAAAACCTTTCACAGATACAGGTTGTATGAGTTTTTCGTACGTAGAACCTGTTAAAGCGTTTCAATAACTAAAGGAATGCATAATTAAATCACAGACTAGAGACGGTTATGACAGATCATATTTTCGATGAACGATGAGATATACCGTTCCTTTTACGATTCTCCTCTCGTTCAATACGAAACGTTGCGTTTTCATCCGCGGAGAGAAGAGAAACCGAGGAATATCTTCCAGAGGAATATAAACAGTTTCTGCCGTACATTGCGATCCTTGACCCGATACCATAGCAGATCGTGACAAGTCGGTCCATTAGTGCATCTTCGCCTAAAAATCCTTAGATGATCGCTTAATATTTTGGTTATAAATGTATACACGAAAAAGCCATTAAGAGGAAAGTGATAGATAATTCGGCGAGCGATACTTTTCGTTCGTCCCGTTTCGACGATACTTGCCTGTTTCACGATCACATGATTTATTCACCACTTTCGTGATTGAGCCTTGGGAAAGTTTGCAAGAACTATTAAACTTATAATCTTCTCAACGAAGATTTCAATTACGACATTTGTGTAGAAAGCAAGACTAAGAATATATATTTCTTAAGACAGAATGGTTTTTCACTGTACCGCGTCTTCATCCCCGCCATTTTTTGGAATTGTTCGATTAATGTTCGACTACGAGACTCGTTTGTCGTTTACGATCGATCAGTGATATCGGTAAACTTCAGTTTGATTTTTGAGGTTATCTTACTATGAAAATGATACCAAACATGATTAAACGATTTTACGTTTAATTTCAGATCGATGCAACGAGAAATGCGTAAAATTGTACAAATATAAAATTTCATACTATATACAGGGTGTCCCAGAACTCGCGTAACACCCGGAAATGGGGGGTTGCTGGGATGATTCCGAACAACTTTTTCCTTTACCACAATGTTGGTTGAAACTTCGTTTTTGAATTATTAACGAAAAACACTGGCCAATCAGAGCGCGCCTTTAGCGCGGGCCGAACCACGAGAGCATTGGCTTTCAGCCGCGCTCGGTTGTGTTCGTGAACAAACGCATTGGCACAGCGTGGGTATCAAGAGAAGCGTATGTAGAGTTCCATCGAAGTTGTCGCACTAACACATTCACGCCACGACGGTGAGCCGATGGGCGAGGTGCCGACACGCGGTGTGAATGGGTTAGTGAATGTGTAGCCAACTTCACTGCGACAATTTCGATGGGACTCACAATCAGTATGAGTTGCATTGAACTTGTCGCAGTGAAGTTGGCTACAAGTTTACAAACACATTCACGCCGCGTCGGTAAGTGAATGCATGGCCAACTTCACTGCGACAAGTTCAATGCAACACACTGTACAATAATTGTTACATTGTTACATTAGCACGTTGAACGCCATGGGCGTCACCGGTGACCGGCTTCGCAATTTACACAAGCTTGAATAATTAAAAAAAAACAATAGAAAAATATTATTTTAAGTAATATTGCTATGGTACAAATAATGTGAAATAGCAAATAGAAAGCTTGAAACATGAAATTGGAAAATTAATTATTACTATCCCACAATAAATGCCCAATTTCACTGTGGCGTTCAACATGTTAAGAACAATATGGAATTAATCGCACGCTTCCCTCAATACCCACGCTGTGCCAATGCGTTTGTTCACGACCGGGACCGAGCGCAGTTGAAAGCCAACGCTCTCATGATTGAGCGCGCGCTCTCATTGGCCAGTGTTTTTCGTTAATAATTCAAAAACGATGTTTCAACCAACATTTTGGTAAAGGAAAAAGTTGTTCGGAATCACCTCAGCAACCCCCCATTTTCGGCTATTACAGGAGTTATGAGACACCCTGTATAGAGTTTATCTAAATATGAACCCCTATGCCTCTAAATATTAAATCATTTAAATCATGCTTCATATAAAAATAAAATGGATCAAACAACAAGATGTTATCGTTGCTAATGGTCATGTACTTATGTATGTATAAATTCACGCGAAGATGAATAATAATTAAGAAGAAAAGCAGTCGGGTGTCGGTAAAGTTGAAATGTAACACGATCGACTAGAATCGCGCCTTCGAAGGGTCTTAAAAACGAATCAAGGCCACTACACCAGTCTGAAACCGCTTTCTGGTTGCTGGTTAGTGACCTATACCCATCCCGGGACACCAAGATTTCGATTATCGTGCATGGACTCTAAGCTCCTTCCTTCCTTCCATTCCTCTTTCTCTCCCTTTCGCTTCTTTTTTTTCTTTTCTTTTTCTCTCTTCCGCTCTTTCTTCTATTCTGTCGTTGGCCACCTGGATATCAGGACCTATCTTCACTGTTTCATCTTGCCCAATTTTTGCGTAGGTGTCTCATGAATAAATACAATTCCCTTAATTATTTAAAATTTATTCCTGTTAGCCAGCATTAGTTACGTTTGCCAATCTTTTTTAAGCCATCGACTTTGATCTTTATATTTGTCTTCTACATGCGTTAAGGGTTGCTGAAGCGCTGCTACACATTTTTAAATCATACTCTGCTTTTTACATAATCGCTGCCTATACCGTAAAAGACCTAGAAATACCTATTTATTATATCGCCCTTCTATGCCTCTTAAAGAAAAATTCATAAATTCATAAAGGATAACTTTGGATAATTTAAAAAAAAAGTAATGAAATGTTAAGGAACCTTTGTGAGAATGATGAACCATTGTAAGAGGCAAAAGGTAAAGGATAAAGTGATCCGGGGCCAATGTCTTTTTTCTTAGGAAGTAACGACCTTCAAACTTCTGAGACTTTTATGATTCCTGCGCAGAAACATTATAATGAAATGATATGCCGTCGTAAGATTATTTATAATGAATGAAGAAAAAAAAAGAGAAGAAACTTTGTCAATAAAATTCTGTCATCCACAGACTCTCAACGTTTATGTAATAATTACACGAGACAGAAGGAAAATTTCTTCGATATTTCCTCGAGGAAATAACTGTCGTTAGCAGGATCCATCTGTCGTGGACAGATTTTAACCCCCGTGATATTAGCAGTATAAAAGTATGCTGTTCTCAGCATTTCAGAACACTTCCACCTAACGCGTCTGGTAGAAGCATTACTTGCACTGCTAACAGTTGTTCCGTTGGAAAAAAACAGGTAACTTTAAATAAAATTTTACATTCTTAAAATATAATAAATTGATACTGAACTATTGGAAAAGGAATTGGTAGGAAATATTCTATATTCTTCTATTAATCCTATGTTTAGATACGAGCCATGGCATCGACAAAGTACGTGATCATCGTAATTATGATGCTGGGAGTAGCATACCAAGCTTTAGGAGTAGCTGAAGAGTCTAACAGAAATCTTGTAGGTCCGAACTTCCCGTACGGCAGAGGACTGGTAAAAAGATGATATAACAAATTAATAAATATTAAGAAGCAATTGTATTACATTCATAATAACAATAGTAAGTAGAATGTTGTCTTTACAGAATAACGAATTGCAACTTGCTAGACTGCTACTTCTGCCACAATGGCTCTGTCATCCTAAACGCAATTCTGAGCTAATAAACTCGCTGCTGGGTCTACCGAAAAACATGAACATCGCTGGAAAATAAAAGCTGCTGGATAACTATTTTATGAACAGTAATATATTTCATAAAATTCAGTGGTAATTAAATTGCGTTTTATTTATCATGTAAACTCCAAAAATCTTTGGAGCTTAATAAAAGGTTATCGGTAATAAATAAATGTAAAAGAGTATGCTGTTGTTGATCTTTTCTTCAACCAACTAGAAAGCAATCACTGTTATTTCAATTCGCACAGAATTCGTCGTTGTATCTAAAACTTTAAATGAAAACCACCACCGACAGGCGGTTGTCTTCCACCTTCCATAAGACCCATGTGAAAACCGGAATTACTTAAATCAGCATCATCACCGTCTCCTAATTGTTTGTACTCTTTTCCACCGCTTGGCGGTTTCGGCGAAGCATTTGCCGTTCTCAAACCAAGCTCTGACTTGGCCGGCCACGTAGGAAACATTTGTGGATCTATCGGTAAAGGTGCTTCTGTAAAATAACCATGTTTCACAGCATCTTCTGCTGATATTCGTTGTTGAGGGTCGTAAGTGAGAAACCTGAAAACATTTGTTCAAATCATGACAAAGAACGAACGACATTAATCTTTAAAAATAGAGTTAATCAAAGAGGAAAACATACTTGTTTAATAATTCGATACCCAAATCTGAGAGAGACAAACTAAAACGTTGCCTCAAATTGTTTACAGGATAATGAGCAAATGGAATCTTTTGCACCATTGGTAGTTTACTGTATCCTGGCCATATACGATCATTCGGTGTACCCAATTCCTTGAATATCCTGTTTAATTGATCAATTTCAGATTTACCTGGGAACAGTGCCTCCATTCTTAGTAACTCTGCAAAGATACACCTAAAAAGACATTATTTTGTTAGTGACAATACTAATGTAGAAAACAATGAGGCTGTACTTCCGAAAACCTCCATGCTCCAAATTGGCTGGAATTTTGGAAATAGGTTTTTTTTTAATAAAAATGATAATTCCAAGAAAGATTTTTGGTGACTCGAGAAAAAATGTTTTATCATTTGGGTGTCGTTCCCTACTTTACCGACGCAATTATAACGGCAGGAATACTTGAGGCAGATTTGAAGGCGGTTCTGATGCTGTAAAATCTGCTATTTTCAATTGTAATACTAGAATTACAATGTATCATCAATTACTTGATGATATTAATTATGTATATTCTGCATATCAATAAAATTTTTATACAAACCTAATCCAACCTTTAACTTCAATGAATTACGCATGCTAAAATCATTGATATCAGTTAAGTTTGATTTTTAAGTCCATCCGTTATGTCTATTGGTTTTTAACTCTTACGATGGCTTTGTAGAAAGCGTAGACAACAGTAGATGCTATGCCAGTAAAATAGAGAGTGACATTCATGTGGTAACATTTTTTTTCGAGTCGCCAGAAATCCTTCTCGCAATCATCATTTTTATCAAAAACGAATCTATTTCCAAAATTTGAGCCAATTCGGAGCATGGAGGTTTTCGGAAATTTAACCAGATATGAAAAATAAAGTACATCGTTTTTCTTACCCAACTGACCACATGTCGACCGGAGTACTATATTCTTTCTCGCTAAGCAGTAATTCAGGAGCTCTGTACCAAAGTGTTACAACAATCGGAGTATACTGTCTTAGAGGAGAACCGTATTCCCTAGCTAAACCAAAATCACCAACCTTCAAAACACCGCGATGACTTAACAACAAATTCGACGTTTTCAAATCTCGATGCAGTATCCAATTATCGTGCAAATGTGCAACTGCTCGCAGTAATTGTTGCATAAGACACTTAACCTCTCCTATAAAAAAGATACTCGTATTCTCATTCTGTACTATATTTTCTCTATAGGGTATACAAAATTTACCTGGTATAAAAACTTGTTTCTTTTGTTTCATTGTTTCCATCAATGATTTCAAATCATGCTCCACATAATCCATTACAATAAATATTTTATCCATGTTACTACCAACCACTATTTCTCTGACAGTAACGATATTTGGATGCTGTGCCTGTAGCAAAGTGTTTATCTCCCTAAGACTGGTAATCGGGAATCCTTCTTTTTCCTTCTCCATTTTTAATCGCTTAAGAGCAACAATTTCATCCGTACGTTTGTCTCGTGCTCTGTAAACTACACCGTAAGTACCCTCCGCGATACGGTTCAAACACTGAAATTCTTCCACACTTCTACAACCTGTAAAACATATTTCATTGTACAATATGAAGATTAATCGTAAGTGTATACATATAAAAAGTCTGGCTTGTTTACCTTGAATCGCTGGTAAATACGGTGGCAATTCAGGCTCCTCTTCTTTCTTCTCCTCTTCCTCGACAATCTTTGTCGCGCCGTTCGAATCAACGTGACCAGGTGATTCTCCGTCTGAGTGATCCGATTTGGCTAACCGATCCACGGATAACGGGCTTGGATTATTATAATCGGAACCATCATTGGAGTCAGCGTTAGAACCTTTATTCGAATCGTTCGACTCATCGTCGTCCTCACTGCTAGACTCTGATGAATCAGAAGAATGTCTGTCTGAAGATCTTTCACGGATACTCCTTTGACCGTCGGATGAATGCCTGGACCTACAAAACAATAGTCAATAATGTGGTATCAAAGTTTTCAAAATACAGTAAAACCTCTATAAGTCATCACCCGGATAAGTCGTCATTTTAAAATTTACATGGTCGTCAAAATTTCTTGGTCCCTTGAGTGACGACTTATCGAAATTTTACTGTATTCTATTAGAAAATTTATGAAAGCTTACTCGATAGATTTAGAACGAACTTCGTCCGAGTGAACCGGGCTTGGACTTTCATCTGAAAGTTCTACGACAGACGGATCTTGATTGTTATCAGGGCTTAATGGTCGTTTTTCTCCTCTTTTCATTCGTCGCGCTTGCAATTCTAATCTGGAGACTTCTTTCCTCCTGGCCATTTCTCTGTCAGCTTCTAACAATCTTTCCTTTCGAAGCTCTTGCTCGGTCATTTCCTTTGGATCCTTTGGCTGCATCGGTATCTCATTGATTTCCATATCATCAGCGTCCTCTGTAACAATTTCCATTGCTTCACGTAACTGTTTCTCTCTGTGCTCTTTTTCACGTTCCGCTTTTTCTCTGTCTCTATCACGAAGTCGATCGTGCTTATGAGATCTCTTGTGTCGTTTCTCACTTCTTTCAGGTCGCTCCATCAGCTCTGTTTCCGAGTATTGCTCCTCCATTACTCTCATGTGTCTGTGATCCTCTATGCGTATCTCACGGCGCTCTCTAACGTCATCCGCGATGGTACGTACTTCGCGACGTTCTCGCATGTCTTCTAATCGTATTTCTCTACGCTCGCGCGATTCGCGTAACTCGCGAGTATCTTCTATACGAATTTCCCGACGAGTTTCTACTTTGTAATCTCGCATGTCTCGTGAATCTTCTCGCCTTTCTCGTCTTTTGTCCAGTAATCTGTAAATCAAATATTTTAATAAGTAATAAACCAAGAATGTATCAATTCTTTATAATTGGTAAATTTTTATACCGCTCTCTCAAATCCTCCAAAACACGATCACCTGTACTTCTCTCTTTCCTATCGTGCCTAGATTCTCTTTCTCTATGGCCTTCCATTCTTTCCAACCTTTCTAATCTTTCCCTATCCCTTTTAGAACCGTCGGAACGATCTGATCTCTCTAAAATGTCCATGCCGTGTCTACGATGTCTGTGTTTATCTCTATGCCTGTCTTCCCCGCGTTCGTGATGCCGTGACTTTCGTTCTTTTTCTTCCCTACGATCTCTCCTATCACCATGCTTATCTCGTCTTCTCGAAGAATTTGATTTATAATGGCGAACAACAGCCTGCGGTGGTTTTATATCCAAAGAATCAGCGGTATCTCCACCGTCCTCCTCTGAAAAGCTTTAAGTATACTTTTCTCAAAATGACTAACGCACAGATACACAAAAATGACTTATTAAAGTAAATAAATCTTTTTCTATTGGATCAATTTAAAGAAAAATAAATTTTAGAGCTAGAAACATTATTATTGGCTGAAAACCATAAGAAGGTATAAAATTATATGGTGAAAAACTTATCATAACCAATTTAGAGTGAAGATAAGATTAATTAAAATGAAGTATCACGTTATTCGATACCTAAAATCTTCCATGTCCTTTGAGGGGCTTTTTTTTATTTCTCCGTCTTCGCTTTGGTTATCAATATCCATGTCAAGTCTAGTTTCTGACATACTATATATACATAAATTTATTCACTTTTATTCGATGCTTCTCTGTACATAATTCCGAATAAATGAAAAATGAAACACAAACATTCCCATTCGCTATGTTGGAGAAATAAATTAGACTTTACGCGTGATGCTTTCGATTAGCAACACTTGGCAACACTGTAACTGTTGTAAGAAAATGACGCTAGGAATCTTACGAGTGTTCGTTTGATTCGTTTCCATACATTTTATCGATGCTTGATTTATAAATAAATAAACAATTTATTCCACGTTCAATGTCTACTGTCTGTTTTCACTGACGATTACTACGAACCGTTGGTTAATTCCGATGGAACTTACCACCATTGCTTACCACGCGTATATATGTATATATGTATATAATACATATGTATTTCTTTGATCAGTTTACAAAAAACGATCTTTCGAGGATTAGAAGTTTCTAAACATTTTTCGTCAATATTCCATTGTTTCTAAAATTTTCGTTGATAACTGACAATACAAAGGATTGTAAGTCATTATTTCAAATAAAATATGAATTTTAACATAAAAAAATTACGTGACGCAACTACTTTCAACCATGAATATTTGCCCAAAGACAAATCGTCACAAATACGTGATAGCTGGTGATAGCGAAAAGTATGTTCAACGAACAAATCCGTTTTCTACGAGTTTGACAGATAATCAGCTGTCAGTTTACCGAAATTTCCAAAAGATAACAATTTAATAAATAATTTACCATGGAAGCGGTACCGCGGTTACCTATGATATCTTTTCAATTAAAAATTAGTCCGGAACCCACTACATTTGGACCAAAGTTGAAACAGGTATCAACAATTGATACTTTGAATCATAATATTATTAATTTTTACTATTTATTTTTATTATTCGAAGTATCAAATTATTGTTTTTCTTTTACTTGTTTTAATTGGATAATCATTTATTACTTCATAGCAATTCATCCAAGTTAAATGAAATTATAATGATTTTTATTATATCTCATCTTTCAGTATATACGTGATTTTTACAATGAAGATGCAGAGTCATACACAAACGAAATACATCAGTTGGAAAGTTTACGGGCAATGGCTATACGACCACCCATAGATATGGCAGGCTGTTTATTGTTAAAAAAATATTATTGTCAGTTACATTTTCTTCAGAGTAGATTTCCTATGGGAAAGGATGGTGCAGCAGCAATTACGTTTACATGGTAAAAGAATGCTTAGATATTGGAATTTAACAAAGGTCAATAACCTAAATATTTGTGATTTCTATTAGGAGAGACACATACGCGAACATGGTTTGTTCGCTAGCAAATATTCGTTTTGAAATAATTTCAATCTTGTATAATATCGGTTCGATGCATACTCAGCTGGGTGCGCGTACAGAAAGGACATCTGCTGATGGTATGAAGATGGCTTGTGCTCATTTTCAGTGCGCAGCATGGGCGTTTGAGCATTTGAAAAATAGCTATCCACAGCCATCTGGTGTGGATTTAGCGCCGGAATTAATGACATTTATGCATCAACTTTGTTTAGCTCAAGCTCAGGAATGTATATTAGAAAAGAGTATGCTTGATAATCGGAAACCTACCATTGTAGGTAAGTATGAAACAAATAAAAATTGCATAGATATATTAAACTTTTTGTGGCTTTAATTGTCTGCTCTTGTGTATCATTCTACAAGATATATGTATCATGCAGCAAAAGTCGCAAGACAGATAGTGGATTATTTTACTCTGGCATTAAGTACGCTTGAACAAGGTGGAAGCGAAGATGGAACAATTTCAGATACAGTTGGTACTAAAATTTATAAGGTACCTACCGAAATTATTTTCCATAATGGAATTATGAAATGCTAAAAGATCAACTTTCGTTTTTCCAGAGCTGGAAACGTTATGTAAAATTCAAAAAGGCTTATCACCTAGCTGTTACTCATTTATATCAAGGATTGGCAGCTGAAGAACAAAGAAAAATGGGAGAAAGAGTAGCATTTTATAACGTTGCATTAGCGTCTCTAAACGAAGCGCAATTAATTTACACAAGTGCAAAAGGTTCGATCGGTATAACCGGGTCGGCCGAGGAGAAAACAATCGTAGAAGAGGCGCTTACATTCACGAATGACGTGATAGAAGGAAAACGTAAAGCAGCGAAAAATGAAAATGAATTTATATACCATGAGGAAATACCTGAAAAGGAAACACTACCCACAGTAAAGGGTGCTTCTTTAGTTAAAGGAATATCGTTCAGTATTAATGATCCTGAAGTTTCAGGCCCTGATATATTTGCCAGGTAAGTATTGTCGGTTGGATTTAAGAAAATGGGGTACTCCCCGATCGAGCTGATTTTTTTCCCATAGATAGCCCTTGATCTATCGATTCCAATGGTGGTCATCCTATCCCATAACTCTCCCCTCTCCCCCACCAGGGGTCAAAAACTGAAATGGTCCAAAAAGTGGTTTTTTGCACCGATCTCAGTGAGTACATAATTTCCAAAAAATTTCCTATGAATTACTGAGTTTGAATTACTTGTAGGATCATTTCAGATTGGGTTAGGTTAGGTTAGTATTTTTTATTTTTATTTCTTTTATTTTTTAAAAATTTATTTTGGGAATGATGTACTCACTGAGATCGGTGCAAAAAACCACTTTTTGGAATCATTTCAGTTTTTGACCCTTGAGGGAGCGGAGGGTGAGAGTTAAGGGATAGGATGACCACCATTGGAATCACCAGGTCAGGGGCTATCTATGGTAAAAAAATCAGCTCTATCGGTGGGTACCCCATTTTCTTAAATTCAACCGTATGGTCAATAAAGTATTACAAATTTGGCTTCATTATTTTTTCTATTTAACACAGACTGGTACCAATGAAAGTACACGAAGCAAGTTCTTTATACTCGGAAGAAAAAGCAAAAATACTACGATCCGTTGGTAGTAAGATCGAGGAGAAAGATCAGCAGCTCAATACGTATTTGACATCTTTGAAATTAGAGCACCTGAGTTTATGGGATCCGGATGTTCAAACCACAGAATGGGAGCGTTTACCCCTTCCCGACGAATTAATTGAGAGATGCGCAGCCTTAAATGCGAAACAACACGTCATTCAAGAACTGATTGACATAATGGAAAAATTATCGAATACCAGCCAAGATGTCGAGAAGATATTAAAAGAAATCAAAAAACTTCTTCTCGACGAAGAATTAAAGTTACCATCTAATCGTACAAAAATTTTAAGTAAAATTAATCGTAATAATTAAAGTAATCGAGTTTCTTTCATTCTTGTAGAGAAAAACAGTATCAGGATGCAGTTGGAAAAAGACCGCCGTCGATAGTGGCTACCGATTTAACCAGAGAAGCTAAAAAATACGAAGAGGCTCATAATAAAGCTTCGGAAAGTAATCATGCTCTTCACAAAGCGATAACAATGCACGTGAAGAATTTAAAAATACTTTCCCAACCTCTCGCCGAGCTTATGAACCATGTACCTTCGCCGAGCGCATACCTATCAGGTATTTTACATATTTAATATATATTATTTAAATAATAAAATATATTGAATTAATTAATATAAAATACTTTTATTTAAATGAAAGTTTTAAGTGGAAAATAATTTTATTAGATTTAAATTTAGTGCCAGCAATAGCGGTTAAACTAGATTTAAAAATTAATTTAAAATAAATAATAATTTAATAATTAAAATCTATAATTAATAGTACATATTGCTGATTTATGTCAATTTTTTCTGGTAGAACAAAACACTGAAAAATCTCATACCGCGATTGAATTGGAACGAATGCATACTAAAGAATTAAAACGCATTCTAAATAAAGTGGACGAGATGCGTAGACAAAGAAATGAATTGCATACGAAATTACGGGATTCAATCGCACAGGATGATCTGACGCGTTTGCTAGTTACTGCTACGTCCGATTCTGGACCCTTGGATCGTTTATTTGCAGATCAACTTAGCAAACATCAAACTCTAGTTAGTACATACGTTTCTATAAAATCTGGTCTATTTTTGTTCCGTTATAAAGGTTATTTATGAAAAGGAATTTACCATTACAGGTAACATTGTTGGAACAAAATTTAGCTGCACAGGATAACATTTTAGCAGTATTGACTGATTCGTATGCTCAAACTGCTAATGTGCGGAAAGGAGTCGAGGAGATACTGAAACGTCGAGAGCACATTATCTCTTCCTTAATTAGTTCTTACGATGCTTACGAAGATTTATTGGCGAAATCCAGCAAAGGGCTTGAGTTTTATAGAAAGTTAGAAATAAATGTTTCAAAATTACTTCAGAGAGTGAAGAGCACGTGCAAGGTACAGGAAGAAGAACGCGAGCATATACTTGCTCAGGATAGTAACAAAAATTCCCAAGAAAAGAGCGATACAGTGATATCCGCTAATTACGATCAGATCCGTAGTCGAGCCGGTAGCGGGCTTAAATTAAAGGATTACTTAAACAGCAGAACCGAGAATATTCCAAATCAATATTATAATATATATAAAGGACAGAAACAAGGTCAAGTAGACGCAACGGTAAAATCATACATGAACGATGCAATGGATAAAAGTGCAGCGGTGCATTCGGCTGGCATTCCTGTATTGGATGCAATGTCAGCTGCAAAAATGCAGCAGTATTATCCCACAAACTACACAGATTATAAAACAAGTTTGCCTTATCCTCACGAAGCTTCTGCGTACAATGAAAATGCCATCACTGCGAGCAGTGGTTTAAATCAAAATTATATGCAAATAAATAACTCGGATCCTGCAAATGCTTATCCACAAATGATTGCAACGAGTACGGCTACTGATATAGCAAATACAACTGGGCAGTATCCAGTAAATTCTTTTCCATCGAATGGACAGTATCCTGTAACTATGGATGGACAACACGCGTATTCTAATACTCAAGCTCAGTATAACTATCCCGGAATTACATTGCAATACGATACGTATCAGCCTTCGATCGATTACGCCGAATACAATGTTGCTCAGCAATATTCTAATCTAGATAAGACTGGTAATATCATTCAGAATGAAATAATTTCTCAAACGTCGACAGGAGCACAAGCGTCTATGCCTTCGTCGAGTATAGTTAATAAAACGGCGGATATACAGGCGCATCATTATGCTACCATGAATCAACAGGTAGCGCAACAATACAAGCCAGAACCTCAGTCAAACCTTGTTCCACAAGAATCTCTTCAGGCCGTTAGAGGTCAACATGTAATACCGGCTGATAGTCCACAGATACAAAATTATACGCTTCCCCAAGTTAATCAGAATGAAATTGTCTGTTCTCAAAATTACGGACCTAAGATGTACTACAATGTACCTGAACAATATTCTCAGCAAGTGACGACAACTCAGAATACGTCCGAAGCTACGAACATCGCTGCTACTGCTCATTATATACCAACACAATATATGAACACAAACGTCCCTCAGTCTGTTCATTCTACGACTTCGTTGACCGTTCCAGTGAACAACATACCTACTTCGTATGCTTCGAATTTACACAATTCCAGTATTGCACAATATCCGCAACAGAATGCTACGGAACAGAGTAAAATTTATACGGATATAACGTATCAATATGGATCACAGGTACCTATCAACGATACCGCATTAAATTATCCTAGTACTTATCACAGTTTACAGCACGGAAGTGGAGTTTCGTATACACAGGCCGTGTTACCCACGGAAGCCTGTAACACCTACTCGTATACAAATTGTTCTACCAATCCTGAAATAATTCAGAGTCATACAAAATCGTCTACGAATATCCATAATTACTCGCAAGCATACCAATATCCTCAACAATCGCATTATTACGAATACGTTGATTATCCAAATATGTACAATCAAAGGAATAATTACATGCAAAGAACGCAAGGAACTACTGTAATGACAGAACCTTATAAACATCAAATGGGTTACACGTATAATACTACTAGTCAGTGTTACGAATACAATCCCAGTAACCTTCAGGCCTCGCAACCACTTCAAGTGTCGTCGCAACAATCATCGGAATCAACGTCGGAAACAAGCTTAAACGTTTACCAACAACAAGAAAGTAACGCGAGATACACGAATGCTAGCAATAATTCTATGGTCAGTCAGACTCCATCTTCTCAATATTCAGGACAAGGGTACCAACCTCAGAGTTCAAGTGATATTTATTATTCTACACCTTATGGTCTTCAAATGCAAAATCAAGGGTCTACCAGTAAAAACGAAAATTATACTAATTACAACCAAACGTACATGCAAGCTGTTAACAATGGAACAAGTACAACGACTAGCGGAAATCCTACCAAATCTACCACGAAATCATCAGAGAAATCCAATGTGGATTTACTTTCTGACCTCGACGTTACGATAAATCATGCACCCTTAGTGCCAGAAGTACGTCCCCTTAAAGTTCAACAAGAAGAAGCTGTACCAAAAGATGTGGTTAATGAGAATGATAAAGAGAAGAGAAAGGAGAACGAACAATCCAACACTCAGCCTGCTACTGTAATTGAAGATAAAATGGAGAATGAAAATTTGCAAATTGTATGGGATACATGGTCGAACGATGTACAACCGAAAAAAGATCCTTTAGGAGATCCAGCAGCGTTACAAAAATTTATTAGTGAAGTTGAAAAATATGAAAAATTTGTTGATAGCCTACTTGTCAAAACATTAAGCGGAGCAATTAATCTTGATATAAAATGGAAAGAAGTTCAAGAATTTGAAGTAAGCTTTTAGAAATATAAAACATCCTGTTTATAACGTTATTGAGGTACGTCTTTTAATTTCAGGAAAGAGAAAGTGGAAAACAATCGTGTACAGTAGCATTAGCGCATTCCTCCGAAAATAGAACAACGGAATGTATTCCTTATGATACAACAAGGGTACAAATATTATCACCGGATGTTTCAAATTACATCAATGCTTCCAACATCATGGAAATTACACAATGGATACCGATAACATTTATCATTACTCAAACACCGCTACCAGAGAAATTGGAAGTGTTTTGGACGATGATTTGGGAACAAGAAAGCGAGATAATCGCCTGTTTGGTATCCGATGCACAGGTAAGTTTATATTTTACGCGAATACATAGATTCTAAAATCTAACAAGGGGAGTGCACGGTAGTAGAAATCGCTTTTGGAATGGCACTAGGTGGAAGTTGTAATATACATATAGGGTTACAAAACCCTAATGGGTTTCTTCAGAATGGGCCTTCATTTTTGAGATATTTTAATGTAAAGTTTCTGGTATCCTCGCGTATATGGTGTCATGCAGGTAAGTGTTGTTCCCAGGACAGTTCCGGGGCTGAAGTGGTAGAGCGGGTTCGAATCCAAACTTGTGAATAATATTTTTTTCTTTTTTTTTACTAATTTTTGTTGTGAAAGTATACTTCCATATTATACACATTATATGGTATACGTTATACATTATTTTACATAAATTTTAAAATTACAAATGCACTTATAACATAACATTTTCTTATTCTAATCCTATTTTTCACCAGTGTTTTTATATTTTTGTATTGTGGAAATATTTGCCCATTCTGAAGAAACCCATTAGGGTTTTGTAACCCTATATGTATACTACAACTTCCACCTAGTGTCATTCCAAAAGCGATTTCCACTACCATGCACTCTCCTTGTAAACTAATACGTTTCTATTTCTTCACAGTTAAACAATGAAATATATTGGCCTATAAACGAGGAAGATATTCTAAACGTTGGTAGCTTTACAATTTTATTGAAGAAAAGAGTAAATCATATTTCTTATATCCAGAGAATCATTTCTATACATAATACTAAGAAAAAATTAGAAAAGACTGTGGTACATATGCAGTTTCTTGCATGGCCTACCAAGTAAGTCTTTAACGCACATTTGCTTTTTACTTTCAACCTGAATCACAACTTCGTGCTTATGTAACATTTTATTATTTTCAGTGGTTTCCCTAGCAGTCCTGGCCCATTGCTTACATTTGCAACAGACGTAATGACAGAACAAGCATTGAGACGTTGTTCAAAACCAATAGTGGTACATTGTTGGGACGGTGGAGCATTAAGTAGCTTGTTCCTTGTAGCAGCATCAACGTTGTGTCATATACGTGCTGGTTGTGGAATAGTCAATGTACCACTTGTATTCAAGGGGCTTTTGAAGTGTCGTAAACAAGTTGTAAATAAGGAGTCCCTGCTATTTGCGTATCAGCTAGTATTGTATCATGCTCAAGACATTTTAATGAAACGTAAAGATTACCTTCTTATCGTCTTCAACTTATTTTAAATGAATGAACTAAAAAGAAAAAAACCGAACACGCTTCAAATTGCAGGTGGTATTTTATCGTCTACTCGTTCAACGTTTGAAAACTTCGAAGGATTCAAAGGAAGCAAGGACAAAACATCGAGGAAAATGCATCCTTCCGATGATTTCCTTCAAAGTCTTGGTATTAATGCCCAGCGTTCCGATGATGAGCATCAAGGTATGTTGCTATGGTAGGAATTAATGTATGTAAATTAGGGATGTGCGGCCCGACTAATGTGCCGGGTTCCCGACTAGTCGGGTCGGTTCGGAAAACATCGGGCGGGCTCGGGCGAGCGTCCAATACATGCGCGCAGTCGGGTAGCCCGACTATTTCGGGTTCGATCGGGTACAATCGGGCTGACTCGGACGAGCTCCCGCGGCCCGCGATCCAACTGTTATGTAAGTACTGTCCACCGATCACAAGTCCCATGAGAATAACGCAGTCTGATTGGCCGCGCCCCACCTCAACTCACACGTGACGTCGGCCGTAACGTATGATTGGTCGACGCGGTCACATCTACTAATCAGGCTCGTGTCAAACTAAGGGGTCAGTCGATGCATGCGTAGTATCTCCTCTTGCCCCTCTGCCGTCCTCCACAATACTTATGTTAATATGTACTTGTAATAAGCATGTGCAAAATCTGTTTTATATGGAATTTTGGAATAAGATAATTTTTATTACGTGGAAAAATAATACTTGTAAAATACATGAGAGTTGGCCCGCGGGAGCTGGCCATAATCAACCTGGTCCGAATCAACCCGACTGCACTCATTTATCGGACGCCCGCCCGAGCCCGTAATATCTAGTACCCGCACTTCCCTAATGTACAAGAAATCGTTATTTCTGGTAGTGAAATATGGTTTGGAACTTTAGGTCGACAAAAAGGTAGTATCAGTAGCGGTGCAGCTCATTCAACTTCAACGTCGATTCAAGAAAAATCTAAAGAAGGAACAGCGATTGACCCTTTAAGTCAACTAGATCCTTTATGGTCTATTAGAAGATAATCGAACATATTTACAAACGAAATTTTACTATGCACCAATTAATAAATTTATTATTTAATTGAACATTTCCATTCCTGTTTCTAAACTTAACAGTAATAAAAATATTAAGGTGGTTATTATTACGGCAGTGTATAAACGATGCAATTCATATTAACATAATTGACTTGGTATCCGAAGCAAAAGACTTATTGTTCAAATATTTCTTAATATTTAAGTTTTAAAGATTTTACAGTCTGCGAAACAAATAAAAATCTCAAATAAAATATATGTATAAAAACAAATTCTGTCTGTTCACATTTATTTTTTTACTCTCACCGGTGACCACGCATGTCTGTACACGTTTACAAAACAAAAGCTATGAGTACAGACATGCACCTTGAAATATATGAACCGTAAATTTTACAGTATCGCGCTTCACCGGGTTCCCACCCCTCCTCGAAAGCGGACCCGAGGAGAATGACAAAGGCTTATCCAAGAACTTAACAAAATCGTATATACTACAAAGACCATTCAACATACAAGTGTTGGAATATATTTTAATAGACGCTATTAGAATAAATATGTTGTTCGCTTTTTTCGTTCGAAACAAATATTACTTTCAAAACTAAATTATCTTATGAATCGATAATTACATTTACTAAATTAATGTTTATGGCGAGGATTTTATACGTCTTTTATAAAAGTTTCGATTGCACTGCTGTTCATAGAAATATGTAATTCTGTATTTAGTGCCACGTTGGTATCTTATAGATAATTATAAAACTTATAAGTGAATGGAATTTTATGAAAAAATTTACAAAAGTTGTGGTACCGTTACTCCTTTGTTACTAATTCATCATTTTTAAATTCCTCTATTTTTCAAATCTTTCACTTTGTAAATTCGTACAAGCCAATGTTCTGTGGTGTAGGCTTCTTCTAACGTATCTAACTCAAAATCTTTATTACCGATTTCCATATTTCTGACTCTGTCATACCCAGAAGGTTTTCCTGTTTAATGATTAAAATTATTATAAATAAAATATTATACACTGTATTTATACTAGTGACTTAAATGGTTAAAAAAACTTACCCCCTTCGGTATAAACCTGACCAAATCTATAATAACACATTTTGTACATAAGACAATTGAGCAAAACTGGAGAACCCTCTTTATCAACTCTGAACTCCCCTGCTGAATTATAATAATCCCATTCTGTTATTGATTTTCCTTTTTCAGTGCTTCCACCGATCCGTACCATCCACAGGAACTTATTAATATCTGAAATTGTAATCAGTTGAAATGTAGAGTTACATTTTTAGTTACTTCATCTGATTTTTGACCTTACCGTCGGACGAATAGCCCGTAAGTCCTCCAAAAATAACAAGAACATAATTAACATCTAGTTCTCTCATTATTTCATAAGCTTTCTCCTCAGAACTTGCCATTGCCTGACCAACCCTTGATATGTGAGTATTATTCCATGTATTATTGTCCACTAAGATCGTACGATTCGCCATTGCTGTGATCTGATATCCATAATCCCACCAGGACATCACCTTGGCATTCTGCATTTAAAAAATACAGTTCCAAATGTTATACATGACAATTTTATTTCTTTGTTTCTTTATTTCTGAATTATTCAAAATACTACGAAATTACTTCTGGTGTGTTCATGCGTAACCAGTAATATGCTTCTCTGAAATCATCGAATATCATTCGACCACCGTCGGGTGAACGTGCTGATAGTACAATACTAGGTGAACTATAAGCTTCCGCTGTAACCCATGTACAGTGAATGACATATGAAAAGAACAGAATGCACATTAGGGTTATGAAAAACGTAGCAATCTGAAAACGAATATACAGACATATATTATAACATTTATTTCATTGTATGTGTGTGTGTGTGTGTATATGCATGTATATATTTTTATTACGATTGATATTATTACCTCACTTCTGAGTACGTAATTACTTTCAAACTTTTTAGACTTTTTATCGCTAACTTTTCCTCTGTCTAATTGTTTCATGTAAGTAACAAGTAAAGAGGAGGCTCCGATTCCACCCAGAATACACATTACAGGAGCAAGGACTAACATCAAACGAACCATTACACCCTGCACAATTCAAGAAATATTCAAACATTAACTTCAATTTCTTTGCAATGTAAATTTGAAGTACAATTATACTCACAGCAAAGTACAAACTCGTGACTCCATATAGAATAAGAAAAATATTAGAGTCCGTTAATTTTGAGAAACAAAAGTATAAACCTAATGGAAATAAGAACACTAAAATCTGAAGATCGAAGTAAAACGAGCTCCACGATGTTGGTTGATGCTCCGAAACGGAAGCAATTATGGGTATATGATTTTTTGCGTAAGATGGATCCAAAAGTGAATAAAAACGTCCGGTCCAAGGCGATATTTTTCCTTAAATAAAATCAATAAATTTAGAAGTTAACTTGCCTCGTAACTTATGAAAAATCATTGTTTAACATTATGTATACCAGTTATCGTTAAAATAACGCCCAAAACGAATGAAATGGTGACAGCAGAAATAACAAGTCCACGGAATAATACTTCAAAGTCGTCCTGTGACACTTTACTGCGTAAATAATCAACTAGAGCATGAATCTGACAAAGCCCAAAAACTCCTAATGCCTGTAAGTAATAAAAGGTAGATTTATACGAAACATTTTTTTAATTTAAATTAATGCAACTGTAGCTTATACTTACAAGCATGTGCTCAGAACTTTGAACAGGTTGAAATCCAACAAATGATATTTGCATGGATAAAATTGTTCCTAAACAGTATAAAATACTGTATGCAACGTAGATTCTATGAGAAAATCTACCAGTTACCATTAACGTTAAAACGTGTAAAGGAATTAAATTAATCAGAAACACGTAACCACCCCAAGAAGACACCATATAAAAATATGCAAGAGCAGCGCACGTAGCCCAATAAATTGCTCCTGTTTTAACCGCTTTGATCCACATGTAATATGTAAATAACATACAAAAGATAGCTATGCCCTCGTTATCGTAAGATCCTGCCACTGATCGTGATATATAACCAGGAACAATTGCTATCATAGCTGCAGCGAACAATCCTGATGCAGAATCCTTCAAATTATGAATAGAAAAAAATGTATGATTTACTGTATTGGCATAATAAAAATATCTTATTTGAAAACCTTTACCTTCAGTTCTTTGGTAAGCATGTAAGTAATGATTGTTGTTAAACTAGAAAATAATGGAGCAAGGAAGACACAAATAGTACGTATATCTAAAGTAATATTTAATAACCATAAAAGTCGGTATAATGCTGCTGATGTTATCATTAAACCAGGATATATTGTTCCTGTGAAAAATATTAAACTTGTGTTATATTTATATTACAAAAACTAGATATATACAGTATGAATTAAAACGGCGCATACCTCCAATTATCCTGCCTAAAGGATACCAAACTCGATCATCAAACCAATTATGAAAACTATAAAATCCATTTTCAGCTAAGTACTTTGTTGTGCGATAGTTAAAATATGGATCAAATTCGTGAATAACGCTCTCAAATCTTAGTACTGAAAACAACCTTGTAGCAAATGCTAAAAAAAAAATAATATTTCATGTACAAATATATAAAATATTGTAAGAATATCTTCTGCAATTAGAAATCTTACATAATATTGCTGCAAGGGATAACACAGTCAATTTTAAAAGCGTTTCCTGCTTTTGCGCAGACATACGTAAACCTCTTGTCTTCATTAATGCAGTCATTTTGAGACTTTGAGGTACCTTTCCAAGCGGTCAAGCCACCACCTTTGTTTAATTCATCTACACAAAATGAAAAATATACATTACTTGTTTTGATATAAACAATATCCCTTATTCAGGATAAAAATTATAATTGTTTCACATGCCGAAATCCATCAAACATTTTAGAAATATAAACAGGAAGGATTTCTAATGTATATTAAAAAAACTATAATAACAAAAAGTGTTATGAAGAACACATGGCGTTTGTCATTCAACGTTAGGTTAAGCTTTCTTATTGATGTAAAGATGTTTAAAAATGTTCAATATTCAACACATCAAAATCTATTAATACAGCGGTGAAAATACTACTTCAATAAAGCATAGCATTTACGTGCTGAAAAATGAAATTACGAAAATTTAAATGATGCCGTCTATCTAAAAACTGACCACGTACACAAAATTACCGGCCGGCGACATATGTACATATATTCTGAATCATATATAATTTACTCTTCTGCATCGTACATTTGCGTAATTTTATAAATATTATGTAGGTCGTAATGTGAACTTACGAATTTATGAATCTTACAATATAAGAAAAGTAATAAAATAACAATATCATTTAAATTACTAACTCAGAACAGCGCGAGTCGAACGAAAAAAAGCATAGATCAAAATTGACTACTAGTTATCCTACTCGCATATCTGATAAAATGAAACAAATCACCGAATATAAATGTACAAATGTATTAATTGAGAAAATAAAGCAAAAGTATTTAAATTAAAGGCAATAGATATTATTTGGTACCACGAGATATAAAAATATTAATTTTTGAATTGAAAATAAAATTGCTTCCCGAAGATCCTTGCGTCATCTTGAACAGCCTCAACCGCATCCCCTCAGAGATACAGATACTATGCCGGTAAAATAGTGACATTCATGTGATAACAAATTTTTTTTCGAGTCGCCAAAAATCCTTCTCGCAATCATCATTTTTATCAAACAAGAATCTATTTTTAAAATTTGAGCCAATTCGGAGCATGGAAGTTTTCGGAAGTTTAGCCCTCTCTTCATACTGGGGAGCCGCACTCCCCAAAAATAACCACCCTTCGGTAACAAAGCATGTCCAGTCTTCTTGTATCTGTAGTCACTGCAATAAGTCTACGATTCCCGCCAGAGGACCGGTATTTGTATTATGTTGCACGAGATTTCTTTGCTTCTAGTAAATATAAGTACGATATTTAGCTCCAGCAGATTTACACTTTTATAACGTTTCATTTATTCTGCAAACATGTCTGAAGGTAATTTTTAATTTCTATGAGTATATATATTCTTTCAATACTAAATGAAATATCTAACCTTCACTGTGTAATACATGAGGATAAATTTTCACATTATTACAAAATATGTAATTGCATAAAATAATAACAAAGAACTAAATGTTTTCTTATATACATTATAGAAAAAGGAACAACAGAGGACATGTGGACTCCGTACAAGGAATTACAAAGTCTTGTAGAACGGTACATTACATCTTCTCCAACTACCCATGATCTTCAATATCATGAATTTATAGAAGCTTTGAGAAACCATAGACAAAATTTTCTTACTCTGTTAAAAAATCCTGTAAGTGATAGCGTAATGGGATTTGAGCAATATTACAAGTAACGATAAAAATGTTACAAATTTTTATGTTATGTGATTTAAGATGTATTTAATTGTAGCCTCCAAATGCAAATAGCCGGGAAGAAATAACGAAAGGAGCAATTGAGGGTATCACGCTTCCTGGCTTAGGATATCAATTATTATCAAAAGAATTAGTTGATGAAACGCTAATTATATCAGACATGTATGAGCTTAATGAATTCATGGCATTGGATCTTTTATGTACTGCCCAGTTGCAAATGTCTCATCATCCTGGGTTACCTCGGGGATTAACAGCTATTTTATTATACTATGATGGAAAGAAAGCACTCACGTCAACTTTAAGAATGCTGGTACAAGCTAGAATGGGACATAGCTGGAAAATCGATGCCCCGATTGCTCTTTTAAGACATATTACGGAATATACAAATAAATTGGAAAAAGATGGTTTATTACATAGGATTGTCTCTTTATTGGAAACCATGGATCCTTTGAAGGTATTTTAGGATACATACTAAAATTTTTATTATAAATCTACAGTAATTAAATTATTATTTCACATTTGATAGGAACAAGAATTGTTAGAGAAAAATCGTGCATTAGGAGGATCGAAACATCGTTATATGGTGATGAAACTTTACAACGATTCTAGACAAGACTTGGCCGACATTTTATATCTATGGTCTGCTCAGTCTTCATTGCCAAATGAAATCTTATTTCACTTGGTACCTTATTTACAAACAAAACAAATAGTATCCGAAGCAGGTGAAGGAGGTCCAGATAAAGTCACTCTTGCGATCATAATGAGTGTATTAAACGCAATTAATTTTAGTTCGTTACACAGTCGCGAGAACGGGGAAGGTGTAATAACATTTGTCATACGATCGTAGAAATAATTTTTATCTTGAACCTTGTTATACTATTCAGTGGTTTCTCCTTTTTTTTCCAGAATTGATAAATTCTATGCCGTTAATCGCAGAAAGAGGAGCACACGAAGAATTGTACAAGAAATTATCAGCTAACGTCAGTTGGGAAAATGCCGGATTGTGCGGAGTAATACAATTTGCATTTGCAGTTGCTTTGGCAACGATCAAGACTGCGAGCAGCGTGCAACTTTTGAACATAACCACAGAAGACGAAAGATTGTTGGAAACGGCTTTGTCGAATAAATGCTTTCATTTTATGGCCGAAGTATTGTTCAAGAACAAAATCATCTATTACGAAGAATTTTATATACGTTATTTTCACTCTCTCATTTCTGATTTTATATTGCTAATGCCTATGAAAGTGAAGGAATTGCGAAATAGAGCAGACGAATCTATGCGTTTGATTCAAGCATATCAGCAAGAGGGTATCGAGCCACCTCTGAATCTAGATAATCATTTCGAATATTTGATGTTAACCGTAGCTGAATTATATAAAGAAGATCCTTTAAAATTGGATTTGGTTATGGATTATTGGTGTCACCATTCTGACTCGACGCACGCATCCGCTCCAGCCTATATCAATCGTTTGCCATCTAGACAGGTTGCTTTGTTTAAATTTGTACGTCTTGCCGGGGAAATATTGCCAGCAGGATTATTTGTTCCGTATCTTAAAATGATAGCGTCTCTCGCGTCTTCGCCGCAGGCAGCGCGACAAGCGTTTAATTTTCTTAAACCAAATGGTAAATATATTAATAAAAATGAAACTAACTAGTTAAGATGATCCTCTCGCTAGTGGATCCAAAGGAAGTGCCGCAACAATAGAATGAAGAAGTCGACATCCCATTTCTGTCATCGCTTACTTGACGGAGGTGGCCACCATGGGGGTTTTAGAGGGGTAAAAATCTCGCCTTACCTCCGGCCCTTCCCCAGGGGGCTGGAGGTGTCTTTGGAAGATTCGCCCCACGTAAAAAGAAAAAAGGGAGGGGGCCACCTCCGTCATGGGATGTCGACTTCTTCATTCTATTGTTGCAGCACTTCCTTTGGTTCCACTAGCGAAAGGATCACCCTGTAATACATTAACTTTGTTTACAGGAACTTCCGGATCAACAACAATTTCTTGGGATCACTTCTTCAGTTCTCTGAGCCGCTATTACATTAATCTTAGAAAAGAACTACCGCCTAGCCAAGATACCGTGTATCGTCAGAGAAGTCACCTGAAAGGTATCACTCCCGAGGAAGTGAAAGGTCTTGAATCGGTACTTTTGGTCGTTCAGGTGATCGCGAAGAACGACGAGATGTCGAGAATCGCGATATGCGATCATCCTGGATGGAAAGTATTACCGTCTCTGATCGGTTTAGTCAGTTGTGGAATATCAATTCCATTGAAAGCTGTTTTAATAAGAACTCTCGCCGCGCTAGCAAAATCACCGGAAAGTTCATCGACTGTATGGCAGAGTTTAGAAGCTGCCCAGATACTTTCAACTATACCAACCATAAGTAGCTATCAACCGCGAGGTGTTCAGACAGAATTGGAAGAGATCGAATCGAAGAAAGACGAATATCCGTTGACGCGAGCAATGTTAGAACTATTAGACGTTCTCACGGACTTTCCTATACCACGATTATTAGGAATGGGTCAACGCAATCCTGGTTTTGATCCGTACTTACACTTCATCATCAACACCGTATTTTTAAAGTTCCACACACGATCGTACAAAAATCCAGCTGAAAAATGGGAAGTGGCAGAGGGGTGCTTAAAAATATTCTCAAAACTGATCAAACAGTACGAGCCAGCGGTAGAGGATTTTACTGGATGTAAGGTAGAACTTCAGAGCGGAGAAACAACGGTGGTTAATTCCGCTCCGGGATATCATATAATGACCCAGTTGCATTCAAAGTCGGAGCTACTGCACGTTATACTGTACGTTCTTGATAAAGGTTGCTGTAATTTTGACATCTACGAACCATTTCCAGGTAAAAAGAATCTTGAAAATGCTACATTGTATTGTTTGGAGATACTGGAAAGAGGATTAAAAACTCAGCACAGTTACATGTCGCAATTAGCTGCTGCAAAATCTATACATAAAATCTTAACTGGATTATCAAGATTGCTTTTAGAAGTTGATCCCCAATCGAAGAAGCCTGATTATATGATAAACGTTGCCAAATACATATTCTACAGTTCTTGGCTTCCACAGCATGCGTTTCACGCTGTTGGCGTGATACACGAAGTGACGAACGAGCCAGGGGCTGATTCAGAATTACTTTCCACGTTCACAGCCACACCGACTTTAGCTACGCATATTAGACACGGTTTCGTGGAATGTTTAGACGCAGATATTATTCTCGACGACGATAACGAGTCGAACGAAAAGCAGTACACTGGTAGCTGCAAGGAGAGAATCCTACTGCTGATGATGCACAGCATTACACGACCTACACCGAATCTTGCTCATTATCTGTTAGGATTTGACATCAACATCAAAGACATTAAAAAGACGATACTGCAGCAGCCTGGTATTCTAGGCTTTCCTCGAACGTGTCTCCACTCTATATTAGGAATTCTTGAACAATCCCTCGAGCGTGGTCGTGATAAAATAACCGAAGCTTGTTACTGTTTCCTCCACACGTTGGCTGCGAATAACAAAACATCGGTCCCAGTACTGAGATTCTTGCGAACTAGCATTAATCAAGATTTCGTGCAACGTCACCTCTCCAAGTTACCGTTCGAAGGTCAGAATAAAGCAACAGAGCTTGGTTGCATGTCGTGGCTGTTGAAGATAGCTGCGATCGAATTGCGAGTCGCTGGAGGTAGTTTGCAGAATTTACTCGTTCAACGATTAGTTGGGAACTTTGGCCAAGAAAAGGGACAGATCGTTCCATCGCAGAAACTTCTTATGGATCTGTTGCACTACATTGAATTTCAACTGCAATTGGAACCACCGTTGGTACTAGACTTTTTCGATCCGTCACAGGTAGAAATGGTTTTAGGACGGTGTAGCGTTCCGGTTACCTTGATAGGAGGACCTCGTCTTATAGATATCAGAAAACTGCATTCCTTGATCACCGAAGAATTAGCGGTTACTCAGAACAGTGCAACTGCGACACAGCGGAATCTGATGCAGCAGGAAGTACAAAGAATTTTGCAGCACGCTTTGAAGAGAAATCAGATCAAATTGTTGTCATATGCTACTGTAAAATTCGTCGAAGGCTGGTGTCAGACAACAGAGATACTATTCTGCGTTGCGACAAATCAACAGCTACCCACGGCACAGAAACAGCATCTGCTGTTGAATTTGTCTCACGATTTATTGCAAAAGATGACATCTTGCGAAGCATTGAGCGAGATCAAAACCTTGGTATCTGGAACGGTTCTGATGTTGTTGGTGCATTTAAGAAACAGTTTTATCACACAGACCGACAACGAATCGTTTCCATCGTCACCCTCGAACACGACGATGATGAAGATTATTTTAAGCCATGTATTGCAATGGATTTTGAATGCTGGTGCTTCGTCGCAGAAAGTGATCACTCATCTGTACGCAGCGTTATTGAATTTCCTTTGCGTGATCGGTTTGGAAAAATCAGAAAGTACAAATATCGTAGACTTTATGTACGTTAGCCAATTAGACAGTACTGTTAACAGAGTAATGCCTGTTCAAGAACGTTCCCACCGTTATGCAACGATACAAGTGATAAATAGTTTTGGAAATCAGTTGATGGACATTTTGTGCCACAATTGTTCCGGTGGTCACGACGTCTGCAAAATGTTGGCGTTATCTTGTTTAGATAAAATATTGGAATTGGACTATGACAACGCTTGGATAATCTATTTAACTAGTAGAGGATATTTAAAGCATATGATAGACAGTCTGCTAGAATCTGACAACATGTTGAGGTATATGTTACAACCAGAACCTCCAACACTGAGGCCACTGTATTTGTACGAAGCAAAAATGGCAACGTTTTGTAGAATGGCTTCTACGAGATTGGGCGCTGAGAGTCTTTTAGAGAATAAGATCTTATCGTGCATGTCGAGCATGGTTGTTTTTGATCATCATCCGGACGTTCACATAGGTTTCGAAGGGGGTGATTATTCCTTCATACCTTCTATCGGGCAACGTTACCAGCAAATCTTTCTGCCAGCATTATATTTTTGCGATGCTTTGCTCACCACTCTGGGAACAGAGAATCAATCCTGTGCGATACAAGTTTGTGGCTTTCTACAGAGTCATCGAGATACCATCGAGATGGTCTTAAGAAACGCTTTCCCAAAAGCGAACACTCTTTTCTTGAAAGAGATTGCCTGCCTTACAGGAGTGATATCCAGATCAGCGAACATTGATATGTATAAATTAGTGGACGAGGAATTAACGAGGACCGAATTCGACGACCGTCTATTGGAGGATGTCACTGGGATAAGAGAGCTTCGTGCTCATCTTTATCGACTACAAAAATTAATGTTGTCGTTATTGTGCAAATTTCAATTGCAACCACCTCCTATACGCTTAAGTCACGAGCAAACGGATGCGAATCAACAACATATATTCTCTGTTCAAATAGTAGCCAATATTATGTTGTATACAAGGAATCAGATGCAGCACAGTCGAATGGATCAAAAGATAAGGAACGTGCTGTTTGAACCACATTTGACACCGAAACCAGGGGGAAGAGAAGATAGAATGAAGGATACGTCGGGTGGTGTACACTTGGGAACGATTGTTGATCAGCTTGTATCTGTTACAAATTTGTTACACTCTGAATTGCCTCAGATCGATACTCTCATCAAGAAATCGGCGATCGTAGGAGAAATGAGTACGACAGAATTGAAGGAATACATGTCAGAGGAAGAAGCGAAGCTCGATGTGCAGAAGCAACGAGTTATAGTTGAACAACGATTAAATCGCTGGGTTAAAGAGAAGCGTCAATGCATCAAATATTGTTCATTGATAATAGAACATGCTTTGTATATTCTTTGGAGCCACTTAGATTTCTACATGATACAAGTAGTATCTCGGCATAGCCGAATGCAAGGTAAAACTGAACACATTTATGTTGTAAAACTTCATCGTGTCCTTTTTTTTTTACGTGGAGGAAATCTTCAAAAGACACCCCCTGCCCCCTTGGGGAGGGGCCGGGGGTAGTGTGGGATTTTTACCCACTAAAACCTCCACGGTGGCTATAGGGAGGGCCCGAGATTTCTGAAGAACACACCGGGGACCCCCCCCCCTATCTCGGAGGGGGGTCTAACCTTTGACCCTCCCCCATGTGTCATCGTGTCCTACAAAATCTTCAAATTGTTTTTCTATTTTTCTAGTATCCTCCGGCGGTATAGACGAAGATATGGTAGCGTGGAAAGTATCATCAGAAACGCTAATGGAATTGAAACAAGGTCTCGTTTCGACGTTTACAGATAGTTTTATTACACAGCTGCTGGATACGCATAGTGAATACGCAACAGTGGATCACAGTTTTATCGAAGCTCTCGTAAGAAGAATTAAAAGACTACTGCAGTTTATAATTGTACAATAACAGCACACTTACGTACCCAACATCGATTCAAAATATATAAGAACATATTTTTTTACATACTCGTGTATATTTACAATCGACTGCCAAAATCGTATTACAACAGTATTTACGACTATAATGTTTACTGCTAATAAATTAAATATTTAAGAACTGATTACAGCCTCATCCCATGGTCCATAAATATTATCCTTGTACCTTTGACATTGTATATACCAACAAGGACAAATAAAATGTAAAAATACTGTGGTTATAATGAATACATAAGATAGAGTTTGCGAAAGAAATAAGAGAAGATATAAAGTACTAAATGTTAATAAAGTTGAAATAAATATTTTATTGCTTAATGTATGCATTAAAAATGGTAATAAAACAAAACACTGTACAGAAACTGTTAGAAGAGAAAATGCATGAGACGGAGATACTAATCTGGAAGCTAACATTAAGGAACCAAAAATTGAAGATGTAATAGATAAAGAATCTGATAAAGATATTTGCAAAGAACCATATTTGCTAAATATTAAATGTACAAGAAACATTAATATTGTCATGGCATAAATTGTATCTGTACTAATAGTTTCGGTCAAAGTTTTTAAAACTGGCGATAAAATATATCCGAAAGTAAGAAAAATTAATACAGTTCTGAGATCTTTAGTTAATTTGGTCAAAGTATTTGGTTCTTTTAAGCAAAAGATACAATAACCAAACACTGTACAAATTACACCCGATATAAATATGATATTTGGACTGGTCCATTCTTTGTTTAACCAGATAAATATAATGACGAAAAGAATTACAATGTTTAATTGAATACATACACTAGCACCGAAAGTTATTGCCTCAATTAATGTTACATTGTTTGGCTTTATATTTTTACGCAATTGCTTCAAAAATGTACTATCTGTATAATTGTCTGGTAAACCATAATTTTCATATAAATTTTTCTGCCACTGTACTTCGGTCATACTCGTTTTTAATGAAATTTGAATGACATATGAATATTTACAATCATTTCGTTGATTAAATACTATTACCAAAGGTTAGCATTTTTAAAGTGATGTTCATTCATTCTTCAGTATTGCTCAACGTTCATTGAATTTTTAATTATCTGCTATAAAAAAAAAAACCAACAATTTTTATCAATTTTGAATCACTCTTAATTTTGATTTCATAGATTATTGGATAGTGTATTTAATTAAAAGACCTTACGCTCGGTAGATAGTTTAACCTGGTTAAAAAGACTTTGGAAGGCACTATATATGCTATAAATCCAATAAATAAATACAGTTTGTTAAAAATGCAAAGAATATATAATTCCAGAAGACAGATAATTACTTTATTTAGCCTGAATTAATCAATCAAATTGACTTGGTTACACGAATAGTCCATAAACATTATATCATTAACGATTGGTTATCTTCCATCATCCTTCCACAACTTTTTTATCGAATAACCTCTAAGCGCATAACCTACAAATTTTACTAAGCTGAATGAAGAAGTATTTATATACGTGGAAGAAATATGGCTGAAATTTAGAATGATTTGAATGAAATGTATTTTGAACGAATCACTTTTCTCCTTTTTCTTTACATTTAGACATTTTTTCTTTATTATATGCAAATAGGTAAATAAATTGAGTATTTTTTTTTTAAATATTTGTACCTATATAAGTATTTACCTACTTATATAAATACAGTCAATATGTTTTATATAATATTTATATTTTTGTTACAGAAGAATCATTAGAATTTGATTGAATGAGCGCAATTAAAAAACAAGAAATATGCAAAAATTTAGACGAGCTCAAGCAGAAAATAAAATAGCAATTAATAAGCATTTAGAAGCTAATGCCTATTTAGAATCATCCAGCGAGGATGAGGATGATAGAAATGAAGAAGATATGCAAAATGTGGTTGAAAAGGTGCTATCCGCTTATCAAGGAAGAGAGGCAGATTCAGAAAAAATTTTATCATATTTAATTAATATTTTTCAATCTGGTAGTGCTGTTTGCTTGATATGTATTTCAACTATAAAGAAAGCAGATGCGGTATGTTAAATTGTGTATCTTAAAATTGTTAATTTTACGTTGAAAATGTATTGCAGTTGTTTAATGGAAATATTTTAGATTTGGAACTGCAATAAATGTTATGCATTTTTACATTTATCATGCATTTTGCATTGGATACGGGATAGTTTAAATGTTAAACATGAAAAAGGTATCGCACCAGTATGGGCATGGTAAGTAACACGTTAATGAAAATATATTACGCTCTGTATCAACTGTAACGCGATATATCGCCATATTTTTGTACATATTTCAGTCCAAAATGTCGCACAGAATACGAACAAGACGAAGTTCCTCGTAATTATAAATGTTTCTGTAAAAAAGTCGTGGATCCTTCTTATTATCCATGGAATATTCCACATTCTTGTGGAGAAACTTGTGGAAAAGCTTTGCAACCGGAGTGCGGTCACAAATGTGTATTACTTTGTCATCCAGGACCATGTCCTCCTTGCGGAAAAACAATATCGATAAGCTGTTATTGCGGCAAACAAGTGCCACAGCCACGACGATGCAATGCAAAAGAATGGAGCTGTGATACCGTATGCGATAAAAAATATAAACTATGCTCGCATAGTTGCAAGCAAGTGTGTCACACAGGTGAATGCCCTCCTTGTGGAGAAGCGTTATTGATAGAGTGTCATTGCAAGAGTAAGAAAGAAATGAAGCAATGCTTTGAAGGCTCGTGGATTTGCGACATACCCTGTCGTAGAGCACTTTCATGTAACGTTCATATTTGCCAAAGCACCTGCCATTTACCTGGCGATTGTGGAAATTGTCCATTAGAGAAGAATAGGACTTGTCCTTGTGGAAAGAAACGATATGCGGTATCTTGCGAACAAGAACAGGTACCAACGTGTGGAGACACGTGTGGAAAATTATTAGAGTGTGGCTCACATTATTGTAATATGAGATGTCATACAGATAAATGCGGTCAATGTTTAGAGGTAGTGAGGAAATCATGCCGTTGTGGTAGTTATCAAAAAGAAATTGCATGCGGTAAAGAATTCCATTGCAACAAGAAATGCACGCAAATGCGTCTATGTGGAAGACATTTATGCAATAAAAAATGCTGTGACTGTTTAATGAAAAACATATACAACGTATGCGAAAAGATATGCGACAACGCTTTAAACTGCCGTAAGCACAAGTGTTCTGCACCTTGTCACAGCGGTCCTTGTTATCCATGCGAGAGAACCGATATTATTCAATGTAGATGTGGTTATAATAAAATAACAATACCGTGTGGTACGATGAAGAAAATTAAACCACCGGCATGTAATAAACCATGCAAGATACCGCCGATTTGTCATCACCTTAAAAGGGAAACTCACAAATGCCACCAAGGCCCTTGTCCACCTTGCAAAAAAATTTGTGGTTTGATATATAAAAGATGCGGCCATTCTTGCGTTGCTGTTTGTCATACAAAAGTTTGGGTAAAAGTGAATAAAAATGACGTGAAAACGCAACCCACAGGTCCATGGGATATACAGAAAGAAACTATGCAGCTTAAAACACTACCCTGTCCGGCATGTGAAGTATCTGTACCGGTAACTTGTTTAGGAGGTCATGAAATACGTCCATGGCCTTGTCATGCAGCTAAACCTACTTCTTGTGGAAGACTTTGCGGAAGAATATTACCTTGTACCAATCATAGATGCGAATTAGATTGCCATAAAGTAGCATCTTCTGAAGATGCAAAGAATAGCATTCCATGCATGGAATGTGAAAAGCCATGCTTGTTTCCACGACCGCAAGGCTGCACGCATTTATGTCCAAAACCATGTCATCCAGCGCCTTGTAGTCCTTGCAAGCAATTAGTCAAAATTTCATGCCATTGTGGTATAGGCACATTATATCGAAGGTGTTCTGAATTAACATCAGCTACGATCGAGCAACGTAATGAACTACTTAAATGTGGAAATCAGTGTCCAAAAAATGTAATTAAATCTTTTCTAGTGATTACTAAGTACGTATATACATTGATTTCTTTCTAATTAATCGTTTTTCGTTACAGTATTCTTGTGGGCATAGATGCATGAATAATTGTCATCCTGGTCCATGCACAAATGAAAACGAATGTAATAAAAAAATAAAATTATTCTGCTCGTGCAAACGTATCAAGAAAGACTATATATGTTCGATGGTACAAAAGCAAGAAATTTCTATAAAATGCGATGAAATTTGTATTAAGTTGAAGAATGAGAAGCGCCAAGCTGAAGCCGCATTATTAGAACAGAAACGACAAGTAGAGGAAATGCGTAATCAAGAAGAAATCAAGAAATTCGAACGAAAATTCAAATCTCGGCGTAAAGGAAAAGATAAATTTGATAGGAAACAATTCCATGAAGAGACGTGTAATAATTATAGAAAATGCTGGATTTTAACTATTTTAATAACTTTAATAAGTATTTTAATATATTATGTAGGTATGGAGAAACTGTAAATAGTTGAAAACAGTTAAAAACCATGCAAACAATATTTTGTAATTTTGATTGTAGAAAAAGCAGGTTTTTTAGCTGAATTGAATAAAATAATTTTTATTCTGTAAACTATTGTTATACGCTTAATGAAACATGAGATTGTAAGAAATGATAATAAGTATAATTTATTGAAATTATGCGGAAAAAGAATTAGAAATTCGTAGAAATCAGCCCCTCCAAGCTCCACTCTTGTGATTTTTATGCAAATTTTAGGTTTACGCCTCACTACCAGGAGGCGCTGATGTCGCTTCTCTTCATGCATACCTTGTATGTATGTATATATGTACATATCACTGATTTTAATATACACAACTAAAGACATCGTGACGTCATGTTCCCGCGAAATTCGCAGCGGTATTCAATTGTTTCAAAATGTAAAGAAACTAAAGAAAAGTTAAATATACGACGAAAAGCTGAATATTTTACATTTACACTTCTGTAAATCAAGTAATATGTTAGTAAAAATATCGTATAATATGTGTTTTGAATTCGTCTCAATGTCCTCTAAATATAGTAAACAAAAAAAATATATGGTCCTATTTGTAAAACCCAAGGTGACCTCGACTTCGCCATGAAAACAAACTGTTTTCGATATTTTTTTTACTGATATCTATTCTACACTTCATACCCTGCAACTCTTGTTCTAAACTTTTTTTTGTCAGATGGTTGCAAATGGATGAAAAATCATGAGTAACGTTACAGGTAACACCCTGTATAATCGAAACATAGTCATATGCGAAAAAATGAGTGAAAATTCGTCATCTATATACTATCATATTACACCGACGTGGTGCCGATGCACTTGATTACGAATACGGTTTGAACGTAGAGCATACCCAACACTGCCCAATACTCTCGCGGTTCAGCCCGCGCTGACTGCGCGCTCTGATTGGCCAGTGTTTTTCGTTAATAATTCGAAAACGAAGCCTTAACCAACATTTTGGCAAAGGAAAAAGTTGTTTAAAATGACCTCGGCAATCACAATCATTCTTCCACGGGTCCTACCCCAGTTCTGGGACACCCTGTATACATTGTCCCAGAATGTACATATAACCCCTTAAAGAAACTTTTATGATCCATAAAAAATAACGTTGCATTGATTATCTCCCATATGTTTGGGATTACATATAATTACCACTGTAATTACTATTGAATGACATATTGTATACATGCATAGAAACGTGTGCTTCACAAATATTGTTATAACATCATAAAACATGATCAATTAAAATGATAAACCTCTCGGTTATTTTTAATTGATGATTAAATTGATTTGTTAAAACAATAAAATAACTTTGATTAATAATGCGATGACGGTCTCAAATCCTCTTATCAAAGAACTGAAAGGTAATTAACGACTTTTTTTCATAGGTTAGAAAAGTATTTCACTAATGAAATATCTAATGATAATATTAATCTCCCTTTACAAATATTAATATTTTTATTTATTTGAATTAGAAAATGATTATATCAAATTTGTTATCATGGTAACGTACTTTCAGGCTGGACACGAAAGCTAACAGAAGGAGACAGAGAGATTGATGATGAAAATATAGATCTGCCTTTCTTTTGTAAATGTTTAGAGAAATGCTTTCAAAAAGGCATATTGCTTCGTTTCAATCCTATAGGTTTTCCAAAGTTACCTGATGCTTGGTACTGGCTAGAAGAAATTGCAGAAAAAAATTTTAGGTCTATAAAAAGATGTAAATTATTCTTCAAAAAGAAATATTTTCTAATTTTTTTTTAATTCTTTCCATTATTTTATTATTTGCACATTAAAATAAGTGATACTTTATTTAAAAGTACATTATATTTTACAATTTATGAAATCAAAATGCTACTGTTTTAGTTCCTGTTGTACCTACTCTTTGGTAGTTGAACAAGTAAAACAATCACCAAAAGTTCATACAGCTACTGGACGTCTTAGACTTTTAATTAGAACATGTTTGATACGAAAGTGCCTTCATGTGCCAGTCGAAATGCTGGTATACCCAAATTATACTTATTTTTTGAATAATACATTTTTTTTTATTCTGTATTATTAACAAATAATTATAAATGCAAGATTTTTTAATTTTTAACAATTAACAGTTGTTACATGCAAAACTCCATAGGTCAGAACACCATTAATGGCTATTAATTACTATGATAAGAACAGTATTCTGGGAGATGATATTCTTGGTGAAATATTGTTATCAGTATTACTGCAAAGCAGTAAACTAAATTTTAAATTAAATTTACGAAATTCGAGTTTCCTCGATGAGTCCTGGCAATTACCAGAATGTGTAACTTTGGAATTAGTACCATCTAAAAGTTTAGGTATTTCAGTATGGTAAGAAACTTCAGTCATTAAAACAAACTTCTAATTTTATATTTTTAATTATTATCTTATATCATTGTAGTTTCATTAAAGGGAAAGCATTGGTAGTTAATTTGGACAGAAACTGTGTAGCTGCAGAAGATGTAAGGAATATAATACCTACTTAAGGTTTTACCTAAATATGAAATAATGTATTTTAATATTTGTTTTCATATTGTCCAAGGATAAAGTTGAAATTGGAGATATATTAGATGAGATAAATGGAACTGCTATAACATCTAATACTAAAGGACAGTTGCGAAAAATTATGAAAAAAAGTGTAGGCCAACCAGTGTGCCTATATGTAATTAAAGTATGTATTCTAGATAATATTTCTTGCAAACTATATAAGATAATATTGTATAATTGATTTTTAGCACCGTAATAAAGAAACAAATGAATTATACATTCCAATTATACATCTCATAAAAAATTCAGGTATCGAAGGTTTGAAAAAAATTTTAAAAAAATTCAGTTCAGAAAACAATGAGGAGAAGCAAAAGAAAGAGACAATAAAACCAGAAAACAAGGCATTAAATGCTGGATTTTGTGTTAAATATTGTGGTTCTGCATATATTGGTACAGAAGGCGATGTTAAACAAATTGAAAGAGCAATTTTGCTAATAATAAAATCAGAGGAAATAAAGTCGATTCCTGCAAAATTTGAATGTCTAGAAATTGGAATTAGAGTGACGCAAGACACTGATGATAAAGTATGTAAACATAACTCTTAATGAACACAAATATATGATATAATAGTAAATTCTGTTTAAATGTTAGGTAATATGTAAACAAAGTTACATGGAAATTTCGTCTTGTGGCCGTACGAGAAACATTCCTAATTATTTTGCATTCATTGCAGGGTAATACAAATAATATTATACAGCTTTAAATATATCTAATAATTTATTTATACTTCAAAATTATAAAATAATCTATGCGATTAATCTAAATGTATTTTTAATTCAATTTTCAGAGATACTAATTGTAATCTAGCAACCAAATTTGATGCATATGTATTTTATAGCCAAAATGAGCAAGAAGTGCAAACTATTTTGCAAAGTTTGGGTCAAGGATTTCAACGTACTCATTTTGCGGTATAATTGTTTGAAATAAAAATAACACTTTTAGAGAAAGGTACTTTTCAATAATGGAAACAATATTTCGTGATAAAAATGTTCGTAGAACATTCCTACTTATAAAGCTAGTCAGTTATAGAATGGATACATTCTTTATTTTATTCTATAAATATTTATCTTCTAATAAAAAAGGAAATTGTGAAGAAGGTATAATTTTATTTGCTAAAGTAAAATTAATGTATATCGTATACATTTCTTCCTGTTAGTCATAATACATATCTTTCCATGCATATGTAATTGTTAATATTGATTACTCATCGATATTCTGTCTTTCATTATATTAGAATAACTCATTAAATGTAAATACAAATGTATTTATCAGACAATCAAATGTGCGTGCAATTACAAAACCTCTGATAATAAATGACTTTGTAATTCATATTATGTATATATTTATTTTTAAAAGATTTTTTTTATGGTAATAATGTATTTCCTACTTTTGTTGTTTCAAACTATAGAACTTATTGTTAGTTATATTACAACAGTTAAATTTATATCAGCTATATACTTCATATGCATACATGGATTCATATGTGTGATATGCATGTATAATGCTATATTATTGCATTAATATATGTATTGCAATAATATATGTATAATGTATATATTATGTAAATTATCCGTATTCATAATGAAGCATCAAATCAAAACTATTTTGATAGGATACTTTGAAATAACGGTTGAAAAGCAAACAATCTCGATTTGAAAAAAAAAGTCGATAACAACTCGATCGGTGAGAAGCCAAGAGACATCTTGAATCGGTCGTTTTAAAGTCGGGGTTGGGGTCGGGTTCGGGGTCGGGAGTCAAGTTCCCTGCTTGCGACGTGCGCCATAACCGTTGCGCCGTGTAACCTTCTGTCAGCCGTCGTCGGCGAGGAGTGAGTACTCAGTGATCAGAGAAAAGATGGCTACGAACTTTGGGGTAGAATGTCAGTACTTTTACGAGGATGTCGTCTACCGTGTGGACAAAAAAGGTAACGTTGTATTCGGGATCGTTATGGAAAACGACGACCAAGATTTGTCTGAGGAAAGTTCTGACAGTGAAGAGAGTCCAAAAAGGAAAAAGGGCGAGATTCGCGTGGTCTGGCATCCCTCCGGTGTCTCGGAACTGGTCAGCTCGAAGAAGGTAATTGAGATTTGATATTGTAAAAGAACATGTCTTTAATAAAGAAACGTACGATGTACAAAGTAATTTATGTTTACTGTTATTCCTTTTTTCTTATCGTATTTGTTTTTAATTTTACGTAAAGCGACACCTGTATACGAACGATATTTGCAACTGTACATTAAATTCAAATTTCAATCCATTTCTGATGTAATAATTTTGACCTTTCATATATAGTACACCTAAACCTTTTCAATTTAATTTTATCATTTTAATTGTAGGTTCACTTAGCGGATAGAACACTGATGCCAGGAGATGTTGTACGTCGAATGATCAAGGGAAAAGATACACAAAGGGGATATTGCAGAGATATTGAGCTTACTGCTTGTGTTCAAGTGATCGGTACTAAACAGGTCCTTACAAATATTAGAAGCGAAGATTTAGTACCTTTGGAAGTATGTAATCAAGCATTTGTACGATTATTTTTGAATAAAGTAACTTGCATGCTATAATTAATAGTTTCTGTTTATAGGAATTTGCAACAGATATATCTGTTTGTATGGATTCATGGGTTGGTGGTATAAAAATGGCACATTTTAAATTATGGCTTACTACACCAGATGGATCACGATGTGTTATAAACGAAATGGATTCTCGTGTGTTGGGCCAATTAGAAGAAAAACGTGATAATGTAAGAATCACATTTAGAATAATTATTTTCTCCCAAGTACAACGAAGATTGTTTGTTTAGGACAATGATTTTCCTCGTTCTTTTGAATTTTATCCTGGTCAAAATTTGTGGGGACCAGTTCACTGCCTAGAGGATGCACAGTGGATTACGTGTACAAAAGAAATGAAAGCAAAGAGGAAAACTAAACCACAAAAGATGACAAAAGTAATAGTAGAAAAGGTAGAAACAGATTGGGTAGGAGTACATTGGCAGTGTAGAGCATATTCAAAGGATGGCGCTTGGTCTGATCAAGCTCAACCAAAATTTGTAGTCGAAGGAGAAAATTTAAAGAAATTAAAATTATTAAATGTTTTCGAGTCTTCGACTGTACAAGTGGGAGATCGCAATTTCTATGTAATTAAAGGTGATGAAAATATTATTACCCGAGAACAATGGAGGAAGCAACAGAAAGATATGTATCAAGTTCCTAAACATAGTCCAAAGAAAACACGTCCAAATATCAGTGTTACAAAGCCGGTCGAAGATAAAAGAAAAGATAAAGTTAGCGAACAGCAGGCATTAGAAGAGAATGCTCAAAACAATATTAACAATTTACAAAATGTGACAAGTAGTAACACTTTAATGCCTCCGATACACAATCAAAATACTGAAAGTTCTGATGATTGGGATACGGAAGATACAGGTTCGCAAAGCGATAGCGCTTCGGTGAGATATTTGATTGTTTTTTAAATTCGTTCATACCACCTCTAGAACTAACGAATAAATTTTTCTTTTTAGATATCTAGTGGATGTTCAAGCATGTCTTCTATGGGTAAAAAGAAAAAAGGTCCTGCATTAATGACAAAAGTATTAAAGAAAAAAAAATTATGTAAAGCAAAGAAGAAAGTACCACCAGTTCCGCTTATCCCAGGAACTAAAATTGTTGTAGAAACACTATCTACAAACACGAAAGCTAATGTTGTATGGCAGGATGGTTCTGTAGAATTTGGTACTTCAAAAATAATACTTGTTTAAATTTTCTTATAATACGTAACATCTATAACTGTTTTCATTATATTTATTTAGGTATTCCATCAACACAACTCTATCCAATTCATCACTTAGACGACAAAGAATTCTTTCCGGGTGATTTTGTAGTTGATCAGAAAGAAGAATCACGAATGTATGGTGTAGTCCAAAGTGTTGATCACCAAGGTAGAACAGCTAAAATAAAGTGGTTCAAAACATATACTTCAAGTCAGAGTCCACAGTAAGTAATCATTTTATTCTAATCGATATTAATGAAATTGATTTGACTAAACTGTAATAATGAAATATATGTATATTTAATAGACCAACTTTACTAGAAGAACGTGAAGTCAGTGTGTATGATTTAAAAGATCATCCAGATTTTCAATACAGACCAGGTACATTAGTAATTCGAATAGCTAATTTCGAAGGAGAAGATGCTGGATGTACTGCGGGTCAAGTGTTAGATAATTATCCAGAGGGACGAGTTAAAGTTTGGTGGGTTGATGGACATGTAAGTATGTGTTGGCCTCAAGATCTCTACAAAGTAGGGGAATACGATAGCGACGAAGGAGAGTTATGGGACGATGTGTCATCTGATGCGTCATGGGAAACGGAATTGGAAGATTGCTTTATCGCTGACACCGATGCTACAGAACAAACGGAACTAGAAAATATCAAGCCAAAATTAGCCGCTCATATCGAGAAAGCTCGTATCTCATTGTCTAGATTGGAAGAGATCTTTACTCAGAATCCATCGCTTCAAACAACTGAAGTTATGAGAAGATTATTGGAAGTGTACAAAGATTGTCGATATATGGATAAACTAATGGGTACATCTTTCTTCCATGAAAGCCATTTTCAAGGATTATTAGAAAGAGTTAGAGAACGTGGCCGAGCAAATGTAGCGCAACGTATGGCGGATCAAGTGACGAGATTGTTTACTCATAAATCTGATGGGTCAGAGGAAGGTATAGAAAAGGAGAATAGTGAAAATTTTAATAGTGTACAGTCTAGAAGTAGTCCTAGTGAAAAAATCATTACCACTGTAACAGATATGACTGAATCTCCTGATAATAAAAACGATGACAGCAACAAAAAGAATGCAAAAGGTGAAGATTCAACTGATCGATTGTTTATCAATACTAATCCTAATCCTGAAGATTCTGGATTGTATTCTGCGGAGAATTCAAAAAAGGAATCAGGTTCGAGCGAGTCGAGCGGTGAATTTTTACTTAGCGAAGATGTAAATAACATCCCTGATCGTTCAATGGAAAAAATTGAATCAAATAAGGCTAGCAGAATGCAAATGAATATGAGCTCTCACATAGCCAGTTCTCAAGTTTGCGTTAAACTTTGTACTCTGATAAAAGCTCAGCTTGTATTAGCGCATGCAGAAGTTTCTAAACGGTTTGGATTATCGAAAATGAGGTTATTCGACGCTGAAAAAGGTTCCTCTCCTTTGAAGAAACAGAAGAAAGACGAGGAAAAGCGTATAGAATTATTACAGGAATCGTCTGAATGTTCAATTGAAGTTCCACCGCCAGTATACATGGAAGGAGAAGGATTTTCTATAGATGAAACTGCGCCGGATAGTCATAAATTTAAGTTAACAATGTTTCAGCCTACAGATCCTACAAACTTTTTTAGGACTGTGTCTAAGGAATTAAAACTCTTGAAGAGTTCCCTTCCACCTGGCATATGGGTAAAAGGATTTGAAGATAGAATAGATTTGTACTCGGTAATGTTCCGAGGCCCTGAAAAAACACCATACGAAGATGGACTTTTCCTTTTCGATTTTCAATTGTCCGCCGATTATCCTGCTGCACCACCACTTTGTCATTACATTTCTTACTGTAACGATAGATTGAATCCTAATCTCTACGAGGATGGTAAAGTATGTGTAAGTTTACTCGGAACTTGGTCCGGTCGTGGAACAGAAGTATGGACAAGCTCTTCGACTCTGTTACAAGTTATAGTTTCTATTCAAGGACTGATCCTCGTACCAGAACCATATTTTAACGAGGCTGGATTTGAGAAACAGAAAGGTTCTCAACAGGGAAAAGAGAATTCAAGAATGTACAATGAAATGGTTGTATTGAAATTGGTTCAAGCACAAACTAAATTGTTACAGCATCCGCCACCAGTATTTAAAGATATCATTATTGAACACTTCAAGAGGCATGCAAAGAAACTTCTACAACGCTTAGATTTATGGATGGAAATTTCTGAACAGCATAACAATCAGCATCCATTATCTCCAGTAACACCTACTACTTTCAAACAAATATCTGACCTTGGTATGTTATGGTATAATACATTATTCTTACATATATATTTATATTATTTTATTGTAATGCTTTTCTTTTCTTTTTTTTCACATAGATAAGAAAATTTTACCAGAATTTCCATTAATACCAGCGTCTAGAGGCTTTTGTATAACACTCCGTAAGACTTTGGCTACCTTTAAAAATGTACTAATTAACGAAGGTATTATAGAAAGAGACAATGAAACACTGGATCGTGAGAATGTTAAACAGCAACCAAAAAATGAGTGTCACGAATCTTATAACGTGGTGTATCGTAACAGTAAAAGAATCATCAGTGAAGAAAGTAGCAAATTAACGTTGAATGGAGGAATATCTAAGGACTGTATTTCATCATCCTCCACGAATATTTCTTCTCCGCCACTATGCGAAACGAAGAAGAATACTTCGGATCATACCATCAGCTAGCCACAAGGTAAATCTAAGTTTAAACCTAAAAATGTAGCTTATAAAAGGTACATCATTATTCGGTAATATATTGAATTAATTTATTATATTATATTATATATTGAAGGATATGTTCAATGATGTTCGCGGTATCTATTTATTTATATGAACATTAACTACTACTAACAAGCGATAACTTTTCATAGAAATGCCGCTGTCATTGCTCCGCAACTAGGTAATACTTGTTACTGTAGAGTAACCATTATAGTAACATATAAAAGTAATAAAATACGATGACATATAGACACGTGCGGGCAAATTTTGTTGTTGTATACAATTCGTAAATTTCTCGGGATTTATTCATTTTTAATGTTATATAAAATATATAATAACGGAATTATATATAATATATAACATTGTTAATAATTAATATTTGCCCCGAGGATAAATACATACGGGATACTACACGCATTTAGTTCTGTAATTTTCTGCAATAAGAGTAAAAGCGTTCCTCGGAAACGCAATAAAAACTTGACTGAATTATTAAAAACAAAGAAAAAAGAAATCAATGTCGAGGCAAATAAAATCAGGTAAACTAAAGAACATCGTTATTCCGTAACAAAAAAAAAAAAAAAAGAAGAATTAAATGAAAGGTAAAGTAACCGGTAGCAATACGTTGAGCCAACATGAGAACACTTTGCAATAGAGTTAAGAGACACGATAATAATAGCTATTAATTCTAAATGCATTTCAATGAATACACTTCGAAATAATAATGTCACAGACTTTAAAAGTAATCCATTATCCTTTCAACTACCTTGAATCATTATGCCATCCACTAATACAGTATTTCAAATAAAGATTACGAAGTGGTTTTGATTGCATATAGGTTTTAGCTTAGAGAAACAAAGATTCGTATTTAGATGAGAACCTATGAAAGCTATGTCTAACGTTAGACACTTTTAACGTAACTTGTAAATTATAATATTATTAGATGCACGATTATCAACACTAACAATTTTCTTCATTGATGATTTATTTCGTACGTTTGTAGAAAATTATGTTTGCGATGTTCAATTTGTTTTTTTTTTTTCTTTTACGAATAATTTAATAACAAAGTACTTAGTATTATTATATATTCAATGGCAGAGAATGTTGATACTTATACATATAACGTACAGTATTACTTATATTTATTTTATTTTATTTCTATACTCCCTAGTGTAATATAAAACATATTTGCTTATTATGAGGGGGTTGTTTCTATAAATTTTCAAATGAATGTATCTACAAATATGGTACTTAATACACGTAACATTTGTGCGAAAATGCATTCTAGAGAAATATATTGCTCACAACGAAATAAGAAAGAGAGATCAACAGTTATGTAACTATTTGTATTAACACAAAATGAATATTCTTTGTTTTCTTTTCTGGTTATATTGTACTACTACATTTTATTCATATTAATCAGTATCACATTTTAGTTATTTTTCTCCTTAAAGTATATATATATATCATATGTATAATAATTATTTTAAAGGAATGAAATTCCATTGAAAGTTATGTATAAAAGTTATATTTTTCTAAAAGTTATGGCTTAATTCCAAAATACTTGTATATTGTTTAAGTTATATTTATATAATACATTTTTTATTTATATACTACTTACATATATATATATATATTATATGTGTTAATAAACGATCGTCAAATTTTTGTTATTAGATGATGCTTGATCTTATTAATCGCTTAGCTGAAGGTATGATTTCAAACTAACACGCTGCATTGATTTTTTTACGGCCCCGGGTTAGTGTACAGTAATTTAAAAAAGAAAAAATTTGTGTTCAGAGACCGATAAAAAAAGTTACCCTTTAAACCAAGAATTTAACGTGTATACATAATATACTTTTGTCTGCATGTTGTTTCAATCGTATCGCAGAACGATTTATATTATGTTGAATATTTATCAACATAGAATAGCACAAAAATTTGAGTGTTAAAGAACGTAATACAATCACGTATACAGCACTGCATATCGAAGAATGTCTAATCTGCAATGAATATGTAGGTTTTGATATTCTTGGATCAAATTGCAGTATCTTAAAAATGCGATGGTTTTGGAATTCTTACGCCAGAAGGGCGCACTTGACACGGGTACAGAGGCAAGATTTACAAAAGAAAACGTACTTGCATGAAAGTTTCTTTGAAGTCATATGGTGCTGGATAATATAAACCAAAAAATAAGAGGAAAACTCAGTTATCTCCAGGAAACTACAGTTTCCAGTGAGAAGAAAGAAAGAGCGCGCGCGAAAGAGAGAGAGAGAGAGAGATTGTGTGTATGTATAAGTAGAAAGATAGTAAAACTATACATATAGCTGAAGAAATTATGAGAAAGGGGGAAAAAAATGCAAATGCTGCCCTTTAAGGTAAAGAGGAGCTTGTTATATGAAAGGTGATGTTTTGGAATGCCTTGTATATGTGCCAGCTATTTCTATTTACATTACTATGATAATTATACTTGTAAGTTGCATAAAGCTTTATTTCGGTTGTAATTACTTTGATGTTATATTAAAAAAAAGAAAAAAAAAACAAAAGAAGCATATTTAATTATTCGAGTCAGTATACAAAGTTTAGATGCCAACAGTTAATTTATGATTGTTTAAAAAGAAAAACACGACTAAAGTAACGCTAATCATTATTATATTTATTGTAACGCTATGATATTGGCTGCCAAAGTGTTAAAAATTGAAAAAAAAAAAAAAATGTTCAACATATTTCATTGAAGATGAAACATTTCAAAAAGATGAGAAAATAGGGAGGAAAGCGTTTGTTGGTTTCACTTTTAATTAAAGAGTTTTTCTTTGTTGGCATCGCCTTATGTAGTATTATAAAGATCATGTAATAAGTTATACTTGTAACTTGATTTCTTTGAATCTTATTTAATAAAAAGTCAGTATGCGATTAAAACACATTAATTGACTTGAAACTTTTCCTTTTCAATAGATCCTACCCATACTTACTCGAATCTTCGACCTGCACCCCCCGATAATCTTCATTCCAGCTGCATTCTGGAGTTCTATATTTTTTTAAGTGCTTGCAACATGTCACAGTTCAATGATTTGATCCTTAAATCGTTCAGTATATTATTCTAATCAAATATTTGATGTCAACCTGTAAATATATTATGATGCTTGTATAAATTAATCTGAAATAAACTGAGCTATTCTTTATGTTTACTTAAATAATTATTAATAGTTCTCAAAGGAAGATAATCAATGAGAATTATTAGTAAAAATGCGTTAACTACATTCGTAAATCCAATATGATTTCATACTTCACACTGGTTCTTTATCTCTTGTAAATGTAAGATAAGATGCATTTCCACCTGTTATCTGTACCCTTTATCAGAACATTGATTCATAACGAATTCACCTTTATTCCGTTTAGCTGTTCTAACGAGATTTCAAACGTTTATTATTTAATGTTATTTTAAGTAAAAGTTTTTATTAAAAACATGTGTTCTAAAAAATTATTGTGCTACATTACCATTGGTTTGCGTAAGTAAATGTAACATTAATTTGAAGTATTATCAGGCTTTCTACGCCCATTTTTACAGTATTGTTCTTCAAATAATAGTAATCATAGCTATATGAATAACATTTACATAATTTCTTTTGTTGAAATTTTATCATGTAAGAAAATAAAATTTTTTAAAACTGCCTGAAATTAATAGTTATACTCAAAAGAAATAATTTTTGTAAACAGTAATCATGGGAATGTTTATGGATCAAGTTGAAGCCAGGCGTAAGATTCTAAAAGGACGAAAGACAATTACAAGACATTATTACTGTAAGTCCAAATACAAAAACATGGGAAAAACAAAGTAATGTGAGTAATAACAAAGCATATCAAATTTTCTAGGGGGAACCGCAATACCAGCATGGTCTATAGTACTTCTAATAGGAATCAGTTTGCTGCTCGCTGGTGGTGGACTTTACGCCATATTACAAAAATTCGTAGTTGACAATGCCGATGTTGGAGAAAGTCATTCGTATCAACCTGCATTGCAACACGAAGCATGAACTTAAACATTCAAACACATCAAATGGCATTTGTCATCTCATTTTTTATCCTTTAACATAAATATAATGAGAGCATTAAAACATTTTCACAAAAAACATTTCTTATGAACACAGTGACAATGTATTATTTATTTTTATGACTTCTATTTTGACAATAGTCTAATATGTATTTCAGTCTCACTAATAAATTAGTGAATGACGTCATCGTATAATTGTATCTCTCACAGAATTTTTGTTTTTCTTATTACCTATAAACCAGGAAATAATTAATTTTGTAAATTACGTTTTTACTCGTACATGGTTACATCATCGAAAGATACATAAATTACAACAACTACTTTTTAATGCACAGTACGATTGCAAATCAATTACATTACTTATTGTACATTCTGATGAGAAAAAATGATTAATTTTAGAGATTGTTAGATTATTCGTTCAATATATATATTATACACTGGAGTCAGTTAATTAATGTATGAAAAAATCTACATCTTAGAATTCTCGGCGATGATACTTGTCAGGATCAAAGTATGATGTCACAACAACACGGTTATTAAACTTTCGTCCTGTAAGTGTCTGCTGTGCTTTTTGGCAGTCAATTACGCTATTAAACTCGACGAATACCTACAATATACAAAAAACAAAATTAATAAAATATATCCTTTTTGAAACGAGACAAAGTTCGTATACATACTTTTCCACATCCAGGTACATCAACACCTTCTATAGGTCTTGGTATTTCCACAGATCGAACCACACCATATTTATTACATTCTTCTTTAATGTCCTCTAAGATATCTTCATATTCCTCTTCTTCCATTAATTCCTCAGGAGTTACCATGTTTAGTAAGCAGAGGACCTGATAATGCATAATAATATTTTCCATTATATTTGGTATTTTATTGTATATTTAACCGTTTGCAGTCCAAACATATGTATTGCTGATAAAATAAATAAAGATTATAATGTAAATAATCTTTTACCTCAGTTGCTGGTCCACTCGTGCCCACCATAGACAATCCAGGCACCTGAATTTGAACTGGAGCTTGTGCACCTATCATAGGATTCTTGGCACCCACGCTAGCTCGTTGGACAATTAGCTTCTTGTCTCCCAGCTGCATTCCATTTAATCCAGCAATTGCTTGATCAGTCATTGACACGTCAACATATTCACAAAATGCGTAACCTTTGGATAGACCTGTAGCTGAATCCTTTACTAGATTGAATGCTCTTAGCTGTCCGAAACTCATCAGTAATTCTTTGACCTGTATTGAGAAAATAACATTACTTATTTAATCATACAACATTCATATAATTTAAATTTACATAGACTATGCAACCTTCTCATTCCTATTACGTTTTTTAAATAAGATTAAGGAATATCCTGTTTGATTTTCGTATATCAATCTTTTAAATAATTACAGTTATATAAAAAATACATATAGTTGACTAAATTTCTTCAAGCAAAGAGAAATATTGATAACACTATTAAGTTATTAAAATGAATTTTCTTTATTTTATAAAAATAACAAGTGCTACAATGCCATTATGTGAATCTAAAATAAAAGTTGCATAGTCTATGAAAAAATGAATTCACTATAAATGCATAAATTTATTATATCTCCCCTACTAAAATTCTATTTAACATCTTCACTTAATTTCTTACGCACAAAAGTCTTAATCCAGTCTGGAATAGATCTTTGTCAAGATCAATTTAAACGGTATGCTGCAGCTCTTCAAAGGTGGATTCTCTCGTAACTATTTTTATTTGCTTTTGAAAAAAGATGTATATCTTAAACTTACTTACGTCTTTCCATTATCCAGAAGCACTGAAAACTCTGAAGCAGAGATAACAGCATGTTGCCTTTAATGAAAATTTGTCTATCTTCATTTCTGGGAGTTAACATTCCCAACAGTTCAGTTCATTTTATCAAGAAGACATACCATAAATACAGCCTATTGTATCTTAGCTATAATATGATATTGAATCATAGGATATTATATGATGTAACTAATGCATATCAAACATTTATATGCATATGATCAAATAAGGATTATACCTTTAAGAAGATGTTAAACTTATATGTATATTTTAGGCAGTATTACTATCTACAAATCTAAATCACTGTGTCAGGTAATTAGTGAAGTTTCGGCAAATAATAGTATATCTCTAGTCCTATACAATTTTTCCTATTACACTCCTTGTAAATAAGCAACACGCTATTATCAATCAAAAACTATCCAATTAGAAAACGCACCATGTACATAGAAGAACCAAAGTCTTCAGAAAAGGGGCTGCAAAAGTCGCATAAGCCCAATACGAAGACATGAAAATGATATAAGTACTTGCCTCGAGGGACTGGGCTAGCCTCTCTCCAGGCAGTGTGGTATTTTGTCATGTTCAGTAGTAGTAGTAGTAGTAGTAGTGGTAGAAGTAGTGGTAGTGGTAAGCAAATGCTTTTGATCGGCGCAACCCTAAGCTAAGAAATGGGGAGAAAGGGCACTGGTATCAGTCCACAGTTACTATATAATAACCAAATGGTTATGTATTTTTTTTTGTTTTGTTTTTTTTTTTTTGATTGTATTATTTCAACAATGTACCACTGTAATAACACAATGTTAACTTTTCCGGCGTTTAACGTTTCACATTTACCGATTTTTAGTTCTCTTACTTTTTTTTTACACTCTGTCTTTGTATAAATGCACATTACTGATACTTGAACGCATAAGTTCATTCGCGTAACCTGTAAACGTAACAAGGCACAAGGGCGAAGAGCTGTAAAGCCTGTAAAAGCCTGTAAAGAAAACAGCTGCAAGAGAAAAGATACTGCTGAAAAGAACAGGTACCAAAGGACTTGGAGCTGTTACCAGATGCACATAAGATTATGTGTTGACCCTGTAATCCCATTAAGAAAAAAAGAAAAAACTGATATGCTAGATAAAACGTTGATTTGTTTTTCATAATCCTAAAATGTGTTGGTTTTTTTTTCTTTGCATGTAATACCACTGGAATGAAATAGACTGCAAGAGAGTGTCAGATGTAAAAATATGAAGAACATTTACTTCTGAAGATACTTTTTTGCACCTAACAACATTGCATAATTATTTTCAACTACTTAGTCCTCCTCCCCCTTCCTTCTTATTTAACCATTGATTTAATGATCTTGTTAAATATTCCTATATTAAAAAATTTCGTATTCCCTTGGCTGGGTCCACGATGTTCCTTAAAATACTGTAAAAGAAGCGACTGCCGTGACACTGCATACCACCTGAATGCTGTAACACCACTAACCATTGCCCTATCCACTATCTAATAATGGTACTCTGAGAAGAAATGCGAAACACGACAAGATTCTGTATTGTCCCTAGACTTCGACGAAAAATATGGAATCGGAATCTGGTACACCTAGCTAAATAAAACCTAGTCGACGCTGGAATCCAATGGATACACATACATACCTCAATGGCATTTGGGTAGTTGACTCATCTTCGTTAGTTTGATCTCCGCTAAATAGCTAAATACCTATGTTATAATTTAATCCTTTGGTATAACTCACAATGCTGAGAACTAGCATATATTTAAAGTAATCCTACAGCATTGTTATACAGCGATACAGTTATTTTAAACTCTGATGCCATTTAGGTATACTTATCAAATTTTAATTAAAATACTCAATAACTATAGATTTTTGTAAATTTATCGTACGCATAGACATCAGTGAATAAAGGTGACTGTATCCAAAGGTGTGCAATAAACGAAATTGTATTACAGATTGGTTTGCATACCTGTTCTTCATTCAAATAATTGGGTAAACCACCAATGAAAATCTTGTGTGGAGAATCTATAATCATAAAATATTATATTATTTTGCGTCCATAATGTAAATGTTAAAGTTCTTAAACATACAAAAAATGCTGAAGAGTATGTATAAAACATACCAGGAACCGTACCTGGCACGTTCATACTTGGATTATCAGTCATTCCTGGCATTGGCTGATAATCATGCGGTCTTCTTATTTTTAAACTTTGCCCTTTGAAGTTGATACCATCAAATGCCATAGCTTGCGTTGTTTCGTCTATCGAACGGAACTAAAACGATTTCATAAATAATCTGTTAGTTATATATTTTTAAACCTTACATTCAAATAAGTTTCCTTAAGTAAATACCTCTAAGAAAGCAAAGTTTTTATCAAGATTAATCTGGCATGCTAAAACTGGATTTCCAGCAGCTTGAGCAAGACCAGATAAGTGCATTTGTTGATTAAAGAATTCCATCATTTCTTCCTCAGTCACACCAAATGGAATGTTTCCTACATAAAGTCTTCTTGCTTGTCGAGTTATGGTACTACCAACTACTGGCACTGCTGCTTGTGGTGTGTCTGCTACAATATTTGCAGGTATTTGTCCTGCAGCTTGCATAGCTTTATACTGTTAAAAATTGAAGTTAATACAAAAATTTCATTTTCATCAGTTCAAAGTTTCATTAATTGTAGATAGTTACCTGCAAAGGTGTAATGTGTTCAAATCCTGGTGGTGGAACATCCCAATAAAGAGAAGGTTTCCTCCTTCTAGAACTGCGACTCTTTTTAGGTGAACTGCTTCTCTTCCTATCTCTTCTATCTTTGGAACGAGTACGCGATCTTTTCCTACGATCTCTACTACGAGATCTGTGTCTTCTATCACGATCTCTGTCCCTGTCCCTATCTTTGTCACGGTCTTGACGGTCACGATCTATTATACGTATCATACAAATATTAATTAACAGTCATTTTCTTATTAATAATGTAACAAAATGATTTATGAAGTATAAAAACTTTATGACTTTAATACAAACTGTGTTTTATTACAAATATATATATGCTTATATATATTTGTTTAATTATTTAACTCATATGTATATATGTATTCAAATACATATAGATAGACTTGTATTCTATACATTATATAAATTTATCAACTGAACTTTAAACAGCAAGGCTATAATCAAAATAATTACAAAAGCTACTAAATTTATTTGTAATTCAAAAAACGCAATGGAAAATTTAAATGAAATGAATGAAATGATACAATATCATCAGTATATAATTAAAAATGTACCCATAAGAACAATCTTCGTAGATGCTTATTTTTCAGGTTATCGATAAAATCAAATGACCTTTCGATAAATGTTCAAATGTTATTTAATTCACGCTGAAATTGATGAAAACGTTTTGTAACTTAAGATATCTTGCGTGAAAAGAAATTTCAAAAGGAACTGTTTCAAGTATGTTTACGACTTTCACGAATACGTTTCTCCGGCCATTACAATCACCGGACTTATTTACCTGGTTGTAACGCGGGAACGATGACAAAAAGCACAGTATATTCAGAAACTTTTCGAACGCTTACCTCCATTATAATCTTCACCCATTTTTCAATTTAACACTTGGTACATAATATTCTTCTCAGCAAGTAGTAATATTAATTAAAACACGGTTATTAAATGTCAATTACTCTTAAAACAAATTTTTATTAAAGAAATGGCGATACTCTAGTCTAGGTAAATACAGTAACTACAGATACAGAAAGATAGGATATGTCTGTTCACGAAGGGTCTTAATTTTGGGGTCCCAAACACCCCCAGGTGAGGTTGGATTAGCATATGCATCTTCGATCATGCTTGGAGGGGAAAGTGTCTGGCTAAGCCAGCGGAGGGGGAAGTGTCCCCGCCAGAAGACGCTTTTGTATTCGGAAAAGAAAATTTTCGTAAATAAATAGTTAATTGCTGAAGCGAGTCGGTTCGTTAATTAACCAGTAAAATGAATAATGAGCTCGATTCGAAAGTCGGTTGTCAAAATAATTAATTATGTTTAGTTAAGCACAAAGACGTCTGTGACATCTGGTTGATTCTTAATCTTTACCGAAGTTTTTACAATATTCTTTACAATATCATTACCGATGGGGATTAACTGCAAAAGAGGAGGGGATTAAATAAATAAATAAACCATATCAGTTTATCTAGTGAAAAAGCACTAAAGGGGAAGGTGCCCCTACCACCAGGTCACGGGCGAGCGCGCAGCCATTATGCCTCATTCACATGAGAAATACCTTTGTATGTATGTATGTAGGTATGTATGTACATACATACATACATACATATTTCAGGAGAAAAGAAATTTTTTCAAATAGTCGGAGAAGAGAGGCGGTTCATTCCTCAACGAGTAAAATATATAACCAGCACGATTAGAAACTTGATTGTCGAAATAATTAATCGCGTCGAGTCTCGGACGCCGAAGGTGGCTCCCTCTGCCCAATCGGATGGTGCACGAAACTGCGAACGCATATCGTGATTCCATACCGAACCGGAAGCTGCATAAGAGCCTCTCTCTCGCACTGTAACTTCCGTCCTTGTTTTGCCCTATTTCACTCTGACCCGAGGCTCGTTGAATGCCATCCTTGTCGTTTCACTTATGCCGAGATAGCGCGAAACCACCCCTCGTTCGAATGCCTCGATTACTTCTTAGCCACGTGCGATACTCTTGGTGTTTCAAATTTCCGCTCCGACAGTCTCTTGTCAGTGCCTGCAGTCACTGGTGCTGAGTAGTATTATTATCTGTAGTCGCTGCGTAGAACCATTTGGCGGCTTTGGAAAAGCTCAAAGATTCCTTATTTTGCCAAAAAACGGTATTTTCTAATTTGTTAGTTCCAGAGTTTGGCTTGTTCAAACTTAAGAATTGATAGTGAACGGAAAAATCATCAATAACTCCTTTTTGGCGAACAATTTATGAACTTTTATGATTGATTCTTAATCTACATAAGTACTTGTAGCAACTTTCAGATATAGGTTTTGTAAAAATCCAGCCCGTAATTAATTAGTTAAAATAATTATAGGAACTCCATCATTCCATGTCCAACCTACAGGAACGATCACTTTAAAAATTGCTGGTAATTAATTAATCACCTACAGGAGGCTCATAAAACTTATACTAGAAGGAAGCTAATTGTAAGATGCTATTGTTCATTCTTTAATTGTTGAAGTATGGAAAATGAAACAAATGAAGGACAAAAGGAGAATTGATACAAGTGTATAAAATTTGAACAGTTTATGAAAACTTTTTGAGTTATTAAAGCTTTAAATTAAGTATTAAGATTATTTTATTACTTCAAAACTTTGGTTGAAATGTAAAGATGCTTTCTTCCTCTGAATTAAAAAATTGGCTAATTTTCTCTACATTAGAGCCCCAATTCATTTCAAAAATCCGTATGTTTATTATGCGTGGTAATGCTTATTTTGTAATTTACATTTTTTGTATATTATTCAAATATTGGTAGAAAAGTAAATATTATATTACAAATAATACATCCTAAAATGAATTTTCATTGAACAGATTTCTCATGGTTATTCTCATTGTCAGCTTTATTAGTAACAAATCATGACATGGTATATGCTATAGGAACTAATAAAAATGGATGTCTTGGAATTGGTAATACTTATGCTATGTTTAATCCAATCAAAGTTGAAGAATTATGTGAAAAAAATATAAAATCCTTTTCATTTGGCGACTATCATTTTCTGGCCCTCACAAAGCAAGGAAAGGTACTTAAAACTTATGAAATCAGACTATACTGTTAATAGTATTACTAACTTTAATATAACATTACATTGCTTAATAATATAATTCTATGTAAAAGGTATATTCATGGGGACAAAATGATTATGGTCAATTAGGAAATGGATGTTACGAACAGTCTTTAATACCAATTATTGTAACAAAGCCTGTATGCAATGAACACATTACGGATATGGCTTGTGGAAGTTATCACTCTCTTGCACTAACAAATGAAGGGAAGGTAAAACGGAAGCTTCATATAAAAATTTCCGTCTTTGGAAACTCCTTCATTTCTCATAGCCTAAGCTGTACGCAACACAATTAATGTTACAAAATATTATGATAAACTTAATAATAAGTAGAAGGGTAACTTCAATTTTGTTTATTGCTTTTTAATAAAATGATACAAAAAAAATATTAAGATGTTTTATTTATTAGGGTTTCTCAGCCTTTTTATGATTTTTCTTTTGTTCTGAACAGTAATACTTCCTTCTGGAGTAACAGTCACAACAACATTACGAGCTGTAGTAGATAATTCACCTGACACATTGCGGTATGCTTTCGGTCTCTTAGGTTGTTCCGTTGGTACTTCAACAGCACTTTTGTTTTCTGGAAAAAAAAATTATGTTATTCACATATATCAAAATATGTTACTACCATTAATATAACTAAATAATAAAACCTACTCAATGTTGTGTAAATAGGAAGAGCAAGGCTATTAGCCGTTTTAATACGAACGGAACGTATATTGTTCCAACCACCTGGATAATGTTTAGACAAATAACTACATGCTGCAAGTATGTTTTCTAACATTTCTTCTATTTTCATTGCAGTGTGTCCAATTTGGACTATATGAGTGTCTCCAAGAGAATGTATTTGCATAATAGTCTTTTTCAAAGCATATTCTATTTCATGTTTTAAATCTTTACTTTGCATCCTAATAGATGTTGGCAGTTTTCTTTTCTTATAAAATTCTTTCCCTAATAAATGAGACAAATGACCTGCTATTTTTCCATCTACCAAAAAGTAATCATAGCTGTTGACAAGTTTCCTTTTTAGTTCATACTGATCATATTCTGTCTTTACTTGATTCATTGGTATTATACTCTTTACACTGGTACAACCATGTTTACGTAACAGATCTTCATAATATTCTATTGTTGGTTCATAATCTTTTTTTCTGCCTTTTTCAAAATCACCTACAAAAAGTGCAACTTCATCGTTTGATGATATTATTGAATGTGGCAATAATCTGAAAAATAAATAACAACATAGTTAATATATTTCATCAGAATATAATATTAAATTACTACAAAAAAAGAATGCATCATTTCTAAGAATATAATCATGGTTTCTCATAAGGATCCATTGGCATTTTATAAGGTATAATCACTTGCAGCTTAAGTAGTATCATATTACTTACGTATTTAAAAAATAAATTCTTAAATATTTTTAATTTGACTTACATTCTCATGCATCTTTTTGGCGTTTTTGGTACTTTGATGCACGTTACTTGCATAAATATTGGATTACTCTCTCCATCGAATAATGCATTTTTATTTTTTAATTGTTCTTCAGTTAAATGAAAAATAGCACTGATACATTGTAGTATGTGTTCTCTGGATAAATCATCCAAATTCAAAGAATCTGTATTTTCTTCACTATTATTTCCTACTTTTTTATTTTTCAATTCATTTGTACTTAAAACAATTTTTTTATTCCTTTGTATACTGCCCTTCTTGCGCGTTAATCTTTTTGTACGTTCCGAAGTAGATCTCAAAGTTTTCATTGTTTTTCTTTTATTCGACCTGAAAGCAATTAAATAATATGATTAATATCTAGGAATGTGGTAAAAATATTAAAATTTCTTCTTTAGAAATAACGTGATCCTTCCTTCGAAAGTTTTAATTGTGCAACGAAGCAACTAAAATATAACACCACAGACGAAAAAGTTAAGATCAAATAGCAACTCAATAATATAACATCTTTTAGTACACAATTAAATACATACTTTACTGCTCTTCTCTTCAGTCTTTTCTTCAACTTGTAATTTCAACTTTTCACATTCGTGCACGTGGCTTTCGTCCCAGAAGCCAAATGTGAACAGGGGCCGGAAACTCCCCTCTAACATAAAAGTGAAGCATTTCATGTTCCGCCATCTGTCCTACTGACAAGAACTAAGATTCAATTTTTCTCGACGCAATTGTGTCGAAATAATGAGATTTTAAATAAGTGAAAATGTGTATTGTGTATTGAAGGAAAGGAAAATTCATAAATATTATATAGATTAATGGATACATATATACTCGGCGTTATAAATATCGTAAAAACGCTTGCGTTACTCTTTGATTATGGAGCATGTAGTAAACCAATCAGAACCAATATGCGCAAAAATGGACGAAAATTCGTCTTCCGTTAAGTTTATAAAGACTGTAATAAGTTTTTAAATAATTATTTTATTATTATTCCTATTATATTATTAAAGATTTTATGTATATTCACAGATAATTAATTTAACTATCACGTTGTAAAATCATGTTATTGGTTAAGAACACGAAGGGAAACGTTAGTTACAACTCGTAGCTATAAAAGAGAATGCGGAAAGTTCAAAAATTTCAAAATATGTAAGTAAACTATTTTCAATTATCGCAATTGGTGTTTAAGTTTGTTAATGATTTATGCTTAAATGATACAAATTAATTAATTTATATTAATATACAGGACAATTATATAGGACGTTCATTATTTCAGAGCTGTATTTAAAATTCTCGTTCACTTAAATTTTTTTATTTTGAATCACTTATACTGATATTTTATTATTGTTCAGGATAATGTTCGCAATTATTCTCTTGAGGACCGTCACACTTGGCTAACCAAGAAAATCGAGATCAACGATCAGTTACAGCACACGTCAAAGGTAGCTTCAGCCGTTGAGCAGACCTATTTTCTTTCTTTCAAATATCTTTCTTTAAACTTTCCTTTTATTACTTTTCACTGATCGTTCTTTTGTCGGCAATAGTTCAGATCATCACAAGTACTGTTACCAGGATTCTCCCACTATAAAGTTTGTTCATTAAATTTGCATATGCAAATTTGCGTTTGTGATAAGTGATTTCAAAAAGGAAAAGCGGCTTCGTGAAGAAGAAGAGGAACGTAGTCGTGACCAAGTGTCGATATGCTCCGGTTAACACTTGCTACGTATTGTCGTCGAAATAGTCGAAAGTATAATGTTCAGGATATCACGATACATTAGAATATTATTATTCATATTCCTTGGTTCTACAATTTTTTGTGCAGTTTTCATTACTTTCCCGAACTTCGTTGGTGGGAAAATTAATAGAAAAACAGGTCAAACAGAACGTCAAAAACAAACACATAAAATTTATGCTACATTATCAAAAAAATACAATTTAACGAAAGGACAGGTATGGATACGGCGAAAGTCATTCTCACTAATGGGTTGATTTATTATTTTTTCTTTTTTTTTTTTTTTTTTTTTTTACTATTAATCAGAAATCTTATAAGCAAGATTGATTAAACCTTAACTTTTATTTATACCAGATTAGTAACACGTCTGTGCTTGGAAAATGGCTGTTATCACCCGAGGGAAGTTTACCACCACCGATAATTAATACGAAAAAGGAGCCATACTTAATATTAATTTGGAAACATGGAAAGTTCTTAGAACGTAGACATATCAAACGTTTCACTAATAATAAGTTAATATAATATTGTCAATACAAATTTCACTAATAATAAGTTAATAAAACATTAACTTTGACTTTTTTATTAGAATATAAAATTAATGTTACTTTTTAGATTTTCACCGTGGGATGGTTGTACAGTAAACAAATGTGTGCTAAGTTACCAAATGAAAGATATAGACACAGCTGATGCGGTTGTATTTCATTTACATTTAACGAAGGGCATATCAGAATTGCCATTTAGAACTCGACAGAACCAAAGGTGGATCTTCCTGGCAGACGAATCACCGATTCATACTTTTCTCTATGGCAATCAACAAATATCAGAATATAATGGCTTGTTTAACTGGTCTATGACTTATCGAATGGATAGTGATATACCGGTACCATATGGTAGGACGGTTTTGAAATCGTTCATCAATTCCTCAGATACAGGTTTTTCCGAAGATTTTATTCGAAAATTAAAAACTAAACTAGTTACCGTGATGGGTAGTAATTGTGCAGGTACGAATGGTCGATGGAAATATGTAAATGAGTTGAAATCAATTCTCGGCAATGATCTACATATATACGGGAAATGTTTAAATGGTAATACAACAGCGTGTCCAGGCCATTTTGATAAAGACTGTTCAGCCTTGAATGCATACAAATTTTATCTTGCTTTTGAGAATTCAAATTGTAAAGAATATATTACAGAAAAAGTATTCTGGCATGGTTATCGTAAATTAGCAATTCCGATAATAATGGGTGCACCGAAAGAAAATTGCGAACAACTACTACCGCCTCACTCGTTTCTTCATATTAGCGATTTCGTTAATCCAACTGCCTTAGCGAATTATATTCGTTATCTTAATCAGCACGATGATAAATATTTGGAATATCATAAATGGCGTAAATATTATAAAGTAAATAATGAGCACGGCTATTTTGGTAGTATTTCGAGGCATTATTGTCGCATTTGCGAAGCTCTTCATTATAATGTTCCTGCTATTAAAATATACGAAGATATGGAGTCATTTTGGAACAAAAAACGAGATTGTACCATTTAGTACATTTGATTTCATATTTTTTAATTAAATTGTTTAGTGTTATACAGTTCTCACATGTATAAGATATTTATGTACCTTGTAAATGTTATAAATAATTGTAATTAAAATATTCATCAATTCTGTAATGTCTGCTAGATAATAATAAAATTACTTAATATATGACGTAATGTCGTTTAAATTAAAATGTACATGTGTAAATAAATACATATGTATGTATACATAGGTACATATGTATATATTATTACATATAATAACAATGTCAGGTTAGAATGATTTGTTATGTTAATATCAATACCATATGAGTCAGAATAAAAAAATTTCATTAATGTTACGTAAAGACTATCAACAGTTTACAGAACAAGATTATAAAGCACTCCAGAAAATTTTTAAAGATGCTCATCGTTTACGTAGATTCGCCTATGTTTATGTAATGTATATCGTAATTTCAAAATTTTGTCACATCATTACAGTTACAAATCGGCAACAATTTCTTTCTAAATATCGAACAGTCATTTTTCCTGTATCATATTGTATAACACACTACGCAACAGCTCCCATAATTATGACTTCAAAGTACTTTAAAGGGTGCAAAGACCATTACAATGGCGTAACCATTGATTCGAATGAAGAGTCTTGTAGCCCTGAAGCATTGGCACCTCTTCTTGCAGGTGTGTAATATACTAATTATTACTAATAAATTTATAACTTATTATTCATTTTATAAAATAAAAATTTTTTAATTACTTTACTTTCCGCAAAATTGAGTTTAAAAGTTGTTTGTGATAATATTATACTGTAAGTACTATTTTTACAGCATCTTTGCAGCAATGGATAAAAGAAAAAAGAAGGACAATCTGGTTTCGTGTATATTTACCACATTCAGAATGGATACCAATACTTGTAAAAGAAGGATTTAAGTTTCATCACGCAAAGCAAGAGTATGTTATGCTTTATCGATGGTTAGTTACAGATGAAGAATGCGCTGTTCCACATTATGCTCATACAAATTTAGGTATTGGAGGATTTGTTTATAATGAAAAAACTACTGAACTCTTAGTGGTTAAAGAGAAGTATGTTGAAAAATCAGCATTTTGGAAACTGCCAGGTGGTTATGTAGACCCAGGTATTTTATGTCATTGCAAATCTATGAATACATGTATAATTACATGGTTAGTTACTATTCTTTTATTGTAGGAGAAAATCTAGAACTAGCTGTAAAAAGGGAAGTCTTAGAAGAAACTGGTATTCAAACCACTTTTAAATGTCTGTTAGGTTTTAGACATACTCATAATCATGTTTTTGGTTGTTCTGACGTATATATAGTTGCTTATTTGTCTCCTAATGACAATAAAATTAAAAAATGTGAAAGAGAAATTTCTAAATGTCAATGGATGAAGGTAATTTTGTATTATTTACACATTTTTTCTACTATGACTGTTTGTTTCTGTTTACAGATAAGTGATTATCTAAAACATTCAGAAGTACATGAAAATAATAAATTGGTTGCAAGAAAGATGTTAGAATTACTTGAGCATAGAATGGGAATTGTAGTAGAATATACACAACATCCTATTACAAAGAAACCTATCTCTGTCTATACTATATCTAGAATCAATAGAACATAGCATTTAGTTGAATTAAAATAACTAAAATATAGATAATGCACAAACCACTTCAAAAATGTAATTACTTTACTTCTTACAAAGAAAGGAGTTTGTTGTACAAATGTATTTTAATAAACTTTATTACTGGGGTTGGTAGGATTATAATTGTTATTGAAATTGATGTATTTCTACTTTCAGATGAACAGAAAAATCCATATGTATAATAGTACCAATATTGACTTATGTTTTTAATGATAAAATTAAAATTATGACAATAAATATAAAAAAAAGGTATTCAAGAAATTGTGATATAAGTATGCCTCAGTTTCTGCGTTTTATATTGTCGACAAATTCTGAAGTGTGAGTGCTATTATTTCCTTTCTGTCAACACTGAGTAATACAGAAGTATTACTATCAATATAATATATAGTGCTTAGTAGACAAAATAAAGAAAACATAAAGATGTCAGAATACGATAAAGTGAGAACAGGAAAACTTGTCCTGAAGGGTGAAAAGATAAGGTATAAATGAATCTTAAAGCTAACCTAACTATTTTGTTGTTAGTATAACGTCTTATACACAATTTATAGGTCAAAGAAACGAAAATCAAAAAAACAGGAAAAGGAACATGTTTCTACTTCTGAAAATAAGGATACAATAGCTCACGGTATTTTGATTACTTATACTATTAATATTATCATACAACTTGGTTATGTTACAATGATTTATTTATCTTGTAGGTGGATGGTGGAAAGCTACACAAGTATCTGATGTAACAGGAACAGTGGCAATCGAATTTGGAAATCATACTTATATGAAAGCTTTAGATAATGGATTATTTACATTAGGTGCACCTCACAACGAAGGTGAAGGACCTTCTCCAGAAGAGATTTTAACAGCATTTCCAATAGGAGAAACTAAGATTGCACTAAAATCTGGTTATGGAAAATATTTAGGTGTTGATAAAAATGGTATAGTTATTGGAAGAAGCGATGCAGTAGGCACAATTGAACAATGGGAACCAATTTTTCAAGTATATCATTCGATATTAAATATCACATTTCTTGTTTAATGTACAGTTGTGCAAATCTTTTATCTTTTTTTCTTTTTAGGATAATAAACTTGCCATTTTAAATAGCAACAACTGCTTTATGTCAGTCACAGATGAAGATGATATTATTTGTCAAAATAAAACTGCTGGAACCTCTGAATTTTGTATAATAAGAAGTATAACTCAAAAAACTCAAGATCCAAATAAAGATATTCCAAAGGAGGAACAGGGTTCTCTTCATGACGTTGAAGTAAATTATGTGTAAGTTACGTATATATAATACAGAAAGATAAAGACTAACAGTAATCTTCAATAAGCAGAAAAGTTGAAATGTAACTGTATTTTCTAGGAGAAAGTTTCAAAAATTTCAAGACAAAAAACTGAAAGTAAATCAAGCAGATCGTTCTGAATTAGAGAAAGCAAAACGCGAGGGAAACTTACATGAAACTTTGTTAGATAGAAGAAGTAAAATGAAAGCAGATCGATATTGTAAATAACTTTGAATAATAACTATATTCTGTATTGGAAAATGTTACTGTGTAAGTTTTAATTGTATATACAGGGTGTTCCGTAACTGGTGGTACAAGCGAGTAGGGGGTGATTCTACGTAAAAAAGTGAATCGAAAATGTAGAATAAAATTTTTCCATATAACGCTTTATTTTCGAAAAAAATAAGCTTGAAAATTTATGTTTGCAACAACGTGGACATCACTTCCAACAGTTCATAAATTAGACGAATTCTGGAAATCTGTCCATCGATCCACTGAAACCATTTACGAACAAGAATGGAGGTGATCTACAATGAAATCCGTCGAGCTGAAGCTGGTCCAAGTGCACGCGTACTCGACAAATTTTCAAACTTATTTTTTTTCGAAAATAAAGCGTGATATGAAAAAATTTTATTCTACATTTTCGATTCAATTTTTTACGTAGAATCACCCCCTACTCGCTTGTACCAACAGTTACGGGACACACTTGATATATTTAATAAAATTTATGAAATTTATTATGTTGCTGTTTTTTCTGATGCATCTATTATTATTTTACAGAAACAAGGCACTAAGTTAAAATATTTCTCCAAAAAATTATTAAAACAATTGTTTGACTTGTGTTTTAATAAGACAGTGTTGCAGAATTAAGTTTCCCGCAGAAAGGGAAGGGGGTCCCAAATTCGACCGTAGCGCCATTTATACAGTTGCGTGTCGTCAGCATACACATATGTACGAAAATATAGACCGAGCATAAACTGTTGCTACTTTAGACAAGGGAGGCTCTGATAATCGGGGCGAGGAGGGTACTCGTCTGACATCGACTTATTCCGGCAAGACTCGGTAGTATTCGGCTCACATTTCACATGTATGTATGTATGCATGTATGTATGTATGTATGTATGTACTAGAGTCGGCTGTGTGAGAACTCGTTTCTGGGGATTTTTCTAGGGACTGTCGGTAAAGTTTTCGTCGCTATAATGAAATATAAATTGTATGACAAATTATACATTGCCACAAATCAGGTACTATTTGATCATGTTTTTTCAATTGTCCATAAAATTGAGTAAATTATGTTATAACATAATGGTAGTGGTAATATAAGTTAAACTAAACGTTTAAGTCAAAGAGGTGCTTATAACAAAATCAATAAAATTATTGTGAACTATGTAGAAAGTATTTTTAGATAAATGATAAAGTGACTCTAGGTGATTTAAGATAGATTTTAAGAAGCATGAAATGCATAAAAGGATAATTAAACAGAACACGTATGTTTTAATAACAAAGTTCTATTCACTTTATTTAGATTTTTGTAATTCAATAACTATGCTTTAGACAAGATTTATTCTTTAATTTTTGTGCAGTTTAATTCTGATTTAGTTGATTACTTTTGGAAAGAAAACTTTGTTCACGAAAGAAAGTTATGTTCATATTTTAATATAGATTTAATTCATTAACATACAGGATAAAAACTCCTGAGAATTTACCAAAGCTAAAAAATTATAAAGCTAATGAGGATGAATCAAGTGACTTTCAATTACCAAGCTTACCACAAAAGAAAAAAGCTTGGAAAGATGTGGATGACAGTGAATCAACTTGGGATCAAACTAGTGCAATAACATCTACATCTTATTCATTAGAAATTGAAAATATTGCAACAAGAAAAGTTTTACAACAATGGGAAGCTGTTGAAAATACACTTTACGAAGATGGAAACCAAGTTACCCAACCAGCTGTTTTGGAAGAATGTATACAATGGAGAACACAAATACCTCATTTAAGAGTAGTTGGAAAAAATCCGTTTTTAGCAACTAAAACTAAATATGAAGATTTCAATATAAATTATAATAGAATACGAAGCAGTTCTGATTTTTGGAATGAAGAAGCACTTTCGGAACATAGTCTTCAATTAAAGGTAAAGAATATATTATTATTTTTAATGTTTGTTATTTGCTAAAATATAGCAGTAATCAGTGTTATCAATTTTTCAACCTATAGATATTGTTTACATTATTATAGGAAAGAAAAAGTTCATCCAAGTATAAATTACAAAAAACTCCCCAAGATGAGATATTTAATATACTTTATGAATATGTAATATCTGAATTATTTCCCAATAAAGAAAATGAAATTGATTTGTTACGTGATGATTTCAATGATGTTTTGCAAATACACATGACACCGGTTCACAGCAATAAAAGTTTTGCAAAAGGTATAAATTGGTTTGAAGAAACAATTTCTCTTGAAAATCGGTTTTCAAACAGCAAATGTAAAGCAATAGAAGATCATACTACATTGTTACGGAAAGAAACATCTCGATTAAACATTCAAGAAATTCAAAAGTATGTGTGCAATCTACTATAGAAAATAAAAGAATTTTATAATATTAGAAATATTTATAATTTGTGTTTGTTTATAGAAAATATAATAATTCTACGCATAATGATAAAATAAAAAGCGAGGTGGATATTATAGAAGATAAACTTTCTAGGCCACACACTAGTAGAAATAAACTTGGAACTGTCTTTAATGAAAAGATTGTAGTTAGTCCTGTACCTTACGTTTTATCAACTAGGGAAAGTTTCTCTACTGTAAAAACCACACCAATTAAGTTTATGGCACAGTCTGTAAATGAGTCCACTTTCCAAGGCATGTTAAATATTTTTTAAATCTTACATGTGACATAAAATATATAAAATATTTTTAGCATTAATATTATTTTATATTAGGTTCAAATAGAAATATTACTTTTAAAAATTTAGGAAAAATTTCAACTTTGACAAGAACTTCAAATTATCAGTCCACTTGGCATACTCCTGTTTCTTCTGCTATGTGGCCAAAAAATATGAAGCTTGCTCCATTGGATACTTCAAAACTTCCTCACAGCAAAAACAGGTAAATTCTTCAAACCAAGTACTATTTTTTGTGGCTACTAACTGTCTCTATAATTTTAGATCTCTAACATCATCATCAGTAACATCTTTACGCAACAGAAAACCTTTAAGTCCTATTTCTCGGCCTACTCTTCCTATTTCTGCACAAACTACTCATAACAATCACGAAGGTTTAGAAATTCAAGGAAAACATGTAACTCTTGGACAATCTCTTAAATTAAGTATACCTGGTACTTCCTGGGATTGTAATGCTGGAAGTAGTAAAAGTAAAAAGAAAAGAAATTATTTAAAAATAAAATCATAACAATTTACAGCTAATTTATTAATTAAGAAAATGAATTTTATAAGTTTTATAAAATGTATTTATTTTTGTGATATGAATTATTTTATTACAACACACAAGAGAGAAAAATATGGGACCAGGATATAAGAGAATGATTTAAATTACATAAAAAAAGAATTCATGATGGTTTTTATGATGTATGTACGAGTGATGTGTTACAGGTATTTTACTATTTATTTCTTATTGAATAATTTTTAAGTATAATGGTTCATAAATTCAAATATCAATAATTCAGCATGCACATACGCATATAAGATGAAGAAACAATTAACATAATGAAAATTGAAAATTCTATATGCTAACAGAAATAAAAAAGTTCTTTAGCATTTTGGTGTAGAGAATTTTCAGTGTTGTTTGAAATACTCTTTGTATGTATATATAAACAGACGCATATATTGTTATGGTTATCGATAAGAAACTTCAATGTGTTGCAGTATTAAAGTGTACGTTAAATATACGATATTTTATGCTATATAGAGAATATACTCTCTTAAAAGTGATAGAAGTTAATGTTCCAAAAGTAAAAATGTGTAATTTAAATGCTCATGTTTAATAGATGAATATGTATACTATTGTGACTGTCTACCTCACTGAATGTCTGTACGTTGTTTAATTAACGCACATGCTTATATGCGCAAGTGAATATATTTTTGTAATGCACACATTTGTAATGAATGTGCTTGTTATAAATATACAAGTGATATGTGTATAAATATTTTCGAAAATGCTTATGAATTTATTTCTCTGAGATAGCTGCTGGAAATTAAGGGATTTCCTTCTTTACTGTGGGTTTCACCTACCGATCTTTCTCATATCATTTTTCAGGGTTTTTGTAACAATGTTGGTAAATATATTCTATTTTCTAAAAGATCTTCAGATTACATGATAATTATTAACAAATTATTTACTATAGAAGACTGCGACGTTCACGTCCTTTACATTAGAATTGGACTGTTTTGGATTGTTTCCTTCATACATACATAGTATATAGTCACAAGAAGGTGTCAAAATAATTTGAAAAACACAATCAGTAGTCAGTTCTAATAAGAAATATTGAAAGTATATTTATTTATTACAAATAATTTTGTATATAACAGTATAGCTGTATCAAATTATGAATTTGTGCAGTTTCATCATATGATTTAAATAGTAAAATATTAATACAAGCAATTGATATTAAATATAATACGTAATATTGTACAAGGTAATTTGAAATTGTTTCATACGTACAGAAGTTAACGATAAAGCAAATAACATTACTGTAAAACGTAATAGTTTCCAACGATTTCGTTCAATAGAATAAAATTCTATTTAAATTTTTTATTGTCTTATCCCAAATATGACAAAAATACGGTGAAACAATGAAGATAAACTATGGATAATTTATGTATTAGTCACAATTTACATAGATTTTTACTTATACAAAAGCATAAACCATAATTTTATTTCTATACAGTTGCACAACATATATAAATACAGTTTTAAGTTCTTCAACTAAATAGCAAAATAATTTTAATGTTATTTGATCAACTTTAATAAAACAATTTAAAGATATACATTCGATAGCAAATAAATATCTTTTTTAAGTAATAAGGTCCTTTCATAATAAAAGCAGTAGTCTAAATGTTTCCTATTCAAAACAAGTGCTTTACACAATTCATACAGTGTAATTAACTCTCGAATAATGAAGTTCAGTCGATTGTAACCCAATCTTATGAAATATGTATTCGGTATTAAATTGTTTAACGAATGTTCATGTATTGAAAAAATAATATTTAAAACAATATTTGGAATAGTTAAATCGTATGTTAGGCCAGTAGACCTGGCTCTGCAGTTCGTGTCACTGTATCAGTGACTCACCCCCAAGGGTTAATTTGAAGAATGCAAATCTGTATAGTCAAGATTTGCATGGTAACAAATGTAATGTCGGAAGATCTATTAATATTTATAATCGTTTTTATAAAAAATCTAAAATAATTTTTTTACATACTGTTTTCCATTTCTATCAGTATTCAACAACTATTTCATTATGCTTAATGCATCAATATGGCATGTTTTATGTGGTACTAAATATGTGAACTTTAACTACAGTCATAATTTTGTTATGGCAATAGCAACTTTTTGTTTAGATACGTATGTTGACTTCATTTAAATTTTTATGATGTATAATTACCTTCTTCAAAATTCTGTTCCTTTACACATATTGTACTGCAGCAAAGAACACTTCATTTCCTAAATGTATATAGGTAATAAAACGGAACAGTATAAATTAAATATGTACAGAGGGTATCCCAAAAATGAGCAGCAAGTCGAAGTATGCAAAATTTCTCCCAGGAAACAAGAAATTCTTTACCATTTTGCAGCTTGAGATTTTATTCCTGATATATAAATGAGTGAAATTTGCAAAACACGTTGTAATGTGACAATAAATGCATTTATACCCAGGAACTTAAGGGCTCTAAAGGTATTAGAATTAATACTGTCATTTACAATACATTCTTTTGGTTGTTTTTCAGGGTATTCCATTAATATGAAGAATGTTGTAAATGCGATAAGTTCAATTAAATTTATAAAACTAAAATGAATGCTTGATTTAACACATTTGAAGCTACTTGGGCAGATGTACCCACACCAGGGGGACTGTGGAATTCAAAGAAGTTGTAAAATCGCTCGGTAGCATATATTTTGGAAATGAAGCCACAAATTGCAAAATGATAAAGGATATCCCGACTTCTTTTGACCTATGTTCTTATATTAAGCAAAGTTGACATGTTTTGACATGCTGGTTATTTTTGACATGCTGTTTACACTTTTTAGAAAAGAGCAATACAGTTTAAACTGTGGTTTTTCTATTTTGTTGAGTATTTTGATGTTTCCAATTCATTAGTTCATCTAATACTTCAACTAATAAAGGATTCCCACCTAAACGTTGAACTTCGTCCCTAGCTTTTTTATCTAGTTCTTCAAGTACATTTCGCGTATAAGCGAAAGACCCAAACTTTTCTAGTAAATTTACACAATATCGTTTTACCTCAATGTCCTTAGTTCGTTGTCTGAGAATGTCTATTAGTAATAATTAAGGAATAATAATTGCCAACACGTAGAGTCGCGACTAAACATACTAAAATAATATAACTTGTAAATAAATATTTCTATTTTTTTAACAAAGGATACTCATTATCTGTCTGTCTTCCGAGTGACTTTGTACAGCATGGATAATAGGAAAACTGAATTTTCCTTCTGACAAATCTTCACAGTAACTTTTATTTTCAGCATACTATGGAAATTATATATCTTATGAATATATATACTTTAACAATAATAATATAAAAACCTATTTCTAGGAACTTACTTCTTGAAGGTATAAATTACAGTAATCATCTCTAATCTGAAAGTAAAGTCCTAAAATTCCTGCTAAAGGAGTGTAGTCTTCTTTACAATCAGAAAATAGTTGCATTAATCGCACAGCTAAATTGAAAAGTCCACCTGTTTCTGTAAATTTGTTTGCATTATATGCATATTTCTAATAATACCAAAAACCTCTTAATAAATGAAAATACATACTTCAGCCTATCAAAATATACAAAACTACACAGTCATTATACTAAACTTACTTCTAATTGTCATTTGTTTATATGCAGTTTCAGATGGACAAATATAATTATCCCTCCAATAAATTTCCATACCTTGTCCTCTATGGAGTTCCAATAATTGTTCTACATATACTTGAGTACCCTGTCATTAGTTAAAATATTATTAAGGCTATGACAAGATAAAATTTTTATAAGAGATTATCTACCTCTGGATGATTTAAAGCAAGTACTCTTTCCAAAGCAATAAATATTACATAGTTTGCAGCATTTATTGTACTCGCTGTCCCATAAATATTATGAGCTACAGGGATACCTCTTCTTAAAACTGAATTATCTTGAATATCATCAATTCTGTAAAAATGTTATTAATTAATCAACTTCAATAACATATCAATGATAAAGATTATTGAATGTAAGTAAAATATCTCTAAACTAACAGTAAACTAGAGGTATGAAGTAGTTGTACTATATCCCCGACTGCTCGTAGTTTATCCTGTGGTATTTTTAACCAATAATTGAAGGCATGTGCTAACTTTGCTCTGATCTGTTTTCCAGGAACTTGGAGGATGTAAGTAAACGGTTCCAACAATATCTATAAAATGAGATGTATATCTTTTATTAGACAAAGAAATAATGTTTATAATAATGTTGTTTGTTGTCACTTTGACAGTTTTCTTAACCTCAAACTATCATAATCCGATGCAAACTAACCTTATCTTCTTCCTTATCACCGGTCCGAGAATAAGGTATATGTTTACTCTGATCCATAACGTATTTTAGTACGAGTAAAATTGGCGATGCACGGTCGAGATGTTTCGTTAAACTGGGCTGAGAAATCAAATGCAAGCAAATTATATATACCCATTAATCGAGCCACTTACGCGAACATGACAGCCGACTTTGTCGGTGTGTCATGTCGTCTGCTATGCAATTATGTATGTAGGTACAGAGTCTACCATTTATCTCGCAACCCATGCGCGTGCAAATTGATGAAAATGACAACAGCGCAAAAATTCTAGAGATGTAAAAATCCGTACAGTTAAGTTGGTAATTGATTCGAGATACGAGTACACCGAGTTTCATTGAACTTGTCGCGGCGTGTGAAACTAACACATATTCACGCCGGAGAGCCGATTGGCGAGGGGCACGCCAAGGAGGGATTGCAGCCAATTGACTGCCGTCGTGAATATGTGTTAGAGTCACACGCCGCGACAAGTTCGATGAAACCCAATGTACTTATATCCTGAATCGAATCTCGGACCACAGTTCAGTTGATTACCAACTTAACTGTACGGTTTTTACATCTCTCGAATTTTAGCGCTATTGCCATTTTCATCATTTTGCGCGCGCATGGGTTGCGAGATAAATGGTAATGTATGTACGTACACTGAGTTCCATCGAAGTTGTCGCAGTGAAGTTGGCTACACATTCACTAGCCCATTCACACCGCGTCGTCGGTACCTCGTCCATCGGCTCACCGTCGCGACGTGAATGTGTTAGTGCGCCAACTTCACTGCGACAACTTCGATGGAACTCAGTGTATGTACATACACAGTCGATAAGAAGAGATAATATTTCAGATAATTTTCGAAAGATGCGTTGATTTGAAGTTTAAAAAATTATTTAAAAACTATACCTGTATTTATCAAAGTATAAAAGTTTAAGGTGTAATTTTTTTATAATTTGTCCATTCCGTTTCCAGAAAATATCTGCTTTTATTTAGGAACTTAAAAGAAATCCAGTCACTATAAGAAGAAATAACACGTTATACTATAAATAAAATGTAGTTTATTCTCACAATAATAACATATACAATAATTTATACAAAAGCTAACTTAATATGTATAAACTTAATATAAAAAAAGTGTGTATACACCTAGTTCTTGTTGCTACATAAAAATTTTATTTTGTTTGAACAGTGAACTTTAGATAACTTGTTTGTATAAAAAGCAAATGTTTATTATCTGAACTTTGACTAGTCCACGACATTCATTTTTATTACACTACTAAAATTGTAAGTATGTATGTACAATTTTAATGTAAATAATTACCATCGATTGAATAACTTATAAAATACACTAATGACATAATATGTTTTCTATATTTACATATTGAAGGATGTTTGAATAAAAATCTGTGTAATCAAACCTAAGCATTTATGATATAAATGATACAAATGCTTTGTATGTACAGTGTAACTTTGACTGCAGTATAAATCATATTATGAGAAAGAAAATAATACATATAGTCAGTCAGATTTGATAAAAATATACAAAATTGAATGTTCTAATTGCTAAAAAATTTTATACATTAGTTGAAAATCATTCACAAAATTTTATGTTATTTTAGATACACCATTTACAATTTCTCTCCACTGAGATTAAGTACGTTGTAATATGAGTGGTCTGGGAACCTGTCTAATTCAATGTAATCAGTTTCATCAAGTAATAGGCCTTCAGTTAGACCGACGAGTTCTCCAAACGATGGCCTACAAGCTGGATCTTTGTTCCAACAATAATACATAATATTATACAATTCTCTCTTGCAGTGCTCTGGTTTATCTAGCCTGTATCCTTCTTTGATTCTCCTCATTACCTAAACAAAGAATTTTATATAGCACTCTTTTATTTCCTTTTTACTAAATAAATAAACTATAAATAGATTCTAAGGAATCGTACTTCTGCTGCTGCTAAACCAGGGTAAGGTGTAGATCCTAATGTTACAATTTCCCAGATCAATACACCAAAGCTCCATATATCCGACTTCACGGAAAAGATGTTGTCATACAAGCTTTCTGGGGCCATCCATCTAATGGGTAGCCTTCCTTCGGACTTTCTTTCATATATTTGATTCACAGCAATGTCTCGTGCGAATCCAAAGTCTGCGACTTTACACGCACGATTCTCATCGATCAATATATTTCTCGCGGCTAAATCCCTATGTATAATTCCTTTCGAAGCCAAGTGCTCCATGCCTTTGGCAATCTATACATATAAACATTCCTTAAATACATTCACGTTCACTCAGTTATGAAGTTAAAATCTCTGAACCAGTTAAGGTTTAAAAACTATTTCAAATAATCAGAAGAAGAAAAATAATCAAGATATAAAATATACCTGGTAAACAAATCCAGTCAGATCTCTGGATGTTAAACCAGGTCCACCGTGGTTTCTTTCTTCTCTGGATGCCCTCAAGAAACTTTGCAGTTTTCCACCACTTACATACTCTAATATCACGAACATTGGCTCGCGTTCTGTACAACAACCTAGTAATCTGACTACATTAGGATGAGGATCTAAATTTTTCATTACTTTCAACTCTTGGGCAAGATCTAAACGTTCTCTTTCCGTTGCGTTTTCTTTTAAAGTCTTTACAGCTACAATAGTCGCGCCAGCATTCCCGTCTATGTCCAACGCCTCGCATTTCCAAACTTGACCAAAACAACCTTCTCCAAGGATGTTAAAAACCTGCAAATAAATTTTAAGGTAGATTTCAACTTGGAAATAAAATATCATACCAATTGAAGCTTTACTAGTGTTTAGTTATTACTGACCTTTAGTCGATGTCGTGGAAATTCCCATTGATCTTCCTGCTTATTTTGTATAGTCTGATTCTCTTTTTCCCAGGGTTCATATCGATTATTGTGCGCTTTTGGTCCTCTCCATCTTTTTAGAACAAGAGATGGATCGTCCGATATATTCGAGACACTAACAGAAGCTTGTTCTTTCTATATAAAAAAGGAAAGCCGTTATCTAAATAAGTCTCTAAAGTATTTAATTTTTCACAAATAATGGATTTAATAATTCTATATGAACTACGTTACTTTAAACAACTCCGTCTCGTACACTACAAGAAATAATCTGTCTTGTCGTGTTTCGTTTTGTTCATACTAATGACCGACCGCAAGCTATCAATTTTCCAAGTAACTTAAACCGATAGTACAGCGTGGTACTGCACTGACGTGATACAATCGGGTGAACCATGGGCTTCTTGTTAAAAATAAGTATAGAGAAAGAAGCTACTATTGAGCTTTAGTTTTAAGAGAATCCTGGGGGAGCCTTGAGAAGAGACTTGAGAAATTTAATATTTGTCTGAAATTTGTAGTTGCAATAATTTATCAACATGCAAAAGTTCATTAAGATCTAAGGACATTTGAAGTGGTTGAAATTTCTTCTATTTCCTTTATGTAGGCCTGTCCGACTATAATATTCTCCGATGTGCGTTTAAAGAGCGTACCGTATCTTCTTTAGATTTCCTGCTGCCGCAGAATTTATTTCTTAAAGACCAGGCACCCATCCCGAGGCCCACTACAAGAACGCAGACCGCTGTAACAGGTACCAAGGTCATCGCTATATCTTGAGAAGGCGGTGCCTCCGCAGGTGCAATTTTTGAGCTAAGGGGCGGCCCCTCGACCTCATTCTCCTCTGTAGCTTCTTCGAAGCCACTAATAGTGCTGCCATTCGGATCACTATCGTTCTGTTTTCTTTCTTCCGGTTGTAATTTTGTCGTTTTAGGTACATTAGACAGTGGCGCTATTGGTGGTGATATCACCGGTGTGTGAGGTAATGGTGGCCTAGGGTAGTTTTGTAGATTAGGTAGACCCAACAATGGCGGTCGTATTCTTCCACCGGAACCGTGTTGACCCAAAAATGGATTTCTAGCAAGAAAAAAATTAAAAGACTAAAATAGTATAGTATACCGATTAAGGGTGATATTATTAACAATATAAAACATTTTTTTTTTGGTAAAGATTCAATTTAGATACCTATCCATAAAGATAATTAAACAGTGGTTTAATTGAAGTTAATTTAGCAGCTACTCGACCAATTTTATCCTCGAATAACCTACCTGGTGTGTCCTCCATTGGGACTTGAAGTATTCTTGATGGTGATGTAGACCTCGGTCTTTGTTGTGAGTTGACCATCGGAGACGGTCACGTAGAGGAACAGGTTCTGCCCTCCCTGGAAAGAAAAAAAATTTTTTCATTTTTCGCTCAACCGTCATTTAATCGCTCAACATCGACCATACGCAGCTTGTCTTACGTCCTTATAGCTTTAAAAAAGAATAAATAATTGTATATGTTTGCATTTTGCTTTTGTTTAACAATAAAAACTTGTTTATCTCCTGTCTATATCACCAATTATACTTACACAAAATTTAGTGTGATTGTATTATAGTATTCTAATATGTAGCTATAGTTCCTATTTACAATTATACCATAGTAGGTACTCAACCCTCAAACAACGAAGCTTGGGTCAGTCGTGACCGAAACTTACAAAACATATGCAAGGATATTAAGTCAAAGTTAAATACATAATTTTGAAACGAAACAGTTTCACATATTGGAAGAATGATTTTTAAAGAAACAGTATAAAATTTATAAAATGAGAATAATATGAAATACAAAATTACCTTAAAATTGTGGCTTTCCTTGTGGTGAACCGTTCAAGGGTTAAATACCTATACTTAACACTTTCAACGCGGATGTCACACTATTCCAATACTTATAATCAGTGCCGTAACAAGGGTATGAAGCGCCTGTGGCAAGTGTCTAACTTGCGCCTCCCCGTAATCCAATAATGACAAAAAAAATTAAAAATTTTAATATAACAAGATACATTTTACTAAATATACAGTTGCGCCCGTAGCAGGCGCCTTCTTCGCCACGCCCTCGTTGCGGCACTGCTTATAATTGACATTACCAACACAACTAAAATAAATCCAAAACGACCCTTACTCTGTCTTTGAGCGTTTCATTAACGTAGATAATGCCGGTACGATTGTCGATAAAGAAGGGAAGCGGTGGTTGCGGACTGTCGTTTCCACTGTAGTCATGTCTAAGAGATTCAAGACCGTAGGTCAGTTGACCTTGTTCGTTGTCTTCGGCACGAGCTCTAGTTACAATACTTCCAACGGGTTCTGAATCTTGAAGTACCAAATTTCGATCTATCCACATGACGGGAGGTGTGTTGTCACTGAATTGACTTCCTGTGATGCAGAATACAAAATGTATGGTGTTTAGTCATTAATGAATTTTAATCATATTTTTGTATATAATATCACTTATTTATACATATTACTCAAAGTGATCGAGTAATATCTATACTTGATGTCACAAGAGTCCATAACTGCGAAAAGACCAGTTTTCGTTCTTTTCTGCGCATCGTCGCTCTGATTGGCGATATTCCTAGACGAAGTGGACAGCGATTGGCAGAGAGCTCGCGGCGTTCCCCTACTATCTTCCAACCTGCGCGTCTTAATTATGGACTCTCGTGACATCAAGTTTGACTTTGACTTTTTTTAAGCTTATGTCTATATTTTAAACAAATTCGTATATATTATTATTATTCTTCATTTACAATTTTCAACAATTCTAATTCCGCCATTTAGGATATCATGCAAAATGAAGTTTATATATTTCTTTGTATTTTGAACGCCATTAGTTCAACCAAATGAATGGCTTTAATGGCATAAACTCTAATTAACTTCGGATTTACGGAATAATAATTAAGAGAGAGCCGCTAGCTTGGGAGATCGACCTTGATATGCACTCCTTCCTGAATTTCGAGTTCATATCGTCAAGTAGAGTGTAACCTTTAATATTTTAAGTAGAAACCGTGCAGCTTCAAGATTTTCGACATTTTTTATAACAATGATAATCTCTTGAAATAATTTTATCTACTGAATCTTCTAAAACTTTGATCAAAAACAGAATTATCAACATTTTTTTTTTTAATATATTTTATAATGAGTGAGAGCAAGGTAGCCTCGGCCAGCAAACCTAGCTCTCATGATACTACACCAAATGATGATTGAAGAAAATTTTCAAAAAAACCGCGGTTAGATGAAAAAAGAAACAAAATAAAATAGAAAAACTAAATGAAGTTACAAACAAAAGTAAGCTGGATGGAGGGTGCGTGAGCGACACACCCAGCTAGCGTAGCAGTCATCAGCAATGACTGCACGAAGAAAACTAAAAGCGCTGAAAGAGAAAAAAATTAAACCAAACAACCAGAAATAAGCCCCTAACATGAAGAAAGGAACTCGATTATAAAAGGAATATTATCAGTTTGAGAAGAACCAGAAAGCCCTACCAGAGGATTAGCCTGGTAGTAACATTGTAATTGGAAAAGAGTATTATACTAATTGTAAGAGAATTTTCGCATAGTAGTAGAATATGTTGACGTCATGTATAGTCAGGACTATCTTCTCTGCATCGGAAATCGAACCTTGGTTTTGAATGGGATATTATCCTCAAGATATGTTCCAGTAAGCCAGACCAAGGGGTTTTCATGATCGTCAACTTGATAATTAGAAATTAGCTTTTTAATGAAGTCGGAGATTAAGGGAACTGAGGCGATTTCGTGAAGTGTTGAGATGGGAAAATCCCGAGGTCTTTAACACTTGGACGGCGGACCATGGAGAGAGCACCATGAAGAGATTTTAATTTAATTCTGTATTTCATATTATTTTCATTTCCCGAATTATAGATATATGAAAACTTTTCGTTTAAAAATTATACATTTAACTTTAGGTTAATATCCTTGTATATTTGTTTCGTACGTTTGGTTTACAATTAATCTAGGCTCCGCTATTCAAGGATTAAAAAGACTGTAATTTAAATATTGAAATCGTCTACTATGACGGTCAATGTGTAAAAATTTCATCGAATAAAATCGTTAATAAAGGGTATAGCAGGATAAGATGGTCAAAAGTGCCCTTGAGCCGAATTTGCTTCGCAATGCACCATTCGATAGCATATCCCAAAAAACCATGGTACACCAAGTTTCAACCCTGTACCTCAACCGGGAGGGTAGTTACAGGGTAAGAAAGAAAAAGTAGTTTTTGCCACATTTTCCCTATTTAATGGCATTCAAAAAATCTAAAAAAATTCTAGAATATTCTAGCCATGTTTCTTTATGATTGTGAATTTTCTCAGATTTTTCGGTTGCAAATCCTAGGCGTGAAAAATCAAAAACGCAAAAAAAAGTCGAAAAATAGAGATTTCGGGTAGAAGCTTTCGAGACACTAGATTTTTACTTTTACAGTAGTTAGATATTAGCATGACTGGTGTCCCCAATTTTTTTCAGATTTTTCATTCTGGTGCGTCAAACCGAAAAAAATCAAAAACCGATATTTTCGACATATTTCGTGCGATAACATGAGAAATACTTTCAATTTCTACATTTCCTTTACACACTTAGTGCATTATGTGATTTCGAACATTTTTGCACTGGATGCAGTAAAATCTGAATGGAGAGAGTGAAGTTATTATAAATAATTGAAAATTACGCACCTTATCCTCTAAAATATTAGAAACTTTTTCAACGTCGCCGATGGATAAGTCGGTAAGGTGTCCGACTATGGAACCGCTGGAAACTTTTTTGTCACGAGTTCGCGCCCCATGAATGTACAATTCTATTTTTTGTCATAAAACAATTTTTTTTTAAATTATAAATCACATAAGAATACACAATAATCATTTAATAACGTATGAAAATAATTTTGAAATATTTTATTATTAAGTATACATAAAAATCAGTGGTACACAACCGACTCTTTGGCTATATGTACAATTAAGGTAAAATATACATATCTGTATTGATTTCAATATCCATCATAAACCAACAACCACACAACTTTTCAATTAACAAAATATTGGGAGCTATCCGTAATTAGAACAGTACGAAATCAGAAAATCGGTAGTGCACCACTTATTTTTATGTATACTTAATAATAAAATATTTCAAAATTATTTTCATACGTTATTAAATGATTATTGTGTATTCTTATGTGATTAATAATTTAAAAAAAAATTGTTTTATGACAAAAAATAGAATTGTACATTCATGGGGCGCGAACTCGTGACAAAAAAGTTTCCAGCGGTTCCATAGTCGGACACCTTACCGACTTATCCATCGGCGACGTTGAAAAAGTTTCTAATATTTTAGAGGATAAGGTGCGTAATTTTCAATTATTTATAATAACTTCACTCTCTCCATTCAGATTTTACTGCATCCAGTGCAAAAATGTTCGAAATCACATAATGCACTAAGTGTGTAAAGGAAATGTAGAAATTGAAAGTATTTCTCATGTTATCGCACGAAATATGTCGAAAATATCGGTTTTTGATTTTTTTCGGTTTGACGCACCAGAATGAAAAATCTGAAAAAAATTGGGGACACCAGTCATGCTAATATCTAACTACTGTAAAAGTAAAAATCTAGTGTCTCGAAAGCTTCTACCCGAAATCTCTATTTTTCGACTTTTTTTTGCGTTTTTGATTTTTCACGCCTAGGATTTGCAACCGAAAAATCTGAGAAAATTCACAATCATAAAGAAACATGGCTAGAATATTCTAGAATTTTTTTAGATTTTTTGAATGCCATTAAATAGGGAAAATATGGCAAAAACTACTTTTTCTTTCTTACCCTGTAACTACCCTCCCGGTTGAGGTACAGGGTTGAAACTTGGTGTACCATGGTTTTTTGGGATATGCTATCGAATGGTGCATTGCGAAGCAAATTCGGCTCAAGGGCACTTTTGACCATCTTATCCTGCTATACCCTTTTGTAATTTAAAAAAAAAGTCCAACAGCACGCGGAGTTCCCAAGCGGTCACCCATCCAAGTACTACCCGCGCCCATCTAAGTTTAACTGCGGTGATCAGACGAGAACCGGTGTATCCTAAGTAGTGTGGCCGTTGGCTGATCGAATCGCCACATCTATTCGGACAATTTTTAAAAACAATAATACACGCAGAAAGTAAAATATATTTAAAAATTTCTGCTCTTAAAATATTCGAAATTGAATAAAAGAAGTTAATATATTGTTTAATTAAAGAAAAAAGGAAAGCCAACAGCACGCGGAGTTCCCAAGCGGTCACCCATCCAAGTACTACCCGCGCCCATCTTAGTTTAACTGCGGTGATCAGACGAGAACCGGTGTATCCTAAGTAGTGTGGCCGTTGGCTGATCAAATCGCTACATCTACCTCGGACAATTTTTAAAAAAATTTTACGGATATGCTTGAGTTTATATAAAACTTCTAGATCGAACTATCAAAAATATGTAAGCAATACTCGAATATACAATGCAGCTGAGATAAACAGAACCAATAACTTTATTAAAAAGCTCATCAGAAACTATTTTATAGCAGCAATCAAAAAGACCCCTATACTGTGCCCGCACTAAACCACGTGAAATTGGTCCTCTGCGAAAATGGCTGAGTTTAAAATATGTGGTACATCTTAGGTCACTGAACAAATGTTTCTCAGGCAAAATGTCGAGGACCAATTTCAGGTGGTTTAGCGCGGGGTCCTTTCAAACAACAGGATGATCTATCCGATCCCATACCCAGACAACAGCTACGTATTAAAGCCACTTATTTTAGGTTACATACCACCAAAAGCCTTCATTTATCTAGACAAACAGGGTTACATACAAGACGAAAAGGGAGTTCCGTTATTCTACCACATTCCATGCCATATAACAACAACCACCAACAAACCAAAGCTACCAAGCTCTACGATACTCATGGGCGTCCGCAAGAGGGGGCAATCGGGGCACTTGCCCCCCTTGGATAGAGAGAGAATCGGATATCGAATACAGCATTTATTGTCTCCTTCGTTCGGAACTCATCGTCAGTCTCTTTCTCGCTCGAACTATCTTGTATCTCGAATTGTTCTTGACTCTCCTTTTCTTTCACCCGGCTACAGCATACATTCGTTAATCTAGAAGTGATATTTTATATCACGCCCCCCCTAAAAAAAATCCTACGGATGCCCATGACGTTACTCCTAGGGGAAACCAAGGTATCTCCAGAACAAAACAAAGCAATGAGGGAAGTAACCCCCACACTTATTTTATCCAAACCACCCTCTATTAATATTCTGTATCAAGATCCTAAAGAAAAGATACAATTATTAAGCCATAAAATAACAGCCAAACAAACTTTCATATAAAGAGATTAAAGCAAAGCAAAGCATATTTTGCAACTTAACACTGTGGAAGATTTTCAAAAGGCTAAAGTGTAGGAGAGGGAAGAAAATGGCGTTTCGTCTGTCAGACTCGTCAGTGAGGCTGACAATAGCCCTAGGCACCTATCATACCGCTATTCGGAACTTTATGTATATTCGAACGGCATGCCAGGCGAGCGCTTGCGAGAACACTGCCTATCATCTCGCCGCCACCTCCCGGTCCCAGGCCCGAACTCAAGGCGTCCGGAGAGACGAAACCCTCTCCCCCTTCACTAAACGCCTACAAAAGATATACATATTATCTGAAGCAAAAACTAGTTTCTACTCATGTACTCCCAAAGGGTTAAGAAACCATATTTTATTTAAAGAATTCTTCAATTAAAATATTTAAAATTGAGTAGATAACAATTTTTGAGTGGCAAGCAATATTTCGATGCTTCCACTTGTGAAATAGTAACATCCACAGCTTCACTTCGCTGATCAAACAAAAGGTACAGTAAAAGCTGCATAAGTGCAAGAAAAGATTGGCTGGATAAGTGCAAAGTGACTGTCCCCTTCACGTGGAGAGATCCCTCTTGGCGAACCGAGACACCCGACGAGGAAGACGTGTAGTATGATCCGAACTGCAATATCGGTGTGACTAATACTAATTCAAAACTTTTTTATTTTTGACTTTTTTTTAATGAAACGTTTACTAACGCATTTTTTAGATTTTTCTGATTATAAAATGAGATCAAACACAATATAGTTTGAATTATATTTATACAAAGTACAAAAACATGAAAATATTTCTAGCAAAGTACTAAGCTGGTCGATGGCTTCATAAACATATTGTTGCGATTCAGTTCAGAAAGTTTCTGAGCCGCGAGACTATTGACTGCAAATTAGATGCTTTATGATGTTAGGAAAAGTCCGTGATTTCTTTTAAGCCGAACAAACAACATAGAATCGACACCTCGGCTGAATATATGCAATGTTTAGGTCCCAATCTCTCTTGTATTTATCCAGCTTTTTCTATAGTTTATCCTAAATACTATAGCCGTTGACTGCCACATATAATTTTACCTTCAAAGAATTAGAAACTTTGATTACCTACTGTTATTATGAACTTAAATTAATTTTTAATTTTGCCACAAAAGTCATCAGTAATCAAAAATTTCATATAATAGAATAATTGAAGTAAAAAAGAATTAAAGAAAATTTCAAATGTTCACCCTACATCTTACACCTTATATTATATTTGTCCAAATTTAATTGCACAAGTTAGTTTGTGCAAATTATATGAGCGTTTAAATTCAACTTTATAGTATATTGTGTTTCTTCCGGTCAAAGAACAGAGAAAATTTCCGGTGGACGTACAGGTTGCAAAGGTTGAGAGGATGGCATGTGGTCAACCAGCAACGTGCCCCGAACCAGAAGGAGAAAGTGGGACGATGAAAGTGCGACCAAACGACTGGATCAACACTACCTACGCTTCTGATCATTAGCTTTCGACTCATGGTTTTTCCATTATCATCGGAAATGCACAATCCAAATAGATTGAATGGTCATTCACTAAAGCATAATACCGCGTACCAATCAGACCTTTAGCTACTGTCGTGGATTTCTGTTACCAATTATTTTACTAATTTACATATATCTTGATAGAAGAAGACCTTTGAGTTACAGTATTAAAATAATAAAATAAAGTAACATTATTTGATAAGAATCTCAGATAGGGATTTTATATGAAATTTGTAAAAGACAAAACTGCAAGTATTTCTTTTTCAAATTCCAAAAAGCATATCTCTATATTTTAAACTGTTTCTGCAAAAGTTATTCAGATTCCATCAGTATACTTTTTTAAATTAGACAATTACTTAAAGAAAACAGCATTAAACAGAAAATTGTTTTTTTGAAGAAATTATATTTGTAAAATGCAGAAGAAAAAAGTCTACATCAAAGTTCTGAATAAAGAATGTACTAGTTGACCTTAACATTTAACGCTAACAAAATAAACTCTCGAATATTTGTCATTATCTCCGATACTAGCAAAAGTTAGTTTATTTTACAACTTTTATTAATGTTTCTTTAATTTTATAACTGTGGCCTGAAATCACCTCTGTAAAAAGAATCTTAAATATTTATATAATATAAAAATTGAAATAATAAAACAAAATTTTATTCATAAAAATAGAAAGTTATTTCTTTAAATGACGCAAACGGTCGTTTCATGACAAAATATGGTAAATGTTCGGAAGTGTCACTCCTGTCAGAATCGAGCTGATTTTTTTGTGTGTGGTTTCTTACAGTTAAAAAACATCGTATTTAATATTATTATGGCAGCGCATCTACAAAAATAATGTCAATAAATATTTTTTTAAAGATATTTATTCGTCGATCTTTCGAATATTTTTTCAAGATTTCTAAAAGAAATATTCTGTTCTTTCAAAATACAATAGACATACAAACTATTTTGACAATTCTTCATTATAAAATTGCTGAATAGCATCGAAGATGGCATGTACATACGCGTTTACTGTGCGCAGTGAAAGATATTAAAAATGGGTATCGGTATTAGTTAGTGTGGTATTTAGGGGGGGTCTGGAGGGCTCAGCCCCCCAGACAGCAAAACGAATTAAATATGTTACTGTTCAACTCGTGGGGGATAAAAAAATGTACAGCCTCTTTTTAGCAGGAGTGACACTTCCGAATATTTACCCAAAATATAATGACATATTGAAGTATAATCTTTCGAAACGATTGATTTCATCGAATCCCTCAAGATCGTGACGTCAATGCATTCGCTTCCGGAAGCGGATACTACAGGGCTTACGAGGATTCAAAAGAGGCCGCGCACGCTTTTTTTACCATTTGCTCGTTTTACCACTACAGAGAACCGAACTGGAGAACTTTCACTTCGATGAGGTCATCGTCGGGCCTTAAATATCCGTTAGCATGACGCTTCACTTTCATGCACAGCAATACACACGAAAAATCGAATTCGAACGATGGGATAGAGATGCTGCTATCAATAAATACTGATAACATCGTTAAACTATCATTAAGACGAACAAAATGTGCAATTTTATTATGCAAATCTGTGTATTCTTACTTGTTATTTATTTTCATTTCTTAAGCTATTGATAATTTATTTACTATATTAATTTATCAATAATATAGTAAATATTAAGGTTATAGATATAGTTAATAATATTAATATTAATTTATTGTAAGACATAACCTAATGTCATTAGCCCTTTCATAACCGATGAGACTTGAGGGCTCCAGATTTAATTTACGTTAATACTAGTATTAATAGTATTATAACACTAAGCTATTATAACAATAATACTATTATACTGATACTATTCATATTAATATGATTAATATTAAATAAATAGGAATTTTAACTAACTAACTAACTAACTAAATAACTTCATTGCTCTCTTAGCATGCCGCTAATATAACACTTTCGTTTTCTACCTATCATTCAAATAAATACGTATAAATTCGTTTAAAAGATATTATTTTATAAACACTCTGCCAATATTGTAAATTCGATGGGGACACGCAGCAAGTAGCTCGATTACCGGTAAAGACTGAGTACAAGTTCTTGTCTGGTGTCTGGTGACCTGATTATGTCGCTCCTTCTTTTAAAAGTTAATTCGTCTGGCGGTCATTCGATCCTCTTGCTCCTTTATTTTATCATACGACACATTAAGCAACTTTTTTGTTTGAATTCCTTGAAACATAAAGAATTGTTCGTGACCATGAGAGTTTTTCTTTACGAAAGAGGAGAGTGAGTAGGGGTCACTGATTCCGTGAAAGCTGTTTACAGCAGGCTTGCACAATAGATGTCGTTAGGGGCATGTGGTTGCCCGTGAGCAAAGGTGGGCAATAATCGTGGGTAGTGTCACAAGTTGTTTAGAGGAATGCATTATGCAATTCTTCCATGACGTGATCAATGGATGCCTTAACGCATGGATGAAGCCTTAAAGCATCAAACCGTAAGGAATTAATCGTCCATATGATGTCTTAATATGTTCTAAGAACCAAGCCGGTTGTTGTGTGCCACAACTTTTAAGTATTAATAATAGAGCACGCGATACCGCGTGGGCGGACATTCAGCGTTGACGGTATTGGGTGAGCGGCACTGAACATATGTTAAATAAAATATCACGTCTGAAAGGCCACAATCCAACGAGGTCATAAAATCAGTCAGGCGTTAAAGCAAATGAAATTCGATCGCCGAAAGAGCGATTTAGTAGATGTACAGGGAGACCAGGAATTTGAAACTTCGGCCAGGGCCGCACAATGAGATGTACACGAAGGGTCAATGCGCTTTGTGCAATACGCTGATGGCCTTAGCTACGTACAATATACAGGTATTACTAAGATCAGCGAAGTTAAGCTACGTTAAGCACGATTATCCCATGGATGGGTGACTTTTATGCTGTTGGCATATAAAATAGAATAAGAACCAGAAAACCACTATACAACAAATATAAATATGTACTGTCCACTGATCACAAGAAGTCCTATGACAATAATGCATTCTAATTGGTCGAGCCCCACCATCTGCTCACACGTACTTTCGGTCGTGATTTATGATTGATCGAAGCGGTCACATCTACTAATCAGGCTCGTGTAAAACTAAGGGGTCAGTTTTGTGTGCATAGTACTCCTCTTGCCTCTGTGCCGTCCAGCGAGACTTCTTGTGATCGGTGAACAGTACTTTGAAGAAACTACCATGATGAAAGCCCTATCAAGAATGGAAAAGTTGTAAAATAAATATAATAAAAAAACTTTCATTTTTATAAAATATTAATTTCATATCAATCTATTAGAATTCCTAAAAAATGAATTGGATTTTAAGGTTAAGGTCGAAATAAAATTATATATGTTTAATAAAGAAAATTAAAAGCTTACCTAAACCTGGAGAAGCCTTTTTTATCCATTCAAGAACAAAAATTAATTTGTTTGTAAACATGGATCAATTAAAACGTTTTCTTTTTTTATTTTCAATTGTAAATTCTAAAATGTATTCTAGTTTCACATTTACCCAAGACGCACGTCGAAGGAAATCTCGTCGACGCTTTCTCCGGACATATTAGAAAGTACAGGTTAAATACCACAAGCTTCTAGTAAGATAATTTCCAAAACTTTGGTTTTCCATAGTGGCTTTTTGATGTAATCAAAAATGTCATCTTTATAGAAAATTAAAGTTTAATTAACGAAATATTATATTTGTTATATTTCATTTTTCTATGGTAATTTATTTTATTCTGAGTCAAATTATTGTTAATACTTATTATTATTAAAAAAAAAAAATAGTTCTAAAAAATAATCTGTAACAAAGTACCAATGAAATTTAAAATGCTGCTTCATTATGTTAAATTATTTATACTCTTGCTAAATATACGTATTTTTGTAATTTAACTGATTTTTAATAAAAAAATCTTTTTTTTATATAATATATAATAAAATAGATAAAGATATCTGGTTTTTATAAACCCAATTATTACCCACTATTATTATATAAATATAGTAATAATATTGTAAAGTAACATATATATTAAGTAGGTAGTGATAACACTTTATATTTCTATACAGTGTTAACATTGCTGTATAGTTTATGGTAATATTATTACTACACATCAGTGATAATATCCTAGCGGAATAAACGAATATATTCACCATAATTGGACATGGAAACAAAAGATATTGAATTGATGAAGGTGTGAAATAAAGGTGAAATATCTTACCAACTCCGTTCCACAGGCAAAATGCCGTAATAGTGATGGCCAATCTGACGAACATTGCGTTACATTGGTCTACGGTACATTAAATATGAATGCGACCGCATTCGATCCACCGATACCGTGGTTCGATATGCTTAAATTAAGCCACGCTAATCCGGAACACCTTAAGAGATGGATCGTGTCTATGCAAACACACATCTGTCATTCATGCCACCCGTTCATTCGTGTCCAATGCATCCGCTATTTTTTCCCGTTTTTTTTGCGATGATCCTTTTACGTTCTTCATATCCGGCTTCAGTCGTTCACTCGACACAACGGGAAACAATTGCAAATGAACATATCTCTTGGAATTCTACACAACAAATATGAAAAATATGTTTTCAGTCTAATGTTATCAAATCAATTTTCACCAATATATCAGAAATTTCTTTGTATCCACATAACCACATACTTTGCAATTAATTTAGTGCACTCGATTTGGGAACAACACGAAGTTTAGTTTGAAATTTGAACTACGTGTCTACCGTTTGAAACAACTGTTGACTTTCTCTCAAGTCAAATTAATCGGCACAATTTTTTTAGAATAATCACATTTTATAACAAACTAATAATTATAAATACATTTAATGTAACTGATTTTGACTTATTCTATTGAATTTAAAAGAAAAAATCGTATCAATTTTCTCTATCTCGATCGTTGCTATATTTAACTTTGAAGATGTTTTTAAGCCTGTCACAATTTCACTTCTTTTTCGGTCTTCTGTCAATCCTTTCATAATTTTTCACCACTTTAAATAATTTATTGTTATATTGTTAATCACCAGCGTGCAGTAGAATAATATTTACGCGTATTTACTTTGTGCACTATTGAATGAAAGTTGCATTTAAGGACACCCGACGATGCTCGCTTGCGTGTCGCAACGCGATATGTCTGTCCGCAAGTCTCGCGGCAGCCATACCGATTAAACTAAAAGAACGTGTATCATTGGCGTAGCACTTCGATCGTACAGCATTTTTTCTATTTTAACCACTTAAGATCCCTATTTAAAAGCATGTTAACGTAATATTATGTACCTGGACGTTTAGTGGTTAATTCATTGCGCTAAATAGTTTAATAAAATATCAATATTTAAATATTATTCACTTGTCTTTCTCATAGCTGCTTTTCTATTTATATGTATATGTATGTATGCACATACATACATGGGAATGTTTCTTACACAATATAAATCGATTATTTTCTAATTAATTGGGATTAAGATGATGCTGGCACCTACATGAAGCTAGCCGGAAAAAATAATAAAATATGATTATTTTTCATTTTTCTTAGTGTATTTCGTTTGTAAATCATTTGTGATTGATTGTGAGTCTATTTTTAATGTTTGTGACAAATAAGCCTTTTGTAATTAGCAATTTTATTTCAGTCATGATGTAAGCCGGAATTTTTTAGTAATTTTTTATAATCAACAGATTTTGTGATAACTGATAACTGTAATTGATTGGAAATCGTTTGTAATTTACAAATATATCATTTTCATTGTTTGTGAGTGAATAATTTCTTAATTATCTACAAGTTTGTTTTATAATAAATAATTGTAGTGCGCATGCGCAAAATATACTCGGGACTCTTGCCAACAGAGAGCGTAACGGCGCGTTTCGCATAGCGGAAATCGTTTAAATTTTCTATATTTCATATTCTATGGGCAAAAGTTCTTTTAATTTTTTGGAACAAATGTCATTGTGCTGAGGATCTTTTATAATAAAATAAGTTACCAAGCAAAAAGTATTTGAACGAATTATGTAATAACAAAAATAACACAAGATAAATATTAGATAAGTATTTATTAATTAAACGATATTGTATGTTTTATAAAAATCTGATACTTTGTGTAAAATTGTACAGAAGTACACAGAAATCAAGCAAGTTTAATCTTGAAAATTATAAAAATGGAGATATCAAAAGATAACAATTATTAAAACTTGGAAAACTGAAAATGCATCTACAAAGAAAGATTTGATATAATATTACTAGAATAGAATTGATTTATTTTAGAGAAAGAAAAGCAACTCGGTTTACAATATTTATAAATAATATATAATATATAAAAATATATGCAATCATTTAAAAATTACTGATTTTTACTTTTTATGGTATAAATTGCGGCATGTGGCTCAATATCCTAATAAGATGAGTATCAGATTTTTATAAAACATACAATATCGTTTACTTAATAAGTACTTATCTAATATTTATCTTTTGTTATTTTTGTTATTACATAATTCCTTCAAATACTTTTTGCTTAGTAACTTTTTTATTTTAAAAGATCTTCAGCACAATGACAGTTGCTCCAAAAAATTAAAAGAACTTTTGCCCATAGAATATGAAACATAGAAAATTTAAACGATTTCCGCTATGCGTAACGCGCCGATACGCTCTCTGTTGGCAAGAGTCCTGAGTATATTTTGCGCATGCGCACTACAATTATTTATTATAAAACAAATTTGTAGATAATTAAGAAATTATTTACTCACAAACAATGAAAATGATATATTTGTAAATGACAAACGATTTCCAATCAATTACAGTTGTCAGTTATCACAAAATCTGTTTATTATAAAAAATTACTAAAAAGTTCCGGCTCACATTATGACTAAAATAAAATTGGTAATTACAAAAGAACTAATTTGTCACAAACGTTAAAAATAGACTCACAATCAACCACAAACGATTTACAAACGAAATACACTAAGAAAAATGAAAAATAATCATATTTTATTATTCCTTCCGGCTAGCTTCATGTATGTAGGTATGTGGCGGCCGGCGTTGAAGTCGGTAAAAAAGAAAACGCCTTCAAGAAAATTCTCAACGCCGCCTTTATCAAATCATGCTTGCTGTTCATTTATTATATTTAAACAAATTCAAATAACTTCTGTAAACATTCATTTCTTAATTAATCCTCAAACCGAAAAGACATGTAAGCTTTTAGTATTCTATTTCAAATATATAATTATAATTTAAACTCAAATCGTTCAATTTTAATATGGATTAAAACTCCATATTCTGGTGAACCCGACGTGATTTAAAAGAATATATTCGGCAGTAATAACTTAGTTGCGCAAAGAAGGAAAACCTTAATTTTCTCTAACAAAGAAATGTTCACCTGTTCACGAGAGAAGACTTCAAATGGAACCGGAGGAACCAGAAGCAGTGCAGTAAGCATCATCTTTTTTAAATCCTCCTGAGGCAAATGTTGAAACGGCTCGTCTGGTTATAAGCATGATTTGATAAAGGCGGCGTTGAGAATTTTCTTGAAAGCGTTTTCTTTTTTACCGACTTCGACACCGGCTGTCACAGGAACAAATTCACGACTCTTCCAGAATAAAAGCAAAGCATCTTGTTTGGTCTTGTTGGATCCGTAACATTGTGGATTTTGCTCGTCTTTGTTCGTGTATAAACATACGCACATAATGCTAGACGGATCAGATATAAACTACAGTTTAATTTCTGCGGTTCGTAATGGGGATTTAAAAAAAGTACGCGAGTTAATCAATTCTTACGGTCTATCTTATTCACAAGCATGGTCAGAAGGATACGTTTTACTCCGTGATGCTATTGCAAATGAACATACAGAAATTGCTAGACTACTTTTAATAAATGGTTCCAAAGTTAACAGTAAAAATAAAAATAAAAACAAGAAACCCTCTGATACTCCACTTCATTTAGCTGTTATGAAGGGTAACAGAGAAATTGTTGAACTGCTTCTAAATAGAGGTGCTGATGTTAATGCTAGAAATGCACACAGTTTGACAGCGCTGCATGATGCGGTTGAAAGAGGAAATGTGGAAATTACTAAACTCCTTTTGAATCGAGGTGCTAATGTTAATGCTGTAGACAATTACGGTAAAATTCCACTTTATGTTGCTGCTAATAAAGGATATGTGCAGATTGCTAAAGATCTTCTAAATCATGGGGCTTATACTCATTCTGTATGTACTTTAAAAGAGTGGGAGGGGTATACGCCACTACTTTTTGCCTCTGAAGGTGGAAGCGAAGAAGCTGTTAGATTATTTTTGAGTAGAGGTGTTGATGTTAATGCTACCGCGAAGGATTGTTTAACGCCACTTCATGTGGCCAGTAAAGCAGGATATGAAACAGTTGTAAAAGTACTCCTGGAACATGGGGCTAAGGTTGATGCCCAGGATAAGAATGGCAAGACTGCACTGTATCTTGCTGTTGAACAAGAATATTCAAATATTGTTAAGGTTATTTTAAAGTATTGTCCTGATATTAATAATGAAAGCAACAGAAGCTCTCTTGAAGCCGCAGTATACGGGTATAGAAAAGAGATCGTTGAGACTTTTCTTCAACATGGTTTTACTGTTAATCCTAAAGATATAAAGAATCCTAAATTGCTGCATACTGCTGTTGAGAAAGGATATTTGAAAATTGTTGAAGACCTGTTGAAGTATGGTGCTAATGTTAATACATTACACAGTTCAATGTATAAAAAAGGTTTTACGCCTCTACATAATGCAGCCAACAACAAGCAAAAGGAAATGGCCAAATTATTGATAAACTATGGAGCTAATGTTAATGCTAAAGATGCAAGTGAAAAAACTCCAATATTTTATGCTATTGAAAACGTTGATGCAAAAGTCACCAAACTACTTTTAACTAATGGAGCTGGTATAAAAGATAGTCCTGAGTTACTAAGTATTGCTGTTAAAAAGAAATGCAAAGAAATTGTTGAAATTCTTTTACAACATGATGCTGATATTAATGCTACTGATGAGTGTGGAAGAACAGCCTTATATTTTACTGCTCTTGATAAAGAGAGAGAAATTGCTGCATTGCTGTTGAGTAAGGGGGCTAATGTTAATGCTAAAACTAAAGATGGAGAAACAACACTTCATGCTGCTATTGAGAATGGATGTACAAAAGTATTTGAAGCTCTTTTGGAATACAATGCAGATGTTAACTATGTAGTAAAAGGTGATGTGACACTGCTTCATGTTTCTGCTCAGAAAGGAAATGAGGTAATTAGCAAAATGCTTTTAAAGAAAGGGGTCGACGTTAATGCTACACGAAAAGATCGAATGACTGCACTTCATATTGCTGCTAAAAACGGTCATTCGCAAATTGTTGAGATTCTCTTGGAATTTGGTGCTGAAGTTGACTTTAGAGATGAGTATGGTAGAACAGCACTTCATATTGCTTCTAAAGAAGGATATGCACAAATTATTAATGCTCTTCTAGAATATGGTTCTGACATCAACATTATAAGTGAAAGTGGTCATACGCCACTTGAATATGCTATGCTTAATGCTGAATACTTTCATAATAGATTTGATCATCAATTTAATAACTATAATACTGATAGTGATTATTATGAGCCTGATCGTGATTATTATGATCCTTATCGTGATTATTATGATCCTGATCGTGATTATTATGATCCTTATCGTGATTATTATGATCCTGATCGTGAATATTGTGATCCTGATCGTGGCATTTTCCCTTGTGAAGGATATGCTGAGATCCTTAAACAGTACATAGTTAAAGTAAAAACTGCAGGCTTATACGTAAGTGCAAGAAATTTAAGGTTGATTAATTTCGATGAAACTAGGCTCATGGAAATTAGTGACAATGAAATTAGTGACAATGAAATTAGTGACAATGAAATTAGTGACAATGAAATTATAGGCATTAAATTTAGCAATTTTCAGAGGGAATGTAAAGCAGAAATAGAAATTATGACAGGCGAGAAGATTGATAGTAGCAATACTTCTTTTTACGATATCCTGACAAAGAGTATAAGTCAATTAGCAATATATGCAAGGAATAAAAATATAGTACAGGCCTTGAAATCAGATGATTATAAAACGAAATTTCCAATATATGCTAGTGTAATAAATGGTCGATTTAGGAGGGGCATAGAAAAAAAAAAGTTACTGGAACAATGCAATATGTTTTTCCATTCTCTCTGCGAAAGCCTTCTTGAATTACCAACTTATTGTACTGAAAAAATATTGAGTTACCTGAATGGTGAAGATTTAAGAATTTTAATAGATGCTTGCAAGCCTTTGAATAGCCCTAATACCT